ATTTAAGCTCAATCGACATCAGGGCATGTTGCTCGCCTTCCTAACTACGTAACCGACGAGAAGCCCACTAGAAACTGCAAGGAACTGGGCGTTTGACCTGACATAGAACAAGTTTGAGAAGGGCAGTGAGATAGAGATTCCTTGGCTGGATGTGTCATTTCGCAAACGATCTGCAGGTAGCCGCCCGACGGTGCAATCTGCACAGTACCGGTGCCGAACTGCGGAGCCAACAAGATAAGAAACACCAAGCGAGATGAGATCTTAGAACAAGACCGAAGTCGGTAATGTTCCAGCATTCTACACATCCGTCGTGCATAATCATGGGATGCCAGTTCTTCTCGAAGGCTTTGATCATTATCGACGAAGCCCTTGTCTCAACTTGATACACGTGGTAGAACATTCTTGGAAGCGAAAAGCACGGTATATACGGTGTGCCACTCCGGGGTTGTGTATAGATAACGAAGCAACAACAAAAACCCGGGGTTGGAGACCGCGTGGGCGTATCACATTGCATCACGATGGCTTCTATCCGTATCCCTTGATATCTCGATGGTCAAATGATAGGATAAGAGCAGCGCTAGCGACGCAGAGACCAGGTCATGGTGCCTGGGGTTCTTCCCCAGAAGGATGACGAGTGCCGGCATTGCCACGCCAGCCCAACGTCTCGACCATGATGGATCTCTGACATGGGGAAGTGGGACGAGAACTACAATGCTGAATCAAGATAAGCAGGAAGCGGAGTCGGTATTTTGTCAGAATCAGATTTGTCTACTCTACTACTGCATGCTTGGCTGGTCTGGGAAAGTTTGGAGGCCCTGGTGCAGGAGAGACTAATGGTGTGAGGGATTGGGCAAGACAAGGCGAACACCCAAGATAAGCCTTGGCTGTAGCAGAGCCTAAAATGTCTTGGCTCTCCCATCTCGCATCTGGAGAGGGATAATCCCTGTCTTTTGTTCGATACCAAAGGAGGTTGGCGGAAGACAAATTGTGCATGAAGCTAGACCCAGAACGGAATTGGGGGGCTACGCGTTATCTGCGTGCGGAGAAAGGATTCCTTTTTAGCTAAGGAAAAGAGAGGCTAATGATATCAATGATCTCCGGCTAGCCGTGTGCTTGCATACGTGCATGCCGATGGAGAAGAGTCACTGAAAATGCGGGGGAGGATCAAGCGAGGAGTACGTACAGTAGAGGTGAACCAAATCAAGACCATGGAGATAAGACTTTCCCCGATGTGGGATTAGGGGAGCAACTCGTACATGAAGGGTTGGAGGAAGGCTGGAACAACGCCTTGTGGATATCCTCACACTCACCTTGGTAGTCATCACTGTGAGATAATAGCTGGATAAGACCTACGTGCGTCTTCGTTGGTCTGATGACTTGGCACAAAGAATGGTGGACGGGGACACCAATGTCCAGAAGATGGAGGGAGGAGACGGGGATGACCTCAGTCTGACTTGGTCAATGCGGGACTGGATTGTAGACACCTTCAAGACCGACATCGCAAACAAGTTCACTCCATACAGCTCAATTGACCTCAATCACAGAATAATATCGTGACATTCCAAAAATGAAGTTATCGCGACTTCACAATCCTCAAGATAACAAACTCTTCAACTTTCCCCTCACTTTTGCTCACGTGATCGGATATCCTCTTCTCCACACCCGGACTCCGGATCTCATGGCCGGAATTCCAGGTGAGGCACCGGAAAATGAGTTTTGGTGAGAGCCGTCCGGAATACGGTGGCCACCGAGACCGGTCTCGTCTCCAAGCGGCGGTGATAAAAGGCCGTATGGACATGAACAATTCGTCTTGATTCTGGAGGTTATTATTCCATCTCAATTATACTTGTCTCTTTGCAGGTCAATTGGCAGACTCAGACTCAATTCCTTTTCCACTATACTCCAAGTCTACCAATAGTATCTCTTCACAATGGCCTCTCAGTCATATCTCATCGTGGGAGGAGGCGTCTTTGGTGTCTCCACGGCCTACACTCTCATCCAAAAGTACCCCAATGCCTCCATCACAATCGTGGACAGGGACCCTTACGATGGAGACAACCGTGTAGCTGCTTCTTGGGACTGGAACAAGGTCGTCCGTGCTGACTACGATGATCTCCTCTACTGCCGTCTCGCTCTCGAGGCCCAGGACATCTTCGAGTCCGACCCTCTCTGGATGCCTCATTTCCACAAGGCGGGTGTCTTTTGGGTGTGCCGCAGCGACTACGCCCAGGACGTCATCAACAACTACAAGAAGCTGGGTCGCGAGCACGACATCCAGGTTTACACAATTGAGGAGGCTAAGAAGCTGTACGGTGGTCTTTACGAGGAGGCCAACTACGACGGCGCCAAGGAGGTGCTCGTCAACAGAAACAGTGGCTGGGGTGCTGCAGGCGACTCCCTGCGTGCAGTGACCCGCGAGGCTATGAAGCTCGGCGTCAAGTACGTCGTGGCCGATGTCGCTACTCTGCAGATTGAGAACGGCCGAGCCACGGGTATCCAGACCTCCAAGGGCGAGATCATCTCGGCCGATACCGTGATCCTCTCCACTGGAGCCTACACAGCCAAGCTTCTAGAATACAGCGCCGCGCGCCACAACCTGCCTGATCTGCAATCCGGTGATCGCATCACAGCTGCTGGTATCACCACCGGCATGGTCACTCTCGACGACGAATCATACGGCAGGATGAAGCACATGCCTGTCGGATTCCAGGGTTACACCTACAAGCACAGTGAGTACCCTCCATTCATGCAAGTCATTGAAGCAAATTGCTAACGTCAGCGACAGAGTCTCCCTTTATTGGCAGTCTGCCACCCACCAAGGATCGCGAGATCAAGTGGTGGGGTAAGAACATCTTCAGCAACACCCGTCAAGTGCTGCCAGGACGCTACGTCTCTGCGCCACCGGACGAGAAGGACTACGCGCAGTGGAAGGTGCCCAACGCTCTCAAAGAGGACATTGACACGCAGAACCGTCTGTTCTTTGGAAGCAAGGGAGCCCACTGGAAGTACGAGCACCACCGCATTTGCTGGGATGCCTTCACGTCGAGTGGAGACTTTATCATCTCCCCGCACGCAGGGGCGCAGGGTTTGTATGTTGCGACATGCGGCTCATTCCACGGGTACAAGTTCTTCCCCGTGCTGGGCAAGTACGTGGTGCAGATGCTCGAGGACAAGCTGGAGCCTGAGCTCAAGGAGAAGTGGGCTTGGGACCGCGAGCGTCCCGATGGAGCCTTCAACTGCGAGTTCCCCAACTCGGAGTTGAGAGACCTGCTCGACCCTGCTGCCAGGCTGTAAGCTAAGCAAGCCAAGGCGAGATGAGTCAAAATAGAGTATAGTATGTCATTTAGAAGCATGTACGAAAGCATTCGGAAGATGCCAGAGCAAAGAAAGAACGCATGGAATGAAGCATGGAAGGAACAAATGATGCATGGCAGTAAACTGTTGGAGGAAGGTCTCATCCTCTGAGGGGAATGCGGCTGCGGGGGAGTCGACAAGGAACCTCTGCCAGGGATTAAAGGGCAGCTTATGATTGGGCGTCTTAGCATAATGAAGAACCATAATGAACGAATTGAACATTTCTCTTTAATTATTACGGTCCCTTACCTCACCTCACATGAGATTTGCCAACTTTTTGGAGATTTCGGGGCTGCAGCCATGATCGCCTTTTGCCAAGATTAGAAGCAAAGATTAACGCCCAAAAGCCAAGCCAAGAATCTCCGTCTCCGTCTGCAGCGTTGCGTTGTCGGAGTAAGACCAAACCTTAGTTACGTAGTTTATCTCACTGTTCTCCCCGTTCCATTCCCTCCTACCCTTGTATTCTCCTCATCTCCACTCTTATCTCAGCACCCTTGCTTGCTGTGCTTAGTAGATCACAGCAGGCATTCTCTCATCTTTTTCTCCACATCCGTTATCTCTACCCGATGGATCTCCGGTGATCGGGGGCGAAAATGGACGGGAACGAGTAAAGGTGTGATCTCGGTGAAGAGATATGGACCTGGTTTATTTCTGGAAGGTTTAATGGAAGGCGTGTGGGTGTGGTGGAACGGGTCTGAATTGGAGAAAAATGCTGTAATGTGATGCGATATGATGTACCAGATAAGGAGCGCCCGAAAAAATAAAACTTCTAGATGGAGCATCCTGATAGAGATTCATTGAAGATAGGTAATTCTACGGTGAAAAAAAGATTTATTATGTGGTGGTTTTGGTCATGAGTCAATGGCAGCGGCAGCAAGCGAAACGTTTTGTTGTCAGCTGGTAACTGGGTAGAGGTAGTTGGGGGAGCGACAAACAAAGCGCCTCGTTTTGTCGCTGTTGCTCTCGACGTTTCAGCACTTGCCGTTGCATCCAGGGACTGTTTGCACTGCAGGTGAATTGTCAAATACTGTAATGTTATGCTATGCAATGCAATGCCGTGTACGGAACGGATGGAAAGGCATTTCGTCCTTCTCTCTGGCTTCTCTTTGGTGGGCCTCGTTTCTTTGGGGGGAGCAGGAGCTGATCAATTGGACACCATCAATCCACGCCCCCTTGGCCTTAGTTCTTAGCTCTTGGCCCTCCCTTGTCGCTTGTCCCTTGACCCTTGTTCTCTCTCTGTAAGCTGTTACTGTACGATACCCAAGTACGGCAATGCACATTAGCACACTCACCAATTGTCTTAGTTCGCAGACCTAACTCACCTAAAAACGCAGCGAACGGACTGGATTAGAGCGACTGCACAGTACTAAAACCCCGCGTTATCATTTTCAGCAAGGACCAGTAGGCAGTGCGGGGTTTGTCAGTTCTTAGTTCTCGTCCTCCCCAGTGCTCTCTTCACTGTATCCGTATCCTTCCAGCCTGTACAAGTCCAGTCTGAAGCCATAAAGTATTTAGTGGAAGCGGGCCCCTTTTGTTTGTGAACAAGGTTCACCAGTTTATCATTCCAACGCCTCTCGACTTTTTTTCTTTTTTGACCGTTGACATTTCATTCTTCTCTCATCATTACCTCCTCCCCATCTCACAAAATGTCAAGGTCATCAATGTCTCCCGCTGAGGAGAACAACACAACCAGCAATCCTACCACAAGCACCCGTGGCCGACGACGATCGCATCACGCATGTTTGACTTGCAGGTAAAAACAAAAACGAGTCTCTCAATGTTTGTCTCAATACTGACACATTCTCCCCGTTTCAGGCGCAAAAAGACTCGTTGCCCAGGCGAGAAACCGCAATGCTCGAGCTGTGTTCGCCTCAAGCAGTCGTGCTCTTATCCCCCAGCTATTAGACCCTCTCAGAGCGGCCCTTCGGTACGTTGTGCATGCTTTGCACACGACTAAAATGCATCCATCTTAACACGGAATTACTATAGGAGGAGAGATTGGCGCATTTGGAAGAGAAGCTTGACTTTTTACTCAACGGCAACTTGTAAGTTTATTCTGACTCTGTTCCTTTGTTGTCTCCTCTGTTTTCTTTTTTGGGGGACATATACTTTTTTTAGTGAGGGGACACCCGCTAACAACGCCCTGTAATTTTTAGGTCTACGTCACAACAGCAAAAACCTCTACCAAACGTACCGAACCCCCAGAACAACCAGCAACAACAACAACTCGAATCCCCTCAAGAAACAACAGATACATCCGAAAAGTCCTACTCTGGTGTTCGAAACACCCGCGAGCCCAGCTACCCTACGAGCCATCCCTCGGTCAAGTCCGAATCCGAAAACTCTTCGCTGCGGCCCAGCGTATCCGACATCGCAGTTGGGGTTGCACTCTACTTTGAGTACTGCCACCGACAGCCAATATGGTGCTTCGAGAGGGAAGAGGTCAGCGACTTTGCTGCCATGCACGATGAGTTAGCTTGCAGTATTCTCGCCCTCACTCTGCGCTTTTCCGAGAATGCCGACCAGGCCAAGTTGTACGCCAACAATGCAAAGAGCCTTGTCATGCTGCGTATCGCCAACGGTACTGTGGATCTTGCGACGCTTGAGAGTCTTTGTTTGCTATCTTACTCGTCATTTATTGGTACGTCATTATTTATTCCCCAGTCTATCGCGCATCAATTCTAACGCTTGGCAGATGGTAATGTGCATCTCGGTCAATTCCACCTCGGTCTGGCCCATCAATTATGTCGATCCGCAATGCTCGACGTCGAGTCCGTCTACGGCATTGAAGACCCCCAGACAGAGCGCAAGAAGCGGTTATTCTGGAGTCTGCAAATGCTTGAGCAATCCTACGGTCGCCAAGAAGGTCTTTTGAGTGTCCCAACAGAGATTTGGCGACCTGCCTACTCTACAACAAGAGGTCCCCCACCCGAGCATGACCCTCGAGCTCCCACACTACCTCGAGATGACCTCGGCTGCCAACACCAGAACGAACCTGGTATCTGGAACACCAGCGTGCATCTCGGTTGGGTTTGGAGTCAAGTCAGAAAATATGTTTCCGATTGCGCGCACAATAACATTAAGGAGCCCTGGCGACATGACTCCATGTACGCAAAGGTCCTTGCCGACTTTATGGAGACGGAGAACAGAATACCCATGTGCCATCGCTACGACACAGTCAAGTTCTACGAGCGCAAAGTTGAAGATTTAAAGATGCAGCGCGATTACTGGGCGCCCTGGCTCAAGGAGCAATTCACATATCACGTCATTCCTACCGTCCTCAACCATCCTTTCCTTTACATCGTCGGAGCACAGCACAACCCCAACCTCGCCATCCCCAACACCTTCTGGAGACGCTCTTCTGAACTCGCTCTTCTACATTCGACATGGATCGTTCGAATGATCGACATGGTCGTTGACAAGCAAGTGCCCCTTGCCGATCCCTTCTTCGGACATGTCGCTGCCATTGCGGCGACGGTGCACCTGTACTACTGCTGCGCGGCGGCGGCCAGGCTAAAGCACAAGTCCAACGCCGACTTTGCCAAGTGTAGGCGGTTCCTCAAGAACTTTTTGCCTACCTCGGCAGCTTGCAGAGCATTGGTATGTTCCCTTGGCTCTATTTTTTACGATCGACAGCTAACAAATTCTTCAGGACCGCAACCTGGACAAGATGACTCGCATTGCTGCTGGTACATCTGACAGCATGGAGGTAGATGACTGGATGCCCTCCAAAATCTACCTTAGCGTTCCCCTCATGTGGAAGATCCTCCAGTTCAACACATTCGCAGACTCGCACGAGCTGCCCACTGCTGGACTCCTCAATCAATCACTCGTGCCCAACTCGATGCACGAGGGCGACAACGAGAACGTCACCTTGGAAATCATCGTCGCTAGCGCGCCGGAGATAACTATCAACACGGCTGACGGTGGCCAAGAGGCCCCAACTCTATCGTACAAGGCCCCGCTGTCGTCGTCGCAGGGTCCAGACTCTGCGCGCGATACGGTTTACGACGAGATCCCCGTCGACGACAGCCTAACGCTGTGCACGACGCCTTGGCTCTACGCGGATTCGTCGCAGTTTGTTAATATTGCGGACATGGGCTGCGATGACCCGCAGCCTCCCATGAGCGAGAGCAGCAGAGGGCCCGCTTGGTGGGAAGGCGAAAACTTTAGTAATATCATGTTTAATCACTTTTAGGAGTAGTGGAATTGTTTGGGGGTTGTAATGTTTGAGCAAAAGGAAAGGCACGGGTTAAGGAATATTAGTGGATCTGGATCACTACTGTACAGGCTTAGACAAAGATTCTCGTGGTTTATTTTATTGTTAGGCGTTACAAAAAAGAAAAGATGACCAGGAACACACTGGGATTCATTCCTCCGCATTACTTCTCCCGCTATTCCATGCATAAAGAAACTTGGAATGTCCTGTTTAGTTACAAGATGCATGTCATGGGTCTTCTCTCCAAATATCCACTGTAAGATACAGTACATTACAGTACAGTGGCTTATGGACACTCAAGCAGGGCGAAGAGATAGTCGCTCTGACAATATTCTCCATATTCCAACTCCACCATGACAACAACGCGCATCTTGGTACAACTCCAAGAGAAGAGAGTCATGATTGCGGAGCATCGTCTCCTCCCCCGGAAAACGGGAAACGGAAAACAAGCGTTATGGGCACAATTGGCCCTTGCTCTCCGATGACCGTCTCGATTTGGAGTGGGATGGGGGAGGGAAGACCGGGGTAGCCGAAACCGGGGGAGGAGTACTTGGTCTTGGTTTAGGTAAAAGAAAATAATAGTGAGGCGCTTAGGCTGCACTGGGGCTGGGTTTAGAAGATTTCCTGGGGTAAAGAAAGAAGAAAGAGTGTACTGTACTGTAACACTGGTAATACGGCATCTGCTACAGTGGAATATGCGGGGAAGCGAAGAAACGAGAAAGTGATTCCGGGGATGGAGAGATGGAGATTGACGCTAGACATGCACAATGTGTCCATCCCTAGCCCAGGTGAGTTGTTGTTGTGTTATGTGTTATGGACGGGAATTTCACTGTGCAGTGCCTCAATTAGAGCAGTAGACTACACTACAGCAGGAGGGTATCTGTAACTCCAGGGCGCTTGGACTGGACTGCCCCGGAGAATGGAGACGATGGAACCAAAAATTCCCCTCCCCCAACTTGAGACTTACGCATCTTGGGATTATTATGTGTCATGGCAAACTCGGACCAAGCGGAGGCGGAGACCAGTTCATGTTCCCCCATCTGGGGTAAAACGAAGCTATTCAGGAATCTATGTGTCAAGAAAATGTTTACTTTTCCGGGGAAGTCGGGGTAGTGATCTGAGGACCGACGCATTGACGCTACCCAAGGTCAAGCAAGACGGGGGTCAAGGTGAGGAGGAGGAAAAGGCGGGGGTGGTATCCATGGCTGACAAGACAAGATTCGACTTGGCGATTTTAGGCGGTTGGCTTGCAACAAGGCGGGTCAGCTGGACTGTCTAGATTTTTTAACGAGTACGCGGATACTGATTCAATCAACCTCTGTGCCTGTGCCTCACACTGTCTTATCTTGGCACCATCAATTAAGCTGTTCACCTCGTCCGGTGAGACCCTGCCATCTCATCTTTTGTGTTCTGTTCCTGGGCCTCCCCTCACCGCTCCACTTGTTATGAATCAACTACCCAAGCAGCCAAGACAAAACAGTCTGCCTGCATTCACATTGCAGTAGGGTGTCACTACACGGCGTAGGTACAGTAGTAGAGAGCCCATGTGAAGCCATTCACGATGCCCTTTTGAGCAATTCGCACAGCTGGGAGCTGTTCTAGACGTTACTCGGCTGCAGGCTCGGCCGAGCACTAAAAAGTTTATGAATTGGCGAATTGGGATGTGACTCTTGGCACCATGTTATGTTATATGCAATCAATTGAGGGGTCTAATTGACGGTCCCAAGCTGACGATGGGATTCTGATTCCGCGGGAAGACATTGTGATGGAATCGTACGGCAACTCGAGAACCGAAGAGATCAACCACCAACTTTAAAACTAATTTTACCAATCTGGGGACCGAAATTGAGTTTTTTGGCCGATCACTTGCCCGTTGGTGAAGGCAAAGGTTATGTCCCGTAAAGCCGGTTAATTTCCCGCCCGGACATCAGTTGGCTGCCACACTTTTTGGGGGGCTAATCTTTTTGACAAGGAGACCCCGATGCAAAAGGGTTGCCGAAAAGACAACGCATATCGGATTGACAGCAGAATCAGCATGTCAATTAACGGTCAGTCACAATCCAATACGATAACGAAACACATTCCCTACCAAAGTCAATTGGTGGTGGCGCTTCCGGGGGTCATTCATCCCCTCCCAGCCTCAGGGTAAGGGAAACGAAAAGAGTCTAAATTTTGAAGGTATCGTGAAATGTGACTCTGCCGCAAAAGGTCCCATGACCAGAAACTTACGGTGTTTTTGAAATGAGGCTTGCAAGGGTTTCAAAAGATACCGTGGCCCTTGCTGTCGTGTCCAGCTGATTTGTCTTTGCTGTACGGATACACTGTCCCCAACCGAGCGTCTTGCACTAGAATAGAAGCATTGGGCGCTTCGCTGCATAGCGATAGCGGCCGTTTGCATTTTGCTTGCACCTGTCTGTTTTCTATCTCGCTACGACATCTCCGAAGCCGCGTGTATAATCATCACTCGCTACGTTATCACGCGTGTCCTATCGTCTCGGCACGGACTCGTCTGGTGGAACTTGAGTCGTCGTCGGCACTTGAAGCCCGGTCGATAACTCAAATTCTAGATTTTGGATCTGCCCAGCGTTATCTCCCCGCATAAAGCATACCTTGCCTTGCTTGTCTCGCAAACGCCCCATTATCAACACACCCTCCCGGCGGCCACACTTCTCAACTCCCGATCACGTGAGCGCTTCCGCAACCGGAGGCTCTCATGTTAGTTGCCTTATCGTAACCATGACATAGGACGGAGATAGTTTGATGTGTTGATCTTGGTGGGCAAGACGGTGCGGTACGGCTACGGCGTGCGGAGGAGAATGCGGAGTCGTAGATGCGGCGATGCGCTCATGGAACAAGATATAACGAGACTAGAACCTTTGCCAATAGAAGCCATTGTGTTTGAAACCCATCTCTCATCTCTCATCTGTCTCTTCAATTGCATTGTTCGCCTCTCTACTACCACTCTGAGAACCCCCTTCATCATCAACACAGAGACGACACAGACACAGCAATGGCACCCTCACCGCGGGTTCTCATCATCGGCGCTGGCATCGTCGGCGTCAACGTCGCTGATGAGCTGGTTCAGAGAGGATGGACCGACATCACGGTCCTCGAGCAGGGCCCTCTAGCCATGCCTGGTGGCTCAACCTCTCACGCTCCCGGTCTGGTCTTCCAGACGAACACATCAAAGACTCTCACCAAGATGGCCACTTACACAGTCGAGAAGCTCCTCTCACTAGGCTCCTTCAACCAAGTCGGTGGTTTGGAGATTGCCACTACTCCTGCACGACTGGAGGAGCTCAAGAGGAAACGGGGTTATGCTTACTCTTGGGGCGTCGAGGCCAACCTTGTCAGCCCTGAGAAGTGTCTCGAAATTTACCCCTTGTTGGACAAGTCCAAGGTCCTTGGTGGACTTCACATTCCTACCGATGGTCTAGCTCTCGCTCGCGATGCGCAAGCGAAGCTTATTGAGCGCACACGAGCTGCTGGTGTCAAGTACCACGAGCACACAGTGGTCCGATCCATTGACCACCACGACGGTCACGTTTCATCCGTCAACACCAACAACGGCAACTACACAGCCGACATCGTCATCTCATGCGCTGGTCTTTGGGGTGTCGAGGTTGGAGCCATGGTTGGCCTCCCCATTCCTCTCACACCCATGGCTCACCAGTACGTCCACACAACATCAGTCCCTAGCCAGAAGGGCAAGAACGAAGAGCCCAACGGCGCTCAACTCCCTATTCTCCGACACCAAGATCAGGATCTTTACTACCGCGAGCACGGCGACCACTACGGTATTGGATACTACGGCCATCGTCCCATGCCCGTTGTCGCAGCCTCGCTGGGCGAGACACCCAAGGACATCGACTACAAGAACATGCCTTCCAGCTTAAAGTTCACACCCAAGGACTTTGAGCCTGGCTGGAAGCTGTCACAGGAGATTCTTCCTGCTCTCCGCGAGACCAAGGTCGACCACGGTTTCAACGGTATCATGTCTTTCACCCCCGACGGTGGCCCTCTCGTCGGCCAGGCCCCCAACTTCGATAACTTCTACGTCGCCGAGGCTGTCTGGGTGACACAATCTGCTGGTGTCGGTCGCGCTATGGCCGAGCTACTTACCACCGGCACAGCTAACATCGATCTTTCCGAGTGCGAGCTGTCTCGATTCGAGCAGGTTCAGCTCTCACCTGCCTACGTCGTCGAGACCGCTTCCACCCAATTCAACGAGGTCTACGACATCCTCCACCCTCTTCAGCCCAAGGAGTCTCCCCGAAACCTCCGCGTCAGCCCCTTCCACCAGCGTCACCAAGAACTCGGCGCCTTCTTCCTCGAGGCTGGAGGCTGGGAACGTCCTCACTACTTCGAGTCCAACGAGAAGCTTCTCAAGGATCTGCCCGAGGCTTGGAAGCCTGTTGAGCGCGATGCCTGGTCATCCAGGTTCTACTCTCCTGTGACTGCTGTCGAGGCCTGGAAGACACGAACTGGTGTTGCCATGTACGACCAGACTCCTATTCGACGATTGGAGATTGCTGGTCCTGGTGCTGCTGAACTTCTTCAGCGATTGACTACTGGTAACGTTGCTGGTGAGGTTGGCAAGGTCACATTCACACTTCTCCTCGACAACCACGGTGGTATCCGAAGTGACATCTTCGTCGCTAGACTAGGCGAGGATCTCTTCCACCTCGGTGTCAACGGCCCTGTCGATCTCCACTACTTCACCCGCGAGGCCAAGGTCCAGACAAAGGCCAGCCCCCACCGAGCCGTCCAGGTTCGCGACATCACTGGTGGTCTTGCCAGCGTTGGTGTCTGGGGTCCTTTGGCCAACGATCTCATGAAGCTCGTCAGCAGGGAGAACTTCTCCGACCGAGCTTTCCCTTACCTCACCACCAAGAAGCTCGAGATCGCTGGCATCCCTGTGATCGCTACTCGCTTCTCTTACATTGGCGAGGAGGGTTACGAGATCTACACAACTGCCGACAACGGTCTCCGACTGTGGGATGCCTTGTGGCAGGCCGGTCTTCCCTACGGTGTCATCGCCGCTGGTCGCAGCGCCTTCAACGCTCTCCGTATCGAGAAGGGTTTCCGATCATGGGGCTCCGACGTGACCCAGGAGTACGACCCTTACGAGGCTGGTCTCGAGTTCGCTCTCCAACCTGGCAAGGACGGTTACGTTGGTTACAACGCCCTCAAGGGCCGCTCAAGCGAGAAGGTCTCTCGTCGCATCCGCGGTCTCATCATCGACGATGGCAAGTCCGTCGTCCTTGGCAAGGAGCCTGTCTTCGTCAAGGGTCGCGCAGTCGGCTACGTGACAAGTTCAGCCTTCGGCTACAGCATCGGCAAGCCCATCGCCTACACATACCTCCCCAAGGAGGTCCTCGAGGGCGACAAGGTCGAGATTGAGTACTTTGGCAAGCGTATCAAGGCTACCGTGACATCTCTTCCCTTCTACCAGCCCGAAAAGAGCGCGTACGGCCAGAACGCTTCTTCCAACTTCTCTGCTCGTCTGTAGATTATGACCACTTTACGATTTCCTTTTTTTATCATGTATCAGGATGTTTATCTGCGATTGGGAAAGAAGCTGGGTATTCCTGTGGCAATGCCATTGAGTTGGGAAAAGTCTTGTGTAAGACAGCTCACTTTGCATAACGAGCGATGATGTTTAATAGATGTTAATGAACCACATTTCAAAGTTATATGTCTGTCCACTTTCTCCGATCATATGTGATCTTGTCAACTACTGTACTAACTTTCTTTCAATTTCTTTGCTATTCTGCTCTGAGTGTTCAATGTCTCCATCAATCAGGATATACGGATATATCTAGCATCTGGGACAAACAACTTGGGTGGAATCTGGATCCGCAACAGAAGATTCGTCACATTGTGGAGCAAATAACGTTTGACAAGATGGCGAAATTTCATGACATAGTCGGTTTCTATCCGTTTTTTCCGAATCTTCTGTTTCTATCAAGCAAAACACCAGTTCCCAAGTCTGTGAGAATACACACAACACCAACGACACCCAGCCCTGTTACATCGACGATATCAAAAATGGCGGCCATCGGTACTATGCGAGCCTTTGTCACAGATGGCCAGGGCAGCGGATCAATTGAAAACATTCCACGACCAGTCCCAGACCAAGGTGAAATCCTTGTCAAGGTGCACTCTGTGGCCTTGAACCCGGCAGACTGGAAAGTTGTCGAAGGGACAGTCCTGAACTCAGCACCGTCAGGCCTCATCGTAGGTTTCGACTTTGCCGGAACTGTTGAAGAGTCCAACAGCACACAATGGAAGAAGGGCCAACGAGTCGGTGGTTGGGTTCACGGCGTAACTTACCCAAACATTGGCTCCTTTGCCGAGTTTGTCGCCATCGAAGAATCTCTTGTCTTTGCAATCCCGGATAATACTAGCTTCCAGCAAGCATCGACTATCTCACTTGCTTTTGCAACTGCTGCACAGGCAGTATGGCAACACTTGAACTTCCCGGAGCCTGACTGGCCTAAGCTCAACCAGGTTGACTTTTTAGTCTACGGTGCTTCGACGAGTGTTGGCTTGTATGCTGTTCAACTTGGAAAGCTTAGCGGCGCTCGAGTCATTGCGGTAGCTTCGACCAAGAACCATGATTTCCTCAAGAAACTAGGAGCAGATGTCACTATTGACTATCGGGATGAAGATTGGGTTGATCAAGTCAGAGATATAACCGGTGGTGAACTGCCATACGCCCTCGACTGTATTGCAGACGGAGAGTCAGCAAAGAACACTGCCCGAGCCCTGATGACCAAAGATGGAGCTCGTCTTATTTCCTTGTCTTTTGTCGATAAGTCTTCAGTCCATGCTGTCAACCCACATGTCAAGGTTGAAGCCATGATTGCCTTGACCGTCTTTGGCAGAGCCCTCCCAGAAGCATTCGGCACGTTCGACAATGCTGGCGGTGAAACCTTAGAGGATCAACCTTTGGGAGAAGTGGTTGAAGATGGTTACCAAGATGTTGGAGAATGGAGATTTTCAACCAAACCCAGTTAGAGAGGTGGGAAGTTTGGATGATACGCTTGAAGCTTTTCGACTTAGCAAGGAAGGCAAGCTTTCAGCTGAGAAGGCAGTTCTGAATGTGGTGCAGGAGGAATGAAGCATGAATCACGTGAATAGATAGACTGGCTTGATCGCTGATCACTCAAATAAGCATTAATTTAAGCTAAAATGTTGTTGACATGAACAGGATATGCATTAAAGGTCGATCGCGACGTTGATTCCGCAGTCACGGAATATGAGCGAATGGCATTAGTGCCATAACTGATAAGGAGGATACTGCGCCTAGATAAGCCCGTATCTGTTAGTGCCCCATCTCTTATCAACGGGTCTCTGCTCGCTTAGACTACGTCATTTTCGATGGTCGATTGTCTGACCGTTGATCAGGATGCACACGCGACACAGAGGAGGTTGGTCATCTAATGCAAGCCAAACCCATCAACGGCGTATGCTTGCGTCATATTGTGGTTCGAGAGTCATGTCAAAATGGAATTATGGACATGTCATTTGAAGAAACAAGGCGTTAGTTATCTCGAGGGAAAAGCGATCACAGCGACGATTGTTCGATGGCAGTGAAAAACTCGTCTGGCTACAGGGCTTGTTACAGTGGGGATTGCAGCGGCACTCCCCTAAGAATCCATCGCATCGTGTCAAGAGCAAATGCAGGATCAGAAGGCTAATTGACTTAAACTTTGACCTGTCGAATTGAAGGCGGCAAAGGCTGCTGAGACGTTGTCATTCAATTAACAGCTTCCTAATTGATCCCAAGTCAACATGCCGAGGTCTTGTTGAACCTGGTCGCAATGCCAAGTCGTGATCGCAGCGCCAAGCTGTCAACGCCTCTTGTTCCCGCTGCCAAGAGATCAAATACGGCTTTAGTTGGGAAATATCCCGACGACGTTCAACTTCATCCCATACCATGTACTGTATCAATCTGTTGATGTATCTGGATCGCATCATTTTACCTTCTTAATCTGATCTGCACTTTTGTCGCTCTGACAAAACTCTATTGATGATTGCATCCAGCAAGCGTCTCGGTCCTACCACAAATATCTCCCCATTCGTATCAGTGCATCCCAGATAAACAAATCCTTCTACAGTACCAACTACGAAACGCCCAATCATACTGACTGTCTCATCGTACGTTAGCAAGGGATCGGCGGTTGATAAGACGGACCGGCTAGCTCGGCTCCGCGACAGAGGTGGAAAGCACCAATGAACCAGGCGAGTCGCAATGTCACTGTGGAAATCAAGAAATCAAGGATTCTGGGGTAAATGAATCTATGACAAATAGATTGCTCAAGACATTCACTTACCCCAGATTGCATCGTATCCTTCGACTGCAGATGTTATCGTTGTACAAACTGTCATTGTTTCAGTGTAATTTCACTCGATTGCGTCTGGAAGAACAGAATTGAACTGGAACACTATTCTTCGGAGCCGAAGAATTAAACATGACGTAGAATAGAGAAGAGACTAAAGAAATACCTCAGCTATTGGCTCAGCTTGAAAACGTCTGTCAACGATAAGAAGCACGCGGGCGGGCTGACAGCTCTCCCCCCTCAATAATTTGCCCCAGCTGAGCAAAAGTGCCGCTTTATCCGTGAGATTAAGAGGTTGCCCGAAACGATCACCAACAACAATTGAAACCAACGCCGCAAATGACAATCCCCTAACGTTACGTATCTCTCCCACATCCCCATCCCCTTCCTTCTAAACCACCTTCCGCTTTTCATTTAGGCTCCCCTGTAAGCCCATCTCCGTTGCTCTTGCCACGTGTTTTCCGTAGTCTATATATAAACCGCCGAGTGATCCGCGCGTCCCTTTTTTCCTTCACAACATCTCATCACAAGCTTAGATAATCTCTTCCTTGTGTGCTGCAAACCATGGCTTCAGAAATTAATCCCAAGTCAGAAGCCTACGATGGCGGATCCCCACGATATGACGAGAAGCACGGCACCACGGAGCCTATCGAGGCACCCAAGAAATCATGGGCTCTGCGTAATGGTCTCACCCCCGAGTCTTTCAAGCCCCACGAGGATCATGGCAAGGGCACCGTTGAGCTTGCGCGGGACATGAAGCCTCGTCATCTTAACATGATTGCGATTGGTGGCAGGTTAGTTTCCCGTTTTCTGTCGTCATGGTGTAACGCCGTCTTATTACCGTGATGACGCACCCATTTCGATGTAATTTGCTGACATGGTTGCAGTATTGGTGCGGGTTTCTTCGTTGGTAGTGGTGCTGCGCTACAGACTGGTGGACCTGGATCACTGACCATTGGTTTCTTGATCATGGGTGTCATGATTTTCAATGTCGTCTACGCGCTTGGTGAACTCGCTGTCATGTACCCCGTTTCCGGTGGTTTCTATACGTGAGTGATCCAATCATACTTTTTCCCTGACAATACTAATAACTCATCAGCTATGCCAATCGTTTCGTGGATCCCTCTTGGGGTTTCGCCATGGGTTGGAATTATGTCATGCAATGGGCTTTTGTTCTTCCTCTCGAGTTGACGGTTTGTGGTACTGTCATCCAGTACTGGGCACCAGATACCAGTGTGGCTATCTGGGTCAGCGTAAGTCACCATCTTGCTACTCATCTCTGAACAATCACTCACCAATTATAGGTCTTCCTTGCCGTTATCATTCTCGTGAATATCTTCGGAACTCTTGGATATGCAGAGGAAGAATTCTGGGCAGCCCTGCTCAAACTCTCCGCCACCGTTATCTTCATGATCATCGCTGTTGTGCTTGTTTGTGGAGGTGGTCCATCCGATGGTCTCTACAACGAGTACTGGGGCGCCCGTCTTTGGCATAACCCTGGCGCTTTTCAACATGGTTTCCGTGGTTTCTGCGGTAAGTCTTGAGCATTCATATCCCTCTCGTTGTTCAGTATCTAATATCAACAGGTGTCTTCGTCACGGCTGCTTTCTCCTTCAGTGGAACCGAACTTGTCGGTCTGGCCGCCGCCGAAGCTCAGAACCCCGCTAAAGCCCTTCCCGGTGCCATCAAGCAAGTCTTTTGGCGAATCACCCTCTTCTACGTCGTCGGTCTCCTTCTTGTTGGATTTTTGGTCAGCTCTACCGATGAAAGACTGCTTAACTCTGGAAACAACGACCCAAGCGCATCTCCCTTTGTTATCGCCGCTTCTAACGCTAAACTTCACGGCTTCGACTCCTTCATGAACGTCATTATCCTGGTTTCCGTCCTGTCTATTGGTGTATCTTGTGTCTATGGTGGTAGCCGAACGCTAGTTGCCTTGTCGCAGCAGGGATACGCTCCCAAGTTCTTTTCCTTCATCGATAAGTCGGGCCGACCTCTTCCCGCGGTTGTATCTATCATCGCAATTGGTGCCCTTGGATACATTAGTGTCAACGGCGAGGGAAACACTGTTTTCGTCTGGTTGCAGGCTCTGTCCGGTCTGGCTGCCTTGTTCACTTGGGGCTCCATTTGCCTTTGCCATATCCGTTTCCGACAAGCCTGGAAATACCACGGCCACACTCTCGACGAAATCCCCTTCAAGCACGTTTTTGGTGTTTATGGATCTTGGGTCGGACTTATCCTCATTGTCATCGTTCTCATTGCACAATTCTACACCGCCATGACCAACATCGATGGATCTCTTGGTACTGCTGAGGGCTTCTTCCAGTCCTACCTGGCCATGCCTGTTGTGATTCTGTTCTACATCATCGGATACATCTGGAAGAGAGAGGGTTGGAGGAAGGTCAGTGAGATCGATCTGGATACTGGTCGTCGTGAGCATGATTGGGATACCATCAATGCTTACCGTGAGAAGCTTGCCAACGGTCCTGCCTGGAAGCGTGTCATGCATCACCTGTTCTAAGTAGCATATATGCCATGTGAGCTGGTGCCTCACATTGAGCCTCCGTCAATACAAGAAGCTTTGCGTTATAAATTGTCTGTGTGTCGCCAATGTGTGCGAAGTGATGTCTGCATGGAACCTACACAGACCTACCCATAGAGGCGCAAATCGATTCGCGTATATGTTCCGAGAGAGAAGTTGGCGTATTGGTTCTTGCCTGAAGACTATTATTGCGAATAAAACCCACAATTAATGAAGATAGATAGGTCTCTGGTGGGTTGGAAATCTGTAGTGGATGAAGACCTAGGTAACCATTGAGAATTGTGTTTAAATGCCAAACCCCCTGTAGACCAGCATTTTGCATAACTATGTTTCCGAGGGTGGCCGTATCGACGGTGCAAGCTTTCCTAACACCCACTGCTTTGCTTCTGTAAAACTTCAGGAGAAATGCCAAGTAGCGTATTACGTAGGATGTTCACGGGTCAAGGCAGATTGTTTCTGACCAATATCGGGATATGCAATGCATATCACGGCACTATTTGCAGTATCATAATGTGTTACGTGACCCCCGTGCTAACCACAAACATTGCAGGAGCCTTCTGTATCAATTAGCACAATCAACGGTCGAGGCCTGCCTTGTACATATCAGACAGAGAACAACCACATGCCTCGACGTTATTACCTTTTCTCCCTTGTAATCAGTGCTTTTCAGAACAGCCTAGGCGAAATTGTCTCTAGAAAGCTGGACTTGAAGTCGTTATGTTTTCTGTGGCTGAAGGCTTTCGGCACCGGAATCCCCTTGAGAGGGTTCTTTGAAATTGCTCGCATAGTTTGTTATTGCTCCAATCGACTGGTAACACATATGGATGGCGACGTCGTCTGATAAGAAGCTTTCAATATGGTATTTAACTAAGGAAAAGCCGAGCGGAATAGTATCGTAATCGGCGATATCGTACATTGGACCGAAAGAATGGTGTCTGCTAAACACCATAGACTTTAACTTTCGGTTCCCTTCCACTCGTTCCTTTCATCCTCTCGTCGGCATAATAGAGTGCCCAGTCCTTCAACCCATTGAGTTCAATTTGCGGTACCCACCCTTGCTTTTGCATGGTACGTATAGCGTCTATAGCCCATGTAACACAGCTCTGTTGCGGATGTGTATTCTTGACTGGCAGAGGAACTCTTTCAAAGACCTTTTTCAGGTCAGCACCCGAGACACCATCTGGAATTTGTCCAATAACGATACGTCCAAGGAGCTTAGCGCTAAGGTCAGGATTGACGTTTGGTTTATGTCGCATCCACCAGCCCATGGTAGGATTGTTCATGCGAAACGTGACAGGGTCGATATCAGATGCATCGGTGGCTTCGAAGGCATGGCAGTCTCGTCCGCTGCTTGGCTGGGGCGTAATGATAATGCCCCAGTGATAAGCCTCATGGCCAAAAATTCGCCGGGAGTTCCCACGGGAGAAATTAACCCGATCGTATAAAGCCAGAGCAACTAGTTGCACCATGGTGAAAGGCTAGGACAAAATGTCTATGAGCATTGTAATCTCTTTTTGTTGTCTCACCACTTACCGATTCGAGTGACAATTAAAATTGAGAAAGTTGTCTATGTCAGGACAATAGAGGAAGTAGACTCAAGTGAAGACAATTAACGGACTTGCAACTACGGTGACTTCTTACTCTTTATAAACTTGATAGTCGAGGACGAGGGAAGGCATGATGGCTACATTGCTGTATATCCCCCAAGTGGCCATCTTGCCTACAGGACCAAAGACCACAAGTCTGTTTGCTGACGACCTGCTCTTTCACCCAGCCAAGTTGCCGAGGGATCAGAACCTGGACGTTCGTAGTTGACTCCATCGCGGTACGATGTAGCCGGGGTGCCCGGCTCCGGCAATCTCCTCCATAGAATTCGTTCTGCCGCAAGCTCTGTTTCGTAAGAGGGGAGAGCGAGACGGAGGTACTTCTCCCAATCTTCTTCTGGGAAATTCAAATAGCTGTAGTGCGCTTTGGTGAACTCCCAATATTCGGGATACCATCCCGAATATGCCCAGTCAAGTATCACAGCAACACGCCCATGCCTCACAAGAATGTTTCTTGGGTTTAAATCTGCGTGGGTAAAGTGTGTCTGATAGCGACTTGTGTGCACTTTAGCCACCTCTTGACCAAGGAATTCTGCAACGTCTTCCATGCGTAAATGACCCCGTGTCAATGAAAGGAACTCGGTATGGTTCATAGGGCCGAAATATCGAGCTCCGATCCGGCCGTCAAAACTCGGATTTGAAAAAGCGGACGAAACTGTGTTTTGTGCTGGGGGTTGGAGCTCGCGAAGACAAGAAATATGCGTTTTGATATCGGCGAAGATGGCATCTCTTTCGCCTGTTGACAAGTGATCCCAGGCGCTCTCTAGTGGCTCGCCCTTAACATACTCCATCTCGATAAAGATACAGCCAGTCTCTTTTTCAGTGTGAATAGCGTGAATCCTAGGAATTGGAATGCGGGTATGCTGAGCCACAAATTGCATGGCCTCCACCTCTGGAGGGTCGCATGGTCCCTTGATGACGCGATGCCAGCTTACTCTTACTGTAGAATCACCAAGAGGACGAAAGAGCAAATTGCCGAGCCAGAGTCTCAGCCGTAATGGCAACAGTCGCAATGGCAACAGGGTCCCGATTGCTTGACCCATGAGTGTAGGAATTTGAGTTGACCGAGATGGTCTAAGAAACGATGGGTTTACGGAAAGTTTTTATTGCTCAAGTGGCGTGACGTGCCGTCTTCTGATTGGTCATGATATATCCCCAAGTCGTAATGCGGGTCATACGCGTCCCTTACGCGTCTCACCCCTCCTCGCGCTTTTCTGGGCAAGACCAGCAAAAGACCAGCGCTTTCAGAAGGACTATTTCCAGAGATTGCCGGTTTTCTCTCGTCAGGCTGAGCACTGTCGACTTCGGCGCATGTAGATAATGTGCTCCTACATTTGATTGACTACGATTTGTGGGCATCTTCAGATGTGTCACCGTTAAGTCCTAAACTGTACTCGTACTCCAACACGCCCATGACATTATATACGCTCGAGAGTAAACGAGGAATGTATCTTTGATGAGTGGCATTACCTTCTTCAGATATGAGTTCGGCGTCGTATGTCCTATATCGTAACGAGAATCGACGTACATCAAGTGGCTCAAAGGGGAGAAACTGAGATTTGAAACTGGGTGAATTCCTTGGCCAGAATGATAATATGTCGTCACCTTCGATAAGTACCAGGTCTAGTATGTATGGTGAACGATTCAAAGTCGAAGACTATTTCCCGCCGTGCACTAAAGAATTGTACCATACACTGGTTAGGTCAGTCTACTCAGTCGCCAGCTGTGTCTTACCGCAGCCCCCAAAGCCAACCAGCGCAAACCTTGTCAGTCTTCTAGGGGTATCACTTTCAAGCACTGCAGTTATTTGTTTCACGCACCGTGGCCGTAAGGAGAATGGTGTGTTGCAGCAGCAAGTGATACGACGGTAAAACAGGACGAGTTTAGTTCATCAGATGCTCGGACCGAGGATGACCTCTGCTAAACCCCTGAGTCTGGGATGCTGACACCGAGGCATTCGGATAGAGCTGAATCAGTACTGTGTTCAAGTAAATATATGTCATGCTACACAAGAAGCTAAGCAATAAGCACTAACTCGAGGACCTTTGAGAGATCCTTGAACGGAAACTTTTGAGAAAGGTCGGACACATACCTTGAGAGCCGGACACATAAGCACTCAGCCCAGTGGAGACCGAATGCAAGAGAATGAGTGTCATCATGCTCAACAGTGTCGTAGTATAAGATAACCACGATGTGAGTCTCTCCTTCTCTGTCACTCAAACTTGACATCTTCACTCACTTACAATTATGCCTTCAGACGACTTCGAATATCCCTGGGAGATCAAGAGCGAGGTAGAGCGCCTCCAGAAGCAATATGCTTGGATCCAGAAATGTATCGACAACAAACTAGTCTTTGCACCTGTGCCACTGGACACAGAGGGCCTTAAAGTTCTCGATGTGGGATGCGCTGACGGTAAGTCAAATCAACCCACACCCCGGATCCATTACTGAGGCAGCATTTTTAGGAACTCTCCTTCGAGACTTGAAAAAGCAAGTCGCCCCATCTGCCCGGCTCGTCGGTGTAGATGTTGTTGATGCATTCTTGCCCCCTTCTGAAGAAGGGCTGCGATATGAGCTCTATGATCTTTGTGAAGAAGCAAGAGGAAAGCTCACCGGGGCTTTTGATCTTACGCACGTGAGATTTGTCCTTCCTGGAGCTGCCAAAGTGGGATATCAGAAAGCAGTTGATCATCTTGCTGGTGAGTGCTGGTCTACTGGGTCTGATTTACGACAGTTATACTGACGGTGAACACCAAAGCTACGCTTGCACCTGGAGGTTGGTTGCAAGTACATGAGATGGATTTTGATCTACAGGATAAGCCGAGCGTCGGTCCAGCTTTGAAAGACGTCTGTAAGCTCTTTTCTGGCGTGTTCAAAGCCATGGGCATGACTTACGACCTTGTTGGAGAGCTCCCTGGTGCTTTCAAGGCGGCTGGACTTGAGAATAACTCGACCGAAATTGTTGAGCTTCCGATGGGTAAGCTTCTAGGTGACGAGGAAGCTATCGAAATGTCCTTGCAACCTTTTCTTCTTACAATCCCCAGCTTAATCGAGGGCGCTAAAGGTCAGTTTATATATGTCGATTGAACTATTCACCGCTAACAGAACCAGGTCTCAAAGCTGATGTCCCCGAGTCGGTGCTTAAGAATTTGCCAGAGAGATTTGAGAAGGAGATCCGGGAGCAGGGCGGCGTTTTCTACACGAAGGTTATTATGGGTCAGAAGCCAGTCTAAGCTTGTATCATTGTATCTGAACTGGTGTATACTGGAACAGACCTTCTTTCTTGTCCATAACCTCGGTAGTCAGCCTCTTGAGAAGCATTGGTCGGAGCAACATTAGCACATGCGCGCATTATGATAAATGTTCCTTATAAATCTCGCCGTAAGAAGTTACTAAATCCATCGATGTCACCTGAAGTATCCGCACGAATAAGCATAACCCTCAACAATTCGATCATCATGAATGCCAAGCCTGTCAGGCTGAGAGTCGCCCTGCGATTCCCCGCAAACAGGTTCGCCAATATGAGGGGATGCTCTAGCGGCCCGAAATGCCGACGGCTAAAACGACCAGGATATCGTAAGCGATCCAGAATTTTGGAACCTTTATATACCTGGCAGTTTCTGACAGATAGTTCTTGTGATTGTTTGCTAAACATACTGAAAGAATGGCTGAGAAAGATTTTGTTGATGTTAAAGCTCTTTTGAGCGAGCTCACGCTGGGTGAGAAGGTGGACCTTCTTGCTGGGCAGGGCTCATTTCGCATGACGGGGCTTGATAAGCATGGGATTCCGGCTCTCATTGTAGGTTTATGAGATGAGTCGGTGAGAGGCAAAGCTGACAGAGCAGACTTCAGATGGACCCCATGGAATTAGAGGGAAACGATCATTCAAACGCGTAAGCGACCCAGGAATGATCATGACCAGCGAATTAACAAGCTCCTAGATGCCGAGTCCCATGATGCCATCGGCTACAGGAATGGGCGCGACCTTCAACACAGAGCTCATTCACAAAATTGGCAGTCTTCTAGGCGAGGAAGCAAAGCACCGCGGTGTCCACGTCTTGCTAGCACCCACACTTTGTCTCCAGCGCTCACCTCTTATCGGACGTGGCTTTGAGGCCTTCGGTGAAGATCCTTTTCTCAGCGGTACTTTGGGTGCGCATTACATCAACGGTGTGCAAGAGCATGGCGTTGGAACTAGTGTTAAGCACTATGCGGCTCACGATCAATCTGATAACAGTATCGAGGATAACGTGGTCATGACGGAGAGAACGCTTCGAGAGGTGCACATGCTGCCTTTCCAACTTGCACTCCGAGGCTCAGATCCTTGGACGATCATGACTTCATACAACAAGATCAACGGCATTCACGTCAGCGAGGATCCTTTACTGATGAAGGAGATTCTTCGCGAGGAGTGGGGATACAAAGGCCTTGTTATGAGTGATTGGTTCGGCACTTATAGCACATCAGAAGCTATCAACGCTGGCTTAGATCTCGAGATGCCTGGACCAACAGACTGGAGAGGAAAGTGCCTCAGCATCGCCGTCAACACACGAAAGGTCACCCAAGCGACGGTCGACCAGTCAGTCGAGAACGTTTTGAACCTAATCAACAAGTGTAAAGCTGGAGAGGTGTCGGGGAAGCCTCCTCAATCCGACACACCCGAACAACGAGCCTTGATTCGACAGCTTGTTGCTGAGTCAGTCGTGCTTTTGAAGAATGACAAGGAAAGATTGCCTATCAAGAATCCCGAGAAGTTAAAGTATGGACTTATTGGAGATCATGTGAAGAACCCTTCTCTTTGTGGCGGTGGCAGTGCTGAGGTTGAGCCTTATTATGGTATCACTCCATACGAAGCCATCAAGGAGGTAGTCGGAGAAGAGAACATCACCTATACCCCAGGCTGCAACTGTAAGTTTAGATAACCTCATAGTCAGGATGAACCCGCTAACGGTGTCTTAGCCTTCCGATTCAGCCCAATCATCAAAGGTCACAGAACTCCAGATGACAAGACAGAAGGTTGGCACGTGGACATCTTCGCGGAGGATCCAGAAGAGAACAAAGACTCCAAAGCTATCGTCTCTGTTACCGCGGAGAAACAACTCGTCGATACCCCTGAAAGCTACCACTCGACCCTCCCCACAAAGTTCTACGTCAAGGCCAACTCAAAGTATACGATTCCAGAATCTGGAAGTCTCAAGTTCGGTTTCAGTACCTCCGGAAAGGGTAAGTTCTACATTGACGGCAAGGAGGTCATCGATCAATGGACGAGCCAGCTCCCCAAGACGGACTCGACACCTTGCTTCAACCGTGTTTGTATGGAGAAGTTCTACGAGGGGAACTTTGAAAAGGGACAGGTTCTTGATCTTCAGGTTGTCCAGGTCAATGAGAATGTGTCGGGCGGTGTTGGAACTGCGCAGACACTCGTGGGGCGTGTCGGTATTTTTGAGCTCTACGATGAGGATCAAGGTATCAAGGACGCTGTAGAGGTCGCGAAGAAGGTTGATGTGCCTATTGTCATCACGGGACTTTCTTCGGACTTTGAGTATGAGGGTAGTGACCGAAAGCACTTGAGATTGCCCGGTCGGGTGGACGAACTAATTGGCGCTGTCTTGGAAGCCAATCCCAATGCTGTGAGTTAATAATCCATCTAGTAGTGACCAGGGCTGTATGACTGACACATATTTTAGATCATCATTACCCAATCTGGACTTCCAATCGAGATGCCTTGGGTGTCACAGGCTTCTACCCTTCTACATGCCTGGTTCGGTGGCCAAGAATGTGGTCACGGAATGTCTGATGTTCTTTTCGGCAAGGTTAACCCGTCTGGGCGACTATCTTTGACATTCCCCAAGTCCATCAAGCATACACCAGCATATCTTACCTTCTCCAAGGCCGATTACGATATTGTGTACGGAGAAGGAGTCTTCATCGGTCACCGATACTACGAGATGGTCGACCGAGAGCCACTCTTCTACTTCGGCCACGGTCTCTCATACTCTACATTTACTTACTCGAACCTCAACGTACCCAAGGAATTTGAGTCTTCCGTCGACCATCAAATGCAAGTTAGTGTAGATGTGACGAACAAGGGTCAATACTCAGGACCAGAGGTTGTGCAGCTTTACATCCACCAAGCCGCTAGCACTCTTCAACGGCCGATCAGAGAACTCAAGGCATTCAACAAGGTGTACTTGGATGTCGATGAGACCAAGAAGGTGGATCTGACGCTTGATAAATACTCCGTATCCGTTTGGGATCAGGAGACACATAAGTGGAAGGCTGAGGCGGGAACATACACTGTTATCCTTGCTTCAAGCTCAAATCCCAAGGATGAGATTCAGCGGGCAGACTTTGTGCTTAATGAGACTTTCTACTGGAAGGGCCTGTAAGAAGTGAGTCTTTTTACTTAGTATACAGGTAGTGGTACCAGAATAGACTTGAAACAAAATGGATATTATATACAAAGAACGTAAATCTATCTAGGACTGTACATGACTTCTGTCGTAGAGACGATCTCAATCCCGTCGGGCTTGCCTGGTCTCTGGAACCTCGAGTTACTTCTTCCCATTCCGACACTGGCTCCCGGCCCAGAGACTAGAACCTGGTGATTCCCATTAGGATTCCCATTATCGAAGCTATTCTGCTGCTTGGGCCAAAGCGTAACCTCGTCATCATCCCCAACCTTTCTTCCAGATTCCGAGTCGTCGCCGGATTGGAGCTCGATAGCATCGGCTTGCTTGCGGCTGAGTTGACGTCGGCTGTTGCCCAAGGCATGAGATCCGCCAGTGTTTCCAGAAGGACCGTAGCTGGCGCCGTGGCTGGTGAATAGGTGTGGTAGAATGCGCTTGAAGAACGGCTTCAGAGAACTGGCGGACGCACAGATGACGCAACCTGTGAGTTCGGCGTACATCCAGCATAGTTCGTATGCCAGGCCCCAGGTGTAGTTGGGGCTGCTGAACAGCTTGACGGTGAGGATGCAGTTATAGATAGCGACGATAATCACGCTAGAAATGTCAGTATCTTCATATACTTATCGCAGGCTGGTTACTCACAAGCCACCAGTGGTGAAGAGAAACAGCAGCGACATCTTCTGTCGACGAGGAATCTGTAGTGGAATAACAATCCGTAGAGGGAGTAGAAGGATAACCAGATCCATAACAACATTCGCCACGGAAGCTGCCAAGAAGAACCCGAACTTGTCGATACATTTTCCTGTCGCCTGTGCCGCAAGATCCCAAGACGCCTTGATAGGCTGGCAACCGAACAAACTGATCATAGCGTAGATAAGTCCATATAGAGCGAAGAGGCTGATCAGGACGTAAATTATCATTCGGAAGTTTCGTTCGGGCGAGAGGCGTAGGTAGAAGAAGAGAAGGGAAATCTTGGCGAGATCGGAGGAGAGCATGTAGAAGATGTTGACTGGGATCGTCCACTAGGGAATATTAGATGTGGTAGTGGTGTTGCTTGATGGCTGAACGTACCTTGAGGAGAGCTTCGTATTGGGATTGTCTGACTTGCCAGAAGTTCGTAGCACAACCACCCTGAGCAACCACTATTCGTGTGAGTATAACGTTATCCATCGATGGTGGGTTGACTTACTGCCCATGGTACATGCATAGAATGCCCAGCATGCCACTAACGAAGCGCCAGTGAGGACTGATAACAGTTAGCTTTGATGACATCCCCGGTCACAGAAGGATCAAACTCACGATCATCTAGACGAAGAGCATTCTTCTGTAGTCGCACTCTCGTCAAGATCCTCAGTCCATAAATAACCGTTGCAAGCGTAAACAGACACGCTCCCAGAATAATCTGTACCGTAGCTCTACTACCGGCATCCCATCTGTCCTGGTTACCAGGCGGCTCCATCATAAACGGGTCGGTGTCCATGGCGAAGAATGCTCAAGCTGAGCCCAGCGAATTCGAGTATGGAGATGTATAACGTTGAGGAGAGGACACTACTTTGGGATGCTGCAGTTCGATATTAAAACACACAAAAGGCCATCGAGTTCCCCTTATTTTCCATCGGGAGGGAGCCGTTAATTAAGTTACGGGACGAGAAGGGAGATCTGCAAAGTCATGCCCTATTTGCTTTTTCACAATCATATGAGGAGCCGTTGTACATGTTTTTTTCTTTGACTCCACCTCATCAGGGATTGGCTTCCATTTGTACATCCCGGCAATAGCAGACCTGAAGAAGGGATTGGAAAGGTCTTGTCCGTAGCCGAGACTTATGCTTGCTTGTTCTGGCGTAAGAGAGTGAGACAAGAGGAACTTTCTTTCCAGAAGGTGCGTCTCAGGGTCCAACTCATCAATGCAAATTTCTTTTTCTCCTTTGGAATCCATCGTGATTCGTCCAGGACCTGCATGTTCTCTCTTCCTGATTTCAAAGATCCACTATGGCCTGAGCCAAGACTGTAGGATTTCTGGCCATGCGTTGAGTTAATGCAACTCTCGGTTGTTGACGATTTCCGGAAATATTCCCCCATCGACCTTGTCGATCCGTAACCGAACGTGGACCTGAGCCGTTATTGTGAGATGGGCACTTGCGTCAGGAACAGCAGGGCTGATGTTTATCCGGAGGATTGTTGGTTTCGCCCTCGGGGAAGCTTGGTAACCTTGTTGCCATCATGTTAACCTGGCAGCATTCACATGTGCGTATCTACCAACATGCAGGATGCATGAGTTATCACTGCGGGTACATCACGACGTCTCGTCACAGTAGCAATCCATTTGTTTTTTCCCGTGTCCCCTCGCAATATTCAACTTGTTTTGAAAATTTCAGCTCTTCAACTTTTCACGATACATCACTTTCCTTGCTTTGTCCAATGCAACTCGAAAATGACCTTCTTTGCTCTCATTTGCCCGGTTATACGGGCCCTGTTTCCACCGGAGGTAAGAGACGACAAGTGGTCCCCGCGTTGTGGGATTAGGATTCTTATCCTTGTCATAAGATCCACCAAAATTCCTTTTCGTGTTCCATCAGGACACTCGGCTGGCAATAAAGCTCAGACAATCACGGCCCGGAGCGTAAGTTTAAATGCGACCGTTGCGTTCTGCCCAACGCTAAGTTAATTCAATGCAACTGGTAGAAAGCGTAACGGTCAATTATCTTTCTCTCTATCTTCTCAACTAGTATGCAATTGAGAGAACAAGAGGATCCTCGTTTCCCCCCTATGCAAGGCCCGCAGCATACAAGCAAAGGCATTGGCCAAGATACCAAGTCCTTGTCACCCCCTGCAGCGTTCAGCTTCCTACATCCAGCGGAATGTAACTCTACAGGACCGGTAGGGATCAAGTTGACCCGATACCAAGGAAAGGATCCTTCCTTTTCGAAACGAAATCCGCTGCAGATGCGTCAAGCGAGATGCACTGACGCGCAAGAGTCTCTCCCATGGCACCGGAAGCGATATCCCCTCGGGGAAAGAGACAACGTCCCGACTCAGCATTCTTCCTGGTTGTTGATGATCTTGAGTCGAGATGACAAGGATTGCCCGTATCCATACCAAGGGGATGGGCTACCGTTGAAACCGTTGGCGAACTCCCCCATGCTTGTTCTGACCCTTACCAACGGAATTAAACCTCGGACCACTAAAGCTTGGCTTGTCTGAAGGTAACATTGACTCGCCTATATAATCTCTACCACAAAGTACTCCGTACAATCATCCGATCCCAAAAAGTAGCATTCTTCCATAACAATTTTTTAATACTCTAAAAATGGCAAACCCATACCCCTTTCAAGACAAGGTCATTGTCGTCTCTGGCGCCAGCCGAGGCTCTGGCTTGGCCCTCTCGCGATACCTCCTCACCCGTGGTGCCAAGGTGTCTATGGCAGCTACTTCTGAGGAGAACCTGAAGAGGGCCATCGCTGGCATCGAGCAAGATATTCCTGATGTTAAGGATCGTGTCATTTACTTCCCTACCGATGTCACCAAGCCTGATGATGTCAAGGCTTGGATCGAGGGCACAGTTGCCAAATGGGGTGAAGTGGACGGCGCCGCCAACGTCGCAGGTAAGATGAAACGTCCAGCAAATGAGTAATTAAGGTTCTGACACATCATGCAGCCAAGATGAACAAGAGCATTCATCCCATCGAGGATCTTGATCTTGATGAATTGAAGGAGATGCTTGACGTCAATGTCATCGGTACCTTCAACTGTATCAAGTATGAGATGAAGAACATGAAGCCTGGAGGCAGCATTGTCAACTGCGGTAGCCAACAGGTCAAGTACGCTTCTGGAAACATGGGAGCCTACGCCGCTTCCAAGAATGCTATTCGCGGCTTGAGTCAATCTGCTGCGTATGAAGGTGGCGCAAAGTACCCCAAGAACCCCATCCGAGTCAACCTTCTATGCCCGTAAGTCAACCCATATTATATTTACTGATTCTATCCACTGACATCGTCCAGTGGATGTATCGACACAGACATGATCAAGCAGCCTCTCCATTTGCCCAACGGTACAACATGGACCATGACTGAGGATGATAACTTGACATCCATTATCAAGCGATACTCCAAGCCTGAGGAGATCGCTGCTTCTATTGCTTTCTTGTTGGGAGATGAGAGCAAGTTTATGACCAAGCAGGAGATTTATGTTGATGGTGGTTGGATGGAGGCCAACTATGTTGGATAAATGTGCATAATATTAGCATAAAGAAACATAATTAGACAATCAGTTTATCGATACGCGATAAGGAATTTACCGAGAACAAGTCTGCATAACTGTAGCATAGTTGGAATTGTGCTATCTGGATATCGATAAGTGATAAGGCCCTTTCTGGACTAGCGTCTGTCATGGTGACGTGCCATCTTTTTAACATTTTGAAGGCCAATTTTCAAATCGTGCAGTTCAGCGCCATAGGGTAGCTTGTGTAGTAATAGAAGCACAACAAATCCATGAGCAAGATCTGAACCCAACATGTAGGTTGCATCTGTGATCTGATCGTTATAAAACTATCAAGCGTCTTATTCTAGCAAAAAGTTGATTTGTCAGTTAATGAACGCCGGACCTTTAGTATCTTGGAGCATGATACTCTTTTCTTACATCGTCAAATTTTGCTCTTGCCGAAATAGGAAAGTGCACAACTTGGCAACTCGAGTTACCACACTGTTATTCACCATAGCTTATGGTAAACCATAAGACCTTCAATCCATCTTCTTTACTATTACTCGATATGGAAAGAGCATATCTTGGCCTATGAACGAATCTTCAATATGATTGTTAAGCATTGCATCCGATTGTGATATTTAAGAAGGCGTCAATTCTGTTTGAACTCATCTCACCATCACAATCACTTTCATTTCATCTCTTATCATTTTGACACTCGCCAAATACTCATAATGGAACCCAAGAATACTTTCAAAATTATTCTCGGAGCTGCACCAGTAAGAAGAGCGACAGCCATGCCAACGCTTCCAAGACTAATAACGATCTACAGATTGGTGACAATGCCGTCGACACTATGGCACGCTTCTCTACCCCAGACGAAGTGAATGGCTTCCTAAACGTCTTCGCTAAGCATGGCTACGACGAGATTGACACTGCTGCCGTTTACTCCCCTGGAGCTCCTTACACGTCCGAGCCCAGAATTGGCGCCGTCTCAGCAGGTGATCGGTTCAAGATCGACACCAAAGCCGATTGGTTCCAAGGACACACGAAGGAGAGTGTGTCGCGCGACATTGATAACTCCCTCAAGAACTTAAAGGTTGATCAGATCAATCTTTACTACCTTCAGCTCCCTGAGCGCAAATACCCACTTGAGCCCGTTCTTGAGACTCTCAACCAGGCGCATAAAGATGGGAAGATCAAGGCCTGGGGCATCTCGAATTATCGCGCGGATGAAGTTCAAAAGACACTCGATATTTGCGAAGAACATGGATTTGTCAAGCCGAGCGTGTACCAAGGTCACTACAACCCAATTGTTCGTGGTGGCGAAAAGGAATTGTTCCCTCTCCTACGCAAGCATGGTATCGCGTTTTACTGCTACAGTCCTGCCGCGGGTGGCTTTTTCGCCCAGAAGCATAAAAACCCCGACCCAGTGTCGCGATTTGCAGGCTTGGTAAGTATTGCGACAGAGGTCTCGGAGATAAAAAGCTAACTATCACGCGTGTTAGACGCCCGTTGGAAGCGTGTACGTTGGCATGTACGTCAAGCAGTCAATTGAAAGCGCTGTGGAGAAATCGCTACAGGTGGCGGCCAAGTACGACATCAAGGGCCACGCGGCGGCGCTTCGATGGACGGCTCATCACAGCATTTTGAAGGCGGAATATGGCGATGGCATTGTTATCGGTGCGTCGAGCTTGGAACAGCTTGAGAGCAATCTCAGTACGATTGAAGAGGGTCCATTGCCTGATGAGGTAGCGGCTGCGATTGATCAAGTCTACGCAGAGGTTGGAGACGAAATCGCGTACCATCTGTAGGCTAGAACAGACAGCCAATCATATGAGGACGAATGAGTTTGTCATGGTACACTAGGCTCAATAGAGTAGGAGCACTTCTTGGCAAAGATCACTGAGCTGACTCGACTCGACTCGGGCGCTGACAAATTGGCCTGAACAATTGAAGTTGGCTGCGCATCATTAATTGGGAGGACGTCTCGGTATTCATAACAATAAATACACTCTCAACAAGCAATTCGGAAATTCTTTCCAGCGAGTATATCCATGGATTTTATTGTTGTAACGGATCCCGGCCAGCGCGCCTCGGCCAAGACGAGCCGCCGAGTCCATGCTCATGCCGCCCGAGTGGCTCATGCGAGATCACGGAGGAGACATATGGCCGAGTACAATAAGACCAAGGCAAATCTTGAGCAATGTGATACAGATCAAGTGACCAGAGATAACTCAAAACCAAATGATACACCACCCAAGTCGCAAGATCCATTACCGCCGATACCGCGCAATTTGGTTGGAGATCTGGAGCCAGACGGCATCTCACGTTTCCGACAGAATCTCTCGCCTTTGGAACACTTCATCTTCGATCACTGTAAGTCGATTTAGAGTGAATATCTAATTCCCGAAGTCACTAAGACGAGCCGTAGATATCCAAACTGTCCTACCCGCACAAATCTCTTACTGTCCCATAGTCATGGGTCTGAAAGAGAAAGTCATAGATATACGAAGCCACTGGATGTTCTTCATATCCAGTGATCCTATTATCTTGCGAGGGTTCTTGTTAGCTGCTTGTCGCCATTTATCACTTGTCGACCTGCAGGATCAGTACGATGATATGGCTATCAAGTACAAGTTATCTTATCTGCAAGGACTGCAAAAATGCATGTTCGTCGACAAACCTTCATCGCGTCGGGAAGCTGTGTCGATGACCACAGTGCTGGCCTTTGACGAGGTAAGGCGCCCCTGTCAAGAAGACTTCATTCACGATGACAGAGATATTTACGCCGAATAGGTGATATGTGGAAATCACACGCTGGCTGCGAAGCATGTACTGGGAGCTGTCAACATGATCGAACAAGCCGGAGGCATACAAGCTTTGGAATTGAACAACGTGGTCCGATACATCCTTTGCAGTCTACTCTACGGCAAAAGACTTGTAGATCGTGATAGAGATCTGTATCTCACGACGAAGTTTTTGACGCCTGACTCCATATGGCCATAGCATAATACCATCACGAAATTAATCTCTCAGAAATAAAATCAATACATTCCCTGTATCCCTCAATCTACCGATCGCGAGTTGAATTCAGGGTAAACTTCGTTGTGACGAGTTCCGTAGTACAGATCTCGCCGCCCTCGGTATTGGTGGCGGTTGTGTAACCCTAACAGCAATTTGGATCGGTATGCAGTAAGCTAAGCGAATAACGTACTCAAGGTTAAAAAAATGCATAGTTGTTTATTTGGGCAGACTGGGGTGGCGGTAAGACATTTCCTTATTAAGGATCGTGTAAGACCTTTTGATATGTTTACTGAACCACAAATTGCCGCGAGATCCTTGCGAAGGCGAGGAGCCGATCTCCAAGGGACCAGTTTGTCTCCTTCGAGTCAATCTAAAGTCTGGTTATGTGGTTAGATTGGTGGGTTTCATGAGTATACTGTCTTGTGTTATCGGCCTCAATTTGGTGAAGGATGCAGACAAGCTTTACTCAACCACTACAAAACATTCATAGAGAAACAACATCTCACGATAATCTAGCGGTCGGGAGTTTGAAATGAGATGGCTGGTCTCAAATTTCCCTACGGTCATTTTGTGCCGTCTCAAAGGGATGCAGAATTGTTTGTCTTAAACATGGGCAAAGCTTATACGCTGGACTAGTTCAGCCTGCAAGCCAACGAGTCTGGGCATCGGCCTGCGGCAAGTCAAAATCCACTCTAGGTATGAAGTTGGATGAGTCCAGAGAGTCTAATTGGATCTTTACTGAGGAAAGGTTGTGACTAAGGCGAGGTTCCGAGACAATGTCTCATCCAGCCCTTCTTTCACCAACTGTCAACTTTGGCGGTGAAATGCCCTTTGAAGGCTGAGATGAACCTCCGAGGCCAAGAAAAAGATCCCTTGACCTCCTATTGTGAATGAGTCCGGTGTTCTGGATCATTCATCCATCCCTTCAAGCATTGGTTTGCCAAGCCGGCTACCATAAAAATATCCGTGTCTAATTCCGCAACAATATTACCACATTCTTTACCCAGATACGAAGGTCAGCTGTGACGCTAAACAAATATGCATAATTGAAACATTTGTGAGGGGCTTGTCTCTCCCGTTGTCAGTACCAGACCGCCTTCCTCTGGTAATCCGATCTGGGGGAATATCGAATTTCCCCAATTCCAAACCTCCCTTCCCCAGATTCCAGAACAGACTATCGTGTCTAGTTTGAGGGAAAAGAAGGGCCCCAACGGACATTAGCTCCTTAGCATAGAGACTCAAGGGGTTTCTGAGATAGAAAATTGAGTATAAGAAGACGCTCAACTCCCACTCCAAATCAGTTCTTCAGCTCAACCAGCATCACTCTTTTACAGCTCGGTTGCACTCGACACTCTTTACTAACCCAACTATCTATTCACTCTTTAATTGTTTTTGTTTTTTTATCCAACTTAATACACTCTCTTTTTCTGTGTCTCGATCTATCAAGATGAGATACTCCAACACTCTGTCCGGTCTTCTGACCGTGGCCATGGGCTCTGGTGCTCTGGCTCAGATGACTCCTGGTTCCACCACTGAGGACTTCACCACCACCACTGGTGGCATGAACGTCCCCACCTCGGTCACCACTGTCCTCCCCGACACCGTCACTGACACCACCACCATGACCCTGACCACCATGGTCAAGCCCACCAAGACCGCCAGCCCCGAGGTCTGCGCCTACGAGTGTGTCACCGTTTACGACGAGTGCTGCGCCATCCCCGGTGCTGACATCGCTGTCTGCAAGGAGAGCTACACCGTCTGCCTTGGCTTCAACCCCTTCGACGTCCACCCCTACGTCAAGCCCGCCGCCTGCAAGCACGACTCCTACCCTCCCAAGCATGAGGGTGGCAAGTGCAGCATCGGAAGCGGAAGCTGCTTCACTCCTGAGATTTGCGGTTACGAATGTACCACTGTCTACGATGAGTGCTGCTCCTACCCCGGTGCCGACATCGCTGTCTGCAAGTCCTCTTACACTGTCTGTCTCGGTTACAACCCTCTCGACTCCAAGCCCTCCACCTGCAAGCACGACAAGCAGTACTACATCGACTTCGAGTACAAGCACGACGAGAGCTACTTCTACGAGAAGTACAGCTCTCACTACGAGACTGGCCACTACTCTTCTTCTTCTTCTTCTTACCACAAGGGTTACTACACTGCCGAATACTGCTGCCTCGAGTGCACCACCATCTACGATGAGTGCTGTGCTGTCCCTGGTGCCGATATCGCCATCTGCAAGGAGAAGTACACTGTCTGCCTTGGTTACAGCCCCTTCGATGTCCACCCTTGGGTTGAGCCTTCTGTCTGCAAGCACGAGGAGTCCTACTACAAGGAGTACGAGAGCAAGCACGGCGAGGACTACTACAACTCCAAGTACGACAGCTACGGCAAGAAGGAGGTCAAGTACACTGATGAGGAGTGCTGCTTTGAGTGCACAACTGTCTACGATGAGTGCTGCGCTATCCCTGGTGCTGATATCGCTATCTGCAAGGAGGAGTACACTGTCTGCCTTGGTTACAGCCCCTTCGATGTCACCCCCTTCGTGAAGCCTACCGTTTGCAAGACCGGCGGCTCTGGCTACAACTCCAAGGGTAACAACAAGGGCGACTACTCCAACAAGGGTGACTACTCCAAGCACGGTTCCGACGAGGAGTGCTGCGTCGAGTGCACCACCGTCTACGATGAATGCTGCATTGTCCCCGGTGCTGATGTCGAGATCTGCAAGAAGGAGTACACTGTCTGCCTTGGTTACAGCCCCTTCGATGTCACCCCCTACGTCAAGCCTACTGTCTGCAAGCACGGAGACAACCACGGTTCCGACTCCAAGGGTAACAACAAGGGTGACTACTCCAAGGACAACTCCAAGTCTGGCTCTGAGGAGGAGTGCTGTGTCCAGTGCACCACTGTCTACGACGAGTGCTGCTCCATTGACGGCCACGACATCGAGACCTGCAAGTCCGAGTACACTGTCTGCCTTGGCTACAACCCCTTCGATGTTACCCCCTTCGTCAAGCCCACTGTCTGCAAGCACGGAGACAACCACGGATCTGACTCCAAGGGTAACAACAACAAGGGTGACGACTACTCCAAGACTGGTGGTGACTCCAAGGGTGACGACTACTCCAAGACTGGCGGTGACTCCAAGGGTGACGACTACTCCAAGACCGGTGGTGACTCCAAGGGCAACAACAAGGGCGATGAGGAGTGCGCTGTTTCTTGCACCACTGTCTACAAGGCCTGCTGTGACGCTTCTGGTGCTATCCTCGAGACTTGCAACGAGGCTTACACCGTCTGCCTTGGCTACAACCCCTTCGACTCCCACCCTTACGTCGAGCCCAGTGTCTGCAAGCACGACAAGCCCTCTCACGATGATGTTGTCATTGTCTCTGGTGGTGAGCGTGTCCGCCCCGTCCTGGCTCTCCTTGCCATCGGTGCCGTCGCTCTGCTCTGTTAGTACCCCCTCTCACCCCCAACGTGACCTCATACTAACCTGTATACAGAAATGCATCGTGTCTAACTAGCGCACGCACATTTTTCGCTTCGACGTTCTATTACACACTCCGTTGCACTTGGGGCTGTCCGCGACTTTCTCTTCTTACTTTCTCAGTGGGCTGTCTGTTCTGCGCAGTGGGGGTTTTTAAACTATTATCATTTCATGATCTTATGTTTTATGGGTGCTTTTCGCCGGGGGTATAATCTTGGCATAAAATAGTTCACGATAGACACGTATGTAATATCGACGACTGGATAGAGATTCTCTGGATGATGGGGGTTTATTGGGGGGGACTTTGGGGGACTAGTACATGTATTCCATAGTCCGTTCTAGACTCTGTTTCCAGAGGTCAATTTACTTCTCTGTCAACTACTTGATTTGTTCAAAGATGACGTGACTTTTGTTTCTCTTTGATTGCTCATGAAGATCCTCGTTCTATTTCTATAATTGTCTGTCCTTGCTCAAAGTTTGTCAAATGTAACTATAACGTTCAGCAAAGTGGCAGATCAGTTCTGAGTTTTGACTTTCACAATGTACCTGGCCTTAATTTCCAGTGGCCCTGTAAGAAACAGTGGAGGAATTACGGCATTTGGAGGAGCATGAAACTTGTGTACCCCGGATTCACTGATGTGCATACGGAAAAGATTAATCCATCGAATGGAACGTCGCGTGCATGTTCTGGACCTGACATCAAATAGATCGATATAGGCCTGCTATGCTTATTTGAGTTACTCAATCTGTGGAAACGGCAGATGACTTGAAACGGCTGAAACCAACAGCGGAGGTTTACCTTCCGGGGTAGCAGGCTAAGCTCAACACTAACACACGATGGACCCTTGCTAGAAGAGCTCGTATTTTCAAAGACCAGGTTAATTCCACCAATCATTCGAACCAGACAACAGTAAAGTTAAGGTTCAAGGCTGCAATGAATCTACATGAAGCGATCCAAACATGGGGTTTGATGGATATATAAGTACTACACTGTAGGCATTCCTTATTGTCACTTTGGACTCACCATTGGCTTGTCTCAATCGTCCTTGTACACATCACAATGAAGCTTCTTGCAACTTTGAACTTCGTCGCTGCGGCGCTGGCTGCCAGTCGAACGACTGCACCAGCCGGATGTATCACCGTCAAGAAGGGCGGTCAATTCGGCACCATCCAGTCAGCTGTCAACTCTCTTTCCACCACTGCGACCGGAACTCAATGCATCTTCATCGACCAAGGTACCTACAATGAGCAGGTCCTTGTTCCTGCTCGCAAAGCCCAACTGACTATGTACGGATACACCACCGATACGAGCGGCTACGCTGGCAACAAGGTTACCATCACTGCGCGAAAGAGCCAGGCTGATGGTCTCAACAATGATGGAAGTGCAACGCTTCGTGTCAAAGCTGCCAACTTTAAGCTTTACAACGTCAACGTTGCCAATACCTATGGAAAGGGTAGCCAGGCTGTCGCTCTGAGCGCTTACGCTGACAGTGGTTACTAGTAAGTGCTTTGTGACAGGTGCCGAGGAGTATTGCTAATTCTTTTGCAGCGGCGTTGCCCTCACCGGATTCCAGGATACCCTCCTCGCCAACGAGGGATACCAACTGTACTCCAAGTGCATGATCGCCGGTGCTACCGACTTCATCTTTGGCCAGCGCGCTTCCGTATGGTTCGAGAAGACCGATCTTCGCGTTGTCTCTGCTTCCGTCGGCTACATCACCGGTAAGTCTAAGTCTACCCCAAGCCCCAATTGTCCAGTGTCTTTACTAACAAGCAACAGCAAACGGCCGCGACTCCGACTCCAACATGTCCAACTACGTCTTCAACAACTGCAACATCGCCGCCGCCGCCGGAAACAACGTCGCCAATGGTGCCTACTACCTCGGTCGACCCTGGAGACAATATGCCCGCGTCACCTTCCAGAAGACCAGCATGAGCGCTGTCATCCACCCTGCTGGATGGTCCATCTGGAACAAGGGCGAGGAGAACACTGGCCACGTCCAGTTCAATGAGTTTGGCAACACTGGTGCTGGCTCTACTGGTCAACGTGCTTCGTTCTCCAAGAAGCTTGGCTCTGCTGTGTCTATCTCGTCTGTTTTGACTGGTAGCTACACTTCTAAGGGCTTCTATGATGGTTCTTATATGTAGATCAGGCGAAGAGATGGTGCAGTTGATCTGCATCAATATGATGCTATTCCATGTATATATTAAAGCCAATTAAATATCGTTGTTTTCGCATTTCGTCGGTTCGCAGTTCTGTCATTTCGCATTCCTGTTAGCAGGCAGCCCGGTCATGTCTGGCTGCTGTCCGCTATGGGGGATTTAGTGCGCCTGTTAGTGGAGGTCACCCAGCTCAACCTCAGCGACAGCCAAATTTCTACCTCCATAGCAATCTGTGACCCAAGAAGCAATCGACAGCAACATGGGCCAAACGATAAGTTTGGGCAAGTACTGAGCCGTAGAAAGTCCGAAAAGCGCAAAGCCGTCATGAGTTTGCCCCATTACATAGCCCACTTGGGTGTTCCACCAGCATCTCCAACTCGGGTCAACAGTAACCGACGGCTAGTTGTAGCGGCAAACGACCTGATGACCTATCTAGGACTGTTCTCCTTTCTCCAAACCGATGGATCGGTTCTTCCCCAATTTAATTATTGCTTGGTTGGTATAAAAGATGACAGTCGTCGGCCTACCTCAGTGAACTAAATCCTTTGTTCTTTTCATTTTTGCATTTCCGTCATCATCATGTCTTTGCAAGTAACTGACGTGCGCTTCGAGCACTACCGTGAGCCCAATACACTGGGTGTCCATGAGACCAAACCACGCATCTCATGGCGCGTCAAAAACGCTCCACCAGAGTTTAAACAGGATTACTGCAGTATCCGAATTGTCAGACAGGAGGGCACGAGTCCTTGGATGGTGTCATCCCACTCTTCTTATTTGGGATTTTTGCCAATAGTTGAGCCTCTCAGATCCCGCGAACGATGCACTGTCTCAGTCAGCGTGCGGAGCAGAGAGCACCCTGAATTCACTGAGTGGAGTGAGGAAGCCACGCTAGAAACAGGCCTTTTACAGCGGGGTGACTGGCAGGCCAAGTTCATCTCGGCACCTTGGGCAAACAAGGGCAATGATAAACCGAAACCAGAAGATCTTTTTCGCAAGAATTTCTCGGTGCAAGACAAAGTCGAATCGGCGAGATTGTACATCACTGCTCAAGGCGTTTATGAAGCTGAGATCAATGGGCGTCGCGTCGGCGATCATTTCTTAGCGCCTGGCTGGACTTGCTATAATGACCGATTGAACTATCAGACGTACGATGTCACTGAGCATATCAACGGAACCGACAACGATCATTGTATCGGTGTACGTGTCGCTGAGGGGTGGTTCACTGGTCGATTGAGCTTTGAGGGAGGTCGAAGGAATGTGTATGGCGATCGAACTACCTTGCTTGCGCAGCTTGAATTGCGCTTCGCCGATGGCTCTGTCCAGACCATCCTATCAGGTGATGATTGGACCGTGGCCCAGGGCCCGATCCGCCAAGCAGAGCTCTACGATGGAGAGAAGTATAATGCTACGATGGAGTTGCCGGGATGGTCATCTGCAGGCGATGTGACTGGGCAGTGGGAGAAAGCTGAAGAGCTCCCTTTCATACCTGAGAGCATTGATCTGGTCGCAGCTACAGCCGAGCCTGTCCGTCGCATTGAAACAGTCCAGCCTGTTGACAAACTTACAACTCCGTCTGGAAAGACCATCATTGACTTTGGTCAGAACCTGGTAGGATATGTCCGCATCAAGCGCGTACAAGGTGAGCGCGCACACAAGGTTACTCTGCGACATGCCGAGGTGCTCGAGGGTGGCGAGTTGGGCACGAGGCCCCTTCGCCAGTGCGCCGCTACGGACATTTATACACTCCGAGGCGATGCAGAGGGTGAGACCTATGAGCCAAGGTTCACCTACCATGGCTTCCGCTACGTCCAGGTTGAGGATTGGCCATCCTCGGACGACGTCTCACAGGCTCTTGAGGCTGTCGTCTGCCACACCGACATGGAAGAGCAAGGTAAATTCGCATGCTCAAACGATAAACTCAATCAGCTATTTAGCAATGTCCGCTGGAGCATGCGAGACAATTTTCTCTCAATCCCCACAGATTGTCCCCAGCGCGACGAGCGTCTCGGATGGACTGGTGACCTGGCATTATTTGCACCAACAGCCACTTTCATCTACGGCTGTTATCCCATCCTGAGAGATTGGCTCAAGGGTGTATGGTACGACCAACAGCAGCGAGACGGCATTCCGCCAATGGTCTCGCCTAACGTTTTGGACAAGTGCAAGATTTGGGGTCCTATTTGGCCTTGCGCGATCTGGCACGATGTTGTCGTTCTCGCGCCTTGGGCTTTGTATCAGGAAAGTGCCGATGACAATATCTTGGCTGAACAGTTTGAGTCTATGGAGACCTGGCTTAGGGTCATTCCGAGGAATAAGGATCGGTGCACTCACTTATGGGACTTTAATGCCGATCAGCTTGCGGTGAGTGCACATCCAACAAGGAACCAACGTTTGCTGACTTTTTAGGACTGGCTTGATCCAAGTGCGCCTCCTGACGATGCCGCGAAAGCTACAACAGACCCCACGTTAGTCGCCAACGCATTTCTCATCCACTGTCTCGACATCATGGCAAACGTTTGCGATGTCCTTTGGAACAAGAATTTTGAAACCCTTAGGAAAAAGGATGAAGTTCTCCGTTGGAAGAAGGATGCAAGCGCTAAATACAAGACGTGGGCGGAGAATGCACGAGCCGAATTTGTACAAGAATATGTTACTCCGAGCGGCCGTCTAGTATCCGACACCCAGACTGCATATTCCCTCGCCGTCTGCTTCAACCTACTCAGCGAAGAACAACTTCCTCGTGCTGGCGCCCAACTGGCGTCCATTGTTCGACGCAACGGTTTCCGTATAGGCACCGGCTTTGCGGGTACGCCATACGTATGCGAGGCCCTCGTCCGCACAGGTCACAGCAACGTCGCCTACTCAATGCTTCTAAACGAGCAGTGTCCCTCTTGGCTATACGCCATCTCCATGGGCGGCACAACAACATGGGAGCGATGGGACAGCATGCTTCCCGACGGGTCAATTAACCCCGGAGAAATGACTAGCTTTAATCACTACGCTTATGGAGCCGTGGCAAAGTTTATGGTTGAAAGACTTGCTGGACTGCAGCTGGTCGAACCTGGATGGAAGAAGTCTAGGATGCAGCCTGAGATTGTGGGTGACTTTACGTGGGCTTCTGCATCGCATCTTACGCCTTATGGTATGGTGTCTAGTTCTTGGAAGATTGAGGAGGGTGAAGCAGGGGCGAAGGTGTTGTATGTGGATGTTGAGGTACCTGTCAGTACGACAATGGAAGTGGTTCTGCCTGAGGGTGAGGGAACCAAGGTTGAGACTGTTAAGTCGGGCAAGTGGTCTTTTAAGACAGAGTATAGGGGGGATGTTGAGTGGCCTGTGAAGGAGACCAAGTTTATCTTAAACAAGATCTTTGAAGAGGCTCAGAAGGCGGAAAAGGACGACGCTTAAGCATGAGATCAGAAATGAGACCTCTCATAGTTCTGTATACAACTATAGATTAACGCCCTGCCTCAATAGATGCTTGCATGAAGCCATGATAATTGCAGACTCTTAGGATATCACGTTTGTTGTGTAATACCCAATGTTTGCTCCCTCCCTCGGGTTCATATTCTGACTATTGAACGCCATCGGTATGATGTCCTCCGTTGTCTCGATCCATCGAGATGCGAAGATCGAGACCTTTGACAAGATTCTTCAATCCTTGAGTCATGAAATACTACTCCTCTTCTAATGGCTCGTTATACCCCAGATTCATCCACAACTCGGTGCATCAGGTCCCGAGTCGCTGGGTCTGTTGGATCATTAAAGTGATGCATGATGGATCTGGGTTGCATCGGAAATACTTCGCTTTCAACACTACCAATAGGAAAACTCCAAAGCCGTAGCCCCAAAATGTCGCGCCGGCTTTGGATACCTCTTATTGGCAGATGAGCGATCTATTCCGACGCTAGCATCATGTTCTCCGACCAGACCGGCCTTCCCCAGGTTCCATTTGCGGGGCCCCAGAAGACCGAGGGGGAAATTGAGCGATTAGGTTAGCCGTGTCATGCGGAGAGATGGTACGATGCTATTCGTACCGTTTTTGCCTTCATAAATCCTTCTATAAACAGAGAGATCTGCTCTCCATCTTCGTTCTCCATTCTTATCTCCACAACAGTCAATCCTTCTCATCTATCATCAACTCAATCGCTTCATTGATTGAGGCTATCCTCATACTGGATCATGGAGAAGCCAGAAGCAGCCGCTCACCTCGAGCAGTCTGAGTCCAGACCCAGCATCTCGCCCAACCATACCCGTGGTCATGCCATCCAACATCAAGAACACAGCCGAACCTACCTCGAAACCCTCCGCAAAGATCCATGGCTTCTACTCTGGATCGCCGTTATGCTCTGGACTTTAATCGTCCGTGGCTTCGAAAACCAATCCTCCGGCTCCGTCATCAGCATCCCCGTATTCAAGCGACGATTCGGCGAGCCCAACGAGAAAGGAGAATACTTTATTGAGACAAGCTGGCAATCCGCGCTTAGTGGTGGTTCTAATGCTGCTGCTATCTTTGGTGCTTGGGCTTCGTCATATGCGGCTGATATTATTGGCTTCAAGTCTGTTATTCTGGCGGCTGCTGCTATCAATATTGCATCCGTTGGAGTTGAGTTCGCTTCTACATCTATCGAGATGTTCTTTGCTGGAAAGATGGTCAACTTCATCGCTATCGGAGCCTTTCAGAACCTCTGTACTGCATATGTTGCTGATGTCTCGCCACTGGCTATTCGATCCACTGCTATCGGTTTCTGTAACCTCGCGCAGTGCATTGGTCCTTTTGTCTCCGCCATTATGTCCAACTTCAGTTCGCAGTGGGATAGCAATTGGTCCTGGCAGTCGCTGATCGTTGCGCAATGGGGCTTCGCAGCAGTTGCACTCGTTGGTCAAGTCTCAATGCCCGAGTCGCCCGTCTTCCTTGTTCGCAAAGGCAAGATGGAAAAGGCTCGACGTGCTCTTGAGCGCATGTACTCTGACCCTGAGGACGCCTCCGGCCATCTCGAGCGTATCAAGTTGACGTTGGAGGAAGCGGACTCGAAGAACCTTGGTTCCTACATGGACTGCTTCAAGGGGATCAATCTACGAAGAACCCTCATTGCCATCATGGTCTTCCTGTCTGAACCCATGTCTGGTCTGGGCTTTGTCTCCAACTACGGTGCTCTGATGTACCAGTACCTCGGAATTAGCGACAAGAAGTCCTTCGAGATCCAGATCGGCGCTCAGATTCTGTCAATGTCCGGTGCAACCATTGCCTTCCTTGTCGGAGACTTCTGGGGTCGTCGACCTATGTACATCATCGGATGCGTTGCCCTATCATGCCTTCTCATCTGCATGGGTATTTCCGGGTCCGTCAATACGACCGCCGCTGTGACAGTTTCTGTTGGATTCTACACAATGTACAACTTTTTCTATAACGTTGGAGTTGGTTCAACTGTGTACACGCTGGCGGGTGAAGTTCCCACCTCTGCCCTACGAACCAAGACGATTGCCATTGCCATCTCCATTTCTTCAGCTGTCAACACCATGTGGTCGTTTGTCGCGCCTTACATCTTTAACCCTGAGTATGCCAACTTGAAGGCAAAGATTGGATTCATCTTTGGTGCGTTCATGGTCGGATTCGCCGTCATGGCTTACTTCTGGGTACCGGAGACTCGCATGAGGAGTTATGAGGAGTTGGATGAGCTTTTCCAGAACAAGATTCCTGCTCCCAAGTTCCGAAAGACGGTTACTATGGCTGAACGCCGTGCTGAGGAAGCCTACGCGATTGAGAATGGAGTGAATGAGAAGATTCGAGATGCTTAGTCTGCAACACCCTCTACGTTGGTAATAGTTACATCAGCTTCTATGACGCCATTTATTTATTCATTTAATTAAGCATGTCCCTCGTGATTTATGTTCATAGTTGCCACTGTATATCCTCAATCATAGCCTGCGTAATAAGACCCCGCTCAATATGATCATCTCCAAATGAAGGAATGGTCTGTGGACTTGGCCAACTTTCATCTGCCTTCTCTTCAAGGGTCAGCGCATGAGCAATAAGAAATTTGACCATCCACTTGTCGAATCTGTACGATTCGGCGTTGATTGACTTGACACAGCTTTTCTGGAAGACGACTAGGCGATTGATCTGTGTCGCATTAGTATGAACATGAGGTGACAGAAACAGAGCTCTTACCATTCTCTCCACGCTTGGCCAATAACTTCGTAGCTGCACCAAAGACTCAAGATTCGATGCAAGCCGAGTCCGTGAGTCCTCTAGTTCATATGGTTCCCCGAAGAGGAAGGTGTGAAGTAGAACTGACGAGGATACAATGGTGACATGGCCCACGATGTTATACACAGCCTCGGCACCGGTGACTTCTCGGGACGCCTTTAGCACGTCGCAGACGATGGCCGCATGAGCTTTACAAGAGTCCGAATACTTCTTGCCGTTTTTCGTGGGTGGTCGACGACGATCCAAGCAGTGGTAGTATAGCAACGTATAGTAATGATGGTAACCGAGATGGAAGGCAACAAAGACGCGACCTAAACCACGTTCCACGAATGCCGCCAGATTTTCTCGACTGAACTTGAGATTGGGACCTAGAACCTGCTCAAAGGCTCCAAGTTTGTGTTCAAGACGTTGAACAGCGTCATCGATAAGAGCTTCATTCCACTCGACTGAATCTGCCAGGCTCTGCTGAAAATTCTGTATCTCGGTGTATATCTCGACGGTGTTGACCATGTGACCCCATAGGCCAGACCTCCACTGGAAGTCGGGGATGTCCGGGTCACCTGGTTTCATGTTGTAAAAGACATATTCGTCCATCGGTGCTCTAGGATGGCTGGCCTGTTGTCTAAACTGGCGTGAGACATTGGATCCGCTGCTGGCCCAAGTGTCGATTATGAAACATGTCCAGTAGATGCGTCTTTTAACTTCACGTGTTGGTCCGTCGTCATTTTCGTTGCAGACTCCTAGATTCAGGAGCTGCGTCATTCGACTAGCAAGACCTGGTTAAGAATCAGTCATGAAGCCCAACAAGAGTATCATAAACATGTGTACCAAAGTATAGCGATTCAACATCCGCATTGCCTTCGCCAAAGAAGTTGTTGCCGATCAAAATACAAGCTTGGATATTCTCAAGACAGATGTTCTCAAGATCTTCCTTAAGCGCTGCACAGGCTTTGGCCCGGTATATAGACCCGCGAGCGACTATGTCTGGCTGTGTAGCGAACCTGTCTCTGCGTTAGGCCTGGTTTGACTGGAAGACTATAGAGCTTTTGAGTACCTTGCCGACAGACCCATCATAGCGAGTAAAACAGGCTGAGATACCGTACCCTCGACGACACGTGCTTTGAATGTGGGTTCATGAAATAGACTGTGAGGCGAATCATGCATGAAACGAAAATACAAGTTGACAAGGTACATCGGTTCGTCCAATGCATCAGATGATAGGCTCTTCGGAATAGTCAATGGCTTAGGTATCTTTGTGCTCTTTGCAGCTGCTGAGCATTGTAACCCTCGCTGCACGCACGGCACACAACCTTGATCCACTGTTCGATCGCATCTCCTCTTCCCCACTCTACATTCCGTGCATGCTGTTGGGGGTCTCATCCGTTCTGTTTGTTAGCTAGCCGGCTAGAGCAGACATGGCGATTCATTGTGGTACGAGTGCAGGTTTATTGTTGTTAGGGATATCACTCATTGAGAGAGCGGGGTGAAATTATTGGCTCGCCACTAACTAACCCGAATGCGATGATCCCTCGTACTCATCGCGAGAAGCTTACCCTCGCGCCATGGTGAAATTGAACCACCATCTTGCGGTAAAACGATATTGGGGAAGCGTAGTTGATGGTTTGCTACTTATCCTAGACTACTCTTATAGCGAGCTTATCAATCAGAATTTGGAACTATTGCCACAAAGAGAAGGTGTTCATCATGACAACTCTAGCCTCCGCCTTAACAGGACCAGACCCACTGCGCCCAACTTCGACATCCGCCCTATCGAGACATGTTAACGGCGACCCAATTTCTCTTAGTCAAAAGATATAACTAGACTTGGGAGACTCTGGGGTAGGAATTACTAGCGAAGAATTCAACAAGCCATTATATAATGGATACTCGACTTGAGCAGTTTTTGCTCCACCACATCCGCCTTTCAACGACAACATGTCCAGTAGTCGCATGTTCAACGCAGCATCCAGAGCGTTCGGATATGAGCTACTATACCGAGTAGAAATCCGAAATCGGGCCTGGTTCTATATAATAAAGGTAAAGAGATCCCATGGTTCCCTTGTCTGAACTCATGTCAAGGATCTCACCATGTACAACACAATGGATCAAATCAAACCAGATCCTCAGCCCGAGGCCGCCGAATCAGCCTCATCGACCAAATCCATTGAACAGAACCCAGAGTCCGGAAACACAGAACTCGAAAGAGCCCTCCATGGCCGCCATCTCCAATTCATCGCCATAGGTGCTGCTGTAGGTACAGGCCTTTTCATCGGAACAGGAAACGCCCTTGCAACAGCCGGTCCAGTCTCTCTCCTCATAGCCTTCATCTTTGTCGGAACACTGTTGTTCTCTGTAATGACAGCGCTCGGTGAAATGGCTGCGTATATTCCTGTCGCAGGTGCATTCACCACATACGCGACGCGATTCCTTGACCCAACATTCGGGTTCGCGATGGGCTGGATTTATTGGTTCAGCTGGTCAATCACTTTCGCACTGGAATTGACTGCAGCTGGATTGATTATCCAATATTGGGAGAAGAGTCTGAATATTGGAATTTGGATCGCTGTCTTTTGGGTTCTTTTCACAGCGGCTAACTTCATGCCTGTTCGCTGGTTTGGAGAATTCGAGATGTGGTTTTCGAGTATCAAGGTCGTCACGATTATCGGATTCATTATCTTTTCAATCTGCGTCAATGCAGGCGTTGGCGACCAAGGGTATCTCGGGTTCAAATACTGGAAAGACCCTGGTGCCTTCAATGAACATATCGTGGAAGGCGGGATTGGACGCTTTGTTGGCTTCTGGTCCGTCTTGATCACCGCGGGTTTCAGTTATCAAGGGTCTGAGCTAGTAGCTATCGGTGCGGGCGAAACCAAGGATCCTCGAAAGACAATTCCTTCTGCCATGCGTTGGACCTTTTGGGGCGTCTTTTCCATCTTCATCGCGACGGTCTTCTTTCTTGGTCTCAATATCCCTTCAACGAACAAGGACCTTCTTAGCGAGGGTCACGACGCTTCAGCATCACCTCTAGTTATCGTTGCTCAGTTAGCGGGAGTTCCCATTCTGCCATCGATCCTCAACGCAGTCTTGTTGACGGCTGTTTTGACTGCTGCCAACTCAGACGTGTATTCAAGCAGTCGAATTCTCATCTCCCTTGCCGACTCAGGCCATGCTCCATCCTTTTTGAAGAAGACGAATCGGTTCGGAACGCCATACAATGCTGTCTCTGTCTGCGCAGCAGTTGGATTCCTTTCGTTCCTCAATCTGTCGAACAGTGGTACAGTCGTATTCAACTGGTTCCTGAGTATTACCTCGGTTGCCGGATTTATCGCCTGGGCCATCATTTCGCTTTGTCACATTCGCTTCATGAAGGCTCTTTCGCTTCAGGGAATATCACGGGCCAGCCTCCCATACCTCGCACCCTTCCAGCCATATCTTTCCTGGTATGGTCTCTTCTTCAGCACGTTGATTATTATTACCAGTGGCTTTGAAGTGTTCATCGAATGGGATACTAGCAAGTTCTTTACGAACTACATCAGCTTGATCTTATTCCTGGCCATGGTTATTGGCCATAAGTTGCTATTCAGGACAAAGACGGTTCCGCTGGATGAGATGGATCTTATAACGGGAACAGAGATCTAGAATAGCTGTGGAGTCGGGATGAGGTGGACAATTGGGTTGTGGCTTTTTGCTTTCTCCAATAAAACGCCCAAGAGTATAACTAAAGTTAGCCAGTACCTTCATTATTAATAATAATTTCATACGCGATGGCTTTTTTACGATATCTTTCAACGCATCATTAATTAGCATCTATTCTTATCCGTTCTAATCATCCCTGTCCACTTAGTATACGAGAGTGGAGATATGCGTACGACATCACCAATGACGGAGATCCATTCCAGCCGAGAAGCCGTGCTTATTCAGCATCTTGGCTCTAGAATCTTTCCCTCAGATCGGGCTTAGATCTGTTTGCTTCTTGACAACAAAGTCACAAACGTCAAGAATCCTGCATAACAGGAGGCCCTTAAGATGTTTGGGGACACGTTCAGGAAGTCGAGGCTACAGAAACAGCTTTTGCTGCTCAATGTAGTCACCGGCTTTGTTTCTGCAGCTTCGGAAGCTTCGGCCTTGGATAGGTGTCCAGATTATGTCGCCAAGCACGGTGAGTTATATCGCGAATCCTTTGTCTGTCCACAAAATCTGATAAAACCTCGCAGCACCTTTAGTATGGCTTCATTCGGAGGACCGCTTCATGCCGAGTGATCTCGCAGCTCATGTCTCCAACACGATCCCCAAGTTGGATGAACAACCAATCAGTGGTCTTTCTTCAATTGAACTTGAGAATCTTGGATATCTCAATGAACACGGCGGTAATGCTGTTGCACTCACGTCCAAGGAGGATCCAATGACATATCCGAAGTGGATATTGGGCGAGGCACCAGATCTTAGTGGACGGATTCACGATTCTGTGCCTTGCGCTGTCATTCTGGTGGAAAAGAGCGAACTTGACGTAGATGCGTTCTACTTCTACTTCTATTCATTTAATGAGGGACCGAATATCACACAGGTCCTAGAACCGATCAACCATCTTATTGGAGATGAGCATCTGGGTTCTGGGATGCACTTTGGCAACCATGTTGGAGACTGGTGAGTTCATCGTGGAGAGGTTCAGAATGAAGCTAACGAGGTTTTTAAGGGAACATAATATGGTCAGATTCCACAATGGCACTCCTTTTGGTGTGTACTATAGCCAGCATGTTGATGGGGTTGGCTTCAAGTGGGATGACAAAAGAATCAACGTAACTGATGGAAGAGTATGAGAATCACTTCTGTGTGGCATCAAAGCATTAACTAACTGAAATACAGCCAATATCATACAGTGGCCTCGGCTCTCATGCCAACTATCCAGCAGGAGGGTAAGTTCTTCTCATCTGTTCCATGGCGTCTAAGCTTACTTTTCCCAGACACCAACTTCACAATGCAGCAATGTTTGACTACTGTGACGAGGGCAAAATATGGGATCCCGTCCAGTCAGCGTACTTCTACCGCTTCAATCCAGACACAGTCACCATCACGCCAATTATCTCACCTCTTAAGCCATCTGAGACTGAGCCTGCCCAGAACCTAACATCCTGGTTCGACTTCACTGGTCACTGGGGTGACAAGAGGTATCCCGACTCTGATCCACGTCAAGAAACCGTTCCACACTTTGGCCTCAAGCGCTTCAACACCGGTCCCAACGGTCCACGCTTCAAGCACCTCGTCCGCAAGGGTCTTGTGCGTGATCATGCTAGGAAGATGGGCTGGGAAGAATGGGGTGTAGGTATTTTTATGGCATGGTATCCCTGCTGTATTCGAGGCTGGAGGTTATGGAGATCAGCGGGCATACTGGTTGTCATGGTGTCAGTGTTTGTACTTGCTGTCATATTTGGAGTCAGGAAGCTCAATAGTTGGAGGCAGAGGAGGGCTTATACGAAACTTGGTGAGGAGGATGTAGCGATGAATGATTTGAGAAGGCAGGAGGAGTCGTTGGTATCATCTGACTCTGATAGCGATGATGAGGATGATCATAGAAGAGATAGATATGAGGCTATGATGAGAGGATAGATAGACTGAACTATAGATTACAGAGTTGATTCAGCCGTCACATCACTAAGTGTCTAGCAGCAGCCTATGGCTCTTAACAGGTGAAAAAGGCCAGTTATCCCTCTAGGTCTCGCCGAATTTTAGTTACATGACGTTCCAATCAGTTACGAAAGAGGTAATTCATGTAAGAGCCCTTGAGATCCGTAGAACTTATGGGAGTATTACCTCCGGCCAGGTGGAACAGCTGTGCTGATGAGTCAAACAATTCCCTGGTTCCTGAATATGCTGTCTCGGCCACTTCCCACGGGAACTCCCTTGCCATCGGGGTCCATCAAAGCCCGAAGTGCGAATGGCATATCCACAATCTAAAGCCCGGAGCAAATAATGACAGCTCAGCATTGGCGAGCGGTGCCAAGACAGCCTTGGCGGTGCAGACAAGGCAATATTGAATAACTTTTAGGACCTGGTAGGGCTGGTCGTCCCTTTTGACAACCAAAGTCCCAAAGAACTCCAGGATCTCAATCCTTTTCGTTTGAATCAATCTCGATGGATGATATAAGGAACAATCGCAAACGGATACTCGTATTTTCTTATCGCAGACGCTTGAACATATTGACGTCACCATACCGGTGGAAGGAATATGCCAAGCGTCTTGAGTATCTCGATGATGATAAACCCGTTTACTTAAGAATTTTACGAGAGAAAAGCGGCCGCCATCAAGATACACATTTCGCAGGTGATACTCTGAAGGAGAGTGAATGAGACGTACGATGAACTTTAGAAGCGTTATGTCGCCGAAGAAATGAGTATAAAGAGGCCAATGGGTCTTCGAGCTTTACAGTAGAAATCAGTCAGTCCTCAACACAAACAATCATCACTATCAAAGTATTTGTCACTTAATAGTAGGACGTTTCTCTCAATACTTACAGCATCTTTGTGCTAACTTCTGACCAGTAAACCCATCTTCACCATGATCTTCACCCAGGCTCTCAAAATCGCCTCCATGGCTCTTGTTTTTCCCTTCATTATCTCAGCCTGGGACGTCCAGTGCTTCAGCGAAGAGAACTGCAACGGCGACGCAGGAACCCTGACCTACGCACCAGATGATGACATTGCCATGCGAAGGTTCTGTCTCAATGTTGAAGGCCGAAAGTCCTGCCGGTTCTCTGGCTATGCGTCCAGATGGCAGATTGTGGGCAACTCTGTCCAAGGCGAGTGCGGTGGCTTCGATTATCGCGGTAGTTGCGCCACCGATACGTCCTGTGTCAACATCCAGCACCCGTTCGGCAATTATCCCGAGCGTGCTTTGGTTGGCTACGCTTCTTTGACTCAATGCTTCACTGGCGGGCTCAAGAGGGATGAGCTTACTTGGGAGGCGTAAATGATGGGTTGGGAATTGTATGCCGCGAAGGGCAAGGCACAGATAACTATCTTGCATGGAATTATTGATATCATCAGGGTATCAACATCAATATATATGTATTAGTTACTGTCGCTCGAGATACATCCAAGCTCTGTGTGTTTCTTGCTGTAACTGGTGATACCACCACATAGGTCATTGTGTCCTGGACTGAGTTGCGGGTGTAACTCGCCAATAGGCATCTTCCTCTGCATTATTCCTTACTACCTAGACTGGAACACAGACTCAGTTTAAAAGAAATTTATGTAATCTATTTCACAAGACCACGAGGACATACCATCGTGTTAGTGGATCGATACGCAGCATGTGATGCGGTTGGCGTCTCCAATTACCATTTCCTGTAATGGTGGCCCCGATCGGCGAATAGGAATGTTACAAATTAAATACTAAGCTCCACCAGGCTTCTTCAAATTCATGAGCTTCTTTAACTCCGGACTGTTCGTATCACTTGACATGGCTGACATGTAAAAGGGCGTTGAGATGCGGGGTTTTAGCGGTTGGATATCGTCGGCTCGGGCTTCTTAAACGAGGTAAGCCGACTTGGACGCGATAAGCCGCGGGCGATCTATGACAAGAACCCCGCATGACGGTGGATTTTGGAGACTCTTATCAACGACTTCGGACTCTAGATTTGTTTCTTTCATCTTTCATCTACATACAATTACAGTATTCCTTATTGTGAGCACGAAATTCAGTCTACCTCTGTTTAGAGGTCACAACTAACCATTTACCACAGCATCATAGACTCAAAATGGCAGACTACAAAGCAACAGTATCGGCGGCCCTCCAACAACGGGACGTCGGCCTTTCCAAGGTTGAGCCGAAGCTGGAGGGTCTCCCGAAACACCTTCCTCTGAGCTCACAAGATCTTCCCAAAAGTGTTCTCACAGAACGAGAGATAGAGATCACTGAAAAGTACTCTGTCATTCAACTTCTGGAAATCCTTCGCAAGAGAGAAATCAAGGTTGAGGAGGTTACTCGTGCGTTCTTGAGGAGAGCTGCGTTAGCTCAGGCTGCTGTGGGTGCTCTTGTCCGGTGATACTATGGGATACAAATGACTGACATTGATAGACGAATTGCCTGGTCACTCTGATGTGGGATGAGGCCATCGAGCGCGCAAGGTATCTGGATTCACTACCCGAGCCCAAGGGCATGTTCTTTGGCCTACCAATCTCAACCAAGGAGCACCATGGAATGGTGGGCGAGAATGTCACGACCCACGCATCCTTCGTTGCATGGATCAACAAGACTCACGGATCGAACCTCCTCTACGACAACTTGTATGACGAAGGCTGTGTCTTTTACGTGAGGACTACGCAGCCTCAGACCATCATGCATCTAGAGACTATCAGTAACATCTATGGAACAACTGTCAACCCTTTCAACCGTGATTTGACGGCCGGTGGTAGCAGTGGAGGTGAAGGAGCCCTGCTCGGACTTCGAGGAAGTATTCTGGTAAGCCTGATTCCTCATTGAACAAAGCCTCAATTCTAACACCGATAGGGCATTGGCGGTGATATCGGCGGTAGTGTTCGTTGCCCAGCGGCTCATAACGGAATCTATGCCTTCAAGTGAGTTCCTCAAAAGCTAGAATTTATGTTACCGGACATTAACGTAATCTTAGGCCGACTCTGAAGCGAATCTCAGTTATGGGCGCCCGATCAATCATGGCTGGCAAAGAAACCATCTCATCCACACCCGGCCCCATGACAACTGACCGTGAAACCCTCGAACTCTTCATGAAAGTAGCCCTAGCATCCAAGCCATGGCTGATAGATCCTTCTCTTACAGCCAAGGAATGGACACCATACAAGTTCGACAGACCTCTCAAGATCGCCATCCAGTGGTGGGACGGCGTTGTTCAGCCTCACCCGCCTATGACGAGAGCTTTGAGAGAAGTCGCAGAGGCCTGTCGTAAAGCTGGTCATGAGGTTGTAGACTGGGACTGTGAGCCTCTTGATCATAAGAAGGGTTGGGAGATTCTGTCAGCGCTGTACTGGCCTGATGGTGGTAAAGAAGCGCTGGATCTTATGGAAGCGGCCGGAGAGCCTGTTCTTCCGTTGACAAAGTTTATCATCCAGGAGCAACCCAGCGTGAAGAACTTGAACATGCACGAGCTATGGGAGGTAAGTACAGCTTTACAAGCAGAGTTGTTGATTTTCTGACTGGGTATCTAGCTTTGCACGAAGCGAGACGATTACCGCGCTGCGTACGCGAGAGCCTGGTCCTATACGAGCAAAGCGGATGGCCGAGAGGTAGACGTGATTCTTTGCCCACCTTACTTCGGAGCTGCATCTCCTCATGAACAGTCGCGATACTGGGGATACACTGCTCACTGGAACCTTCTGGACTAGTAAGTCAATCTCACCTCAACTGGTCGACCTTACTAACACCTTCACAGCCCAGCAGCAGTCTTCCCAGTAACAACAGTCGATCCCTTAAAGGATCCCAAGGACGTCAAGTACGTCCCCAAGAACGACGAGGATAAATTCGTATACGATCAATACGTTCCCGAGAAGTTTGCCGGTATGCCTATCTGTCTGCAGGTTGTTGGTCGAAGGCAGTATGATGAGAAGGTTCTTGCTGCTCTTAAGGAGATTGAGCGTGCGATGGGTAGAGAGTAACTGGATTTGGCAAGTCTTCTAGAGGATAGGATGTTGACTCGGGCTGGCTATTCTTGTATCTAGAAGTCATTGTAGAGTGAGACTCCACATTATCATCCCAGTCGGAAATTGCGACAAATCTGGCTTCATGCGTGTCAGATCTAAAAGATGACATAAGACCAGCCCTACATCCACCACATAGCCAATCATATCGTCTTTGGTGGTTATTATCTGACTGAGAAGGATTCTTACCTCCTTCCTCGATGGGGTACATGCTCCTCTAGTATGGCGGAGTCCGAGCCCCAGCCCCTCGAGTCCGATGCGCCCCTCAGGGCATCAAAAGAATTGGCCGCTAGAAGCATAAGAGACGAAATCATTTGGTCACTTTATGCTAGCTTAGACTAGCATTTAGGCTACTTTATTTTAGTAACCAAAGCCTTGGAGGACAATCCATCTGTTACCCACCTGCGCCTGGGTTTATCAGCCTTTATCCTTTCCAGTCATTATATGTCGAGACCGAAAAAGGCGGGATGGCCGGGATGGATAACATAAACCCTTGCATGAGACTATACATTGGTAAACACTAAGAAGCTAGGTATATAAAGGCTCATGTTGAGCCTAAAGCACGCTTACTCTACTCTAATCTGCAGCACCCTGCACCTTTCTTGCCAGAATATTTCCACATTCACTGCATCAACCATGTCTGAACAAAGAACTATCCTGATAACGGGCTGCTCTGATGGCAGTCTTGGTTCGGCCCTAGCGCTGGCTCTCATCAAGGAAGGGTGGCGCGTACTCGCAGCAAGCCGAAACCTCTCCAAGCTAAAGGCGGTCCAGGATGTCGGCATCGAGTGTATACAAATGGACGTCATCTCGACTGAATCGATTACAAACGCCGCAGAGGAGGTCAAGAAGCTCACCGGCGGTTCCCTCAACGCCCTGGTTAACAACGCCGGTATTGGACACAGCATGCCCATTCTTGATGTCGACATCGACAAGGCCCGCGATCTTTTCGACCTCAACGTCTTCTCTATCATTCGAGTAACCAAGATCTTTCTACCACTGTTGCGCAAGTCTTCTCATCAACCTCTACTTATCAACAATACCTCAGCCGTCGGACTATTAGGTGCCGGTGTTCCGTTCCAGGGCGCTTATGCTGCTTCGAAAGCAGCAGCAGTCAGCTTGACCGAGAGTCTCAGACTTGAGCTTGATCCTTTCGGCATTCGTGTCATTGATCTTCTCACTGGTGGCGTCAAGTCCACATTCTTTGTCAACGCTCCTCACGCAGAGCTACCAAAGGACTCGATATATAACCCCGCCAAGGAAGCGATTGAGTCATCGATGGCTGGTAATGAGCCGGGGCTTGTTAAGGAAGATATTACGACGTGGGCGAAGCATGTTGCCGGTGATCTCAGTCAGCGCAAGGTGCCATATCTGGTCTCTCGGGGCGGCACGGCGGGAACAGCGAGGCATCTCATTAGTCATCTGCCGACCGGTCTGTTGGATAGTATGATAAAGCCAGCGGGAGGCATCGATGTTTTGGAGCGCAAATTGAAGGAGCAAAAGGATAGTGTCAAGACTGATTAATTATCTGAAACGAGAATCTAAACGATCGAGTATAGTCCAATTATTCGCCAATAGTGTTTCCAAAGTCTGTTTGCATATGCTCCAAGTACTCTTGATGGCTAAAATGGATATGATAGCTGAGTAGCTGGCAGCTCCGCCAATAACGAGCCTGACATAATTTGTGAGGCGTCCAGTCTGTCGGTGACGGGTAAGGTGTCGTCGCGTCCCATTCTTCCACCTCTTCGGCGTCTTCACTCCGGTACATAAAGCAGTCCAGTTCGACGATACACCCATGCAATACCTCTTCAGGCTGGTGAAGTGCCATGCCAAATATGACACAGGGCTTCACGTTGTAGTCCATTCGCTGGAGCTGTGCAACCTCTTCTGTCAGATGCAAATCATGGTTCCCGAATCTCTGCCAAGCGAGATATCTCATGGCACTCTTCCTGTGACACTCATCACTTATATCTTCGTTCATGTTCCGCGCGTGGCGTCTGAACGCCCTCCGCAAGTAACCCAGAAGCCTTGGGTCGTCAAGCGGAACTGCAGCGGTGGCAGAGTCGACGCATGAATACCTTTCGAGGTCATCGCCGCTGCTGTACGGGAGTGGTATCCATGTAACACCAATTAGGAATGTTTTGATGTTGTGGCGTGGATCGGACATGAGCTGGTCAAGTATGATGGGTAGCCAGAGCTCATCGGGATTGAATTCAACATAAGACTGAAAAGACTTTGGTATCCCACGAGGCCATTTGGTGATTCTTGAGGATGGCATGATTGTGCGCATTGTCTTGTCGACGAACTTCAGTTTTCGTCGGGGGCCGTAATCATTCTCAGTCTCATACATCAACAGCGACATTCGTGAGAGAACAATGGTTCGAGACTCATAACAAGCCCACAGTAATCCGAACGGCTGGTAAGGTTGGTAACGACCATCGATTTTGATGCTGTCCTTGCTCTCATATGAGCTATCGCTCTTGAAATACCAGAGGTTGCACACGCTGTTCTGGTCTACCGGTCTGTTGTGGACGGCAGCCTCCCAGATCATCAAGCGGAGCTCGGGGGGGAGTTCGGTGAATCGGGTGAATCTTGGTGGCTTCCACATCTCCGCCAACCACTTCACTATATCCCTCCACCAGAAGGGCAAATCATGGATCGGGCTGGTGGGGAACTCGGAACAGTGTAGAATCATCAAAGCTAGGACCGCTACAACAGTCAGGTAATAGAGAGGTGAGGATGGGCACATTTTGGGCAAGATTTCAGTACAGAATAAGTGAAGAAGAAAGACATAAAGATTTCGAGTGTTTATATTTTATAGATTTAATATTTAACTTTGAAGATTTTTATCAACCATCTGCGGATGCTTAAAGTTGCGCAGATTAAAGACAATGAGATATAGTTCGGGCATCACGTCTGACAGACTGAAATCAAAACTCTCTTGTCTTAGATACCGGGCTTAAACTTAAACTCCCATTGGTTCAAAGCCTGTACTCCATACAAATATCTCAGCCACCACATGGTGGCTGTTGAGCCTGTTGGGTTGGAAGACATTTGTTGTTAAAGCTTCTGGTAACCCAAGTCACCCACTGCACAGGGTGTCAGAAAGATTGGCATGTGTAGGCATAAGGGACGAAATAACCTGGTGACTTTATGTCAGTTATCTCTAGCTTAGACAAGCACTTAGGCTACTTTTTGTTAATGCTCTAAGCTTTAGAGAACAATTATTCTGTTGCCCACGTGCTGGGAAGAGAAGGATCACAAGGGAAAAAGGTTTGTTTCGAACAAAGTGTATTAGAAAGTTATTACATGAAGTTAATCTAATCTTGAAATATCATTATTCATGGTAAATCGACAGAATGTCAGTCGAGTTATCGTACTCGACACCGCACTTCTCAGAGAAGCCAGTGAACTTGTCAACACGGGCCTGGATGTACTCCTCGAAGCTGTCTCGGGTGCAGCTAGTGCCGGGACCATCCTCACAGGCGGGCAGAGGCTGAGGTGCGCTGTTGACCAGGACGCGGTAGTACTCGCCATCGTCGTAGCCGTAGCTGCCACTGCAGTTGAGGCGCTCGATGGCAATGTTGCTCAGGAAAGGAAGGATGTGGGAGCTCTTCCAGGCGCGGCGGTAGTTGATCTTGTTGAGGGGCATGGTGTCGTTGATCTGGGACTCGCTACCGCCGGGCTCAGAGTTGTTGAAGAGGCCCATGGCGACCAAGGTCATCGGGGGCAACTCCCTATGCGTAAAGGAGACGTAGAGATCCTCGTCAGAATTGTCGTTCATGAGGAGGTTGGCGGTAGAGTTCAGCCAGGGCATGCCAACGTAGCCAGAAACCTCGTTACCGTAGCCAGCATTGTAGTGGTAACGGACATCCTCAGAGTACTCCCAGCCAAGCCAATCATCGGGAGTGAAGAGCTCAAGGTTGCAGAAAGGAGACTTGCCGCGAACGACGGTCTCGTATCCACAAAGCTGCTGCATGCCGAAGATGTCGCTGACAGTGAAGTTGAAGTCGGACGCAAGAGCATTAAAGCGCTCGACAATGGGCTTAGCATACTTCTCCTGGTACTCGGCAGACTCCTCGCTACCAGTGGAGCCAGAGTAAGCAGGGCAAGCCTTGTAGGGGGTCAAGCTGTCGGCTCCAGACTCCTCCGACTCGTAGATCTGCTCAACCTTGATAGAGGTATCGTCGGCCTGGAGACCTCGGACAAAAGACTGAGCAGACTTGACAGTTCGCTCAGCAGTGGATGTCCACACCTTCTTGGGCTGCTTGAACTCGGGGTATCGGAACTCGAGGTCGACTCCCAAGCGAGTAGCCTCCAGACGACCAAGGTTGGTCAGGAGGGACACTTCAGCATCGGAGATGGGAGCCTCCCAGTCGGCAAGGAAGTTCAGGTAAGGAATCTTGCTCCAGTCCACGCCAGTCTTGTTTCCGAGCTTCTCAATGAAGGGCTCAATGTACTCCTCGAAGTCGAAGTCGTTCGCGTAGATGGCAGCATGTCGCACCAAGTAGGCAGCGCGCTCGGCAGTGCAGCCCTGAGGCGCATCGGGAGAAACGGGAGGATCTTGGGACTCGAAGTAGGGTGCAATTCCGGTAAGGTGATGAAGAGGGTTGAAGCTGTAGTCAGAGTTGAGAGAAGCTGCAGAAGCCAAAGGCAGCAAGCTCACAAGAGCCTTGCTCAGAGGAGAAGATTGACGAGGCATTGTGAGTCAATGGGAATGCACAAAGAGAACGAGTCTGCTCAGTAAAACTCAAACTCAATTGACCATCTACACAGCTACCTATTATATCTCGGCAGTCTATTTACTTTAATTGTTTGTTTCCCCCTATGAGATCATTAGTGTCGATGTTGAAGAAAGTCCCCATGTTGGTAGCCGTGTCTTTGACGTCACAAGCATAAAACGATCCACGGCTAAACCTGTCTGGCCTGCGTTTGTTCCTTGCAGTTGTCGATATGTTTCTCCCTGATTGGCCCCGGAGATTTGAGGCTCCATAATCAGCACGTTGGCGTGGCGCGTCAGCCGAGGCCGCATTATCCGAGCGTGTGGACTTGGCGGCTCCAAAATCAAGAAAACAGCAACAAGATATTCCTTTTTTTCCTTATATCATCTCGATCTTGAGAGGACGCGTATTGTGTCTTCGTTCTTTGACGAATGCCCAGAGAGTAGCGAGTCATATGTTTCAGAGTGTCAGTAGATCTTTGCGGCTCTGTTCCCTCTGCATCATACCTAATCTCTTTTACTTGCTGCATCAACTCTGACGGTGAATGCCGAGAAAGCGAAGCCTTTTCTGGTCCACTGATTGTGTCACACCTTATTCCCTGCTTCCAGGCTTAAAAACCGGGCCATCGATTGAAGATTGAGTGTGGTTTAGTGCCATCGCCAATTCTTTCACTAACGCGATGCCACGCTACTGCATGATATCGTAACAGTCAATCGATCCTGTCAAGTTGTTTCATGAGTTCAGCTCGAAGATAATTATTCCTGTAAAGTCCAAGTTGACCTACGGCTACATCAGTAACTGACAGACCAACGCTCAAAAAATGCACTTACTGCTGTGATAGGTACCGAAGTTAATTAGCGTCCAAAAGCATAAGAGATGAAATAATTTGTTTACTTTATGTTAACTTAGACTAGCATTTAGGGTACGTTATTATAGTAGCCTAAGCCTTAGGGGACCATGCTTCCTATTACCCGTCCGGTAGGCATATAGCAACGTTGTCAGATAACGCTATGTATGCTACTTTTCCATCTGGTCTTTCGCAAAACGGTCCCAATACTTCTTCTTGTCTCTATCATTCACAAGATAGACCTCCAGGTATATTCCAGCAAACCATCTCTGTGAGCTCTCTTCAATCTCACCCGTGATGTCAGTCCAGCCTTCCATCCTGGGCTGCACATGCTTCACAATATCCAAACAGTGGCCTGCCCATTTGCCGGTGTACATCTCCATAAAGTACCCACGCATCTGTGCAATCTCAGATTCAATGACCCTTGGCCCGTTCTTGGAAACATTTTTGACCAAATCCCTTGGCTTCCTCGTAGGTACTGCCTTTGGAAGCTCGTCACTCTCCTGCCAGTTAATGAGCCACATTAGCAGGATATCCAGAGTAAGCCATCGATTTCCCGTCAATGAAACAGTGGTAAGCTTAGAGATGGTTTGGTCTTTCACGAGTTCCATCCGTATGTATTGCTTGGTGGTGAGGCTGCGAAGATAGCACTGTCCTGCATCATCCAAGTCATGAAGGGCCAAGCATGACATCAGCGCTTCATGTAGATTATCCGGGATTCCACTTGATGATAAGAGACGAGGTATCTCTCTACGTTGATGGTATTCGAATTCTGGGGGTGGTAAAGAAGTATACCCATGCATTGCACTTTGCTTCCACGCAGACCATGACCCTGTTGATTCGTGGTGCGCACATGGATTCCGCTGATCCATCATGTCGCAGTCGACGTTGTGCTCTTGCATTGATGGATCCTTGACTTGATGGTACAACTCATAGATTGCCGGCGGGAGAGTCGTCTTTCGAAAGCCCGTAAGAAAGATTGGTGTATCTATCCATGAATACAAGCGGCGATCATGATGGATAGTGGTCACTGCTCTGATCCACAGGCGCTGGCTGCAAAGCCCAAGAGCAATGACGTCCACCGGTTCGAGATAAAGATGAATGTCTCTGATTAACTCTGATGGCAACTTCTCCAACCGAGACTCTGCATCAGGACGATTAGGCTCCCTCAAAGCCTGGTCCAGCTGTACCAATGCCGCATTATGCACATCGATAGAAGGCCTGTAGAGTCGATGAAACGCGTCGAACGAGTCATTGAGGATGCAGAACAGTTTCGGACTACTGACAGCATCACCAACTGCAACCTGCTCTAGGAAAAGTCCAAGCCAGTCGTTTGTTTCCAGTGGGATTTGTTCTTTGCGCAGCGGCGCTAAGATGGACATGGACCAACTCTCGACGCCCATGTAACCTTCACACATGATGCTTATGGTGATATTCTGATGGTTTTTGGAAGACAGAGGGTAAGCAGTCAGCATTCGTGCGGAGAAGTCAAAGCCATGTTGTCTGTTGGCTGCAAGGCGTAAGCAACAGCTGACTTTGGCTTGGCCCTACATTGGATGTGAGACATGGTGGCCTTGAGCGGATATTGCAATAGTCTATTGCTATGCTGTCGCGCGACTGGTAAAACAGAAGTGAATAAGCTTTTTGATTGACAGCTAATTGCGGATCGACGATGGCGAATGCTCTGCTAGGGTCGCCTGGGAGTGTACGGGCCCGGGTTACTTCCTCCCTCCATAGCAAGTTAGCCAGTCATTTATTACAGCCGTTGCATTTTGTACCCACCATCGGCAACGCGTTGCAGGTCGATGGCAGCTCATGCGCTTCACAATTTAGGAACTTTTGCCTCCAGATAAGTGACATCCAATTTGTTCCAATCGTTGAGTACCTGTCTTTGCCGTTGTCTGATTCAATTGCGGAGCATTTGGGTTTCTGTCCATGTTGTGGCTTGCCCGTGCCCGTTTTTATGTCGTCATCCCAACAGTGTAGGGTAATGCCGACAGCATGTTAAAAACGCATGGAAGCCTACATAACACAGTCCATATTTGACGGAACTTACTAAAAGAGTCTTTATTATTTGTTGGGGGGCTTACGCGGCATGTTCGGGTGTCAATGTCACTGTAGATGCAATATTTATGCCAACTTGAGGTGTTCATCTGCTTGCGTGTCCAATCTTTGATGCGGCGGGTACCAGTCCCTCACCTCCTTGGCCACTCGCCCCGCAGGTAATCATAGCTACTGACATAGGTATTTGAGTAGGATCTTACGATGATATTTGGTGTCTGTATTCGTCCATTAGGCTACCGCTTAGCCCGTTAACTGGAGGTGTGATACGCACCGCCGGAATGTCAACGCAACACTGTGGTGCGATAATCTGGACACCAACGCAAAGCAATTGCCATTAATAGTACATGTGCTTTTTGAATCGCCGTTTACTACCAGGTGCATAGAGTTTATTGTAGGGCTGATTTGGTGGATAGATATCGCTTGGCAAATCGTCTGTTCATCCATCTCCACTGATGTTTTTGTGTCGGTTGCAGACTTGGCGATGCGACCTCAGTGCTGGCGTCAGCTTTTAGGGAAGTACATGCACTGTCAGGTTCTCCGCAGTCTGGAAACCTACTGTGCCACCTCGACAAACTTGGCAGGATGGGATTTTTGGATCCGTAATTGTGATTTTGAGCAGAACAATCAGGAACTGACATTGGCCCCACGTGCAAATTAGCAGATTCACTAAAGTTGCTGATCGCGAGCAATAAACAACGCATGAGATCGATCAGTGGTTTCAGGCCTTGATTGAAAGCCAAGCTAAACCGGTGAATGCCAGCCACTGCCGTTTGCATTACAGTTAGGCAGTGTCAGAGGCAGTTTTTAGAGCACTGGTGGGGGTCATAGATCAATTGTGGCGCAGTTTGACCAGCTTCAGTAATGGTAGTGCATTGACCAACTAAATTTGGCGACACCCACTAGAAAACAGTAACTGGCCCTTGGACCTGGGCTAGAACCTTTTGGCGAGAAAAGGCCCTGACCATATGCCTGAGAAAGGCCTGACTCTGAGGGTGGCTCCTCCCCCCTCCCTGTCCCCTTAAAAAAAGTTAGGACAATCAATTCATGGATCGTGATTAGGGGGAGTCAGGATCCAACTCTGCTGCAACTTAACGCTTCCTTCCTTTCAATCCTTAGGTTCTTTCCTTGCTTTCTATCCGCTCTTTATCCGTTGGCTTTCTTTTCTATTTGGCTCCTCCGCCTTTTTCCTTTTCTTTGCTCTCATTGCCAACTTCAATCCACTCGAGCAGCCAGATCGTGGCCCAGCGAGAACGAGACACGTCCTCTTCCTGTCCTTCGATGTGAGGTCCTCGACCCTCCTCTACCTACCACGACTTCGACTCCTTACCCCCGCCGAAGCGATCAACAGATCTTCAAGATGCGCGTCTCCAATTTGCGGCTGCCCGATGGCATGCGCAACTTCAGCATGCGCTTGGCTTCAAAGATTCCCCATCCTCACCCGAGGCGCATCATGCTCTACATAACATTGACCGCCATGATGGTCGGCATGATTGTCACGTTTACGATGTACGACAGCCTCTTCTGGAGTGGCAAGCCCAAGAACACCGGCTTCGATCCTCTGCTCTCCCGAACCAACGATTACCGTCTCCTCACGAGCAGGCGGAATAACCTGGGCTTCTACAATACCATCAATGTCAAGAAGACGGGCCAGAAGATTATGAATCCTACCCTCCTTGAACTGCCAAAGGGTAGCAAGCATGACTTCCTGGTCATCGCCCGCGCTCCCCACGTCGACCAAGATATCAAGGGCAAGAAGTACAGACGCGCCCAGCAAGTCGCCACCTTTGTTAGCCTTACCTGGGATGCGTTCGGCCGGCCCGAGCTCACTGCGGACAACGATTGGCACAAGATGCTCGTGGAGGACTTTACAGAAGAGCAAGGCCCCGAGCATCACTGCAAGCACCAGCCCGATATGGATAAATACATTGGTCCCGAGGATATGAAGCTCTTCTGGAGGAAGAACGGCACCCCGATGCTTATCTTCACCCACCAAGTCAACGACGAGAACCTCTGCGAGGGCATGTACATCGTCGACGCCCGCGCTGCTGTCCCTGAGCTTGTCAAGCAAATGGGCAAGCACGCAAAGGGAATACCACCCATCGAATTCGACAAACCCATCCTTCTTCGACGCCAGCCCCCCGAGGGTGAGGAGTCCGCGGCTCGATACCAACGCGAGAAGAACTGGGCTCCTGTATACAACCCCTTCAGCGATGACGACGACGAGATGATGTTTATGGTTGAGCCTAGCCAGCTGTACAAATTCAACTCCTCCGACTCGCCCGTTGAAGACATGGAAGCCGACGCCGAGTCAGCCGTGGACGAGCCTTTCCCTCCCGACAATGAGGGCGAGACATGGCACTCCAGCAGCGCAACCTGCATGAACGACGTCATGCTCACCGACAAGCGAGTCCATCAATCGACACCCATGCTGAGTCTGACTCTGTGCAATCGCGGAACCTGCGAACCTGCGGCGAACAATACAGTCATTATGGGCATGGTACAGATGCGCTACGACCCTCCTCAATACACAAACACGTGGTACGACCACCGAATCGTCGTTTACTCGCCCGTTGCGCCCTTCAACATGATGAGCATCAGCAAGAAGCTCACCTACCATGGTGAGACCAACAGCAAGTACATCTGGACCGGGAGTATGGTGTACCACGGCGACCAGCCAGCGCAGCGCAGTCACGGCTTCCTGGACGACGAGATTTGGCTGAGCTTCGGCATTGGCGACTCCGCACCTGGGTGGCTGGACATCAAGGCAGAGGAGTTGGTGTTGGACCACTATTTCTGCCAAAACGCAACATCGGACTACCGATCCAGCATCAAGCAGCATTCATCATGACGAGACACGAACAATGTAATTGGTAATAGAGTGGCATCACATTAATTTTGCGCAAAAGGAGTGTATTACATATAGGCATAGCACATTCACATTACATATACTGAAAGAGATCAAAGTGTATACCCTCCCACCTTTTTTGGGATATGGAGTTTGTGGGAACCAACGGTAGAATAGAGAAGGCAGCATTCCAATGAAATGAACACACACAATTGACTGATCTTCATGACCCAAACCCCTGAGATCTTCTATGAAACGCCGGAAGGGCCCTTTGTTGAAGCCCCGCTTGAAGAATTAATTTCCAGATGCTTCTTGGCGAAGACGTTCTGCCTTTAGCTTTGAGGGTCGATACCGAAGGGACCAGGGGTCACCTTGGCAGCTGTGCTTGATTGGTAAGAGCGTAAATAACTTACGGGGCATGAACAGGGCTGTCAGTACGCGAAAGGGGGCGGCCGCTGTTGGATTGATACCTGGAGATAGGGCTGAGATAAGAGATAAGAGCTCTATGATAAGATAAGGCCAGTATCTCGGCTGGACTTGACATTGACCTTGGAGATTGACAGTCCGTTCCTCTCTTGTTATCCATTGCATTTTGATGAAAGTATTTCACCTTGAAAATAACAATTACTGCATAGTAAGACGGTCGAACTTTTGATCACACCGACTGTCGCGTGACCAAGTAGGGGTCTAGATCCTTTCTCGGAACCTCCCCATAGTAAGCATCGCTTAAACGTACCCATAGCCAAGAACCATATTTCACGGATTCCGGAAGACGCAGCCCAATTCCTTCGAGCTGTCAAAGGGTCCAGACTCCAGGGTTGACTGTCAACCTTGGTAGGAGCATTCTCGTATTTGTCGGATGACGACGAAAGTGTGGCGCAAGCTATAGCTTGGCAATTATCTGACATGTGTCTTGCTCCGCATCCGTCGGTCCTTACACTTTCAACTGACGATATTTGGCGACGCGAACATGGTTAATCGTGGGGGACGGAGTAAAGCTTGTAAGACTTGCAAGCGCAGGCGGGTCAAATGCGGTATTTACGAGAGGAGTGTTTCGAGGACTAGTGGCTGACTGTCTGTAGATAATGGCAAACCGCACTGTCAGCGGTGTGAAAAGGCTGGGTTGACGTGTGAAGGATATGTCACTTACGAAGAGTTCGTTGATGAAACGGCGAGGTTTCGCAAGGACAAATCTCCTGCGAGATATAGCCAGCATGAACTACAACTGGTTCACAGGCCTTCCAACCCACGTCGGCAAGAGCTCCCACTTCCAACGGGACCCTTGATCAACGAAAACGATATAATACATACCCATCTCCTATCCAAGATGGTGGAAGTCCAACCCTTGATGACCAACCTTGAATCCCTTCCCACCTCGACCCGATCTCTCGCAATCCGAGCACTAGCAGCTGTGTACTTTGGCAAAACTAACTCTCATAAACGCATCTTTGACTTGGGCACGAGGGAGTATGGAAAGGCGTTGAAGAAGGTGCATGAAGATCTGTCGAGTGACACTGCGGTTTTGGAATGGGAGACGTTGGTCAGTGTGCTTTGTCTGTGTATGTTTGAGAGTATTGCTTTTACGGATAAGAGTGGGTGGTTAAGACACTATGAGGGGATCTCTGAACTGGTAAGGTATTACTTGTCTTCCAATGCTGGGCTGCGTGTTGACTAATGGTATGTAGGTTAAGCTGAGAGGGCCGTGGAGACATCAGACAGCTTTGGACCGAGAGCTCCTACGACAGTGTCGCTTCGAGATTGTATGTCTGAACCCTTGCCTATGAGAAGCCTGACTGACTTTAAGTAGATTGTGTGTGCACTGATAAAACGCCGTCACTGCTACCTTGCCCTCCATGAGTGGCAGACCATCCCTTGGCCCGAGAGTGTACCGAAGACAGCCAGCGATACTATTCACGACATCTTTGCCTATGTCCCAGGTCAACTACACGACATGGATCGTGTAGAAAGGGGAGAAGTGGACGGAGACTTCAAGGACGATCTACGACAACGTGTGGAAATAACGCTGTCGAACCTTGAAGATTGGGGCCAGTTCTATCACCACCCACGTCCTCTCTCTGGTTCATTACCAAACAGCGAAGTGATACACTCAGTCAGAGACAAAGCGCTACTCGCCCTACAAAGAGCTATCATTCTTTGCATGGTCAACCTGTGTACGCTCCTCAAAGTCCCCCTCGTCGCAGAGATACCGACGGCCTTCGAAGATCAACAAGCAATCCGGACATGTATTGCGATCGAGATATGCCAACTGGCCATATCATGTGTCGGTGATGACTCCACGGGAACCGAGCCATTACTGTTCATATTTCCTTTACAAATTGCGAGTATGAACTTGCAAGCGGGAAGTGCTGAAGAGAAGTTGGCTGAGCAAGTTATGAATGATGTTATTGCTGGACAACATGGGTTCGAGATTGGACGGAGAAGGGAGTTGAGGCCTTCAATGATAACTAATGCGTAACGAATTAACGCCGTCTATATGATGTCTACCGTAATAATGAATCCAATTGTTTAAACACTGTAAATCATGAGCCATTCCAGCTTAGACACCTTCTTCTCATCCTTCTCTTCTCTCTTCTCGGACTTCTTCTCCAACTTAGCCATAGCCTTGTCGTGCTTCTCAACCAATTTTGCTCGATCTTTCTCCACCTCCTCTATATCCTTCATCCGTCTCCTTTCAATCTCGGCCACCTTCTTACCACTCGCGTGCTCGAGCTTCGCATCAGCCTTGGCATTGATGTCCAAGATCTTATACTCCAGACCAACGATCTTGGCTCCGAGCTGCAGCCGATCTTCCGTATCAGAGTCATATCGCTCTTCGATGGATGCAATCGGGTAGCTGTACTTTGTAGCAGCTTCCTCGCGCTTGTGTAGCCTCTTGTCCTCCTTTTTCTGCTTCCTTTTCTCTTTCTTGGCTTGTTTCATGGACGCTTGTTTTGCGCTGATGCGATCTACCACATTGCTGTGTCTAGTTGGAGGCTCGACGTCGAAAGACAATGCCTCAACGTAGGGGCCGAGCTCTTGTAGTCTCTGAAGCGGATCTAGACTCTTAGCTGTAGCGCTGAGTCGTTGCATAACCTTTCCATCTTTCACAATCTCCATCTTCAAACCCTTGGGCCCGAAGACATCTCGATTCGCCCTGTCCAACACAAGTTTTGATCTGATGATTGCAGACGCGGCTGTAGCGGTGCCCGCTGCAAGTCCAAGACCTAGAGAAACGCTTTGGCAAATGGGGTCTGGCACAAAGCCTACACCATCGCTGGCGAGCTGCATCGCTTTGAGAGGTGCTGGCTCGGCGTGGGCAATATTCAGAGAGTCCACGATGGCCATAAACTCGGAGGAGGATATTCCGTATGAGCCAAGGACTGGAGGGTATGCTCTGATGAATGGAGGAGTGGCTTCTAGACCCCCTGTGATCGAGGAGCAAGGGAGTAGAATAGGTCGAGATAGAGTCATGGTGGTCTGTGAAGGAGACGCTGGAATGGTCTCTTGGTAGGATGGTGGAGCTCCTTGGTGCTCGTAGCTGTGACGATGCTGCATATCGCCTTGTAGTTCAACAAGCATTTGATGCTGCTGGGAATTCTTTTCGTCGGAGTACATCGCTTTTGAGAGGATCGTGAATTGTTTGGAGTTTAGATGATGAAGATACAAACAGCGATCTTCACGAAGAGGATATGCGACCTTTTATCTTAAACAGAGCGACAGTCCATCACATCCTGTTCCATCACCAACTGTAGCGCTGAAATGAGGTTATTCCCAATTGGGATCATTGCTCGAGATCGACGCTGTCTGATAGCGCCTCTGAAAAGCAGACGCTAAACCCCAATAGGTTGATTGTGCGAGCTGGGCTGTGCCGTCTCACGACTGACTTCTCGACAAGATTATTGGATAGCGATCTCTAGCTTCTGATCAACGCACAGGTTGTCATTCGTCCTCTGCCATAAAGACCAAGACAGTAACAGTGCCGCAAGGGTGTCAAAAGAATTGGCCGGTTAAAGCATGAGAGATGAAATAATTTGATCACTTTATGCCAGCTTAGACTAATACTTAGGCTACTTTATTTTAGTACCCTAAGCCTTAGAGGATATCTCTTCTGTCACCCACCTAGAGTGCCTGCGTGACCATGGGAGGGCGGCTCATCGTTCCGTCAGATTAAATACTATTAGTGGTTATACGAAGGTTGTGCACTTCTCACCACCACCACAGTCTCATTTTCAATCCAGAGCCTGGTTTAAATCTTTCACCATGATTTGCAAAATAATCCCTCAACAACATCACAAGAATGAACAAACCCATCGCAAAGCTCATGCTAGTCATGAAAGGGCTGCTCAAGACTGTATGGGGCTTCCCTGCAGCAGCGTATCGCCGCATTGTCAATAGATGTTCAACGCTCCTACGCGCCATCGGTCTCGGTATCGCAACAATCACGAAAGGTCCTGAGAAGCCCAAAAGGCTCTTGACCATGTCCAGAAAGGTTGCACTCGCGCGATGCGGAGCACACATACTTCCGTCTTGTGTGTCTCTGATTCTCATCACCATCAATCTGTTAAGCTACTTTATCGGTGCTGAGCTACAAGCTTTCCAGAATGGCGACAGCATCAAACTTGGTATACTTCAGATCTGCGCAAAAGCACAAGAGCTACTCGTTGTGGCAAGTCTCTCAACTGTGATATTTCATGTTTTGAGATCAGAGCTTGTTTTCGGCCCGGGTTTACCGCTTGGTTTGCTGGGAGCAGGGTTCAAGTGAACGTCTCTGAGGTAAGTACGATTAATGCATGGTGATAAGGTGACCTTGCTAATTAGTGGTAGTTTCTTTTGGTCTCAAGAGTTCTGGGGATCTACCAGATACAAAGAAGCCCTGCTCCGAAAGGCTAGCATCTTTGGGCTCTTTATCATCTCAGGTCTTTTGGCTGTCCTTGCTGGTCCGACAACTGCTGTGTTGATGATTCCTCGAGAAACAGAATGGAAAGCTGGAGGGGCTAACTTCTACCTGAATGGTGAGTAAAAAGAAGAAGATACATAGCTTGAGCTTATGGTTTCCAGGAACGAAGGAAGAGATGTGGCCGAACTTTCTCGACGTACCGACTGTGAACTGTAGCGGGGACACCTGGCTCAATAACTCTCGGTGCCTTGCAAATGGCTACCAATCAATCCATGATACATTTACCAACAGAAGAGGGAGCAGCCAGGAGGGACGGATAGCCTTGCAAATTTCTGATGGCGATCTTTACAAGACTGTTCATGCTCGAGCTCGAGAGTCAACGACCTACATCGTCGAAACTTGGGCGTGTACAGCTCATGTCCCCACCGCCATACTGCATGCGGCTTCCGTAAGTCTGTGGGTGGCAGCACTTAACTACCTGGTATCTATCGCCAACCCAATCATGCACCCGAATCCCAAGCTTCTTCGCTACGCTTCGAGCCGCACGGCTAGCGTCAAGACTGAGCTTCCTGCGGCAAGAGTATTCTGCACTGATGTCGCCGAGACTGTTGAACAGAATAGCACATATATCCTAGCCAGCTTCCCTATGCTCACAGAGTATGGTCTGCAACTGCGGAACAGTACGCCTGGGGGAGATGTTGTCTGGTTCCAAACATACGATGTGACCAATATTGTGATTGGTATGATGAACACTCCGGCATTCACAAGAATCGTCGTGGAGCCAGTCGATCTACCACCAGACCTAAATCAAGCCAGCTCTGTAGGGGTGCTACTCCTCAGCCCCGAAGGTGAAATTACTGGAAGGTGGAAGTTGCAAGGGTGTTCCATCGACGGGAGGTGGGTCAAAGGAAAGACAAAAATCACAGAAGACCCCCTTAGCGTCAAATATGACTTCAGCGCTGATCAACCTCGTTCCACAGTGGACAGTACGGCAGATGTCGAGGCATATGGCTGGGGAGGATTTACGCCCCCGAATGATGGGACATGGAGACGTATCAACATCACTGCTGGTTGGCTGAGTGCCCTGAATGCTGAAATACCAGCGAATGGTCAGAACAATGGAACCAGACAGCAGAAGACGATCGCGAGTATATTTGAAGCCGTTTCTGATGGCCCACTAGGTGATGTCGATGCGAACATAATGCGGGAGCTTGCTTTGGCGGTCACTGTTGCTGACGGTCTTTCGCGATCATCAAGCTGGCGCACTACGAACTATAGTTCCACCTTCGAGCCTCTTGTCTCGACGACATGGAATGGGGCATCTGCAAGAACTCTAGTCCGGATTGGTGGCCCAAAGAACAAGCCGGACTCAGGAAATTCGGCCAAGAATGCCAAGCTCCATATGCAGATGGAACTACACGGTTATGCCATGTCCGCCGAGAGCTGGTTCGACTTTTTCTGTATTGCAGTCCTCTTGACCCATACTATCATCGCGCTCAGCCATTCGGTATGGGTGGTATGGTATCGAAGAACGAGTGACGCTTGGGAGAACATCACCGAAGTGTTTACTCTGGGTCTCAACCCAGACCGCCCTGGACAGACTGGTGAACGTGGACTAGAAAATACTTCGGCGGGTATCAGAACATGGGTTCCTACAAGTCAGGTTGGCTGGATCGAGGCTATCGATGGTAATACATCAACTTCAACAGCTTCAGATCGTCCTGAGGAGTTACAGCTAAGATTTGGTCAAGGTAGACACATGAAAGGGGACCAAAGAGATAATCAGTTCCAGGCCAAGGAGAACACAGACTATGGCACGATCTGAGAGTTTACGGAGGGGAGCTAGGTGGGTAACAGAAGAAATGTCCTCTAAGACTTAGGGTACCAAAATAAAGTAGCCTAAACGCTTCTCTAAATCACCATAAGATGCCTAACCTATTTCGTCTCTTATGCTTATGACAGTCAATTCTTCTAATACCATCCCATACCCATTCCGATATTCCATCTGTAACTCCAATATCCTATCAAAACTTCACTCCAGAACCTCATCTCCAGACTCCTCTGCAGAATCTGCAATTACCAATCAAGGATGGTACAACATAGCACGTGGGATCTCCGGTATGATTGGTGGCTCAGCCGAATCAGCCATCGTAAGATCATGGCCAGTGGTATCGTTGGTGGTATGCTTGAACTTCGGTTGCTGAGCCCACAGAACCCCTCCGGGTCCTCATCTGAGTCTGCCATTACCATAGGTTCCGGTGACTCTGGTTTTTTGTTTTCAACCTTGTACTCCTCAAGGTCTTGCTTCCCATGGTCTTCTTGCTACTCAGTTTGACTCGAGGCTTCTTAGAGTTTAAGTGTAGAATCTCAGAGTCTGCATATCGTCTGATAACTGGAGTAGGATCCGGAGCTATAGCAGCCCGGGCAAGGGATGCATGGTGTTCCTGTAATATTTAGAGCTTGATCGTCAAGATAACAACCAGAGCACTTACCCGATGTTTTCCAGTCGCCAAGTGTGTGATGAGCTGTTTTTCAGACTCAAATTTCGTACCATGACAGGACATGCCTTGGATGCGGCACAGCCATCTTCCATTCAGATTCCAATCAGGTTCTGAATTAGTTAGATGACGGAACATATGCTCTGAGGCACGTTTTCGGTTTTCAAGTCGTGCGGCAGAGAGTCGCTGATCTTGTTCTTCAAGGACGTCAATCCACATAGTATAAGTTAGTCACATGGGAAATATGCTGAAGTAGAGCACACTAACAGTTTCGAGTCTCAGACTTTGTTTCATTCAAAGAGCCAGAAGTTTCATCTGCATCTGGCAGATCATTGGGCCAAGCAAGCTCAGTGCTGTCGCTAATCGATGCTGAAATGTCTTCCATTGTAGTAAACTTAAGAGAAGTCATCCGAGAGAAAGTTGCAATTGAGACAGCGAAAGGGAATTTGCAGATTGAGAACAGTACGCAGCCTCCCGGAAGGATTGGAAACCAAAGTTTGTGGGGCCCTGCCTAGAGGTCGGTGACGACGACGATATTGTCGGTACTGACAGGTTGAGGAAGGAGCGGACCTCAGACGTCCGCGGCGCAAAATGTGGCTGAGTAAATGAGCAGCAGAAAAGCATATGATTTCGTGGCATGTATGAACGGTATGCATTTGCTAAAAACTAAACATATGGTATATCTACATAATAAAACTAGAGCATGGGTATCTCAGATAATCATGAATCGTATAAACAACATTCTCAAAGCATCAACCAAACCATCGCTGCCAAAGATCCTCCCAAAGCAAACTCCAAACAGCTCTCAAGACCAAATGCACCGCTTTCATCATCCGCATCATCCGACATATAAGTCATGGTATTCGGTGTGGCAGGGTAATAATTGTCGTTAAAAGTCGAGTTCAGCGTCACGTTGCCCACCGCATCACCATCTTCAAGGCGGATATATGTCTGAACCTCGTGCTTCTCCAACATATCCTCTGTCACGACGATTTCTCGCGCACCTCTGATCCAATCGCCGTAGCCGCCGTACCCTGAGTGCTGTCCGTAGCAGAGGTGGATACCGTTGCCTTCAATGTCCATTCCGTCTAGCTTCGTATCCCAGCGGTAGCACCATGTGTTTCCGTGGTCGTGACCGTAGAACAGGCCGATGATTCCAGGAATAGTGACCAAAGCTTCCATGAAAGGAATGTCTTGGCCGCCGTATGGGCAGTCGTAGGTAGGGGTTCCGTCTGCGCACCATCCGTAGCCCTGTTGAGGTACTGGAGGGTCATCGTTGATACCTACCTGGTAATTCTTGCGAATACCCAGCTCGGTCTGAAGGGCGACTGTCGCGTTGGGAGGTACGTGGACAAAAGCGAGTGAAGGAATGGTTTTGTTGTACTTGTCCGTGATGTCCGTGTTGGTCTCATTGAACCAGTCCACAACGCTCTGGTCAACCCAATTCTCCTGCCAGCTTCCCTGATAATAGTTTCCGCCACGGCTATCAAAGAACCATAGGATGAGCTGTGGACTGCAATCGGAAGTCTTCTTGCAGTCGGAAGCATAGACGGGTAGATAGTAGTTGGTTGTACCAGATTTTGTCGTGTTGACCATTTTCCGAGTACGTGCTCCAGGGAACATTTGCTCGCGTTCAAGAATTCCATCGCCAGCGATGTTGTAGTTGTGGTCGTGATTTCCATAGGTGGAAGCCCAGGTAAGACTGCGGTTTACCATAGGCTCAACGATCATGTCGACATAATGTGTGCTGTTATGCTTCCATGTTGAGTCACCGTTGATGAGATCGCCATTGAGAACGACCAGATCTGGTCTATCGTAGTCCAGGACCTTGCTGATAACCTCGACTGAGTGACGATCCTGCTCAGGACCTGTTGTTGATTCATCTAAACTCACATGTCAGTCGTATATCAGCGGTGGCCAATTGAGGAAACTCACATTGTCCAAAATGCATATCAGAGAAGATGGCAATTTGGAAAGTGCCATCCTTCTTGAACTGCAACGGATCAAGCTTAGAATTGTCCACATCTGCGCCATAACCGAGCGCCACAAGGGAAGCCATAGCAATAATCTGTCGTTTCATTGTAAATAAAGTGGCGATACCCAATGTGAAAATTGGATTGTTGATAGTCGTGATGATCTTTCTGGGGGATGCACATCCATCACGGCTCATCGCCTGTTTAAGAATATGCAGAGTCAAGCATCAATGCGTCATCCCATGGAATTTTCGAATAAAGCCCAAAACTTCACGATGCCCAGATGAGTTAGGCTTGCAGGTAAGGGGAGTTTAAAGAGGGGCATGGTAGCAGGTTTCGTGGACAGCGCACGTAGGCGAGTCCATGGCCAACAAGGCCTGTAATTTCGTGGCGCCTTTCCTTTTTTCCTCCGAATCTAAAAGCAATCATCTAACTTATTAGCCTGTCTTGAAAACAAGATGCGGGTAAAGCGGGAGTATAGTGTTTTAAAAGGCCTGGGGTAGTAAAGGTTATAGCATTTGAGTTTATTACAAAACTACCGATATCAATTGATGTTACCGATCTGCCTTACTTGGCACATCCCAACTCTGATCTCTTGAAGACTCGTATCAATTGACCGATCGATTTCGGGTCCGAGCCGAAGGTGTGGGATGTGGGAGAATCCGAGACCTGAGACGGCCCGAGCACCAACAGGAGTCGTCATTCCGCTCGACTAAGCTTCTGTAGCGCCAACTCAAAGCAACCAATGCCTTGGTCTGATCATTAATCTTTGCTCAACTGCCGCGTCAGTGTCGGCGTCAACAATTACCTAAGCTGCTTGCGCTCGTACGAGTTTGTTGTTAGCTTGTCTGCTAGAGGAAATTTGATGCTTGAAGAGGAAACAGAGCACGCGTGTAGATTCCCTTGTGGGCGATGGATTGATCCACTGATCCACGCGATTGGAAAAGCTTGGCCTGTTTCTTATCAGACTGATAATATTCGCTCTTTTTTCGCACGTGAGAGATTCTTCATTTGCGATGTCTCGTAATGGCATTGTAGTGTTTCGCAAAACACACCAGGGCTAGTGTTGCGTCAGGCAACATTACTTCAAGTTTTGGGCATCGGTACTCTGCAATTAACTTTCGGATAAATTGCACAGAAAGCAGCGATGCAAGTCCAGAGGCGTACTGCGATGAGCTAGCTGAGAAGGGGAGAGATGGGCACGGCAAGTATAACCTGCATAAGCCGGCAGTTAGCCCTGGTTTATTTTGGGAGAGGGCTTTTGCTTAGAATTTTGACCTCACCAACAGCTGGCCAAGACATTATCTTCCTCCGTAGTCTCCGAGCGGCAGATCAACCAGACGACCAGACATGGCATATCATAACTCCTCTTTCTGGCGACACTATCTATACATATATAAACAAAGGCAACCCAGCATTTTACTCACCACGCTAAGCAATGCAGCTTGGCTCAACCTAGAACTCAGGCGATACCATGACAAAGCCAGCATCCTTCTTCGTCCAATCTCTACTATCATCCATAATACAGCTCTGCATCTAGCACATGTTGATCGTCTTGGCATTGTCGCCATGAATAGTGTTGATACCAATCAAATCACCGTCGGCGATAGTGAATATGGATCGGCCCTGGATTCCATCGTCACAGACGTATTGCCACCTCTTTCTGGGTCTTGCTGATAATCAAGTACTTCATTGTAACTCCGTATTCAAGAATATAGATGCATCGGTATCGTCTTTCAAGTTGGGTTTGACGGAGCAAGTATGAACTCGCCGTCTACAGCATGGCCAATAAAACAGATTCGTACATGACTTTTAAAGCTGCTGTAGTGAACATATGAGACTTAGATGAGACCAAGGCTCTGATATGATGAAACAGACCTCCGGAGAAGCCAAGAGAGCGGAGAGAGCTTCAGGAAAAGTAATAGAGTTATACCATGCATGGTGAGTCATGAAGATGAGACGTTATGTGGGAGACCTGCAAGTGGTTGTGAGAAGAATTGTCCTCTAAGGCTTAGGGCGTGAAAATAAAATAGCATAAGTGATAGCCTAAAAGCTCGCATGAGGTAACCAAATTATTTCGACCCTTATGCTAAAGGCGACCAATTCTTCTGACCCTGACGGCAAGATATAGCGAAGACGGAATTTTGATCGGACGGGGGAACCGTCATTGCACGAAGTCGTAAACCTTCTTGGGCGTGACCTTACTTCATAGCTAACCCTTGCCTTCAATCAATGGAAGTTGCAATCTCATTGGGTCTCAGTCAGGTAGTATTATATACTGGACTGGACCTGTCATCGGCTTCAAGAGGAAGGTACGCCGAAAGTATCCTTAGTCTAAACTATCACGGCTTTCTATTTCTCCGTTTGACTCTAAGATTCTACCGGAGCTAGAGAGTTGCCCCGGTCACCGTTTTGGAAAGGCTCACCGTTCACGACTAATCAGTATTCGCGCTACCCATTGCGTTTCCCAATACAGAAACTTCACATACGACAGGTCGCCACTTTAGTGCAAGATAAGCTCTGTTTCTGGTTGAAGATCTATACCTCGATCTGTTTTTCACAATAGAGTTCCGCTGTGCCTAACTTATCCTCCAATGGATATGCGATGAACCCTCCGAGTCCCCGTCTGTAGATCTTAGAGAGATCTTCAAAGTTCAAATCAAGATGGATTGCCGATCTTGTGTACAACGCTATACCCGAAACCGTGTAGAACTGCAACCAGCGGTCCAACCCCGCGGCCCTATCCGCTCCAGCTGAAGGTGGCTGCTTATGGCGCACAAGTAAGACATCAATACCTTAAAACAGCAACTGATCGTGCGCAGCTTGCGGGTTGCCGTGCTGAACAATGAGGAGCGTACCCAATAGAGGGAGGATATAGCACGCAAGGTATTTGCCTTGATCTGCCGACCTTGGGAAGGTTTATGCAGTATGACCTGATTGCTCGTCCGTTCGCCGGGAATGAGCAACTAAGCAAGCTTAATGCCCAGGTCTCAACAAGAGCCACTGTTTAGTTATGCAATTGACCTCTTCATTATTAATACATATGATGCTTCTGAATAAAGACCCTGTAAATTGCACAACATGAACCAGACCGACTCGATCAAGTGTTTCGTATTACAAAAGCACAAGACACAATATCACATACACTGCACACCGCTGTTCAAGTGATTCATTCTCGTGAAGGAGTTCTTTGGTCCTTTAAAAACAACGCACTACATTGGACCCTGCTGTCACGATACCATCAGATATCAGATACGCAATTTTATCATGTTGAGTGTTATGCCAACAACATCGGTCTTGGAGGCCCACATTCCCTCCATCAAGCATTATCCAAGTAAGCTATAGTCCGCTTTTCAACCAAACAGTTAAACTGACAGATGAAATCAAGCTGTGGAAATAAATGAGGCATATGAATACGACTATATCATCTTCTATCGGTGGTTATCACCAGATCTCTACGAAAGAGGCAGAGTTATGGCACGTCTAGTAGCCGAGATGATTGAGAAAAAGGCACGCCGTGTCTGGCTTGACCAGCATCAAATGACGAGAAGCACAGAAGCTGGAGAAGTCACCAAGAGAATATCTCAGACATTCTTATCAGTCTCTCAAATTGTTATCTTGGCAGCACCTGGCGATTGGCATCGTTTCTCAAATATGGATGATATTCATCGTTGGGAGTGGGAGATGAGCCTGAGAAGCGGTGAGTGGACTCACTTTCTGAGAAATCGTGATATTGACACTGACCGCCATCCAGATAAACAAATCTGGCTGCTGCAATACGGAACACCAGACACCGCACAGGCAGCCACAAAAGAACAACTGGAAGCGGAGATGATTACACATTGTCCCAGGCTAGCAAAGTTGTTTGCGGGTCGCGAGTTGCATATACGATCGCTATCGATGGATAACATTGACGTGGTGCTGGGTGAGATTGCAGAGGCGCGGTAGGGACGGGGTTACAGCCCCTTCGGCGACGCCCGATGTCGATCCCTAAAGTCCAATAACTTCAATCGATGGGTAGATTTCGGGGAGAACTCACTAGTCATGCAGTATTGCATCCGTGTTTCCTTAAGGTTTTGGGCGTGGGGCGGTATGATGTGGCGTTGGACGAAAACAGATCGACAATGCAGTGAGACAGTCACGGTTAGGGTAGCGTGAGATAATCACGGACAGGCTAGAGTGACTTATTAAGGCATACACAAAAGCTATTCCGTGATTAGAGGCCTAGTACATCATTACTTAATGCTCCTTCACCCCCAAAGTTCTTCTCTAGCTCAATATGTTCGTCAGTAAGCACCTAAGCAAACATGTCTGCTATTGCCACTAAGCCAAGCCACGGCCTTCGTCTCGACGAGCCGATTATACCCAGTAGCTCTCAACCTAGGGAGGACAGTATGTACTTCACTTCGCTCAATCCCTTACAGATTCTCACATGCCTGTAGCAGATGAAAGCCTTACACACATACAGAATGCCTTTAAGGCTGGCAAGGAACACGTCGTCCCATGGACATCCCAAGAGGATGCACGGATAGAACAAGCCATGAACGACCTTGGCTCTTACCTGACTGAACTTGACCATTCTCTCTCTTATGAGGGAACGGACAAGAAAGTTGTTTGGCGAAAGTCTTGCTGGTTCGCTAGCCACGGCATAGGTCATCCGTTCCTAGATTCTGAGGATGACATCGCCAAGTTTGACGGTGATCTTAAGGATGGTCTTACTGGTCTTCAAGCTCTGCGTGACTCGAGGATTCGAGACTCTATGCATTGTCTAAAGGCTTCCTTGGACAGTGCTCTGGTGAAGACCAGTATGGCTGTTGGTATCGATGCAGACATGGTGCAGCGATGTACTGTTCGGTATCGTGCTATCAAGTATACGCCTCATGCTGGCGCCCCTGGTGGCATTGGCCTTCATCCTGATGGTAATCTCCTGTCTGCACTCATCACAAATGGACCTGGACTTCGTGTCTATGACCTCGATGGAACTGTGCGTTTTCCTGGATACAAGGGCACGATTATGATGGGTGGATCTACACTTTATCGTTGGGCTAATGAGTTTCTTCCAACATTTCATGATGTCGATATCAGCGGGGACGAAGTCAAGGTTTCCATCGTGGCATTCTTCAACTTTCCCGATATGGAGACAATACCAAGAGGTTTACGCACTGAGGGAGACGGCTTCTTTCATGATATTCGACGCATCAAGGAGGATGATAAGTTGCCTAACGGAGAGCTATCGGCGCTTTGGGATATTATTATTGAGAATCATAACTTATCGCTACCGCCAGTTCGCGCAAGCGGATGAGTTTGGTTAGTTTGAATCATGTGAGCGGCGGCAGTATTCGTATTTCTTCTTCCTGCTTAGGTAAATACTATCTAAGTAGTCAAACCGGTCAGGTGGGTGTCAGGAAAATTCTCCCCTAAGGCCTAGATTAGAGAAATAAAGTAGCTTAACTGCTAGCCTAAGCTTGCATAAAGGGACCATATCATTTCGTCTCTTATGCTCTTAGTAGTAACGCAGTCTATCTTTGTGTGCAATTGTCAAAAGCCTATATATGAGCTGGCTGTCAAACTTATCCATAGTAATATCTCGTTCACCCTTCAACTTACTTCAGTTTTGTCCTTTTCCTCACTGACCCTTCCTTCACTTTACTTCCCGTGAGCATGTACTTCTTCCTCTTCTTCAGAACTTTCAGTCTCAATAGATTGCCGAAGCATTTCAACATCTTGCTCATCGATCGATTGGCCCCTCGCCACCGTCTCCTCTTGCGGAGCCTCATGGCTATGCAATCTCATGTTAATAAACATAAACCACAACCCCAAATCATACATGATTCGTAGCACACCACCAACAACAAAGGCGATCCAAAACTTTCCACTCTCAGCAAGACCACCTGTTAGCGAAGGACCAGTAGCCATGGCCAAGGTTCGAAGTGTAGAGGTGATACCCATGACAGCAGTGCGCTCCTCAGGCTTGACTACTGCAGCGATGAACGCAGCTCTCGGTGCTTGGTCCATATTGTTGAGACCCATACGGATAAACAACAGGATCACTGTGATGACGACACCGCTTGGAAAAGGGAAGAACAATACTGAGATTGAAGATGGCAGATGGGTAAAGACCATGGTGTTGATGAGTCCCAGATGTCGAGCTAGAGGTCCAGCGAAGACTGTGGAGATTGTGGCTAGAACCTGCGCTGTTGAGAAGATGTCTCCGAGTCTAGCCTTAGATAGGGAAAACTTGGTGTCGAGGAAGTACGTCGTTAAGGATTCCGATACCATACCATCGGCCAATGAATCGATAGTAAGAAGGAACCAAAGACGGTACATGACAGATCTGGTGCCTGAAGAGACACGTGAAAAGCGACTGGCGTGTTGCGGAGGGTTCGAAGCGCTAGTTGTCGGACGGCTGGTGTCTTCGTCCTCGTCCATAGAGTCTCGAAGAAGTCCCTCAGCCAACTCATCTGATGCCTCCGAGGAATCATCATGATCGGCCTCCGTCTTGTTGCTCATGACAAAGGCAAAGAAGACGTTCAACGCACCCATCAAAATGTATACCCAAAAGGTAGCATGGTACGCCGACACAAGGTTCCAGCCTTTGCTTTCAGTCATAGTCTCAACAAATCGTCCGGCCAATGCCGTCCCTGCTGCGGCGCCCAGACTTGAGCTGGTAACATACCAAGCCAAGACATCAGCTCGAGTCTTTGGGCTTGTAATGTGAGACAACATGGATTCTTCGATCGCTCGAAACGGACCAAAATCACTGCCACTGGCACTGATAACCCCAACAACAGCAGCCAAAAGAAGAATCCAGAAATTCTCAAAGATAGAGAAAATCACGCCCGAGAAAGCCATCAACACACCACCCGCAACAAGAATTCTCCGTCTCCCAAGCCCATCCGCCATGAGCGTAACAACCAGCCCCAGTACCACATCGCCCAAAAGCGTCAAACTCATGAACAGTCCAATCCGAAAATCCGAAAAGCCCAACTCTGAAAAGAACTGCGCTATCGTGAGCGTAACGGCCTTGAAGGCAAACATGCGACATGTGCGCGAGAGGATGAGTAACCATGCATCTTTACCAGCGCCGTAAACGGCTGAGATGCCGGACTCGTGGTATAGCCAGCCAGCCGTTTTAGCGACAGAGGTTCGTTGCGTCGCCATTTGAAAGATGAGAGGTGAGGAAAATATCGAACCGATGTGATCGCATGGTCAATTGCCTAATATCCGTCTAGTTTGCGGGGTGCGGCGATCGGAGGTATCGGTGCCGTGATCGGCAGTAGTCAGTTTACACCGAGTTGCCGTTTCGAGCGTCATTGTTACCGTGGTTGTGAGCGTGAGTCAGAGGAGGAATAAGGCCTGCAGATTTGGGCCATGGAGTTCAGAATTAGAGCCGAGCTGCTCTATAGTGAAGTAAAGTGTAGACTTGCAGAGTGAACGTTACAGTGGCTGGCCTGGTCTCTCTGTTTAAGCTTAAAAATGCTTGAAGCGTAAGGCGTTGGTGATAATTATATCTGTGTAAGAAGTCATCGTAGTGGAGGCCATATGGTAGGTTTCCAGCGTCAAACAATTAATTACGACGGTCGGGCTGCAATCTTGCGACCGTGGCAAGCACTTGGTTATCTGTACTTAAATTGCTAAGCCACAATCAAAACCCAGTACCTTGTCCCCGAATAGCTCAGCTGGAAGAGCGTTCGACTGTAATTGTTATATGTCATCGAAAGGTCACTTGTTCGATCCAGGTTTCGGGGAACCGTCTCTTTTTTTTGCATTTTCCATCAATCTATCTTATCATCATCTCTAAAGTCTCTTTAGACTTTTTATTGTTTGTTCTTTGGCCGGCTAATGAAACTGCCGTGCATAATGCATGACTCGTCCAGAATTAAACTTTTAAGCTTCTTGAAGCCCCGCATTCCAACTCTCAACTGCTAACGTCTTTATCCAGAACAGGCACAATGTCGTCTTCTGCCCATCCACTACCCTCGTGGTATTATCGCCTTGCTCCTCATCTCAAGTCTCACGGCGTGGTTCTTCCATGGAGTTTCGATGAAGACATCTCGGATCTCGATGAGGCGCGTTATAATGAAGCTAGTGCTTATAATGGGCCTGATGCAGAGTGGTTTCACCAACTGAGAGAGAAACGAGAAGAGCGCAAAAGGGAACTCCAAAAGCGAAGGGAGTTTATCCAAAGACAGAAAGAAAAGAACAGAGAAGACGAAGAGGACAAAATGAGAGAGGTGCAGACTGCTTATCAAGCCTTGGAAGGTACGGGCTACATGGCTGATCTTGGTGAATTGGATACCACGTTTGAGCTCTACTCCCTGGACTACTTTGACCATTTATACGATCCTAGTCCTGTCGGTAATCGTACGAAGTACTTGCGTTACGAGAATGCGGATGAGCAGAACCCTAACGGTCTTCTGATGGGCGTTTTATGGCTCAATCCAGACGTCAAAAGCGAACTTGTTCCATTCTACCCTCCATCACATTCGAGTTTGAAACAATACAGACTTGACACTATCGATGGAAGATTTGCCCTCATTGTGCAGTTCATCGACAAGAACCATATTGTCCTCCAAGCACGTCGAGACTTCGTTTTCATGGACAGGCCGCATCAGGCAACCGGGCCAGACACCTTCTTATTCGGAGGCGTTCGGAATGATTGGGGGAAACAACTGCAAGCTTATGCGAAAAGCTTCCATGGGACAGGATTTGGATTCTCGTTCGACGCGGCAGGTTGAAGGAGCCTTACGGTGGATCCACTTTGCGTGAATGAGCATAAGATGGTGTGCTGCGCCCCATCCTACGAAAGTGCACGGAGGATATATATAAACATGACTCCACTGTTCAACAATATTCCAGTTTTTATATCAAGTTTTTTGCATCATCATGGGAGCCTCAACATCATTGCCCACCATCGACAAGCCGTCAGAATTCCTCTCGCTCAAAGCTGGGACACTATGCGCTTGGTGTGACGATGGCTTGAAGCGCATCTCAGAAAATGGTGAACCGTACCGTACCCGCGCTCTGGCAGATCTTCTCGAGGCTTCAAAACACTGCCATTACTGTGCTATGTGGATGGAAGGCTTGCGCCAATCATGGCGTGAATTGAAGGAAGATGGACAAGTCGCAGCTTTCAAGCAGCATCCTCTAGCGCAGAACGCAGTCGATCCAAAGGACGTGAAACTTCAGTTCATCAATTATCATGATTGGCAGCTCGAGACTTCTGCACAGTATATTTGCTGGCCGTTTCAAGGTCATATGTGGGCGAAGCTTGACTTGGTTCCAGCGGAACGTGAGTGCGCCTTATCCTTGTATTCCTATTGCATGACTGACCATTTGTTGCAGTTGCGGTCTTCATATACACCAATCAATTGGCAAATTCAGATAAGACAGTTTTGATCAAGGAATGGTTGAAACGCTGCGAGAGTAAACACAACGTTTGCAAAGTCACGAAAGACCCATCATGGAAGCCAAGTCGACTGTTGCATCTTAGCAGCGAGCCCGAATCCCTGCAGATACGTCTTGTCAATAGTGACAATGTACCCGAGAGAGTCGAGTACCTGACAGTTAGTCACAATGAGCTATCCCTGGGACTTACGAAGGAAAATCTCGAAGAATTCAAGAAGTCAATTCCTACATCTCAACTCTCCCGAAGCTTCATCTCAGCATGTGAAATGGTCAGGACTCTGGGTAAAGAGTATGTCTGGATCGACTCTCTTTGCGTCATCCAAGACGACCCTGAAGACGAAGCTGACCGTATGGCCTTTATCTGGGAGAGGTCTTGGCTCCACCTAGTAGCCCATAGCGCTTTAGATGAAGGGAAGCCTATCTCTGGTGTTCATGTGACACGTGATGAGAGCTCTTGGCTTCCGATATGGGTTTCCCGCGAATGGGGTGGTCCTTCATCCGGCGACTATTGCGTTTCGCGATATGACGACTGGTGGACCGCTGTGTCACGCTCTCCAGTGAACAAGCAGGCTTTAACTATCGAGGCACGTATCCTTGCGCCTCGAGTGTTACATCTAGGGTTAGAACAACTCATGTTTGAATGCGGTTCGATGAGTGTCTGCGAGAGGCTGCCACTCGGTCGGCGGACCTCTAGTTCTGATCCGGTCTCAGCGCTCAAGTCTTTCATCACGCAAGTGAGGAATGATGGTTTAGAACATCTTACCCGTGAGAGCTTATTCAACGCCTGGGGTAATGCCATCCGGGTTTATGGCCAAGCAAGACTCGCTGTAGGAACGGATAAGCTGGCAGCGCTCCGTGCTTTAGCTGATGCATTCCATCCCGCCTTCAAACACTTAGCTGATTCCGAGACTGAGGTAAGGAATCAAGACAAAGATTCGCAAAAGCAAGAAACTGTTGACGACAGACAGCAAGACCTCTTCATTGCGGGACTGTGGAGGCCCTATCTGGAGATGCAGCTGGCATGGCGAGCGACATCAAACGTCCAGCGGTTCCAGTTGAATGGACTCGCCCCGATGGCGCCTGGTAAGCGATACAACCAATATGTCGCTCCAAGCTGGTCATGGTGTTCTCTGAAGGATGCTCTCATCGAACCACAAGGAGTGAGTCCGATCGACATTTATTTCGCAAGTGTACTCGATGTAAAGACTATGCCGAGTTCAGACCATGGTTCTAAAGAGGCACCTCGCTCCTCTCTTTACATCCAAGGCTCCATCATCCCCATCGCCGGCCTCGGCAAGGGAAACGGGATGAAACTGATCAACTTCGAAACCGTCAACCAAGATCCAAACCTTGGTTGGAAAGGCAAGACTATCGACATCGATAGTAAGAACTATTGGGATGTAGACTTTGATGAAGAGGCTGCCAAATGTCAAGGGCCTTTTGCAGTGCCCATCTTTGCTGATATGACAAGAACAACGAAGCCTCTTCACTGCTTGGTTCTGGATAGACGAGATGATGAGAAGGGCATGTATGCTGTGCGCCTGGGAGCTTTTTTGTTGGATAATATGGATGATGTGAAGGCTTTTTGGAAAAGTGTGGGGGCGTTTAATAGTGTTTCCTCTGATGGTACGAAGAAGTGCGATGGTCTGTTTAGGTTCGTTGAGACTGATGGAAGGGGCGAGTATAAGAAGGCGGACGGGGTACTACAGCGAGCCTTTGAGGTTCGATAGGTTTTGGTTTTCGATAACAAGGTTTCTGATACGACAGCAATAAGAGAAATTATGCTTTGGCACAGTAACTAAGTATGTTGAGTTTAATCCCAAACTCATATTCACAATTATTGCGATTTGTTTATCGACAGACGCGAACATTATACATACTTAAATATGGACAATATATTGGAATAGAAACTAAATACACTCTTGTGTCAAACTAGAATATTTACTCGTCAACGTAGGGGTCAAATCCCTCAACACCGCCATCACCAGCCGCATCCTTAAGCGAGTCACCAAACTCATCATCCAACTTCGGTCCAACACCACCACTCCAGTTCTGAAGCATCTTGTCCCGAAGACCAACATCAGGCCAGTTGTCCCAACCAACAAGAGGAGCCTTGAAGAAGGAACCTGTAGGGTTCTCAGGGTTCGCCCGGTCATCATCATTGGCGAAGCGGAAGCAGTGTGTTCCAGGACCATCCTTGTGATACACAAGAAGAGGGCTTGTGCCGTCGATGGGGAACTCGTTGCTGGCTCCCCCGTAGCCGCCATGGCATGAGGGGGCGACGCGGAGGACGGTGTCACCCTTTGCGAAGACAACGATGTTCTCCCAGTCGTGACGGTGACCACCGGCGAAGCTTCCTAGAGCACCCTGGTCTTTCTCGTAGTATGTCTCATACCTATAGTTCCATCATCAATACTTATCTCTGATTGAAGACCGGAAGGACTTACATGATAGCGCAGATACCGTTGTTACATCGCTTGCGAGAGTAGGTGTTGGAGTTATCCAGCTGAGGAGGATCACGGCAGTCCCCCTCAGGGGTGCCAGTTGCTCCATGTCCAGGATTTAAATTGCCATCAGGGTCGATAGCAGCAGTCTGGTAACAACCATCGCCGTCGAAGTCGAGCGAAGGTTGAAACTTGAGTTCAATCTCGTCCGCACCCTCGGGCAGGGCTGTGAGAACGTCTCTCTTGACTTGCTTAGAGACGGGCGATGCCTGGACTGAAGCAATGGCACCGAGAAGGGCTGCGGCGGTAAAGAACTTGTTCTGCATGATGAAGGTTGAGGAATGGGGTTGTGATGGTGATGGTGAGATTGAGGTTTGTTGGCATCTGTTGGAATATTTATACTTCATTGAAGCTCTATTCAACCATCTTCCTTCATCAACATCCGATCGATGAACAGGTTACTATTGAGCCTTGCACTGCTGATCTTTCAGCTTATGCACCTCTCAGACAATTACGTTGCACAAACGCTGATCACAATATTTTCCCACCATCCTAACTGGCTCCTTGTACGAGTTCCTTCACAATTCCACGGAACTCTCGCATGCCTCAATTAATCCCACGAGGGATAGACCTTTTGCTAAGTGAATCCTTCGTTATGCATCGGGCCCAATTAACGTGTAGTGCTGTTTCAGCCATGAAACGTTATAGAGTCAATTGCATCATCGTCTTGCTTTTTATTGAACGGTGAATACTTTAATGCCCGGAGTTAACAAGGGATGAAGCACTAAAAAAAGATCGTCACGGCGTTGTAGCGCACGTGGGTCAATCATGCAACTGTAAGGCTGTGTGAAGTCGGCGGTCTACACCTCTCGCTACCACGCAACACCTCGAAGAACTAACTACCTTCATGACATTGAGAGTCAAGAATAATTAAATACTTATTAAGTTATGAACGTGAAGCAGTGGAATTGGTCAATTGGAAATAGCACTACTCTTCAGCGATACTCCTTTCGCAGTCTAACTTGAGGTCCAGAGTAGTTTGTGTTCCTGAGCATCACCGAGAACAGTGACATACCAGCTCAATATTCTCCGAGCAAATATGCCTTACCAGATCCAACTTGACGTCAGAGACGAAAAAGAAATGTTCAAATCGGGCAAGTCGTGTCTTGTTTCGGCTCCACTCACCAGCGATGATCCCCAAGTCTGAATGCCGCTTATTTCTACAAGGGTTCCTCTCATTACATCCCAATCTAGTCCAAGCCACGACGGCAGTCACTGTGATAAGGTTAAGAGGTAAATGAGCTTAAGTCCTGATGTCACAGAAGGATTCTTGCGTTGCATTCGAAAGCTTGGTTATCACCCCTGATTGATCAGCACTCAGCTGCACAGCCTTGTGGAAACTTCGTTTGGGATCGGCATGAATTTGAAAACTTCGGGACCGAAAGGTTCTTTTGGTATCGCCCTGCATTATTGATGATCATTTCTCAGCCGCGGATCGTCCGGTCGGTGCATTGATCGGATTGTTCATCCTCAGAGTCGGTTGTAAGACGACATATGCCGACGACTATCCAGGTTCCCCTCAGACTAAACCATATGATCGGCATCGTGGTTCGATCTAGGCACCAGCTTTGACCCCGTCTCAGTACCAAATGGGGAAGGTGTACGATATTGACGACTCTAGCGTGTCTAGTAACTTTCACGGGAGGAAAGCCGGTGTCATGATGGTACAACTCACTCGGGTGGGTGTCAGAAGAATCATCCTAAGACTTAGACTACAGAAATAAAGTAGCCTAATTGCTAGCTTAATCTACCATAAGATAACTAAATTCTTTCATCTCTTATGCTCTCGGTAGCCAATCCTTCTGTCACCCTGACGTTACTGCGCTCATGTTACGAAGCAGCACAGCCATTCCAATCCTTCGCTCCATGATCAACTCAAAGAAGCCCCAGAAGCAGCAAGAGTTGCATAGAACAATTTTGTCCTGCCCATGATCACCATACGTCCCTTTCCTGCGAACTGAAAGTTCGCTGCATTCATACCAGTGTAAATCTTCCCGATGAGTTTCCCTGATGGGTTCCAGACATGGACACCATCACCACAGCCTGCATAAACATTACCCTTTGAGTCGCAGTGGATGCCTGTAGAACATTAATAATTAGTATTTCTATGATGAGTCGAAGACTGTAGTGAGACATACCATCGGGTAAGCGGGCGTGTACGTATGCGAACGTCTTACGATTGTCCCAGGAACCGTCCTTCTGAACATCAAAGCGGTAGCTAAATACAGTCAGACATTATCTGACACTATACAGATTGTTACTTACATCGATGCAGGATAGGTGGGATTAGTCCCAAACAGAGAGTTACTCAGACCCGTGTCTGTGATATATGCGTGCATCCCGTCGGGAGAGAACGTTATACCTGCTTCGTCAGTATCAATCGCGCTTAGACTGCTTATTCTAGACCAACTCACCATTCGGAGCAGCGAAGCCGTCTGCTACGATAGTCAAAGCCCCAGTCTCGGGATCAAGACGATAGACTTGATTACGCAGGCCCGGCTCAGGACGGAAGTGCTGCCAGTAGCCATACATCGTGTCAGTGAAATAGATATGGCCGTTACGTGGATTGACGGAGACGTCGTTAATGGAGTTAAACTGCCTCCCGAAGTAGTTGTTCACGAGGACTAGGATATTCACATCAGTGATTCCATCTCTGCATAATTGTCGACCGGGCTTTACCTGTTGCGTTGTAGGGCTTCTTGGGGTTCATCAAGTAAAGGGCGGAAGGTATGTTCTCTCCTTGACCCTCGCCCGCAAAGATAATCTGGCCTTTGTAGTTGGTTCCGCCTATCGTGTGGTCAGTAATTCAATATGTAACTGGGTGCGATTGTCTACCATTGGGGTTTATGACTTGTGGCTTTGAGTCCACGATCGTTATTTCAACCTCACTTTGTGTATGCGACCCATGTTTCATGCCTTCAGCGTCAGCCAGAGAGATCTTTTGGATAATAGAAGATTTATCTAGGCCGGTTCCTGCATCCGGAGAGCCAGCTGACTGGACAAAGAACACTTCTTCAGTGGGCGGGTACCTGCATTGCTCTCGTCAGTCTGGCTTGTGAGATAGCTATACTAGAGAAGTCCGCGAACCATACGACGGCCTCATGGAAGAGAGGGTCTTTCTCCGAAGTGGCAAGCAGTGTTACGCTTGGATTCTTCCCAATGATATCCAGGAATTCTGCATCATAGACATGGAAAGGTCGTTCGAGGAGGGACTCATGCGTGACACCCGGCCACAGAAACCTCTGTACCTACATCAGTATTTTTTTCGCGAGTTTCTGGTAGAGATGCTATACTGTTGTAGCATTGGCTTCATTCGGTGGCGCAACGCGTTCCAGGACGTTGAATCTTCTTTGGTCAATTATCTGGGCTTTGTCTGGTAGCCCTTTCAGATCGGTAACAGCAGTCTTGCTTTGTATTCCATCGAAGAGACCCAACTTCCAAGGAATCAGTGCTGCGATAGCAATAACCCCGACAGCCGCAGCAGTCGATATCGAGAGTGGCTGTCCACCCCTTGTTGGATTGCTCTTGACTTGACGCCCAGGAGTCTTTGATGTCGGCATACCCCGCTTCCGCGGCATTTCTGAGGCGTCGTTTGATCGGTATTTTAATGACTGAAAATTTCCTAGAGAATGCGACTTCCCGAGATACCAGAGTCTTTTCTCTCGATCGCTATGAGGGATGGTTGATGTGCAAGCTGCGTCTGTCTTGCAGCCTTGGTGTTGATTGGCATCGCCAAAGATTTAGAGGTCGTCCAAAAAGTGCGGGGGTTCGTTATCTCGGGACAAACCGAAGTAAAGCTCGGTTCGGGAATGCATTTCACCTGCAATCTCTTTACACGGGCACCGTATTATATTTCAATTTTCTTTGTTGTAATTAATGCTGTCAATAGTTTCGAGGACATATCTCAATTGCCATACTTGATCGAACTGGTGAAGGCTCATGGAATCCCAGACGCAGTTGGGCGCCTAGGTTTTCAGGGACCGGCTCACTGTAGGTTCACTGTAATGCGCTATAACTCAACTGCCTGGGCTGCTAGGCGGCGCGCATAAGCTCACAATCCACACCCTATCTAGCACATGACAGATGGATTAACCTGTGACCATCCTTTGTCCATTTACATCTCTTTTAACACGGTTCTCATGCTACTCGTCTTCTTCAACCTTGGGGAATGAAGCAAAAAGACAGGTCTCGGAGGGAGTCGAACCCTCGCTGGCGGAATCAGAATCCGCAGTCATAACCGTTAGACCACGAAACCAACGCTTCTAATTGATGTTTGGAACCGTTCGGAATTTCCACCGAAGAAATTTACAACAACGAAAACAAGCTAAGCTACTCTACATCATGGAAATCATTGATTTCAATGTCCGGATTTCAGAAAAATGATCTTTGGTGCTCGAAATGGGTCTTTCAACACCAGACGTCTGTCCCCTAGATATCCGTGCGGCACAGTAGTGGAGTATCTCAACCACCCTTTCTGTCTCACGTCAGCTTCAACTATCATGCCTCGGCCATATTCCTTTCTCTTATATACGAGGTCTTTTCTCGGATCTGTACGATAGACTCTGCTTCACATCTAAACTTCCCAGGCTTATATCCATTCGAAGCTTAACCGCGTTGACCAATCGCTCTACAACAATGTACGATCATATTATAGTAGGAGGTGGCCTTTCAGGCTGCGTTCTCGCTAGCCGCATGCGAGAATATGATCCAAACACCACAATCCTCCTCATAGAAGCTGGAGAGGACACTCGTGAGCGTCCTGGGATTCGAGACATGCAGGTCCTGAACTTGGGCGGCGAACTAGACTGGCAGTACGAGTCGGAGCCTGTTGCTGCTCTTGGTGGTCGACGAGTTACACTGAATGCTGGAAAGGGCCTTGGTGGCGGCTCATTGATCAACTCTGGTAAGTGCATATTTAATGAGTGAAGGCTGTATGCTAAGGATATCAGGTGGATGGACACGTGGTGCGTCAATAGAGTACGACGAATGGGCATCGCTCGTCGGCGATGACCGATACACTTACAAAGGTCAACTACCCTGGTTCAAGAAATCTGAGCATTGGTTTGACGATGCCAATCCTGATCAGCATGGTCACGATGGACCCATGCGTATTACTTGCGCGAAGGCTTCAAACCGCTTATTTCCCCTCGCTGAGCAGGCCGCTGCTAGTTGGGAAGAACTCGGTGTCTCTACGCTGCCAGATGGCGATCAGAATACTGGAAACAACCTCGGTCGAGGCTATATCTGTGAAGCCAGAGAACAAGGTAGACGCGAATGGGCGGCGAGTCAATACTCGCTTGAGGGAGTTGAGATCCGCTTTGAGACTTCTGTTCGCAAAGTTGTCGTGCAGGAATCTGATGGACAGGTCAAGGCGACAGGTGTTGAGTTGGCGGATGGCAGTGTCGTTGCTGGCAAGAACATCATCCTGTCTGCCGGAGCCTACCGTTCTCCTCAAATCCTCCAGCTCTCGGGTATCGGTCCAAGAGCTCATCTTCAAGAAGTTGGAATTGAGCCAGTGGTTGACCTGCCAGTGGGCGAGAACCTGGCCGACCACATGATCTTCTTCCAGCACTGGCGCCTTCGCGATCCCTCAGCCGGCTATACTCTTGGCTCATCGAATCCTCTCTTCCAACAACCCCAGTATGGACAAGGTACACCGGTCGATTGGGTCTTTAACACGAGCGTTGCAAGCGACGGCCTTGCTCAAGCTATCGAGAAGGACGAGGGTGAACGACCTGATAGCTCTAAGCATCCTCTGCTCGCCCAGGAGCGAACTTTTCTGGAAAACATCATTGCATTTGCCAAGATTCCATTCCCCGGCGTTCCGGTTGATGCAGAGCATATGACCACTGCTCTGGTAACGTTTCTGCCGACGTCTAGAGGCTCTGTGTCCTTGAAGTCGGCGAATCCTGACGATTATCCGGAAGGTGAGAAGCAATGTCCTACGAAAAGTATAAACAGCTAACTCTTGGCAGTCGACCTGAACTACCTCGCTACCGAGGTGGACAGGCACGTCTTTCGTGAAGGACTGCGTCAATTGACAAAGTTCATGCTGGGCACCAAGTTCAGTGAGCATGTCATTGGCGAATCAGTGCCTGAGGCTCTCCCCGCGGAACCACTGGCTCTGGATGATGATGACCGAAAGCTGGACCAGAGGATAGCGATGACTAGTGGTACATCGTGGCACCCGACGGGTACTTGCTCTATGGGTACAGTAGTAGATACAGAGTTTCGCGTCAAGGGGATTGAAGGCCTGAGGGTTGTCGACGCGTCGGTTATTCCTGTGCCGTTGAGTGCGCATATTCAAGCGCCTCTGTACGCGCTTTCGGAGCAGGCTGCTGCGATAATTATGGGTAAGGCTTGAGTTGAAAAGGAGGTAGAACGACAGTACGGCATTTAGATAGAGGATAAACGTTGGGTTGTCATGATTGTCTGATCTAGACCACATACAGTCACTTGACATTTATCTTTCTCATAGCCAGCTTTAACGCGTCAAGAGCATCGCACCATTGGAATGTTTATCAACAACTGTCCTGCGCTAGCCTAAGCGCGTCGCGTCATTTCTCAAGGGCGCGTCAACGCATCAACGTTGAGCCAATTACTGGAACCTATCTACGTCTTCTTCATACTCAAGCATCAAGCCCAAGACACAATGAAAACAGTGTTTAAATCAAAAATTACGCCCCCTATGGCCCCGAAGGACAATAGAGCATGGAAACGACTCCGCGATGTGCAATGCAGGCCTTCCATACTGAGGAGGCCAATTTGTGAGCTGGCCTCCTCGGAACAAGGTAAGTATGAAGAAGAAAGGAAAAGACAAACAGAAGAACGAGGGAAACGTGGACTTTTATAGCTGATAGAAGGTCAATGCTGTCGTTATCGATATCGTGTTTAAGACATGAAAATTGGAGCCTCATTTCCGCTGTGGATCAGACGTGTTGCTGTGACGCGTTTTCGTCGATGATCGGGGATGTTTGTTTGGTATACGATTTGGTAAGACCCGCCAAAGCCAAGCAGAGACTGTTGGCTGTTAGGTAGGCGAGTTGTGGTCAAAACAGTTATGCTAAAGAGTAAGGTGTAGGCCCTGCAAGGTTGAGACAAGAGAACCTATGACAAGCTCAAAGTACCTAATGGCAGGAAATTGATGCAATCTAAACCATACTCAAGAAGAAACTCCAATGCCATTGTAACTAATCCTCACACTTAACAAATACTTGTCCAATGTCCTTCGCAATGAATTGATGCTTCTTTTTCGCGGCCTTACCCTAGATGTCTCGGACATTTCGTTTTCACAGCGGGTTGCAAGGTGGTGGCAGGGGTAGAACAAGGGTCATAAACAGAGAGGCTGGGAGCGAGCAAACCGCGTACTCGGAGGCATTGCACGCTGAGGACAGCGATCTGTACAGAAAAAAATCCGGCAATCCAGTAAGCGCATAAATGTCATGCAGAGTATGGAATCCGGTTCCAGTCGTTTACATTGTCCTTCTACATAAACACACTATAACAATACGCTATCTGTTAATTACAAAACTGGTTGAAGGTGATCCCCCATTCGTCCATGGATAAGTAAGTGGCTAAGACGTTAGCTACCTCAACATGCACGAATGTGGGTATACCTGTTATCGCGTTAGGCATTTGGGCTCACAAGGCGGATTGGCCTTGGCGGTTGACATCAGCTGGCACCACGGTTGCTTCAATGACTCGGCTTACGTACCCAGCTACGTTAAAAGACCGGTTACCCTGGTGGTGGTTTAGAACTTTTCGGCTACTAAGCACCTATAGTATACAGCTGGTGAGGGGGCAGCGAGATTGAGTTGACAGATAGTTAAACTCTCTTACTGATCAATCTTTTTGTATTTTTATTGTATAGATCTTGAACCTTGATAGTGCTGGACCTTTGTGTTGGTGTATTTATTGATTCTTGCACCCGAGACAGCATTTACCACGGCTTGTTCTCTTTACTACCGACAGATACTGTCTTTGCTTGCAATTGGCACATCACGCGACAGTGACATGTCGTGAAAATATTTCTGTGAGAGTCATGGTGCTATCCCCGTCTTCGCGTAAATTACTCGCTTACCTGCCCTACTACCTTCCTAGTGTTTATTTGATGCAATTATGTTAGTTAAGCATGTTAGACCACACGTCGGAAGAACCACGTACGCTGACCAGTATTAAATCCGACGTTGCGTGACATGCAATTTGATCCTTACAATGACACCTCGGAAGCATGAAAATGAAGAAACAGCAAGCGCCTGAGTGGGGGAAGATCACTGCCGATTCTCTTTTTTCTGCAGGGCTGTGAGTCTTTTTTTCTTAGCGCTTACCACACGTTTGTGACATGAATCCTACGATACCTTGCTGATACCACGCTCTCGCTCGTGATGGCAGTTTATTAATCATCGAGTGACATTTACGAGTATAGAACCCCTGTTTAAGGCTGTGTTGCAGAAACTCTAGGCCGTCTCATTGGCGGTTCAAGTATGCCTGGCGATGTAAGCCTAGGGCCTGTCACTTTTTCAGCCCCCACGATGATAATGGTTGCATACGGGCGAAGCAGGTGGTTAGTTAACTGATAATAAATGTCCGTTATGTCCATTTCGTATCTGCTGTGCCAAATGATGTGAAATTGAAGCTGCTACTATGACTGAAGGAACTGGTTCGAGCACCCAGCCGCGGTATGAGCCCGTCCATTCAGACGAACATGCTTCGCTTGATCCCTTGCACCATGAAGGAACCCCACTATCCACATTTAAAGCGGACAATGGAAAGGACGATGTCGCGGTTTTTGCCCTGGAGAGGCAGAGTACGAAGATCAAACCAGCGGGTTGGCGTCTAAAGACAATCCTCAAGAAATGGCGCATGCAAATTGTCGCGGCGTCGGCACGCAAAAAGAATCGCCAAGTGCCCATCGTCAAAGATCGACTCACGGCGGTCCTGGCAGCACTGGTTCATCTGCCGGCGATCGCTGGTATCATCACACTGAGCTTCTACATATTCAAGAACTACTACATTGGTAAAGAGCTCGAAGGAAAACCTGGCTATGATGTTGAGAAGAAATTGGGCATTCAGCTCGCGGCGAAGTTGATGGAGATGTTCATCGTGCTATCTCTCAACGCTATCGTCTTCTCTATGATTCGGCATGAGTTTACCATTGGTCAGTCTGTGCCTTATGGTGCTCTGGTAGCAGGCCAACAGATTTCCGAGATTAGCTTCTTGTGGTCTGAGGAATTCTTTAGTATCCTGAAGGGGAAGTTCTCACAGACTTGGAAGAAAATTGGTTTCATTATCACAGTCTTTGTCTGCACCATCATGGCATTGGGAGCTTCTTCTCTCAGCGCTGTTGCGATGATGCCACAGGAAGGTGACTGGAGAGCCGGCGGAAGCTTCGTGTACTACAACGGTACCCGGGACGAGATGTTCCCGGCTGTACTGACAGAAGACCACACAATTGGTTCGGCATGCAACGTCACCGGAAACGAGCTGTGCCCCTCTTGGCAGTGGGATGTTATCAACAGCCAGCTGATATCGAAACTCAGACTGTCTGGTGAAGTTAACAATGGTCCGTTCGTCAGAAGACCACCAAACGAGATCATGCTAGCTGGCCATTCTTCGACACTGGTCAATCTGGTGGTTGATGTCAGAGAGAAGTGGGTCAACTTAAACAGTCCTAACCACACAGTTGCTCGAATGCCACATCTTGGACCGGCTGAGGCTTGTGTCACAACGTCGCTGCATTGGGAACAGGCGGCCGATGACTCGGCCAAGAGGAAGCAAACTAGGTTTAACAACGGCCAGAAGATCTCGCATAAACTTAGTGCGCCTATGCCTATTACCAACACCAGATGTGAGCTGACGTCTGTAAGCGACAACAAGACGAAGACAATACTATTTCCTGACTTGGTCACCTTTCCTCCCACGACGTTGGAAGTCGAAAGAGACTTCCTCAGTGATTGGCTGTCGGATGTTCTTCCTGACTTGAGGAAACCTGAAGTATTATGGTTTGACTCTGGGCCAGCTATCGCGAATACTTCTGTTGGTGTAGCCATAGCTGTGCCTTCTAGCAAGTCGAGTCAAGCAGCTGAAATCTACGGATGCATGATCGATGCAAGATGGATCACTACAGACTTGAGCGGCGATGCAGTCGCAATGACCAGCAAGGGATACCCTCCGTTCTCAGGTGCCATCGCAACAGCACTTGGGGGTTCATGGATCGGTAGCCCAGGCTATGGCCAGCGCGTTCATCTTGCACCCAGCTTTGCCAAGTATCTCAACCCGTTGGACGAGAGAGGTAATAGAACTGTCATTCACGAAATGCTTCTCAACAGCGGTGTGTGGACCACCGACGGCAAAGGATCAAATTCTACGGCGCATTTGGAGGCGATTCTTGGCGGACTGGCAGCCAATGGCTTGGCTCGTTCAAACCCTAATATTACCGCCATCACCACGCTGGCTGATCCAGATGGCGAGTGGTGGAAGAGCTTCATGCCACAGGATGGCAAAGTGTTTGGTCCAGGCGGAAGTCCCTATGCTGTGTCGAAAGAAGACACAGAGCGGTTCTTCAAGACTGAGATGGAGACGTGGGTGACTGGTTTTGCTTTTGCTGATAACAGTCTGACCATGAGAGGAGCCATGGCCGTATTCTACGTCTATGCACTTCTCGTCATAGCATACTCTGTATGGTCCATCTGGTCGGGCATCACATCATCTTCATGGGAATCTGTGCCCGATCTTCTCGCTCTTGCACTTGCAAATCCAAATTCAAGACCCGACAAAACAAATTTGGAAGGTAGAGGTGCGAGTGTCATGAGGGAGAACTTTTGCATCTCGGCAGATGGAAGCACTCTCAGACTCAGGGCGACCAATGGATTGGTGCATCCTGGAAACCGGGTTATGCCTAATAGAGCTTACGATTGACTGGTAACTCATGCAGGTCTGGGATCGGAAGAGAGAAGAGGAATTGTGAGATGTCATTTGCTTTCAACCATCGTACGATGATAATGCACTAGGATCAATTTGCTGTCTGGTGACCTGTTAACTACCTAGCTCTGAACATGGGAATGTGAAATATTGCATAAAACCTCAGCTACTGTAAAAACTCATAAGATTAGGTATGAACTGTGGAGTTAAGCTACTGGATATGTAGGTTCCTGTTGACTATTCTCGAAGGCTATAAGACGGATATACTGGAGGCTTCTGCTGCGTAACTGCTGTCCAATTATAGTTACAGAAAAGCCGGATAAGTATCCACATGTCACACCTAATTCCATGAGTTGATACGTTATAACGTCACAGTTACGTAGATGCTCCGTAACCTCTGATTGGATACAAGCATAAGCGGGGCCTTTTGCATATCGTGAGTCTCTCTTACAAACGTCTAGGCAACCGCGTTTGTCGATGGAATTTTCACCTACAGCGGCCCCGACGCTTATAGCTGGTGACAATTGCTAAGTGCCTCGTTGTTACACTCAAACAAATTCCTTGGAGCGAACGACACCGCAATCAATGACCGACAATCAACCGCCACCATCAACTGCAGGTCCTTCAAGATCAGCACGCCGTCTTCTACCGGCGAGCGTAAGACCTGGTTCGGTCTCGGGGCCAATAATCACTACACCGAGAATTAATCCTGTAATTGCGGCCTGTGAATCATGTCGGAAGCATAAAGTCAAGGTATGTTCCGACACGCGTTGAGTCGTTTTCATCTCGGAAAGGAAAACTGATTACTTGTGTTAGTGCTCTGGCGAAAGACCGAAATGCCGTCGCTGTGGTGAACGCAATCTTACGTGTAACTTTCTGGCTAAGCCTGGAGAAACTAGAATTCAAGCCTTTCATCGCAGTTCAGGCAACTGCAAAGAAAGCAAGCAATCCATCTTTGAAGAACTTGTTGGCCTGCTGAAAAATCTACCTGACCAAGATGCTCAAGATATTTTGAGAAAGATCAGGTCGGGATCGGATGTTGGCTCAGTTCTACAGCAGGCTAAATCTGGAGACGTTCTACTCCAAATGGCTGTTACACCCGAAACTCGATATCGATATGAATTTCCTTACAAAGCAAATATGCCAAGAGGATACTATATTGATAATCCTTATTTGAAGTCTATGCTATACGAAACAGCTTCCGTTTACTCCTACAAGGGAGGTCCGGAGTTGACAACACCAAGTGTTCCCGCCGAAGTCACTTCTGAAGAAGAGAAGAGTCTTTACTTAAAGCCCTTCCATGCAGCACGAGTTGTCGAACCACTTCTCACCGACGCGAAGATATCGAAGTGGACACCCGTCTGTAAGGATGATGAGCTGATGAGAGAGTTGATACGCGCACTATTGCGCTGCGAATACCAATTCACCGCAGCATTTCAAAAGGATCTTTTTCTCCAAGATCTATCAGCAGGACGAAAGAGCTTTTGCTCCCCCCTTCTCGTCAACGTGCTTCTTGCTTATGCTTGTGTAAGGAGAACATTATCAACACTTGAGGATCTAATCATTGACATGCTAATCAGGTCTGCTATCCGCAACTTTCTGGTCGCGTTGAGTACTGGAATCCCAACAATCTGACATACCGCTTTATGGCGGAGGCAAAGAGGTTATGGGAGCTGGAAGCGAAGGTGCCGCGCATCACGACTATCCAAGCGGGCATGCTGTTTGCTGTATACCATAACCTTTGCGGTCTAGATGAGATCGGAAATGCGTACTTAATACAAGCTGTGGCGCTGGGTCACCAACTTCGTATTTTTGACACGCCTGTGGTGGGTCAGAGTGAGAGACTGCAGAGGGGCAGAGAGTATACTGCATGGGCTCTGTACAATTGGGAAACGTGAGTGCCCTCACATGTGGACTTCTGATTGTATATTGACATTCACAGCCTATCTGCATTCTCGTTCATATTCCGTCCAATCATCAAAGAGCCTCCTATATGGAAATTACCAGATCCCTCAAAAGACTCATTGTGGTATGGCGAAATATGGGTAAACTACCCCTTGAACCGTGGCCTTTCGCCCCTACATCTGGGCGAAGTTATTCGGGCAAGGAGCCAATTCCGGATTATCATGAACGAATACTCCGATATAGCCTACACGGAAGGCTCTAAGGTAGATCTCTACCATGCTCATCATTTCCGCAGACGAATGGAGAATTGGTACAACAGTCTTCCAGAATCCCTGACACCGAAAAGAATTGTCCTACCGGGACAGCTACAAATACAGTGAGTTATCTAACACCGTAAGAGAAGCCAACTAACGGGATCCAGCATGATGTACCACCAGCTGCTTTTCACCATGTTCGAACCTCTACTCGACGTAGAGACAAACGAGGACCCATCACCAGGCCACATCGTAGCTATCGCGAAGAGAAACCTTCAAACTCTTGTTAGACTCTACTTTCTCCGGCACGGTTTCGAATCAATGGATCTTTTCATTGTCATACCACTCATGATCATCGGCTCCGACTCCCTAGGTGCCATCAACGACGACACTCCACCCTCAGAGCTAGAGGCTCTCCGAGCGGTACTTATCCTCGTAGCTCAAGGTCTATACAACCAACGTCGAAACCATTACCTAGCCCAGGCGCTATTTCGAGTTATTCGAGGAAGCATGCGTCCGCAAGAGATTGGACTGTTGAAGTCTTCCATGGCTTTGGAGGCTGGTGATATCGACCAAGAGCCGGAATTGGCTGTTGCTGTGCGAAGTCAATGGCCAGTCAGTGTGGTGAAGAGGAAAGAGGATCTCAAGTTCCGCGTGTTGACCAATCTTGTTGAGAGCTTTGGTTACATGAATGTGGAAGAGGAGACATAAAGTACCCAGAAATATGAATGGCAGACAAGGGTACACAGAAAATGGAAGTAGAACGTCACGTTGTTATTAGATACACGCCAACAGTTGTCGATATTTTGATAAACCCTCACCAGTATTAGGTTCGTAGTTGTGTTATTGTTTGTTGTGTTGATTCGGACTATATGACTTGAAAACTGACCTTCAAAAAACTCAAACAGACGATATTCTGACCTTACAGATGATACAAGATCAGCCAAGTGCAGCCTGAATAACATCCTCCAACTTCTCTTCCTCAAGTCCAAGCTCATATAGCTTCTTCAACTCATTATTATCAACCTTGCCTCTCAAATCCCCTCTATTACCCTCCTGGAAATGCGTCAGCATGAACTTGCTCAATGGAGCCATGGCATCTCCTTGTTCAATTTTGGCATTGCAATTCTTCAGCACCTCCTCTATACCTTGATTCTCAATACTCCAATCCTTCTCTGTCGTCCCCGTCGCTCTCTGCGCAGCCTCAAAGAACTCCCGCTGTGTGAAGTGGAATGCAGGTGTGTAAATGGCATTGTTCTTGTACTTGGATAGATTTTCCTCCGGGAGAGTGAGAACTGCTGCTACTGCTTGGCCAGTATGCTTGGTATCAGTGCTGCTGACTGTGCCGACGCTGCCAGTCAACAGGGTTGCTTTGCGGTTTCTGAAGTCGACACTCCAGAGCCCTGAGTTTACATGCATGTCCAGAAACGGGCCGACGGTTACCGAAACCCAGCTGCTTACGCCAAGCTCCTCGATCAAGTCGCGGATCCGCTTCTTGTTCTGCAAAAGCTCATTCTGCTCAATGAGTCGTTGGGCGAATGGGTCGGGGCCATATTCAGCGGGCAGGATGTATGGGATGCCGACCTTGGCAGCCGCGCGGACAGCTGGTTCTTGCACGCTGATAATGTGTGGAAATGGTGGCATTAGGACGACTACATCCTGTCCTTTGAAGGCGTCCGCCAGGAAAGATTCGTCTCGTAGGTCACCTGTCTTGACAATGACTTCAGAGGGGAATGAGCTGGTAGCTTCAACACGCTGGATGGCGGTGACGGTGTGAACTTGTTGGGCAATAAGGGTTTTGATAGTAGGGTTTCCGACTTGACCACTTCCGCCGATGATGGCTATCTTGCGTCCTTGTTTCTGAGGAGCCATGGTGCGTGAACTTGAGTTGGTGCTTGGTACAGTACTCAGTAGAAATCGTCGACAAGAAGTGAAAGGCGGGGGGTTTGTGGTTGTCTTTTATATCCCTTTTCGTTTCCTGCTTACTAGGGACTTTATGCTTGGCGGGTCAGAAATGGGCCTTGAGCCTCGGAAACTTATGCATGTTATTGGGCTATGTGGGAAATAAGCCCATGTATGTAAGCAGTTGTGAGAGAGGCTAACGTTATTGATGGAGTTTTTGCAAGTTAGGAATCAACTTGCGAGGCAACTTTGATAAGGACGATGGAAGTTATTAGTGGAAGTCTTTGGGGGTGGGCTCGTGGTCAAGGTCCCTCCCGATGCGTCATTGATGTTACTCTGTTTAGGGATTTTGAACTCACGAGGCTTGCTCAATCTCATGAGTTGCTACGGCAGATCAGTCACTTGGGGTCTGGTTTCCATTATTAAGCTACAAAACTTCTAGAACCGGGACTTATTCTCGAAATGCAACATAAATTGTCCAACCAACTGGACATGCATGGAAGAATAGATAATTTCATGGATGTCAAAGGTTGATACTGAATGTTAGCGTAGAGTCGGAACTGGGTCTCATTCGCTAACATTGACTAACAGAATGGAACCCCCCGCATTGACTGCAACCACTTACGGTGGTGATTACGTATCACCGCCCCGTTAAGTCCGAATTGAACATCTCGAAGAAACTCATAACGTTACAAACCTAAAAGATCACGACTCATACAGAACACACCTAAATTTATCACCTTATTCGAGTTCAAAATGCCTCCCACAGACGTCTTCAGCTCAGGCTCTACCGCCTTGATCACTGGAGCCGGAGCAGGCATCGGCCTTGCCATTGCAAAGATATGCCGAAGCAAGGGCATGCGAGTGCTCCTCGTCGACAATGACGAAGAAGCTCTTGAGAACTTGACCAAGCAGCACTTCCCAGATGACTCCGACGTCGTCACCTCGAAAGTCGATGTAACATCAACTTCGGACTGGCAGGCTTTGAACAAGCTCGCCAAGGACAAGTTCGGCACCGTTGAGCTCTTGGTGTTGAACGCAGGACGGGGAATGAAGGGTACATGGGGTGATGAGAGCTATTTTAGAGATGTGAGTGCGATTGAACATGGTCCCGTCAGCTGAGACTAACGAAACAAGACCTTGGAGACCAATCTCTTCGGTGTCATCCACGGGATCAACGCTTTCCTCCCTGTCGTTCAGGAAGCCGCCAAGTCAAAGCCAACAAGCATCGTCATCACCGGAAGCAAGCAGGGTATCACCAACCCTCCCGGTAACGCAGCATACAATGCCTCAAAGGCAGCGGTCAAGACTCTAGCTGAGCACTTGAGCTACGATCTCAAGGACCAAAGCACGAGCGTCCATCTTCTCGTCCCTGGCTGGACCTTTACTAACCTCGTAAGACCAATGGTTCCAATTCCGAAGCTTCCGACTGATGTCTTTATAGGCTGGCGCAAAGGTGTTCAAAGAGAAACCAGATGGAGCCTGGACACCCGAACAAGTTGCAGAGTATCTGTATGAGAAAATGGGCAAGAATGAATTCTACATTATTTGTCCTGATAACGATGTTTCTGAGGAGATGGATAAGAAGCGCATGACGTGGACTATGGGCGATGTGGTGGAGAGACGACCACCACTGACTCGACGGCGTGAGGAGTGGAAGCAGGAGGCAGAGGAAACCATGGCTAAGATGGATGTTTAAAGCCAGGTCAATCGTTTTTGAAGAGGCTGATAAATGGATGGCTCGACGGTGTATGTAGAGGGTTCCTACTGCACTAAGAGCTGTTGTGTAACCACAAACGATCCGTAGCGAGATATCGGCTATAACACCCAGATCAACGAAAGCGGCTCTGCAAAATAGCAATAGGTTGCAGAGATAATTATTAGGTTACTGCCTGAGGTTGATTTGCCATTTCGCGAAGGAAAAGTTAGAGTCTGGTAGAGTGATGTGGCTGTGGTGATATAAACAGACTACCTGGTCAAAAATGTACCATGACCCAAGACTCATAAACCGCAAAAAGTGAACAGATCAGTGGTTAACTGAACTACCGATACACCAGGGACTCGAACCCTGAGCCTTAGTCTTAGGAGGACTACGCGCTACCATTGCGCCAGCGCACCGTGTTGTTATTGGATAAAGCTTGAGTTTTAAGTTTATATAGCCAGACTCAACGACTCATTCGCGTGGCGGCAAAGTCAAAGTAACATTTTGACCATACAAGAAACATGTTCCAGAGCACTTTGAGTTCCATAAAGACTTTTAATCTTTGTTGGCCGGTGGAGCCATTGGTAGAAGTGGATGGCGATTCTCCACAGGCGACTTTGGACCACGATTCCACCGGGCACCTGCAATGATGCATGACTCGTAAAACCATATTCTTTCAGGAGATGATTCAATGTGAAACTCTACAATAGCCTAATTCTTTTCGTCTCAGCAGACGCAAACTCAGGTTGAGTCCCATGAAATAAAACAATGCCAATCCTCCTATAAGTCGTACCTTCAGAATCAACAGGTACCAAGACCAAACATGTTTCTTGAAATCGATTCATATGTAGATCCTGAGTTTTGACCGTAACTGATCGCACAAGGAGACAGGTAAACAAATCGTCATCCCTTTCCTCTTCTAAATCGAACATTCCTGAACATCGCCAGGGCATTGGACCCGCCCGAAAATCAAGCTCCTCATCGTTGATGTTGAAGCAGGGAGGATTGAAAGCCACAGTCCTGGGGTCTGGACGTAGTCTTATCTCCCGAGTTGGCCCTTCGAGGATCATGGTGCTGGATGAGATCTCTGAGACCATTGGCTCTCCTGTCCATGTGATGTTGACCTCCACAATGCTTGTGTGGTCTCTCACATCACAAGGTTCATCATCCATGGATCGAGACCAGAAGCTGTTATGGACGACTCCAATGCGTGTGAGCCATGACCACGATGGGATTTGAGGAAGAGCTTCCGAGGGATCAATAATTTCGCCACATCGAATCCATAACAACTCGTCGATAAGTGTTTCGCGCCAACAGCCCAACAAGTGTTTGAACCTAGTCCTGTCACGAAAGTACTGTACCATGCCCACCAGAGCTGCAAGGCGATCTCCCGCAACAGTAAGTTCTCGTTTAGAATAGTCGGTCATCCATCTTAGCCACAGCTTCTTCATATCTTCTATGGAAGCATCATGCGGGAAGAACTTCCACGAGAAGTATTTGAACCTCTCGGCTTCGAAAGTAACCTGGGATTCTGTATAATAGCTGCAGTGGCAGTTCCAGTGAACTTCAGGCTGCATGCAGTGTATCACTCGATGAGATAGTAGTTGCTCTTGTAGCGTCCAGCCTCTGGTACTTAGTTTTGTAATTCTTGTCCGGCGCCGGATATCGTCTTGATGTACCCGAATCCGGAAAGTCTGGTCGTCAAAACGCGCGCCCATGTTTTTATACGCCAAAGCGCGGCCCTCCAAAAGATCTAGGTCCAAATCAACAAAGCAACCCTGCGTGCTTTCCTGTGCATCTGATGCCGAGATGGTGACCGAACTTCCTGCGTACACATCTTTCATACATATGGCTTCCCTACGCCAATCTTCAAAATCATCTTGTACGATGCAAAGGCTATCGATCCATATATATCGAAGACCGAGCTCCCATATGATATCTATAGCGTCGTGAAAGGTTTTGGGAAGAGAGTCTGTTGGTATGCTTTGGAGCAAAGAGCTGATATTGTCCCTGGTGGTCACAAACGAACGTGATGCCCCCCAGCAGTAACTAAGAGTAGCGTATTCCGGACGTTCCTCAGGTTGTGTAAGCGAGTCTACTAGGCGAAGATTGTTTTTCTCCGGGCCTATCTGCACGAGACGCCTTGGATACCCGTGAGAGGAAGGTTTGCATTCAGAGTGCTGAGACACACAGTCTGCGTACCAAGATTTGATAGTCTGGATCTTGTCTTCCTTGGAGGGTTCCCTCCAGCTCCAAATTGGATTCTCGCTAGCCTTGCCTATTCAAATAGTCAGTATTTATATGGATAACAGAGAGCGGTCAATTCATACTGCCATCACGACAAGTTGTGATTGTCACTCTAAAGCTATCCGCAAAAGCATACCACGGCACAATTATATCTCCACCAAGAAAGTTGCAAGATACATCATCGGCAGCAGACACGTTGGTGGTCAGTTTGAACTTGAGCTCGAGTGATTTGTAGTCTTCTTCTCTTATGCTTGGGTAGCGTTTGAGAAGTTTGGGCAGTGACCAAGAATGCTGGATGAAATCACAAAGGAGGCAGGTCTCTGCAGAGTCGATGAGTTCTTGGACATACTTGTGATGTATCAAGTCCACATAGGCGTTGACAGAGCGAAGAGGATAGTCTTCGAATGCTTCTGGATCTGTCTGCACTGAAACAATAATCGCGCAGTGCCGGCAGAGCTTGCCCATTGTGCACAGGGACCTCCGTTGCAATCCGGTACGCTGGTGATCAATAGACTAGACAGTCTCGAGTAATCTGCAGACCAATAACAGCCACAGAGTTCTGAGGTGTTGTTGTGATATTGATGCCTTTCTGTGATGCTGAGGTGCGGAGTGGAGAAAATCTGAACGTTCTAGCTGGCTTTGCAATTTCTTACTGGTCAGCAAAGTATTCAATTATCCATGACTACCTATCTGTCAGCATAGCCACCACGGTCTTTTGAACGTTAGCTCGTAAGCCAAATATATCATGGACTTCCGGACCAGCTGCAATCCAACTATAGGTGAATTCATTATAATTTCTCTATAAAATCGGTCCTAATGTTACAGTTCTTGCCATGAATGACAGACGCCTTCGACGTCGAACGTCGACAGTGAAACCTCGCTACAACTAGATCGAACCACAGGTTGTTCAGTTGGGCATAAGAGACAAAATATTTAGGTCGCCTTATGTCTGCTTAGAGGAGCACTTAGGCTAGTCCATTTCGGTTCTCTAAGCCTTAGAGGACAATTCTTCCATCAAAACACCTGGATAGGTACAAAGATTGACACTCTAATCGAGCACAAACAGGCGGACGTGTCCCGGATCTCATGCGCGGCACGATGATCTACAGACTCCCCGCAATATCTTTTGATATCGAGCAAGGTCGTCCATAGCCTGCCCAAAAATTGGAGTATTCTGATATCACTTTTGCTCTAGCTTTCCCCCATAAGGTTACAAAAGCTTCGTGTATGAAGCAGCAGATGCGTTTTGAGGCATGAAAAGTTAAAATTGTAACGATCATCGACTAATGGTTAGGAAGACGATCCTAGCATCTGTTTGAACCCTATTTAGAGCAGACGATACCCTGCATTCGATGTCTTACAGGCAGATGCCAGTCTGTGGCCCCGGCTCTTGTAGGGCGTTTGGAGCGAGATTGCCCAAGGACCGTTCGCCTCAAAACCTGATCGGTGCCACAACTCTGGTGAGGCGAATGCTCGTTTTGTCCAAAGCTTGCTAATGGTCGCACCACTCTCATCATAGGTAAAGAGGAGGACACGGGACAGATGTGGTCTAGTGCACGTCAATTCGGGAAACAACGAGTAGGAAAAGGGTAAAAAATTCAATTGGCTTTCGGTCAAAGACTTAGACTCAAGTGATTTTGCGGGATAGCCTGGGCTTGTATTAGTGCCGGGTCTTGGCCTTATCAAGTTTGTTGGAGCAAACTTCATCCTGTCTTCTTAGATCTTGTGTCTAATTTCCAACTTTCGGAGGCTATTAGTGAAGAATCACGCCATAAGTCTATTGCCAATCCAATAGCTCCACGATCTGAAACGAACTACGGAGAGAAAAGATCGCGCCAGTACGAGGCTCAAACTGCAGTTCACTACGATCAGAAATAGAGTTCAAAGCTAACAGTCAACTACTCGACGCCACAGATTGAATAGCGAATCAGATGGTTCTAAATAAGTGACAAAGCTTCTGAAATGAAACGCTGTATTCTGTGTTGGTAGAGGGCTCTGGCCATCGTCTTCAGGCTCAGCCCTGCTTCAACGCCCTGAAGATTGAACGGTCCTCTAACTGAGCAACGCGTTGATCTTCTGCTCCCGGATACTCGGATGTTTTATTCAGGCTAAAATGCATGAAACAACACGCTTCTTGATTGCCCAAATACCGCCTAGCCTCTTGTGAAGTATTCGAATTGAGGATGTCTGGTGGCGGATTGTTGGCTTTTAGACTTGCAGATGCCCAGATCTCCTCGGCTTGAGGCTCATTATCGACTGGACTATTCCCGAATTGACGTGCACTAATTTGACGATTATGCGTGATGGCTGCATGTACAGCCTTAATCCCGACTCTTCTCGGCCAAGGTCGAGGCTCTCATCATCCCATCCCCAGCCGCATGAACGATCTACAGCTTGTATAACATCCCCGGATGGTCCCACTCTCTTCCCGACCGGTAGATCGCCAATCTTGTACATCACCTTGCCTTTCTTTGTCTTTATCTTTCCCCATACTATTTATCATAATGCGTTCTTTGCAGCCTGATCTATGGGCAGCTGAGTTCGTCACCTTCCCAGCTGCAACCATCTGTCTCATCCTACGACTATTCAGCCGAAGGATAACAAGAGTAAAGCTCTGGTGGGATGATTACTTTGCGATACTGTGCTATGTACGTTAACCATCCAATCTACAACGTGGGACGCTTTGTTAACAGTGAATAGGCCACTGCGGTAGCCTGGGCCACCATGCTTCCAATCTGTATGTTTGATCGTCATCCCTGTGCTTTACTTACTAATTTCTCTTTCTTTTAGGGATAAATCACGGCTTCGGCTTACACTCGGACGATATCGATGGTATGACTACTGAAAATGCCAGCTACACTACTAAATGGTACCTGTTCATCATCGAACACCTTTACGCCTTCACACTCTTCTTTGGAAAGATCTCCATCTTGTCCTTCTACTGGCGCATGTTCCGCGTCGCTAATATCCAATTTGCTGTCTTAATTCTGTTAACTTGTTCTATTCTCTGGATACTTATTCGTGTAAGCCATCTTAGGTGCTACCTAAGACTAGCTCAAGCTTACATATATCTTCTAGATCTTCCTTACCACGTTCCATTGCTATCCCGTACGTGCTTTCTGGGATCCTAGCGTCAAGGACTTTGTGTGTCCGATCAAGAGTGCAGACTTCTTCTTTGGTACTGTTCTTGCACACGTTTTAATAGACATTGGCATCTTGATTCTACCTATCGTCCAAATCCAGAAGCTTCAGCTCCCCGGTCTTCAGAAACTGGCGATCTGCCTCTTGTTCACGTTTGGTGCTCTGTAAGTTCTCTCCGTAGGCCTCTTAAGCTCCCATCTAACATATCAATAGTGTTTGTGTTGCTGGTATAGTCATTGTCACTGTGGCTACCCGCTTCAACAACAAATCGGAGGATATGACTTATCAACTGGCGCCCATCATCATATGGGCCTCGGTCGAGGTAAACCTGGTAACAATATCGAGTAAGCTCACCCCCAGTCACTGTCTCATGCATGTATGTTATACTAATTGCTAATTGAACAGCCTGTCTACCAATCATCCGACCGGCCTGCCTATATCTCTTCACATGCACGAACCCTGCATCGACCATTGACTCGCATTCCAACGAATACCGTCGCAATTACCCCCGAAACCACCAAAGAAAGCATTCAATCCGTCTTGGAACGATACCCAAAGATGGAAGTAGCTCTACACAAGAGCTCACCGAATTCGAACCGAGCGCGAGTAATACATCAATGGCTTCAGTGGCCGAAAGCGAGGGCTGTAGGCGTCATGGACATACGGCCTCGGTGACTATCCCAAGCCCCTCGATTGCTGCGACCTATACAGGCGTTGGTCGTATTATGGTCAAGAATGAAACAATTGTGCATGTGTCAGACTCTAGGAGTCCTTGCTGAACAGGGCGATGTGTATGACGGAGTTCTTTCAGCAAAGGCGTTGTCGGTTATATTAATTACTTATATAATAATGAAGCAATTCACACACTTTTGGCGTCGATCAGTTTCTATGATCTGTGCCTTGCTTTGGTTGAACCTTCTGGATGATGTGCATAACACCATGTCAAAGAATCGCGTGATTTCTTTGCACAGACATGTGATATAAATAGGTAACATTAAGAAAGAAGCTCATCCGAGGTGACTCTGTATGTGGAGAACCCCGGATCAATCGCTCCAGAAAATCTTCGAGGATATTCGACGCAGCTTGGCAAAAGCTGAAACGTAGAGCGAAAATACGAGTGCGAGTGGCTTGCTAGAAAAAGTTGGCCTGGTAACAGCGCTTACTTTTTCTTTCAGCTTACGTTGACGGCGCCACGCTTGGACGCGCTCACCAGTCAAGTCAGCCACCCTTGAATTTGACCTCGGGCCAACCTCTCACCTCAGCTCATCTCATATCATATCATTGCATCGGTGCAAACACTGTCGCTACAATCAGCCTCCTTCATAGAGACCCCGATTAACGCGTAGACTTGTTCATTTTCTTGGCTCAATTGATTGGACTCATTCCTCCCGGTCGCGCGATGAGCATCTCCAGCGAGGATCCCTAATTTTAACCTCAGTAAAGGGAGACAACAAACCCTCACAAAATGCCTCACAACATTCGACGCGTGGCCGTCATAGGAGCCGGACCAGCCGGCGCAATCGCCACAGACGCTCTCGCTAAAGAAGGCGCTTTTGACACGATCAGAGTCTTTGATCGCAGAGTTATAGTCGGAGGAACATGGTATGATACCACTCCTTTCCCCCTTGATAGGAACCTCAATTGAACTTAAAAAAGGGTCTACACACCACATCTACCACCCAAAGTCCCCTCGCTAGAAGCGCTGGTCAATGGTACTGCGGATGAGCCTGTTCCTATACCAGAGTATTTACCAGCTGTGACACCAATTGATGAGAAGATCAATAGCCATCAGCAGAGATACTCTGATTCGCCACTTCATGAGAATCTGCACAGTAACATTGCGCCTGAGATTATGAGCTTTACTGAGGAGCCATTGCCAAACAGACTATCGCCACAAACTTTGAAAGAGTATGGTCCGGGTGCGCCTTATCGGCATCACACAGTTGTCCGACAATGGATCGAAGACATTTTTATCCGTGGCGGACATGATAGATTGCTTGAGTTGAGAACTTCAGTCGAGCTCGTTGTCAAGGTGAAGGACGAGTGGGAGGTTACTTTGCGAAAGGTCGTCAATGGTAGTAATTACTGGTGGAAAGAGACTTTTGATGCTGTGGTCGTTGCATCGGGCCATTACAACGTGCCTTGGTTTCCACTGGTTGAGGGCTTCTTGGAGTATGATCAGCGATTCCCTGGTGCCATCGTACACAGTAAGCATTTCAGAGCAGGTCGGAATTACAAGGGAAAGGTACGTTTCCGTTCCAAGTCATCAACGACGGGGCATTTTATACTCACAGCCAGCAGCGCGTTATCGTGGTAGGGGCCTCAGTCTCCTCTGTCGAAATAATGTACGAAGTTCTAGACCATGTCGGTGGTCCAGTATACGCTTCTGTGCGAGACGAACCTATCGAGTTTTACGGATGGGTTCCCTTGGAACATCCCAAGATATCTGTCAAACCAGCCATCGAGCGCCTAGACCCCAGAACTGGACGTGTCTTCTTCACTGATGGGTCTTACCTCGACGATATAGACCACATCATCTACGGAACTGGTTACACGTTCAGTTTTCCTTTCCTCCCTGCTGTCCAAGAGCGTGTCAAGAACTCTTACCGTCGATTGCCGGGAGTTTATCAACATACTTGGGATATCGAGGATCCAACGCTGACATTTATCGGAATGGTAAGATACCTCGCTATCGCAATCTGTACCCTAGCTAACCTTATCAGATCGGAAGTTTCACATTCAAGGCCTATGAATGGCAAGCCGTAGCAGTAGCTCGCTTCCTAGCAGGCCGCTCCAAACCCCTCCCAGGCATCGAGGAGCAATATGAATGGGAGCGCAAACGCGTTGAAGAAAGAAAAGGAGGAAAGGAGTACTACACCATCGGTCCCGACTATGAAGCATTCTTCGAATGGTTCAGGGAAATGGCCCAAGAGCCTGTCAAGGGTACGACAGGACGTATCTTACCACCATTTAATCCCCGATGGCTGGTGATCTGGAGTAACATGTTTCTTCCCAAGTTGGATCGTTGGAGATGGAAGAGGCAGGAAGCTGAGTGGAAGCAAGAGTTCAAGGCCAAGCTTTCGAGGATATAATTTAGAGTCACCTCGGTATGTGGGATGAGACAACAGTCGAGTATTTGAGGGAGAATATTGGGAAGACTGGACATACTCGATAGAAAAGCTATAATATGTAATGGAAGCCTATTGACAACCTCGAGAAGTTTCAGGCTCAAGCGATGGCCGAACTTTTACACAACGACATCAGAATGATGGTGCATCTAGACCTAATTGCCAAAGACACGAAACGCAGAAGAAGTGAGACAAGAAACAGTGATGATGTTCAATATGGATTAGATTAAGAATCCGAAAACAATCTACCTATGTAGTAACGCCAGTATGTAAAAGTTCGTGGCAATAGCACACCGAATAGTAACACAAAACCCCTTCGTCCCGTATCTCCCAACCCTAAAAGAAGAAATCACACCGGATTTTCCCGTGCAACCCATGAATGTAGTAAAAATGTAATTCGTTAAGACATTGACAAGCAAGGGTTTCCTTTGCTCCATACTTTTTATCGCCGATTAATGCAGCACATGATGCCGGTTCGTCCAATGAACCAGAGGAAACCAAAGAAGCGGACAATAGATAGCACACCTGTCGCGTAGAGAAGGAAGCGGAAGTACATGGGTGTGCGGACATCTGCGGCTTTCTGTAAAGGCTGTTAGTATGCGTTGGGTATGACTAGTAAGGAAAAGGTAACTTACAGAAACGCCGAGAGTGATGAAATCGTCTGTTGTGACAAAGACGATGAGAACAATGTTGCAAAGCAACCAGAGAATGACCAGACCCGTTCGAAAAGACTTATAGGAATCTTCGACGTCCTTCTTCTCTGGCTGCTCTTCCGTCATTTCGCTCATGGGCGCGAGAGCTCGCCACACGACCTTTTCGAACTTGCTGTCGATATCCGTCTGTTCTTGCTCAATTTCTTCGACCACGGCTTCCTTGCCCTTTTCATCCTTGACGATGGTGGCTGAGGGCAGGGCTTCGGCGGAATCGGAACCCTTGGTACCCCAGGACACGTCATGCCAGTTGTTGAAGGCGTACACCATCAGAATGTTGATGTAGGTTGACATGAGGACGAGATACTGGGGGAAGGAGTGGAACATGTGCCATGGGTCGAGGTAGAGGAAGGACGCAATGTAGTTGAGACCGTAGATAGTGATCAGGGCGATGATGATCAGACCTGCGACACCCGTATCGCCTCCGAAGAAACTATCGAAGAAGGCTTGTCCGGACTCGAAAGAGATCTGCTCCTCAATTGGCGTTCCAGTAAAGGCTCGGTAGACGAGGTAACCAGTCAATACGAGAAGATAGAATTGGATCAAACCGAAGACCATGAAGGAGAGAACGTAGGTGTATTGCGCGCCCTTGGGTCTGTTACCAAGCGCAAGGACGAATTGCAATACGAGGAAGGCGATGTAGATGTATTTGATGAGGACGTTGACAATTGGTGTGGCTGTGTCGCCGAATGGCCATCCATGGTACCCGGACAAGACCTGCGGCGTTCCGACAAGCTTCATGATAATCGTGGTGGTGAGGTAGAAAGCGGCGAGCGAGAACCAAGAGAAGAGGACGTTGAGCAAGTTATACACGAATTGGATGTGGAGGAAAAAGAGTCGGATGAGGTTGTGGCCAGAGCCGTACATTCGGCCAAAATGCATAAGAGAATAGAGAGACATGGCAAAAGATCCGTTGAGCCATCGTCGTCGCTGGCCGATAAACTCAGCAGCGGCTTCAGGCACATCGGTCTCGCCCTTGGACGCTTTGATGTAGCTCAGATGCCACTTTTGACTCGCCTTGGCGACTAATTCGAAGCAGAGAATTCGGTCCTCGGCAAGGAACATGTTCTTCTTGAAGATGTTCATTCCGTCAATACCCTTCTTGCCCAATGTTTTGGAAAGCGTGTGGTCTCCGTGGAAGTACTGTTCCAACGGCCGTCCCATAATCGCACGGAAGCGGTACGCTGAAAAGGCACCGGGGAGGACACTGACGTATCCAAAGGCACTCTCCAGCGGCTTATCGAGGACGTTGGAAATCTTGTACTCGAAATTCTGTACCGCGACGAGCGGGTTGAGAAGCATCTTTCCTCCTTTGCCCAGCATAACGTGAATCTCTCCACAGGCACCGCCCAGGTCACGATCGTTGTAAAAGCCTTCCCAGAGAGACAAGAGGGCGCGCGGGCCAGGTTTCGTTCCGGCGTCGATAAGGATGGCGACTTCTGGGTTCAGAATGCGGCCAAAGGCGTTGAACAGCCAGCGATGCGAATTGATCTTCTTGCTGTTCTTCTGCTTGAGACAGAAAATGAACTGCACGGGGGGCAGGTTTCGGTGTGGCTTGTCGGGATCGGGGCGGACGAGCTGTTGGTCGGGCGTCACGGAGATCTGACTAGTATACTCGAAAATGTGGGCGACCGTTTCCTTACCGTTGACGTCCTTCTTCAGAACACCATCCTGGTAGATACCGACAGTCGCGAGAACATCAAAGACGTTCTTATCGACCTTATCGATACCGTCAAAGACGAGACACACAACGATCTTCTGCCAGGCTGGACCTCCCTTGTTCCAGAACTTGGATCGCTTCAGGTTCACAATATCCTGAATGTTCTTCATTGTATGGTGGAGGGTACGCGCGAGGAGGACCTTGTCTTCGTTGTAATAGGTGATGGCGATGAGGAGCTCGGTGTGGCGGTTGTACATTCGCGGGCGGAGGTTGAAACCGTTACGCAGGGTGAAGTCGTTAGGGTCGCAGGTAGCAGCTGTGTAGCGCATCTTGGTGAACTCCTCCTCCATGCTTCCAGGACCGTTGCGGTACCTGGGCTCGATGGCGTTCTTGACAGCGCTGGGAACGGGGTAGTCGATGCTGAGGACGGAGCCCTGGACAAGCTTGATCTTACGGGTCTTTGAGCGACCGAGACCGCCAGCGCCAAGCTGTGCTTGTTGCTGTCGCATCATCCAGCTCTCGTCGACGTCGAATTCCTGGTATGTCGAGTCTGGACGACCACCGCGGGCAAAATCAGGCGGGACAGAGAGCGCCTCGCCATTCTGGTCCCATTCCTGCATTGTAGGCGCCCGGTGCATGACCGAGAGGCGCGACTCAGCGAGACGTGAAGCTTCGACATCATATTCAGGCTCTGGGTACTCGTACCCCGGCGAGCCAGGCATGCGACCGTGCTGGTCAGGAGGATAATGGCCGAAAGCGCCAACGCCATAGCTGCCGTTGTGACCGAAGCTGCCGTTGTCGAAGCTGGCCTGGCCTATACTGCCATGGTAGGAATTGTGCAGAAGATCGCGGCTCGACTCGTTTTGCTCGGGGACGGGACGCTGGGCGCCCAGCATGGGAGGGGGAGACAATTGATCATAGTCGGGTTCGTATGGGTTGCTTGGGTTGCTCACGGGCGATCTGTTGGAGACATTTGCGTCGTCGGATTCGCGAAAGTGGTACTGCAAGAAAAAGAATGTCAGAAACGGTCGTCAAAATTGATTGCGACAGTCGAGGCTGCTGCAGGGCTGTTGCTGGAGCAGCTGCCCTGTAACAGTCGCTGTAACTGTTGGAGGCTTAACTGTAACTTACTGCCTGGCCAGCGGGTAGATCTTGCATCTCTCGTGGCGCATCATAGTTTGGGCCTTTCCCTTGGCCATGCTCGTTAAAAACCATCTTGTCTGTCGTTTTTGCGCTCTCTTTGAACTCGGAAACGCTTTCAAATATATTGTATCGATCCCTTCTTCTTTATTTCCAGAAAACCCCAGCTCTAGCCGATGGTGGACATGCGATTCGCGATATCGGGAGTGCCGGCACAAAAAAAACGAATAAGTGATGCAATGGGGCGCCAAAATAAAAAAAGGTGAATTAAACGAGGGACAATAAGCAGTAAAGATTATGGGGAATTAGGTAGTCGAGTAGAGTAATGGAAGAAACCTTCTTTTTCACAAGAATGGCTCTGTACTTTCTCTTGAGGAAAACGAGAGGTAACAACAAAACAGCTACTTCTGTCTGTGATGGGGAAAAGGAAGAGAAGAGTGTGAAAAAGTCACGCGAAAAATGGAACGGGACAGGAAGCTTTGAGATGGGATGGGATTGTGGGCTGGTGCGAGCTTGGTCACTTTGTGCTTGTGCTACTATGGACAGACAGTCTATGGAATCAGGTACGGTACGGTACAGTCTTGTCAGGCTGTCTGATCAGTCTTCTTGTTTTCCGATCCATCGCATCAGTCAGAAGCTGTAGCCAACACAGTCTGAGAAAAATGCTATATTAACTGGGTAATGGGTAATGGATCCATCCCCTTCACTGCTGATCGCCTAGAGTAAAAAACTAGCGTCTCCAGTTTATGCCAGCTCAGGGCAGATTTGGTTGGTGAGAGGGTGACGTAGAGTCCTTTGCTTTGTGTGGTGGCATGGATTTGATGGTCAGGATGGTCTAATCCTGTCAGCCAAAAAAGCACAGTTACTATTTTTGGTCGAGGCAAGGGGAACAAAGCCTCGTATACGCGCAATACTTGATGCGTGTACCCAGACCCAGAAAACAAAAGTCAATCCATATCATGGGAACATATACTGTAGCATTAAACGTCCATTGCATTGCTCTGCTGACTGTCCCTGTGGCTGACCATGCCATAATGAACCGTTGAGGGCCCGTTACGTCAAGAAAAAACAGGGCGTTCATTTCATGTTACAAGTAAAGACACCAAATTCTTATGTGGCCCCACTCCTTAATCCCTTGAATAATAAATTGATTCATCGGGTCAGGTACCGTACAGTATTAGACTCTACAGTATCTACAGTATAACCCCACGTACGGACAGCAAGACAAGGACCAAGCATGTCACTTGCATCGCGCATCTCATAAAAATAGTATCAGTGAGTTTTTCCCACGGACTTGTACGGGTAATGCAGATTGAGTAGAGCAGATCAACGTTACCCCGAGATCAGCCCTCTTTTAAGGTCTGTTCAATGCAAATACTGTTCCATCACTATGTCTGTCTCTTCCAGTTGAGAGACAATAGCCAAGACACATCGGTTATAGCCCCTCCCCATGTCTAGTGCACTGACGCCATCACAATTCCTGATTTCTCCCCTGCATGCAATTTGGCATTCTGCATAAAAACACGGGAAACGAGAAAACAGGGAAAACTAGACACATAAAACGATGCCGAATGTAACTTTCTGTTCTCTGTTTCATTTCGCTACCAACCATCGGGTTCGGTTCGGCTCCCCCATCAAAGTTTGAATGTGAATGCGAGAAGAATGAGCGAGAAGGAAAAAAACTCGCAATCTGCCATAATGACGCCATTTCCAGCACCTCGGAGCGTTTGCCTCGACGCTAACCTCAGGACAAACAACACCACCAGAAAAGAACACGACACTTTATTCTAGAAGGCAGCTAACGTTTGACTTTTTTTTCCTGCTCGGTCTGCCCGTCTCGTCTCATTCCGTCCGGTGTTTTTTTATCCCTCTGCACGGGGACTTCAGCCAGTCCCTGGAATGTCGCACGGTTCATTCTACAGCGAAAGACCAGACCCATAGGCGAAAAATGTCAGCCTTAGCTTCTAACTTAGTGGCCGGCCGCCGATCGCAAAACGGTGCTAATTAATAATTTAGCTTGGGAAATAAATGAACAGTAAGCTGCTAAGACCACAAAGTGCGTTGTTTTTTGCTTCTCGAGGCGAACAGACAGTGAGTGAGTGGATTGCCATCCATCCTTTTCCATCCCTTCGGACGCGCTCCGGGTCACGTGCCGAGTTCAATCCACTGCGTTCGTGCAATGTCGCTTCACGCGGATCTCGGAACATCTTCAGCTGGAGGGTCTCGTCAGTGCACGTCCTGTCAATGTTTTATGCAAGGCTACGCAATCTGACAGTCTACGAATGGTGAAACAATGATGTCGGAGTAAGCGTAAGACTATTTTCTAAGCTGAATGAAGCCCCGAAAGAAAGAACGAAAGCCCACATAGGACAGAACATCATTGGGGCTACTTGGTTCGGCCTCTCATCCCATTATCACAACAAACTCAACTCCTCCTCTGGCAGCTTAGTGGCTTTGTGATACATGACATAATTCCGCGTGGAAGAAGGCTCAGGATGGATAATGTACGACACAAACGTGAGACAGACAAACATCATGATAGATTACATAGCCTCCCATGCCATCATATGTAACACCGTCCTAGAGACTACCAGCACAAGACATATATGCTTAGAGTCAAGAGATCAAATTGACCGACAATGTACTCCATTCGTGTAACTCCAGATGATTGATAACCCGTACGATCCCAAAGTCCTCAACACCATCTCAAACAGCAAACACGGCACACAAAGTTGGACGACACTCATCAGTCATCTTTTTCTTTACAAGCCTTTTTGAACTCCTTCAAAATCGCCTGGAGAGCGTTAGTAGGCCTTCATCGGAAGTATAGAACAACTCACATCAAAATCCTGATCCGCCATCGACATAAATGCCTTTGTTTTGTCAAGCTTGAGCTTCCCGACACGAGGGCTCTTGATGCCAAATGCGATCCTCGCCAGGAATCGCGCATCATCGCGGACATCCGTCGCCGCAAGTACCTGGGCAACCGCCGCCCTATCAACCTTCTTCGGTGACGCGGGTGGCAGTGCAACCCGTTGACCTTGATAGCAGAACGTGCAGTGGCCGCACTTATTCGCCTTGTCGGGTAGATCCATGCCAAAGTGCTCTGCGATAGCGACGCCGAAACATTTGGGAGATGTGACAAAGTTGACGACTTCTTTCAGACGGTCTAGAGCTTGCTTCTCGCGCCTCTTAAGATCTTCGTAGAGCTCGTCCGTCAGTTTATCGATTGCGCTGTCAGTCTTGGGCAGTTTGTCCAGGACTTTGTACTTTTGTTCCACGCCGCCGACGGTGAGGACAATAGCACCATTGTTGTTGAGATCGTTGAGTAGATTGACAAGATCATTTCGTCGTAGTCCCTCTGTGTTCGCTACCTGGGTCAGATCGATAGTATGGAACTTCTTAGCCTTTTTGGCATGTTGAAGGATGGCTTTGCTCTCCGGTGTATTGAGAGCTTTGAGACGAGGGAAGTAACTTGACGTTGCCTCGAACTTGTACGAGCTGTACTCAGGCGTCGTAGCACGAATAAGATTGAACTTCAACTCGAGCGCCGCATAGATCACACTAAGAGGACTCATGCGAATGTCGAATTTCGTAGACTGCTGATAGTGGCTGACTTTGAAAGTCTCACCCTTGGCAAGGTTGACGACATCGCCGTCGAAGATATCTTTGAGAAGTTCGCGTAGGGATTGGCGGGAGGGAAGATCGCCACGGGCAAAGTTCTCGCGGATCCAGAAGTCCTCTCGGCAGAGATACAGCATGCAGTAGCTCTGTTTACCGTCACGGCCTGCACGGCCTACTTGTTGACAGTATTCTTCCACGGTGCTTGGGACATCCCAATGGATGATGTTGCGAATGTCTGCAGATGTTAGTCTTGCACTGTGAGGTGACATGCTGACATACCTGGCTTGTCAATGCCCATGCCAAAGGCGATTGTCGCAACAACCTAGACCACCATCAGTACCGCTCATCTCATCATCTCAGTCAAACTCACCGTTTGAATCTTGGATGTCATGAACTCATCCTGAATCATCTTCTTTTCCTCCACTTTCATGCCAGCATGGAAGTGGGCAGCAGGAAATCCCTTCTTGGTGAGATGCTCCGCCAACTCTTCGGCTTGCTGAGTCACATGTCAGCGTTGGGGTGATACAGAGATTCAGAAAGAGGTAACAACCTTCTGAAGAGTAGCGTATATCAGAGTCGAACCAGGATGTGTCTTCAAGAACTCATACAAAAGCTTGTACTTGTCATCCTTCTCTCCAACAGCCTCTGCTTCCAGTCGTAGACTGAGAGTCAAGTCAGCAAAGTCCAGGATAGCTCACAAAATTGCGGGCGCTTACTTTGGTCGATACACTGATGTTCTAAAAACACCATCTTCGGTAATATCAAAAGCTTTGCAAATGTCGTCGATGACAGGTGGTGTGGCTGTGGCTGTGAGGCAGATGACACGCTCTGCTTGAATCTCTCTGACGAATCGTGCAACTGGGTAGAGTCAGCTTATGTCGAAGAGTGAGCCTGAGCGACGGATGAAAACCTTTTAGGTAGTCTGGACGAAATGAGTGCCCCCACTGGATGAATGTCAGTCAGATTCCGGAAATAGATGAAACAGAGAATCATACCTCTGAGATACAGTGCGCTTCATCCACACCAATCAATCTGACTCCTCCTTTGACGTGCTTCATCATGCCAACGAATCCCTCGTTGTTGAGACGCTCCGGGGCGCAATACAATATTCGCAGCTTACCCTCGCGGAGATCTTTGTTGATCTGTTGAAGTTCATCCCAGGTCTTTGTTGAATCCATGCATTCCGCAGCAATGCCCTTTCGCTTGAGTGCATCGACTTGATCTTTCATCAAAGCAATCAGTGGGGAGACGACAATTGTGATGCCAGCATCGTCGGCATGTCGCTCTTTTGTCAGTTTGTCCACCTCTGGGAAAGCGATGGCAGGAATCTGGATGGGTGTCAGCCAGGAGGCCCTTGAGGTGCGCTGAGGTGATGCATACCTGGTAACAGAGCGACTTTCCAGCGCCGGTGGGAAACACAACGAGCGCACTGTCCCCATTGAGAAGTCTGCTGATGGCAGCTTCTTGCTCATGTCGAAACGATTTGTAGCGGAAGTTGTCTGCCAATATTCTCTGAGCGATCTGGAGTCGTTGTGTCTCACCAAGTTTGCCATTGGTGGTGCTCACAGAGCCAACTCGCGCTTTCTTGACAGGTACATTGTCGTTCTCTTTGCCTCGGCTGTGTTTTCCGGGTGTCTTGCCGATTAGATCCTCTTCTTCAATACCGTCGAAAATGAGGTCATCTTCATCCACATCGTCAAAGAGCGCGTCCCCGGAGTCGAAGTCGTCATCAGGGATTCCCATTTTGGTGTCGGATGAGCGAAGATAGTGACAAGGATGTTTTTGCTCAATCGAACAGACGATATGCGACAATACTTGAGACAATTGCGGTGATGGGAAAGGCGAAAATTGGATCTTTTGCGAATGGCAATGACAGGCTACCAGGCTCCCACCTTCGTTCCTTCCGCATGGCGGAACGCGTTGACTGTCTCGTGGCAGACGCCAAATCACGTGGCGATAAGATTCTCGACCGTAAGCGGGGTACAGCGATCGACCAGTCGGCAGATCCTGATAATTAATCCCTTAACAGATGTCGACACTAGTAGCGCCTGACTCTGTTAAGGCATCATCTGATCTTATCTTCTGTCTGTCGCCTACCCTACGGTCATTACTCTTTTTGCTTTGTGATGTCTTTCTTATCATCACTATAGAGAAAATACAAGGAATAATTACTGTAACCATCGATATCTTCCTTGCATTTTTTGTCAATGTCTTGGTATTCAGGTGCGCATTAAAAATTACTGCTATCATGTTATTCTCTTCATTGATGCGAATTCATGATCCAACAATAGCCCCACCTTCAATCAAGATTCCAGAGGATAACCCTTCATTGGTCAAAAGGTCTCAAAATATTATTGTGCAAACATGCCTGCGCCTTCTTTGCCATACTCACGTGAAGTAGTGAATGTCAGCATTAATTTGTTGGGCGCTTGATCTGTACCCGGGTCTCATTGCCTCTTGTCACCGGGCATAGCTGATGTCCTGCGTGTGTCGCGCAGCCCCAGGCATTGTGTTCCGCCCCAGGCATTGCGGAACACAATGCACAATCACCATAACCGCGACAACATATAGCCCCGACACATGCTATCCAAGAATTTTACCGTACTGTGCATAATATTCCGATCCCGATCCTACCGAAATATGATGCCTCTCATAATCTGTCTGGTCGGAGTCTTCTCTCATCTCGTTACAGTGGAGGAGCGAAGGGACCGGGAGCTTAGCGAGGTGACAGGCGGTGATCTTCTACGTCATCGCAAGCCAGCCACTCAGCCAGCGACGGTGACAGCTCATCGTCGATCATGCCCACAGCCAATGCCCTTCCACCACCTCACGATCTTCGATATCATTATGCTTTCCGTATGATCGCATTTTTGTATGGCATAAAAGAACCCCTGCATTTGATACACACGAAACATCAATGACGTTTGTCATTCCTCACCTCATTCGTGCCTGAGCTTGCTGAGCCATATAAATCTAGCCCCAAACGCGCCAAGAATTACTTTATTTTCAACTTTACATTTTTAGTAAACACCATTACCGTTATCACCACTCATCACACTCAGTAAATATGTCAGGAATTTACCAAAACGAACGCGGCCAGGGCATGTCCCATGCGACAGGCCCCTCCAAGGTCCCTGAGAGTATAGCACACCAGGTTCCCAAGGGTCTAGAAAAAAGCCTCCCCAATTCTGTATGGCAAACATCCCCAGTCCGTCATGTACAATTCTGACAAGATAGATTCACCCCACCGGTACCGACATGGGCCAGTCGCCCGACAAAACACACGCTAAAGACGACGGTAATGCTTCTATGGTTCCCCAAAAGCTGCAGGAGAAGCTACCAGAAGGCATTGAGAGGGCTGTACCAAATGCCATTCATGATACTGGCGACACCAGCGGAGCGCACCGCAAGCATTAAATCGAACCTGAATTTGTGTATGAATAATGAAGATTGATTGGAAATTAATTTGATACAATTTGAAAATCGTGTGCTTGATGCGATGCAGAACGTGAATGCAAATGATGAATCATGGAGAGCCGAGACATGAAGTTGTTGTTACGGAATCTGTACATCCGCCACTGAAGAAAGCAAATATCCTCTCAAAGATACAAGAAAAGGCCTGTTGCGAGAATAAGAACACCAGTCACAGCATGACTGATACTGGCCTTCGTAGCCTTGTCCTCACTCTCCCCTTTGACGTAATCCTTGTTGGCGAATTGCCGTACAATAACAGCATCGCCAATGCCAACGAATGTTCCACACATGAAGCAGATACCCATGCATTTCTTGGTGATTGCGGCAGCCAATGGGCTAACCTGGCAGATAGGTGAGAATTGCCAGAAGGCGTACAGGCCGAGCGTGCTGAGACCTGTGCCGATATTTCGTAGACCAGATGCGTAGATGAGAGATTTCTGAAAGGCCTCAGAATGCGAAGAGGTAGTAGTCTTTTCGGTAGCCGAATTCTGAAGACCAAAGAGACGAATTGCGTTGTATGGCGATACGAAGCTATAGATGCCAATGCTCGTGCCGGTCACTCCGAAGAGCAGAGGGAGTGCCGAGACTATGGTTGAGGGCGAGAAGTCCGTGTTCATGGCGAATGTGTTTGGGCTGCACAGTAGAAGATTCTTGGGGAATTGAGAGTTTGTAGTAATTGAGGGAATAGATCTGACGAGAAGTTGTTGGAGTTGAGGCTCAAGTCAGTGACGCAAAGGGCTGGGGTCAAAGAGGCTAGAGGTCTGGGCGAGCCCTCATACATGCATATGCTGCGTAAGTTCGTAGGCTAGACTCCGCAAACGACGGTCGCTGCGGTAGGCGCTATTTTGACTTCGTCATAATGTCTTGGATTGTTTAGCTGAATGTGGTAACAGAGCACGTTATCGCGACATCGTTTCTTGAGCTTTGAACCATGTTTTGGACACAGACGATTGACAGAGCGTTGCCAAAGTCTGGCTATGTATCTTATTGATGAGTACGCAAATAGTTAATTATACCGTCCGGAATCCGATTTAAAAATCTATGGGTTGACTTCTGATCAATTTCGACATCATTATGATGGATGTCTTCCCTACAGTCCGCTCTCAAGAAAATTGATCACCGCAGCACGAGCGCGAAGTGCCTCTGGTATAACAGGATCCCAATTAAAGCCATGCCACATTCCTTCCGACACCAAAAGCTCTACCCTTACACCAGCCTCTCTCAACTTCCAATAGAAACGTATTCCATGACTGAGAGCAAAATCTCGCGTCCCAACTGTAATGACCGTCGGTGGAAAAGTCTCATCATACTCAGCGTAGATGGGAGAGTAAAGAGGATCCATCAAATCAATGCCCTCAGGAACATAGTTCTGAGATACCATACCTGTGAGAAGACTGACAGGCATGATGTCGCGGCCCAAGGAGTTGAAGACCATTGAGTCACCTGCTCCGCTTAGGTCAATAGCGGGAGTGCAAAGGTAAACACCGGCAGTGGGCATGAGAAGACCCTCCTTCTGCGCCATGAGGAGCATGGAAACGAGGATCTGAGCGCCTGAAGAGCATCCCATGGCGTACATGTCAGATGGGTCGATGGGCGAACCTCCAGGAGGGCCACATTGAAGGAGCTCTCGGTACACAGCAAGACACTGATGGCGAGCTTCGGGATATCTAGCCTCGGGGGATTTGGTATAGGCGACAGAGTAGACACGAACGCCCAGTTCAGCAGCCATAGTCAACGCAGCACGGTCCTTTGGACTACCCATGATAAAGGCGCCTCCAAAGACATTGAACAGTATCTTCTTCTCTTTGCCAGGCTTTATGACCGGAGGTTCAATGAGAATAACTGGAATGCCAAAAATGACATGATCGGTGATTTTGAAGTTGTGCTTCTCGATCAGGGTGGCTTCGCCAGGTGCTGTCTTCTCGCTGAAGCTTTCCCGAAGACCAGGAACACGACATGGTGAAGTAACGAAGGAAGAAATTGCGTTTGCTAATGGAGGATGCCGGACGTTGTTGAGAAACTCGACTGCTTCAGGGCTGATAGTGGCCTTTTGACCGTCTGTAAGAGATACCATTGTGATGAATTGAAGAGTGAAGGGATATCAAGTGAAGAACGAGCTGTGTATGTACCGCCAGCCTGAGGTGAAGGTATCGATGTCTTTATAAGATGCATCTTGGGGATAATATTATGATATCTGCTTCCACGGCTTCGAAACTCCGCCTGGTGTGTTCATGTTCTTCAAGTCCGATACCAGCATTGAGAACAAGTCGATAATTCGTCGCCTCTGATCTTAAATTGTACCGACCTGTCAGCGGACTGCGGGTCGTACTAAAAATCGTAGTATGGAACCCCATTAGGATTAGTTCGGATCATGGAACTGAAAGAAGACAAGGTGCTCTCGTGGTATGAGTCGCTTCTGGTGTTAGCGCTTACATGTTGTGCCCAGGGCCCATGACAGGCGGATCGACTTACAGCCGATTCATCAACATGAGCAAATCAATTGATATTTAACGAGGATGACGGTGGACAAGTATAAAGAGCCTCTTTGGTTTTGCGTGTAGTCCAATCTCACATCTTTCTCAAGCCCAATTCTTTGCATCCTTTCTCCAACTTCATCATGTCTTCTCAGCATGGCTACGTTCAGGACCTTATCACAGGACCACCGCTCACGAGTATGGGCTATAACAGACTTGGCAAATCTGGGTTGAAAGTCTCGAAGATCATCCTTGGAGCCATGTCATACGGAAGCAAAGACTGGCGGAAGTGGGTGTTGGAGGAAGATGAAGCTCTTCCTCTCCTCGAACACGCCTTCAAGGCTGGAATAAACACATGGGATACTGTAAGTGCAACCTCATATGTCTCTATCTACCTTTTCCAAGATATCTGATGCATTGACTGACTGGTCTTGACTACCAGGCTGATCTCTATTCCAATGGCGTCTCCGAAGAAATTATCGCAAAGGCACTATCGACCTACAAGATCCCTCGGGAACGCGTCGTAATCATGACCAAATGCCGTTTTGCTATAAGTGGTCCAGATGAACATCAACTTTCTCCATATGCTGCCACAGTCAATGATGGTGAGATGGTCAACAGAGTCGGCCTATCACGCAAGCACGTATTTGACGCAGCAAAAGCGAGTGTCCAAAGACTCGGCACGTATATCGATGTGCTTCAAATCCAGCGCATGTATCCAGATGTCCCGCGTGAAGAGATCATGAAGGCTTTGAATGACGTGGTGGAATCGGGATTGGCACGATATATTGGAGCGAGCTCTGTAAGTTTGTCTGAGCCCTTAGAGCTCGATGAACAAGGCTAACCATGGAATGTCAAGATGCCTGCTTGGGAGTTTCAAGCGTTGCAGAATGTGGCTCGAGAGCATGGTTGGCATCAGTTCATTTCTATGCAGAACTATTACAACCTTCTTTACCGAGAAGAGGAGCGAGAGATGATACCCTACTGCAAACATGCGGGGGTAGGATGCATTCCTGTAAGTTGCTCTATTATCCCTTAGTACACGGCATTGTCTGACTGCGATTCCTTGTAGTGGTCCCCCAACGCCCGTGGTGTTCTGGCCCGTCCCTGGAACGGCATAGACGCAGGCACTTCCATTCGAAGTCAGCACGACGCCACCATCAGAAAGCTTTACGAGGACGGTAATGGGATGGATAAGGCCACCGTTGATATAGTTGAGGAAGTTGCTAAGGCAAGAGAAGTACCAATGGCAGTGATCGCAACCGCATGGTGTCTGCACAAGGGCGTCAACCCAATTGTAGGACTGAACAGCAAGGAACGTATTGACGAGGCGGTATTGGCTGCCAAGATCAGATTGACGGACGACGAGATCTCAAGACTTGAATCGGCATATGAACCCAAGGCTGTGACTGGATACTAGATTGGGGTTCTCAGGGTAGACTGTAGATCGTGTGCTGTTTAAGAATATAGTGGTTGGATCATCGTTGCCCCCATGATTGCAGAGAACCTGTCTATCCAATTGTTGATCCATTCATGGTGCTGGGTAGGTAGGACGGAGAGAGCAATAGGTAGCGAGAATCTCATTGTTTGCGTCCCACAATAGCCAGCATGGAGACAATAGTCTAATGACATGCATATCGAGTTCGCGAGCTCGGATGCTTCCAAGCTTCCGTCGTTGTTAGGCTGTAAGGTGTCGATTGCTTGCTTGACAAGGATCAGATAAGCGTAGTAAGTGGTAATTGTGCTCGCTGAAGGGATGTCATGGTAGATATACTGGGAGTGGAATGGGTAGTATTTAGCGCAACAGGAGACACAACTCGAGGTCTTCTTAGACCTTCGCCGAGGCCTACGAATTGACCATACCATAGCCGCATGTCTTTATACAGCCTTTGAGCACTGTCAAGTAAAGAAGCTCGAGTGTTATCAGAAGCATCATCACCGAGACGGCGTACTCGACTCTGTAATCCGGGAATGACAGCAAAATAGCCGAAGATTTCATGGTACATATTCGGAGACTTTGGTAGCAATGGGAATTCGATCAGACCATCAGGGATCTTCTGCCAGCTTTTGGACTCCAGGATACATGGCTCACCGGAGACCAATGCTTCGCCAATCTGAGGATCAAGTCAGTAATCTACAGGAACAGAGTAGGATGTGGTTGGACCAACGATTGCTCCACGAGATGTAAGGAACATAGAGTACTCAAACGCCGAGTCATAACAACGCTCCGGACCTCGGAGCTGCATAAGTCGAGCAGCTCCGCCAGCATGACGAATCCAGGCGTAGTTCACGTTGACAAAGGTCTGTCGAGTTCAGTATTTTAGAGAGACTTCAAAAGCAATAATTGTTTAAGAATAAAAACATACCTCATAATGACCCAGAAGGATGGTAGCACACAGCACATTCGACGCGAGTTGTTGCTTGGGATCACCTAGAGCCAAAGCAAGATTTTTGACGGCACAAGCATATGATATCTGGGCGTTTCTTAATGCCGAAACGTCCCCTAATACGCGTGCGAAATAAGCCCAGGCCACTGATAATGCAGCATGATCCAAGACTACACTGCTGCCCAGTCGGGGTGGCAGATGCCACAACCAGCTTCCAAGAAAGGATTTCTGGACATCAACGGACCCGAGAGGAAACATAGAAGACACAAACGAAGAAAGTAACTGGTCTCTTTGGGCCTTCATTCCGCTGGGCTGCTTAAGCGTTTGTAGTTCGAGCTGGTCAACAGTACCTTGTCTTTTCTTCGCGTCCCACGGTTGAGTTTCTTTGTCGACTGTGGTCTGGTCCTTCGAGTCAGAGACTGACTTAGCCACTGCTCTGCGGCGACCATATTTTGTTGCGAGGCGTGTTTTGACTTTGCTCCCTTCATCCACGAACTTCATCGGCCGGTCGTATCCAGGACAAGTTCGGCCACCTCTTCGACACTGGGCACAGGCTGGTCGTTCTTCACCGCACTATCAATCGCTTTAGTCATCATGAAAGCCGATGGTATTGAGTAAATACCTTGACGCTTCGCTGGAGGCATAAGAGGCACCCTTTGCTTTTTGGCACACCGACCATTATTGCATATAGTTGCCGCGCCGAAATGGAAACGCGTAACTAGATTTTGCTTATCATACCACGCGATCAGGTTACTTGTAGGACGTCAAATTTTAATCGAAGTCCGGAGAAATAGACCGCCTGTTGCAGCAGATGACGGACTTTATCTTTATATCCAGTATCACGTAAGCGGCGACCTCTACTACCTAGCGAGCCCGACATTGGCCTCGGGTATTCTTTACTTTCACACGATCCGAAGGAAATTGACGAGAATTTAATATCTTGAAGTACACTTTTACAAAACTTGCGACAAATTGGTTGTCCAACCTTGGGTGCCTGGTCAAAGACATTCTTTTCAGCCCCGGCACGCTACTGAGAAACTATCGGCCCAGGCCTCCACACAGCCACCGCCAACGCTTATTCTCACCAGTTAATTTGCTGTCAATCTGGCGGAACGGCGCATCTTCAGGACTCTGGCCCAATGGCACATTTCGCGAATGACTTTTGTAAATTCGTCTTGTACCACGTTCTCTTCACACGCTGTGCAATAGCTACTCATTAGACTGGGTTAAGGTGGCATTGCTCATGTATCCCACGTTGGTATACATGAGGCTGAATACCCATTATGCAAGGAGTGTCTTGTCCTTGGATCTGTTGTATAAATATTCTCCCCTTCCCTGCCCCTTCATTAAATTCTCTCACTTCTAGTACAGAGTGAATATACCTACGAATACAACGGCTCTTTTCAATACCTCCATCCTGGACAATACACATGGACACCGCGTATTGCACGGATGTTGGTCCTGCAAACCCTGACATTGCAGGAGTTGGAGTATGTTAACAGCCTGCGTAGCCAGAAGAGTGGCGATCTAACTTCTCTACAGATGATCGTGGGCTTTGCAATTCAAGCTGGGCTTTCGATTATCTGTTCCTTTTTCTCCTTGGTGATATGGAGGAAAGCTAGAAAATCGAAAAAGCAGTCAGACCAATATAAGAAGAAGGCCACAGATAACGTTTTGATGAGATTTAACGAGTTAGCACTCTTAAGTGGTAAGCTCTCCTATATACTCAGGACTTACGATTCGGAAAACTCAAATAGCTAACTGCAATAGGACTGGGACTTTTGATTTCTGGGCTTATACAGAAGGACTCACTTTCATTGTATCATTTTCTCATTGTATCATATATTGTCAACTTCATAAGGTATCTTTTTAAGTCAACTCGGAGGACCATATCTTGAATTAACATGAGTTATAGCGCTTCTGTCTGCGTTACTACAGTTAGCATTGCTAACTCAACTCCGACCCAGGGAATAGTCAGAAAGCTATCCTTCAGTGCCTTTGTTATTCTATACGTTGTATTTTCCATTATCCTGATTACTGCGCTGGGCAGCTGGGATCAAAGCGAGCCAGGCTCCTGCGTCTACTCCACGAGTGCCCAACCTTCGAGTTATCAGCTCTATACAGGCATTTTCTGTGGAACAGAAGTTATGATAATGGTCTTTGTGTTTGGGTACCCCCAATGGATCGATAAGCGCCAAAGAGAACGTCAACCTTACAATGCGCGTCGGGATGATTTGAATGAATCAGCCTCTCCCTCCACCGTACCTTCAAATCCCTTGGGGCTGGCGGCGTGGATCGTCGCGGTCCTGCAAAGTGTTGTCTATGGTCTTGGTATTCATCTCATTATTGAACTAAGAGCACTAAACAAGGGACTCCTCTCTGGGGATTCTGAGGATACCTGGGGCTTCGGCCAAACATTTTCTGTTGTGTTGGTTGTTAGTAACATAACAACCTGTTGTCAGGAGTATGACAGTAAGTTTTTCTCCTTTCCTTCTCAATTAATAAGAGTCACTAAATTAATGATCTCAAGGTTATCGGAAGGCTGTAAGTGGTCGCTCTAGATAGTTGATATTATAAAATTAAGAAGTACCTCTACATTATCTAACTAAGAGGAAGACGAAAGTGCCCCCATTGTAACTGTTGAGCAAGGCGCATCGTAGACTGATGGCTTAACAAAGTCGATCTGTGCCTTAGTACCCTTGCCCAACTCAATCAGTGTCTTTCGCTTCGGATCAAACTTGGGCCAACCAAGCTTCGATAGACCAGATGAAGGGTTGTTACTGAAAGAGAACCATGCGTGCTGCATTGTCTTGGTAAGCTTCTTCTGATCCTCTGATGGCGCGATTCCGCTGACATCCTCAGATGCACCAAAGATCATGTGAAGGTCCACGCCGTGGTAAGCGCCGCTTGTCGGGTATAGGCGTGTGTTGTTCCAGTCTGCCATGTATCGGTATGCCCATGATGGTACGCCTTGATCCTTTCGTGCCTGAGCTTGGTAGGATACAGGGCAGGTGAAAGACTCTAGAAGGAAGGACTTGACTTGAGTATCGGTAGGTGTGACTCCGTTACCGTAGGCTGGGACTCGGTAGTAACCATCTTCATCGTCATTGTGGCCGAAGAGCACAGGAACTTTAGCAAAGTCTCCAGCTTTAGTTCGGCTCACATAGTCGGAGAAGACAATCTCTCCATCAGGCTTGGGGTAGAATGGGGGGATAGAACGAAGAACGCTGGAACTCGAAGCAGGTCTAATACCTGCAGCTGCTTTTTTAATGTCCTCCCAGTCAACCTCCCGCATGCAACTCATTACATCAGTGGTCGCATCGCAGCCAACAGTAGAGACTACCGAATTCCAGTTCTTCTCTTGAACCTCGGCAGTATTGACGGGAAAGCTAAATGCATTTCCAGATGGAGCAATGAGACCATTCACGATGGGGTCCTTCCGATAAGAATAAGTCCAGTAGTCGACAGCGACGCCCCCAGAGGACTGGCCGGCTATGGTGATCTTGGAAGGGTTACCGCCAAACTTCCGAATATTATCGCGCACCCATTCGACAGCAGCTCTTTGATCGTGCAGACCGAGATTTTGCGTTTCACCAGGAGCACCGGGAAAGCCAAAGATGTTGATACGGTAGTTGACAGTAATAACCACGATATCCTCAGCATCAGCAAAGTATTTGCCAGTGTAGAAAGGGCTGTTGGTGTTTCCAATAGCAAATCCTGTATGGTTAGCCTAATCTCTGTAGTAAGACCCAGCAGTGAACTTACGGCCACCGTAGAAGAACACCAGCACTGGTTTGTTCGCCTTTGCAGAGTTGCCCGTCGCTTTCGACCAAATATTAAGAGTCAAACAATCTTCACTCTGGGGAGTTCCCGCAGCGCTGGCAAAGTAGGAAATGATCTGTTGGGCCTGGGGTGTCATATCAGGATAGTCAACCTTCTTGCTAGGCGATAATGGGCAATCAAAGCCATATTTCTCAGCCTTGAAGGGCTTCTTCGAGGTGATGCGTTGTGGAGGGGCGAATCTCAACTTGTCAACCGGGGGTTTTGCATACGGGATGCCGAGGTATTCCACGACACATGCTGAGTTGTCGGCCAGATGTCCAGTGATGGGCCCGTTGGATGTGTTGACTGTCGTGTATCGAGATGTATTGCATTTCGGAGCAGCAGAGACGAGGCTTGCCCAAAAGGCGATCGCGGATGTCAATTTTACCATTGTGTCAGAGTATTAGGCCAGGGTGAGAGAAACCGGACAACAACTGTAGTAACTAGGGCAATCATCTACCTTTATCAATCACGCTGAACCAATAACCGACAAGCGGGATAATTAGAGTCGGTCTGCCGTTGTACAAGGTTGTTCATTTTGTACCCGCAATATTCCTATTCTCGACTTCAATGGCCGTCTTCAAGGATGATTAACCAACAGCATCATGCGCCGCACCCCTGCATAAATTGACGAACAAGCGATCCTTCCCGTCTTTGGAAGCTGTCATTTCGTGTTCGCCCACTATCGCTAAGACAGGATGGTCGCTCCGAGTCGATAAGGTTGTTGGCTACCAGCTGTTGGTTATTGACGTTGATGTTGATACCGCCACTTTTCTCGGAACATTATGTACCCTGTGTTCAACAGTCTTTGCTTCCGTTTTACTTCACGGGCTAGCCTGGGTGCCTAATGGCCATGCTAATTGTAATTTACGAGTATGATTAAGTGACGGCCGATATTAATGCCTCGATACGTAGCTGTAGTCTGTAGTTTCTACTAATCAACCACATCACCCACTGTTGAACAATGTCGTAGCGACAATGGTTGATAGAGGTATGGGATACCCCACCGACGGGGTTGACAATCAAGGCTGGAAACTCTACATCACGTCTTTGGTAATGATCATTTCTGCGGGATTATTTGTCGTTGCACGGTGTTTCGCACGCTTTTCGATTCATAAGCTCGGATCAGATGACATTGCAATCGTCGCGTCTCTGGTAAGATCTTTGGCCCTGTTGTTGCGCCTTTTGACTGAGGTCCTAGATATCATCCATCCTCCTGTCGACATTCATACAATTAGCAATCCATAACGGTTATGGAATGCACAAGTACGACCTCGACAAGCCCGAACTTCGGATGGCGTTGAAGATGTTCTTCATTGCCCAGACACCATACAAAGCAACTGTCTGTCTCAACAAGGTCGCCGCGATTCTTCTGTATCTACGCCTGTTTGTTACGAGATCGTTCCGAGTTTGGGCATATATAGTGATGGGGATCGTGGTAGGATATGGTATTGGTGGCATCGGCGCGACGATATGGCAATGCGTGCCTATTGCTGGTGCTTGGAACAAGAGTATTAACGCGACTTGTATCGACTCGAACAAATTTTGGGTGGCCTACGCTACTCTAAATGTCGTGACAGATGTCATGGTACTAGCGCTACCTATAATACCTATCATACGGCTGCAGACGAATGTACGAGAGAAGATACTGCTCGGAGGCATCTTTCTTCTAGGGTCCTTGTAAGTGAAAGTCACCAAAGGATTTACCGCTGAGACTAACTAGAGGCAAGCGTGACTTTGACATCCATCCTACGAGTAACTTCGGTCTCCAACTCTCTCAAAAACAAGGAAGACATAACATACAACTTTATTGAACGCGGCATATGGACTCTGATCGAAGCCAATCTTGGCATCATCACAGCTTGTCTCCCAGTGTTGAGGCAGCCCCTAGGAAGATTGTTTCCCCGCATATTTGGCACGATGAAAGAGAGATCAGCGTATTTGGGAGGCGTGGTCAATAGCTCTAGAGGGTACAAATTGTCTAACCTCTCAACGCGCACCTCGAATCTAAATCTACGTCTTTGGCGGGGTGCTGGGTCGAAATCTAGCGAGGCCATTTCCATCACTGGGATAGAGGCTAACGTTAATGGGGAGCGGAAGAGTGATGAGGAACGCATAATTACTGGTTCGGTTGAGGGTGGTGACGTCAAGGTATATAGTCATAGGTAGTCAATTGTGAAGAAGCGTTATCGTCAGTTTAGACAAAAAGGCAATTGAGTTAGTTGATTTCTCACGGGATAGATATCAAAGTCAAATATCTCGTACACGAATGATATAAGCCGGAAGTCACAGTGACTCCAAAACCGAGACATCTGTTATCATTATGGGGTGTCGCGGGTCTTAGCACAGGTTAGTTCGGGCGGTAGGCCAAACTATATTCCCACTAGCACCAGGGGAAGAAGCCAAGTCCTTTGCGTTGCAGTAGCTGAGCTGTTGCCAAGCAGCTGAGACATGATGACGTGGAGGTAAGATAATAGTCCAGCTGTAGCTCTTATAAAGTCTTGTTTCCATCTCTCGTGCGACGTTCTCGCAACTGCGAAATTGTGATTGAAATGAAGAACCCCTACGCCTTGCCCTTGAACCCGGAGCAATATGCTCCAGCTCCAGTGCCTTCATTGACAGAATGGAAGCAGCTCTGGAATGTATGGGATCTTTTCACTACCAAGATGATCCCGCCGGAGGCATTGATGGAGCAACCGATTCCTCTACGAAATCCATTGCTGTTTTATCTTGGTCATATACCGATATTGTTAGTATTCATCGCCTCATCGTAGCCTTCCACTAATGTCATGGCTAGTGAGGATATCCACCTAACGCGAGCTACCAAAGGTAGACCTACCGATCCTGCTTATTATCACCAGATCTTTGAACGTGGTATCGATCCCGATGTTGATGACCCATCCAAGTGCCACGACCATAGCGAACTTCCAGATGTCTTCCCACAATTAGTGGATATCCTCCTTTATCGCGAGCGTGTGAAATACCGGATCACCTCGCTTTACGATACTGGGAAGGCTTACTCAGATCGTTGCATCGGACGGGCTCTCTGGATAGGGTTTGAACATGAGGGTAAGTCCTGATAATCCGACATGTGAAGCCATCCTCTAACTTGTCTAGGCCTCCATGCTGAGACATTTCTCTTCATGACAATCCAGAGCCCGAATATTCTACCTCCTCCTGGAATACCCAGACCTGACTTTGCGAGGCTCGCTAAAGAAGCTGCCTCGAAGCGGATGCAGAACCCATGGTTTCAAGTGCCCGCACAGAAATTCACTATAGGATTCCACGATCCTGAAAATGATGAGGGACCAAATAGATTCTTTGCGTGGGACAACGAGCGTGAGCCGTATGATGTGCAGGTACCACAATTCGAAGCGCAAGGTCGACCGGTGAGTAACGGCGAGTACGCAAAGTATCTTGTGGACGTCAAGTACCCACAGATCCCTGCAACATGGGGCAAGATACGCAGTGCGGGCCATGATGAAGACTTTACCACCTTCATTGCTCGTCACAGCGTCAAGACAGTCTTGGGCCCAGTTCCTTTGGCTCAAGCACTGGACTGGCCGGTGATGGCTTCTTTTGATGAGGTCGAGCGATATGCTGGGTGGGCTGGTGCTCGCTTACCAACTCTTCATGAAATACGGAGTATCCACGAGTATGTCGAACGAGAACGAAAAGCACCAGACAGCAAAGTCAACCACCAATTCCATACGAATCCTAATGCCATTTTTGTCGATTTATCTGGGACAAACTCGGGCTTTCACAATTTCCATCCTACTAGCGTTACACACAAGGATTATCTTTGCGGACTGGGCGATACTGGAGGTGCTGCTGAATGGACAAGAACTTTATTTGCGCCGCAACCTGGGTTCAAGCCTATGGATATTTATCCTGGATATAGTGGTAAGTTCTTGTCGCTGAGCTCCCGGAAGAACTGTACTAATGCCTGTCTAGCGGACTTTATGGATGAGAAGCATCTGGCTGTTGTTGGTGGAAGTTGGGCGTTGCATCCCCGCATAGCTGGTCGAAAGAGTTTGTGAGTTTTATCTTGAGGCCCGAAGTCATGAGTGAGTGCTAACCTTTACAGCTTGAACTGGTGGCAGACAAAATATCTCTGGCCTTGGGTGACTTTCCGTCTTGTGAGGGACATTGAGTAAAGCTTCACACCGCCAGAACAATTACCTCTGAGGCCGTTCGGCTACGTCCTACCGATACTCATTGCCGACAAGAGGTAATGGCGAAATATGCGGTGGATTTGTGGATGCTTTTCTAGTCGCGTGTGACATCATACGACTGCAATTGAGTTTATGCCGAAACCTAGACCAGATCGATTTTTCGGATATACAATTTATGAGATCTGATTCGATTTCGGAGCCGCTTTTAGTGGAAACTTCCCGTCCGCTCGATCCGAAGGAATGGATGATGATGTGACAACTATCACCAGAATCAAGCCACCTGCGCGATGTGATTTTCGTTTAGCTGTGTATAAAAGCTGGCCAAGAGCCGCGACGAGAGTAGAAGTCTCAATCATTCAGCATTTAATCATTTAATAACAAATAATCATAATGTCGCTGCCACGATACCAAACAAACACTCCTCTCCATCCTACTTTCAAGGATGATATCCTCAACACCCATCTAGTCTACGACTACGACGCCACAGACGCAGACGGCAACCCAGAAAAATGGCGCTATGAAATCTGGTTCTTCTCCGAAAACCGCGTCGTCTACGCCATTCACGGCGGTCCCATGGCTGGCCGCATCAACTACCAGACCGTAGCCTACCAATGCATTCGTGCAGGCGAGTTATGGCAGATCAACTGGCTGGAGGAGACTGGAACCATCGTTTCCCTGGTCTACGACATCACCAACAAGACCATTAGCGGTATGCTGGGCTTTTCCAAGGGCCATTGGGAGCATGCAGAGGATGCGCATGGTGATAAGCGCAATCCTCAGGATTTCAATAGGTGGAAGGAACTTGCTTCAATTGGAAAGCAGACTGACAGGTTCATCTTGACGGAGCAGGCGCATATTCTCGAGGTCTTCAAGGGACAGGGTGACCTGAAGCCTATCAAGGAGTCAGATCCTACATTTTGATCTTGCGGTGTAAAAAGGAACGATTTAGACGATTAGACGAGGTACACAATTAGACGGTTCCAATAGAGATTCTATTTTTATCACTTTGCTCTCCTGATGCTGCGGGAAATCCCGCAAGGTCCAGAGTCGAGACGAGACCACAAAAATGGAGCAATCTTTGATAAGAACGCGATGATACTGAGAATCTCGCTTCTTTCCTTGGCTGTATATCTTCGCCCGAAACTGATCGTGAATCTGGGGAGAACCTGGTGCTGGTCCTTCTTGGCGTATCGGCTTGGGTGAACCTTGGCAGAGAGCCCTGGTCTCTTTTGTGAGTCGATGAGCATAGTGGAGCCAAATGGAACCAGATGAGAGAAAAGACAACAATGTTCGAGCCAACCGAGAGTTCAGAGATAGGGAGGTATATGATGTAGTCGTTCTGGAATAGCATGAAGTTTGATCAGTCCTACTTCTTTAGAGTTGTTCTTTGACACAACGTTGCAGTGATCATTGCTGAGATACTGTACTAACAGATACGCTCTGATAACCGCATTGTTGTGGCTTATCTGTTAGCCGATAATTGAGCCATGCTAGTAATGATGCTCCATAAACTTTTGACCAGCATTAAGCGTTCATGAATTAAATTGTCGACGCAGTTGATAATCGCCAAATTTTTCATGAAGCCAGATCATGAATAAAAGGTAAATCATCGCTCCATAAAGACTACATTGTAATCGTATTATACTTGATCAGACGTGTGATTGGCATTGCTTCCAAGTGTCCCTGCCATTACCCTACAGCAAACCATTCTCAAGCAGTTGCGTTAAGATATTGAAACAAACTATAGCACCAACTATTGTATAGCAGAGATATATTCTTATCGTCAATTCAATACGATATCGGGAAAAAACAGACCTCGGATTGCTTTGTCCTTACCGCTGGACTCTGCCACCAAGATGATAAAATCACAACCCATGAAGAGCCATAATTTGTCAATCACTTTCATTGAGAATCTGGGCTTCTTGGCAATGCAAAGTGGCAAAGTCAGGTCAGTGAGTCGGTAAGTGCCAAGGTCTTACTATGGGGTTGATCACCGAGTTGCATGTGCATGCTTCACCAATATTATGGCGATCGCCTTGCAGAGTCTCACTTGAGCAGGACCACGTCGAGATCGACGCGGCGTGGCCGCAAACACGAGTTTAACACTGAGACAAGCTCATGCTTAGTAAATACAAGCATGGTATGGTCTCTTGTCGGGAGCTTTGGCACTTGAAGTCTCGTGCTGATCTCGCGTCGTCTCTATGCAGGGTTCTGAACACAGACATTGACTCGTTATACCCACTAGGTCACTTCTAACAAATGGACTGGATGGCATAGAGTGCTGACACGAACACCCAAGACGGTCTCGACTGACATATCAAGATGGACATGTGATGGTCGTGTTATGTATAGTGTTCAGAAGAAGAGAACAAGTTCTGACAGCGGTCAGACGTGCCGCTTTCAACGATCGAGTCTAGAGTCTTCGGAAGGGACCGAAATAAATCAAGAGTTTGCAGTGGAGGCATGGATCAACGATCATCTGGGACTGACCAGAACAGAAATTTCATGCTTGAAGGCTGACAGGACCCGCTCATCGCGTGATCCAAAATGTTAATGACAGAAAAATGCCTTCCTAAACGAGCTCAACAAGACCTGGAGAAGACCCATAGTCCACATACGTACAGAATCGGCCAAAAGAGGTAGGCCCCACGGGATATCGGCCCAGACTCTGGGCGGACATGGACAGCCGTAGTGTTGGGCTGTCAACAGTTTTCAACCCTAACCCACGACCAACATCTCCGAATTAATTACACTGACAGCTGCTAGTTTGATTGGAAGTTCTGTCCCAAGAGACGGAATCCCCTTCCTGACCGCCGGCCATGACCCGTCTTGTCCACGCCGCAACTGTTGGTCAAATGCGCTGCTGCCAAACAAGAGTCCTCAGCCGCAGGAGGATTAGCCACATTGAGTGGTGGATTCCCAAATCTCTCCAGCTTGCCAAGAGCCTCGACATATTATGTCTCAGCGGGTTTCGGCAATCACAACTTGGCGACTGTCACTGCTGTACCCCAGATGGGGAAAGAGAGGGTCGCAAGAATCCCGCTTTTTCCGCAACTTTGTTTTTTGTATGTGCAAGGGAGCTTTGGGATCTCTTGCAGTTGCAGTCTGGGGCGCGGAGATTTCGGGGTGCTGATCCGGAAGCGAGGACGCTATTCGTGGAGAATCGGGTCCGGGGATGCGGGGGAGTAAGCTTGTCTAGACCCCGACCATCTTTAATTAAGGATGGACAGTACGTACTTGATCCAAGAGACCAGAGAATGGAGAACTCAAGTCTTGGTGGATGTTATGGAGTATCATATCATGGGAAATATTATCTGAAGCTATCTCCATACTGAATGTACTCTTCAATGAGAACGATACCATTGTTGAATACTCGTAAAAGCTCTGCTTACTCTCAATCTGTCTCGGGGCACTTTCCCCTCCTGAGAGACACAGAAGGGTCTTGACCAATCGTCTTACGGTTCCCCGGCCCGTAAATCTCATTAGCACAAAGCAACCAGCTCCCCCTTACGGTCCTACCTCGTCCTTACTAGTAAAGCACACAAGGTAGCATCACATCTCGCGGCCGCGCCTAATGCAGCGCCAGCACGTTAAAATAGAGTGATCGATCGGCTGGTGCGCATGGTGAGCCGATAAAGTCTGCACTAAAAGAGATGGGCGGACCAGCAAGCCGAACAAAGAGTCAGGCAGGGCTTCATCGGGAGACTCGAATTAAGCGCCGCTGGTCGACCTGATGCTCTGTGACCAATCAGTCAAACAAAGGTTTTTGTGCTGTCCGTTCTGTCGGGCTCAGACCGAATTCTCGATTCCCCATACCTGGCCGTTTCTTGTCAGAACCGCTCGATTGGTCACTCGCATCAGCTTTCGGATGCTTGGCCGTCGATCCGTCCCGGCGAACAGCGAGGCTTTCTTTCTCACCAGCGAAGGGACTGGCCTGTTTGAGATCTCTGTGGTTGTGTCGGATGCGGAGACCGCGTTCCATCCACCATCCCATATGCAGTAGTGGCACGGAGCTTGAGACAGCTAAACCCATCACCACCCTAGAATGTCGCAGCTGTCTTGAAGTTTTTATATATATCCCAGTCCCATCTCGAATTGAAGTAGTTTTGTTTCCAGCCCAGACCATCAGCCAAGCAAAGCAACCAAACAATCAGCTCGACAGTCCACAGCTCCAGCGCTGAAACATTACCATCATGGCGGTCGACTCCATCAACGAGAAGGACGTACGTCTTTACCACCACCAAACAGCTCAATTGAGCGTCGCTAATAGTTCAACTTAGGCCAAGCATGAAGTCGTCATTGTCAAGACGGCCATTGGAGATGAAGCCTTCCAGCAGGCTATGATCAAGGAGCCCCCGCCCAAGATCGCCGCTCCTATCCTCATCCTCGCAAGCATGGTCGCCTTCTGCTGCTCTACTGCCAACGGCTACGACGGTTCGCTTTTCGGAACTCTCCTCTCTTCCAAAGACTTCAAGGGCTTCTTTGGTGTTGACAACAAGGGTATTGAAGCTGGTATGTCTTCCCAATCTAGTCAATTGCCCTGGTGACAATGCTGACATCTGATAGGTATCGTCACTTCCATGTATCAAATCGGTTCCGTCGTCGCTATTCCTCTTGTTGGACCCAGTATTGATACTTGGGGTCGCCGTGCCGGTATGACAATCGGAGCTTGGATCATCATCGTCGGTGTCATTATCCAACTCGCCTGCTACTCAACCTCCAGCGTTGGACAGTTCATGGCTGGTCGCTTCTTCCTCGGATTCGGTGTCTCCATCGCCGCCGCCGCCGGTCCTACCTACGTCGTCGAAGTCTCTCACCCTGCTCACCGTGGTGTCATCACCGGTCTCTACAACGTCATGTGGCCCGTCGGCGCCCTTGTTGCTAGCAGTGCTGTTCGTGGTGGCTTGAACTACGAGGGAACCAACACTTCTTGGATGATCCCTGTTGGTCTTCAGCTCATGTTCCCTTGTGTCATTGGCTTCTGCGCCATGCTTCTGCCCGAGTCTCCTCGATGGCTGTACACCCACGGAAAGCAGCAGCTTGCTAAGGAAAACCTCACCAAACTCCACGGCCACGGTAACCCCGAGAGTGAGTGGGTCAAGCTCCAGCTTCACGAGTACGAGGAGCATCTTGAGATGGACGGTAGTGACAAGAGATGGTGGGACTACCGTGCTCTCTTCGCCACCCGTGCTTCCTTCTACCGTCTCACCTGCAACTGTCTCGTCTCTCTCTTCGGTCAGTGGGCTGGTAACAGTATCGTCTCTTACTACCTCAGCGCCTTCCTCGACACTGCTGGTATCAGGGAAGGTGCCCAGCAAATCAATGTCGCCATGGGAATGAACGCTGTTCAAATCGCCTTTGCCGCTCTCGGTGCCACCTTTACTGACACTGTCGGTCGTCGTCCCATGCTCCTCGTCGTCAACGTTGTCTGTGCTTTCTGCTGGATTGGTGTTACTGTCCCTGCCTCCATTGCCAACATCACTGATCTTGACAACGAGGAACAGATTGATTCTGTTACTCCCCCGGTCAGCAAGGCTATTCTGGCCTGGGTCTACCTCTTCCAGATCTGTTACTCTGTCGGCTGGACTCCCCTCCAGGCTCTCTACCCCGTCGAGGTTCTAAGCTACGAGATGCGAGCCAAGGGTATGGCCTTCAGCTCTCTCTTCACCAACGCTGCTATGCTTGTCATGCAGTTCGGTATTCCCGTCGCTCTGAAGAACATCGCCTGGAAGACCTACATTGTCTTCTGCATCTGGTGTGTCTGCCAAGCCGGTATCCTCTACTTCCTCGTCCCCGAGACTAAGAACCGAACTGTAAGTTACTACAAATATCCTCTCAATATGGACCTTACTAATCATCGTTTCAACAGCTCGAGGAACTTGACCACATCTTCTCTTCTCCCAGCCCTGTTAAGACCTCCAAGCAGAAGAAGGTCTTTGAGGCCGATGCCAACGCCAACATTGTCCACATCGAGCCTGCGACTGCTTCTCCCTCTGCCGCTTAAGCTGTTTACGTCTTGATTTGCATTTGCATATGCTTGGATACCACGGGGACTTGAATGCCCCCTCCGAGTTATGAGAGTTGAAGTTCGGATTGGATGGTGGAGGATGTCAGCAACCTATACCAAGATTGTGTGCTCAGATGTTGGATCTTAATACTACACTCTTTGTGAATAATAATACAATCTTGAGCCTTACCTTTTGATGCGTCTCTCGCATGTGACATCTGATTATACTGCATAGACAGCTCGATACCAGTGTATGCTATCCTGCAAGCAGCCTCGCGCTTTCAACAAGCTCTGTCAGCTTGATTCTCCTAGAAGGACTGTAACGTCATATCACGAAGGGGACTGGAGAATAGGAGCACTGAAATCGATTAAGAACGTCGAAACAACTCTCAAGGTATGCTTTGACTCTTCTATAAGTTCTCATTCGCCAGAGGCTATATGCGTGAGTTTAACTATTTTTGACTATTATCTATTCCAACCACCTTCCTTCTCGAAGATTCCACCAACAGCCTCACATACCTTGAGCAAATGCCTGTCACGAAGTCTCGCCGCAACAAGCGAAACACACACTGGCATATCGGTCTTCCCTCGAAATCCAGGAATGTTCATCACAGGTACATGTAAAGCCTATAGTGATCAGCAAAGGTTTTGGGACGTGGTGAGCTCACTTACAGTCCAAGGTGATGCAAAGACCGGATCACCGGTATTACCCAGCCCCTCAGGAGCTTCATCAAGCACACTTGGTGCAAGCACGGCCGTGTACCCCTCCGCAAGCTTATCGAAACGAGGTCGCAACGCTGCGAGTCCATCATATGCCTGCAACTGGGCCTTGCGTGAAACGCTTCTTCTCTCCTCAACTCCCTTTGCCAATGTTTTGTCCATCTGTTCTTTGGCCTGAAGATACTCGGGCACGAGACTTGTTGCGCCTTCGAGTTTGACAATCAGATTGAGCCACTCCACGACTTTCTCAAAGTCAGGACCGAGATCGAGTTCTTCGACTTGGGCGCCGTGAGCTCGCAGTAACTCAACAGCTTTGTCCATCGCCTCTCTGGTTCCTTGACCAGCCATATCCCAATGAACTGGCTTACAGATAGCAAATTTAGAGCCCTTGACTTCCTTGAAGTAAGACTCCTCGTAGTCATTTAGAGCAAAGGCATCAGCGAATAGTTCGAAGTCGGCAACACTACGCGCGAAGAAGCCAATTGTATCAACGCTAGGAGAACAAAACTTCTGTCCCTCACGCGTGATTGACTGCCAGGTAGGCTTAAAGCCATAAACACCATTGAACGCAGCTGGTCGAACGATGGAGCCTTTCGTCTGTGATCCTAGTGCTATAGGGATCTGGAAATCTGCTACTGCTGCTGCTGATCCAGATGAAGAACCGCCTGGCGTGTGATTGACGCTATGAGCGTTGCGAGTAGCTGGACCAATGAAGGAGAAAGCGAACTCTGTCGTGGTCGTCTTACCTGGGAGGCTGTGTGAGCAAACTACTTGGAGATGTGAAGGGTACAAGCCTACCAAAAATGAGGCATCCTGCATGCCGAAGGGCCATTACAGAGCCGGCGTCAATTTCAGGATGATCATTCTTGTATATCTTGGACCCATGTTCAGTTGGCATGTCTACCAGAGCATTAGCAACACCCACCTACTAATCCGGTCAGTTCTTACCCTTGGTCAAGATAATGTCTTTAATCCCAACTGGCAGACCATGCAACGGTCCACGCTGTTCAAATGGAACTCTGTCGAGCGCTCTGGCCTGCTCCATCACAGCGTCGGGATTGAGGTATGCCCACGCCTTAACATCATCGTCGCGTTGCTTTATCCGCACGAGAAGTGAGGCTGCATACTGTTCAATCGTGAGCTCGCGAGAACGGAGCTTCTGTAGAGCTTCAGTGGCTGACCAAAGCCGAGGGACCGTGTCTGTTTCTTGATCCATGTTCTAAGCCTCTGGAGACGGTATGTATCGATGTCGATGAAGCTGAACTGATTGAACGTCTACCACGGCATTGATGCTTCCCCGCTTCTTGGGTCGTTACACTGGCCCAGGTCCACGGGGAAGAGGCGGGGGGGTTCGGCAGTGGAATCAGGAACTTTGGCATCCATTGAATGAACATTCTACTACAGAACCACCAACAGGACTAATTAAATCATATAATCTGAGCATGATAAGAGTTGCTCAAGGGTCACTGCACCATCCTCCATCAACGCAATAGGAACTGCCTGTAACAGCACTAGCTTCATCACTGCCCAAAAACACAATCACTTTGGCGACCTCGTCAGGCTCCAGGTCCCGCTGTAAGCTCTGGCCCCGCATCACCTCCTCTCGGTACTCAGGCGTAAGAACCTCGTCTCTCTGTCGCTGCGTCGCGATGGCGCCAGGCATGACGCTGTTGATACGGATGTTGTACTTGCCGAATTCTTTGCTTTGAACACGAGTGAGGCCCATGATGGCGGCTTTGCAGGCGCCGTAGACTTGTGGATATTAGCGATTCAACACAGCCAAAAGATTACTGCCCGGCTTACCTGGTGTGCCTTGGGCGGGAATGCGCCAGGTGATTGAACCAAGATTGATGATACTTCCACTTTGCGCGTCTCTCATAGCCGGTATCACGGCTTGAGAGAGGAAGAATACGTGTCGAAGGTTAGTATTGACGTTGGTATCCCAATCCTCAGCCGTGACCTTCTCTGTGACAAGCCTGGCCCTGTTCCCAGCCGCTGCCGCATTGTTCACCAAAACGTGTATCGCACCATGCTTTTCCTGAATATTCTTGACAGTTTCCTGCAATTCCGGTAGATCTGCGACACTGCACTTGTAGAATATGGGCGATTTGGCTTCCGTGTTGCTGTCTTTGGCTCGAGCGACAGCCCGATCAATTGTCTTTTGGGCTGACGCTTCGGCAATGTCGAGAAAAATGACCTGGCTGCCCTGGAGCGTGAAGAGTTCCACTGTAGCAGCGCCTATACCTTCTGCGCCGCCTGTAATGAGCACTGTCTTGCCCCGCAGGCTGGGATAGATGGCATGAGCTGAAGGCATCGTCGATTGAAGCGACAATAAGATGAAGTTTGAAGTCAATTCTAAGTGAATCTATCGTTGTTTCAACCCCTCATTCAATTTATATCGTCAAAGTCAGCTGTGCAGTTAACGTTACAGTGCAATGCTTGGTGACGTTTTGGCTGGACTGTTGGCTTTCGGCATGTGGAGAGTGCTGCAGTACCAGCATGGAAACCAGGATTATTGGTCTTTAACACATCAAAGCTCCAGCTTTATCATTCAATTGGTCTTGATGCAGTGAAATGCTCGATGTTATTGGGCAGATGAAAAGCCACTTTAAAGACGTCAGAAGCCTCTTAGCCAGGACTATTTTTACACTCCGTCGCAGAGCACGAAGTACACGATACTCTGGATAGAGCCTCTGCGCTGAACTGGTCATGCTAAAGCCGCTAAACTTGGCGAGGTTAGCGAGCACTTCCGTTCACGTGCTTGACCCGCTGAGTCTTCTCACATCCGCTTCCGTCCCCATTTTCATCTGACATCTCCAATCACAGTCATCTTCATTCTCCTTCTGGATCATCCAGTAATACTTCCCGAAGCAAGCCATGGAAACCCGAAGTAAACAAGCATGTGAGCCATGTCGGTAAGTACACAAAGTTACATGTTCTAATCTTGGGGCTGAACTTTTGAATACAGAAGGAAGAAGACCAAGTGCCCTGGTGAAAAGCCGATTTGTTCGTTCTGTAATCGGCTGAACCAAACATGCACTTATAGAGAAATTGAGCCAACGGGTACACCTTCAAGAAAAGTTAATAGGGTCTCAAAGAGGTAGATTCGCCCAAGAGCATGAAATGTAGAGTACTGACCTTATTAGTACAAATAAGAATGACCTGCAGGGCCGTTTCCAAGCACTGGAGTCCCACGTCAAGAATATTTATCAGCTGCTACAGTGAGTTCCTAGTGGTCGTAATGCAAACTTCGGGACCTTACCATTCAGAACTCCAACAGAAGCCGCGTCCTCTTCGTCTCCCGGTTTATCCATGAGAGACGCCTCGACGGGCTTACTCGAGGAGGATGGAAGTGCCAGCCCCGGTTTTATGTCGGAGAGCATCGCTGAACCGACATTCAGTACCGCAAGGTATGCCATATTTTTGACAACTAGGTATCATTATCAGCTAACTCTCAAGTCCGCACCCTCCTTCAGACGTTGTTGACCATCTTGTCGACATATATCGTATAAGACATCATCTTCAACCATTGCAACTGTTTAAGCTTCCTGATCTCAAACGATATCTCGCTTCAGCTCCTCGATACCTCTTCGAAAGCTTTCTTGCATTGACTGTACGATATAGCACGCATGATTTCTACCAGGGTCAGGAACTCCAGGCTGTGGAGCACTACGCGTCTTCGGCACAGCAGACGGTCACATCACTTGCCTCTCAGGGCATCCCAAAGCTAGAGGTTGTTCAAGCTCTGTGCTTGCTTGTGTTGGTTGATGTCGCAGGTAAGTTTGAAGAAATTCATGTTTCACACGAGAATGAAGAAAAGCTCACTTCAGTCTCAAGGCTGTAAGCCAGGCCGAGCTTGGATGACGATCGGCACCCTCTCTCGCCTCGAGGCTCTTCGCAAGATCTCTCAACAAGCACTCATAGAATCATCGTCAGATCCCGAAACCTGCCTGCGTTGCCACTGGACTGTGCTTCTTCTAGAACAGACCTTTATGCCTCAGGAGCGTACTTCTGTTCACGATGATGATCGTCCCAAATACCCAACGAGTGCCCCGATACCGCCTTCTTTGCCACCCGTGACAGATGGCGAATATCCGCCTGATCTTTATTCAGACGATGCAACAGAAGACTTGGGAATAACTGCATATTATATAAAGATCGTCGGGATCTGGGGCCATATGTCATCATACATGCACCAGATTCGTATTGGTAAAGCTAAAACTGCTTGGTCCCCTAGCTCTATGCATTATGAACTCTGCGCTCAACTCTATGACTATGACGCCAAAACACCCCATATACATCTTTTGAGAAGTGTCCACTTCACCAAGCGTCAGTCGACCGAACTTATCGAACGCAGAGAGTATTGGATCCCGTGGGTCTTACAACAAGTCACGTCTCATGCTACTACCGCGATATTGAATCACCCGTTCGTTCATCTTGTGGCGATGCGTGATCGCGTACACGGACTTCCACCACGACAGTTCCTGCAGCAGACTGTCGATCTCGCTCTTTATCACTCCGCCTGGGTCTTCAAGTTCCTGCGCTTCTGCGAGGAGCAGGGTTTTGGTGTATATGACCCTCTTGTCGGGCACTTGGTGGCGGTTGTCGCGACTATACCGTGGCTGTTTCAGCGTGCTATTGATCCAAAAATCGCTCAGAAAGCGAAAGATGATTTGACCTGGTGCAAGGGGTTCCTAGAGAGGCTTTCGGCAACATGGCCCCATATCGCATATAAGGTATTTCCAAGTTACGCGTCAGGAATACCGATCTAACCCATATCTAGCTTGAACTACTTAATAGCTTGGACACCACAGCAGGGAACAATCCGCAATCTCCCAGTGCAAAGGGCGTTTCAATCGTTTTTCATCCCTCGTTGTTCTGGGCATTGGTCGATCCCAAGATCAGCCAGATGACGCCTTCGCTGCCGTATAGCCACGGACCCAACCGCTTTCAAGATGGAACGATACGAGTCTCTACGCACTATATTCAGCCCTTGGTGGAGAATCAAGTCGAGCAGTCCCACACGGTAGGTGATCTGTATGATCCATTCTCATTGGACATCGGGGCTCTGGAACAGATCAATCTGGATGATGTCTTTGCCAGTTTCTTACCAACATTAGATGAAACACTCTAACAACAACATCAACCTTAATAAATCTATATAACTTATCTTATCTCCTTTCTCCGCCGATAAAAATATCGGGATGGCCGTAGCGAAAAGCTTCAAGATGCTACCCACAAGATCCGCTCACGTGCACGGGTGCTGGCCAGTTTCTGCTGTTCCGTCCGTTCAAGATCCGGGCCCATCAAACGCTTTGGGGTTCATAAATAATGTGCAATCCATCGCTCTGACATAAAGCTAATCTTACCAAGATCTTCTCTCATAAAATAAGTTATGGATTCCAACAGCAATATCGTTATCATTGGAGCGGGCCTCTTCGGTCTCACAACCGCCAAGCAGCTCGTCCTGGAAGGTCACAAGAACATCACTGTGATTGACAGGCATATGCCCCCGGTAAGCGCCTCGTTCTTCATTGGCTACTGACCCAAAATACTAACTGATGCGACAGGTTCCTGACGGTTCAAGCTCAGATATTTCCCGAATCATTCGGTTTGACTATGGCGACGGCGATTACTGCTCTCTCGCCTACGAAGCCTATCAAAGATGGTCTCAAAATCCCAAGTACAAGGGCATTTTCTATCCAGCTGACTACATCATCGCTGGCTCGCGGAAAACTGCTGAGAAGTCCTGGACGGATAAGACGAGAGCTCGACTTGAAGAGCGAAATCTGCCGTATACCATACTTCCTGATCCAGCAGCTGCGAAGCAAATGTTTCCTATCCTGACGGGAGAACTTGCTCAGCCGAATTGGGAGGGCTATCATAACAAATCCGGTGGTTGGGCTGATGCTAACAAGGCGATTAAGCAACTGCGCGATGAGTGCCTTGAGCTTGGTATCTCGTTCATCTCTGGTCGAGCTGGCACTGTTGTTGGATTTGACAGTGATGCTGGGGGTGTTATTAAGACTGTCCATACATTTGGAGGTACTCCTGTTGCTGGAGACCACTTCATCCTTGCAACAGGTGCTTGGTCTTCCGGCCTAGTCCCCACATACAACTCGACGCTGTCTACGGCTCAAGCACTGGGTTTTCTTCGCCTCACAGACGAGGAGATGATTAAGTACAAGGATCTCCCCATCTACGTCAACTACTCTACTGGGTGGTTCAACTTCCCTCCCCATGAGGATACCAAGATGCTCAAGTTTGCTGTCCATGGCTGGGGATATACTCGAGCACCTTCAAAGGGCGATAACAATAACGTCAAGTCTAACATCTCCGTCCCACCTCCAGTATCACGAGAGCGCAAGAACTTTGTCCCGGCGGACGCTGAGCAACGTCTTCGAGATGGACTGCGTGAAATCTTACCTGAGCTTGGAGATCGGGAACTGGAGAGGGCTGCGCTGTGCTGGTACACTGATACACCTACTGGTGACTTTATCATGGACTACCACCCTGATTACAAGAACCTTTTTGTAGGCGGAGGTGGAAGTGGACAGTAAGTTAAGATTCACGGTGAGAAGAACGAAACTGACTTTTGTAGTGCGTTCAAGTTCCTCCCTGTTCTGGGCGAATGCATGACAGCCGCCATCAAGAAGACCCTCCCCAGTCATTTGACAGAGAAGTGGCGCTTCCATACAGAGTATGAGCATCGCGAGGACACGTTCTTAGGTGACGGTAGTCGCGGCGGCCCTGAGAGGCGAGACTTAAGTGCTGCCGAGAAAGCAAGATTGGATGGCGAGGAAAGGTCGAAGTTGTAATGTTATTTACCGCAGTTATGTAAAGATCAGCATCCTGGCTTAATCCTTGTCATTATCCCAGCATTTGCTCGAATCCTCCAAAGGAGAACCAATCACATCAAAATTACTCAAAAGGGAAATTCGCTTAGTGCTGACTGTCTGCCAAGATGCGACATCCGATACTCGTTCAAGCCCGCCATCTTTCCTTTCGCATTTTTCTCAAGCGATACATGCCGTTGAGACAACGAGCACTTTCTATTCATTCTCGTGTTACCTTATATCTCCGATCAGATCACTATGGATGCAACATCAAAGTCCAGTAAGACGCGTCGCAATGTGTTGGTGCAGAGACAAAAGCACCGCGGTATCTCGTTCGTCAATATCACGACCACCACGACCGCTAAAACGGCCTGTTATACAAATTCATCTAGCTCCGGCATCCGTTTTAAGCCACAGAAGAAACTGCAGGGCCGGACTCCGGTAAAGCCAATCACAAACAGTGATACCCAGGCCGTTCAAAAAGGTACTCACAAGAAAATAGCTCCGAAATCCTGTCAAGACGCTCGGGTCTGTGGCTCTGTAGTAGTCCCCTACCAGGATGTCATTGACATAGAGACCAATGCCTCATTCTCATTCGAACTCATTAGACACTGGACCAGGGCAAATGAAATGCAGAACAGTTACCTCCCCTCACCCACAGGTCCTGTCATTGCAGATTGGGCTCTACATAGACTACCCCCAGATATTCCTGATGTAGGCAAGCAATGTTTCCATGCTTACCTCTTCTCGTGCCCCATAAGACAATATCCCCTTGAGCAACTACGCATCGTCGCGTGGCAACCCTTGGCAATGGATCAGTCTCGATTTGAGAGACTTATGCTTCAACCATTGACACTTCGGTGTACATTAAGCATGGGCGCGTTGTTTCTGTTAATGAAGAATGAGAGAGCACCCCATCCAGGGCTAGCATCGCATTCCGTAAACCTGTGTCATCTGGTCAATAGTCTAGTAGGTCTGAGACAGAGGTCTCTAGATGAGACAGTCGTATTAATCCAGTCCATCGCCAGCCTAGCTCTCTTGGCGGTACGTTCTATTGTCGCAGCCTTCTCCCCCAAGCTGACACTTAGCGACTAGTCATATCTCGGTCTTTACAATGACTGGCACATCCACCTGAAGGGTCTCGAGCAATTGGTGAACCTGTCTGGGGGCCTCGAGTATCTCCCGACACCCGTCCAGCTCTTGATCATGAAGTACGTTCGTCTCGTACATCCTTGTTCACTTAAGCTTACATACCCACTCTAGAGCGGACCTAAAAGGAGCATGCGAGACTTTAACCATGCCTATAATTGTCTCCAAGTCATTGCAGCAAAATGCCTCCAACATTCTGCCGTCTTGTCAGCGCACGTCCCTGTTAAATGCTGTCGAGACAGCTATATACAACGAAAAGTGCAGTGACTATGACGATCGTCTTTGTGATTCCATACAATCATTGGCCATACTTGTCGGAACGATTAATTATGCTCACTCACAGTGTGGTGAAATCGTTCTTGATCCTTTGGATTTGATGGAAGAGTATCACTCCATCGAGTACAAGCTCCTCACCCTTCCCTATCCAATACAGTCGCATGTAACTGCCTTGGGGAGTCACAACTACCCTTCTCCATTGTCTATAGGCTCTGATCGCCCACCTGTCGACGTACAAGACATTGTTCAGAACGCGAAAACACACATACAGACGGCTCTTCGTATTGCAGGAATATTCTATCTACGACTTGTCAAAGGCGGCCCATTAGAGTCGCTTCATGGTTCCATCCATATGCTGAGGACGTTACTCCAACATCTTGAGCGTATCACTGATTCGCCAACACATATATCTTCTAGTACTGTCCATGGCTACTCGAGAAGCGCGTTGATATGGGCATGCCTGGTGGCAGACTTGATGTTATGGGCGAGCATTAACGAAGGATGGAAGTTCCATGAACATAAATGGGGCTCGTATGTTTGTCATGACTTCCTCGCTTGGGTACTTGATGGCGACGATGTCAAGACGGTTACAGATCGTGACTTGGCCTTGTGCCGAATCTTAGATCTTGGGAATTTTAGAACAGGCACGCGAGATCCTCGGACATACATTCAGCGCATTCTCGCTATGTAGCATCACAGACGGTCAATTGACATTCAACGTCAATCACTCCGGCGACGACGGCTCTTACAGAGTCGCCCGTGTTACCATTAGTCAGATCAATCATCCAAATTAATGACCGCGATTCGCGTAACTCCAATTCCTCCTTGATAGGTCTAGTGGCTGATGCTCGACGCTCACTACAGTAATGAAGGTCCCTACTCCAACTGGACTTGATCAGATGACGCAGCCATGTCACATACTAGCCAAGCCAACGCTTCCCCTCAATCAATGAAAGCCTTCCCATTCCAAATCATCAAAAACAAAGCAAATTCATTACATATCAATAAAATGAAGCCTTCACCGTTTACTTTCGACACTCGCGCAGATACTGTACTCATTTTACGAAATCCCAACACGGCGCAGAAGGAGGAATGTGAGATCCAAACTGACTCGGAGCCCGAGTACGAGCGCCTAAATGAGGCGGGGTTCGGAGAGTCAAAGACACGACGCGACTCGCCGATGACTCTGGACAATGACCAGAAATATCCGAGAGGGGCTTTAGAAGACACGCAAGTTGAGTTTCGCGTGTCATCAAGACATTTGAGCCTGGCTTCACCTGTTTTTCGAGCTATGCTGGAAAGCAAGTTTAAAGAATCTCAGCTCAATGAGCAAGGTCTCTATGAGGTCCAAGCCTCGGAGTGGGATGCCGAGGCTTTCGTCATACTTCTCGATATTATTCACGGACACCATCGGGACGTGCCGAAGCGAATATCTGTGGAGATTCTGTCGAATATTGCAATTATTGTTGATTATTATGGCTGTCATGAGATAATGGAATTCGTTTTGACGGCATGGCTGACCTATTTGGGAGAGCCGGAGGAGTTCGTGAAGGAGGACCCGTTGCGTTGGTTATTTATTTCTTGGGTCTTTCGGCAAGAAGCTTTGTTTACGGTTGCGACAAAGATGCTTTTGTTATATGATAATGGCGAATATGTGGTTGACTTGCCTATACCACAACCAATATTAGGTAACTCGGCCTCTTTCTAAGTCTTTTCCTGCTCATTACTTACCAACTTCTTCCTAGACAAGGTCGACGATAAACGACAATACGTACTCAACACACTCTTCGGCCATCTTTACAGTTACCAACAAGATCTTCTTACAGGAGTAGCTGGTTGCTCTGAAACATGTTGCAGTATGCTACTGGGCTCTTTAATGAAGCAGATGCGTCTACATGGCCTATCAACAGCCAGACCTCACGAACCCTTCGATGGATGGACAGTTGAGAAAGCAAGGAAAACAATTCTCGGGTTGGCAGTGCCACCTTGGCGTGTACCTGGCAGGTCAACGGATCACCCGTGTACGTTGAACAAAGCACTGGCTCCAAGAGTTAGTCAAGTGCTTCAGCATGCAAAGGGACTTGAGTTGAAGGACTTCGAGGGGAGTCCTTGTGTCATGTTTATGTCCATGAGTTCATGACAAATATTGTATGTGTATTTATAGGCGTTTGTTTCGGGGGAATCATAGCACAGAATGAAGAGAAACATTGCATTCCACCATCAGAGTTACCATGACTTTTGAAAGGAAAACGTCCTTTATTTGAGTTAACTAGAAGACTATCGCTTGGGCCATTATCAAAACGCCGACAACCATCATCCTTCAACGCTTACTGCCAAGTCCAGCTTAGCAAGAGAAACCACAGTCCATCTCAAGAGTCTGAGTAGTAGAAAGGAAGCCAGGGCCATCCCAAGCTCCAACAGAGCAACGAGGTTGCTCCTTAGAGTCCCAGGCCTGGTCATCACCGTAGGTGAAAGTAGCCTTTATCCAAATGTTAGTCAAATACTCGGGAGATAGAGTGTTAAGATTTACTTACCAGCGCGTTGCTACCAAATGTGTTGATGTTAAGCTCAGCAGGGAGACCCTCGCTCTTAGCCATAAGCAGACCATCACCCCAGATGCTCTCCTGGGACCAAACCATCTGCTGCTTTCCGTCATAGACGAAGACGTTCATCTCATGGCTGCCCTTGGCATTTTCGCCTTGGAAAAGGTGGATGTGGACACCGCACCACCCGCCGTTGAAGCGCTTGGTAAGAGACTTCTCGGTCTCGCGGGTGGGAGCGGCCATGGCGAGGCCGGTGAAGAGGAGGACGGACTTGAAAGAAACCATTGTTGCGGTTGATTTGTTGATAGAAAAGTTGAAGGAGTGAAGTAATTGGAGTTGAAGTGTAATAAGTGTAAAGTGAATGATGGACTGTTGAGCTGATGAAGATTGGAAAGTATCGGGCGTCTTGTTCTATATCTTATATACTTCTTTTTATCTTGGAATATACTCGTATAATATCTCCATCTCTCAACTGCAATATCGTCTGGTATTCCTTCCAGTGGAGATCTTGCATCCTACCACCGTGCTTTGCACCGCCCATATGGTCAGTGCCCACCTTTAGCTACTGGAGGATCTGGACACCAGCCCGATAGACGTCCAAGCTCCATCGCGAACAGGCACCGTAGGATTGTTTATGAACCATAGTGAAACGGAGGATCGAAGCTGTCGTGAGTTTGGAAACAATTGTGGCAGTGCTTGGCATTTCGGAAGGAGCCTTCAGAGGGTTCCGCATTGAGGTCGCTGACTTGACAATTTAAATAATGATTGTTAGTGTGTTTCTGAGTCTCATAAATCCATTCAGGAACAATGATTTCGGGGCCGACAGGTGAAATTGTTATCCGAGAGTCCATTAGCCAGACACGTTAATGAAGATCGAGCGCGAACGTCAATCTCAAGAGGCCGACTTCACCTAATTGCGACTCCTCCTGACAACACAAAGTCTCTGATTGCAACCTATCAATATTTTTTTCAAACAATGTTTTCACTTTTGATTGCTCGGAGTTGGTGTTTTCCCACAACTATTTGCTTGTTGTCAAGATTACATTCTTGAAAGCTTAATCGAACTTTGACTGAATGTGTAATAAATCCTATCATTGCTTTCGCACTTCTCTTATGGAAATCTGTTGTAGTCAGAAAAAGTATACTCAGTCGTTGTTGGATATGAATTCAACCTTATTGGAGGTTAGATACCCACCAGCCTTTGGGACGCGATTGATGGTTGTGAGTGTGAGGGGCTCCCACTAGAACTAAAAAACTTGTAAAAGAAGCCCGACAAGTTGCGACCAATTTCTCAATTATTGCCCAAAAAGGATCACGTACCAAGCCAGAGAAAAATTGATCTGTACCTTAATGCCATTGCCTGTTGTCTTATTACAATACAGAGACTAGAAAAGCCTTATTACTGAAGCTTTCCTGGCTTGCAAGAAAAATGATATTAACTACAGGGTAATTATTGTACGGCAAGTGGTGCGGTGATGCCGCATGCCGACCGACGAGGGCATGGAAGGAATAGTGGAATGGAAGCTATGACCATCTGTGGTTGATTTCGCCGTGAAGGAATAGAAATAGCCCACTAAGACCAATTGATCCACTCTGCCACTCTCCAAGGTAGCGGCTTGGCCTGTTGTTTCTTCGTCGATAATCTTCATTGTTTGTTGTGACAACCCAATTCCCTGGGCGGATAAAAAACGGCCAATTGCTTAGGTGGGACTTTAAGTCGTGAGATCTGATTGGCCATTTGCTACGTCAGTGAAGGAATGGAAGGAAGGAACAAAAGCAAAAAAAAAAAAGTGACGCGTCGATTTAGGTATCAAGCAAGAGTCGTGCCACAATGTAACAGCTTGGTTTGGGCTGGTTTGTAAAAATTGGCAGTGAATCTTGTGAATGAAGAAGAAAAAAGCAATTTCTGGATGATGAAGACCCAGATGAAAACAAGGGAGTCCCGACTGTCCCGTATTTGACGATCGCGATAGCCCAATCACAAGACAGGATACCAGACACCAGCAGGCTGGGTGGGTCATTGATTGGCACTAAGAGCCCCCTCCCCTACCCCTTAACTCAAAACTAAGCTGATGCCACAACAGTTCCAGTTTCCATTTCGTTTTGGGCGTGAACTCTGCATTTGCAGGCTTAGCTCATTCACTAACGTCAAAACATTCCTATCTTATCTTCATTCACACTTCCATTGTTCCTATCGCTACATATCTCGCCTAATCAAGTGATTGGCGAGATTGAGGAGCGAGCATAAACGCCCGCGTCGCGACTCCCTTCGACGCGTCCTAAATTATGACGACGCGCTAGGAGAGCAGAGCAACCCAGTTCATCTTCAATTGAGAAAGAAGACGACAAACGCTCCGCCAAAATGGATCCCCCAACGGCTCAGGATATTTTCGACCAATTTGACTTGGTACAGTCCGTTGTTACCAAGTATGGAATTGACCTGAGAGACATTAAACCCCCTAGCGTCGAATACGAGGAGGAACGGATTAGCTTGCGGATGAAATTCGCCAACGCAGCCGCTCTTTTCAAGGATGCAAAAACCGAGCTCCAAGAGTTGTCCCATCAGGAGACTATGCTTGAGCTAGGTGGAAAGATCACAGATTTGGATAGAGAATTTAAGGAAAATTGCGTCACGCGGAACAAAAACTGGGAGGCGCAACTCAGGGTGACCATGGATGAGTTTCGTCATCAGCTTGCGTTGGTCCTATCCCTACCAACCCCATCCACTGGCATAGAAGCTGGGACCCAGACAGAGGAACGGGAGCATGATAGCCACACTGGAATTCAAAGAGAGCAGAGCGAGAACGACATCGAAATAGTTCAGGTGACATCGACTGACACCCAGCCCAATGTGATTCAAACAGAGCACAGGGAACACGACAGGGACACAATCAGGGAGACACCCGCTGGAAATGAGTCAGATGACCCACACCCTGGTCAGCACGAAACTACCATGGGCGAATCTGTTGAAGGGAATCCTCTTGACAACCTAGTACCCGAGCCCTCGCCTCTGGCAGAGATCGAACTGGAACAAGGTCCGACTTTCGATGATAAAGAGGATGACACGGAAGGAAACGGCGCGGATCATGATACAAACCACACTGCGGAAGATGTCACAGTCAATCACGGAGACACCACAAACCCCGAGGCGAATCTTGAGGAGACGATGAACGATGCGCCGGCGGAGAATGACGACGAGGCCAGTTCTTCTGGCATCTCTTCTGACAGTGACGACGAGCCTATAGTACCAACGAGCATACGTCGAGTATCAAGCCGTATCGCCGGCAATAGTGCTGAGGTGCTTGAGACTCCTGTTCGCCAAACTCGCTCATCTATGGCCCGCATATCGAGTTCACGAGCAACTAGTTCATCAAAACAGAAAGAGCCCCTGAGAAACAAACGGAGGGCTTCGAATGCATCTCCGCCTCCCACGAGGAGCAAACGGCTGAGAGGCGGGGCTGAAATCGCAAAACAAACAAATGAAAGTCCTCGACAAGCACAACCTGCTCCGAGACAGCCGAGCAAACGTACGAAAACGCCTGCAGGAGGACCACCCAGCAACACGACAACGGAGCTTCCACAAAAAGGAGGAAACAAGTCTGCAGACCCTTCGACGAGGGTGTCGCGACGGCGCAGCCAGAGACATGCCGTGCAATCAGGAGAGGACGGGGAATTTCAAGGCGTCCTAGAACCAGTTCCTGGAAAGGTTTATGCAACCTACTGGGAGGGCACCAAGTCTTTCCTCGCCGTTGTCGTGCTCCCCATGGGCGATTTCTCCAGCGTGGGTTTTGAAGGGTCCATCGACTCGTGTGATTTGCCAAAAAACCCCTGTTGGACCAAGAATCGAAAAAAGGAATACACATGGGCGAAAGGATACAGAAATGGCGAGGCACTGGAGAAGGAGCGTATGTTCCCTGTGCTGTACTTTGACGGGGGTTACTTTCCCAGCAAGAGTGCGATCATGTGGTGTGCAGGGAGAGACTTGCGTGAGTTTCGGAATGAGCATCAGTTAGTGCCGTATATGAAAACAGTCCGCCAGTACCTTCAATCGAGGGGCCTCACAGAGGATACGCAAGATTCAGAGGCAGGACGAGCCAGAACTAAATCAGCGGCGCGTGAAGGTCCAGAGACCGAAGCAGCCGGAACAGAGTCAGTGGCACATGAAGAGCCAGAGGCAGAACGCGCCGGATCTGAATCAGTGGGAGGTGAAATTCAAGTGGCTGGTTCTGATGACGACTTTGCTGGATCCAGCGACACCGATAGTGACTCCGAAGACCTTGACGCTACTGTTGATGCGGAGGAAGAGGAAGATCTTGACATGGCCGATGTACTAACAGAAGAGCCGTCGAACAGTAAGGATATCCTGGACCCTAAGAGTAGTGGCGGCAACTAACTGATACAGCGAGACGACGGAGTCAACAGAACAGGCCGGATCAAAGGGAAGAAGACAGACCAGCAGATGGTAACTACATGCTGCCATCGTTCTTACCGAGACGTCACTAAATGAAAAATAGAATCCCCAGAGCCTGAAAGACCTTCAGAACCAGCAGCCATACCAGCAAGTAAGTCTATGCAAAACCGCCCGGACCATCGTCATCTAATGTTCGGCCAGCAGCCTCTCCCTTTGATGAACCGCTTACTGAGGCATCTGCCTTGGATGAGCCCCTCGTCGACAAGCAAGTGAATTTTGATCTCATCAACGAACACGTCCGGGATACACCTCGTAAAGAGCAGAGAGAGACGAGACCCTCAAACAAGGAAGAAAATGTCGTCGTGATACTCTCCGACTCAGAGGGTGAGAACGATACACCAGCTACAAAGACAGAAGACCATAGCACCGCTCCGAGACCCCTTTCGCACATATTTCCCTTCGAGACACTAGACCGTGCCTCATATCCTCCTATAGGGACCTTTCGTCATGCTTCGACGGCCGCGTCGCAAGAGAAATCGGCGTCTCCTTCACAAGCTCAGCAAGAGCCATCACAAGGGCGACCGCAGCGGACGCGTTCATCAGTTCATCAGCTACTGAACGACCCTTCACCATCACATCATGGGCGATCCGAATCGGTGTCTTCTGCACAAGCTCAACAACAATTATCAATTTGCCAACCAGATCCACCCGCGAGAGCAGAACCCTCACGGCGAGACACTTCTCGTTTCCGAATTCATGATATCCTTTCACCAGAACCGTCTTCCGAACCTAGCGGTAGTGCACAACCCGCCCAGCGCGAGAGATCACCATCTACGCTTCAGGAGACGGCTGTTCAAGCTGTTAACGCGATGTTCCCTGGGTCTGGGACGCGACAAAAAAAGGCTTGCGAGAAATGTAGTAAGCTGAAGCGTCGCTGCGATCCGAGCCACTTGTCCGGACTCACTCAGACAGTAACGGCAGCTTCTCTATCTCCTCGGCCAGTTGTGCACTCCAGGTCTAGCTCAGCTCAACACCATCCAACACCGTCGGCCTCGCCTTCTGTAAACCTAACCGACGACCTCCACGCATCGCAATCGCCACTTTTTAAGTTCTTTGGGAAGCAGACGCTTCAATGCGAACAAACCCCGCAATCTACACAGAGCGAAACACAAGTGCCTTCGCCAAGTTTCCATCTCCAAAGGCGATCCGCTTCAGCTGCGATTTCTCAACGTGGTTCATCCATATCTCAGAATGACCGAGGTCGCAGCGACGAGGATTGGTCTAGACCTGACCGCCCCCCTGCAGAAACGTTCGACGAATTCATCTACGACGAAAGAGGCGACCTTCCACCCGACCATTCCTGCTTCCACGTAGTAAACATCCTCGAAAAACCTCGATACTTTAGCCCAATGTCCCGCTCGTCGAGATGTCCTCCAGGTCTCACACGATACCTTGCTGAGCTACTGCAGGCGGCGGGTGATGCACTCAGGCCGGGTCTTGGAATTGAGGAAAACTTTCAATTAGTTGATGACAAAGGGTACAGCGGAGGGTACTGGTGTCCTTTCTGCAAGGCCTGTAATTGTCACCGCTTTGATACTTATATGGAACGGGCGAATTACGTGGCGCATTTACTTACTCATTGGCGGAAGGCTGGGGGGTCCTAGGTGACACATCTGAAGATGTCATTAAGTGGTATTCATTATAGTCACGCAGCTGGGAACGAGCCATCTATTTTCAAAATTTATTGCCTTGGTCAATCATGAAATATGTTAAGATCAATGACGGACGTCCTTTTGCCAACTTTAATTATGTACAAGAATGAGATTATGAAAACAAGACGTTTTGCGCGACTCTCCAACGACAGTGATGAAGGGAGATATATATAATGGACCTACGATACTGATCACTCAGCGCGGAAGCACACCTTTGTAAGGGCCACATCATCCAAGCCAATAATGATCACGTTGAAACTACCACTGCACTCAACGGTGATGGCAAGCGTCAATGCACCAGAACTCTCCCAATCAAAGTATGTTTGGTAATATCTGAAACCATAGGGACCGCTGGCAGTCAATATTTCGCTGCTAGGAAGTTGTCGACCATTAATATTGGGTGTAACAGAACAGCTAAAGCTGCGTCCATTGATGGCCGTTTGCATATTAAAGTAGTATTCGAGGCGGTAGGTGAATCCGGTGATGCCCTCGAAACTTTGAGAGATGGTGGAGGTCTTTCTATTTTGGTCGACAGTGTTGTATCTTCAGAGCATTGTTAGTGATCTTATTGGCTGTCATTGGTAAGGATGGAGGGCTTTACATGAAGTTTGGAGCTGAACGAGGGTTTATTTGAGAAACAGTGACACCATCGCCGAGAATCCAAGGCGAGGCGTTGCTGTTGTCATCGAAGCTAGGGTTGACGAGAACCTGGGTTTCTACACAGACAGGTGGCTGTACAGCGGCGGTTGTAGTAGTAGGCTCAGCAGAGGTGGGCTCCTCAGTAGCGACAGCGCTGGTCAGAAAGGTTGTGACATCGTCGGTAGTGGTGTTTGGCTCGACAGTGGCCGCAGCATCGGTAGTCGCGGTATCAGTCGCAGTCTCAGTGATGGTGGTTTCGAAAACATCAGTAGTACCAGTAGAAACTGTGGATTCAGTGATGGTGGTTTCCAGGATGCCAGTTGTGTCTGTAGATGCCGCGGTCTCGGTGATGGTAGTATCGAGAACATCAGTGGTATCAGTGACATCGGCGGTGATGGTGGAAGAAGCAGTCTCCTGGGGTGCTGTGGTAGACCCCAGACTGACAGTTGAAGATAAAGCGGCTGAAGAGTGAGGTTTGCATGGACTGGCATTGACAGTAACACCCAGAGCAGCGACAGCCAGGATGGCTGCGAGACGTTGAAGAGCCATGGTGGAAGCGAGTGGACAGTGCTTGGCACAAGAATTATAGACAGGGAGCGATGCCATAATAACAAACGCGAAGAATAAGATCCTATTTATCGCTTAAATAATTGATACTGCATCTTAAAGGAGAGACTTGAACCAACACATGAACGGGCATACCCATGTTGCGCTACAGCTGAACTATCGCCTGTAGTGTTGGATAGTTCAGCGGCTGAGCTGGGTGTCCGGGGTCAAAGCAGCGTATTCCTGGGGGTTAACTGAGCTGTAATTCGGTGCGGTCCGGGGTATAGAAGCGCTAGGAGAAGGGGAACCCGGGTAGGAGAGATAATTGCTTTTTGCAATCGGCATGGTAGAGATGAGGGCTATGTTTGCGAACTGATAATTCTGTGCGAGCATCAATAGCTGAATTATGAGTTGTATGACGACTCATCGACCCAAAGTGAGCACTCTCTCTTGGCCAAAATCGCGACTTGTAACCAAATAAGCCCAGCATGGTCGTGTGGAGAAATCTTGAGCGAAAGTAAGCTTAGAGGTCGATTCAAATGGGCTTATAAGATCTAGATGTATTTCAGTGAGTTGAACAATTGAATGATGTCAGTTTAATGCTGTCGATGCTGTGGCTATGAGATTGAGTGAGCCTCAATCATTGAGTGACTGTCCTTAAGCGCTTGAGTGAGGTTTCGCTCATCGCCACTCATAAAGCGACAAGTCAGCGTTTGAGAAGCATGGGCCAAGCCTTTAGTTTAGGTCAAAACAAAACAGTAAAGTAAATAAACAGCGATATGAAAGCAACAGATAATACTGGATCTGATGGCAAAATAAACAATCAATCCATCATCTAAAGTCCAATGCATCCAATTTAATGCTGTACAGCTAAATTGTCGCGTACTTGCCCATGGTGTAGTGGCGCGACAAGGCAGTTACAGGCGGTTGTTTTAGTGGGTTGTCCCCGCAACAGCAACTGGACTGGACTAGACTAAGGGAAAGGACGCGTCGCGTGCCGGGAGAGAAATGATCCGTCAATGCATCCCGATTTTTCATGCAACGGGCCACGAAACAAACAGAACAAACAAGGAGAAGGAGGCAAGAGAAGAGACAACAACACCACCATAACCCACGATATCACTATCAACATCTATCGCTAAAGACACAGGATACCACTGTATTTCTTGACCACCGATTATCTCCCAGGAACGCTCAAACTTTATTCCTCCCTTTCCCAAGTCGAGGTTGAGCCTCATTCACTCCGCCTCATCTCACCTTATTTTTGTCTCCACCCAAACCCAATCAAGCCCAACATGGATAACTATCAGAGAATAGAAAAAGTCGGAGAAGGTTTATACTCTCCCTCCCCTTATATGTCGCACCTCACTAATCACTCTCAGGTACTTATGGTGTCGTCTACAAAGCCCGTGATCTCGGTCACAACGGTCGCATCGTCGCCCTCAAAAAGATCCGTCTCGAGACCGAAGACGAGGGCGTACCCAGCACCGCCATCCGCGAGATTTCCGTCCTGAGAGAGCTCAACCACCCAAATGTAGTCAGTCTGCTTAATATTGTTCACGCAGACGGCCACAAGCTCTACCTCGTCATGGAATTCCTCGACCTGGATCTCAAAAAGTACATGGACTCCCTTCCCGTTACTGACGGAGGACGCGGGAAGCCCCTTCCCACTGGAACTGCCACTACCGTACGCAACTTGGGAATGAACGAAAAGGTGGTCCAAAAGTTCATGCTGCATCTTTGCGAGGGTATCAAGTATTGTCACTCGCGTCGTATATTGCATCGTGACTTGAAGCCCCAAAACTTGCTCATTGACAAGGATGGAAATCTCAAGTTGGCTGATTTCGGACTGGCTAGAGCCTTCGGCGTTCCTTTGAGAAGCTATACCCATGAGGTCGTCACCCTTTGGTACCGTGCTCCAGAGGTCTTGCTTGGTGGAAGACAATACTCGACTGGCGTTGACATGTGGTCTGTCGGTACCATCTTTGCTGAGATGTGTTCCCGAAAACCCCTTTTCCCTGGTGATTCCGAGATTGACGAGATTTTCAAGATCTTCCGGTATGTGCTTCTTCCTTTGCTACGACAATACCTGTACTAACTCACCTAGAACTCTTGGAACACCTGACGAAGACGCCTGGCCCGGTGTCACCACGTATCCTGACTTCAAGCCCTCCTTCCCTAAGTGGCAGCGAGACTTTTCCACTCCCCTGTGCCCGAATCTGGACGAGCAAGGTCTCGAGCTACTGGACTACCTGTTGATTTGCGATCCCGTGACTCGTATTTCTGCCAAGGCAGCCCTTAACCACCCTTACTTTGACGAGATCCTGTAAGTATTTGATTACTACGTGTGGAGCAGAGCATCGCTAACGTGCGCGATTTAGGGGACGTACCCAATCAGAGCAGGAATGATGGAGACAAGTAATTGGAAGCTAAGCGGTACTGTAAAAACAGGATGCATGCATCTGAATGAGTTGTAACATGATGGAATGAGTGAGACGGATGCGGTTGTTTTAGTGAAGCATATGAAGGAGTCAATTCATTGTTTAGCTGTTGATTACAAGTGCATGAATAGTGAGCCCGCAATGAGATAACGACTGATGCCTTGTCCAGGACGATGTTTAATTCGCAAATTACTATATAATATCGAGGCGATAATTGGGTCTTCTCACTATTTAGACCTTCGCCTTAGTGGTAGCACCGATGGCGGCACCAGAAGCAGGAATCAAGAAATCACTAGCCTTGACACGCCCATCCGATCCACGAGCTCCCTTCAGCGTTGATGCATCAGTGCTCTTGAAAGCAGCATCATTCCAAGTATCCTTGCTATCCCAAGAGTTTCCAGAGGCGGAGACCTTGCTGATCAGATCAACCTGCTTGCCCGTGTTGTTCACCGCAATGTTCTTGGTCATCTTGGACGAAGAGCTGCGCATGTGAAAGCCAACGTTGCCGTTCTTCCATGCAGTGTTGCGCTCAAAGGTCAAAGAGCCCGGGTTACCGTTGTCAATAAAGCCCTTCTGGGCATTCTGGAAAGCAATGCAGTTCTTGACGATATGGTTCGCAGGAGGGTTGTTGGTAATGCCTAGCTTGAAACCGTTACCGTCGCCTTCGAATTCGGTAAAGTCCCAGCGGTTGAAACCGTTGCCCCAGGCGTACACCTCCTCGAGCGTGACAGGTGAGCCAAACATGTACAGATCCAGACCATCATCGACGTTATCCCACAGACGCGCGTTGCGGAGCACGTTGCCAGTACCTGAGCCCTCCTTGCAAGCGAAGCCATCGGCGCTCTCGCCATTCTTGCGAGGATCGCGGTTGCGGTAAGAGTCCAAGTTGACGACTACGTTGTTTGATGATGCGCCTTCAAGTTGGAAGCCGGTCTCATAATTGTCGTGGGTGGAGAGACCCTCGTAGTAGTTGTTTGAGGCATCTCGGGCGTAAATGCCGTAGGGTCCGTTGATGATTCTATGGTACGTGAGAAGGTAGCCTTGGCAATGTGAGTGGATGCACTTACTCGAGATTGTAGAATGACCAGTACTCTGCATTCTGGATGTGGAATACACCTCGCTCGGCATTGGGAAGTGACTCGCCGAGGGCCTTGGGAGTTCTGCAATATGTCAGTGTCTGTGTCTACCCTTCGAGTATAGGCACGACTTACCCCGGCATGTTCTCGCCATCGATGATGACCTTTTCACTCTGGTAAGGTTTCACAGTGATGGGACTGCCCTTGGCGCCATTGGTCTTGACCTGGATGTTCTTGGACGGAGCATATGTGCCTTTTCGAAGGTAGACAATGTCGCCAGCTTTAGCAGCATCAACGGCAGATTGAATTGATCCATAAGGCGCCGCAAGGGTACCAGAACCAGTACCTGTTGGCGAGACAAAAATGTCTTTGGCACTGACACCAGCCACGAAGGCGAGGAGAGTCGGAGTAAGCTTAATTAGAAGCATAATTTCAGAATTGGCTATACACTGGGGTATCGTATAGTAATTCATCGTGTCTTCGCAGCCTCTTATATGATGTTTTGAAACATGCCTAATTTCCTAAATTGGACAGGGAGCACTCCATCCGCAGGGAATATACTGTTTCCACCAATAGGCTTACGATGACATGTCTTTGGGAACCGTGCTTCCAATGGTCAACCCTCCAACTGTTACATTCGGAGTGGCTTTGGGGGTATTTATTGATTAAGATTGGGGGACAGTACGATGTCAAATTGCGGGAGCCTTGGCTGGACACCTCGGACGACAATCTGCCGAAGCGGTGTAAGTCATCACCATCTTCTTCCTCGTATACATCAAGTACGGCTGACGGATAATCTAATACCATATTATCACGGATTGATCGGATCCGTGACCTCCTTTGTATTCAATACTCGTATTGTACACCGCCCAATCGAAGCTTAGTTGTCGATTTGATGGTAGCGCTATCTGAACTAATGACTGCGAATGCTTTTTCGTCGAACAGTTCATCAAAATAATCAAGTCTCACGTGAGAAAAGCGCTTCGAACTCCGCGTTTTGACGGGCTAATATTGATCATGGCATGTTGCCGTCTTAGGTAAGAAGTGTCAGCTGAGCAGCGGGCCAGCAACTTTCTTCAGCTTTCAAGTAATTACAACGTCATCGTGATTAAATAAACATAACCCGATAAGCACTGAGTAATCAGTATAACAACGAGGTGAAGTTCTTGGCAATATTCTCAATCCTCAAACATTTTGTCAGGAAAACTGGTGAGATATAAAGCATAACAACTCACGATGGGTAAGTTGGCGTCTACCCCTCATCTGACACGATAGCTGACCCCCAGCAGCCAACGAGAAGAACAACCAAGTCCTCAGCTACGAAGCCGGCAAAATCAAAGCCGAAGCAGCTTTTGTCGCTGAGATCCTTATAACCGCTCGTGTCGGACTCCAGGATGTTTGGCACAGCCAGTATCAAGGCTCCCAAGTCATGGGCCAGCGTCCAGGAATGTACATAAAGTATCTGCCGACAAAGTACCATCCGATCAATGGCAACATGCTCGCCGGCGGATCTTATCTTTTCGATACTATGGAGAACGCCAAGAAGTATGAAGATTGGACCACCAACGATTTCAAAGTCGGCGATCCGGAAACCACCTATTGGAAGCAACCTCTGTTCACATCCGTCGACTCATGGACCTGGAAAGTCATCGGTGCTCATAACTTCACACCTGTGGAGGATCATGCTATAGGCCGCTGGCAGCGGTGGTCTTACCACCATGTGGGCGTCGGAGATATTCTGACACAGCTGTATCCGGTTCTGAAAGATGCAGCTGAGAACAGAGGAGCTGGATCATTCTGGCTACTGCACCGACCCGAAGATAAGATGATTGGGGTCCAAATGAGTTTCCCTAAGCCGGAGGAGAGCGGGGATGAAGCTCTTCTCGAGGAGGTTGAAGCTGTTGCTGGGGAGAAGTCTGTGGCGGATGTTTTCCCTGATGCTCTTGAGGCAGAAGTTCTTATGGACTCGACGTGTGTGTATTTTGCAGTTTGGAAGCCGATGGAGGAGAACGCGAATGGTGTCACGGTCGCGAGTCCTAACTTTCCTCATCTTGCCGGCGAGAAGGCTTAGGACGGATTACAGATTTCACCAAGAACTTATTGCACTCAGTTAAGCTGTCACAAAACACGCTTTTATGCTTACTATTTACTTAATCCAACAATGCTTTCTTAACTTCCTCCACCTCCGCTGAAGTACCACATACCAAACCAGCTCTATCATCACAGCCCTTCAAGCTAATATCAAATATCCTTGATCCGGTAGCGGGATCGATGGCCTGTCCGCCAGCACACTCAATAACCAGCGCCACAGGCAACAGCTCGTAATACTTTCGCAGCTTGGCCTTGCTGACGGATGTCACAGGTGAAATGTAAACACCATGACCCTTGACCAGAGCGTGATAGACATCGGGAATGAGACCACCAGAGTATCTTAGTGTGTACTTGTCGGTGATGAACTTGGAGACCAGGCTCATGTACTTGTCGTTCTCGGCGGCAGCGCGTAGGTTGGCTGGGGCGAAGTAACGTGTTTTGAAGGGAGGTTCGGCGAAACGAAGCTCGGGACGGGCCACGATGAAGTTTTGGGAGTTGTTGAGGCTGACTTCGAAGCACACGGGGTCTGAGCCAGGGACGCGAAGAGCGACAACGGCGAGGGTTCGTGGACCAAAGACTCCCAGAATAGATCCGATTTGCTTCTCTGGCGGTTGCTCAATGGCAGTAACACCGTCCCAAATTCCAATAATAGTACCAACAGACCAATTAGGTCCAATGATAGAGCTACCGTCCAGAGGATCGAATCCAATAGTGTACTGCTCCTCATCACTAACAGGCTGAACAGTCTCCCCTTCACGAGCAGGTTTCTCAATAGGATCCTCCTCACTGCTAGCAGTCTTAATAGCAGATGCCTTAGCACACCTATCCCGAATGATGTTTTCCGCCGCCACATCAACGTTCAACTGCTCGTCTCCAAAGGCATTTTCGGTGCCCACGATAGAGACATCATATGATCTTCTGAGTTCTTCGCCAATGGCAGAAACGGCGTCAAGGAGCTGTGGAATGACGGATTCGCGGAGTGAAGATCTGTCTCCTTGAGGGAGGACAGTCTTGAGGAATTGGGTTAGCTCGAGTTCTGGTTTCGACATTTTTGGTGTGTGATTTTTTGATGTTGAGGTTGAAGAGACTGCCAAGTTGGAATAGAAATTAGGTAGGTTTGTTATCGGAAGTTGCGTCACACAAATTGACGCAATCGGGTGGTTCGCTTTACCCAACATGGTTTAGATCCTGGGTCTCAACGGCCCGATAAGGGCGATAAGAAGCGATAAGGATCAAGTCTCCCCATTGATGTCATATCATGGTGGTGTTTCTTCCATATTCTTCCAATTGAGTCTCATGGTTCATTAAAATCACCTGCGAAATCTGGAACGTCCTTGGTGAAAGGGGGATAACCGAATCTCATATCTAATATCTTATAAGCGAATGGACTGTCGGACAATGGTCTGTATCAGCTTTCCTCGTACGTGGTGTTCTACCGAGGTCATGATTTTATAGAGACCATAATCCTTCTCGTTTCTAGAACAGATATCAAGAGGTTAACCGAGGCTAATTTGTCGGTAACTGAAACCTCCGAGCTTATCGGGCCGTACTAAACGTGTCACTACGCGATCGTATCACTCTGCGCCCCAGTGGAACGTGTGAGACGAAGACAATCACGATATGTTCAACCGTTCCTAGGGACTCTGTGGCAATTGCACTTTCCATAATCTCTAAGCCGCCTCATCAAGAGGGATTGTGGTATCAAATTGTGTTGGCATCGGATGGCCACATGTGCCAATCAGCACAGGTTCATGTTGCACACGCATTCTGGAGGCTGATAGCTGGCACATTCTTTCTTTTCACATTGCTCTAGTAGTCACTAAACACTTAGCCATGTCTAAAGTTTCAACTCCAACGCTTGATGCAGTCGTGGGTAAGAAGATTGTCTACCGCTGAGCATAGGTATCCAAATCACTCAACATCCATCCTCAGAGCTTGGAATGGCTATCATAAAAGTCAGATGTGGTTATTGATGTTTTATCATTAGTGTGTAGTCTTACGAAGAAGAGACATTCTCATGGGCCACAACAGGACCCTTGAGAAGCATCGGCTCTCCATTGTAAAAGTTCTTAATATCCCCAAAGATCTCCTTAGCAACCTCGTTGGCAGCAGCCTTGTCAAAAGTCTCAACGCTCTCCCACTCAAGAGTAGCCTGAACCTGATAAGCCTGACCCTCCTGGAAGTTCAAGATCTTGTAGTTCTTGAGACCCAAAGGACCCCACTTTCTGTAGAACGCTCAGCAATTGTTCCCAGCTGGTGTCGGTGACTTACGATGCGACAAGAGGCATGTGCGTCTTGAGGTAGTAGTCCATGTCAAACGAAGGACCCGAAGGGTAGACAACCAGAACTTGAGCCATTTTGACGGTGGGATATGGGATGATTTGAGTGCGTACTGTGGTTTTTGAGCAACAGCTGAATGGAGGGGTAGAGGCACTGGTTATATACTGAGCGCTTTGAGCGGGGTGAGAGGACATCCCCACCTTGGCAATTAATGAGGCGAGCGGATCAACGGAACTAATCAGCGTCTTGCAATTGATGGACCCTTGATTTTCCTCATGCGATTACTCAGCTTGCACGTTTGTCTCTATTGTCGGTTATCGTGACAATGTTCTCGATTGCAATCGTTGAGCGGTCAATACCTGCTAATGCAGCCACATGTGAGTGTCATTGGCGTTGATCAGTCTTTCGGTCAGATGATTCACTGTTGTACTACCTACACGACAACTATCACCTCTGATCTGACATGTGTATCGTATACCGTAAAGCCAGCTCAGCTCACTGGTGTCACGACAGAAGATAAGCGATCGAATTCTGTAGAAAGCCTAAGTTCTAAGAAGGATCTCTTGGTTTGACGTCCTTGTTTCTGCACCCGTGATCGGCACAACCTAACACAACGAGCTGCCAGTCGCTGGCCTCAGACATTAACAGTGAGCATGGGGTCTCATACTTGCAGGTTTTGTTTCAAACTCACTGAGTCTTTACAGCATTTCTTTCGCGTCTTATCCAACCATACCACGGTGTTGTATATTGGGTATGGGTGAAGATAATGCTTGGTGGAACAATCCCTTGTGTGGTGTCTTCCAACTAAGGAGCAGACAGAGTGTGAGTCGCTAAGCTCAATAAATACAAATGCCAATTTTCTCTGCAAATAAAATTCTTATTGTTCTGAACAGTTTGGCCTGCAGTGCGATGTTTTCCAGAGCCCTTGACGTTGCTGTAAATAGCGAACCGAGACGGATATGGCACGCACATTCATCACGTGAATCGCAACAAAATGACCAGCTCGTTACTTGAGTCGTATCATGGTAGGTTACCAAGATCACGTTGTAAGCAAGTCAAAGAATACAACAAGTTCAGTATGGTGCTGAGGATAGGAACAATCGACTTTCGTAAATTCTTTCATAGCTGCATGGCAATCTCACGTGTTAGCGACTCTGGACTCCTCGCAATTCTGCTCACGAGTGACTTCCTTCTAGAATAATTAATTCATGACGTTACTCATTAACTAAAAGATCGCCCTCTATAGACCAGTTTCTAGGAACTGCATAAGATCCTCCGTCTCAGCACTCTGCAGAGTGTTGATCTTCTCGCCGTTCTTGTACATGTGGAAAGTAGCAGGCTGCGAGACGCCAATTTCCTCCGCTAGGCCCTTGAGGTCCTCGATGTCGACCTTGCAGAATCGGATGTCCTTGAATCGGTCCAGCTCGTTGGCGCTACAATTGGTCAGTGGATGGATATATTGGAAGGTCGGATGGAGTGCGCTTACTGGGCGAATGTAGGTGCAATGGCCTTGGATTCGGCGGCGTGGGTGGAGTAGAAGTCGACGACGACGACGGGGTAGGTCTTGATAGTCTCTTGGAACTCGTCCTTGCTATTTACTGTTAGTAAGTGGTGATGATTGCTGAATCGCGGGGGAGCATACGTTCGGATGTTGTGCACCATTTTGACTGATTTGAGGGGTGGTGTTGAGATTGATTCTGTTCCGCGCTGTCAGTAATGCAATCGTGAGGATGAAGTCCAGTCAGCAACGTACAATAGTATTTCAGATGTTCATTTGGTTTGTAGAAGCTGGAAATAAGAGCTGTTGTTGTTTTGATGTCGGAGCTTTATGGTGACGTTGTTGACTTGAGCTGTTCCTGGCTGACATCATCATGCCGTCATCGCTACAGCATGAACCTCAACAAAACTCTCCATTCCTCTCTCCGCATTTGCGCAACACCGAGACCACCGAATTAATGCTCCGCTATCTTAGACTTTATCGCTTAAACTTGGACGGTAGATGCATTGGTCTACATAGCGGATTGGTTCAATTCTAGGCTTGAGGCGGCCCGCTGATGATCTTCCATTGGCTCTGACGATCATTGTTCCCCAGCCTCAAGATACGACTAAAAATAGCTCTATTTAGAAGTCGGGCTCTGTTCATGAGTTCGAATTGAAGCTACCTCAACATGCGTTTCTTACTAGGGCTGCTGAGCTTTTACCCCAATACGGTACCTATCGTGATTTTGCGCTGATGAGGTAGCCGGGAGCAGCTGCCCACTCTAGAAATGCACCTTGGACTCCGCGAATTTGTAAAGGATTGGATGCATTGGATGTTTGAAAGGCTCCAACTGATTATCTAGGCATCGCCTAACTCGCGGAAAGGGCCAGCTAATATCGTATTGCGATGCACGTGATGACTGGCCGTGCTATATCCGTCTCAGTTCGTTATTTACAGCACCATTACGGTTAGATCATTTCACAAGCAGACGAGGCGAATGTTTTGAGTTTTAAATGTTGATTCAGCCGTAAGGTATCATACAGTCATTATAAACAGAATTAAGAATACACAGGTATCATAACCTCCACCAACTCTCCCACCATCTCCCAGCACCTTGGGAATACATCCCACTATACATTACACCATTAGTTTAAACCATTTGCTCACCGCGAGCATCGTGTCCAACATCGTTGCCGACAGGACGTCGGGGAATGGAGCCGTTGTTGTAACCTGCTCCGTGCATGTGCTCAGAACCATCGTTGAATCCACTGGTACCGTGCATGCCGTTGCCGTGCATACCGTTGCCGTGCATTCCATGTCCAGCGTGGTCACCCTTCATTCCATGGCCCAAACCGTGAGAGCTACCGCCGAGGGTTCCCCAGCCAGCCTTGTGAGTAAAGACAGCATCGACGAGCTCAGCACCAGACATGTTGTACTGGAAGGGAGCGTGGCGGTTGAGGGGAATGTGGTTGAAGCGGAAGTCCCAGACGGAAGCAAAGGTCATTCGGTAGGCAGAGAAAGCGAAGACGGTACCAATGATGGCACCAGCGAGGACATCGTGGAAGTGGTGGTACTTGTCGATGGTAAGGGCACCACCAATCAGGACAGCACCGAGGATAGGGGCGTAGGTAGCGACAAGCTTCCACATGGAAGGGTGGTAGTTGGAGAAGACCTTGAGCTTGGCGTTAAGGTACAGGTACAGGTAAACAAAGCCAGCAAAAGCAGCAGTGGTGTGACCACTGGGCATAGACTCAAGAGCATCGTTGATCTCAGTCTTGTCACCAGTGCAGATATCGGGTGTAAAATAGAGCTCGAGATATCCCTTGTTGTTGTATCCACCCATGGTACGAGCACGCTGCATATCAGGCTTGCAGACAACGAGGAAGTGAGGTCGGAAGCCACCGATGAGCCACTTGATGAAGACCTGGAAGACAGCGGCGGTGATAAGAGAGTAGAGGAGACCGATAGTAGCGTTGTTGAAGTCCCAGAAGCTGCGGATACGGATCTGCATGCAAGCGAAGATGAAGATGGGGACCAGCGCAGCAAGCATGGCGGCAGCCCAGATGGGAACGATCTCGCCTCGCATAGGGTATCCATACTCGGGCCAGACAATCTCGCCGTCGTCGAAGGTAACGGGGAAGGATCGCATAGGAGCAGGCTTAGCAAAGTAGACCTAGGGAATTATTGTTAGCTTGTGAAGAAGAGTGATTAACGTGGATGTGACTTACACCGAGGCCAATAGCACCCATGACAGCCATGGTGACAATGTCGAACCATGTATGCTTGATCCACTGTCCGAAAGAGGGCTTGCGAGACATGGGAAGAGGATCGTGGTGAGCCTTCTGGCGACGACCCATCTTGGACTCGTGCCTATCCCCGTGGGGAGTCTTGTCCTTGCGAGAGAAGATACCCATGTTGTTGGTAATGTATTCAACGATATTGGTGTATGTTGATGATGGTGTAAGTGTTGAAGGCTGGAATAAAAGCCGACCACGAATTAAGTGGCTTTACACCTGAGATTAAGAGGTGATAGAAGGAGCTTTGCTGGTTCTGTTCCTGTCCTGATGATAGCAAAAAGTCAATTGAGGCTGGAAGGTGTCCCTTCTATAAATCAGTGAAACGCGACACCATGGCTCTTGACGTCACAGCCCGTTTCGTCTAAAATACAGTAGTAGTCAAGCTTAAACAGGCATTCAACTTAAATTGTGACATGACAGGTGACAGCAACACAGAAATCGCTACGTAAAGCCACAATTTTTCGACGTCATTGTATTTGATCCTTGAAATGAAGTCTTGGGACGGCATCAATGAGCCGAGTGGGACACGGCAGTTTCGTGCCGTAACCAATCAGATCGAGGTTGGGTGCAGGGAAGCGTCTTGGCTGACCACAGAAGAGGAATAAGTGTGGCTTGATTTTTTTGCTAATGACACGGGAACTAATTGGGTTTGATCGACGGGGCCAAGATGCCATGAAACCTGCTGTGAACAGCCTGTGCGATGTGAATGATTCAGTGGTTATCTCATCATAGTAGCGGAACAGCGCATAACTGTAGGGTTGGTTGAACTTTAGGCAAATTACAGATGCTACAATGTAGGGCTTGATCAACATGTACAATAACAGTCTTGTGTCAGGATAGAGCCCAGATGCGACTACCAGTACAGGATGGGAGACGGCTCAGAATAAGAAGCTCATGCACAAAATTAAACTAAAATACCAGCCTTAAATGCATCAAGCTTATCTTTAACGTACGAACTCTATGTGCTAAGACACAAGCGTGGTGTTGTCCGGAGCAAATTGACCGTGGCACAGTTTGTGGCTGAACGGATCTGACAACCGAGAAGAAAAAATGCTTTTGCCCAGGGCCGGGAACAAGATTACACAAGCCTTTAATTTCCACTGAAGATCGGCCCAAGAAAAGAGTCTCGATTTCTTTCAATCGGCGATTCTGAGAGTGCCTTGGCATGCTTGGTACTTGGCATTCTGACTCTGTAGTCTCGGCATACGACAGTTGACCCACCGTTATCATGATGCCATGGCTTACGCGTCACGATCCTTTTGGCGATGGTTCTCGCATATTCGGAAAGGAAAGCGAATTTTAAGATTGCATGAAAACAGGGGACTTCAGTGTCATTCTGTTGATGTTATGATGACGAGCTTAAAGATATTGAGTAAGTTGAGATATCCAGCTACTGGCGATGTACAAACTGATAGAGCTCCTTTGCATTATCATTGCAATCAAAAGATCCATACACTTTGTATTAGGCCCTCCGAGAACGATACCACACTAGCAAATTCTAGGACTTGTTGCAAAATCCGGCCTTGATGTTTGCTTCATTCTTGCAAGTATTGCACTTGATAACATTTCCACTGCCCTTGCTCAAGTTCTGAATATCATTGTCATTGTTCTTCAGAGTATTTCGAATGACGACGTTGTTCTTGGCCTTGATAGGCTTTCCGAGGACGATGCAGCGAAGGGACAAAGGCATCGTTGGCGTAGCGACACATGGATCATCGTAGATACGAATACCTGCTCCTGATCCATCACTAGCCTTCTGGCCCTCAACAGTGTTGTCTCGAACAAGAACGCCAATTGAGCTACCGAGGACAATGCCGCCTGCGTTCTTATCGCAAATGGCAGGGGTTGGGCCAACGTAGTTGTGAGCAATCTTGGCGTTCTTGACACCGGGATCGACAAAGATACCGAAGCAGTTATCAGTAAGCTTATTGTACTCCATGACTGCACCATCGGTCTGGACGCAGAGACCAACGGCATGCTTAGAGATATCGTTCTTCTTGGCAAAGACGTCAGACTTGTTGTCCATGCAAATAGCGATGAATCCGCCCTGAGTTGTCGTGACGACGTTGTCATCAAAGACGGTCTTGACGGAGCCAAGTGTGAGACCACCGTAAGCTCTACCATCAACCATCTTGTTCTTGAAGATGCGTGTATTCTTGGCACCAATGATAGCGATGTTGATGCCAGAGAAGCCCTGGACGGTGAAGCCTGTGACAGTAACACCCGTGACGAACCTTCCTACAGATTCGACGCGCTTGTGCTCAGTAATGAACTGGGTAGTCTTGACCTTGTGGCCAGTGATACAAATACCGGCCTGAAGCTCGTTCTTCTGCGGATCCTGTGTCAGGCCTGTGCAGACGTTCTTCTTGATCTTATCTGGCCCTGGCTGTGTGAGGATGGCGCCGCGACCCTCGAGTTGGATGCCGTCCTTGTCAATCACGAGTTGTTCAGAGTAAGTACCAGCTGGAACAACGATACGATCGCCTGGAGAGGCTCGGTTGATTGCATGTTGGATACTCTTTCCTGACTTGACGTAAATGGTGCGGCCATAGCCATAGTTATTCTTGTGCTCAGGCGTGGATGGGTAGGTCTCGTAGATATCAGGAAAAGAGCACTTTCCACCTCGTGCTGTGGATCTCTGTCAGTGCCTCTCCTGCATTGTGGTGTCACAGGATAACTAACCCATAAGACCACCAGAGCTGTCATGCTCGGTGAAGGGCGAAGCTACAGCAAGGCCAACCAGACCTGTCAAGGTCACAATGAACTTCATGGTAGAGAAAGAGGCTAGTTGTTGCGAGGGGTAAAGTAAAAAGAAAGATCAGGTATGGGCAAAGAGGTTATAATGCCCTGTTGAAAGTGTAAATATCTGTAAACCCTATCTGATGGATTCTTCGTGAGATATGATAGGACTGGCTTCGAATAGAATTCAACTGATGTCTTCCCACAGCACACAAAGAGATTATATACTAACGACGTCCTCCAATTCCACAAGAACCGACATCCTGGTAGAAAGATGCATAGACCTGGAGTCTCGACCTCAAATGCAGCCACTCGATCTCGAATTCGCTTGCTGCTGCCGTAAATGGAAAGCTGATATGAAGGGTCACGGGAGGCGTCAAATAGCGATGCAGCCACTCAACTTTGGTGTAAGGGGTGAGCCACTGATAGGCTCTAGTTTAGGAAGGGAATGATTTAACATTGACGACAGTGCTCTTACCAAACTACGAAAAAGCAATAAAAGACGACACTTGGAGGCTGGTTACGACCATCACTGCTTTCAGGCAACATATCTGTCTGGCGCAGTATATGGCTGTCCGCACAACAGTGATAACATCAATCACTTTGACTTCTCCAGTCAGCCGAGAGTTCATGTAGCTCATGGTCTAGCAATCTTTAGTAGATCTTTCTTCCTTAGATGGCAACAGGAGTCAAGATGGCCTCTATAGAATGTCACTCAAATGAAGTCCAGTCCTGCAATGGCAACTATTGCGACGCCACAACTCAACACCGATCACCATTGGGACAGATTTACCTCATCGCCACCACTCCTCACTGCGTTGGCAGAAGCAACATGTTCTCTGTCCCAAGTTCAAGTAAGCAAACGGAATTTGCCGTTTGTGTGGCTTCACTTTGTGCCTGAAGTAGGGCGCCAAATATCGAACTAAAGTTCAGCCGCAGCGAGGCCCAGGCGACCGGTTCAACGTTCAATCTCCTTTATAAAACGGAGATCGCCAAGATCTTATGCGGTCTTATTCGTCCTTGGCTTCCGGGTGTGTCACTTGACCATTGGCCTCTGCGTGGTTTGTTTCACGGTGATAGGAGAATGCCCACAGGGCTGAGAAAGCTGAAAGTCTGGGCGCAACTTGGCATGGTTTGCCACGTTTTTGACGAATCTTGTGCTTTGGGGATGAGCTTGTGGCTTTTCTTGATCGCCAAGCTTAATTCCAGACCTTTTTTGGTGCAGAGCCAAGTCTGCACGTCCTCGTATCTTCTTGACACCATGTCGGCTATACCGTTTAGATTGATTTCGCGAGCCTACCTGCAGAATGTGACAGTATTGTGGTTTTCGGCGTTTGCTTCCTGGAAGTGTCAATCCTTGCACTTCTTCTCACCGGCCCGCTCTCATCGTTGCTCTCCGCAGCGGCGTCCATGCGGGGTTGATGTTACGTGAAAACCGGTGGAAATGACATTGCTTTTACGGATTGCTGATCGAATGTGCAGGCATTGTGAAATCACCGACCTGTAGAAGACACGATCCTTTCCCTCAATGGCATCGGGCTGGGCTGTTCTTGTCCGGGATATCTTGTGAAGCCAACAGAAGGAAAGAATATGTCCACACTTCAACAAATTGCAACAATTGCCGTGTACTGTCGGTCTTGAGTGGAATTGATTCGCAAACTGACCAGTCTTGAAGAGCTAGCCAGGTGCATAGAATTTTGCATTTGCAGGGATATCAAGTCGAACAAGAGTGATTCGGGTCATCTGGGATTTTATGCAGATCCAAATCCTAACGGCGACTTGTTTTCCTTTTACTTTGCTGACCCATCGGATCTCTAGCTCAGATAGGAAAGGTCATCTTTAGCCGTTGGTAGGTTGGTTCTGTGGTCGACGTCTCCTCGTTACATTCACGATCCTCACGTGTCAATGGACCCTTGCCTCGGCACGTAAGTTCCTATCCAACTTCCTCAATTGGCACAAGCAAATTCCCTCAAAGATTGACAGATCAATCGCGTCTTTCTATTAGGCTACTCGACAACCAACTCAACATCTCATAAAACATTAAAATCTCTGCTAAAAATTGTCCATCCAAGAAGGGTAAATACATCGTCGTCGTTGCCGTCTCTAATCACTCATAACTCATTCCTTCATTCTCGGCTAACCCCGTAGACTGCTATACTTTTTGATAGCCTTTGCAAAACTGTCGTCGATTCCTTGTACTAGCGCCTTTGCCTTGTCTTGTAAGTCGACAGGGACCTTGGCGATGACCGCTTCGGAGAAATCGGCACTTAGGGCCCGCTGTAGTTGAAGGTTGAGGAGAATGACAGGGCTGACTTGGATTTTGTCGAATTTGGGCTTGGCGGCAATGACGATGTCGATTGTTTCGCTGACATCCTGGCTCAACTCGGAAGTGGCCTTGGCGACTTGAAGAGTCTCTTCGACAGATAGAGGCTCAGAGTGACGAGCAGCGAGAGTGCCCTGGTGGATCGCAGCCAGAAGCAGCGTTGACTTTGTGGTGATGGGGATTGTTCCGACCAGAGTCTGAGGCCAGTGTGTAATGCTGTGGCCCAGAGCAATAGTGGCATTGGAGATGTTGTCAATGGCTGTAGAGATGGTATCTCCAGTTGCGAAGGCAGAGCCAACGAGGGCGACCAAGGGGAGAAGGCTGAGACGCATTTTGTCTGAGAACTTGAGTCAACGAGTAATCGATTGGTCAATTGAGAATGCAAGATCTGCCAAGATGAAACTTTTCGTCTTTCAGGAGTTACCCCGTCTTAATATACTGCCTTTCCTGTCAACAATTCACATGAAAAAGTCTTCTTCGAAAATGCTGTGCCTTTCGGAAGGTTGAGGTGACCTCGTGTAATCCCAACCAGTGTCCCCGCATCTATCCTCAATCAGGAACTCTGCCCCGTGCAACAATCATGAATCCATCTCCCCATGGGGAAATCAACAAGCGAGTCTTGGTCCCTTTGCTATAGTGGCTGATCTTAACTTGGCAAATCTGTGATCAGAATGTCACTTGCGGGGATTGTTAGCAAGGATTGCGGCATCGTAGGCCGCGGCTTTCACAAGGAATACTCTGCATGTGTGCGAGTTTGGGCAGTGACGAAATGGTCTTTGAGGGATTATGACGATTGAAGTGACAGAAGAGGCAGGCTGTTGGTTGAAGGATTCTTCAACATTGGACTAAGACCTGCGGCGCGGTGTTGGTTGTGCGTATTTATGAACTGTCAATCTCGATCAGCCAGTCGGGTGCGACATAAAGCATTCATTGAGTCGGATATTGCTTGACACACGCATCATGTGCTTCTTGTAATGGAGGGTATCAAGCTCTTATACAAAGTATAAGTAGTTATGCTTACCCTTATGCAGGTACGACATGTTATGGAAGCTTGTCAGCACATGTTTTCAGCTGATTTATTCGGGTGGCTGGCGATGCTAACAGTTATCTCATTAGAAGAAGGCACTAACAAACTCCATATGGCAACCAGGGACCTCAGGCAAGACTCTACATACTGTCATGGTTAGGAAGGATGACAATAGTTTAGCTCAGGTTGACCGAGGCCAACCGAGTTTGTTCAACCGATACTGTCATTAGCTACCAGTGCTTAACTTCGTTATTTTTAATTATTTTCCCAATGTCTACCTAGTACATTTGGGACAAAAACAAATATAGGACGCACGCAATGGGATATATTTGGGCTGTCAAACGTGATGCTGAAGACAATGACTCAGGTCAACCGGCCCTAGGATGAAGCTTGTTGATTATAATGTATGTGATTGGTTTAAAACTCAGAAATGGACACTTGAGTCAAAATGCTGAATACTGCCGCTCTTGTCCACCCTACAAGCGGATAGAAATTTTGCCTTATACACTTGTACACGTCTACAATGATAAGTCTTTGGATTCCAAATCAATTTGTCTACAGCTCCATCACTATGGTTCGAACAAAGAAGGGGCCTGCAGTATCAAAAGGATCAAAGGTTCACCGTGATGGAGGCAAATACATACGACATAATCGCATATTCAACGATCACACTGGCAAACCAGCCTTGATGTTATGGAGTGCCCCTGAACGCGATGGCCTGCTGCCCCCTCTCTCTTCCTGGATATACTATATAGTCCATCCAGATGTCCCGCATGATTTTAACGGCAATGCGCTTCACTGGGGCTTAACTCTCCCATTGAGCATCGGTCAAGGCAGTTTATTTCGCTATGAATACTTCTTCCTGCCTGGCGCTACTGCTGAAGAATACCACGCGCACTTTCTTAGAGAGATCAAGGCTCAAGGTACCATTTGGCGCCATATCCGCAAGGTCAACAGAGCTATAGAGCTCAAGAAGCAGGAAAGCGGTCCACAAGAAGAGGAAGATAGCTATTTGAGGTCTGCTAGCGACGAGGAAGACAGCAAATACAAATTGCATGGGTTCATAGGGCAAACAGAGTATAAATGGGTTCATAATCCGTCCTCTAACGAAGACTATGCAAATTATTAACTTCCTGGTTTAGTATAGCCAAGAGATGATCAAGATTGCGTCTATGTATACTACCGTGGATAGTTTTTTATGTATTATAATGCAGATACCGGTTGTACACGTAGGGAAGCAGAGAAGCGCGCGGTTTCTCTCATCCAATTTAATCCTATCCCTTTAGTATAGGATAAGGAGCAGGATAGGGTTAAAAAATGGGATCCGATAGATTATCCCATTTGCTCAGAACCAATCCTAATCGTAAATAAGGGTAGTAATTATTCCTTGGGTCGTTGGCAAGATAACAGGACCAGGGAAGCATGGGAGCAAAAGGCTAATGAAGCTGCTACTTATGCTTAGGAATTGGGCTGGAAAACTTGGTAATATTACGCCTATGCTCGTTTCCTAATGGTAACCTCGCAAGATGACATTCGATACTGTTAGCCTGTTTAACCGATGACTACGAGCTATATGTTGATAGATTTTAATTTGGAGCAAGCTCTAATGCATTTACCCAGGTCAGTAGTCCCGCACACCGTTCGTTGAGGGAGGGCTACTTCGGTCAAGTTCCGTGTACACTCTGAAGCATCTTCATAAGCCTGTGCATAAGACAGTTGAATGTCGACATAGTACATGGAATCGCGGGCCTCGGCTTTCGTGTCTCTTTCACCGTGTTGCATGAAAGTCAACTGGATGAATGGTGACTGTGCATAGATTAGGTGTCCCCTAGACCATATTCAACATGATGGTTCAGGAATCAGATGATCACTTCTAAGAGGAGAGTAGTAGATGCGGCAATCGTAAGAGATATGTTCTTTTAAGAGGGTTAAGTGGAGCTTAAATACAAGACAAGATAAAGGTTTAGATATACTGCAGTCCCTGTAAGTACACCATGCCACTATCTGGAAGACAGTGAACTCGGATTGCTCAAAGTTGCACATAAATTGAGTAAAACTTCTCGTAGCGCATCAGCAGACGCAATGTCATCTGATTCATACTCAAAAGCCTTTGCAAGGACGCCTTCTCTATTATTGCCAACAGCAGATGCCCATCTTCATGGCGTTCTATCCAACTTGTCTTTGGTTGGTTCATCAGACCTTCTTCTGTTTTATCCCAACTACTGTTAACCTGCTAGGGGATGAAGAGACTTTGACTATCACCCGACTTGGAACATCTGGTTGTTTGTTTGGGGTGTATCTATGTCAGTTGTTGTCATGGGAATAATACAGACAGCCGAGAACAACCTCAACGGCTATTGTTCAAAATCTCGACGATGTTGTTGACATTAACGCGCCCTGAGCTTTGTAAGGTTGCAAACCTTCTTTCAGACTTTCGTGCAACCTGTGGTGTAAAATGCATAATAGGCTTTAAATAGTTAACCTGTAGTTGCATGATCTGGGTGTTGTTTCCAGGAAAGGTTGCCGTGCCACACTACAAGCTTACAACAGGCAGCATCTACCACGCCTATCGTATTTTGAACTGCTTGAGAGGATTCCAACTATGTTCTTGAATCGGCAGTCTTATTTGCGAACAAGTACTCCTACACAAGCAAGCTTTTGGGTGATTATGAGCCTTTCCTGATCTGTGGTGGGGAACAGCTTTGCAGCACGAGTCAAAGAGGCCAGCCATATTTCTTCCATCTCTTCCAGTCGCCAATGGATGCACAGCCACTCTTTTCAGTATCACTATCTCTTGTTTCAGACATAAAAAAAACCGCAGAGGTTGTTATGACCCGGTGTTGTCTCGGCCATGAGTCTTCTCATCATGCGATAGATGTCTGACGAACAAGTCACGACAAAAAGCTACCGACGTCATGCCTACCGTACAAGCAAACGAGATCACTCAGTGGGTCCGTTCCGAATAGTCACAGAATCCATGATAAGATCTAAAATCTCACTGAATCCTCCATCATCACCAAAGGTCCAAACTGCTACAAAACCCACAGACACTACCCGCAGAACAGCCTCTCGCTTTGGCGCAGCACTTTCGCTTGATGCGGTCATTAGAAACGAGCTGAGACATGGCCTGTTGATAAACCTCCAATGATTACGAACGTTGCATGTCACTCTCTCGCACTGAATAGTGATCGTCTTCCTGACCCACAAGGTTACGCGTCGCAAGTTTTGGGTTTTAGTTACCCTACACCGGATGATGATGTGATTCTCAACGCCAAATTTCCAGCACGTCAGTCAACTAACCGTTGTTGCTATTTCCGTAATACGAGAAGGCTTATTTTATGCTTATGTTTCGCCCGTAGAGGAGCAAACCGAATCTTAGATCCGTTGACTAATGCAGCCACAATCAAGAAGCTGAGAAGGTTTCTCGAAAAACAGTAAACAACGCTCATACTGAAGGTTATTGATTGGGTACAAGTTGAAGATGCAAGCATCATGTACACGCGTACGGACAAAATCCGTCAACGCTGAATCGCTCGGCAAATCACTGACGTCGAAACGAGTGCTACCAGCCTTTTGTTTCCTGGACGGGCGGATGCATGCCAATTGATCTTCATTTTATCTCGGCGCCTCTGCAAAACCCAGCCAGCCGCTTGCAAGCAAGAATGGTTAGCGATCGGCTGGCAGTCAGGGCAGTATCCCGGTCGACAGAACCATCTTCACCTCGGCAGTTCAATCAAGGCAGTTCCATGGACGCTAGACGCGGCAATTAATTCACCGTCGAGAAGGAAAGAAGGTTGAAGCTAGATAAGCAAATGCGCAATTAGGCTATCAATCAGAAGCATCACCAGAAGAAACTTTAATATCGCCAAGCTTTGTGGTGGTTTAATTGCCAAGAAAAACCGTTTTGATGGGTTCCGTTGATGAACCTGGACAAATTGATCGAGCGCCGAGTCCGTCAATCGGAAGTCCGACTTGGCCCTGAGGACAGGACCCCTACCAGTTTGGAAAAGATTAATCTTGAGTTTGAAATTAATTCTCCATTGTTTTCGAGGATCAGTTGTTGGTCTGAGTGAAAAACCGGATTGTCGCACGATCGCCGGAGAAATTATGGCCACTCGATTGAAGGACAGTGGAGAGAACAGCCGAAAGTGCGGTTTCAGGATGGAAGGATACTCAATTATCAGCTGGTGATTGTTGGTAGTTGACTATAACATCAGTCAACGCACCAACAGTCATAGTCACCGGAAGTAAGCAGCATTTAATTGCATTTCTAGGCATCTTGAAGAAACAACATGATAAACTGTCAGAATAAGGATTTGCCAAGCAGCCAAGGACATCTTAACAGTGTTCTCGCCTACCCCCTTGCCAGGGGCTGCTCTGCTTCCAGGGGTGAAGCTCTGGCCACAACGGCCAGAGTCCGCCCCATGAAAAGCAATAAAGGGCTTGAGAAATGACGCAACGACTGATTAAGACACTCGTCCGCGGTCATGGGGTAGGCCTTGTTGCGGCAGCTTGCCTTGTTTGGGGCTAGAGACCTCTGTAACCTTATTCCCTTCAAGCTTTTGCTGGCCAATTTTGCAGACCAACCGACCAACTTGAAGAACAACTTGAGGCAGCACAAAAATAACTATAGAATACGGATAACTGTCATCAATACGAAGAAAATGACCCCGTGAAAAAAATGCATTCTCATCACCCGCCGCACTCATGCATGCATGCCAATAACATTGCTTCTCACGATAAGAGGCAACCGGAACAAGTGGCACTGGAATCTTAGTGGTCAGCCACCCCAGTCCTTAGCAGACAGGCCAAGAGATTAAGTCGCCCAGGGCCTAAATTAGCATTCTCTGCACTGTAAGGGAGGCGAGTGTCGAGTCTGGGTCTAGATTGGCATTGGTGCGATGCGCTTCTTCCAATAGTTAGATCGATGGTCGGTTGCTTAAAAACACTTGGCATCAAGAAGCCCCCGCAACCTTAAAGGTCCAACACGAGACCTTATTTTTGCCGCCGTATTGATGACAGCAGACACGATAAGATGATGGATATAATGGGAATACGGAGTCTGGATCTGTCAGACTTGTTCTTCTTTCTACTCCTGTGCCTCTTTTTTCTCTCTTTGCCGCTGATCCTTTCGACCAGTGGAGTCGAGTCACACCCTGACATGGCCTCTTCCATGGTCCGTCTTCAGCGCTCTGCATTTTCTGTGGACCCTTGAATTGCGAGGGTCATGCCAGTCAAGCGCTCCGCCGATCAGGGGGGGCTTAACTAGTGGAGTTTAGCCACTGTAACTGATCTGATCAGTCAGTGCAGGGCAATAGCAATTGGAGACTCCATGTTTCGCAACCAGAAGGTCTTACGCGTTCCGTTACCTCATATACTATTAGAGGTAACACTTGACACTTTCTTCTTTTTTTCTCTTCTTGTTCCCGAGTGATCGTCTCTGTTTGCCTTGTTTTGTGTTTTTCCGCCCGTTGCGACAACCTATCAGCCCTCCATTTCGAACAAGTCCCTCTTTACGCTTGTCTCGACACCATTTTCTGTTTATTGTCTCAGTTACTTTACTCGCATTTCTGAACAAAAATCTCCATTCCTCCCTCACCGATGGGTTTTTGGTCTTTGTAAACGGGGTTTCTTTTCTCTTTCTCTTTCGTCACTCGCTCGACATAGCGCTGAAGCGCCCCCATCGCAATCGTTTACTACAACACCACCAACAAATAATCCTACCGACGATAAAGGTATAGGATCGAATTAAATACACAATCGCTGAAATGGCTGCAACGATACCATCATCGGGCGTTGCGCTCAACAGAATGCTGGCCCTTGGTTTGACGCTGGTCGTCATCCTGGGCATCGCCATTAACCAGCTTCAATTCGGCGACGACCCATATCGCTGCAAGGCTTTGCTAAATGACGGCAACTGGCTTGATACACCTGCGGAAAATGGAAGTAGGGCGCCGTTCAACAACTGGCAACCTCAAGGATGCATGCTGCACAAGTACAAGAAGGAGGAGATTGAGCAATGCATGGAGGGAAGACACATGCTGTTTGTTGGCGACTCTACGACTCGCCAGGTCTTTTACGGCATGGCTCGTCTGGTAAGTTTAGTTGCAGCGACATAATTTAATTAATTGATGAACATGGTAACTGACTCAATTGAAGCTCGACGCTGAAAAGGCCGAGCAAGTCCGCGCCAAGAGCAAGAAGCACGAGAGCCACGACGAAGAATTCGCCGGCATCCGCCTCAAGGAAATCTGGGATCCCTTTGGCAACGAGTCCGACATCGTCCGCGACGAACTCACCCTCTACCACCAAGAAAAGCTCAACCAAGTCCCCGTTGAGGAACAAAAAGGCCCCGCCGTCGCCTTTGTTGGCATGGGTGTCTGGTTCGCCGCCCGCTTCGAGAAGGAAGAGTCTCTTCCCAAGTTCCAGTCCGCCTTCGCCAACATCTCCGAGCTCGTCTCCCACAAGGACTTTGCGCCTTTCGGCAACCGACCTATTGATCCCCGCGATGGCGTTGGCAATGAGATGTTCTTTGCGCCCGTTGCCCCTCCATTCTACGATGAGCTTCCCGAGTACCGCAAGACTGGTATCGCTTCCGTGCCTGGTGAGGTTGAGGCTATTGATGAGTTTCTCAAGACACAAGAGGAGGAGTCCGGTATTCCTATGCTGTGGTCTTACCCCGCTCTGCAGTACGAGCAGAAGGATGCTATCGGCGACCATGAAAATGGTTTCCATGTTACTGACCAGGTCGCTGAGATGAAGGCCCAGATCCTTCTTAACCTTCGCTGCAACGCCAAGCTCGACATGCAGAACTCGTACCCCTACGACCGCACCTGCTGCACTAACTACGGCCAGAAGTCCTGGGTCCAGATCGTTCTCGTCACTCTGGGTATGATGTACGTCGGCGGTGCTGCCATCACCGAGATCTTCGCCCTCCGATCCAGCGAGGCTCCCAAGACCACCCTCTTCAACCTCGACGTCGCTACCTTCATCACCGGCCTTCTCGCCTGCTACTGGGCCGACCGAACCCAGTCCTTCGCCAAGGGCTCCAAGGAGTACAACATGTTTGACTTTAACCTCATGTCTGCCATCTGCTTTATCATTGGCTTTGCTCTCATGACCAAGTCCAAGCCTCCTCCTCCCCGACCTGGTGCTGCCGCCGCCGCTGCTGCCCCCGCGACTCTCGACGATGCGAAGCCTTTGTCGCGTGATCAGACTGATGAGTGGAAGGGTTGGATGCAAGCTCTCATCCTCGTGTATCACTGGACCGGTGCCTCTCGCGACCTGAACATCTACGTCGGTATCCGTCTCTTGGTCGCTGCGTATCTCTTCCAGACTGGTTTCGGCCATGGTGTATTCTTCAGCTCCAAGAAGGACTTCTCTTTCAAGCGTGTCGCAGCCGTGCTCCTCCGCCTCAACCTTCTCAGCTGCGCTCTGCCTTTCTTCATGAACACCGACTACATGTTCTACTACTTCGCTCCTCTTGTCAGCTTCTGGTTCCTCATCATCTACGCCCTCTTCGCCATTTGCCCCAAGTACAACGACAACACCTGGGCTCTCATGGCCAAGATCGGTATCTCTGCTGCTATCTGCCCTGGTGCTATGCTCTGGACGCCTGTCCTCCAGTGGGTCTTTGATGCCTTGAACATTGTCTTCCGAATTGAATGGGATCTCCACGAGTGGCAGTTCCGTCTCGGCCTCGACGGTCTCATCGTCTACGTCGGTATCATCATGGGTATCGCTTCCGTCCGCACCAAGATCTACAACAAGATCCTCACTCAGTCTTACGGTCTGGCCGGTATCGCTGGTATTCTCTCTATTCCTCTGTACTGGTGGATCGCTGTTAGCAAGGCCGAGAAGAAGCAGGACTACACTGCTCTGCACCCCATCTTCTCCTTCATCCCCATCATGGGCTTCATCGCCGCCCGCAACATGTTCCCCGCTGCCCGAACCTGGTACTCTCGATCTTTCGCCTGGATCGGTCGCTGCTCGCTCGAGACCTTTACCCTCCAATTCCATATCCTCCTCGCCGCCGACACCAAGGGTCTCCTGTTGCTCGATATCTTCAAGGGTGACGGTAGCCTTCTCTGCGACCGATGGAGGTCTCTGATCATCATTGTTCCCGTCTTCTTGTGGCTCAGCTCTCGCGTCGCTGATGCGACCGGTGGTCTGGTCAAGCTCTTGACCATTGACTGGGTCCCCGAGGACCAAGAGGAGCAATACGATGTTGAGGCCAAGGCTGATGCTGAGCCCTTGATGGGTGGTAGCATGCTATCGCCATTCACCCGCCACATGCCTTCCACATCATCGTGGGCCAACAACCTCAAGGTCCGCATGGTTGGCCTACTTGTCCTCCTCTGGGCATTGAACTTGGTAAGCTTCTTCGCCCAACCTCCACCTCACTTCAATCACTAACATTCTCCAGTTCTACTAGACATTTGTTTCATCGCATGGCATTACAACGAGGCGTTTGGAGTAGCGATTTTGCATAAGCAAGTGAGCTAGGCTCTGGCATCATTCATTACAACATATTGTTGGCATTTATTTTTTCTTTACTTGTTCACGGGCGCATTTCCCCGAATTATATATCATGACACCATACACATTCTCAAAGCTTTGCATAAGCTTATACGGCACGACATAACTAGATTCTATATCGTAATGATAGATTTTACACATGATAACCCCTCCATCTTGATGTCCCGCCTTGGTGTTTGTTGTGCTTTGACCTCGCGTCAGCACGGCCTAGTTCCATGTTTCACAACCATCTACAGCGCATAAAGCGAGGCGACGGTTCATGTATGAGAATTGTCAGAGCTCTGTTGCGGGTGTATTAATAGGTTGTTTCATCTAGACTTTTCATCCACCACTAGTAAGCTTTGACTTGGCGATCGTCTTGGGATGATGCTAGTGAATCTCACAGATGTTTCGACAGTGAACCCATGTGTTCCCCAGTTCCAGCGAAGCCCGCTAGAACGCCCCGGGCGCGTTCTTCAAACAGAGCTAATGATGACCAGCTTCATGATGTGACTAAAATGCTGCCACATTTATTGTTCAACATCAGTCTGCCTCAATTGAGGCTTACGTTGCGTGGGTTGCCTACACCTTGTCTCATAGCAAAGCCTTACTTCTTGACGTTTAACATTCTTTATTAAGCCTTCTGTATATAGAATCACGGAAGCTGAACTTTACTCCCGGCTACTATGGGTCTTGCGAGTAACATACTCCATACCTTGGCCTCCATTCCTGTTTGATCCTCTCTTGCTGTGCGCAGCACGAGCCTCATACTCTTCTTGGTCCATCTGCTGCTTCCACTCGCTCTTCTCAGTGTTGTGTTCCATCTTCTTTCCTGGCATGCTGTCCGTCTTCTCCCGCTTCTTTGCCATCAACTCGGCGTCTTCTTGTGCAAGTTCGGCGTCGATCTGGGCGCCCCTAGAGGGCTGGTTGCCGTGCATGGTGGCCTGGATGGAGCCAAAATGTCAGAGGCCTCTATAAAGGTGTTGTGCTTATGAGGAGGACTTACTGCGAAGCCAGGCTGGTGCTTCATCTTATCATCAATCTCTCGTTGTGTCTGTTCCGTTCGTCAATTGGTGTCTGCTTGTGCTGGAGAAAAAACCTACGTCGCTCGCCCGGAGCTCATTCATGATGCTATCCTTGTTCTCTGTCACATGTTAGAGCCTGAACCTAGCATATTGAGGTAGAGCTTACGGTAGCCCTCTGTGTTGACACCATGTGTGCGACCCTCCTCACGCACAGCCTCTTTGCTGTAATGACGCTGGTCACCGTCCTCGTAGGTAGAAGGATATCCGACGTTTGACATGTTGAATATTGTGATAGTTGCAAGATTAATCGATAGTAAACAAAGTGATGACTGAAAAGAGAATGGGTGACGTCTTCTGCTGGAAGTCTTTATATACTGGCTGATGGACCATGGCTCTCATGTCAGCGTCATTGAAGAAGAGCTATCCTGGAGCTACCGGAGCTTATGTTTACACAAAACGTCATAAAGACACGATGTCCGACTCGATATCAATTAATAAGGCAGCGATCATCGAATGGTATCTGCTGAGATGCAATTGAGTTGTCATGTCTCACGACCTGATGGCATGGCATCCGTCACGATGACAGCTTGAGAGGTAACGCAGAAACTTAAAGAAGGATGTGGGGTAAACGTCGGGGAAAATGCCCATAGAACTATTAATCCATTCTTAACCTGTAACCAACACATCTACCTGCATTATACCAAGAGAATAGGAATTGATTTGATCTTCTGTCTTGGTGATGTAGGGTAGAGGTTGTGAGCATGATAAGGTGATAGACAACAGATAAGACTGGAGATAAGATACGGCGGTCTAGATAAGGGATGACAACCGACATGGGACTCTCACGTGATCATGAATCTTCGCGCACCGCGTTAGAATTTCGACAATTCACACGTAAAGAGGTAACTCAGTCGTACGTTAGGTGCCTCAAAACGTCGTCAATTCTCGGTCTATCCCCTGCCAGTGCTTCATTGACCGCCATGTCTTCTGATACAATGGCGCAGGATGTCTTGCCGAAGGAGCTTATGGAGCTCCAACTCGGCCAGATTGACCTCCTCATGGCCATGTACTCCTCTGATGACGCAATTTCTATGGACTCGGCGTCCGCTGAGACAATAGAGAAGTTGAGAGACTGGTGTGAAAATGAAGCTGGAGCTGTGCCCAAGGTTCCGGAAACGGGAATCTACCTTCTTCTCAAACTTGGCGATTTGGGAGAGGATGATGGTTCGGCTCATTCATTACAGCTCACACTTAACGTCCCTTTGACGTGTCAAAAAGGAGACGAATTAACAGAGCCGCCTGCCATCAAAACCAGGATACAACAACCTGATTGGATGAGTAAAGGGGATGTAACGAAGTTGAACACTGAGCTTCCAGAAGAGGACATCCTCTCTGTCATTGAACACATCAAGGAAGCCGCCAGCCAACACTTGACCAACCAAAAGCAAGCTGAAGTAGCCAATGCCCCAAGTCAAGATACATCAATAGTCCGCGTCTGGTTCTACTTTCCCTCTATCAGTACCAGGGCTAAACGGGACGACTTCATAAACTACGCTCCGACATATGGCCTTACGGGGTTCCTGCTGGCTGGAAAACCAGGCATTTTGTGTCTTGAGGGTGGATCTATTGCAGTTGATGATTTTATGAAGTGGATCAAGACAGAGAGCTGGGGTGATATCCCCGCTCACCACAAGAAGGTTAGTTAACCGCTATGGCGAGACTGAAGAGAACTGACTTTGTGTGCAGGTTAGCGAGAGGTATCGAGAAGAAGACACGGATCTGAAGCGGGCTTTTACGGATATGCAGGAGATCACAGATATGATCGAGAAGAGAGGAGCAAGGGGAAACCGAGGAGATATGAAGGCTTTGGAAGCATGGCTGGTAGAATGTGGACTCGGAGACGCCTTTGGCAAGATTTTGATGTAAACAAGAAAATGCATCGAAGTAAAAGTATTGAAATTTGACCATATCATGCATGATTGCTAACTATCCAGTAGTGGCTCTAGTTCTAATGATGACCAACGCCGGCTATGACAAAGGAAATATGCAAAAGATAAATATGAAAGCTGCATTACCACCGTTTAAACACTCTGAGCGTCGACCTCTTTAGCCGGCTGCTGCTTCTGCTTCTTGGTGAACAGCTTCTCCCCAACCTTGTCTGTCATCTGATCCGCCTTGTCACCCAAGAAAGTCTTGAGGCAGCCGTACACACCAGAGACAAGCCACAGGATAGCGTTGACGAGGTCAATCCAGACAGCTGTCTTCATGGCACCTGTGCTGGCGCCCTTGTACTTGTCGTCGCTGTCTCGGGGGAGGAAGATACCGGCGAAGATGCCGAAGACGACGAGCCATGTGATGAAGAGGATGAGATCCCAGGCGAATGCACGGTAGGTCTTGAGGAACTTGATTCTACTGCCGATGACGGGGAGAGAGCCAAGGGGTGTAATGGCGACGAAAATGAGAGAAGTTGCGGCAGCGAGACCAGCAATTGTGAGGGCGAAGTACCATTCTGGTGAGAAACCGTAGTTGTAGTCGTCATCGCCCGCTTTGTCAACGCGATGGCCATAGAAACCGACTGCAATGAGGGCAAAAATGAATTGAAGACCGCGGCAGATGAGACGAGGGACTGTTTCGAAGGTCTTGAGCCAGGTCTTGCCCATGGTCTTGCCTGTTTCGGCGCCTTCATTGAAAGCAGAGCGTCCAGCTTGTCGGCCCATGTCTTCAACCTGGCGACCCATCTCCTTCTTGTCCGCGGTGCGGAACTGGTTGGCATGGCCGGCGAAAGTGTTGGCCGTTTGGCCGAGTTCAATGACGGTTTGGCCGGCTTTGATAGCGTTGTTGAGTCTGCTCATTTTGAAAGAGGGTGGAGTGTATAATGTGAGGGTATCGTAGTGAGTGTTTGAGATATATGCCCAAAGAGAGTATTAACTGCACAGCAGTTAGTGACAAAAGGAAATAATTAATGATGAATTGATAGTGATGATGCGAATGGCAAACAGTCTCAGCATCACGTCTTTATAAAACACAGTGATCAACATTGTCGAATAGACGCTGATGGGCCATTGTCGCAATGAGAAAACAACAGCCAATCGAGCCGACAATGAAACAAAGGCCTTTGGTTTGTAGGCCGCAATCGCTTGGGCCCCAATCGTTTGTTGTTTTGGCGCTGTGGTCAGGCGCTTAGCGAAACTGGGCCTTTGTTACGCGCTGCCAAGCAGAGCCAATCGTGGATTTTCTGGTAGGGAATAAAGAAACGAGAATAGAACATTGCGAACAAGTGGTATTGAAGACGATCAAATTGACGCGCGTGAAGTAAAAATAAAGATATACGGTTTCAGAATGAACAGTGGTTTATTATTGGCTTTTTTGGTGTCTTTGTCGTATTCTGGAAGAGGCCTGAGGATGATCGCTGTCTTGGGCGCTGGAGCTAGGGTCCTGGTGGTTGCTTTCACCACAGTTTTAGCGACCATTGCTGCCTCCAAACAGGCAGATCAGATTTCCAACACAAACCCCGTTGATCTACCCCAGAAAAGTAAGTCAGGACGAGAGGGGATTTGTCGCGTCCGCGTGTAACATTTGTCCCCGTCTTGACCTTCCCAAAAAGCCCTAGCTTCATCAAAAGGTGAGCATGTTTGGTCGGCTCGTAAGGTTCACTCGTACGGGTTTGTACATACGAGTAAGTAGACAGCATCTGATTCCCAAACTCAACAGAAACGCACCGGATTATATCCTTATTTGTAACGACTAGCTTGCAGGCTGAGGCGCAGTAGATCCTTCGTAGTCTACAAGTCCGAATATTCGGCGGAAAATTGTCAAATTGAACTCCATCCGTTGCCTACGGCTGACTTATCGCATTACAAAAGAGGGGACTTACCAATCAACGGTAACGCTAAACCACGCTATGTCCGCCTAGAAGCCTCGGTATCTGCAAGAACTAATCACTTTGAATGGATATGGACTGTATATAAATTGAGGGGATCCTAAGATCAACCTCACTCGTTTAAACCCTTCTCGATAGTAACTTCTACATCTTCAATCAGATTATCCACAATGGAGAACACTACCCTCGTCATCGTTCCAGGCTCTTTTGCCCCAGCACACTTGTACGATGGCTTTGTCGAGAGCCTTAACCGTCAAAAAGTCAAGGCAGTTGTCATCTCCACGCCCTCAGTGGGCCGAAAGGAGGTCCCAGCTACTATGAGCGACGACACCCAAGAGATCACCAATGTTATTTCCAAGCTTCTTGACGAGGGAAAGCGAGTCGTCTTAATGACGCACTCTTACGGAGGCATTCCAGGAACTGAGTCTCTCAAGAACATTTCAAGAAAGGCCCGCGAGGCACAAGGCAAAGAGGGAGGCGTTGACAGGATCATTTACCTTACATCGGTGGTCCTGCAGCCTGGTACAAGCAACTTCGATGCTTTTTCAGGAGGTTTCCCTGATTTCTTGACCGTGGAGGTAAGTGATGAATAATAAAACATGCTGGAGGCTTGCTGACAATCTTACCAGGACGACTACATGACCCTTGATCCCGCTGGTAACGCCCCGATCAACTTCTCAGACCTTCCTGCTGAGCAAGGGTTGGAGCTGGCCAAGAAGATGTCCGACCATTCTACACCCAGCTTCAAAGAGAAGCTGACGTACCCCGGATACAACGATGTGGAGGTTCACTATATTCTCTGTGAGCAGGACAAGGTTATTCCTCCCCAGTTCCAAAATGGTATGATCGAAGGTGTCAAGGCATCGACTGGAAGGGATGTTACTATCTACACTATTGATAGTGGTCATGTTCCTATCGCTAGTCAGCCCGATAACCTGGCGAAGATCGTTGAGAAGGCTATCAAGGCCTGATTTCGTCTAATTATAGAAGCTGAATTATCAATACAACCGGAATATTCCTAATTATTCAAAATGCTTTCACTACTCATGTCTAGAAGATTTTGGCCAGGATCTTGTCCTTGAGGTTCTGTGGTGCTGCCTCCCGCTCATGACGATAGTGTTCAGTTAGAGCATCAAAGAAGTATAGATGAGAAACCAGGTCTACTTCTGATGCACGGTGAAATCGCGTTTTCTTGAACAGTTTCCAGCCAAGACCAATGCTACCAGCTAGAGCGATCTTGCACATGTCAGTTCTCGTACAGGGACCTTGATGGTCAGAAGGACACCTACTATGCCGTAGTTGAAGATGAACGTCGCTGTGTTCCAGTTACCAGAAAGGAATACAGAGTACCCTTGAACCCTAAAAGAATGAGCGATTAGATAGTCCGGTCTGGAGGAAAGCGACCCACCATAAAAAGACGAATGCGCAGCAAAATGCCCAGTAGCCTGCATAGGGCTGGAATCGCGACCTGACAGGCAGGAACGTATCTCGGTCGATGCTTTGTGCCTTCATGGCAGCGTTGAAGCGGATCCAGGTAGCCGCCATGACTGTCCAGTTGCTGCTCTCGTTAGCTGCTTGACCAGGCATTTATAAGGGCGAATACTTACAGCATAGTAGCGGCGGTACAGAAGCTGGAAGCAACAGGTTAGATAATGATGTTATGATAGATGTTAGAAGACTCACTTGAGAATCCAGTTGAGGACCTTTGCACTGGTAGAATCCAGAGCAAGAAAGGCAAGACAGCCTAGTAGCATCACAACGATGACAGCTACGTATGGGACTCCCCTTCCAGGTAAGTCAGTAATGTGAGATTGCTCTGAAGGGAAAGCTCACTCACTTGCTATTCAGGCGTCGCAGGAACTTTGGCGCTTGGCCTTCGAGCGCTAGCGCATGCAAACTTCGAGATGCATTGAACGTATAAGCGTTACCTGCTGAGACGATGGTTGTGATGAGGACAGCGGTCACGATAGAAGGAAGAACTGGGATCTTCAGACGTTCCATAGAGATGACACTCGAAACTGTTAACAATCTTACAGGTGATCAAGGTGCTGGTACTCACTAGGGAGAAGCGCCGCTATATGTGTCGGCGCCACCACTAAGGCTAGGCGTCTGTTAGCAAGTATGCTACTGTGAATCACTAAGAAGACCTTACGTCTTGTCGTTGTATGGCACAAGAATCTTGTCCCTATGTTAGCGCTTGTATCAAGTTTATTTGTCCTCACTCACGCCAACGCAAAGACAACCACCAATGAAGAAGATCATCAATCGGTGAATGATGGTTTTGAAGGCTCGGGGAACTGTGCGTCTGGGGTCTCGAGCTTCGCCCGCAATCACTGTAGCCATGTCAGCAGTATTCGCCTCAGAGGGTAAAAAGATGCATACTTGAGATATACTCTGGACCTCCCATAACAAAGCCAGCAACGTTGACCGCGTTGACGAATGATTGTAGCCTGCCACTTGCATCGTCGCCAGCCCAGACGCCCGGGTCTTTCCAGTACCGAAATCCGAAGCGACTGTTGATGGGTTAGTAAAGGCTAAAGGGGAACGTGGTGAGACATGTTTTACTCATCTAGAGGGTTACGTCCAAGCATAACGACAAGGGTGTACAGGATCAAGCCAGCTGCAAGTAAAACTTTGCCGAGTGCCAGCCAGACTGGTAGAGCTAGTTAGTAAACATTGACTCAATTGAAAGGGCAGATTTACACTCGACTTCACCGAACAGATCCGCTCTCCACACATTGATTGCAAGATAAAAAGCCAGAGAGACTGTTGAGGCATTAGCAGCGGCCGGTGGTGGAGGTAAGAAGCTAGGAACGTACCGGAAATGAGGATGGCAGGCGACTGGCCATATCCCCAATATTCGACGAGGGTGTTGATGATGGTGGCCTCGAATATCACATAGGATGTTTGAGCAAACTGAAAGCAGTCAGCAAATATCCTTTGTATGTATATGGGTGACCAACGAAGTGATTCCATCCAACAGCCACACCAAGAGCTGGATCAACCATACGACCTGCGAGACGGATGAAAGATCCATCCAAGGGGAAGAGAGTGACGATTTCCATCTCTATGAAAGACTTATCAGTTATGAACTTAGTAAAAGGATATGGAAGAGGTTTACGGCATTGAGCGATAGAGAATACGACCGTGACCCAGAAGATGAAGGCTAAGAGAAGGCATAATGGTCCAGACTGAACGCCTTTCCCGATAGCTACGAATAGAGCCCTGTCAAATATCAGTGTTGTTCTGTCAAGATTCGGAAGGTTGACAAACGCTCCGATGGAGCCGGCGAAGGCTGTAAGTTGGATGTGTCGGGGGTTGAGACGGCGATGGTTGACGGATTCTTGGATGGCAGCTGTCAAAACTGCTCCTTCGAGTTCGGGAATACTGTCTTTGGTCTGCCGTAAATTTGTTAGACGTGAGGACTTAGTATGGGAGGAGAGAGCACTGACCAGACTGATTCCTCCAATCTTTAAAGAGCTCACTCGTTCCACATCACCGATGCCCTTCTTTGAGTGCTCTTGGGTAGTCTCAGGAGGATTCATCGCGACGACAGTTCATCAGTGTGGACAGAGACGAAGAAAAGAGTTCGATAAGCTACTAGAGATAGTCACCCAGATATATGGACTTGATGTCGTATTTCGACGTTCCAGGCGACTCATCAAGTCTACATTGTCGGGCTAAGACCGCCACTGTCCGTGTGGTGCTAGTCTAGCTATCGAGTATCTCTACCTAGATCCTTGCTTAGTGTCAATTCGCCGCATCCTCAATCGTTAGTTGATGAGCAAAGCGAGATCGGACAATCAACTATACAATGGCTGATATGCAGATATCATTTACCAAAGGCTGTACAAACGACTTACATGCCGCCTTGAGTCAAGGGTTGCATCACCGGACGAGATCCCCCGCACGCTAACCCCCGCGATCAAAGATAAACATGGAGTACGAAGGAAGGTACAGGCGAGCGGTCGTTATCGAGCCCAACCAACACCGCATCTATATCCCGTTTTCGGCAAGCGATCGACAATGATAAAGGCGTATCATCCTTCGGTCCTCGAACTATGAAGCTTTTGGTAAGAAACGCAACCACCGGGAATAAGGGACTCGCCTCGGTTCCGACCAACTGGTATCAGCTTATCAATTGCAGTCACAAGATAGGCTTTGAGGGGAACCTTGTCCATCGAGATAGGTGTTCGAACTTGGTTCACCGGCCCTAGCATCCCAAAACGTTTATCTCGCTAGGACCTTCCTTCGATCGCCCGTGACTAACCGTGGCCAGTGAGGGGATGTCGAAGGATTCACGGTCGGATTGTTGGTTGATACCATCCATGCCCGCCCTTGTCATGTGCATTAATGAGGCCGGGGTCGGACATGATGGCAGTTGCTATAAACTGGTAATACCACAGAGATCATCACACAAACATCGAGTGCAACCTTTGCACATGTTATTTGTGAAACGTTGGTATTGTTGAAGAATTGACAAGATGGCACCTTCACTCGTCACTATCGACGCCTCGGAGCCTCTCGACAAGATTCTCAAGATCATCGAACAAGATGGCGGAGTTATAGTCTCGAACTTCCTCTCACCTGAGTTACTCAAGGAGTCAATGACAGCCAGTACGTACTTGCCGGAAGAGATAAGTCGAGCTGTAGGCTGAGATATACTTCTACAGTCGAGCCTCATTTCGCTGGTCGCAAGCTATACACCTCGACCTCTACGCACGATGAGCTTGGCGCCGATTTCTTCCCTGAAGGCTCACAGAGAGTCTATGTTAGTGACAGCACTATCGAGCGGAAGTACATACTGACACACCCAGGGACTGCTTGGCAAGATGCCTGAACAAATCATCAAAATTATGCGTCTTCCAGTCTGGCAAGGCATCATGGCACACTTCTTGAAGTAACCGAAACCGAACTTCCCATACGTGTATCAATGCTAACATACCTACTTAGCGACGAGTTTTCGTCATACACAGGCGATAAACTGGTTCCGCAAAAGAGTGGCTATGTATTGGCGTCCACAGCTGCACTACGTCTTGTCCCAGGTGCAAAGCCACAACCTCTCCACAGAGTGAGTACTGTGTCTCGAGCAGCTGAATTTCGCCACTGACAGTGAAACAAACAGGACCAAATCGCGTACCAAACTCGACCAGACCCGAGCAACCCACTCTTCACTCCTATCTTTGGATGCTTGATCGCTGGCTCCAATTGTACATACAAGAACGGGGTAAGTTACACCCCACCGTTTCGAAATCTTAAATTAACGATGGCCAGGCCACGGCTGTCATCCCAGGCAGTCACCTCTGGGGTTCTGATCGGGCTCCGAAGCCCGAAGAGTGTACTTATGCTGAAATGGAGCCAGGCTCCGCACTGTTCACTCTGGGATGTAAGTGCTCGCTATCTCGAAGGGGGGCTCTTACTGAATGTATCGATAGCTACTTATCATGGTGCTGGTGAGAACAAGTGTGACAGGTCTGATCCAGATGCGTTACGCACTCTGTTCGCATGTTTTGCGTAAGTCCACCAGCTCTTGTGATGGTACTCAACTTACGCTCATGGTAGCCAACGTGATTATTACCGTCTAGACCAGAACGAAGTCCTCAGTACACCTATCGAAATCGCACGGAATCTTCCAGATGATATCCTCAGAATGGCGGGATACTGTAAGTTCAGACGGAAAAACTCTGATTCCGATAGATATACTGAGACTCTTTATGAACAGATAAGGCAGTTAGTGGTGTTGGTTACGTCGAGGATCACCAGAACCCAGTCGAGTTCATGCAGAGAGACGAGAATGGCATTGGTAAGTTTGGTTCAGCCAGTAAGAACCTGGCAGTCTGAGATGGCTGGACATATATGAGAGAAATGTTTGTACTGGAGCGTTGCTCCACTACTGAGAGATCAATCATAACATGACATCTGTCCGATATGCTCAAGCAACTAGCTAGAAACATGCGAAGAAAGATGTAATATTCACACAAGGTCTACTGGCTATTATCCTGACCAGACCAACTAGAAAGGTGTCGGCATAGGCTTCCTGATCCTGACACATTGTCCGTCAACACACTCACGATGCCAGTTCTTGGGGCAGACATAGAGCTTCCTATAGGCGAAAACCACTTAAATACCTGTCAGTACTAGTGCTGGATGGCATAGGTATAGAGTAGAAAGATTAACATGTGGTACTTACATTTGTGTCCACCGCCACGAGGGAAAGATGGCAGGCACTTCATCTGTAAGGCAGGTTTGTCAGCAAGTGTACGATAAACTGAAAGAGACAGCGACATACGATATGATTTCCATTGCATTGGCACTTGTTGGGATCACCTATCTTGCATTTATCCCATGTGTTGGCGCATGCGGAAAGGGCTTCTGAGGACAGAGCCGCGACAGCGACGAGGATGGCGAGCTTCATCGCAGGTGAGATGGTGGTTTAAGAGCCTTTCGGAAATGAGTGTTCTCAGATTTGTTTTAGTAGCTCGATTGTACGTCTGGTCTAGTAAATGGTCATCGGCCTTCTATCAATTCGAGTTAGCGAGTGGACTTTATATCTCCCGCCTTTTCGTGTTAGAGTACGAATAGTCAATAGACGTTGGTCGTAGCCTCAGGTATGAACGTGTCCTGATTTACGGTAATATCCGAACTGAATAAAAGTGTGGTTGCAAAATGATACAACCGTTCTCAAAAGTGAGGGTTTGAACCGGTTCCCATGAAACTGTATCACCATGTTGAAGGTTGGTGGTCGGGGAGCTCAGCTGATACAAGGGCCTATTGTCTTGGGATATCGAATTGCATTTACTGTCATAATCGTCACCGGTACTCTGTCTATAACACTTGTAATGCAGCTAGCCTTCCAGAAACAATCCTGAACCAGATCCCAGAGCCTGACAAGCAGATCATACCAGGTGATTTGTCTCGCATAGCCACACTCATGATTTGACTGTCGCGAAAGGCTTCACGCAAATGTCACAATTGACAGGAAAGCATAGCACATGGGCAAAGAAACAGATTTAGGAGCGCCAAGACCGTCTATCACATCGATTCATGGGACAAATGGGGCATATAGTGCTTGCGACAAATAATATTATGATTGAAAATATTTACTGAAATGATGGAAGCTAACATGAAACTATGGTATATGGTATAATGACGGATTGTTGCCAATGCAATAAGCTCTTGACAAGAAGGAACCTCTCCCTCTGTTTACAAAGTATATCTGAAATCTGGTCGAACATCACCACTGATCCACTTCTGCTCGTCTGTCATGGCAGCGTACTTGGCATCTAAGGATCCTCTCGCACGACGACGGTTTTCCATGCGTAGTGCGAAGTGCATGAAGATGGAGCCACCTAGGAGGAAGACGATCTGATAGGCTAGTACCATGCCGTGGCCGGTGAAGTAGCGAGGCTTCTGGGTCTCACGATAGATGTTGGATGAGACAACACCATTCATATTACCCCAACCAACGACCATTCCAAGAACGATAGCACGTTTCAGTGAACCTTCGATGTTGTTGTTTACCCATGATACCGTGTTGGAGACAGTGGGATAGATGCCTTGTAACGGTCAGTAAACATCTCGAATACGAAGTTGGTCAACTTACCCATTGCGCCAAGGAAGACAGCGCCGTACTGAACATGAGGATCGGCAGAACCCAACAGCATGGCGAAGCCGATAATGCCAACAAGAACAGTAACAATGTTACAGTAACCTCTCCACTTGGTACGATCTCCCACAAAACCTACAACAACAGTGGCAGCAGCAGCACAAGCGTATGGCGGAACCGAAAGCAACTGCGCCTTGGTACCCACGTGACCCATACCTCGCAGAATGGTGGGTAGGAAAAGCGAGAAAGCGTACAAAGGCATCAAGCAGCCCATGTAGATAACCATGTACCCATAGGTCTTCCAATCCTTGAGCGCAGCCCAAATGTGGCGTTTATCGAAGTCCTCAGCCGTCTTCCCCTGTCGATCCATGATGAGGCGGCGCTGAACACGAATGCGCTCCTCTGGAGTGAGGAAACGGGCGGTGTCGGGCCAATCAAAGACCATCCACCAGCAAAAGGCCCCAACGGCGACTGTGGCGAGACCTTCGAGGATGAAAATCCATGCCCAGCCTGGGCGACCGCCTACATCGTGCATTTGGGCAATTGCAGCAGCCAGAAGACCACCGAATGAACCTGCGAGAGCGGCAGCAGAGAAGAAGATGGCAGCTCGCGCACCGATCTCAGAGGACTTGTACCAGCAGCCGAGATAGTAGTTGACGCCGGGATAGAGACCAGCTTCGGCAACACCGAGGAAGAAGCGTGCGGCGAGGAGACCTGGGTAGTTGTGGCATAGTCCCATGAGGGTCATGACGGCTCCCCATGCGATGATGATTCCAGTGAAGAAAATGCGTGGAGTCAAGCGCTTGAGAAGACCATTTGTGATGGGCTCGAAGAAAGCATAACTGACGAAGAAGATGGTGAGGGCCACGTTATAGTCGCCAGGTCCCATGCCCAGGTCGTCTTCCATGCCTGCGAGACGAGCATTGCCAATGTTTGTTCGGTCCAGGAAAGAGAGGAGGTAAAGAAGGGACAGCCATGGAATGAGCCAGATGTCGACTTTCCACATCAGCTTCTTGTCCTGCCAAGGTGTTAGAGGGTCTTGTTGACAGGAAGCATAGGAGGGCTTACAATTGCGCGACGCTCCTCTTCAGTCTTTCCTTCATCAGGATCAGGCAGCGTTGCTAGAAGCGCATTGCGCTCAGCATCAAGGCCAGACGTGGGCGACTGCTTCAAGGAAGCAACATTCTCAATATCAACAGCGGTAGGCTTTTCCGACTCATTCGGCGGCGTACCGCTGCTATCAGTCGTCATCGTCATGGCGCAGAAGGAAGCTTATCTTATACGTCCAAAGAAGGTTGTATCGCAGAACACGTGTAGTGCAAGGTCAAAGTAAAGTGACTCCGCGGAAGAGATCTGGGACAGGAAAGTCAAGTGAGGGGGAAGAAGGGAAAAGGGCTTTCCTTTTTGTTTCCTTTCGGTGTGATTGACTCCCGCCGTGTACGTCAACGCCCGCAGCAAGCCCATCCCACCCAACAAGACAATGCGGGGACCAAGACAAACGGGAGAGCCATTTGGAGATCTGCGATGGGCGGACTAGGCGTTTCCGGGAAGGTCGACAGATTATCAAGACAAGCTTTATTGCCCAGACCTTGGCTTCAATTGGACGACCAGGGCCTCTAACACTTGCGATTGCCGATCAGCTAGCTACATTATTGTCTCGGAAAACAGGGAATGTGAGAGTTGACAAAATGCTCCGAGTCGAGTCAGCAGTGAGAAACAAGTGGAAGACCGAATGCAACCCCCAAGTCTGGTCACGTATCAGCCTGAATAGCTGCTGTGACCCCGAATCTGACATGAAGAAAGCCGATCCTCATGTCCACAAAGTCTACGGCGTCGTCGAAAGGTAGTCTGTGCGACTTGTGGCTTGACCAGTCCTTTTGTTTGTTATCGTAGATCACGAAAATAGCAACGATATCACCCAGTGAAAAGCCTTTCCAGTGCCGGGACATTGGAAGAAATGTCGAGTGACAAGGTGGGAGGCCCCCTCCTCTTCCATATCCATCCCATGCTTCCGTATCTTTGCGTTACAGCACTAATTGAAAGCTATCAGTAGAAATGCGTCAGCACGTCCTCTTCCCCGCAAAGCATCATCGAAAGCTTCGACCTGTCATCGGACCTTAAAACTAGTGCTGATGTAGTTTCGGGAGTCACTACTCAAAAGAGAAGCGTAATTGAACAAGTGATTCTTGTCTTGGCTGACACAATGCAACGCCCATCTCTTGCTACTCGCGGTTGGCGCAGGGGCATAAGCTCAGAACGTGGTGCTAAGCTTGGTGGCTAAGCTTAACTCTGCTCTGGGGGGTTGGGGTAAGGGAGGGATGGCTTGAATGGCTGAATGGCTGCATGAGGAGTCGGGGATTCCTCACCGGGAATTGCGAGGGCAGACGAGACGGACTTCTCCGGTTGATATCGTATTCGCATTATTCATTTTTGAGAGTGAATAATATGATAAGAGATACGATGGGATGAAGCGTCATTTAATTTTGTTGCCTTTTAGGTGAAGTGTTGGACATTCATTTCAATATTCACATAAGAAGCATTACGACATTACTCTTAGGAACAAAAGCGCCATCGACGTAGTGAATGCTGAGCCTAAGCTGACCAAGCTCTGTGCATAATCCACGTGGCAAACAGTCAATCGGGAGGGTTGCCCATGGATCTGATTATCCAGCAATTGCAGAAAGGGTGGTGATCTCGAGAGAGAATCCTCTAGCATTTTGGGGGTTGCATGGAAATTAACAGAAAGACTTTCCTGTTGGTTGGCTCTTCTCAGTGTCCGAAACCCCGGGCAAGTGGATGCGACACTGACCAGCTCCCTCTTGTACTGTTGATTGGGAGGTCCGATGCTACTCTACCGCGCCATCGGACCTTTTGCACGACCGGGCTGTTGTGTTTGTACAGGCGAGACATTGCAGTGCTGATGTTTGCAGCGCCATGAAACTCCAAGCAACTGTCAATCGCCTTTGTTCCGCGACATCCGGCAGGTTAATTAGATCTTTGGGATTTCTGCTGCCCTCAGTACAGTACTTTTGGTATCTATTTTAGACACAGCAGTTATGCCCTGGCTTCGCCTGAACTTACTTTAAGCGACAGCCAAAACTCTGTGTTTCGGGGTCTTCCGCTGTGCGGGGTAGTCACTGTAGACATCAGTAAAAGAGACCTGTGCCTCAACATTCCGTAGATATCGCTCTGGAAAGACTTTTCGTCGAACAGATGTCGTTGAATCTACCGCTTTCTAAAATGCTCGGCGCCAAGATACGATGTACTCCATTATTCGACGACCCACGATGCCAAGTGCCAAGGTGCGACACATTTCGGCACTTGAGTAACCACCACTGAATTGCCGAAACAGAAAAGAATTTGATAGAAGCACATGACTGTGCTGTATTTCTGATGTTTTGTCTATAAGGCATATTGAACATCCTGTTACTGGTCAAAGCAAGAACGTGATAGAAAAGGATTTGTTTATTCCTTGTAATACATAGAACACCTATCGAATGCAATGCCTCTTCAATTGCTTCATCTGCTACAAAAGCTTCTGTTTGCTGTGCCCACCCAACTCCACTCATGCATATTGATACATGTAAACTCCAAACCGACACCAGCCTAATAATCTCCACAGAAAGTTCAATTCGAGTAATCATTACTGTAGTCATAAGATCGTAATGCATATAAAGGATAGTCAAGAAAAGAAAAGAAACACTCCAGTTCATCTCTATGTCTTGAGAATGTTCGCAGCAACAACAATACCACGAGCAGTCTTGCCCACCCACTCTTGAGCAATGGTAAAGTTACCATCCTTGGCATACTGGACACCCTCAGTGATACCAGGGAAGGTAACAGCGGCATAACCAGTGTCGAGACCAGGGGCGTTGACGACATGCTTGTAGAAGTCACGGTCAGGAAGACCGTCTTGGGAGATGAATCCACGCTGGAAGTCACGGTACTTGTGGTTAACGACCTTCTTGAGATCCTCATCGTCTGAGTCTCTAGCCTTCTCCTCAAGAGCCTTGACTTCATCGGCGGCTTCCTTGAAAGTCTCAATAGCTTCGTCGAGCTCTTCAAGGTCAAGGTCAGCATCTTCACCCTCGACGTACTCTACGAGATCCTCGTAGTATGCGCGAAGCTCCTTGGCGTAGTTCTGGGTGTCGAATGGGAGGATATCATCGCTGGCCAAGTGGTAGGCGAGAAGAGAGAGGTATTGTCCCTGTGAGGTATGGAGGTGAAAACCTGGGTCACCAAAGTTCGACATCCAGTTGTAGGTATCGTAGTTGGAGTGGTAGTGCCAGATGGGATCATTAGCACCGCCACTGCTTCCAGTATCGAGAGAGCTAATACCACGGTGGAAGAAGGCAGTGTAGTCAGAACCGGAACCCAGGACTTCAATTTCACCGTCACTGGCATCATGCCAAGCATCATAAAGAGACTTGTTGAAGCCACCGAAGTTGGGGTGAATGATCTTCTTCATGGTCTCAGTAGCAAAGGTGCTAAGTTCGGGTGAGGCACCGAGGTTGGGTCGAGGACCGCTGACAGCGACATCAATGTTGAGGTAGGTGACGGCTGTGTCAGTGAGCCAGTTGACGTGCTCCTCAACCCACTCGGTAGAGCCGATGATGCCCCATTCTTCAGCGTCCCAGGAAGCGAGGACGATGTTACGCTTGGGCTTCCAGCCAGAGTCTGTGAGCTTCTTGAAAGCGCGAGAAAGCTCGATGAGGATGGCTGATCCAGAGTTGGGGTCACCGTTACCGCCCTGAGTAATTAGTATGGACCTTTTCAAATGTCTTTGAAGGGTAAACTTACGACCATCCAGGTGTCGCGATGGTTACCAATAATGACTGTCTCATCAGCGTTGGTTCCGTTGATGACACCAATAACGTTGTGCACAGGCGCAATCAGGTCGCGAGTCTCAGTTTGAAGATGAAGCTTGACACCAGGAGCAGGTCCAGAGCTGTAATCAGCATCGAGACCACCAGACCAAGAAGTGCGGTTGACTTCATCAGCTGAAACACCGTGGCCGTTGAGAGCCTTCAGCAGAGGCTCAGCGGCGGAGTATGAAATGGGAATGGCTGGGATCTTGGCGATGACCTCAGAGATATCCGCTCGAGGGGAGTCCTCCTTGGAGGGGTATCCGGGTGTCGTGGGATCTCCAGTCCGAGTGGAAAGGAAGAGTGTAGAGCCCTTTTGGACAGCACTGGGGTTCCTGGCAGGGCCATCTGAGGTTTGAAGTCAGTCTAGGCACTTGAACAGCTGGGAAGATGGTCATACCGGGATAAGCCTCCACACCCTTGGCAACGGTCATGTTTCCATCATCACCGGGATCGAGGAAGATGACAGCGCCAATGGCACCATGGTCCTGGGCGTTCTTAACCTTTAGACCACGGAACAGACCGCCGTACTTGATAAGAGCGATCTTGCCCTCAATTTCGACACCTAGTTCAACAAGTCGGTCGAAATCATCAATTGAGCCGCGACTGGTTCACAGAGTCAGCAAACATGTTTTGCAGGCAATTTATATGATACATACCCAGCATAGACGTATTCGGCAGAAGCACTGCCTCCAGGCGCATAAGCCAGGAAGGTCTGCTGAGAGATCTCAGTGCGGTTCGTCACATCATCCTCAGGAAGCTCCTCTTCCCGAATGTTGATCTCGTTCTTTGTGCCATTGGGCCCCGAAACGTGAAGAGATGAAGAGACGGGATATCTGAGGAAGACATGGTATTCAGCGAGATGCGACTCGAAGCCGTTCTCGCTCCATTGATCCGCGGTCCATTGAGCAGCCTCTTTACCTTCACCAGCTAGCTTGTTCTGGTGACCGTAGTAGTCAGACCACTCATCAATAGAGGAGTTATCGAAGGCATTGACAAGAATAGTTTCCTGGTCGGTCAGGACTGGGGGCCAGTTGGTGTCGCTGCGCTTGGTGAGAGGCTGGCGATGGGTATGGCGTTTGTGCATGACCAGATCACGCTGGCAGGCGGATGCGCCGGCAGCAAGAGCTGCAATTGCAGAGAGCTTTCGAAAATGCATGATGGACTAACAGTGAATTCCAATTGCACCCGAAGCTTCCACTTTCGAGGGGTAGCTACGAAGAAAAAGATGGGCAATGCCGGATATAAATGCATCTCGTTTACAAAAGGTCCCAGGATCACGCATGCGGTGCCATGTCACCATGCAATGGCACCATCACATCTAGACGTCAACTAGATCCTTGGTATTCCCCAACAAACCGGCTTCACGTCTAATACCAAGAGAAACCATTGATTTGTTATCACGATGGAACTATGGGTTTTCCGGGTGAGATTCCATTCCTAGCCAGTCAGCTTACAACGGTGAGCTTGTTTGTATGTCGTCATATGTTGCCGAGATAGACCAATGTAACCAAGTTGGGAAGCTCCCCAGAACTGGCCAATCTTGGCTGCTTGGCTATACTGCGGGGTTGATAGAGGAGGGGAATCGGTAAAGTCTTGACCTGCCTGTTGGGGACTGGTAAGGTAAAGATACTTGCGTAACCGTTTGCTTGGACGATGGGGGAGATAAGCTTGGTTGTTTTTGACTCTGCTTGTCATCAAGTTTAAAGTTGTTCCGAATGTTCCCCGCTTTCTAGAATCGTCATGTCAAGTCGGCTTTTACATGGAGCCCATATTTGCATTCATCGGTACAAGGATCGTCGTTGTAATGTTTTAAAGGTTCAAGAAAGAGAGAATTGTCAAGCCTATTGTGCCTTTTGAGCAGAGGAAGTTCTAGAAAAGTCCACATGATGGCTTTGTGTAAATTAAAGTATGGGCTAGTGGCCTAGCTCGCCTCTAGAGCGAAGCCATTGATCCTAATTGAGCCAGAAAGTTTCTCGAGTCAGTAATGAGGCAAGAAGTCTTGCGACATGATATTCCAACCAAGAGAAAAAGTTTCAAGTCAAAAAATGATGGACTTGGGCAAATTTCTGATGCGGAGGCAACCGGTCCGGGGTGGTGGCGGCTACGGCGGCTATCCAAATAATTTTGCTGTCGTCGCGTTTTTGCCTACTCTTACTCCTAAGTCTGTCTTGAAGTCTTATGAATTTCTTCGGGCACCCAGATGGCCTTTTCAGAAACCTTAGAACCCTAAAAAAAAAATACACTGTGCAAACTGGAAAAAAACATCAGATCATATTATAGCCGCCAGGATTGTTGTGTCTTGCGGCAGTGTTTCCCATTGGCCTAGGTCAGAAAGCTTGTTGGTTCTGAACCAACAACACATAAAGTCACTGCCTACTTGATAGAAGTTTCTTGGTAATCTCAAAGGGAATATCTTGGTGGAAAAAAGTGCAATTTTGGTATAAAAAACTATAGCAAAAAGTGAGCTTGAAGATTGACTAAGTCAATTTCCCAGAGTTATGTTTTGGCTGATGATGCTAAGATAATCACTGAACATGGCCGGTTTCAAGGCCTAGAAATTCTTGAAGCTCGTTTCAAATCATGCAATGTTTATGTTTAGCCTTGCAAGGTGTTGATACAAGGCAGACCACACTTTACAGCCACGCAGAGGCCTCTTCACCACTGCCATTTCATTCATTCTTCCTATAAATAGTCCATAACGTCTCATTTTACCTGCTGTTATACTCCAGACTCACCAGGAACTTAACCTTGTACCACAAGGTCACAGCTTTCGATCAACAGGGCCTTTGACGGAGTTCCGATCTGATACTTCCGATACTGCCGGGTCTTCGCGAAATCCAGTGAACACATCCTATTTCTGGACGGAAATAAGCCTCTTAATATGCCCCCAAGAGCCAGAAACAGAGGAGTTGCTAAAATCAGCCAGGTTCGAACTGAGCTGGGGTTTGGTAATAGTCGAAACCCTCCTGCCCAGAAAGCATGCAAGGCGTTTCTCGACAAATATCGGCCCAGTCTTGCTATGCCTGCCCATTACTTTACAAACTGGCAGGACGAAGTTCACAAACGGGAAGTCAGTATAATGGCGGAGAAGTTTCTGGTAGAAGAGGGCGGGGGGGCAAGGTACTGGCCTGCCGATGGTGGCTCATCAGATCGTCCCCGCTGGGGGGTCAATCCTGAAACTGATGAGATGTAAGTCCAAACCAACAGCCGGTAAGGACGCAATTTCTAATTATGTTTGACTTCTCGATCAGCCTTAAAACGTTGGTCGCCCAGCTCTTATGCAATCTAAACAAGAAGACTCAGAAGAGATTGACCGCTTCCGCTTCCGAAAACACTAGGCGCGAAGCGAGGGCAGGATCCTATCGCTCAGAAACCGTGGGTCGGAGGTGAATATTCCTTTCAATCAAATGGATCACAGGCTAACGTTTGACTCTTTGTAGTGCAAGAGAGCCAAGTCCTATCAGTGTGGAGTCTGATTCAGATGAAGAGGACAGCCATTTGTTTGATCAAGAGGACAATCCGGAGCCACCACCACGCATCTCAGAGCCTTCAGAAGATCCCTTCAGCCCCGGCCCAAATCATTTTCATGTAAGTGATCCAGGTTCCACCCCTACCACCCGGCCTACGGAGATCACTGAAGGGGAAACATATGGAGTAGCTGACAAGCACAGACATCTCCAGGTCCATCAAACCGAACAGTTGAAATGCCACGACATGAGTCCGATATGGAAGCAAACTCATTGGACAGAGACAGAATTCCCGGGGCACCGGCAGCACCAGTCGCTCAGATGACAGGCATGGATGATTTGATTGGGCTCACCTCACCCCGTCGGAGGCGGAGGCCTGTGGACCTTCAAGGCTACTTATCGTTGTCAGATGATGATATGTACCTTGCAAGGACCCCAACTCCGAGTGAACCTGCCGCTTCAGTCCGTGCGGCCAGCCTGGAGCTTGGTGTCATGGATTACAGCATGTCCACTGGAGCCGTATCCGAAGATGTGCCCAACAATGAACCCATTGGAGATCATTTGGACAATGCGTCGAAGCATATTCTGCCAGATCCTGGTATCGGAGCAGAAGAGCAGCCTCTCCCATCAACAGAGAACGTCACCCCCCAACCAGAGACCTTCGCCATGCCTACATCAGAGGCATTTGCGACACCAGAGCCAGAGGTAGATGAAGACCGTAGGGCGATGCCTCCACCTCCTCTACCTCTACCTCCGCGTCAGCCAATAGCTCATGTCACCAGAAGAGAACCAAGATACAGATGCAAATGGAACATTCAAACCGCTCCACGCAATTACAGGTTATGGGGTCTCTATGGAACCTCCGGGCCAAGGTCTATGGCAGAGCTTCTTGAAACTCCAGCTTTTGAAGGGGTCAACTCAGTGCAGTTCAGACTTGAAGGTCAAGGTATGAGCTGGCAAGATGCAGTGCCAAAGGATGATGAAGAAGCGTTCGAAGATATGAAAGTCCGATTTGGAGACAGGATCAAGGACGATCTGAGAAGACTATCTGGGACTAGAGATTCTATTATCTATGAGATAATTATGGTCCCAGGTCGGTATATGAACTGCGATGAAGCGTTTGCACGATAGGAAACTGTGTCTTATGGACTTGATGTACATAACGATTTTACGAAAGAGCGATTATAGATTGGTCAGCGACTTATGAACGTTTATTTTGTAGCGTAACTTCTATAGCACCTTTGCCTTATTGATATTGGTTCATTCCCAATCTCAACCATATGTTATCTCTTTCACTAACAAATATCTTGGAATTATCCTCATAGCTCGCCATCTTTGACAAATTGACGAATAGTGTTAATCGAGCCATCAACAGCTCCCTTGGCCATCTATGAGACAGATTGTCAGCCTTGTTTTTGGAACAGCCCAGGGGCAAAACTCACCTTCGAGTACTTTTCCCGTAACTGCTTGACCTTTTCGCTCCCTTCATCAAGCTCTGGATGTCGCCACTCAAAAGCATAAGTCATGATCAAATTTCCATCCTGGTCGACACTGACGATGTTGAAGATGTTGCTTCCATCGGGTTGCCGAAAGTCGACACGGCTTGGTGCAAATTCGTGGACTACCTCCTTGACAATGGCATCGTCATCGCCACGCACATCCTTGTCGAACGTTACTTGGCGCGTGACTTTCGTTCCTGTCTCAGTCTCTTCTTCCTCAAGGACTTCGCACTTGAGGATTGGTGCGACGAATTCGTTTGCTTTGCGGACTTTGCGCTGGAGACCCTTCCATACTTGAGTTTCGGTGAGAACAGGCGAGGCACCACTTGGGTTAATGGGGGCGCTGTATGCTAGGTTTATCACAACCATTTTCGATTATTTGAGTTGAAATGGGATGATAATGCAACGATTAGAGTCTGCGAAGATTGTAATGCGGATAGCTTTGAGCTCTGAGATTATATGGAAGCTTCGGACATCCGAGCTATGGAGTCATTATAAATCACGACTCCACTGTTTTGCCTCACGATCATCGATTTGGGTGACGTAACATTTTGCTTCAACGCTTTTAACTACAGAGCTAACACTAACCAAGACTAGTCAGAAGGCTTGGCTCATTAGAACACTTCTGGGGTATCTACTGCTTATCAAATTCCTCAATCTTCTCCTCTTTGACAACCTTTCCTTGAATCTCTTCCGTCATATCCTTACTTCCCATACCAAACATACCCTTAGTGACACGAACAATAGATGCTCTACCTTCCCAGAGAGGGAATAGACCGACGGCAATAGAACTGCAGAACAGCCAGATGATACCAACGACGACCCAGCCGGTGAAGAAGGGCTTGGAGAAGACATAGGATGTTCCGTACATGGGCATCGGCCAGAGAATGAGGAACGCAATAGTCATACAGACAGTCATGGTCTTGGCGATCTTTGATGCTTTGTTAAGCTTTGCCATATCCTCCTCAGGCGCCATAGCAAAGCTGGTCACGACAGCTCCCTCGGAATCAAAATTAGAGTCGCTGACGTCATCAGCTTGCTTAATAGCTGCCATGGAGGCCCAATCGTAGTTATCAGAGCCGAAGCCGAAGGTGAAGACAGGCACGAAGATCAAGGGACTCAAAAGGGCAACGACGTTTCCTGCGAGCATGGGGTTGTTGGTACCCAGGTTGTCCACGCTGAGGACACCATCGAACTCCTTGGAGCAGGTAACACACCAGGCAATGAGGGCGCAGATAAGACCAAGAACGGGAGAGAGTGCGGCAGCGATCCAGTTCTGGCGCTTCCACAAAAGAGTAAGAGTAGCTGGGATGACGGCTGCAGAGATCATCACACCCATCCACAAATACAGCCAGCCCATGGAAATTCCAGCGTAGTGAAGTCCAACGCTGAAACTGGCCATGATGATACCGTATAGGACAACGGTGGTGTGGGAGACACCAATAAGTCGGCTGCCCGAGGCTCGAGGGTTGATGTAGGTCCTAGCGAGGGATTAGCTATGTACAGCGATAGTCCAGTCATGGTAACTTACTGGTAAACATCGTAGGTGAAGATAGAAGAAACAGCAATGAGCTGAGCAGAAGTAGCAGAGGTAACAGCCATGAAGATCATGATCAAAGTGCAGATAGCACCAGACTTTCCAAGCAGACCAACAGCAGCGTACGGAAGAACAAGACCAGCCGAAACATCAGCAGGGTCCATACGGTTAGGATACGTAGGGAAAGAAGGGCTGGTCTCAAGAGCAAGAGCACTAAGACCCATGGTAGTCGCACAGAGCCAAGGAATGGCGAACCAAGAGAGACCTCCGATGATGTATCCGGGCAGCGCAGCGACAGGGTGAGCAGCAATGGCCTTGTTGTAATAACCGTTGTCCATGAAGACGGTACCAAAGTTGCCGACGATGTTGATGACGAAGAAGATGATACCCTCGCGAGATCGCATGGTGAGGTATGACCCCTCGGCATTGCCTTCGACGGGGTGAGTGGCTGCGGCCTTGGTGAGAGCGTCGTAAACTTCGCCGGGGGATCCCAGCTCAGTGCCGGTTGCGTAGGCAGTGAGGGCAAAGATAAGGATGATGACGAGAATGATGACTGTGTGAACATAGTCTGTCAAGAAGGTGGCTTTAATACCTCCGAACATGGTGTAGAGGACAACACCAAGAGGCAATAGGAAACAAGCAGCCGCGGTGTGCATGCCAGTAAGAGATGTAACCACAGCAGAGCCACCAGTGAGCAACATGGCAGTAACGAGAATGTTGGTGAAGAGACCAAAGCAGATATACACGCAATGCGTAATGCGCCCATATCGAGCTCGAATAACCTCAAGGAAAGTATGCGCATTTGGCGCTCTTCTCTTTAACTCAATGGCAATTGTCGCAAAGAGAATGATTTGAACTGTCGCTCCGGAAGCATACTAACACCACTGTTAGTCACAAAACAAGAATCACATTTTCCGATGAGGAACATACCCAGAAAGGTCCAGAAACACCATATCGGTACGCAACACCAGATGATTGGAGCAGAGTAGCAGCCCATGTCCAACTGGAAACAACAGCTGAAGCCACGAGACCGGACTTGACTGTTCGCCCGGCCGTGTTGAACATTTCCGAAGTTTGCTTCTCATAGTTGTACTTTTTCAAAACGTATGTAGTAAAGATCATGCCCAGGGCGAAGAGAAACCCAAGACCCACGACGATGCCATAGCCGTAGGCCTGGCTCAGAGGAGGCTCTACTGTGCCAGAGGAGGGACCGCCGCCACCAGCCATTGTGATGTATTTTCAAGAATTATTGAGTTTATGAGGGTATCACAGCGACATTCAGCAAGGGTTTTCTTCCATGGTTTCAAGATCCTATGGCTATATATCATTTCTAAATGGACTAACATGTGCATCATTTCTGTAACCTTGAGATACCAGCCCTTCAAATCCCGGCGGGCGCAGATAAGCAACTCCCGCGATAAGAAATTCCCCATGGGGGTATAAATGATAAGAAAACATGCGCCACGCTGTGATTGGTAAGAAGCTGCAGCTAACCCCCAGCCTCGAGAACGCCCTTATCAGTTGCGAACCCGGAGCGAGGGAATAAGAAGCCATTTGTGACTGGCTGGTGGTTAAAGATATGCACATGCAGTGCAGTATCGAGATAAGAATTGTGCAGGTTTAATTATTCATTTCTTGACACATCGATGAGCATACATTTCTTTACTCTATCAGGCGTAACACCGCGGAGGTGCACTCTTCAGAGTTCAAACCCTGCATAAAAGGTTTCGACCGCCAAAGATTCAGCCTCCCTCCGATGTGTATCTCTCGCTCGAAATGGCAGACGGTTGATAAGATAATTCCAAAGTCATGGATTATTCCGATGCACATGATTTGCTCTCATGCGAGTCAATTGAATGTCACCCCACGAACTGCCGTCGCATGGATAAGGTTATTGATTGAAACAAGTTCAACGTCATCAATTGTGATAATCGAGATCTTAAGAACCGTTATTATGATCTTCAGAGCTAATAACGGTTTGCAATCGATGAATTGATAATCTCGGCTTTCTTTTTTCTTCCTTTTTCCAGCCATACAGACCTAATCATAGCGTCGCTGCCTCGGTAATTATCTGACACATGGAAGTTTGCTCACTCCTCTGTACATAGTTCAATCGCGTGGGTTTGGGCGCAGAACAAATAAAACTGTTATCCGAAACTGATTGAATATCTATATATAAAAGCCTATGTTTCTACTGAGTCTGTAAAAACAACTGAACCAACAGTTTACTTCACGATTCCGCCTTGAACCATTGGTCATTACCCTGCAATGGGTCGTCTAATTTTGAGAGTGGGAATTGTCGAGGTGGGTTCCTTAAATTAGGTAGCCTGATTGGCTCTTATCACTTGTATCTCGGATCCACAAACTGATATTGATCTAGCTTCTCAATAACAAATCTCAGGACATGCTCTCCCACGTATTCCGTAATTTCATCTGTTGACATCGGAGCGCTGCGTACGACTTGCAGACTTGATGTTTGGATCCTGGAATAAGCGGAATGTATCCGTATTGTGATAGGAGGACAATGGGCCCGAGCAGCGTCATTACCCCTCAATGCCCAGTGATCGTCATAGCCAGGACCCCTCAACACCATGGTCCTCGGTAGTTGAACAGTAGATCCAGGAATTGACTGATAATTAAACCAAGCTTCACATCGCCCACAAATCTGCCGTGATTCTATGAATTGTATTGATCATATACTATCACGGTCTTAACACTCCAACATGCCCAAAAGAATTCTCGTCTCGTACGGTGTCGACGTTGATGCAGTAGCCGGCTGGCTCGGTTCATACGGCGGCCAGGATTCTCCTAGCGACATCTCACGAGGTCTCTTCGCCGGTACTCATGGCGTTCGTCGCATGCTCAAGCTCTTCAAGAAGTATGATATCAAGGCGACATGGTTTATACCCGGTCATAGTCTCGAGACATTCCCAGAAGAGTGCGCAATGGTTCGCGATGCCGGTCATGAGATCGGGCTTCACGGTCAGCTCCCAACTATTCCTATAGTACTTACAGAAATAGCTGACTGTTGTCATCAGGCTACTCTCACGAAAACCCATCAGACATGACCCTCGAGCAGCAGCGCGATGTTCTAGACAAGACTCATAAAATGCTAACCGAATTCTGCGGGAAACTGCCCCGAGGATCTGTTGCTCCTTGGTGGGAGACTAGTAAAGAGGGCGTTGATCTGATGCTTAGCTATGGCATTGAATACGACCACTCTATGTCCCATGATGATTGTCATATGTATTGGCTGCGAACGAATGACAGCTGGACTAAGATCGATTATACACAAAAGGCTGAGACGTGGATGAAGCCTTTAGTCAAGGGCCAGGAAACAGGTCTTGTCGAAATCCCGGCAAACTGGTATTTAGATGAGGTAAGTCACATCATTCAGTCATTGAGCTTTAGCTGACTCTGGACGCAGTATGTCGTCGATATCTTCTGCTGCTGTATGAAACACTGATAAAGTTATAGCCTTCCACCGATGATGTTCGTCAAGAAAAGCCCCAACAGCCACGGCTGGGTCAACCCACGAGACGTTGAAGAGCTATGGAGAGATCACTTTGATTACTTCTATCGAGAGTACGCAGACGACCCGGACGAGATCTGTGTCTTTCCCATAACGGTCCATCCCGATGTGTCTGGCCGACCACATGTGCTCCTAATGCATGAGAGGTACGTGGTGCTCTTTCTCAAAGGATGAACGGTTGCTGATGTGAAACAGACTTATTGAGTATATCAACAAGCACGAGGGCGTTGAATGGGTGACTATGGAACAGATGTGTGATGAGTTTAAGAAGAAGAACAAGCCACCTAAGGGCGCTGTGATGCCTAAGGCTCAGCAATAGGTAGATTAGCCAGTCTGCACTGTAATCTAGGAGATCAATCAGTCTTACCATTCGTGTGCCCAATGACACAGGACGTACTTAAACGAGCTCATCGTCGATTTAAATGAGCTTTCCAGATTACGATATAAGTTCGCTGTTAAACGACCTCAAGTAATGGCACGTTCCCTTCACAGTCAGTGGAAATCTCATGACGCCTGAGCAGATCTTGTTTCGCAAGCACTTGAAGGACGTCATCAATTTCTATAGGTGACTTGACACTTCACACGCCATGTTGTTAACTTGTCTGGCGGTTGCACTGCAGCATGGATCACGTTCGTACATGACGTTCCAGATGCCCGGCTCTTTTGCTCTAAGAATAGCAGCGACTGCATATGGGAAAACAATTACCGTATCGTCGTGATGCTGGGATCGATAAGATGCCAGAGTAAATGGGTTTCGTAGGTTTGTGATGTTGCCTGTTGTGGTACGATGACGCTGTGAATGAGCTCTACTCATGGCTAAAACACGAGAGCGATGGTCTCTACCAACAATCGTGACAAAACCTGTGACTGAGTTCTTTGAAACAATTGGATCAATTAAAACAAGGCGAATGTTTGCCTGATGCCTTTGCGATTGCGCTGGTGAATATTGCTAATTTATTGTTGAGGCATCAAGTTCTGGCGTAATAACGGGAGTGAGAATCAATGATAAGGAATGAGGCTTTGAGTAATTATTTCCTACAGAGGACTTAGTCTGTGTCGCACGAATTATAGGCGCTGGAAGAATCGGCATCGGCAGATGGGTTGGAACGTTGGTGCGGGGCTAACGTTGGAACGGATTGAAGCTATTCAGACTTTAGCTGCCGCAAAATCCCACGTGCTAAGATCATTCGCAAAAGGCGAGTCAGATACTTGCAAAAGTTCAGGTTGGAATAATTACCTGCTTTTAATTGCTGACGCACAAATACGTGATATCTCAACACCACAAGCAACGGCTGTGGCAATAAATGAACCATCTAGAATGCAAACAATGATGGCAGGCTTCAAACGTTTATGCAGTGTCACCCGAAAGCAGAAATGTCGTGATCTTATCTCGGGGCATACCTCCCGGGCGGCAAAGACTCAAGCCACCCTGAACCTTGATGCGGCCAGCCAATGTATGTCATACTTGCACAATTCTGGTGCGCGGGGTACGAGAGACGCCTGGAGAGGGTGTAGGACCGGCTCGTTGTGGCGCGACGTTGGTCCATTCACTGGTGAGCCTCTTATCAATTGACATCAGACCGACTTTATTAGCAGCATCTTCAAGAATGTCGTCTTCGGTAAGGAGGGAACGTCATTGTGCTCTTTCGTGATGATATACATATGCGCGTAGGCCAGAACGTTGTTGTTTCACCACTGCTCTGCATCGTTTTGTTCCAGAATTGCAGCCATGTCTCTCCCCACGACTTCACCATTCCTTCCTAACGGCGAGCAAAGAGGGAGGCGTCACTCTATCTTTGCAGATTTTATCCCAGAAAATTTAGACTTCCCACCGCCGTTTATTGACCCGACTCCAAATGTGGAGGAGATCCTGAATAGAGATATTGACGAGTGCTCTTCTGGTGATGAACACCGCGATGAAGAAGCAGTAGAGGACCCGCGCTACGTCAACGAGACTGACCTGCAGCTTGCATTCCATCCTAATGGGGTGGCATACGGTTCAGGCTTCTCGACTGTTCCGCCTACAGGTATCGACATTCCCGCGCCGAACCCACACGATTTCGAGACATCCTACCGCGCAGAGGTATCGCTACTACGCGATAATGACTTCATCCCACCGAAGCATCCGCCGACAGGATGGCGCGCGACGTTCTGGGGACGCCTGTACCGTCACCTCTTCAGTACACACGTGCACGATCACGATAAACCGCTATTCGGGGCCGAAGACTCGGGCGAGACAACGCCGCTTCTGCGGGAGCGGGTCGTTCGATTCGATGGTATACCGCCGACGCCTGGACCGGACGAGGTTCATAAGCGATGGGAGGAAGCGCTTGCTTCTCAGAAGCTCGAGACGACGTGGCAGCGCGAGACTAAGACGTTGATCCAATATGCTTTACCTTTGATCGTTACGTTCTTGCTGCATTACTCTGTCACTGTGGCGAGTGTCTTGACTGTCGGGCGATTGGGAATGGAGGAGCTAGCTGCCGTCAATCGTGAGTATCGCCTACAGTAATTAGATTGCAAGTACTAATGTTGTTTAGTGGCTACTATGACAGCGAGTATCACATACTACGTCCCCGTCCAAGGTCTAGCGACATGTCTCGACACCCTCTGCGCGCAAGCCTACGGTTCAGGCCACAAGCATCTCGTCGGCCTCCAAGCGCAGCGTATGACATGGCTCCTCTGGCTACTCATGCTCCCGATCGCCGTGCTGTGGTGGTTCTCAGAGCCCATCCTCGCAGCAGCTGTCGGACCAGGACGTACGACTGCATTAGCAGCCATGTACATGCGCATCCTGATCATTGGCATGCCTGGCGTCTCAGCCTTTGAGAGCGCAAAGCGTTTCGTTCAATCGCAGGGTCTATTCCATGCGACAACGTATACCCTACTCATCGGTGCACCTCTGAGCTTCCTTCAGAACTGGCTGTTCGTGTTCAAGCTCGGCTGGGGCTTCAATGGCGCCGCTATCGCTATGGCTGTTACGCATAACCTGCTGCCCCTTCTTCTTATTCTATACGTGCGTTTGTTTGAAGGATCGGAATGCTGGAAGGGCTTTTCTCGCAAGGCGTTTAGCAACTGGGGACCCATGATCAAATTGGCACTGCCTGGAATGATCATGATCGAAGCTCAATTCTCCGTCCTTGAGATACTCACCATCTGTGCAGGAAGATTCGGTACAGCGCAGCTTGCTGCTCAAGGCGTTCTCGTGACTTTGACATCGACGTCCTTCAACATTCCCTTCCCGTTGGCTATCGCGACATCGACTCGTGTCGCTAACCTCATCGGCGCAAACTTGAGTAAGGCTGCGCGCGTCACTGCGAAAGTGGTATGTATCCTCAGTCCGGTCAGTCACTATGTATATTGACTCTGTAGGCCATCTTCGCCGCGCTCTTTGTCGGTCTGTTCAACTTGACCATCTTTACCACTCTCCGGAGACAGCTACCAGAGGTCTTCACAGATGATGCTCAGGTCGTCGACATCGCATCGAACGTCATCCTCGTATGCGCCGTAATGCAAATCTTTGACGCGCTAGCGGCTGTGTCGCATGGTCTTCTCCGAGGTATCGGTCGCCAGGCAATTGGAGGTTATGCCAACCTGTTCTCGTACTACGTTGTCGCTCTACCAATTGCGCTCGGTACCAGTTTCGGTCTGGACTGGAAGTTGGCTGGTCTTTGGGTCGGATTGACAGCCGGTCTTGCTGTGTAAGTTCTGTCGGTCGCAAACGCGGTGTCGCCCGCTAATTAACTGCCATAGTGTGTCGGGCCTCGAGGCCATTTATTTGTACTTTACGGATTGGGAGGCTGCTGTCGCGCAAGCTGAAGCGAGAATGAGAACGGAGACTCATAGGAGACGCTCTTCACTTTCGGCGCGATCGCAATGAGCAGGCGGGAGTAGGTACGGATATGCTGATCGTGATGAAAAATGGTGTTTGATTGAGAACAGCGCTGGCGTTTGCAGGTTTGGAGGACCCTTGAAGCGAAAGGTGGGACATCAATTTGACACGATTCGGTAATAAACGAGATGATGGCCCGGAAATAAGGGATTTAATGGCGCATTATTAGTCAAGCAGTGGATTGTATTAATCAGCTTCAATTAAATATTGAAGATCCCAAGACTTGTCAACCTGTTTTGCTGTGATTGTCAAGAACATGTGTCTTGAACTGGACCCTTCACCCACTGGAGAAAACCCTGCCCAGACTGACAAGCGGGGCTCATGAAAGCTTGACCCTGATTTTTCCTCAATCAAGCTTGATTTTCTGGCCAAGCTCTCCCAAGCTTCAACCCTTAATGCATTAGACAGGTAGCTAAGAAATGGCCAAAGTGTCAGGTCCCCTCTCTTAATCTTGAAAATGCCCAAAACAAGCTTATTGTCTCCATTCCTTCGAGACAAAAACGCGTAAGTGATCCAGTTCTTATCTGCAAACATCCAATATTTCTCTCAATCAAGTCTAGCCAAAGCCACTTTCTTTCAATTCTTGGCCTGTTTTCGAGGGTTGCACAGGCTGCGGGGTTCATGATGTCAGATACCCGAGATGACGTCGTGTAGATCTTACGATGTTAAGGGTAGTACATACTCAGGGTCTTCAATAATGACGCTCTTATTTTAAAACAATTATGTTGTTACAACGTAACCCCTCCCGCATCTAAGGGTCCAAACCTTACAATTTTCTATTATTCCCGAAAGACTATGGCGACCACTACCGACGTGGTTCAGGATCCTCCTGCCCTTGATACTCCCGCTTACGACTCGGGCTACCAGGATCAGGACTCCGAGTTCAGCTCCGACGATGAACAAAGTTTCCACGTGGATGAGCGCAAGGGAAGATCATGGCCTAGCAAGCTGGTTCAAACTTTTATAAAGCCTGTTAAACCAAAGTTGGTCGAGGTTGGGCAGGTTTCTTCTGCTGATCCCACGAGATGCAAACCTTCGAGGGGAGCGCGTAAGAGATGCGACGTGGAGGAGAATCTTGTCGAGGGGGTTTGGACCTATGAGTTGAAGCCAAAGTCATCAGAGGATCGGCCAGCGAAGGGTTATGTGAGGAGGATATTATACTTTGCTGGTGGAGGGTGGCAGGCACCTCCTACAGGCCAGCATTGGACGTTTTGCGCTGAGATTGTTCATCAACTGCAGGATACCAGACTGACCATCGTCAGGTAGACTCACCGAATTCCTCTCATTGAAACATTACTGACCCCATACAGTTACCCCCTTGCACCGAAAGACCCAGTACAGGCCAGCTTCCCAGCAATTATCCACACATACAATGCTTTGATGCGGGAGTCAACAGAGCTCGGCGAACGAGTTATCGTTGCTGGAGACAGCTCTGGTGGCAACATCTCCCTCGCTCTCGTACTATGGACATTGAGAGACCAAGACGTACAAGCCATCAAGCCACCGGCCGCGATTTTGGCCATCACTCCCACAACAGATTTGAGTCACGATAACCCCGATATCGACCAAGTAGACGGAGTAGACCCCATCTTGACCAAATCCGCCATCAAGGATACAGCCAGCAAATGGGCCCCCGGTCCCTCCAGCGTCGCCCAGCAGGATACCACCGACAGTCCAAAGCCGATGAGTAACCCAGGAGAGCGTCTAGACTGGAGCGTCAAAGACCCGCGCGTGTCACCCATCCACGCCGATTTGACCCCGTGCATTAAGAACAACGTCAAGATTCATGGCATCACCGCGTCTCACGACGTTCTCGGTCCTGAGGCTGTCGAGTTTAGAGAGAAGTGCAGAAAGGAAGGTGTTGATGGCGAGTGGTTGTCTTGGAGTAACCAGATGCATTGTTTCCCCTTGGCGTACAAGTATGGATTGAAGGAGAGTAAGGAAGGACTGGAGTGGATTATTGAGGTGCTTAAAAAGTGTTGAGCGGAATATACCCTGTATGTACACGTTTTATCGAGGTATTCGTAATTGGACATTTAATTCTGCCTTTTGATCATGCTGAGTGATACATGAGCTGCTCTTGGTCTGTAAGTTCGTCGTGTCTTGAAGGTCTGGATGTTGAGCCAGAGAAATTAGTGGAGGAGACGCTGGAGGTTAGGCAATCGGAATAATTCAACAGTCAAAACACGACGCCAACATCGACAGACATTGGATTAAACTTCGAAAAGTACGAATCAACTTCTCAGCATTGTTAGTAAGAGAACAAAGCATCTATATGTGAATCACTGGCAGCAGCAGTTCTGCAGGAACAAAATCTTTGACTCGTGAGGATCGCCGTCTTGCATACCCTAAACACGGTGCAAAAAGTTTCGCGTCGGGGATCCGTCGCGCTCCCTGTTTCCTCCCTTGCCGTTCAATTACCGAAGCGCCAAACAACCACGCAGATCACTCTTGGAAGAAAAAATCTTGGCCGAGGGTATTGCATCTCGGCGAACTCGCACCGTTCAATGTACGCAGCAATGCATGTCGGCTTCGAACGCCGAGCCATCGGCGGCCAAGCCATTTATTCCCGAGTGCCGTAAATTAGTCAAGGTCAGCGGAATTGAGGCGTCGCGACATCGGCTCCGACTAGCCCAAGCTGACCACACTCGGCCGTTGACGGGAATGGCGTCGGGCAATTGAGCGCGATGATGACGATCGTTTGGTTGTTGAGTTTCCCACCTACCATCGCTTCACCTCGAATTACTTCTATAGAAACTGCCCCGACTCAATTGCTCTTGATCGCCCATGATAGATAATCCTTCAGCGACAATCTTAGCATTTGAGCTGAATTCTTGGAAAGTCTTGTCGCTTCAAGGTGGATTGTCATAGCGGCATCGCCCGGCAAAAAAAGTCGGGTTTCCACGAGACCCACAGGCAAGTGCCCATGGGGAACATTCTCCAGACGAAAAGAGCATTCTGCAGACACATGATCAGGCGATGGACCATTAAATGACTCGATTTCAACCCTAAAGTTGCAACCGCACGAGATCGGATCCGCTTCTCTTTAAACTGCTGCCTGGGAAGAGAAGCAGTCACTCAAATGCGACTCAATTCCCTGAAATCCTCCGCTTAGGCCCGCTGTAAATGAGAGAGACGAGAAGGTGATTGGTGCGCATAAGGGAGGGAGTCTAAGATGACCCACCAACCTCCAATTCTCCAACCTGGGGAAGACTTCGATTGACTTTGACCGCAGATCATCAGCTGGAGGTGAGATCTTGAGCACCAACTGATGAAGAACTGGTATACAGATGAAAGAAAGATATAGATAGATAATATATAAAACAGCAGAATTGCAGTTGATCTGCTTGCGCAGTACACAGGGAAAACAATCGTGATAACTTACTCAAGAAAGACACGAGAACCTCACCGGAAACAAACAGAAAGACGGCTTGTTTCCGCCATGGTAACGTAGTCGCGCTAAATAACAAGCTTGCTCTGTTAATGCTCACACACACATGTGGAGAGCCGTTGTCTGATCGTCACCCCAACTACCGTCTGCAGTCAAGTATAAATACAACTCCCACGCACCATCGTGAGCTTTTACTCAACCTAACAAGCCTAATCACTGCTTGCAATCATGGAGCGCCTTCCAGGTTTCAATGTGGCTAATCACTTTGAGAAGCGAAAGCTTCTCATTGCTATCAACTGCGTCGCTGCTCTGTCCATCTTCTTCTTTGGGTACGTCATCGAGTATTTCGTTAACGAGTCAAGTTAATAATGGTGTCTAGATATGATCAGGGTATGATGGGTGGAGTGAATAACTCAAAAGACTACATTGATTTGATGGGCTTTGGTTACGTCGACGAAGAAACTGGCGAGCCTGTGGTCACAGACAGTCTTCTCCAAGGCGGCATCGTCTCTGTCTACTATCTCGGCACTCTCTTTGGCTGCTTGTTTGGAGGATGGGTGGGAGACAAACTTGGACGAATAAAGACCATTGCTATTGGATCCGTCTGGGCTATCATTGGTGCTGCGTTGCAGTGCTCTGCTCAAAACCATGACTGGATGATCTGCTCCCGTGCAGTCAACGGTATTGGAACGGGTATTCTGAACGCCATCGTTCCTGTCTGGGCTACCGAGACGGCAGAGCATACTTCGCGTGGTCAATTCATTGCTATTGAGTTTACGCTCAACATTTTTGGTGTTGTCGTTGCGTACTGGCTCGAGTTTGGTTTGTCCTACATCGACAACAACGGTTCGCAGTTCGGATGGCGATTCCCCATTGCTTTCCAGATCATCCCCCTCCTTATTCTTCTGGGATGTGTTTGGTTCTTCCCTGAGTCACCTCGATGGCTTGTCAAGGTTGGACGAGACGATGAGGCGCAGTATATCCTTCGTCGCCTTCGTGGCTCGAGCGAATTCGATCGTGCTCGCGCCCATGCTGAGTACACCGATATCAAGAACATTGTTCAGCTCGAGAACAAGGAGTCTTCAAAGAACTCGTACCTTCACATGTTCTTTGGTATTGGATCAGGTGAACTCCACACTGGTCGACGCGTTCAGCTCGTCATCTGGGTAAGTCTTACTACCACGCAATATTTGTGACCAACACTAACAATGACAAGCTTCAAATCATGCAAGAATGGGTGGGAATCGCTGGAGTAACGGTCTACGCCCCAACAATCTTCCGCATCGCGGGTTTCGACACAAGAAAGAGTCAATGGATCTCTGGTCTCAACAACATCTTCTACATGTTCGCCACACTGATATGCGTCTTCACCCTCGACCGAATCGGCAGACGATGGACTTTGTACTGGGGCGCTGCAGGCCAGGGAATTGCCATGTTCCTCGCCGCCGGCTTTTCTAAGCTCGGCCAGGAAGCCAGAGACGCCGGAGATCTGGACAAGGCTAGCTCATACGGTGCCGCCGCTGCTTCCTTCGTTTTCATTTTCACCTCCGTCTTCGGCGCCACATGGCTTACCGTGCCCTGGCTTTATCCCGCTGAGATCTTCCCCCTTCAAGTTCGAGCCAAGGGTAATGCGTTTGGTGTTTTCGGATGGTCCATCGGTAACGGTTGGTTGACCCTTCTCTGCCCTGTGATGTTCTCCAAGATTGGCGAGAACACGCTTCACATCTTCGGAGCCGCGAATCTGATTGCTATCCCCATGGTCTGGGCCTTGTACCCAGAGAGTAATCAGCGTACACTGGAGGAGATGGATCTCCTATTTGCCGCAGATACACCTTGGGTTTGGGATGCTGAGAAGAAGTTCAAGGAGTTGAAGGAGAGTCAGCCCGAACTTGTTACTGCTGCAGCGCATAATCGGGATGTCATGGATGTTGAGACTGGTAAGAAGTCTGCATCTGGAGATGATGTTAACATGAGTGCATGAGACAATCAAGGTGAAGGAAGGGTTGAGGCGATTGAGGTGTGTCCGGTAGTTAGCAGCTATACCCGCTTAGGCTGACTTGAGTACGGTCCAAGTATATAGAAGATGTAGACCATCTTCCAAAACTAAGCACAAGTTACTACAAATTATGAAATAATCCATCACAAGTCTGAGACTTGGGTCAATAAGAAAAAGGTTCTCTATCCAATCTATCGTAGCAAATTGCTTGTCAATGCTAGTTACATCAGCGATCACTGATATCAAGCGCTTTCCAGTCTCTAACCAACATTTTGTACGCCAGCCCATGCAATTTATATCAAATATGCAATGCCATCAGTCTCTATCATTAAGCAACGGCTCGTCCTCCGGAGCGTCAGCCTGTTCTTCCCCCTCTTCGTCATCCTTCTCAATCAATGTGCTCCCAAGAGGTGGGAAGTTAGAAAACAGCAGAACTGCCATACCGATCATTGCAATAGCCTGCTTATGAGTTAGCAGCCAAAGACCAGCGCAAGATCAGAGTGTACTTACCGCATTGCAGAAAAAGGTAGCATAGGCTTTGCCAACCTGTGCCAGGCTCGCGAAGATGAAGCCAAACAAACCCTGTGTAGCAAGCCGTGCTATGTTCTCTACTAGAGTGACAGCATTGAGAGCATCGGCACGTTGCGAATCCGGACACATTTGTGTGACGACTCCCTTGGCAGCAGGGGCGGTTCCTGAGCCGAATGGAAGAAGGAAGGCGGCTGCTTAATTAGTAGGAGCTCTGGTTTCATGATGAGACTGCTACTTACCAAGATAAATGTGCCATCGTTGCGTTGCAAACGCCGAGACTGTAGTGAGAATGCCATCCACCACTAAGCTATATCGCAGGAAGACAAGGTCGAACCGAGTTCCTTCATCTTCCTTGTTCGAGCTCACAGCACGGTAAGGCTCATGATCCGCTTGTTCACCGACAGTCGCATCAAACTCTCCCGCTGTTGTCGGAATATGCTGTGTGGCCGTCTCATCGACTTCTTCCTCTGTGCTCCTATCGGATTTGACATACCAGCCACGTCCCCATGCAATGATACGAGGGAACAGGAAGATCAAGAAGAAACTTCTCATGATAGCAAACTCGGACATGAGCCAGCCGTTGTCTCCCTGAGTAAAGCTGAAGGCAGCGGTCGCGTACATCTGGATAAGAAGAGGAGCATAGTCTGTTGCTAGGACACCGAGAAAGATACCAGCGCAGAGAAAGACCACACCGAGGTGCTTCTTCGTTCTCCCATCCGTGAGGCGAAGTTTCTGAGGTGTTAGAATCTTTAGAGGAGTGAGGAAGCCTGTCGGGCCCTTTGTACCATCGGCCATGGACTCTGGTGAAATGTAGGGCAGTGCGCTCCATGCGTAGATACCTGAGAGGATGAAGCAACAGAAGGATGTCTCGAAGGGTGCTTTTATGTCAATATCACCGAGCATACCACCAGCTGATACAATTAGTTCACTCTTCAAGCCTGATGAGGAGCGGTTGACGTACTGAGATATCCAATGCCTTGTCCCAGCATAATAGCGCCTTGAAGCCTTCCAAAAACAGCTGTTCGTCTTATCGGCTCGACGACTTCGCCTGCGATAATATTGATCACGAGACTAGCAACTGATAAGTGATTGAACAACTATAGGTCAATTAGGTGCCTCACATGTAACCAGCTGGGCCCCCGAGAATGGTGATCAATTGAGTGGCTTGTATGATCAACATTCCCTCTCGTTTGCCTGCCAGAACACCAAGAATTTGTGTCACCACTCGGATGGCCGGGATAAAGATCTGCACCAGCAGAGCAGCACGGGGACCGAACTTTTTAGCCGTCCATCCTGCAAGGAAGAGATTCATGGTTCCTGATAAATTCATCAGTATTGAGCTTGCGACAAGAATTAACCGGTATATAGGTTGACCCAAATGGTTGACTCACCGCAAAACGTTGTACTCATTCCCAGTATACTGAATTGAGTAGCGGTCCCAGCCGCTATCTCATCCCGACTACACCGGTCGCCCGGACCATCATACGGCGGATGCGAATCATAGAAGGTATCACATGTCATCAAATGGAAAACATAGAATAATCTTCAAAGAGTCAGTCCAACACTTCACTTTATTAGCTTATCTCGGGAATACTCACGGAACTTGTGTAAAACTGAAAGCCAACGTGATAAGAAATCCCGCAAGTAAAATTCGATGTTCAACATGGAAAGCTTTTCGGAGCCAGCTATTCTTCTTCCCTTCACCCTTATTGGGAAGAAGGGGCGTTGTTTCGTTGCCTGCCATGGTGGGAGAAAAATGCAGTACTAAGTTAACGGCACAGCGAATGAGGCGAGGAAAAAAAGTCTTGGATGATAAATACGACTGCGAAGTCGCTTCAATCAATCGGTGAGAGGGGCAATCGAGTTGCCTTATCTAGTATAGCTTGTCGGTATTGGACGGATATAGCATGGGTTTACTGCGACATAAAGACACAAACCCCGACTGTTATCAGCAGTTTTGAATGAGAAGCGCCATATTTAATTGGCCTTCTCTGCTGATTCAAGCCAATGGGTAATGTCAAGATCAGCACAAAAGTCTCATCTAAAATTATTGTGAGGAGTCACCATCGGGTCCCAAGCAGACTGGAAGTGAGGGGGGGATATTGTGCTTGTTGCTACTCGGGGTTTGCTTATGACACATCTGGTGATAAAGATGCCCGCAATGCGTACTTAATAAAACATTGTGCTTGTTGAGAACTTCGAATCAGGGTACTACCCCAAAAGGCAGTTTCATACGGGTATCCTGGGGTTACAAGGTGTAGTTCCATCAATGGAAACCAAGGTTCAGGCGTAGAGGTACGATGCGGTCTAATTGCCATGGACTTGATACAAGAGGAAGAGACTCACCGGAAGGCAACACACAAAACATGAATATCTTCTACAAAGTTTTTGTCAGGAGTCAGATAGAAGTCAAAATGAGGCCTTTTCTACGCATCAGAGTAATGTCGCTCGGATGGTGTAACTCAGTTAGCGAAAACCTATACAGAAGATAGAAAGACTTATAATGGGGCAATGTACGTACCTTACCTTTAGTTAGGCTTTCGTGAGTTTGTATTGGCAACTCACGACTGCGAAAATGAATATCAATACCGGTGTCGTTGAGAAGCGGAGTTCTCTGTTTTTATTCTTTTTTTTCTTTAAACTATGGACGTGGCTGGTCGGGGGGGAGCTAAGAAGTATATGCGTAGAAAGGTGCAAAATGTCCCCTCCTCCACTGACCAAACCACCAAGAACATTCATGTCATCTTAGAATACTCCGACGGTAGGGCAGGGTCTAGTCTATGAAACCCTTAGAGCGAGAAAGTTGGTTGGTTCCCGTTTGAGGCAACTCGGCAGCGTCCTGCGGGCGCCATCGGGGGAGTAGTCTCCAGGGTCCAACAGTGAAGATTGAAGAATGAAAGGGGATCATCGACTCTCAGTAGAGGGTTGCAGGAACAAAAGATCGAGCAGAAGAAAGAGAAGGAAAATATATCCCTTTCAGCCTGGGACACTCTCTTGAAACCAGTTGCAGATGCCTGTCCTTGGGACGGCCCTCGATCTCCACGTAGAAGTGGTGCAACCTTTTGGCCTTTACAAGGTGCTTGATAAACTTTGCTTTCACCGGGCGATCGTATTCCAGATGCAGGGACACCAGGGTTGGGTGTACAGCGTCAATCAGGTTCGCAAGATCATCGTCTATGCGCGGCAGGGTTGGTGGGCGCATCGGGTCAGTCTGGCTCGTCAGGGAAATGTTCTGAAGATGCAGTGGAGTTGAGCGAGCGTAGTGTACGATAGCCTGAATATCCGACTGCGTGATTCGATGCAGTGTGCGTACAGAAAGCTCTTCTAGACGGGGAAGCAAAGGCAGGATTTGACTGATGGGGTTGGGGATGGGGTCATTGATGTGCACTCTAAGAGAACGAAGGGTCGGCCCCCACACTTCGCAGGCCTTCAGTAGGGAGGGCAAGTTCAGCAGCCTGATACCCCAATCCAACGTTCGTAGAGCAGGGCACGTCTTGCTAGCCTCGGGGAGAAGCTTGCCGTTTATCAAACGATACAGCTGTCGATCAAGAGGTGGTTCCCAGCGGAAGTACTTCAAATCGGGGAGACGGTGATTTAAAAGGGTGGCCATCAGGTCGCTGACTGGTGCAGCTGCCATGAAGCTAGTCAACCGTTCGTAAAACTCCGAACAGCCACCGCTGACCTCGTTTACCTGACCCGGCCTCTCATCATCGTATTTGACGAAAGTGAAATGATGCACCTTCTTTGAGCATGAGTTGAGTAACCGCGCTACACCTCTTGCCTGTTCATCCAGACTTGTGGGAAGCGTACGGGGCGCCCATTCAAGTGTCAAGTGGCTGAGATTCGGACATACTTGGACTGTGTCGATCAATTGTTCTATATTAGAACAGGTTGCAAAATACGCGAGTTCCAGGTTGCGGACTGAGACGCGGCGAGAAGGCCTGGCCCAGAGTGCGAAAAGGAACCTATTAACGACGTGATCCAGGTTGTTACCGAACATAGTTGGATTCCATTGGCGGAAACTGGGATGTCTGTAGATGTGGTCCTCAGCAATACCCTGCAACAATCGAGAAGTGCAGGCCAGGGACATTAATGTCTCCTTCCATTCAGACTGCGATCCATCGCGCTGCTTTCCAGACTCAATGACTTGGTCGACGATCATGAGGTATATATCGGTATGGAACTTGCCTTGTTTCGTAGGCTGGCGCGCTGGGTCGGGTGGAACAGGGCCACCCTGGGACGACATACTCTGCTCTCCTTGTATACTGTCGGTCGGCGATTCTGGAGTGTAGGTCGTGGTCCGTGGACGTTTGGGGGACATCGGCGGTGAAGGACCAGGATCCCATGGCGGAGAGGCCGTTTGGGAGAATCGACGTTTGGGACAATGCGGGACACTCTCCTGTCTCTGCCTGCCGGGCACTACTTCCGGCTTTGGCATTATGAAGTCTTTGTTCTTGTCAATGGCTACTGCCCATATAGAGAGGTATTGGAGTAGACTTAGAAAGGGGAAAGCCTTCCTTCGTGAGGTAGTACCAAATGCAAAAAAAGAAGAACATGGTGAAGAGGGGGAAACGGAGGAGGGGAGTAACTCATTTTGTACTTGGATATAAATCTTTTTTTTTTAACCAGAGGATAAAGGAAAACCTAGCAGGGGACTTTTAGCATCTCAGTTGATCGTAAGAAAATTACTATCAGTATGCGTAGTCACGAAAGTTTGCTCATGTAGGTAGCAATGTCCCTTGAACTTGATGGGCAGGTCCGTACGTACTCGGAAAAGGTGGATCCTCGGGGCCGACAACCCGTTGACTTTGGTAGGTGGAATAGGTTCGGCAGTCTTGAATACACGATGTCACCGCGCTCCGAGAAGAGGCGGTATTGAAACGCTTCAGGTTCGATCGAGCCAGCATCATTGGCTAACCTGGGTGCGTCAGCCGCTACCGTTCTATTTTCCATTCCTTCGTTTGTTTCGGACACGGACACGGCCACTGTCGTAATTGTGAACTAGCTGCCTAGTGAGTGTTGAAAGGCCATTTTGGAAGGAATAGAATAACAAAAATAACGAGCATGAATAATGTTTTGGGGCTTGGGCAAGATCAGTGTTAAAGTTTCGATAGGCCGGTGATGAAAAACTGGATAATATAGCGAGACAAGAGCGGACGAGAAATTATTAGTCACAGAAAGGCGAGGTCGGGGAAGGTAAGTTGGAATGGAATTCTCTTTCTATGCACTTTACGGGGTCTGTGGCCCTTAGATCCTCTTAAATATAGAAGATTGGTCAATCAGAATTCGACTTCCTGTCTGATGGCCAGTTCAAAAACTCACATGACCAAACCTTTCCTGCCAACTGAGCTTTTTTCCTCTGGCCAAGTGTCGCCCATGCCCGTCCCTACCATCTCCTCGAAGACGGACTGCATACTCACTGCAAGACCTCGAAATGCTGGCATCGTCGTATCTCTCGGCCCTTCTGGGCCTCGCGTGTCCAGCATTGGTCGGCGCTCAGGTGCTTCCAAATCACCAAGAAGTTGTGAACACCACTCTCGCCGCCCTTGGAGGGGTTGGCCCTCTCAGCCAGCTCAAAGGAGTCACTTTCCAGGCGAAAAGGTTGGACCCAGCATAGAGTCAAACTTAAGCCCATACTGAATGTTCCAGAATCTATCGATCACGTTCACTCATGCAAAGCTACCAGCCCATGAGGGCTGATACCCCAGTCATGTCCTCTGGATCACAGAATGTTTCGTACAAGCTCGACGGGGATCATTTGCAACAGAGGATTGATCGCCACGCTACTCCTTCTAGTAGGTTCATGCATCAGCTCGAAGGTGATGGAGACTGACCTTTGGATCAGGCAACTGGCAATGGGGCTCATCTCAGCTCAAGCCGCTCGACTTTTCGTTGGTCGTTCGTGATGGCGACGATGGCTTCGCTTGTTACGTCAAGGGAAACAACCTGATTCACCTTGCCAACAATGTCACCTCTGGCTACACCGACTGTACGCTCTCCCTTCCCGACTCGCCGACGATCCGATAAGTACTGATATACGCAGCTGCGCTGGCACATAATCTGGTGACCGAAGCCAAGATGCTGTCTCCGCACCTTTTGTATCGGGTGAGTCGTAAGACAGCAATTCTGCAGTGCTGGTAATGATGTTGCGTCCAATTGGAGCTAACAGCTGGCTAGATGAGGACCGCGACCGTTTCCCTAACCGACGTCGAGATCAATGGTGTTGTTTTCCAAGGCAGTAGGTGTTCCTCGATGCTACCCCAGGACGCCGCTTACAATTCGAAGTCCACGACGTTCAACAGGGTATCACGGTAATCCTCGACCGGCAGACGAAACTGCCATACATCATTCGCCGAATCGAAAGCCATCCCATCTATGGGATCGCGTACAAGGACCTATATCTTTCGTTCTATAAGGAGGTTCATGGGATCAAATTTCCCCACGCCATTCAGACCGTCTACAGTGCCCAGAACCAGCCTATCAGCGCAGTCCTGGAAGACTTTGTGATTGATCAAGTCAACATCGACCCAGACTTCCCCACCGACTTCTTCGATGGAATACCTGAGAATGAGAGCTTGGGTCTCAAGAGTGCGCCGGCTGCATCTTCTGTCGTCCCCAATGGTCTCGTTACGGATTACAGCTCCAGCATGCTGGGATCAGGCGTTCCCGCAGGAGCTCGGGAGATCAAGGAAGCCCATAACCCAACTCAGGGTCTTTCTCAAGTTCATTGGCTGGTCCTGAACAATAATGACGCACTTGGTTTCAAAATGGTTGTGATTGAGTTCGAGATCGAAGTTATACTTTGTGATGCGCCTCCTGGGTGGAGCGAAACAATTATTAAGTGGGTGGCAGACAACCTGAAAAAGCCTATCAAATTCGTCGCGGTGCGTCAAACATATCAACTGCGTCACGATAAAAGCTAACTTAGGTAGCCATCGCATCATCATCGTGACCACTCTGGTGGTGTGCCTGATTTCGTCAAAGCGGGCGCAACATCAATTATTCCAGAAGTTGCAGTTGACTACTGGTCAAACATTCCCAATGCCAGGTTTATTACCTTCAAGTGAGTCACGTCGACGCTGCCTAAAGGTATAATCTAACAGTCACGAAGTCAAACACATCCTTATGTCCACCGTAACGGCAACATCTCGGCCTGGTTCAACTGGGAAAACCAGGCAGCACATGCAGCTGACTGGACCTACGTCGTTATCACCCAGCGATGTGCTGCCCCTGGCTCACCAGTGGTAGCCTTTGAAGCTGATGCCTGGGAGGCCGGTATTAACATTGAGCGTTCAAGCATGGGACAAATGAGACAGTGGCTGGATCAGATCGTCGTGGATGGTCTACCCAAACACACAGTGTACGTGACATTACTTTCCCTGTTCCAGGACTATGCTAATGATGTTACAGTGTGTTTCCTTCGCATGGCAATATCGCTACATTAAGGCAACTCCTTGAGGACACCGGCTATCCATACCCTGAGTATGATGTTACGCATTGGATGAAGGGGGCAGCTATCTGCAAGTAGACCTCTTGGCATCCGACATCGGTCGATACGCAATTTCATTGACGAAGATTGGACAATTCCTTCCCAAGATTTGATGTTAAATTTAAGGGTCCAGGCTGCAAAACTTTGACTCATCAACGTTCTGTACCGCGACTAATCTATATGAATGAATAAAGATAGAGTTCAAATAAGACCCAATACATGTTTAAACGTTAGGCAGAGCGGGCGCTAGTGGCAGTTAAAGCTTTCAACGTTGTTTATGTTTGAGCTATCATGACTACGATATTGACATCGCGGCATACCAGGATGTCTATCACCGTCCTTATGCGAGTCATACCGTGAAGGTTGCCGAGGTTTACGTGAAAATTGAGTTTACTGAGGCCATGAAAATGGAAGAAAAAGAATATTTCCCTATTAGCTTTACGCAATACTTTATTTTCCAGTAGCTTTCCTTATGAGGTGGGTCATATTGGTGTGTCTTGTGTTGTAAAGTACAGGGTTTGGCTTCAGTTTGACCAAGGTCAGTAACTACGACTTCAATGCTTAAAGGACATACGATTTTGGTGTAACATTTGCCTGATCGAAGGTTGTAAGTCACTATATTTAACCAGCAAGGGCAGAGTAAATACTACGATGAGGCATTGTGTAGGTTCCAGATTCATTTTGCATTGATTTGTGATTTTTCTTAATGAAGGTTTACACAAAAGCATTCCCTCTCACTAGCATATTCCTTCTGCTAACGCCAGTACCACAAAGGTGTCGTCTCTTTTAAGTACGTCATACGAGCATCCTATCTCAAGATGTGTCTGCCAAATCTTAAATAATGCCAGTACCACATCAGACACGCCGCAAGATGATACTGGCTCCTTACAGTCGATGCAAAGTGTCTGAGTCGCGTTAAAATAGGAATATGAAGAGAGGAACCCGATAGCTGTAGTTGTCCGGTGGAGTGATCCTTGTTAGGATTTTGGCAGTTATATCATGAACCCTCGGCTGCTAAAGGCGTCAACCATTATGCTTGCTTCTGTCCATCCCGAGCTCTGGGTGTGAACACCATGTTCAGGTCTGGCAGTTCCAGGGTGAAGCAATCACGTAAGCCATCAACGAATGTATCTGGCTTGGTACCGGGTGCCAGCGAAATATCATAGTTAGAAAGAATCTCAGTGAGCACATAACGCATCTCCATGAGGCCCAGTTGCTTTCCAGCACATGCGCCACGGCCTGTTCTAGTTAGATGACACTTTTGCCGGGCATGTGTATGCTGCTTACCAGTGGAGAAAGGGGCGTAGACTGACGAATCGATGGTCAACTCGGGCTTTGTGGTCCATCTTTCTGGAATGAACTCATTGGGGCGCGCGAAGCATCGCTCATCTGCGGCAGTTAGTAGTCGGCTACATACGGGCTGGAATATTCTTACCCCGATACATGGTGTAAGAAGGAGCACGGAAGATGGTATCTCCGGGGATGAACACATCACCCAGTTGCATCCCTTCAGGCGGCGTCATTCGCTGAAGTCCAGACATGACAACAGGAGTAAGTCGAAGTGATTCATCGATGCAAGCTTGCAGATACTTAAGTTTACTCATGGAGAAATGATCCGACTCCTCATGGTTAGTCTTGTAGTCGTCGATCTCATCTTGGAGCTTCTTGCAGGTCTCAGGGTTGAGAGCGAGTCGGTGGAGCAGACAGGTTGTTGCTGCAGACGTCGTGTCACTGTCGACAATTAGCATTGCGCCAAGTCGAAGGTTACAGAGATTAGATTCACCTTCCGGCAACAGCGATGAGATGAGCGTCACCACAAAGCCTCATGTAATCATCCTTCGTAGGATTCTCAATAGCATCATAATCCTCCAGAATGAAGGAAAATACATCCGGTTGCGATGGCTTGTTCTGTAAGCTGTTAGACTAATCCCTCTTCTCATAGTATACTTACATTTCGTCTGATCTCAACCTTCTCCTTCAACCAAGATTGAAAAGACAACCATGAATTGTTGAGAAAGGGAGTTTCTTTGAAAACAGCAAAGAGCCAAGTGACTTGTCGGAAGGCTCCCGTGAGAGCTTGGCTTCCATGTGAATCTTCCAGGAACTTGTCTCTTTTCCCTTTGACAAGATAGTCGAAGCTGGTGCCGAAGGCGAGGTCACCAACTATGTCGAAGGTATAGAAGTTGATCCAGGCTGAGACGTTCATGGGTTCACCCTCGGTCTTTGCGATTTGCTGGGTTAGTTGCTTTGTATATTTGACAACTCGCGGCTCGTAATCGCGCAGTGCTATAGCGAGTTAGAATTAGGATGTTGGTTATATGATTGGCGACATTGATACCTTTAGCAGTGAAGGCCTTATCCCACGTCTTGCGTCGAATAGCATGACGCTTTCTGTTTCTATCTGCAAGCAGATTCACCCATGGGTTTGCGACACTATAAAACGGGCCCTTGACAATCGGTGAGTTGTTTGCATGCAGGATGCGAAAAGCGCTTGGTGTCGCGATTGAAAGTTCCATGGGTCCTTCACATCGTGTCAGGTATGCACTAGAACATGACGATACAATCAACCTACCAATCCTGACTATATCTCCATATTTTTTATGTAACTCCTGGACTTCCAAATACATGTGCTCTTCCTTGACAGCTAACCATGTACCGTATACGTTTGTGAGTCGAGCGATAAAAGGACCAGGAAATCTGTTGAGACGGTGGAAAAAAGCTCGATAGGTCAAGATGCTGATTGTCATGCCGAACATGAACGAGGAAAGCAGTGTATTGGCGACAAATATGGCATCTAGGTAGGCCATAGACCGAAACTGGATAAGAGTGGATGGCACAACGGCTTCGTAAGTGATCCACGCATAGATGAAAGTCATCGTCCAAAGGTCCCATTCGCCTTTTCGTAGAGCAAATACATGACTGAGAACGCCGAGACCAAAGAGACCCGCGAAGGTCTCCCAAGAGTCAAGAGAAAGCCCCAGAGAATTCATAGTGGGTGACAAGAGGTTTCACATGTTTTAAAGAGATGCTGCATTTTGGGGGCCATGGCTGGCTTCTTATACGTAAATTCCCCTCAAACGCCACAAATACGAGTAAAATGCAGTGAGCACCCTTTGTAGAAATCGTCGTCATACAGCATGAATAATATTCCTGTATGCGTGCCCGAAGCGGGTTGAGGTCCGCTCATGCAGGACATGTTCTCAGCGATTGGTTGGTGTTGACGTTTTCATGCGGCTCTACAACCCTTCGTCCTTCAGCAAGGTGACTAATTACATCTGTAAGCATGTGATTTGTGCCGCTGTCGCAGCGTATAGCCACCATCAGACCATTTTGCCGATGCATGCAAGCGGCAAGGGAGCGCAGATCCAGGACAGAAAGAGACACCATGCGCAACAGGAGAGATGGCATAATGCACTTATATGTACTTTTGTCACGGTTACGGTAGCCGTTTGCATTATTATTCGGGCTTGGTAATGCAGTCGGTGGACTTATCGTTCATCGGGTCTCAGTTATAGATGGGCCTATGCGTGACCCTGGTCGCTGAATAGAGAGTGGATCGCCAAATATCAACACCAAGAAAGGGTCACGGAATCTTCCCATTTTATTGGCCAACATGGAGTGGATACTTTCCTTGTGTCGCGAAAACGCTTTGTCATCATTATTTCACGGCCTATCATTGTTTAGAAAGCCAAGAGATGAACCGACAATTGGTCGAATGTGTTAAACAAACTCGATATCAACTATTGTTACTTGTATATATCGTCCAATAACATCTCTTGAGAGTTGGGATATTACCTATACAACTTTTGCATAGGATATCGCTACTGTCTCATGCGAAATACTGTCTCGTTTTCCATCGTCGGGTTTTTGTCAAGGAGTCACGTGGCAGGGGACGCAAGAACCAATCAATGAACTCGCAACCCTTCCCAAGACTGGTCTTGACAGCACCTCGCTCAAGCTTGACATGTTATCACCCATTTTGGATATATCACAGCTATGGAGAGCAGTTGTATGCTCAGGGGCAAGATCTAATCAAGATCACTTATCTTACCCGCTTACTTGTTTGATATTGTACCCACAAGCAAGGATAAAAGGCCCGGAAAGAAGAAGATTCGAGATATCAACCTGACATCCCCACGTTCCAGCACCGGCATCGTCTCCCACATGGGCGGTACACGATTAGACTTAACCCAGCTTGAGTTACCAGATATTAAATGAGCTATCAGTCAGGTAAATATGGCCGTATCATCGTTGGAAGCATCCAGATATCTTGAATCAAAAGAGCCCGCCCCGCAAGAAAGGACTCCAGGGTATGTCACGACTTGGCATGCTCGCTCACCACCGAATCAAAGCGTCTGTATTTCCCCGCAGATTCTGATAATGCATTCCAGTCCGACGCGGCACAAAAACATCGGCCAAGTTCGTTTACCAGCGGATCGAGTTGCAGCTGTTGATCGAGACGCGACCTATCAAGTTCTTGCTGACGACATCTGTACTCAGATTAATGAGAACAAGGTTCCCGCACAGACTGATCGAGTGCCACAACGGGAGATCCGGTAATTAGCAACGGCTATCAACCCAAGCACTCGGTGTTGTGCAGTTTGCAAAATTAGCAAGTCTTGTCCTCGATGGGAATGGTTTATCAATTGAGTTTGAAGTTTATCAAGCGGGCAACACTCTTAGCCTCTGCACTAGACAAGGGTTGAAAAATCACGAGACCCACGGCGAAGATAGCGATTTATGAGGAGGCCGGACCATCACGGCTCGGTCTCCGATGTTACTGAGAGGGGTCTCTTATCTACGGTAACCTTGGCACCCAATTGAAGAGACAGGCAGCAAGCCACAATGCAATGGACAAAAGCCGCAGACATCTTGTCATCGTGAGTTTGTTATTTATATAGCTTCGAACCATCTAGACCTCTCTAATTATTAACGAATTCGTGTTGATGCAAAATGTCATCGGTCTCACACCCGATTTGAGCTAAACCTCGTTCAATGTCAACCCCGTCTTCCATCCATTTTAGGCCCTAAACCCCGGATTTTCGCTCCACGACGGATACCACGTTAGACTGAATTCTTGGTTGTAGGGTCGGGCCTTGGCTTTCGACTTGAGTAAAAAACTGCGCAGGAGCCATTTTCATTAATGCTGACCATTCCCCTCCCTTCATTTTTTGTTTCTGCCTTTGCCCCCGCCCTTGCCTTGCCTCTGCGGGACTTCAACAGAACCGAGGCATCTCCTCTTTTATCCTGCCCTCACTTTGCCAGATCAATTGAAGGATTGAATTGGAACAGGCTGTCGATACAGCCTCTGTTTCTCATCAAAATGCTCGTTGCGGACTCTCGTGCAACTTTATAGCCGCGAACCTCAACGTCATGGCCGGGCTTCAGCCCGATATCTACGCAGCGATCAGCATCACTTGGATCGCGGCGTTTGTGGCGCTGATTCTGCGACTCAAAGCCCGGGGGATGATGAAGACAAAGTTATGGTATGATGATTATTTCGCCATTGTCGCATTGGTATGTTCCCTGCGTGATCAATTGCGCACGTGCTCACCGTTTGACTGTAGTTCTTCATCACGAGTTATTGTTCCGTCACCATTTACTGTATGCACGACATTACCGAGATTACCCACCTTTTACCTCAATCGCTTACGTTTCTTAGGGACCCATAGCTTCAAGCTCGGACAGTCAATCAGTACCGTAACAGACCCAACCGAAGTCGACTTCATCCAAAGCCGATCGCGATTATTACTCTGGATCTGCGAACTCCTCTACGCTTCGTCGATAGCCTTTTGCAAACTCGCCATTCTATTCTTTTACTGGCGCGTCTTCCAGTATACCTCGATTCGATATGCCATTGTCGGGCTGCTCGTCGCCGTGAGCATATGGATCACCATCCGGACGTTCATGGTGATCTTCCAATGCGTGCCGGTTCAGGCATATTGGGATAAGAGCATAACGAATCCACGATGCCCATTCAACGAAGCCAATTTCTTTTTCGCCACGATTCTCGTACACACAACTATGGACTGCATCATCTTGATCTTGCCGGTTATTGAAGTCATGAAGATGACGTTGCCTTTATCGCAAAAGCTTGCTGTGGTGGGACTCTTCACCTCTGGAACTGTGTTAGTCTGCTCTCCCGATACGATGGAATTTTGGCTAATGGTTGCGAAGTGTCTGCGTTGCGTCGGTGTTTGTGCTGGTACATTCGAAACACTATAACCCTCGAACCGATGACATCCCCAGAGATATGGCTCAGAATATGATGTGGGCTGCCGTTGAGATAAACATGGCAGTCTTCTCAGGTATGCACAATGCTATGTTGGATGTTGACAATGCTAACCCACTGATAGCCTGTCTCCCTATGCTTCGTCCCATATTTCGCCACTTTCTCCCCGGCCTTTCAACAACAGAAGAGTCAGCTCAGGCACCTATAAGCCTAAGTAATGTCCATTCACACCCTATGAGTCCTATGTACCTGCACCGGACCAGTACACAGTTGAAAAAGCAGGAGCATCGAAGATCTGGTCGATCCAATCTACATGACCCAGAGCTAGGTGTCTTTCACGGGTTCTCGGATATATCAAGTATTAGAAGCGTGGGTTCTAGATCTGAGAGCAACACCACATAGACTTTTGAGTAATATTTAATGAACGAATTTAACGAAGATCGATGTATTTTATGGTTTCGATGACATGTGATGACCTTCATTCTGGGTACAGTGTTGTACCAGCCTCAGCCTGGGATAAATTGTTTGTTCAACATTTCTTGATTATGGACATTACTATTGCAACCTAATGGTAAACCTCTCTCGCTCTTATGTTCGGGACACCCAGTAGGGTATCCATCGCATTCCGCGACCAGTCACAGAACAGGAAGCCGACGCATGTATCGTCGGCTATCAGCGTCCGGAGGCTTTGGACTGAAGTTCAAAGGAAAAGGGAAATCCTTCCACGCTAGAGAATGGAAAGTCGTCAGGTGTATGATGCACCGAACCCGGCCGTCCTGGGGCCACTTGAGGATGAAGAATATTCCACTACATCCTTCCTAGGGGCGTAAGTGATGGTTGACTAATGCCGAATGCAGAAGATCGAACGCGTCGTGCTAAGATGCTGAGAATTGTGTATAAATGCACCTGGGCTTGCTTTTGCTCAGCATCTGTCTCTTCTCGGCAGGCAGAATCTTCATAGGTTGTCATGTTCTGCTTGCAGGAAGAGAGTATAAATTCATGAATGTCGTAACGGCAGTCGATGGGGATAGAAGCACCGATCGATATCGGATGAGACGTCGAATGTCGTTGGAAAAGGTTCCAGACGGCAATAAAGATCATGAAAATCTGGTCGTAGTATCATCCGCACCAGTTGCTGGTAGCGCGGCCCATCTCATAGGCAGCGAGACATCCACAGGCATGAATGAAAGCAGCTCGAGATAGCCACCTCTGCTATTATTTCGCATGCGTCTCGATTGCTTTCTCTGCCCCGTCCCTCATTGCCAAAAAGCTTGCTTGGAGTATCTGGAAAGTCGACTGTAGTCCAGTTCGACTCTGGTATCATGGATTACTGTGTAAGAACCAGACTCGATGATTGATAAGACGGTAGGAAGAAGAGAGCGTAAAGGTGTACCGAGATGCCGAGGAGAACAAGAAGGCACATGACGACCATGATGCTCTTGCGCGAGCCGAGTCGATCAAAGGATTGAGCCTCGATCTTGTCCATCTTGAAGTCCATTTTGAAGTGAAGTAAGAGGCGATGTTGCAATGGTGATCGAGTTGAGTATAGTGTCGAACAAAATTTCCGGCCGGACAGGAAAGTTTGAAGAGAAGGATCGGCCGAGTCGAGCTGTCAGACGAAACAAGCGGCTATAGCTCCCTTTTCTATTACCCTTCGAGGCCGGAAATTACACTAAGTCAGATGGAGTCTTTTATCACAGAGGCACAGGCGCGTGGACACACAAAAGGAATCTCGAACGGACTATTTGGACTAGTTGGACCTGTTGGTTGAACATGGTGGGTTCTGAGTGGAGGCTCATTGGTTTCTTCGTATTACCGGGGTCTATGCAGGGCTGAGAGGTGGTCAGATCGCGACAACATCAACCCGACGGTCCTTTGTTATTGCTCTTATACCGGCGGTATAAGATACGAACTCGCTTCCTGATGATGAAAATGTCCCTGGTCAAATCGTTGTCGATCCAAATTGTAAAACCTTTCGTAGCGAAGCGAGCGGACCCTGAGTTGTTGGTTGACCCCTGCAACCAGGGCTGAATTATGTGATCAGACCACGCTTTTTCTCGGCGTCTTTAACCGACCCTGTCAGCTCTGTTGGTTCACTGTGGCACAGTCCCTTTTTCAAGACAGAATCCACCATATTGGGGGTTCAATTTCCAGGACGAGAAACGTTACACTGGAGCCAAGAACGGGGCTGTGACATTCACTTTCACATGATGACTTCAGTGACTGGACCTTGGGATTTGGACCCCTGGAAATCACAATGGGTGTTACAAACAAGGAAACAAAGAGCGAACGCGTCAAGAATCACTTTAGTCTTTTTATTCATGACGCGGCTTGCACTATTGATGCCAAATTCAATAGCCGTAGCACAACCAGACAGCGAACAAAAAGCCCCTTGCCCCTGCATCAAGCTCAGCCCAAGACTCCATATCTTACGTAGCTGTTTAAACGTTGCTGACCCATTTCGAGATCTAGAACCTTGACTTCAGGTCCACATCTGGAAACCGCCGAGGAAGTTTCCACGTGCTGTGATAAGCGAGCATGTCGGTCCGTCCGGTTTATCCTCTTTATTAATTGAGCAACGGACCAACAAGGCCGAGTTTTCAATGTCCCGAATCAACACTGAATGCCAAGCCAGGGAGGATCTCAATGCTGCTTGGGCTGCCGTGTTTACCGAGCAGCGTTAAGTGAAGTTTGCGTCCATCGTCTTGGCCTTTCTTCAATTCGACGCGGTGTTTTCCTGCCTTTGATCCCGAGTAAACAATGAAAGGCCACGCCCCGTCTTTGGTTGTGAAGTCGTGGATGCCGTTGTAGACTTTTGTGAGTGTCTCTTGCTCTCGCTGAGGAACAGCGATGGAAACAGACGAAACGCCAATAACTCCGGATGGGTGCTTTGTGTATTCAGGCTGAGATCCGTCTTCCTCTTTGTATGGTACTCGTAGGCGTCTTAATGTACGATCGAGACACCAGAACGGCGCTTTCCCAGGGTACAGAGCACGACCAGCAGCGGCATAAGCCGAAGCAACAGACCACTTCAATTCGACACCATCTGGCCTGAGACGACCTCCAGGTACCGGATTATGGTAGACAACCTCAGAGTTGGCCTTTTTGACGCGCTCTTGGATGACATCGAAGTTTTTCTCATGCGGAAGAGTATACGCCCAATCGATGACGGTATTCTCCTCTAGGTTTCCCCATCGATGCGACCGTCGCTTCTCAGGATCAAGATCATCCTGGAATGCTATAAGCTCAATATAGACTCCATCAGGAAATTCGATGAGCTTGTTGACAGTGCGACCGTCCGCATGAGCGCCACCGTCGATCACGATAAGGTCATTTTCCAAGCGCTTAGGAAGCTCTTGTAACGTCTTATATGAGACGAGAACGACTATATGGTCGAGTATAGGCTTTACGTCGTCGCGTTCTGACATGTCGATGAGTTTGTTTATGGAATGATGCCATTTTGGAGTGAGGGGAAAGGCTCATCATGCAGAATATGGCGTAGCTCTGGACTGACTAATCATGCATTGTTTACGTCAACAGAGGCTGGGATGGCATCACGGATTCAATGTTCACTAGAAAAAAGTCTTTGAAGCTAGTGTTGTTAAGATGCGATGTTTCAATAAATATGTTACCGGAATAACTCGTTATCCGCGTCGTTGAGATATCCATCCCATTGTGTTGTTGTCATATAGGTCACCTTCGAAGCTCCAAGGGGTCATGTATGATCCAATTGGTTTAAACCTTTTGCAAATGCGAAAGATGAGCGATTTCCTACTGTGACATGCATCTTGTAGCTGTCATGTATGCTGGCTTTTGTAATGACTCGAGTAAATTTCTGACGTGGTTGGTGCTGGTAGAAGTAAGAGGGAAAAGGAAACAGAGAGAAGCAATGCATTTATCTTTAGCCGAAGTCTAGGTCGTTTCTTGAAAAGTGGATTCATGATGAGAACCTTATATCTAGACAGCTTCTCTTCTCACTCTTCATCCAAGCCTGAAGCTTCGTTATCCCAAGATGGGATCCAGACGCCTGAGCTCGTGCGCCGATGCCAAACAAGGAGTCTTGCATAATAGACTGTATATCAACTCGATGGGACGAAATTGAGATTCTCAGCTATGCCATATTATATTCCGCTGGCGGATAATTCAGCATTGTTCTGTCTCGACGGGACAGCGCGGTGTGTTGTCAGATCACTCGCCCAGGCGTATACGAGCTTTGCATATTTCTATATCAGCTATCAAAAGTGTCATGTACGACTGGTTGATGCTAAGTGATAATATTCTTGGCAATGCCTTTGCCCGAATTGGCGTCGACAGAGACAAATGCCGCTACCCACCGAAGTTTATCACGACGAAGTATTGCCCAAGGCCTTCGCAACTAGGGGTTATATACCAAATCAATACTCTATACTGTCAGATAAGGCGTGGTCGAGCGGGATCCTTCTACCTAATATCCTAAGAACTCTAAACTCCGCACCTATAAACTCTGTCTCCCCGCTTGGTCGCGCCTCATCTTTTTGTAATATTTCGACTTCGAACCCTTCCCAGCCGAGTCCTGATTACCTAACATCTTGATTTTAGCCTGCACTTTAAAGTTGGGTCCTCCAAGCAGGTCAAAGCCTGGACTCGTCTCAATTGAAGCGGCCCAGGGGTTGGGGTTTAAATACTAAAATTAATCCTATGTCTTCCAAGGTGAGGCGTGGCCGAGCGGGATCCAATTTTTGACTGCAAGCTCGTCCCTGGTGAACTTTCGAACCGTCTTGCATGATGAATTTCCATTTCCATATTCATCAACAGCCATCATATACAAAAGGATCAGGCATGACCAAACCATAGTCTTGCTTATATACATCCTCATGTTGTATCGTCAATAAACATTTCCTCTACCATCGTTGATGCCTTCATTAGTTCCATTTTTTGCTGGGAGTGCTCGGCTTGTTGCTTATTATGTTGGGTAACAACATGACGGGCCAGTTCAAAAGGGCCTAATACCTCTCTGTGAACATAGATAGGCACAAAAAATTGTGTTATGACAAACTAGCAAAAGTCCTTCGGTCCATGGTCCATGATTCTCCCTGCTTCGACCTGTGGAGCTTAGCCATCCGGATGACCCCTTTCTAGTATCGATAAAATGGATGCTTAAATATAAGGTTTTCATGAATTACAGTTTTCAAGGGCTGTGGTCCCAATGCTCACATGAGACCTTTTTACCTTGCCGTGCCCTAATATTATAGAACGAATGTAGCAGAGCCGCAACTCCTTGATAGGTAAGAGAATACACTGACATGTCACTTGACACCAGTCCAATTCAACATATGGAAGAGGTCAAAGCCAGGAAGTTCAGCTACCGAATCGTTGACCCACGTGTTGAGTAGGACCTCGTCAATGAAACCCAACACATACTGAGGAAGTCATGGGGCATACGAGATATCATGGCCTATCCGCCGCAGCTAAGCTAGCTTCTGTCGCACATGTCAAATCGGTTGTACATGGCGGACCGACAGCTCGGAATCCGGCACTGTGGAGCTACCTTGATGGCAAGATGGTTATGCAACTCGAGATCACCGCATAATCATGACACGAACATATGTTGCAGGATGAGGAAGGCAACGAAAGGAGAGTACACAGAGTTGCAGAGACCAAACGGGACTCGTCTAAGCATTGGAGTCATGGTGTCTGAAAAGTGTGATCCATGATGGAAACCTTGTCATCAGGCAGAGACCAACCAAGTGGAAGAAAGGCTTCTATTGACAAAAAGGCACGATAGCTTACCTTGCGAGCTTTCTAGTCTTCTCTAGACTTTACTACCTCAACCGATCCTCTCCAGTCTACCCTAACCATGTAGGCGATCTCAATAGCAGCTATGACAGCAGACCCTCCTATGAGCCCAGACCATACGCCGTTCAACCCCAATTGTAGTGGTCCGAGTTCCAACCAGACCGCAATAGGGACAGCGGCGAGGTAGTTAACAATCAAGACAACCCAAGCGGCAACACCTTGCTTTGCTAACCCTCTGAGAACACCATTGCATCCGCAAATGATAGAGTCGACTATTTGGAAGGCGGCGACGACAAACATGGTGTTCGCTACAATGCGACGAACAGCGTCGTCGTTGGTGTAGAAGGGACCGATGTAGTTTCTGAGTGATAGCAAGACTGTACCATTGAAGACACCAAGTGCGACGAACAGGATACCGTAGAGGATGGTGATACGACGAGCTGCTGCCACATGTCCACCGCCGATTAGATGTCCGATCCTTGTACTGACTGCAACACCAAGTGAGAAAGGGATGTGCCACATAACGATCGAAGTCGTAGTCAAGACCGTCTGGGCAGCAAGATGTATCGTGCTGATATACGATGTGCTAACAGTAATGATCTCGAAAGCTGCCCATTCCGCCAGGGTTACAGCAGAACCAGCGACGGATAGTCTTACCATCGGACCCCAACCTTGCAGAGCGCGACGGGTGAAACCAGGCCAGCACTCATGAGTGGACTTCTTGAAGAAGATACACACAAGAAGGAGGGTAGGTCGAAGGGTGTTTGCGACAGCAGCACCAAGAGCTGCACCCCCAAGGCCCATATTGAGAGGGAAGGCGAAAAGCCAGCTGAGGAGGGCATTGATGGGAGCACAAACCAATAAGACAGCCATACCGGTGTTGAAGTCACCTTGTGCTTGCAAGAACCGCTTCAAAGCTTCGAAGGAAGCATAGCCGGGAATACCGAGGATACTGACCCGTAGAAATGAACCAGCCTTGACTGCGAGGTCATCTTGTCGTAGAATGAGACTCAAGAAGGCAGGCGACGATAACCAGATGGCGGCGACAGGGATGGTAACAATTGCCATGAGATACAGCATGCGCTGGACGTGCAAACCAACACCAGTTTTATTCCCGGATCCGTAGGCCTGGGCGCAAAGAGTGTCGAGAGCGGTAGCCATTCCCTCATAGAGAGCAAGACCACAGATACTCTGCGTCGTGACAGCAATTGCAGCAGCGGCGAGATCATCGGGGCTCAAATGACCGGCTACTGTAGTCGAGATAACACTGAAGGAGTACTGCAGTAGGTAGGTCGCCACTAGAGGGATAGTGTAACGCGCAATGAGCCCCAGCTCAGTGCACCAGTCATTCGCGGGCCATTCTGCGGTATCTCGGTCGGACAGCAGTGGTTGAGCTTCATTGCGATCGGGTTCAATGATGTCGCTCATGGCGAAGCTTAATAAAAATGATTGACGAAGGTAAGGAAATGCGAAACAGCGGGAGATTGACGGTCGCGAAATGGTGAGTATCATGCACTCACTGAATCACCCCTTGTGCGGAGAGAGGACAGGTAGAGTGAGCGGAGACAGTGGCTGGGGTTGCAACAAAGTTTGCCAGAACGAAAGTTTGCCCCCAGCAATAGACCCGCTGGAAAAGTGACAGTTTCTAGAAGTCATGCCATTTTTATTTTCTTTCGCATCTATTTCCTTGATGAGAAGTGACAGACCAACAACACGGAACAAGTCTCCCTTCAACAATCTTTCAGCAGCCGAGTCTTGCTGTGGCTGTCTGAAGAATGAGGAGACAGTGGAGTCGGCTTCCGGGTCATTTCTGATCGACGTACCAATTAAGAAATGGCGCAGAACATCTTCTGAAGGCTCGAGAATTGTCTGTCACTGATCCACCTCCCTTGCGCCCGGAAACAAAGTCCCAGATAAAGAGGAACCAATCCAATTGATACGAGAACGAAAAAAATAGCGCTCGGCAGTCAAACCCCAATCAAACTCTATCCGCTGTGACGATGTAACATGAAACAAACAATTTTCTCTCATCACAAGGGAAAACATGTCTATCATTTATCCCAAATGCCATATCATTTCCTTCAGGACGAGCCGCATTAGTTGAAGCAAGCCACACCGTCTGCCAATTCATTCTTCAGCGGGCGCGTAGAACTGAAAATGCCCCGAGAGGAGCGGAACTAGGGACCCGGCCCGAGTGGCTTGTAACGGGTGGAGCGGAAATAATCTCTCGACGACTTAGAAGCCGGACATGGAACATGGCATTGACAACCCCCTGGGAGAGACATCCAGTGTGGGGGTTTACCGAGCGACAATTTCTTCCTTTATGCTGGGATCGTTTCTTTTGCGTCTGGTCCAGCCGAGATCCTCCAAAGGTGGTCGCGATCGGCTGTGCCACAGAGTTCGAGGCCACGACCATTGCCTTGGTACGGCTGATACCAACAGGGCCACCGGCCAACAGCACTTCCTCAGCTGAGCAGAAGCTAAACACGGCACGATCTTGGCACGTTTGACATCTGAGGCTGAACCCCGTAGAGCACATCATATCATATACGTAAAATTAACTATCGCTAAGAAAGGAATCAACTCTGCATACGATATGCCGCTTCAGTCGAACCCATGGAATCAGCTCGTGAAGCATGTCGCTCATCGTAACAAACTTCAAAATCCGTATTCACCATGACACCCTCTGTCAAATTGCGTACACTTTCGCTTCCACTTGCAATCTCTGTTCGTACTTCCGTCGTCATGTCGTGTCGCCACATGTGTTGTTGGCTCTGTCGCACCTTGGAACTCTTTCGCAATCCGCTGCCCATCCCGCTGCCTTGCTTTGTGCTTTGTCGGTTGCGTGAGTCTGAGATAGCTGTCATCTCCAGACCTGTTCCATTGCCGCTGTCTTTGAGCTCGTAGGGTGTGTTGAGTGCCGCGACGGCTGTTGAGCCCATCAAAGAGTCAATGACTCCCTTCAAACTGGGAATGCAGACAGTAAGAACTGCAAGACCCAGCGAGATCTGTCCCCATATCATGGTCGATACAGCTCGCCAGGTCACGTCATCCGAGCCCCCGAACATGTAACTCGCGTGCGTGACTTCGGGTATCGTGATGATCGGCACAATCAACCTGGTGCAGAACAAGCCCACCACGATCAGCTTCCTCCGAATGGATGTTTGAACCTCCCACATCATCGCGACGGGCAGAACGCATAATGCAATGTCTGTTACAATGATCATGATGCTGTTGTAGACATAGATCGGGCCGTGGGCAGGACATTGGACGCTGTTTTCGAAAGACCATGGCTCGGGCATGGGGCAGGCAAAGGCCGTCGTCAAAACCCCGGAGACAGCCCAGACGATAACCACTCCACCAAGTATAATATTCGCAACATTGAGTCCGCCTTGTCTATCGATCTGTCGAATAAGTAGACCGAGCGCTATTTTCGTCGTAGCATGAATGAGTATTCCGAAAATTCGTGATGCGTACATCAACTATCAATGCATTAGCAGGGTTTCTCCTCGACGGACCAACAAAATTGCTTACCTTGCTGAACCGAGCGAACTCATCATCAGAAAGTGCATCGCGGTGCGATCCCAAGCCTTCACTGCATGCAGCAATGACACAGGCTGTTTGGATGAAGTATATGACAGCAGAGACCAGTAGGGCGAAGTCGAAGTCTCTCATTGAGGTGATATTGAGCCGGATGATCATCTTACCAATAATGCCGAGTAGGGCATAGATGTAGAAAACGATCGATGCAACCACCACAAGCGCGGCATGGTTAGTCTCAGTCAGAGGATAAAACGGCGGAGCCGCCTCAGAGACGGTGTCCATTGTAAGAAGAGGGAAGGCCACAAGAGGCAAAGGCTCGTCGTCTGAGTAGTATTCGTATTAATTCTCTCCCACGTTTCAAATAATCACCGACGACGGATCTTTCAATCTAAATATCGCATGAAAGGGACCGACACGTTGGTCTTTAAACGGCCAGAGACTAACCAGGGCGGACCAAGCAGACGGGGCAACAAATGTCACATTCGGAACACAAAGCGGGATATGTCAATCAAACAAAGGCGACACCGCAGTTACATCAATGGTACTCTGGACTCGGGTACAAGCCACAGCATGAAGTCGTGTAATTAATTGTCAAATTTGAGACATACATGCGATAGGATCTAGACTTGTCGCATGTTTTCTCAGCTGAAGAGAATATACGACCTATTCCACCGAGGAAGTGGCTTGACAATTGTCCTTTCATGTTAAAGAGAGCATGGATTTGATACTCTACCTGTTACCAACAGCTCTCTAACCCATGTTTCAAGCTCCTTCACCAACTGTCAAGGTGGAGGCGAGGGATCTACAATGCAGCGTTGGTGATTGCAATTAACAATCCCTGTATGATAGGCCGTTTTACCGCTATCGCTTACTCGGAGAGAACATGACAGATCGATTGCCACGTTCTGCACGTTACACAGGTTTTTGGCAATTAAGCAGTCTAGACAGTTTGTGGCTTGTTTTCTCATTGTGAAGAGAGAGAAAAAATGATTGAATTATCTGTTGGTACAACAAAGCTGGTCCCTGTCTTCCCACTTTGCTGCAGACAGCCTCAGCGAACAGACATCATATCATAAATGGAAAATGATCAGCGAACCCACTGCGACCAAGGATTCGGTTCCCAAGAGATTCCTCTTTTCGCTCACAGACTTTTCGGACCGTTCCATCTTGCATCGTGCGGTAATCTCTCTATTCCCTTTTCTCCCCCTCTTTGTTGTCTCGCCTAATCCGCTTGATGTTACAATGTCTCTCACTTTTTGCCTTGTAACTCGTAAGAAAGACCCTTGTTCTAGACGTCGCATTCAATGTGGGTGGTTGAATTCCCCGATGTTTCCTTGGCCCACAGGGCTCTGGCACGTTTTTAAGCCTGAGGATCTGCTCTTTGCGTTCTTCCCCTTCCTATACAGATACCCCAAGCCCCAGTCCTGATACCAATTGACTGTTTGCGTTGCTGCATGTTGGTATTGCTCGCATAATCTGTTACATTCTTGCTTCTTTATTTCTTTTTTTTTGTCCTGATCCAATATGTCCCACGACAGTACTAGCATTGAGCTGCAGCCTTCGGGCAAGCATCATGCTGTTCCAGTCAGCGTCGATGCATCAGCCAGACCAGCGGAAGAGAGCGGTATCTACAGTGTGACCAGAACACGAAAGGTATTCTCGGGCTCCCAATTGTTTGCCTTCTCGTTGACGTATATGGCATTGTGGGAGGGTATGTGCACGTAAGTCTACACTGCATCCAAAGACCAACATCGCATACTAATGCTTTCAGAAACATGTACTTTGCTCTCTTCAATGGCGGACCCCAAACTTTCCTCTTCAGCTTCATGATCGTCTTCTGCGGTGCCATCTGCCAGGCCGCTTCTCTGGGAGAAATGGCTTCCATCCAGCCCGTGGCTGGTGCCCAATATCACTGGACATATTACATGGCTCCCGCCTCAGTGAAGCGATTTGCTACTTGGATCCAAGGATGGGCAACATGGTTCGGCTACGTATCTCTCCTGGCAGCCATTGCCAACGTAACCATCATCCTTCTCGAATCAATGATCAGCATCAACCATCCTGACTATGTTGCTGGAGGATGGCACACTTCAGTGCTTGTCATCGCTATGTGTCTTGTCCACGGGCTTATGAACATCTATGCTTTCAAGCTTATTCCTTGGGTTGAGATGGTTGCTGGTGTTCTGCACATATGCCTCTTCGTCATATTCGTCGTTGTTCTTGTTGTCATGGGGCCTCGCAACCCTTCTTCATTCTGGCTGGAGCGCAACATCTCTTCTGGATGGGAGAAGAACGAGTATGTTTCTTGGAACTTGGGCATGCTGACCTGTGTCTGGAGTTTCACTGGTAAGATATCTGTACCCAGTCTTTCTGCACTGGCTAACCGACTTTAGGCTTCGACAGTGCTCTCCACATGTCTGAGGAGACCCGCAAGGCCAAGAGCGCTGTCCCCCGAGCCATGTTCTGGAGTATCTTCATGAACGGAGTGCTCGGTTTCATCATGGTCAACGTCCTCATCTCCGCTATGGGTTCCGTTGAGGATATGCTCAACCAGACCAGTCAAATCCAAGCCATCCTCCTCAACGTCACTGGTTCCACCAAGGCCACCACTGCTATGATTGCTGGCATTTTTATCATCTCATTCAGTAGCAACCTGGCCAACATCGCCTCAGTGTCTCGTCTGACATGGGCTTGGTCCCGAGATGGCGGCATGCCAGCATACTTTGCCTATGTCAGTCCCAAGCATCGCGTCCCTATCCGATCCGTTATCTTCACAGTCTTTCTCGTCTGCGCTCTGAACCTCCTCAATATCGGTAACACTTCATATGTTGCTTTCGGTGCCATTACTTCCCTGTCATCCTTGGCCCTGTACATCAGCTATGCCATTGCCATTGCAAGCATCATCTATGTTCGTATGTCCGGCTCAACTTTCAAGCTTGGAGAGTGGAACCTGGGTCGGTTCGGCTTCGCCATCAACGTCTTTGCGCTGGTGTATACCCTGTATATCATCATCTTCCTTCCATTCCCGTCAACACTTCCCGTCACGGGTGAGAACATGAATTACTGTGGACCCGTTATGGTTGCGGTCCTGGCTATCGCGGTCGGACTTTGGTTCACCGGTGCCAGGAAGAACTGGACAGGACCTAATCTGAGTATCCTTGAGTTTGTTGTTGCGAACGCAAATTAGTAAAGGATGAAACGTCAAAATAAGTAAAATATTTAATCTTCATACAATATGCAACAAATAGCTATACATACTTTCTCACTTAATCTCTTATTCATTGTAAAACGATGGTTTGTTTCTAGGACCGCAGAGCAAGCTACTATTGAAATCAAAAGGCCGAGGTCACTCTTGTCGGCAAATTAACCGACCCAATTTGCCACGGCGCCTATCGGGGTCTTTCTTCGTCGTCGGAAAGTTTTTACTTGGTATCTTTAAGGTCCGTGACGTAGTTACTGGTAGCTTTCTACCAAGATGAGTAAAGTCTACGAGGTTAGCGCTGACTGTGAGTTGATCATAGCCAAGGAGCGTTCGAGATGTGAATCCTTTGAACTCCTACAGATTATTTCGGATATATAGCGATCCTCTTATCTATTCAATGATTTATTTAAAGGTGCCATGATTCTCTCACCTGCAATCCCGTCTTCTTATACCCAAAAAAAAAGCCTGTCACTGAAGCAAATCTCATCCATCTATGTTAGTCCTTCAAATAATCCAAGCATTATCTACTATCCCCACAGCTTTCGCAATGCCACAGATCGACGAAGAAATTGTTCGACAATTTGCCAATAGCCAAGCCAAAAGTATCGAAGCCAAAGACCCGAAGCTCGTGTCAGCTACCTTGGCCGACAACTGCCGTCGCTTCATCGCGCCCGCATCATTCATGAAATCCATGGGCCTCCCAGACGAGGTTGCCAAACAGGGCTCTCCCAACGAGATGTACGAACAGCATTTCTCTATGCAAATTCCGTTCGTTGAGTCGACTTCATGCGATGTACATGACATCGCACTTGACCAACAAAAGATGAAGGCGACGGTTCATCTTACCCATCGAATCAAGCCAGTTGGTGTTGAGGAAGAGTTCTTCATCGAGAATATGATTCTTCTTGATTTCGAAAAGGAGGGTGAAAAGATTGAGAAGATTGTTGAGTTTACAGATGTTGCGGAGAGTATGAAGTACATGCAAACACTTCAAGGGTTAGCTGCTGGCAAGTCAGAGTGACCATATGCTTTGTGGTTTTCAGCCCAGATTGGGTAAACGATGCTCACCATGTCTGATGATTTAAACGAAGAAAGAGAGAATCGACATGTATTAACTGTTATTCGGAAAACATTAATTAATTGAATGACCCGTCCACTATTCCCTGGAGCCATGTCACCTTAGATGACAGAGAGTGAAAGAGGTCAATCGAAAACAAGAATTCAGCGACCTACCCTGATCCTTCGATCCCCTGTCGCAGGGGCTGTGCTGTAAGGCTGATGCCACACTCCTTCACTGCAATTGGCGCGTGTGACAATCAGATTAACCACCACCAATGAACAAAAGACCTTGTTGCACGCCATCTTAATTAACCCCGCAGCGTTGATAGTGAAGATGGAATTGATTGACAGAAATGGCGTAATTTCCGGCTCGTACTCCAATCCAGCACGCCACTACGCTGAGGCGCAGCTAGCGGCAAGGCATTCAACCATCTTGTGCGCCAGGTCCAAAAAGAGGCCTCCCCGGACAACGTTGGTTTAATACCACCAGGTTGCGACAGTCAATTTACTTGTCGCTGTACTCGTATACAACTATTACTTAACAAAATTTCTCACCATGACCTCACCACAACCTCCATACTGGCAACAAGGCGGTGCGCCTCCTCCACAGCACAGCTATCCAGGTCAGCAACCTAGCCAGGGTTACTACCAGCCTCCACCTGGACAACCTCAACAACAACCTTACGGCTATCCCCAACAAGGCCAGCCTGGACCTCAGCAGAACCAGCAGTATCCATACCAAGGTCCTCCAGGCCAACAGCAGTACCCTCCTCAGGGCCAGCAAGGTCAATACCAGCAACCTCCTCAAGGTTACCCGCAACAGCCACCCTACGGCCAACAACCCCCTGGTCCACAAGCACCATATGGACAGCAACAGCCTCCACCTCCTTACGGCCAAGGACAATACCCTCCTCAGTCCAACTACCCGCCTCAACAGTATGGCGGTCCCCAGCAAGGCCAACCACCACATCCAGATCAACAATGGCATCAACAAGCAGGCCAGCAGCAATACGGAGCACCGCAATTTCAGGTCGCGCCAACACCAGCTTCTCCAGGCTATGATCCAGCTCAGAAGGCTTGGGTCCAGCCGGTAGACACAGCAGCTGACGTCGAGGCTCTTCGCAAAGCAATGAAGGGTATGGGCTGTGACGAAAAGGCCCTCATTCGTGTCCTCGTAAATCCCAAGTACTCCAACCCGTGGACCATGGCTCAACTTGTTCGTGACTACAACAGTCGTTTCATGCGCGACCTTGCCAAAGACATTGAGAGCGAGACTCGCGGTGACTTCGAGACATGTCTCTTGGCGTTGATCCGTGGGCCACTTGAGAACGATGCCTACAACCTATCAAAGGCTTTGAACCGAGCCGGCACAGACGAGGATGCATTGAACGATGTCCTGTTGTGTCGCTCAAACGCGGATATTCGTGCCATTTGTACCGAGTACAGGCGTCTTCGAGGCAAGGAGCTCCATGTCGATGTAAAGGACGATGTGGACGACACTCTTTACAGACTGTATAGCATGGTTCTATCGGCTACCCGTGCCGAAGACAGCGCGCCGGTGATCCCCCAAGAGATCGATCAGAAGGTGATAGAGCTTCAAAGAGCTACCGAAGGAACAATCGGTGCCAACGCAGTCGCGGTCGCCCAAATCTTCACCAGCAGCAATGATGCTCAGATACGTGCTATTAACGAACAGTATCAGTACAAGTATCACCGCAGTCTTGAAAGCGTCATCGAGAAGGAGTTCCGGGGCGACATGGAAGATGCGCTCTTGCGTATTCTGTATAATGCTCTGGACCGGGCGAGGTCTGATGCCGGAAGATTACAGAGGCCTTTGAACAAGAGCTTTGGCAAGAACCGTCTATTCATCAATAGGCTTGTTAGTCTTTATTGGGATCAGGGACGTCTGCATCAGACAAAGATGGCTTATAAGCCTGTGACAGGTTCGACGTTGTCGGGACAAATCAAGTCTGAGTTGAGTGGTGACTTTGAGCATTTTGCTTTGGCAGTTATTGGAGAAAAGTAGATACTTTGATGTAACAGAAATGAACCAGCCAGTTACATCTCGCGGAATTACGACCCTTATCTCTGTATGTAGTTTGGTCAACAATTGATGCGTCTTGGTCCCTTGATGATTGATGCTCGTTATCCCATTGAGGGTTAGTTGATTGTTCCCGCACGGAAGCCAAGCGTTCTCATTTTCCTATTCAGGTAAATATTGGGGCTTTCTGTCTCATCATCTCCACCCGCTTTGGTACAGACATTTTACGACACCTTCAATCTCATTTTCCTTTTTCATCTTCCTCCATTTATTCTCCTCTTTGCCATGCTATCAGTAAGCGCTTATCATGCCGTCATCTTTCACTTTTGTCAATGTCAGCAATGCACCTGGGCTAGGTCCGCAAGAGGCCAAGCAAATGAGAGGCCATGTCACCAAAGCGAATTTTGCCAAACGTAGACAGAGATTGGCTAAGGCTTTCAGAGATAAATCAGTTACTCCTACGGATCCGGTCTGCCCAAATCATGAAGGCCGTATGGTGTCATACTCAAAAGAATGTTTCTCTACTCTTGACCCAAACTGCGACAAGCTCCTAACAGTGGATTCTACATTTTCTTCAATCGGCTTTCGTAAGTGAGTTGACGTACGTCATATACAATCAGCTGATTGTTTCAAGTACTCTCCAAGTTCCGCGCTTTTAGCTTCGGTGAAGATGATATAGGAGGCTCCAGCCGAGAAGCAGAATGGGTCAACCTGGTCCGATCCGAGCCAGCACTTGTAGAAGCATCGGTTTCAATTGCCCTCCAACATTGTCACGGAGACACCAATAGCAAAAACCTACAACGAGCAGTCCTGCATAAGGGTCGTGCAATACAGATGATAAATCGAAAGCTGGGCACGCCGAGTGGTTTGGATGACGGTCTGCTAAGTGCAGTTTTCACGCTTACATATGCTGAGGTCAGTATGGCTGATATGTCAACATACTACCACTGACGGTTCAAGCTACGTGAAAGTGATATGGAGGCGAGGAGTATCCATATGCGAGGACTGGCTCAGATGATTCGCCTAAGACAATCATCTCGTAATGCACCTTTAGCCTCGTGGTTCCGTGACTTCCTTCTTTAGTAAGGTCCAGTTATAAAACGACACAACTAGATACTGACAGCTGGAATAGTGACTCGCTAAGTAATGCCATGCTAACGACTGGCTATTCACACCAGCCACTTATTGAAGCTTTACTGAGTGAAGAGAATCCGAAGCAAATGGACATCGCACAAATCCGCCAAGAAATAAACAGCCTTTCCCTAATGATCGATAATTATCACGACTCATTGACACCACATCCAGATACTGCTCTGACCATCACGCTCGGGGTACAACGTCTCCAGGTGGAGATAAACACATTTCTGGGTAGCCAAGAGACCTACGTACGCTCACTACACGATTCTCTCCAGTTATACCTTCTACTTCTCTGGCCAACTGAGGAGCCCGAGTACTTGACCACTCTAGCTGAAGAACTGAAAAGTCTTCTGCTCCATCCTCATCCGAGGCTCTGTTCTTCGACAAAGATGCTGATATGGCAGTTATTTGTCGGCGCTGTTGCAGCAGGGCCGTCAACTGAGTTGAGATCTTGGTATATAGCAGGACTGAGGGAGGTATTGACCTCACGAAGTGATACGGTTATGGAAGTGACGATGTGGTGTCTCACGCAGGCTTTTACACCTGATGCACGGCTTATGACAAAGTTCCAGGCTATATGGCATGAAGTCTTTGATAGTTAGTTGGAACATGAGTTTGGCTATGTCCTAGATTGATACACTTTTGATCAAACGGCAGAGTAAAAATCAAAGGATTACAAAAAGCAATTTCCTTTGCTTCTTTTCTTTCAAATCCAGACCTTGAACTCTGAGGGCAGGATCCGCAGTGAAAGCAAAGCTCGACGATTAGTGGTCAGTATCACGTGGAGGCACCTCCAAAGACGGCCAGAGCCAATCGGGCTATTATTTCAACTTTGACTTTGTCCATCATCAACTCCAAATCTCAACACTCATGACCTGATCATGGATACATTCCCGACGACAAATAGCCTGTCAAATGATGATAGTACAGGCCAGTTCGATACTTTCGTCTTCTCAGGCCAGGTTGTCGTATCACAAAATGCGCCATTAACGCCACTCTACCAACTCAATAGAGAACTCACATGCGCACGACAAAGGAACATGGCGATGATATTTGAAAGTATTCAATTCACGGAAGTCAGAAACACCGATAACACAACCCGAAAGCGAAGGATCAGTGAGGATTTATACTATCTAGTCCACCCACTAAACCCCGACCGTCAATTTAATCTACCAGAATACTATGTTACTGCAGCATCGCCAGGAACGTTGGGAAATATGCAGCTTGACACGATCAAAGCAGCCTCGCAAACTACCCAGTTCAGAGCGATGTTAAACAGAGACAAGTCGGCGGTGGATGCCCTGTTGTTTAATCGTGATACTCAAGAACTGCTGTTCGATATCAAGCCGATGCTGAAAGGCGGTCAGTATGAGTGGGTTGACGCTGACGGCCAAAGGGTTGCACATGAGTCTTCGAAGGGAGAAGAATATTTGTTGCATTTGGAAACATCGATGTTGCAAAAGAACAAAGATGCATTAGTGGCGTTGTGGATTGTGAGACTTTGGCACGATGCTGTTGAGGAAGAGGCACGGCAAAAAGGTGAGACGACATTTGGAGAATTGACGTGAGGCTAACGTATTGAAGGGTCGTCCTGAAAAGAGAGGTGTCACAAGGCGATTCATTCTGCTGTTGTAAGACAGGCAGGTTTGGAACAAAATTATTTTATCAAAGGGTATATACAAAATACAATACGCAACCATATTCCCATCTAGGGATGGCTTATCGCACGGCCTCATCGGAGGTGTGCACCTCAAACTCGACGGTTTTACTGATCCCAATCTGTTTGGAGTCCATTTCATCCATGCTAATGTCCGATGATGGGTTCCTGTGGTCTCTCCGACTGATGATACGTTCTTGTGAGCTTGTTCTATTACCGCTTCCTTCGCCACCTCGGACTTCAACAATGTTCTCGCCTTGCTGTGTGGTAAGGACAATATCGCGACCGGTGCCGCCGAAACGTTGACGGGTATAAGTAGGTTGTTGGTTTCGGCTATGACCGGATGAACCGTAGACTTGATTGTGGAAGACTACTTTGGAAGCAAGGATATCGATGCTGCGGTCTATTAGTATGAGTGGAGAGAGTGATTGGAGGCTCAACTTACATCATCATGACAGGGAACATGCATTCCATCGCATACGCAAACCGGTCAATCTGCGAAGCAAGATTCGTTGCCATCTGCTGGTCATTTTGGAAGGAGTACGTGATGGCTCGCATCACACCAAGCACAGCAAGAAGTGCAAGCCGGACCTCGGTGCTTCGCATAAGATATCGGAAGAGACCAGCCTTGATGGCAGCACTAAGAGACGTCGACTTGGCTGAGCCAAAGACTCGAAGGAGAAAGAATGAGCTGAGACATTCCAGGAGGGCGATGAGGATAAAGTAGCCCATGTGAAGGTGGTTAATAAGCGACTGATCTTCATTGAGACCTTGAAGGATACGACGGGCTCGAATGATGGCGATGACGACTCTGATTGCTGTGACGGAGACGATCATGGACCAGTATGAAGTTGCAAATATTATCCATGGTCGACCGCGTAGGACTCGGCTAAGGATGATGTAACTGTAAAACGACAAACCGGCTTCTTGTATCTAGCACCAACACTCATCAGCAAATCATTAGGTGGACAGACGTTGAGCATACTCACCAGCCAAAGAATATCGGCGAATATTGAAGCCACAGCCTGAGCGGTGGGTCCATTTGTCGGATCGTAGAAGGCATAATAGCAAAGCCCGTTGGCTATCGCTCCAGCCACACTCGTAACAATAGGAACAATAGAAACAGGACCAAAACTGGTGATGCCAGCGACCATAAGACCAAATAAGGTATTAGCGATGCCGATGGTGCTGAGGATCGACCAGCTCAGCTCATAATAAACAACGTCGGCCATTTTGAAAGTGCGATCGTCGTGGCCCTCTAAACATTGCGGAAACCCTTGCAGTAAAGAACAAAAAAGAAAGGACGAATTTGGGGGGCTAAGCTTAATATTACGAGTGCGCATGTGCATGCCTGCTTACCCCATGAAGACACTTTTCCGGGGTAGACGGGATCTGGGTGTTGGTGATCATTGTTAATGAGGGGGAATACCCCAGAGTGGACTGATCCCCCATAAGCGAGCTAAAAGGGGGGTTGCTTTGGGGGTAAAGTGACAGGATACGTGGAACATGGTCGAGAATGCATGTCGTCCAATGCTGGGGGGTTATTAAAGGGTGCTGCTGCACACCAACCGCTCAGCTGTGGCAACGGCATGACCCCATGGGAAAGGACGCATTTTCGGGGAACGAGACACCTGCCAAGTAAAGGATCCAAGCGCTAAAGGGACCGGGGAACGCACACCAGTTCATCAGAAACGGTAACTCGGCCGTTGGATTCACGTTGTTCCAGCTAGCTTCGCTGAAGTTGCTAAAGAAAGCGACTGTTGGTTAATGTGACAGGAATGATAATTAGCCTTTATCCACCTCTGTGGTGTTGGGTTGGTTGGCTGTGCCCCCAGGATGTGACATCCCTTGTCTAGCTTCAAAAATCCTTCTATGTCTGTTTCATTTGCTTAGCCCGGCTTGATTCCGATGCGTAAAAGATCCTGACACCGGGTGGCTTAGTTTGTCTACCCGCTGAAGAGTGGCGGGCGCAATAATTAAGGACGAGTCCTTGCTACCAACGGACTGCCTTTACAGACTTGTTTGTTGGTTGCTTGACGAACCTTGCATGCCAAATTAAACCCCCGTTGGATGTGGCGTCAGCCTTTTTAATTAACGCCTTGACAAAGTTCATGACAATCACCGTTGAGGCTTTTCAGCCACGACGTAGATCTTCTGTTTGCGCTGAAGATCAAAAAGCAAGCAGATACTCGTCATATTGATACATCAACCGTTCAACTGGAGCTGAGAAAAGCCAAGTTTTTACCGCCCGTTACCCTTTGTGCATTGATGATATCCATGTCAATTCTGCAACAATAAAAACGAACCGAATAAAGTTTAACCGCCAAGACAAAGGATTTCCCTCTCTGACCGGTCTCCCTCGTCGGAGATTACTAGGCCGAAACATGAAGCATCTCTTATCAACCTCGGTTATCGATAACCCAAAGGCGAAGGCGATCCGGAGTAGGGCCTCCGGCTTCCGAGCTACGGTCTTCTTCCCGGGCCGAACCAGAAATGGAGACACCCTCAGATCATTCCTATTTCCACGTTACACCCGGATAGTCACAAATTTTCAGACTCCATCTTGCTCTTATCACGAATCGCTCATTCGTGAACAATGACGCAAACATGTTTGCTTCACGGCGAAATTGTGGGCAGTAATTTCGTTAAAGCGGCAGTTGGGATCCACAAGCCTCTATGACGAGTACCTAATTCCCCGAGATATAATCTCAGAGACTGCTTTCTTGGTTTTTCTCATCATTTTTGGTTGGAAAGGCGAAAAATGCAGTCGCTGTTGCAGTATCGACGCGCTGGGGCTGCGGCTCAAACGCAGATTGATAGAGATGTTGATAAGGCGCGACAACATATGGCACCAACTGCGCCCGAGCGCGATGTCGAAGCAGGAGGTCGCACGTCCTCGGAAGAGAAGGAGCAGCGGAATTTAAGACGTCTGTTGTCGCGCATCAGTGAAGGACAATCAGTTGAAGAAGATGCTCAAGAAGAAGCGATGCAACGAACTGTTACAGCCGCAACCATTCGACAATACATGTCTGGAGGTGCAGCCCTCGGTCAGGTTCTTACAGGTATCCAAGTACGACCTCACAACAATGCTGAGGGAAAAGAGGGAAAGGTTTTCGTGGTTAACTGGGAAGGCCCTGACGATCCATTGGATCCTCACAATTGGTCGGTTGGAAGACGTATTGGAGTCACTCTACAAATATCCATCATTGCTCTCTTCGTCGGAGCAGCGTCTGGAATCGATGCTACAGTCCTTCCTCAGGCTTCCAAATCACTTGGTGTCTCCGAGGTTGCCGAATCTCTAGCTACAGGTACGTTCAATATTTCCTCTATTGATAAGCCATTGGCTAACATTCTCAGGTCTCTATCTGGTCGGTATGGGTCTCGGTTCACTGGTAGCGGGACCTTTCTCCGAAACCTTCGGCAGAAACGCAGTGTACACCTTCTCCATGGCAATTTTCGCCATTTGGATAATGGCATCTGCCCTTGCACCTAACTTTGGCGCTCAAATCGTTTTCCGATTCCTTGCCGGGTGCTCAGCTTCCACGCCGCTAGTATGCTCCGGAGGTTCCATCGCAGACATGTACAACAGTCTCGAAAAGACATGGAGTTTTCCTCTTTACGCTGTCGCTGGCTTTGGTGGACCGATGCTTGGTGCTGTAATGGGCGCTTACATCGGCCCTTCAGACGTGCTAGGTTGGCGCTGGGCTGAGTGGATAATGCTCATCGCTTCTGGGCTCGTTCTTGTCTTGGTCATTCTATTCATGCCTGAGACGTATGGACCTCTTTTGCTTCAGTGGAAAGCAGCGCATTATCGACGAATTACTGGTGATGATCGGTTCCGATGCGAGCATGAGATTGCGGGCGCTAGCTTGTTCAGTCGTCTCAAAGTTAGTATGACAAGACCGTTCCTCATGTTGACGGAGCCTATCATCATCGCCATGACTCTGTACCTCAGTGTCTTGTACATCGTCTTGTTCACGTTCCTCGTCGGTTGGCCATACATCTTTGAGAAGACCTATGGCATCAGTCAGGGCCTTTCCAACATCATCTTCGTCGCCATGTTCCTCGGCACTCAGCTCAACTTCCTATTCGTTCCCATTGTGTACCGCAAGACTGTTCGGGCTTCGAGGGAAGGAAGTCACTTCAAGCCAGAAATCCGCCTCTGGTACGCCATGCTCGGTGCTGCAGTAGCTATTCCGATTTCCTTGTTTTGGCTCGGCTGGACCAACTATTCGCATATCAGTATCTGGTCAGCCATTATCGCCGTGGTATTCTTTGGCTACGGTGTTACAGGCGTCTTCATCTGTACCTACATGTACATCATCGACTCATACGAGATTTACTCGGCCTCGGCTCTCACCTTTGTTGCCCTGACCCGATACATTGTCGCTGGAGGAATGACTGTAGTTGGCATCCCGTTCTACGAAAACATGGGAACACACTATACTCTTACAATCATGGCATGCTTCGCGGTTCTGTTGGCAGCTATTCCTTATATACTCTACATTTACGGACATAAGATTCGGGCAAAGAGCAAATACGCATTCACACATTAGAGACAGACTATATAGACTAGAACAGAATACCCACCCTTACTCCTTTGCAATCTTTTGCAACATCTCATGTGCCTTCTTAGCCACAAAATCAGGGTTATTGACTTGGATAAAATGACCTGCGCCGGGAACCTGAGTAGGTCCATCACTCTTCTCCGCCATCGTAAGCTGAGCCAATCCCTCGTTGTAATAATGCCAGTATGGATTCAAGTAAGCATTCACGACTTCAGGTGGGGTGTTGTAATCTGTTCCTGTTCTCTCCGCGAAGAACTCAAAGTCGTGGCCCAAGACAGTAACGTAGGGGTCTTTGCCGTCCACCTTGGGCAGAGCAGGTAAGTCTGCCTTGGGAAGAAGTTGAGTCAGGTTCTTGCGGGTCAGGCCTTCTTTGGATCCAAGGCTGGGATGAAATCGCTTTCTAGTTTCTTCTCGAGCGGTGCGGAGGTGGTCAGCCGTGACACCTAGTGGCAAGATATCTGCATTGAATCCTTCTGCGTCGGGGTCGGGGAAGACAGAGACAAAGTCCGTATCAGTCAAGACACTGTCAAGAAACATGATACCTGACACGGTTCCCGGATATTCGGCAGCATAAAGACGACTGAAAGCGCATCCAATGGAGTTGCCAATAAGTAGGAGCCGAGCCGTGTCAGGGTTGTCAATACCCATCTTCTGCTTCAGAACTTGGACGACAAGCTGGTGGGCATCGTGAATAACATCCATGGCGTCATGTGCGTGCGTCGGATCTGTAGCACCCTCATCGTTAGGGTCACGATCAGTAGTCTGACCCTGTCCAAAGCGGTCAAATGTCAAGATAGCGGGAAGGCCTTGAGGGGAAAGCTCCTTGAGTTTGGTGATTGTCGGGACCCATGATGTTTGCGGGGCAATCATGCCATTGAAGAAGACAATGAGACTCGGGTTGGCGGTCCCAGAAATGGTAGAAGCCGTGAAGCTGTAACTAAGCTGCGCGCTTGGCTTTGTGTCCAAGCGCATGAATTCATACTGAAGAGTTTGCTCGGCCATTTTGAAGTCGTTGAATGGAGTGAGATGATGGTGTTGGGAGTCGTAAGCAGGGTAATAATGACATGTATTTATCCAGAGCCGTCAGCACCGCTTACGTGATCGTCATAAAATGTGCTGTCCTAATAAGAAACACCGCGCGGGCTTCGCATGATTGATAAAACCCCGAGTGGCTTCATGGTCATCCTCCAAGTGAGATGTATTGTATTTCTAAAAGTGTAAGATCGGCAAGTTTGCGCAACGCCACGGGGAAGGGTCCTTCTGTTGAGAAGAAATCGTCTCTTTTCCTGGTGTGGATTAACAAGCCAGCCAGGCTCTCGTATCATTAATTCGAAAGATGATTCTATCAACTCCAACTGGTATCATACTAATCGCTATGCGTGCCTATCGCAGACCTTCGATTACATTCAGTCGACGCCAGCCCAGAAGAAAGTCAACCAAAACACCATAAGCCCAATACCTTATTGTTCCTCGTATATTGGAGGAGCTCCGCGCAGTCCATCATAACATGGCAGAGGTTCTTCCACTATTTGGTCCGACAATCTTGCATGATCACTCAAGACCACGCGATGTTCAGAGCGAAGTATCCTTCCAACTCCTTGTCTTGTTGCCAAATCTGGTCTTCCAATGGGGTGAATCTCCTTCATCATTTGTAACTCCAGCACCAGTGTGTGAGAGACTGATGTATCAGACAAGTCCCCGGTATCTTGCGTATAATGGTTCGAGCTCTTCCTAATGGAGAACCAGAAGTCCATGCTCATTGTTCCCGCGTCGTCGTCGGTTGTCCACCCGTTAAACAACGTCGAGTCTCCCAATATCAGCTTCTTCTTCAGCTCGCGACTCCCTTCACCCTTGTCTTGAGTGGAGTGGGCAGGACATGCTGGAGCTGATGCTTTGACGATCTCTTCTAGAATCCAAGTCCCGCTACACACCCGCCAAAGATGAACTTCTTCACTATCACCAGGACTGCTTCGAAGACCAGTCAATGTCAGCGTCGCTTTGTTCTTGGTAGTAGGTTTCATGACTGTGTCATAAGTACAGTTGATCTCCACGCCTGCTGCTTGGTATATCCTCTTTGAACATGTCTGTATATCCGGAATCGGTATCGATCGTGTAACGGGAAGGGTTCGATTTAAACTGATGGCCTCTGGGATAGATCGTTGTCCAGCTCGTCGTACGGATGCTGTGGCCTCGAACTCATATGTAACAGAAACCAAGGATGTATCCATAGAAGGAGGCACATAGCTGGGGACCTGATAAGAAAGAGGGTATGCATGAGTCCCTTGTGACAGCTCCACTGTAGATTCGATGAGTTCGCATCTCTTGAGCTCGGTGAACTGTTGTTTGCAGTTCTTGCAGCCCTTCTTGAAGGGCTTCTTGTAGGCTACATGGACTACCAGCACAGCGTTTAAACTCTGTATCTCGATTCCGTCCTCGGTAACTTCCAGTAATAGGGATCCGGAGATGGTAGAGTCGCCATTATCGCTGTCATGTCGAATGACAATAGGAAGTATATCGATATGACAGTCTAGCGAGGCCGGTGGCGTCGTCTGTGTGCTGGTATACCGCTTTGTGAATAATGAAGATGTCTTCTGCGGTTTAATAAGCTGCAGCAGACCAGTCATGATGCGATATACAAATTCTGGCTGTCGGTATTATTTGGGTATATGTGACAAGTCGTCAGTCAAGGTATGAGCAGTCAAACACAGAGCGAGCGGAAAGAGAAAGAAATGAAGTAATTATTATAATTCCATTACACCCTTGAGTCGTACGACTCGACATGAAAGATCAATTCGGTCATATTGACGGTCTCAGGATCGGCTTGAATTGCCAAGAAAAGAACATGGCTATTCCCGATTTTGAGTCGAAGCTGAAGTCAGCCTAAGCCGTTTATGGTAATTCACAGCGGTCGTATCATGCCCAGTCATACTGGGGTTCATCATTGGTTGAATGCTTTGCTTGTGTCCACATTCAGCTGCTTGAGACGGAAGAGCGCATCTTGTCGTCAAAACAAGCATTCAGCAAAATTACATTTCAGATCTTCACCGGCACGCGTTCCGTGTCATGCTCACTAACTGTAATGATATGCAAGATTATCAAGCAATTGAACAACGTTATCCTGGAGCATATCCCCAGGGAGTCAGGTTAGCGTAGACGAGATCACGTCACGCCTTTCCCAATCAGGCTATCTATCGCGGTCTCACCCAACCCTCGCTTGCTCAACCCCAAACCAAGAACTCCTTCTTTCCATCACATGCATTCTCTTCCCAGCACGCGATGCCTGGTTCACCCGACAGGACCGCATCAGGCAAACCACGCAAGCCCCGAAACAAGAGCTTCTCAGGCTGTTGGACCTGTCGCGCCAAGCACGTCAAGTGTGACGAAGCGAAACCAGCTTGTAATCGCTGCCAGAATGCCGGTGTTGAATGTGAGGGATATGGAGTTAGGATCTCGTGGGCTTCGGTGAGGAATCCGACTACTTTTAAGAGGGGTAGTAGAAGGAAGTCATCGCGTCGAACCTCGGAGCGATTGCGTCAGTCGAGGAACCTGGATGCTGTTGGTGAAGAACCTTCTGAAGAGCCTGCGGATGGTTCGGCTAAGGGTGATTATGGTGAAGGGCCTTCTCATGATGAGACTGCAGATCTGTCATCGGAAAGCCACTCAACCACGACGCCTTTGAATCATAGTCAACAATCAGGCTTTGACTTGGATTTCTTGACAGACCACTTGAATACTCGAATCTTCAACTCTTATGAACTCTTACGTCAAGGCTTAACGACAGGTCCTCCATATGCTACACTTCCTACTCTACAGCCGCAGCTCCCATTATTACAACTCGATCAAACGTTCCACCAGAGTCCCATCACTCAGAATGACATCGGCACGTCGACGCCCGTGAGCATAGCTGCGCTCAGCAGTGGCTCATTATCCCTCCCCGAAGTACCAGATTCCGCGACTCCCACATCATCATCGCCAGTCAATACACAGACTCAAACACGAAAGATTACACGTCACATCGATATTCTTCCTAATCCAGGTCTTCATTGCGAACTGATCCAGCATTGGGCGCTCAACCTCTGCGACTCTCTGAATCCTGTACCTGGTATACACAACCCCATGAGAACCGCAATGATGCCCATTGCCTTGGAAGGAAGCCGTACAGATTCAGAAACTTCGACGGGTGCAACGAGTCTCTTCCACTTTATATGTTCAGCTGCAGCGTTTCACCTCTCAAAGAAACGAGATACAGAAAAGGCAAGACGAGAGCTTGAGAATGTAGCCCTTGAGCATCATAATCTTGGCATCACTCATCTCGCGCAAAATATCCGTCATTCCAAAGATGGTGCTCACTGTGTGGCGTTGCTGGCAGCTATTATTATTTGCATCATGAATGAAGCAGTCACTCTACCAACTTCATTCTGGCGGTTACACTTTCGCGGTGCTGTTGATTGGGTGAATCATATCGATCCGCAAGTCTGGCATCGAAACGAAGCAGCCACCAGCATATACTACATGTTTCTGGGCATGGCTACAGTTGTCCAGACTCAATTGTTATTTGACGGCCATGAGACTTCTTACTGGGAGTTTACGAAGGACCTCGGACCACAACCGGAACCTTATACGCTATACACAGCCTTCGGTCTCCCTCAGCCACTATTCCATGGCTTACGAGCAATGAACACTCTCGAAAGGCGCCGCAAATCGCCGAGCGAGACCAACCCCTCCCCCGAAGAGCTCGACCGCCTCGAACTCGAACTCTACCTCTCGGTACCCAACAAACCCGACACAAAAGAATCCGCCGACCTAATCTACCACCACGGCTGTACTTTCTACTACTCAGCCCTAATCCACATGAAGCGCACTCTAAAAGGTGTTCCACTGGCGGAGGTGCAGCCTCTTGTTGAGAAAGCCCTTCCCCATCTCGAGGCTATGCCCAACTGTACCGCTCAACGTTTTTCGCCAATGATTTGGCCCATAGCGATAATATCATTTGAGATTGCTGATGGGGTGATGCAGCAGCGTATGTTGAAGTGTTTGGCGGATTTTGAAGAGAGGTCTGAGTTGGCGATTTGGACGCAGATTATGCATCTTGTTAAGGAGCTTTGGGCGTTGAGGAGGAGGGAGGGGAGTAATATTAAGTGGTATCATACCGCGCTGGGATCAATGAGTGATAGCTTCATGTTGCTGTGAGAGCCTCAAAAATATTAGTGTTTGTTACACAGGCTGAATTTCCTGTCAAATCATGACAAGAATTGACAGATCGTACGTTTTAGAGTTTTTTTCTCTCGCGTACAATAGATAATGGATCGCCAGTCTCTCATGACACCAAACTCAATACACCATTTCGAGCTTCTATTGCATGGCTACACGAACTAAGAGCTTCAGTCGGTCGGTAGCCAGTAACCCATTCACAGCAACAGAGTCTCGGCACAATGGGAACCGAGTTGGTATGCCACTCGTCTCAACTCAATCACATAATCGCCATTGATAATGCCACGTATTTGTAAGAAAACGCCATTTAAAATCACAAAAGCCAAGTTTCCGGCCTGTGACGATCGGCAGATCTCCCACGTTGGGGAATCTGTCGTGGTAAGTTGCCAAATGGGGCCAAACAAGTTCCTGCGCTAAATGGGTCTGATGGATCCACGACTCCATCCAAGTCAACCAAGCAGCGATAACGGCGGCAAAGAGTTGACGTCAAATGCTCACTAACTTAATTTTTTTCTTGGTAATTATAAAAATAGCTGTTCTTGTAAAAATTCTGGGGCAAATATTCTCTCATAAATTACATCACCAAAAACATCAAAGAATACTGCTTCAAGATGGGCCGTGTCATTATTCATTGCGTTCGCCATGCTCAAGGCTTTCACAACCTTGGAGAAGAGTTCTTCAACCTTCTAGATCCCGCGCTAACACCCTTCGGACAACAACAATGTATTGAACGTCGCAACGCCTCGTTTCAAGACCAGTCCAAGTTCAGACTCATCGCTTCTTCGCCCATGACGAGAACGATACATACCGCATACCTAATCTTCAATGATGCCCTCCAGACACAGGAGATTTTTGCTATTCCCGAAGCCCAGGAGATTTCTGATCACAACTGCGATATAGGAAGCGATCCTCCCATTCTCGCTGAGCTGTGCGCACAGAACAATTGGCCAGTCGATTTGAGTCTTGTGTCAGACGGTTGGAACAACAAGGACCTCTATAGTCCCAACAGTCCCGTGACAAGTGCCTGTGCAGCACGTGCTCGAACAGTGAGAAGGATTCTCAGAGAGAAGGGCGCCGAGTTAAGCAGAAATACCGACGAGGACGTTCACATCGCTCTGGTCGCTCATGGAAGCTTTCTGCACTATTTCAGCAACGACTGGGAGGGCAGCACACTAGGATGCGGTACGGGCTGGAAGAACTGCGAAACAAGACGCTATGTCTTCCAGAACGACGACGCCGACGAGGATGCTTGGGTAAGGGAGACCGCGGAAAGCCGACAAGCCCGGGGTCTAACGGGTCCTGCACCTTCAGCAGAGGAGCAACAGAAGTTGTATGAGCAGACAATGATCGGCTGGGTCGAGCAAGGCCTTCCGGACATCAGATACCTGGCCACAGCTTCGGTGCACCCGAGACAAGAAGATCAGGCCAGGTTGTAGGGTGGGTTACACTGTGGAGTTTATGGTTTGGAATTACATCGTAATTGGAGATCGGAAATTTTAGAATTCCGACGAAAAGGTTGTTTCAGCTCAAGACCTCTCAAGGTTATACTCGAAGTGGGGATATGTTTAGTTTGTATCACAATAGGGAATGTTTCTTCCCCTGTTTCTGATTATCGGAGATCTTTCACGAGTAAGAGATAGATCCGCACCGAGATACAGCAGTATCACTCAAAGAGATGTTCAGTGAAAAAGACGCCAAATTTGCTATGTACGTAACGTCGTGTCTAAGTTTGTTTTGTTTTTATCCCTATTATACACATGAAATTAAACGCAGTATGAGCCTCAGTTCCTTCGAGGCGGTGGTGGTGACAATCCCTGTTGTGCATAACCCTCCTGTTCAACAGCAAGTCCAACGCCCGGATGCATCATATCAAAGCTCCTCGTGCTCTTGCCCGACTCACTAGCCGGTCCCAGCGGCCAACTATCATCCCTCGTAAACTTGTGATCCGCCGGCGCTCTGGCCTCTTCGATATCAGGTGAAGGCACACGGTTCTTGTCCCAAAAGTCGAATTCTTGAGGTTCGTTCTCCTCGGGGATGTTGCGGAGCTCCATGCCGTCTGGGTTGTTGTTGGCGACGACGGGGAGAGGTCCGGTGGAGATGTGCTTGCTGCTGCGTGTCCAGGTCCAGCCGGAGCCTTTTCTTTCGCCGGTGGATGATTCAAGTTTGCGGGATGTGAAGGATGTGTGGATGTTTCGGAGGATGGGGCGGAGAATGGGGATGCATTGCACCATGATTGTTCCAGCAACTTCTGATGAGTACCAAATTTGTGACATGCCGTTGCGCCCTGATTCTTGTTAGTTTGACTTCTGGTTGTGAGTGAGACAGGTAACGTACAGATGTAGTAGGCGTCGCGGCCATTTCCTTGGTCCTTCCAACCAACTCGGATCGCAGAGACAACAGCGACACTATGTTTGTTAACGACATTTCTTGTCAAGATCAGATTGTCCAACTTACATCATTCCAAGACTCATTGTGAAGCAGAGACCAATCTTCTCAGCCCTCTTCATCTCCAGTCCTCGAACAATCAACCAAGGGAAGCAGGCAAAGACAAAGTCCATGATGATATTGTAGACTGTTCACCTCGTTAGCATAATCCAACCTCGAAGCCATGCATAAACACTCACTGTTTCCTCCCTCCTTGAAATCGTCCCTAAATTTCTTATCCAAGCAAAAGTCCAGTCTGTACCAGTTGTCGTATGTGGGCTTGCCGCACACCTTGGCCCACTGCAATATGACCTTGGCGACCATGTAACCGTTCATGGTGATGATACAGAACCAAAGTATCCATTTCTGCCAGTGATTGCTCATTCGTAATAGCGTAACTGCAAACGCTGTCTTCGTCAAGGCCTGCCCGATCAATGTCCCGCATGATGAAATAGTAATCATTATGTGCATTGAGTCACTCCATGATTTCGATGAGTCCTCGAGGACATAGCCGTTGCCGAATTCGTATACGATAAGACTGTTGTTTGCGAGAAGGATGATCTAGTCGTGTCGTCAGTATAGACCTTCCATCAGTTGGCATTTCCACTACTCACCCATGATACGATGAGGATATAATCATCGTACCACATTCCATGCCGCCTCGTAATCTTAACCCATAACCTCGCCCACAGAAAAATAGATGCTCCAGCAAACAGCGACCATAGCCCAATGTTCAACTCGGTATACGGATTGATGAACTTGTGGACAGGCTCGTCCTCGTCGGCGCGAAGCTGTAGCCTCATCGCCACATTCTTTGATGGTTGGTTGACTAAAACGAAAGGTACCGGTGTTTCGTTTTAGGTAGAGAGGTGGAAAAAAGGGTAAATGAGAGAAACACCAACAGCCAAAACCAACAACCAAACAAGTCAAGAAACGGGAAGGGGGACGGGGGGGATAAGTGAATAGAAAAAGAGGATTTGGACTTTGAGATCACCCCTGACCCCGCAGGTTACATGGATGGCAGTCGAGAAGATTGAAGAACAAGCCTGGATCCTGTGATAATGCCTGTCGTGCTCACCATACCCTTGCAAAACGGGTATACCTTAATCGGACACTGGGGCCGTTCGGAGCAGGTACCGAAAATGAGCATCCAACGTGCCAGGGAAGATAACGTGCATGAGACTAAGAAAGTAATCTAGCTTGCCACTGCCCATCCCGCTCGGAGTAGTTCTTGGACGTGGAAATGGACCTCGTATTATAACCACTGGCCATGACGCGATCTTCTTGCACCCTAGAAAGTGGCTTAGAATAACTTAAAACATGGGAAAAGAAAAGAAGGTTTTTGTACGCATCACGCACAGATAATTGCTTGGTTGAAAAGCAAAGTTCCCGTATACCTGACACGATTTGCACGAAAACACCGTTTCAACGCCAATGTCGGTACCCGATGGAATCGGTCTTGTCCATCCAATTAGAAGAACTGTCATTGAGGCGAGCAAAATGGGCTTGGAAAAAGTGAAACGATTTTGCAGATTGCTACCCTTGTCGCGGGAACGAATCGACGCTTCCTACTCGTGGCTTAACTGTCAGACACCCCTGTATCAAAGCTAAGGTGCCTGTAGCGTAACCCCCCCTTTGGGGATCTGGCACGCGGACGCTTGGACGATTCTGCCATGTGGGTGGTAGCCGAACAGAGAGAGAACTTTTTTTATCTTAGTCTAGAGGAGAATTGGATTGGGTAATGGTTCTAGTTGCCTCCGTGACCGTTGAAGTGTCATCCCGATGTGGGCAATGAAAAAGAAAAAAGAAGGACGTTCCATCGGCAGATTCTACCTTGGCACCGGGGTTAGAGGGCCCCCCTTCAGCTAAATTACGCTGTGCTTGCAAGATTAAGGGAGCATTATAAGCTGAGATATATGTACTGGACTGTTGGTCTGTTGGTAGCTGTGACACACAGACAGTGAGTGATCAAAAGAGCTTGCATACGAAAAAGCATTTCTTCTTTCCGATTTAATATATTTGCTCCGGCATGCGCATCATTCACATAATTGCTTTTTTGTGATTTGCCGTGGACGACGTCGACGATGCCCAACCTCGATTCTTGAGCCCTTTAATAAAGTTAAAGCTCCATGCTCATGCTCTCATGCTCGCCTCACCACAATGAGAAACGCCCCGCCGTTTGACCTCAGCTCCTCAGCAACAGTAACATCGTACCCAGGATAATGGTTCTTGGGTTCTCGCCTGTTCTGGTCCTGTGCTGAGTTCCCTCTTTTTTTAGCGCGTAGGCAATCTTGATGAAACACTGAGACCCGTAGCGATTCCCAATAATGTCGTGACTTGTCTTTAGTGGAGTCTCGGGGTACGAGAGCAAGCCTTGTTTGTTCGCGTCGGTAGGCGAATGACTAGACAGGGAGGATGAACCGGGACAAAACACGCGGTTATAGATCAAGGATTGGCGATATAAGTATGTGTCTACTTTTTTATGTATGTGATGTGACGAATAAACGTTGCCAAGAATGCGACGATCTTACTCGGAAATCACTCGATATATCATAATTGAACCCATGCAATAGCATTGTGTCAAATGTCAACCCAGCCAAGTCGAGTCAGAGTCAAGGAATACGGTTGACTCATCAGCCTGTCGCGATTCATGGTGTCTTGCTCTTTGTGCGCGCGACGACGACCACTGCTCTCACGACGCGGGTCTTGTCAAACCAATTGAACAATCTCCCTGCCAATTTGAAGCCACCCATCGTCACTCCGTATTCTGCCAGTAACTGGTCTTGGCGATCTAGAAACTTGACCAGCCCAGAAAACACATCATCTGTGATTTCCCTAACCGTGATCTCGTTGCGGTCGTACCCGCACTCCACCAGCTGATCTCTGTACTCCGTCTCCGAGAGGAACGTTTTTAGCGGGCAGCCCATCATCTTGCCAATCAATCGCGCTCTCCAGATATCAGCCGTAGATGCCTTTTCGTTTAGAAGAAGATCAAAAGCCATGAAACTCGCGTCCAGCTCTTTCGCTGCGTGTTTGAGCACGGGCTTTCGCGAAGGTGAAAAGTGATACATGCAATCGAGCGCCAGAAGCCATCGCTCAGAGTACTTCTCATCAGCGACGGAGTAAACAGCCTCGGTAACTTGACGACTCCACGTCTCAGGTTTCGCAGCATTGGCGCAAAACAGGCTGAACGAGTCTACGTCAAAGCCAACGGTGCCTATCTCGCGGTAGATCTTGCGGCGCGACGTCTGGACCTGTGCGTCATTGAGGGTAAGCCCAACATAGCGAAAATCCCTCCATCCTCGGGCGTCCGCGAGCTTAGCGAGTTGCCAAGTTTGGTCACCGCAGCCGAAACCCAGATCGAGAATCGCAAGACCGGAGTTGTTCTCGGTGTCGTCCAGTAATCCGGCGGCGCCGACAACCTGCTCGAGAAGGGCAGAGCAAGCCTCGGGAAATTTCTCAATTGGCGCGCCTTGGGGTGTTTTCCTGGGGGAGAGGGATCGCGTGAGAACAGAGTTTACCTTTTGCTTCAGGGTACGAGAGTTTATGTGTGTGACGACTTACCAGTATCCTACGTTCATCCACATCGAGGTGGGATGCGACGTAATGTTGAGCTTCCAATGCCCCAACCCGTAGATATCACTCATTCTCATCACCACAAAGGCGATGACCGCAGCAATAGCCAAGGCGCTGACCAAGCCGGCAGCAAAGCCGGCGCCGAAACTGTCTCCTTTGAAGGACATGGTATAATGAAAATAAGCATTCAGTTAATTAATTCGAGAACGGACCGCGCCGTGTTCAGCGGCAGCTAACGGGATGTTGAAGATTAAATGTACAGTGAAAAATAAGCCAAAACTTAACCTAAAGCTGCCTGGGCACCAAAGTCTGGGCGTTGCATCCACTGACAGTTTCGCTAAATGACCTGATTAGGTGCATATTTAGACTCTTATGCTTAAATCAGAGATAATCACGGCAATATCAGATTGATCGCTAGAGAAATTGTTTATTCATTCATCTCGTGGCTCATTATTCCTTCTCCCAGGGAATGGCTACTCCAAAGTCTAAAGCTATGCGCATGGCCGATACAATGCATCCCTCCAGTAGAACCATGCCATCCCAGCACCACGCCCCGGAGATCCAGATATTATCCTGACCATTGACCCAACCAGCTTGACGGTCATCAGATTTCTTATCTACCAAAGTCCCTCTCATCAGCTCTTGAACAAGGGCCTTGCCCTCCACGCTGCGCAGTGTCCTTGTGAATTTGGCCTTTTTAATTGCATCTGGCTGCGCCGCCTCGTGTAGGGGACAAGTGCTGACCACGACTCCACTGGGCATGGCATGCAGTGCTTCGGTGCGAGGGCTGCCCATGTCAGGAAACACAGTCCTCAGGGTCATGGTCTGGGCGGCCGAGGGGTCTCTGGTGTGGTGCATGCACGCGAACGATTGACGGACGTTGTCGGGTTTAACAACGCTGATTCCCGACGCTTCGGGCTTGAGGACAGAGCTCTCGACCTGTCGCGTAGGGAGTTGCTCCAATGTAGAGCGTAACGGTTTGTAGATTCGGCCCGCGACGTCGGGGGAGACGGAGAGTACGACGCGGTCAAAGACTTGCTCCAGGATGCGACCGGAGGGGTCGAGGGTTGATTGCCATCGCACTACGACCGTTCCATCGGCTTGGGGCACAGCTTCAATCACGCGGCTGTTAAGCTTAACGTCCTGCAGCTCTCGTGTCAATCTGCTCTGCACCTGTGAGACGCCCCCGCATACAGCGTAATGCTGTTGCCCATGCGAAAGCTTCTTGTAATTCACGACATCGCTCGCAGGGAACTGCAACATTTCCTCATGTGTACACGTCGCCACACCGCTCAGCAGCGGAAGCAGATAATGTGATCTATATCGTCTCGGTAACCGTATGCGATCGAAGTATTCGGCGAGGCTCTCGCTGTAACCGGTCGAGGAAATGTCGAGGGGCGCGACGAGGAAGCATGCAATCGTGAACCAGAATTGGCACACAATCAGGTATAGAATCTCGGTAAGATGGGCAATCAGGCCACGATTACCAGGCCACGGCGGCGGCGTCTGGTGCAGATTTGAGGCATGGATAAAGTAGCTCTCGTTGTCGCTGCCCTTGTGGGAGACTGTTCCATCGGCCGTCGATGTTGCTTTCGCGAAGACGAAGAGGAATTTGATCGGGTGAAGGGGAATTCGTAGGTGTTCGTACATTCGCATCAGGTTGTGATAATACCCTCCGGCGCTGGCGCGCATGGGCAGATCAATTCGTTCCGCATCATTCGTCGTTTCGTTTTTGATGGTTACAGAAGCCGAGTCGAAGGAGAGTCGATCAGCCTAGAAAAGAAACGTCATTGTTAGATCACCGTGTGAAGGAAGGTTTGAAGGATTGGACGCGAGGAGGATTCGAGTGCCTGTAACACTTGGCGAGTCGGGAGCCTTACCTGCTCAAATAGCGTAACATTATAGCGCTCATCGCCCTGTAGTAAGTAGCCAGTGGTAAGGCCGGCAAGACCTGTCCCAATGACAGCTACTCGCTTCGATGAACTTATACTTTGAGCCTCCATTTGAATAGCCTCATATCTTGAACGTCAAAAAACTCAATCCTTTTTTTAAAAGCTGGTGGCTGTACCTAGCAATTATGGTTAATTTTTCTTACTCTTCCAAACCCACCAACGACGACATCTAATTGGGTAGATCGCGACTCAACAAACCCACGGACCTGGGGATCAAGCCGAGGCTTGCACGATCGACTTATCTGTGTCTCGGAATCTTGAGTGTTTTTAGTTTGCTTTCTTGACGGTAATGGGCCGATCAATGGGCGGTGTACGTTGAAATCTACGACATTGTCTACGATATAGAGTTTCGGCAGTTCGACATCGTCTATTGATCGACTGAACCACAGCAGACATCTCAACATTCTGTTTGCTTGTGATTCTGGACTGAATAATTGGGTACTTCTCATTGAGCCAGCTCCTCGTCGACCCACGTCAGACAGCGGGCCAAGGTCTCAAAGCGGGATGATGCAGCGCGAGCTAAGACAAGAAAGAATTGACAATCTGACAAAGATTCTGTCGCAACACAGCTGAGCGCCTACTTAGCCTGAAGTCACTGTTATCACTATAACAGGATCCTTGTTTTTCGTACCTTTGGCCGTCGTTCTTCACGACTGATCCGGCCGTAACAAGCTCTTGACTGCAAATCCACGATGTTGGACGTCTCGAATGCCCGCCCGATCGGCATCCTCGCGGGATACCTGACAGCCTGCGCTGCTCTGGCAGCTGTCAGCATCGCTTCCATCTACCGCAAAGCCGCTTCCTCAGATGCTCTATCGCGTCGTCGGCATTCCATCGTCGTGTTCAGCGCTTTGGCAGTCCTGAGCCTTGCCACAACTTGGTATCACATGTTTCGCTTCTTCCAGTGGTCCTATCAGCAATGGGCATATGCTCATCCAGAGAGCCTTGATGGAACCATCCATTTGGGAGAATGGCTGCGCGACACGACGCTGTTCAAGCAGGCTTGGGTGTCGACCCTAGAAGAGCCGCCAAGAGCGCTGTGGTCTCTACAGATATTTGCGCATTGTGCGAATTGGAGCGTTATGCTGGCATCTTACGGTAAGATGATAGTCAAGTAAGTTTGTGTGAACGAATACTGATATACCGTCTAGACAAGAAGATGAAAATACCGCACCTCTGGGTGTTTATGCTCTTGGGTCAAATCGTGGCTATTTCCTTCGCTTTAAACCTATCCTTGCTGGCCGTTCTTGTTTTCGAAGACACAGATCCGACAGGAAAAGCAACAAACAGGGACAAGAACCAGCCACTCCCAGCAGAAACCCATTCTGCTCTACGCAAGTCATGGCTCGCCGTCCTGGCAGTCACAGTTGTCTGTGCAATCGCTATCCCACGGTATCTCGACCACCCTAACTTCATGTATCTTCTCCTCGCTCCCCACGTTCTAGCCTTTGTTCCTCTACTGTTGAACAAGCTCTTCAGCGGTTCGGAACGCGCAGTCATGGACCCACAGCCATTGGAAGACACTCGCCGCAATGTCAGGGCTATCATTGTTGTAGCAGCTATCCACAATCTTGGTCATGAACATGGGTGGACAGACTTTACGGGGGCTCTTTATGAGCATCCGGCCGTGAGCAGTGTTGGTTGGGATGTTATCTGTTGCTGGATAACCATTTCCGTATGGCATTGGGTTTCTTGGGCTGATGATTTCGAAAATAAGAACGGCTTTCGCCCTTTGCAATGGGTGCATATACGAAATTACTATTTGAATAGGTTGTTTGGTCTACGGGATTACCTGGCTCGACGTTTTATGTAAACGAACCTTCTTTTTAGTAAGTTAAGGGAAGCAAAAACTTCTTATATAGGTACTCAGACTCACCATCTGGCTATAGACCCGGTCATTCAACTATGTCCCTCTGGTCAATTTGAACTTGAAGTGAGTTTATCAAGTAAACGGTGAAAGCTTATTTCTAAAACTATGTTCCATGCCATCATGATCATTGTTTCACGGATGTAGGACTAGGACGCACATATATGAGATACGATAACCCGCCCTCAGAGTGCTAAAAGAGATGGCCCTGAATGCCTAGTAGAGGAAAAGTCTAGTCACTTTATGCCGGCTTAGACCAACCCTTAGGCTACTTGATTCTAACAATTTAAGCCTTGGAGGATAATTCTTCTGTTGCCCGCCTGCCCCCAACTCATCAATTTGCGAATATAGCCCTTGCTCCCATTCTATATTACTCCCATGTACATATATCGGATATGACGCTGCCGACGGACCGTTGTGGAGTTTCGCCAGGAAGATTATTGCCGACTTCTTAACAGGTTATAGCCGAGTAACCAGATCTCCATCTCGGTCTGAAGACATGAAACTTGTGAATCGTCAAAGCGCAGCTTTACCTTCCGGATCCGAAGTCGATAGCATTAGTTCTAACCTCCAGGTCTGGCTCCGCTTGTTGGTTTTGCATCACTTTGCCAAGAGTCAAGGATCCCCTACGTAAAAAAGCAAACAACCGAGACCTGTCATTTTGTTCAGCTGCAAATCATCCTAAACTAGAAATCTCCTCCGCTTCTCGTCGAAGGATTCAAGATCCGGGATTAACCTTGTTGCTTTTGGATTAATTCCCGGCAGGATTGCTTTTTTATGGCATGATTTCCGAGTTCGATGTTGGTTCTAGCAGGCCCGCTGCTACACAAGGTCATTCGTTCTCTGATCAATTAGTCGTCTTTTATGACGATCTTAAGATGTTGGTTGGCTCTTCTCATTTCATTGCGTACGGCCGGTCTCATTCACCAAATCTGTTGGTCTTGACCGGAAGCACGACGATCGTGAATGGAGTGGAGGCCAGTGTCAGACTTATCTATTGCCGTTCCTTGCATGCAGCTCACGCAGTGTAGACAGCGACGAAATTGAATAGCTGAAAGAATAAATTGACTAGTCCATAAACTCATAATGCGTAAGTGAATGTAAGGTAGTAATAATACAGAAGTGCCGATTGACGTCAAACGACAAGTGAATGAAAGAGGGTATCAGGTCAGGCTCTTGAAAACCAGCGTCATCTCTTTCCCAACTGCCCCAGGCAGCTACACCAAATCCATTTTTGTCAGTCTATCCTTCTTAGTATGGCTTCTTGCCAACAACGTTGCCAGCAGCAGTGTACCGAGCAACTGTGTACCAAGCGCCCTTCTTATCCTTGGCGGTAGCGATACCGATCTTGGTGGACTTGTTCCAGACAGCTTGAGCTGTTACTTCGTTAGCTCTGTTTTGAAAGTAGGAGGACGTATGAAACATACTGTAGTGGCCATAGGTAGAGAAGTTACCCTTTGGAATGGCCTCTCCCTTGTAGTTCTTTTTCTCGTTAAGCCTGCATCGTTGTCAGCTATCATCATGAATGGTGAGAAAGGAAACATACCAGCCCGTGGCTCCAGCAGTGATGGGGTTCTTAAATCCATTGCTGGCCCAAGCGTACGCAAGATTCTCGCCCTGTCCGGGACGGTCCTTACCCGCAGAGTGAGTCATCTTCCCAGCCTTTGCAATCTTCTTGGCGTAGGCGAGAGCATCGGCCTCAAGCTTGGTATCCCACTTGAGCGCGCTAACCTTGACCTTCTTGCGAGCATCATTGTGAAGCTTCAATGCCTTCGTCTGATCATCAGTAAGGGCTCTGGCAAACAGCTGATGCAAGACACTACGCTTCTCATTGCTGGCCTCGTCGTCATCGTCATCATCATCGGCATCGTCCTTGTCGTCAGCATGACAGACAATAGGGTCGACGCCGAGCTGAGTGACGCTGGTGTCAGCCTTTAGGATGTGATAATTGGGCTGTGTCTCGCCGGGGACTTTGTAGTCGTTGTCGACACTGATCTTGGCCCTGGTGCTCTTTGAGAGATGAGAATCATATTCGCCATCTCTATCGTAGGTAAGATCGATATTGTCCTTAGGTGCAGCTATCACCCCAGAGATGGAGTGAAGCAGTAGGAGAAGTGAAGGAACAGATAGAAGCATCGTGATATGTTGTTGTCCAAATGAGGAATGAGATTTCAGTTAAGCTTGATGTTGGTAGTTCCAGCCTCTTTCCCCTCTCTCCTCTCAAGCTTTATATATCCGTTGAGTAATAAGCTTTCGTGGCCAACGGCGATATTCAGGTTATCGTTCTGACGTCTGCAAGTGGCGTTGAGTTGCGGAAAGATCAGTAGCCGTGAGATCGGCGGTCCTGAGGACCCCTACTTAAGCTCAAACTTAAATACTCAGGAACAAGGTCCGCGTCACTCTTATTCTGACGTATTTTGCGGCTCTTCTAGATTCGCGGCTGAATGGTCTAGAGTTATGCATTCAGCGACTTTTGGCGTTGTGGGCTTGGGTGAAAAATTCCGGAGAATGTCTCAGCTGTTCGCAACTATTGATTTTTCGGTACCTGATCACATTCAATATTCAATATTTGGGTATTGATCACTGCTAGTACTGAAGGGAGCATTTTACATAATTCTTCCCGCTCCCCACACTTTTTAGCCGATCGTGAATGGGAAGTGGAAACGTAGATATCACCACTTCGTTGAGGTAAGAGTAACACATTACGAACCAGTGGCGGCCCAAAGACTCCAGATCTATGCGATCGCCCTCTATTTCGTAGCATTTACATCATTGCGAATTCTTTTTGACAGCTGTCAGAGTCGATTAAGGACAGTGACGGTCAGCCCTACACAGATGATGTTGACAATCTTAGCCGTTCACGGCAGTGATACATTCCCATCACTGAGCCGTCCTGGTTTTCACGCATATGAAACGCCAACATCCATGACAAGATCAAAGTTCTATTCCTCTTATGACAGTATGCTCAATTCCAATCAATCTCTTTCTTCCAACGGGAACTGTCCGCATGTCACTGACATATCTGAGACATCCCAATATTGCCTTTGACATTACTGCATTTGGCCATGGCACCCACCACACCACCAATGAGGAATGCAATCCAAACCTTAAGCCGCACAAGCTCCAAGATTTGACCGAAAACGGGTATTTGCCTCAGGGTCGCAGCCGTTCGGTCTAAGAGTATTGACGCAGAGGAATTCCAGGTAGACGAAGTGTGTCTCGTGACGGAAGTTGCTGATCCGGTTGATGCTTGCCTACTCTAATGGATGAATGGATAAAGTGAGACAGTGTAGTGCTGCGGCCGTTACGTTAAGAACGCGTAATGAATATCGAATTGCCACCAGGTATCTAAGATTCAGTGAGGAATCTGGGGAAAGGCCAGTGCTTACACGAATTATTATGCCATCGAAGGTTTTTTCCCCTTTTATTTCCTGAAAGTTAACTACTTTTGATGCCAAGATCTGTCACAATGCTAACTGGTGCTGATGCTAAAGAAAAAAGTGCCTCGCCCGTTCGTTCTATAGTTGCGAGACCTTTGCTGTTGCAAGTCGTGAATGTCATAACCTATAGCTTTTGAAGGTACAAATTGTCGATCCTAGCATAGATGTTTTTAGGCTGTCCTTCAGGTAGGCGCTCAAGAAATCTCAAGGCAACATCATAGTATCCTTCTGCTTCCTCAGGAACGTCGAAGCCGACTTGAAGCGGGACCACAACTGTTCCCGCTGCAGCCACGACCTTTGAATATCCAAATTTGGGGCTTATCGTTGTTTCTGTGTCGCGATTGACAAGTTCGTATCGGACTACCTGATGCCAGTAGTCGGAGTCATGAGGAAACTTGGCAGGCGGCGCATGCAATCCCATCTGGTAGCTGCCTGCTTCAAGGTAGATGGGCTTAGCTTGACGTAGAATACCAAGTTCACCTGCTGCATCATACACTAAGTACATCCACTGGTTTTGAAGGCCGCCAAGTTTGTAAAAGTCTCCTTTCCACGAGTCGGGGGACAATTTCCAACCAGTCGAGTCACCAGTCTCAAAGTCGCCATTGATAAGACGATTTACTTTGGTTGGAAGGACAGTAATTGTGGATGTACCGCCAGTTGTGGCCGTAAAGACTGTTTCCCATGATGTAAGTGTAGCACGAGGCGTGGTGATGATGGTGTTGATCTGCAGTGAATTGTTAACAAGAAACTCTTCGCGTCAGCATATCTGACTTACTTCCGTGATGGTTTCCGTGCTGACAACATGAGTGACGCCGACAGTCGAGGCCGGCACACTGATGCAAGAACACGCCGACGTAATCCTGCTAGCAGGGTATGTGACGCCGTTCGTCATACATTTTGGTGGGTTTGCGGCCACTTGACGTTTGATAGCACCAGCAGCATCGGCTGTCACAACTGTTGTGGCTGTAGGAACAGTTGCCGTAAAAACAGTTGTTTTGTGGATCTCAGTTACTTCGGCTGCATCGGCAGTAGCAGTAGACTCTACAGTTGATGTTCTTATAATGTCAGTTGCATGAAGAATAACTTATTATAACCGGGTTATCTTACACGGTTGCAATTGAAGTTGCGACAGTTACTGTAAAGGGTGCAAGTTCCGCACAAAAGTCGCTAGCCTGGTTTGAGTACCGCTGGTCGATGAAGCATCGGAACAAGTTATCACGATTGCATGCTGCTCGTTTGTTGAGATGATTGGGTACTTGTGCTAGGGCTCCGAGACCAGAGGCCCCAGTAAGCAGGATATTGGTGAATCTCATTTTTCTTGACTGAAGTCGGGTTGACAACCAAAACAAGCTCAAGAACTGTTGACCGCACGTACATATATATCCCATTGATTGGGATCCTTTTGTCCTGCAATGTTTTGTTGTCAGGTCATGCAGTGGAGCTGAAGCCGAGTCGAGACCGGTGCTCTAACCACGAGGAGAGACCTGCGTCAATAGCTCTTCAATAGCCATCTCGTTTAACTGTTCAGCCGCCCACATCATCCCTCCAGCCCGCCACCAAATGCATGTTTCAGTGGTGCGGATAGCTAGACCTCAGCTTTGTTTTTGTGTTGGCCGGCTGAGGCGGTTGTGATAGCTTCCGACTGGGCGTCAGACGAGCCCTATGGAGTTGTTTGTTAACGTATCATAGCATCAGTTGGTTGCTTGGGTTATAACATGAAGTGCTCGTGCGCTAAAATCCATTTCCATTGACTGGTTTTTCAATTTTTGTCGCAGTGACTATTACAAACCTTGCCGGAGAGTGGACTTGCCCCAATCGATCAATGAAATCTTCACCAAACAGTTTGTCGCTAAAATCTTTCTCTTGATGGGACAGTGACATTTTCTTGACTCCTGCGTAGCAAGTCTCTTTACAGTAAGAGAGCTCGAAGCATACTGTATCATCAGGCCTTATCAACGATAAGATAGCTTATCGAGACCGTGATTAGCACGGACCATCGAATATCCGAGTAGCTGAGCCCACAGTTATGACATTTCACACTGTATCGGAACGAGCTCAGGCAGCTCTAGGGTAGGGGATGAAGACATAGGTTCATGTGCTTCCGATTACTGGGAAATATCTCAGCATACTCTTTACTGTAGCTGTAGTAGTATATTCTTGTTCTGGGATCAAATATCGAGTAATTAATTGCTTATGAGATTTCAGTGCTCCCAGGTTTTGTCTGTGAGTTTTTTCATGTATGCTTTCCCAACGTTCACCCAGGTCCATTATAATGATGCCTTAGTGACAGTGTCCACGTCCACCAACACCGAAACGGCGTCAATATACGCGTAATAGTCCTCATACTTTAACATGACGGACTAAACATACAACTCTGACTCTACGCACCCCAAACCTCTATTGTCGATGCCTGGAGTGCCGTTTCTCTCAAATGTTCAGATGTGTACCCACACGTCAGATTTGACCAATCATAACGCTGCGTCTGCATCGGCAATGATCAGTTCCGTCACTGTCATAGAAGCTCCATAAACTCCGCAGCCCATGTCATGATCCAGCTACGCGGCCAATCATGAGTGCCAATTCGCAACAACCGGGTCTTGGTCTCGGGAGTGAAACCCCATAACGTAGCAATTATGAATGATTTCAAAGCAGATCCATTCGTCAAGCTATTTCCGTGAGGCTATAATAACCCCAGACCGTATCCTACCAAACCTCCATCTTCAATGTTCTCTATCAACTCACAAACACCAAAATGTCTTCCATCAAGCCTCTTACTCTGCACGCCCACCACACCGGCCCCAACCCCTTCAAGGTCGCCATCCTCCTTGAGGCCCTCAACATCCCCTACAATGTCAAGCTCTGGCAATTCGGCGAAGGCTCCAACGGCCTAAAGGGTCCCAACTTCCTTGCCATCAACCCTAATGGCCGTGTTCCCGCCCTTGAGGACCCCAACACCAACGTCACAAGCTGGGAAAGCTTGGCATGCGTCAACTACGTCCTCCGCGTCTACGACACCGAGAACAAGTTCGGCCACCGTGAAGAAGCCGGTGAGCAGGGTAGAGTCGACGTTGAGAAGTGGATTAGCTTCCTGATTACTACCATGGGTCCCATGATGGGACAGTGCAACTGGTTCCGCCACTACCACGACGTCAAGAACGATAACGCGTATGAGCGATACTACGCTCAGGCTTGCCGATGCTTTGCCGTTTTGGAGGAGCAGCTCAAGTCTCACAATGGAGACTGGATTCTTGCGGGTGAGAAGCCTAATGTTGTGGACTTCCACTTTGAGCCTTGGGTGCGACAGTATGAGTATGCTGGTTTGACCATGAAGGAGTATCCTACTGTTAAGGCGTGGTTGGATCGTGTCCAGGCTCTGCCTATTGTTAAGCAAGCCTATGAAAAGGTCAAGGCTGGAGAGGAGGTTCAGTAAAGGAAGGGACCCCGAATAGATCCCAAGCAAAAATAAATATCACAAATTACATACCGAATAGTCTTCCATGATCATGATTATGATGTACTAGGTACCATTGTGTAGCGTAACCTGCTCATCGTAGGAGGCATTCAGACCATATCGGGCAAAACATAATCCGCAAAGAACTTTAGATCCGGATGACTAGACGATGAATCAATTGATCCATGGGATCCTGATCTAGACGATTAGCCAATCCCTTTCTGACATTATAAGCCGCGATCGTAAAGACACGAGACACCATCGGAGCCGACATTTTAATACCGCTGCGGCCCCATCTCCGCAAACTAGCGCTAGCCAGGATCCTAAAACTCATGATCTGGGGAAAAGGTCGAAAGGAAAGTCAAAAAGCGCAAGATCGGCATCGACCCCGCATTCTAATGGCAGTACAAGTCTCGGCATGGTAGCAAGACTCGAGTTAAAGCAGTGAAAACTGTGCCTGGAGGTCGACTTCCGACATGGTTAGAGTGCGGAGACTGGCTAAAGGATCGTGGCTTTGTCGCTTGCCAACAACGTAAGGTTCCGGTGGGTCAGTGAGCTGACAATTATCATGTGAGGAGTCAGTCAACTCGGCATATATAAAACAGTCGTGAGCCGCACCTTCCGTTGCGCATGGGAAAGAAATCTCTCAGTATGCCAAGATTACCAACAGCTTCATTCACAAAACTCTTCACTCAAAACTTCCGTGGCCCTGCTCCTAGGACTATACATCGCTCGTTCTACAGCACTATGATGCGAGCAGCAAGATATTATGGGATAGAGGACATTCGTGTCGAGCAGGTTCCTCAACCTACAGTGAAATCCGGCCAAGTCAAGGTATGCCTCAGCATGCGTGACCACGTTCAAAAACTGATGTCGTGAATAGGTATCTCCGCGCTATGTTGGTATATGCGGTACCGACCTGCACGAGTACCTAGGAGGCCCAAACTTCTGTCCCACGACACCTCATCCCCTCACCAAAGAAGCCATCCCCGTGACTCTCGGCCACGAGTTCTCAGGCGTCATCACCGAAATTGGCCCTGACGTCGAAGGCTTCAAAGTAGGACAGCCCTGCGCAATTCAACCGACGCTCTTTTGCGGCCACTGTGCAGCCTGTCACAACCACGCCGAGAATGTCTGCCATACAGGCGGCTTCGTCGGATTGAGCGGAGGCGGCGGAGGCTTAAGCGAGTCTGTCTGCGTGAACGCCACACACGTCCATCCTCTGCCCGAGGATCTACCTCTTGAAATTGGAGCGCTCGTCGAGCCGCTGTCTGTCTCGTGGCATGCCATGACTGCGGCACCTGAGATTGGACCGGGTGCAAGAGTTGTAATTCTCGGAGGTGGACCCATTGGCTTGGCCATGATTCTTTGTCTCAAAGCGAAGGGCGTGAGCGAAATCATTCTCTCAGAGGTTGCAACTTCGAGACAGAACTTTGCGAAGGTATTTGGCGCGACACGTGTTGTAAATCCGATTGAAGAGAACCTTAACGAGGTCGTGCTCGGTTTGACCGATGGTAGAGGCGCTGATGTTGTTTTTGACTGCGCTGGTGTGCCGATGAGGTGAGAAGCAATAACCTGAAATATAGACATAGGCTGACAATCTGGTAGTATTAAGAGCGCGTGCGAAGTCGTTAGGACGAAGGGCACTGTCGTCAACCTCGCAATCTGGGAGAAGGAAATACCCTTCAACCCGAACTGGATCACGATGAAGGAGAGCTCATACAAATCGGTGCTCGGCTATGCCCACAAGGACTTCCAAGCTGTGATTGCAAACCTGGCCTCAGGTAAGTTCTCCAATACTCTTCTCGGGACCAAGGCTGACATGTCCCAAGGCGCGATAAAACCTAGCCAGATGATCACAAGGAAGATCAAGCTGGAGAATATTGTAGAGGATGGAATCAAAGCATTGATCCATGACAAGAACAATCAGGTCAAGATATTGGTGGATATAAATGATAAGTAACTGTCAAGGCTAGTAACACTCGTTGCATAAAATACTTAGCCAAAGTCTTCATCAAATAGGTGGATGGCGTGTAGGTAATTCCTTCCGTGGTTACCCTTTCTGATTGCCTGATGTTTTTCGTGGAAAGAGCTCGAGATGTGAGGGACTCAAAGTCCCATCTACCGTAGGAAAGTGCAATTAGCTCCGAGACAGCAGTAACTTGATACGCACTTGCCGACCCCTTGCTAGACACCCGCGATTCAAAACACCCAAGGACTGCATTTAGGTCTTCCACTCTTGTCTGTTAGGCCAATTTCAAAGTGACAAGGTCGTTCCTTATCGTTCTTTGATAGCCAGTTCAAACCTTTCTCAGCTTAGTGCATTGGGGAAACTGATATCGCAGATCGCTCCACCAATAAACCCCAGGCTTCATCTCCGCGTTTTCGTCCCTAGCGTAGCACTGAGACCCAAAGATAAGGGCGCAGCCAAGTACCGAGAACCACTACCCCTTGTTTGGAGCTGCCCGGGTTCCAGGCGATTCATCATTCATTCTGGACTCTGTTCGCATTTCTGCAAGCAATCCAACGTACGACAAGAAGATACAACTCGCATAAAGTCAAGGTATAAATTACCAAAAAGCTGATCTAAAAGGAATCTGATTTCATCTTTGTTCTTCAGCTATCACTTCCACCACTATGGCAATGCCGTGTAACAGCAAGAAGGCGCGTCGCTGTCTTGGTCTCCGTTGACCTGTTATCTTACTGTCGATCCTTAGATCCTACCAACCACAGGCCAGTGCCCAGAGATAAGAATATACGCCACATCTTGCAAGCCAACGTTATCTTCACTCAGCACCTCTTATCTCGCATGTCTTCGCCGGAAAGGGGAAAAAGATCCAGAAGAGGTAGTGATACCCATTTCTTGGCATTGTCTCAAGATATCGAGATCCTCAGCCTCAGTCGTTGAAGATTTAAATATGAGGTGCATGCGGGTCCTCGACATGATGAATGGCAATCACGACCAAGCTGAACTTACTGCAGTATGGCCGAGTCCTCAATCACCCCGGTCACTGAGTGGCCAGACTACGCTGTCGATCCTACCGGTGGAAATCCCGTCACTCATGACTTGAATGCTCCGTATGACAAGGTACCAATTATCACGACCGTGTATGATCGTCTCTAATAATGCATAGGGAGACTTGGCTTGGATGCTAGTATGCACGATTCTATGCTGGCAGATCACACCCGCGATCGGCTTCTTGGTAGGTTATCCCATGAACACATTCGGAGCACGTCTAATTCCAGCAGTATGCCGGTATGCATCGCCGAAAAGCTGCATTGACCATGGTCTTGCAGTCACTCTTCTGCGCCTGCGCTGTGGGCATCCAATACTGGATCTACGGTTACTCTCTCTACCAAAGTCGTACCACGAATCCCATTCTCGGTGACCTCTCATTGGCAGCTTTCCACAATGTTCTCGCCCAGCCATCGATCGCTAACGGAGACATCCCTGAGATCCTATACGCTGTTTTTGGTGTTACCTTTGTGACAGCTACCGCGATGATCTTGGCTGGAGCTATGCTGGAACGAGGCAGACTTTGGCCGAGCATGGTATTTCTCTTGTGCTGGACTACCTTTGTCTACTATATGTATGTTTATCCGACACATCAGTGTAAGTTTGGATGAAGCTCACCGTCTCGATAGCCTTGCGTACTGGGAATGGAACCCAAGCGGATGGCTCTACAATCTCGGACTCTACGATTTCGCCGGCTCTGGGCCTGTCCATATTGCGTCAGGCTTCGGAGCTCTAGCCTGGTCGATGATGTTGGGACCTCGAATCCCCGATGCCACTATAACCGATCGAAAGCGCGCAGTGCACTACAAGCCTCACAATCCACTTCTTATGTGCTTTGGAACTGTCCTTATCTGGTTCGGCTGGTTCGCATTCAACGGCGGTAGTACGGCCAACCTCAGTCTTCGATCCATCTACGTCGTTGTCAACACAAACATGTCGGCTTGTGCTGGTGGTATTGGTTGGGTTCTGCTTGGGTATCTGCACACTCGCAAGTTCAGTCTCGTTGGCTTCTGCTCAGGCATCATTGCCGGACTCGTCGGTATTACACCCTGCGCAGGCTTCACTCCCATCTATGTCGCCCCCGTTATCGGCTTGGCCACTACTGTCGGCTGTTTCTACACTGTCAAGTACAAGTACCTTCTTTCCATCGACGACGGACTGGATATCTTCGCCATCCATGGAATCGGCGGTGTCATCGGTGACATCCTGACCGGCCTTTTCGCAGCCCAGTGGGTGCCCGCTCTGGACGGTGTCTCAGGAGACACATATGATGGCGGATGGTGGGAAGGCAACTACAAGCAACTCGGCTACCAAATTGTCGGCGCTCTTACCTGCGCCGCATGGTCATTCGTTGTGTCGTGTCTGCTACTGTTTGTTATCAACAAGATTCCTGGACTCCACCTTAGAGCGAGCGAGGAGCATGAGATTCGAGGTCTGGATTACAAGTACCTCAGCGATGTCGACTGGGAGGATCATTATATGAACGGTGGTGTCACGCCTGTCATGGATGGTACACCCGTGCGAGTGGGTACGCCTCAGCAAACGGTGGAGCCGAAGGGTGATGAACGAAAGGTTGACTAAGTTGATTGAGCAGGATGCTTTCTTGAATAGCTAGAGCGATACAGAGGTATTTCGAAGATTAACAGATGTCGTACAGGATGATCCCAATATCTGCTGCACATATTCTACCTGCCGATAGAGAAGAGGAGGATGACTCCCCGCTAACATGGCTCCTAATTAGCAGTCAAGGTAAACAGCTGTAAGCTCATTAGTAAACGATTCATTATCAGTTGTTGTAGTTGGAAGACTTACCACTGGCATACAGTCCATACGAATCAGCATTGTAAAGACAAGACAAGGGATCCAAGGCAGTCGAGTTCTCGTAGCCATATGCATAGTCCTGAGTCGAAACCTCCTGCTCATAAACGGTCCTAGCATGGGTCATCTCATGAATCATCGTGCTGGCATGATCCTGTTTGTGGCACTGGGTTGGAAGAGGTCCCTGCCACGTATAGAAAAGAGGGCACATAACAATGTAACCGTTAACCCAAGTCGTGTAAGCAATCAAAGGACCGGCACTTTCGCAGTAGCCTGCATCGTCCTTGCAGAAGACTCGCGTGTTTTCGCTCTTGGAATCGGCGCATTCTTCGGCAACGGCCAATAGACGGCCTGAAACGTGGTTTCGGGACTCAGTGTCGTTGGCCTTGAAGTACTCCACGAATCGGGCTGATTGCGGATCGGCAGCATCGGCAGCGGCAGCCTTAGCAAGAGACACACAGTTCTTTACTGCGTTCTGGTTGGCCTCGAGCTTATCGGCTTCGCATCCCTCTGATTCGACAATGGCTCGCTTGGATTGCATTGCCTTGGCTGAAGACGCCTTGCTGATCTTGACAGAGATGGGCGACGATCTGATCTTGATGGAAGTGGACTTTTTGTCTTTACCGGAAACTGCGGGAAGACTGCCATCGACAAAGACAGAGTAGGTGCCTGGCTTCAAGTCGTGAGTAACGGAAAGGTCCACAGTTCGAGAGATAGAGGATCCAGCAGCCAAATGTTCGTAGTCCTTGGTCTTGAGGCCATCGTAGTAGATGCTCAAGCTGATACCCATGAAAGGAACATCGTCACCTGTACACAATTAGTCTCGTAGTAAAAAGCAAAGTCATAAGCTATGCGTACCGTTCTCATTGGTCACAGTCAGCTTCTTCACAGGTCGCTCATCGAGGATAGTGCCAATCTTCAACAGGCTCAAATCAGAGTCTCCATTGTTAGTAATAGTAGCCTTGACCTCGCTTGGCTTTCCAGGAACTTGAGCGAGAGAGATGCTCAAGTCATTGGATTCTTGAGCGCGTCGATAAGGGTTATGCGACTGCACGCCGACGGTCAATTGGGCAACCAATGTCAAAACCTGGAAGAACTTCATGTTGGCAATTTAAGACTGAAGTTTACTATTTCATCGCAGAATAGCCAGGAAGCACGTCTATCTATACAAAGACAAATTCATGCGCTTAGACTTGAAAAGGGGACCGGCAATGGTGAAACTGCCGGACAAGCTGCCAATCCGAGCAATTTCTTCCGCTGCCAAGAGTCTCTATACGAAGCAATCCCTGTAACGTTCTATTTTCACGTCTCGAACAGAGCGCTGAGCCCACTATTTGCCGCACTTGGATGGTCCAGCTAGTGCTTGGACACCGTCAGGGTCACATGTGTCTGAGCGATGATCTAAATACGAGCAGTTGGCCTGCTCAGTTAAATAGTCCGTGCTGATAACTGCTATACATTCTTGTCAATTCTTAACTGTCTTAAACTTAATTAGGTTTGACCCTTTGCTATACTGTTTCTCGTATATTGCATGTCGTGTCAGGCTGAAAAGATTGTAACAAACCTGGCTATCCATTGATACAAATCCTGTTATTCTGTTTAGCAATCTGCCTTCGACTGTCAACATTGATTTGGCCTACGAAATTTACAAACGTCAAAGGGAATAGTATTGTAACTACAGCATTAAGTAAACATCCAACGACATTCCAACGTGTGCATTCTACTATAAATAGCCCGAGCGCGTAGCTGTTGACCGAGTGTTCTTATTCACGTAGGGAGAATTAACTGCCAGGCTCTATCAGGGCGTCAGAAGAACTAGCCGTCGAGAGTATAAGAGACGAAAGAATTTGGTCACCTTAGGATAGTTTAGACCGGAATTTAGGCAACTCTGTTAAGAAGGCTAAATCTTGAATAACCATTCACCTGTTACCGTCTTTTATGTTTTATGAACCTTACGCCAACATCTCCCTAAAGTCGACCAAAATAACAAAGATGAGAAAAACATACTTTCTCAACATTGACACATTTAGTCACTATGATTACCTGCTGGCTTTGATAATAATAAACTCTCTTGATGAAATCACAGATTGCATTGGTTCGATGATGCCCGACCGTCTGTTTCTAGTGCAGATACATACCGTCCTCCTCCTTCTTGCACATTCATATCGAAGCATACATCGCCCCCTTGTCCACCAAATTAATGGTGCAATTGGCGACGCTAACGAACTTCACTACACAGTCAAAGTATGTCCCCACGGAAACCAAGGTTGGTGCTGTTGCTGCCGCAGCCATTGTTGTGATAGTTCAACAGAGAAACGAGAATTATCATCTAAAGCTTAGGGCCTCAAAATAAAATAACCTAAGTGCTAGTCTAAGCTATCATAAGGTGCCAAATTATTTCGTCTCTTATGCTTTGAGCGGCCGTTTGTTCAATCATGGATCGTGGTCGAATCGCTCCTTCCTTCCTGGGCCAGATCAAGGGCCTCCTTCCTGTAGAATACCTGGGATCATGAGCCATCCGTTCTTTCCCAAACTGTAGCCGTAAACGTTTGTATCATCTCGATGAGCTTGGGCGTTTTTCTCCTCCTCTTCTTTTTCCTCTCTCATCACAGTTTCCTCAGCAGCAGCAACAGCAACCATGCCTTCGTGGGAGTCTATCTTCGATTTTGCGGTGTCGGCCGTGTCCCTCGCCGCCAACCTTATTACCTTGACGGAGACGGCGATGAGGCTTCTTGGGCGGGGCAACAACCGTAAGATCTCACATCTATGTGTTGGGAAACTACTGACATCACGCAGGGCTTGAAGATTTGGAGGCCGGCGCCGCGCGGATGGAGGATGCGTTGCGTGAGGTGAGCGACGAGTTGGAAGACCTGGGACGGGAGGTCCGTGAACTCCGGGAGGTCGTCAACGATCTCCAGACCCGCCTCGGAGAGCGTCTCCCGTCTCCTCCCCCATCTCCTCCCCGGCGCCGGAACCCCCACCCCCACCTCGACTAAGCCCACCGCGTGTTGAGCGAGGCAAATCACGTTAAAACAACCGACCGTGGGAGGGACAACCACGTAAAAAACCCTTAAAAAAAGGAAGGGGAGGCATCAAACTAGCCCAGGCATCTATCCCACAACAGTGTAAGCCCTGGCTAGCCCGGTCCGTGGGTCTGTAGGTCAGGCGCTTTTCTCGATCACTGGTCTCTTAATCATTCATCATGGCCATATCGATCAAGTGCACCTTGTCCGGGTCCAGTAGCCAGCACATCTCCCCATCGATTGCTGGTGAAGCTAAAGCAGCCCCATTATCGAGTTGTTCCCACAAACAAACACCAAACAACATCTCGATATAAAAACGATGCCTCCACTCTACTCGCACCTCATTTCCTTGACGCTCTTCTTCAAACATCTCAGACAGATCCCCCACGTCTGGAGCCGTCACCGAGTACACCTTCCTTTTGTTCTATCCTCCACCTGTCAAGCCTCAACTTCTTCGTTGCCTCAAAAACTTCAATTCGACTTGACTGTTACAAGTTTTTCAGCTGCCAAGCATACACATAGCCTTCGGTGCGCCACGGCTACCGGCCGAGTAACACTCAAGGAGGATGGCGGTACGAACACACACAGCACCAGGCCAGTCAAACGATCATGTCTTGCACCTACCGGTGTGCGTATCTTGCACCATGAACAGCGTCATCAGAAACGTTGACGTTTTGACGTTCCCACACGAAGTGATGGGAGGCTCCTGCTGGTCAGACGTTTCTCTCTGGCGTCGTTGCCCAAGGTCCCGCGATGCAAGACACCAATCGACACCGTCACCAATGCATTCTCTTCCATCCTTGGAAGCTCATGGCACTTCTGCTTTGTCATATTTTCACGGTTCTACCAGAGCTCCTTGGCCCTATCTACGATGCTGGTGATCCAGATGTCGGATCAGTTACGCAGCTATGGCCCCAGCAAGCGGCCGCTTCCGTACAATCGAGACTCCGGAGTTCCGATGGACTTCATAGTCAATTAAACCAAGTATGTTCACAACAAGTTTTCTCTTTCAGCACTAACGAATACCGATACAGACCACGCAGAATCTGAATGTCGCTTGATTACGATATCTGAGGCGATGTCCCTCACCGAGCTTCATACGTCGGGCACGCTTATATCACCGAAGTATCGGCCACCATTCCTCGACACACCGCATTTTAATACCTGTTGGGAGGAGAACCTCAGAGCCAGCCTCAAAACATCATGGTGGAAAAGCCACGATTCACTGAAGGACATTGGGGAAAGTCTTTTTGCAATGGAACAAAGCTCATGGTCATTTCCTTTCGCACCTTTTTGTTGGGCCCCAAGAATGCGGACTTCAACGGGCTTCTGCGATCAGCAATCCTGTCGACCTGTCACCTTGCTAGACTTATGCAAACTTTAACAGTCTGTACTAGAAGACTTTGAGAGTTGGGTTTCTAGAAGACGAGGCTCTATCTATGTCACAAGGGAACTCTAATATCCCAGGGCCCTTGGATGGGCCTCTCAATTTTAAACTTTCCCTTTTGCAGATCAGATCACAGAGGACAAGGTTATAAATTCTGTTGGCCTTCCTTTCTTCCTTGGCCTTTCCATTCTTTTCATCATCACCGTTCGCCTCCGTCCAGACCTTTCACAAGGATCGCCAAAATGGGTCGCTTCCATCTAGAACCGGATTTCTCATCATCGTGGGGTCAACGCCTTTTGGAGGAGTTGCTTCTCGGCCAAGGCACCAATGCCATTCCCCTCCTGGGAGCCGATGAAGGGAAGCCATCTCATCTACATACACCGGCACCAGGGAATGCCTGCCTTCCAGCCCCCCTCGAATCCCAGAAGCTAAGAAGTCGGAAGAACTTGGAGTCCAAACTATTACAGCTCCCGGCTGAGCTGTTGGTCCACCTCATGTTATTTCTATCCCATAGTTCCCTCTATATGGTCCGCCAAACCTGCCAGGTCTTGCGGAATCTGACCGACGACTTTCAGTTCCAAGAATTCCATTGGGGTATTCTAGAGCATGAGATTCAGGATCCTACATGACTATGCCTCCATTCAACGACCCACGGGACATCAAGAGGATCTTCCTACGAAGATGCTTATGCACAATATGTGGAACGCTCTTCGACTCCGGCGAATTGGAAGAAAGACTGGAGAGACTCTGGCAACAAGTCTTGTGCTTAGGATGCAGAACCCCACACCCGGAACTTCTTTTTACTCAGGGAAGCAGAGAACACGATATTTGCGTAGGACTACTGGGTAACTTCTCCGTCTGCAAACATGTCAAAGTCGCCGGCAAGGTCGAGGTGGACAAAGAATTTGACCTTGACCTTCGTTGCTTAGACCCGGAACACTTTCCAGTGGGCAGAATGGGCTCTGCAGAACGATCTGCCTTCGAAGGGTATTGTCCAAAGGTCTATAGCTCAGCGGACATGGGCGTGTACTCCAAATGCTTTCCCTTGGTAAAGATTGTCCCTCGACAATATCCCGGGATGCCAGCATTGAAGTCGCGGCTATTGGAAGAACTCAAGAAACCCCATCACGATGGACTTTGTCAACACGCCTCATCTCAGCTTGAATCAATCGTGTCGTCTTTGCCATCCGACAAATGCGGTTGTTTCCCAGCCTCCGGTCCTATGGCCAAGTGGGCGGGCAAGCATTATTTTCGGTGCACGAACCATGATTACGATTGTCGCCATTGCGGAGCACTTTACCATTGGTTCTACGAGAACGATTATATCGTACTTTCAGTCAGGATTAATCTAGCCAGCAAAGGTGTATACGACATGAACTGCTTGTGAACATTACGTTTCCAAAAGATCAGCACCCTACTCATCCCATCTTGAACGAAAGCACCAAGGGTATTCTCTGGTGCAGCGATCCGTCATGTGGCACAGGCAGTGGAAGTCGTTGGCTATTGATGGTGGAGATCATGAAAAGGGCTATACTTCGGAGTAATGTGACATACGACGGGGTTACTCGGCGGAATCGTGCATTTGCGGCCAATTTGCCTTACACGCTGGAATACCAAGTGTTTCAGAATGCGGCACTCTGGATGACTGAGCGAGATATGTTGATCGATGACCTTCTTTTTCCAATAGCAACTAAATTCTGAGAGCCAGGTCACTCAATACCGCCGAAACTAGAGACGGAAAATTGGGGGAAGGAATGGACGTCTTCGCAATTGTTTGTTAGAAGATCAGATATCTCTGTTTGTCACATGGATGTAGACGTCGCAAGGCCTTGTCCGATTCTATACTTGACACTAAAATAAAATCTCTCATGTTTCTTAATCGATCTCTTCTTTCCTTGGTGACACGGATGGAGTTGGTTGACGCTGGAGTCCGTCGTCCAAGATTCCCACTCGGCGGTCCAGTCGACGGTTGTCCCTCGCCCCGCCACCAACAACCGACTCCTCGGGAGACCCTGGTTAATGTCAGTATGTATATGTCCAACGCGAAAGACCTGAATTACCGTCCTGCTTCTGCTTGTTCATTCATTTCCGGATGTACATCACCCCCTTCTCCAGCACCACGATGGAGCCGCCGATGATGACAACGGCCTTGGTGGTGTAGTCGCAAACGGAAAAACAAGAAACCACGGCGCCGGTGGTGGCTCAATGTAGGATCCCAGACTAGGGAGGCGCTCCGTCCGAGGCTAGAGACCGATTACGATCTCCCGGAGCGCAATGCTCTCCGCCCCGTCGGCTGCGTTCTGAGTCGTGTGGCTACTGTCTGGCGTCAGTACACATGTTTCCAAGCATATATCAGGCTTCATACGGTCGAAGCCTAGCCACCACCAGCCATACTTTCACCCCTCCAGAGTGGCAATAATACTGGTGAATGGTGATAAGTCCAAAGCTTTCACCGAAGCCTCAAGACCCGCGGAAGCCATTGCGGCTGCTTTTGTCGCTGTCGTTGCTGCTGCTGCGCTGGTGGTTGTGATGACTGGAGAGAGAAAGGTCAGAGATGTCTATCGTCGAGATAATAAAGAAGTCCATAACCATGGTTGCAGTTTGGAAAGTATTTTGTTGTTTGTCTGCATACCTTCAAGGAACCATTACTCAAAAAAACACAGATTAGCAGTTTGGGAAGGAGGTTATTGATCTTACCGACGATGTGAGAAGGAATCAAGTGGGCTACGGAAGAAATATCTTCTCAGGCTTAGGCGCCATAGTAGGTATTCTAAGCTATCATAAAGTCAACCAAGTGTTTCGTCTCTTATCCTCTTAATGGCCAGTTTCTGTAGAATGACGAGGGGCCCTTTTGCGGAAGGTATGAATACATCGCGGTCCATAAAATAAAGAGATAAATACGGCGCGACAGATTGGGCCTCTTTGAAAACTGTTCGTAGTAAATCAAAGAGATATATGATTGTAATTACAGTATTAACTAAACATCTAACAAGATTTAAATACGACTAATTACTGACTTCCATATCCGTGCTTCATAAAGACTGCCGGGTATCATTAGACCAAGGTTACGCAGTAACCTACGTCAATCCACCGAAGAGGTAAAGTGCTCCAAGAATTACCAAACGTTGAGCAATTCTGGACGTTCCCTGCTAATATTCATCGTTTCAGGGATTATCATTTTGTGCTACACCTTCAGCCCAAGTTTCAGCTTAAGCAGTGGTGGTAGCGTCAGGGACATTGACAGCGCCGTTGTTGGCAGTTCCCTGCTGTCTGGGCTTGACATTGGGACCCTCGGGCAGGACGCGCTCATCAACATCCCGGATTCGGAGTCCAAGGCGAGCGGGGTCGATGTTGCGATGGCCGAAGAGAAGCAGCGCACCAAAGACAGGCTTCGCGATGAGATCGAGGATACCGTAGAATATAGCCTCAGAGTCAGGAGAGATGACATTGCCACCCTCGCAGACGCCCCAGGCGATGGGGTAGAGGATCCAGATGAGGGCTGTCAAGCTACCGCAAGTGACAAAGACCTTGCCAACATCCTGGCCGACATGATAGGCGTGCTTGCGGGCTTCCCAGGCGAGTTGGTAGACGATATAGACGAGAGCGACACAGCCTGGAACGTGTTAGTATGGCTCCCCATTCCGTGGACCGAGGGATGAACTGACCGAAAGTAAAGTATCCCCATTTGTAGGAGCTCTTGACCAAAGCACCAACAAGACCAGTAACAATCATGATCTCGTCAACGAGGATGACATACAGGACTGTAGGCCAAGGCATACCAGCGGTGAGGAGAAGATCCATGAGAAGCAGGGGTGTAGTGATGAACCAGTCGATATATCGGACGTAGAAGATCTCGCGATAGTTGCCCGCAACGAGGTGGCTTCCACGATGGAACTCAACCATGATAGGAGCCCAGCCCAGGTTGGCACCCATAGTGAAGTATGCGATGGCGGCGACCATGGTGATAGAGGCGGTGATGTAGTGGAAAATACGGTGCGTTCGTGGCTTTCGCAGTCCGAGTCCGACGAAGGCGATGGAGGAAACTGTCATTACAGCGCAGACGGTAAAGTACCAGTCGGAACCCCGGGGGGTGATGTTAATCTGACTGCGCTGGCCATTGAGCGAGTCGCCTATTGGAGTCGATTAGTGGTGTTTTGGGGTATTGCAGACTCGAGAGAGGCCTACCATTGACGTTCAGCGCATTGTTGCGAGTAAAGAGACCTTCAACCATCGTGACGATCGGTTTGGACAAAGAGACGTTAGTTGTACAGTTTCTCGTGTCACTGGCGAGGGATCTAGAGCGTTATTGAGTTGAGCCAAAAGGATGTGTAGCCAAGCTCTATTAAACCCTTAAATGCAGTCGTGCATGGCCAAGATTCTTCAAACGATGTGTCAAACTAACCATCCATGACTTCATACCGAACCTCCCGTGCCTTCACGGCAAGTAACTGCCGAGTGCTCGTCATGAAGAGTGTGATCCAGAGTCAATGCGACTTTGATATCAAAGATGCTGATATAAAGTCAATGACGCTGACGTAGGAGTTGGCCCACACCCTCACGTTTTGACCACGCGATCTAGACTTGGGCGCGAGAGAAAGTTGCCGGTAACCGTAGCGCCGATCACTTTGACGGGATGCTCGGAGGGTGCATTGGCTTTTCCGCTAAAGATGTTTGAGAGTCGAGAATCATAAGGCTAATCGATGATTTCTGCCAAGATGACGACATGGGGATATCAGGCGGTAATAGCCGTGGGATTAACTTGCATCGGCACGTAACATTTATTATATCACTGATTAATCTGATAATGCAACCTTGGCGGCCGAATAATATCCGATTTAGCTCATGCCATGTATCTTTATTTTCCAGACTAACACGACTTCACCGGTCAGGAGGTTTGAGTGAATAGAGGAGTGTATTATTCTATGGTTTCTAACTTCCAGTTCCCAACAAAATGAACATATCGGTATCAAAAGATCGCTAATTAGCAGCAATGGCAAGATAGTAATAAGCCAACAGCATGGCAACGAGAGCAGCCAAGAAAGCGTGAAAGAGTGTAAGTGATGAATCGTGAAGCTTGTCAAGACCGCTCTTGGGAGACTTGGAAGTATCCTGTGCCCAAGGGATCTGACTCTTCTTGTATCCTGAGTCCTTGAGAATCTGCTCGGCAACAATCTTGCTACCGGCGATACAGACAGGAACACCAGTACCAGGATGTGTGCTGGCGCCAGCGAAGTAGAGGTTCTTGTACTTGGAGTGCTGGGTACCAGGTCGGAAAGCAAGGACATTCATGATGGAATGGCTCAGGCCCAGAATAGCACCCTTGTCGAGGTTGAACTTCTCCTGCCATGTGTAAGGAGTGTTGATAATCTCATTCTCGATAAGAGGAGCAAGATCAACTCCTATTCTGGCCTTCATGGTCTTGATGACAGTGTCTCGAGCGAGAGAAATCATTTTATCCCAATCCTGACCAGATTCAAGAAGATTAGAGTTTCCAGACTTGGACAGACCCCGATGTGTTCCAGCGGAGTCTGATAGAAGATGACCAACAGGAACCAAGACAACAACGGCATCCTTTCCATCAGGAGCAGCTGAAGGATCAATACGCGAAGGAACGTTAACATAGAAGGAAGGTTCTGAAGGAATCAGGTGCTCCTTGAAGATGCTGTCAAAGGACTCCTGGTACTCGTCGGCAAGGAAAATGTTGTGGGCGTTGAGCTCGGGAATGATCTTGGAGGCGGACCAGTAGAACGAGATACTACTGCATGATGTCTCGCGTTTTGATAGTGAGTCGGCGTAAGATGTCTTGGGAAGGAGGTTGTTGTAGGTGTAGACAAGGTCTGCATTTGAAATGACAATGTCTGAGGGGAGATGAGTGCCGTTCTCCAGGACGACGCCATTAGCCTTGCCCGTTGCTTGGTCGATGGAAATGGATTTGACGCCAGTCGAAAGACGGTATTCTACGCCAAGACGTTGACCAACGTTGACTAGTGCTTCAACGACCTGGAATGTTGTTAATATGAAAACGGCGACTAATAACAAAGAGTAAGCTTACCTTGTGGAATCCACCTCTGGGGTACAGAATGCCCTCTGCAAGCTCAGTGTACTGAAGCAGACTGTATGTTCCAGGAGCATCGAAAGGACTCATGCCCATGTACATACTTCCGAAAGTAAATACTCTCCTGAGTCTCTCAGTCCAGAAGTACTTGCTCGCTCGTGTCCAGATACTCTCAAGAGGATGAATGTTGAACAGATTGAACAGAACCTCAGGACGAGCCAGACTCAGAATACTGGGAAAATTCCTTCGCAGAACAGACTCGACACTGACTTCGTAGTGGCGATGCGACTCCTGAAGGAATCCAAGATATCGCTCAAAACCATCAATGCCCTCAACAGCTTCAATGGCCTTTTTCATCTTGGTAAGATCAGTGGACATCTCGAAAGATGAGCCATCTCCGAACCAGATGTTGTAGTTGGGTTCACACTTCAATAGCTCAACTCCCTCGGATTCAAGAGATGTTCCTAGATCTTGGAAGATCTCATGGAAGAAGCGAGGGAGTAGAAGCAGTGAGGGACCCTGATCAAAGCGCTGCAAGACGTTAGAATAAGCTCACCCCAAGTAGGTAAGAATTGGAACTCACGTAGCCATCTTTGTGAATCAAAGAACATCTTCCACCGGTAAAATCGTTTTTCTCAACGATAGTAACTTTAAAACCCGCCTTTGCGAGTCGCGCAGCAGTCGAAACGCCTCCAACGCCAGCGCCTAGAGATCCGTTAGCTTCGATGATCGACAAACGAGATAATTGACCATACCTATCACAATAACCGACTTCTGTTGTTCGCTCATTTTTGATATTAGATAGTGAAGGATGATTGATGTGAGAATATTACACGATTCACCCGCTCAACGACTTTTGATGTGGTGAGAGTATAGAGTCAATGACGTCTTCCATTTCAGTCATACCCACTTTTTAATCAAATTGGTTCGGACTCGGACTCGCTTTGTTTTCCATGTGAAAAAGCTACCCTGGAATTCCATCGGGGCGCAGTTTTTTTACCCTGGATTGTGAGTCATTTTGTTATTTCTTCATGGTGGCTTGGATAACGGGTCTTGAAGGTGTTATCGAGGTTATTAGATGGGCTGTTGATCATTAACTGGATTGGTTTGGGCTGCTTTAGTGCCGAGAAAGCGTGTTCTGCGATTGGTTGCTTCGGATGGAAGGGTTTTTGACGATCTGGCTTTTCACAACTTCACTTTTGCAACTTGGCGAAGCGTGTCTACAATCTTGGCAGGACATCAAGGTAGAGAAGAATGAAAATGAGGTTTAAAAATATTGAAATTGAATTGTGATGAGATTACAGCTCAAGTAATGAGCCAAATTGAGAGGTGTGAAGTGAGTAATCTATGAATATCTAAAATAACTTCTACCACATATTAAGTCCATCAAAGCACCGCTATTGATTCAATGCAGACCAAGCAACCCGGATTCGTCGACTCTTGGGAACGGTAGCCCGTCCCTTCTTGAGAACAGGCCCTGTTTCTCTAAGAACACGTCCAATCTCCATGTAACTCTCAACAGCGACTCGAATAGGACCCTTCCCTTCTGAAGGGAGTTTTTCAATAGCTACCTTTGCGGTGTTGTACTTTTCAAAAGCACGGTCAAGCAGTTTTTGTCGCAAAGCCTCGATGTTAGGACCATATGGTGCCTTAATCACATCTTCAGGTGTGAGAGAGGCTTCTTTTAGCCAGGTGAGAGGGAGGTAGACGCGGTCAATTTCGGCATCGACTTTGATATCGCGGGCGATGTTGACGTATTGGAGTGCGATGCCCATTTCTTGTCCAGAAGTCACAACTTCGCGTTGGACCTCCGGGGATATTGTCTCGGGAGTGTGGTAAAGAATAAGGTGGTTGCAGAGCTCAGCAACTGTTCCAGCTACACGGCTACCGTAGACATCCAGGTCCTCGGTAGTCTCGATAGGAAACTCGCCGGCCTTGCGATCGAAAAGGAGATCAGTGTCAAAACCCTTCAGCAAGTCATCAAGAGGCTGCTTGGGGAGATAAAAGGTAGGCAGTTGTAGAAGAGCCATATGGAACATCTTGGGGAAGTTGGATGTGACGAATTCGCGGAGTCGAGGTGAGATATCCTCCTCCTCGTTCTCCTCGTAGGCGATGTTGAGAAACTGCCTCAATTTTGCAATCGACGCTCTCGACTCATCAACAGAAGGAGCCTCATCGACAAGATCATCAGCGGCTCTGCAGAAAGCGTAAAGTCGGATCAGGTCGATTCGAAGTCTTCCCTCGAAAGCACCACTTGCGAGGTAAAAGCTGCGGCTCTTCTTTCTGAGAAGGTCAACCGCGCTGACAAGCCCCGAAATACGTTCTTGGTCATATTTCTCTTGGGGTAGAAGGAGAGCCCGGACAACCAATCCAAGAGTTGGGAGACCCTTGTTCTTGGGGAAATGCTCGGGAAATGTGTCCAGAATGGCCAAAGTGTTGTCGTTTGCAATAAGACCAAAGACAATCAACGTATTAGTAAGAAGGAAGAAAACAGCTTCCCTAATAATTGTTAGTGATTGGTGGTCTTACAACAGAATTATCAACTTACTCAATATCGAGGCCATCCCAAAGAACAACACCGTATTTGGTGCCTGACGTGATACTCCATGTTCCCCGTCGCAACGCAAAAGTGTCAACCACCCACAAATAAACGGTTGGCAGAGCGATTGGCAACAGAGTATTCGTCCAAGGCAAATTCACAATAAACTGGTATGAAATGGTCCTGCGATAGGTTAGCAAATTGCGCCAAGTGAAACAAAAGACTGAAAGCGCGCATTACCATAGAAACAGGAGGAATGGACACGCCCAAATCAGGATAAGGCCCATGTACATGCCCTCACCACCGCGCGAAACATGTACCCAACCGAAAATGATGGCGGAGGTGAAGAGAAGCTGACCGGCAACTTTACCCCAAGTGCTCGCCTTGTTGAGATAGACAGGGTGGAAAGTTGCTTTGCTGAGGAGCATATAGAGAAGAGATGTGTTGAGGGTTTGGATCACAAAGAAGAAGAGTTCTTCAGCGGGAATATCCCACGCGGTCAGTCCGCAGACAACGCCTGGCGGATAAGTCCATATCCGATTTCTGATCAGATAAGAGTCCCATGGGCTTTTCTAATGTCAGCATAGAGAAGAGGGGATGCGCGAAGCGCACATACATTGTAGCCACCACAGCAGTCTAGATAAGAATTAGTTTTCAGTGCCTTTAGTTGAGGAGGAATTGTCCTTACTGTTATCATAAACACCAACTTGAAAACATCTAATTTTGACAATAAGGGTCTGTACACGGCGAACAGCACAAGGCCGAACGGTATCGTGTACTTTAAATGCCTATCAGAAAGGTAAGCCAGAGACCTCAATCAATAAAAAGAGTACGTACACTTGGGCATATTCCCAGCCCATTGTGACTGTATGTGGGTGATGATGGTCGTGAAGAAAACAAACGACGTCAATCAGGGATTTATTCTCGAGTCATAAAAAAAAGGAGAGTAGGGTTTTAGGTTGTTAGGGAAGAATTGACATTGGAGTTCCATTTTGACACTAACAATTAAAAAGCCCGCAATCGCAATGTTTTTGGTGTAGAGTGTCTCGTACCCCTGCCGTGTTAGGTAAACGTTGACGTCAAGACTTTTGCTTCGCCTTCTTAGTTTAGTCTACTTGTCATTAACTTTTTCTAGTCACTAAAAAGAGGACCCTTGTTTAGTTTTTCTGTGCGGTCTTCGGCCTTTTGAACTTTGCCGTCATATCCTGTACAAATTGAGATCTGGTGATTGAAACCACTGTTACCTGCTTTTGACGTCTTGATGGGCATCTCCATTTTATTCGATGCCGACGTATCCGACACATTAGCATATATCAGGATTTCCCGTAGGAGGTAGCCGTTAATAATACTTAGTGGTGCTTCTTAATATGATGCCTTTCTGGATGCTGTTGCTTTGCCTCATGTCTTGATTAATCCTGCGATGCATCTTGGTCTTAACTATTAATTCCCACAAACAATTCTTCATGGCTTCGCATGACGAAAACAAAAACTAACATCAGCCTCATAACATCGTCATGAATTCATTCCAGCAGGCTGCTCCCGCAACGGGCTCAGTGTCTCACTCAGATGAGCCCCAACCACTTCGTCATCCGTCAGTTTGTCTCACGCACTCTTTGTAGCAAACATACTCACATCTCACAGCTATCTTATCGGTAATTTTGCACCGATTCACAAAACCACAAATCTTACACTGTGTACCTACAGCGGATGTATTCCTCCGGAACTTACGGGAGGACAATATGTTCGCAATGGTGGTAATCCAGTTAGCCATGAAGATCTCGGTCGAGATGCGCATTGGTTTGATGGTGATGGGATGCTTTCTGGTGTACTCTTCAGAAAGGCGTCTTCAAACGGGCAGATTGTTCCGGAATTCGTCAATCAGTACATCCTCACCGATTTATACTTGTCTCGAAAGACAACTTCGGTTATGTCACCAATCATGCCGAGTATCACAACCCTCGTCAACCCTCTATCATCTTTACTGAAGATCATGCTTGCGACATTCAGAACGATGTTTCTAGTATGGCTCTCAAATCTCCCGGGGTCGCAACAGTCTCTGAAGCGCACCAGTGTCGCCAACACAGCCATTCTATATCACGATGGCCGGGCGTTAGCAACATGTGAAAGTGGTCCACCTATGCGCATACAGCTTCCTTCACTTGATACTGTCGGTTGGTACGACGGTCTCCAGGCTGAAGGTGAGCCCGAAAAGAGCTTCTCAGAAGAGAGAGGCGAGCCATTTGGCGGGGCGGGTCTTTTCAAGTCCATGAAGGAGTGGACAACAGGACATCCCAAGGTTGACCATATTTCTGGGGAGATGGTTCTTTATCACAACACCTTCCTACCACCATATGTCCACTACTCAGTCCTCCCGAAGACGGATGTCGATGCTCTCAGAAAGCGAAGACTTGTGAACCAACCTGTACCTGGCGTATCAGGCGCCAAGATGATGCATGATTTTGGAGCATCGCGCGCCCACACAGTCATCATGGACCTTCCTCTGACCCTCGACCCTTTGAACCTGGCAAGGAACAAGGAGGTGGTCTCATACGATTCCTCAAAGCCTTCGCGCTTCGGTGTCTTTCCACGCCATGAACCTTCGGCTGTAAGATGGTTCGAGACAGCGCCTTGCTGCATCTTTCATACGGCGAATACCTGGGACACGAAGACTGGTAGCAAGACGAAGTCTATCCATCTCTTGGCTTGTCGCATGACTTCTTCTACCGTGGTGTATACAGCTGGAAACATCCTGCCTCCAGTCATACCAAAGGTGGTAAACCCCAAATCTGCAAAAACCGAAACGCGCCAGTGGGATGAGCAGGATATCCGTCCATTCGAGCAAGCACCCATGCTGGAATCCCCTAGTGAGAAGAAGGTTCTAGGCGGCGACTACTTTTCACCTGCCGACGAAGCCGATGACTACGCTCAATGTCGACTGTACTACTACGAATTCGACATGTCTATCAAGTCAACCAACAAGGTCACCAACCAATGGGCCCTCTCATCCATCCCCTTCGAATTCCCTTCCGTTCGGCCAGACCGCGAGATGCAAGACGCTCGTTACATCTACGGCTGCAGCACATCAACATCCTGCTTCGGCGTAGCACTCGGAAGGGCTGACAAGGTAGATCTTCTCGTCAAGATGGATGCCAGGACTCTTATTGAGCGGGGTAAGAAGATGAACACCAGGCCGGTGACTGGTTGTGTCGACAGAAGGTCCGTCAAGGAGATCCTTGATTCCCAAGACGAGAAGGATTCTATCAAGATCTTCCGCCTTCCTCCGAAGCACTTCGCCCAGGAGCCACGCTTCGTGCCTCGTGCTGGTGCTATGGAGGAAGACGCTGGCTATCTACTTTTCTATGTCTTCGACGAATCTCAGATCTTGCCCAACGGGGACTGCCCACCTACCTCTATGTCGGAACTATGGATCGTCGACGCTCAGAACATGTCTGACGTTGTAGCCAAGGTCAAGCTTCCACAACGAGTGCCATACGGTCTGCATGGAACATGGTTCTCGGCTCAAGATATCGAGGAGCAGAGAGCTGTCGAGACACTGAGAAGTTTGGACGAGGTAGAGGTGAAGAAGCAGGATTGGGTTAATGGCGGAAGTGTAGCCAGGTCGTGGATGGCGATGAGGGAGAAGTTGGAGAGAGCTGTGGGTTGATTATGATCTTTCAGACTTGCGTAGATACCGATACCCTGTCGCGGTCTTTACTAGTGCTTGGGATAGGCTTATAGTATATTAATATTCTAATAATAAGTTCCAGTTATTGACCATCCTGCCTTGATCGATATCCAGGGAGACATCAGCATAAGGTTCAGAGCAAAATAGAAAAGCCATCATCGCCCTTCTGGGACAACGTCCTTGTGTAGCGACCCGGTAGCTAAGATGCTGAAACCATCGGGCAGCATGGCGAACGAACCTGACAACAAACGTTATCAATAGAATCACAAAGCTTGCAAAATGACTCCTCAAGGAAGCTTTAGTTTCGATGAGAGGTATTTCTGAAAGCCTTGTGAGCAAATCGATAACGTTTGTTGTTGGACTGGCTCTGCCTCTTCTTTCCTTCTCTTTTTTACTTGAACCTCATGTGAACATCTCCCTGGAAATCGATCAAGGGTCCCTGTTGGCATGTTAAATGATCCGCATCAGCTTACTTTTCCGTTCCGCAAATCACAAGAACTCCGTAATACCATCTTCTCTACCAAATATCATGCTCCATCATCGTATGCGACACCCACTCCGTATCACTGTTTGCTATCGAATTCGCCATATCAATCATCTGCGCTGTAGTAAACCAAGCATCCATGCCCAGGTCATCCATCCCAGGGAGCATAGAAGCCATCGTCTCATTATCGTCATTCGGATCTTGCAAAGCACCATCGTTACCCTCAGGTATCGTCCCTCCAATGATCTGACCATCGATCGGTATCGGCGTTGTATCATTGTGTTCGCGAGATAGACAACTCAGCATATCATCAAGCTGCTGAAGCTCCGACCTCCGAAACACAGCGATGAGATTTCCCTTGTTGATCATCTCATTAAAGATGATTGAGGTCTTATGCCGAAACGTCGCATCATGTTCAGAGAACCTCGGATCCAGAACCGGTGCGATAAGCAGGTTGAAGCTTGACACGAACAGTGACTCAAGATCAAACGGTAGAAACGCTTCTGCAAACGGTCAGTAAGAGCTTCAAAGCGAGATAAATCTCAAGTGGTTTTACCAAGCAGACCTTGACTTTGCAAACAGCCAAGAATGTTGATCATCTGGTAGGAAGAGTCGATGCACATCTTGATCAGGTTCCAGACAGTTTGAGATGAGTTTAGTGCCTCGGTTATGGCGTCGGGTGTTTCGAAGCGGATCTTGAGGAAGCAGAGGAGCAAAGGTCTTGTTGCGAGCACGATACATTGGTGGTAAAGGGTGTGGAGGTAACCCGCTACTCGTGAGACACCATTGATGGCTTTGTCGACACCAAGCGGGAATTGTTGCTGTAGTTCGTCTGCGAGGCCAGCAATGTTCTCGAGAACCTTCTTGGTGCTGAGGAGGAACTTTTTGTTGAGCCGACCGTTTGCTCCGTATACACCTAGACAACGTATTAGCATAGTCTAAGTGCATTAATAGGGTCATCATACCTCTTCCAACAGAAGCAATACTCCGACACAACCGAATCTGCATATGTAAAGCTGCCACCCGTTGTGTCGACCCTCCGTAATGCGGAAGTGCCGGATGAATATCGTCATCGTGAACGGACTGGGGCAAGCCCATGAGAGATGTCATCTCGCGGTCCAGCACGTAGACAGTCCACCATATCCTGCGACTTCGCTCCACGATACGGTCACCTAATTGGTCCACAGGCATATCTGTGTGCATGCCTTGACCCAAGGCGACTCGCATTGCCTGTCCGATCTATGTGAAGTTAGCAGCCTGTTTCTCGCATCGGCGACTAACATACAAATCCGTGCGATGAGTGGCGATAGTCGAGCGACTCAAAGTACAGTGCTATACAACAGAGTATCTCGGTCGATATGAGCGGTTCGTAAACAAGGATGTGAATACTCGGTAACAATCGAAGCGCAGTGACGAAATAATCAGCACCAGGCGGTCTTTTAGACTGGTAATTGTTGTTCTCAGCAAACGCTTTGCCAAAGGCTAAGATCAGTAAAAGGTGGATGTAACGGAGGTCTGCAGCTGCGATATGAGTCGTCGGATCATTATAAAACTCATGCAGATAACCCATAAATGTTTCCTCGTCGAAAAGGTGGAACAATTGACCGCAATGGAATTTTACTGTGTTGACGAGAAATAACGCGTGGTCGAGGCTGGGCATGACGGGAGGGTCAGGCGCTGGAGAGATGCGCGAGCCATCCCATCCGAGATCATAGGCTAGACCATCGAAGAGTAGATTATCGGCGGCGATTGGGCTTTGGTGGATGTATTCGTGGGTGAGACTGAGGACGCGGCGGGTAAAGGACCAGTTCGACGATGTGCCGAGATAGACTGCTAGGTCAGTTTAGGTGTCGGCAAGAAGAGGGCTTGGACTTGCATTCGCGACCTTGGGCAGAGGCCATGAACTTGGACTGCCCTGCGGATAAGGGGTTCACGAGAGCGGAAGCAATTGGGTCCAGCCCTTTGCTACCACTATTCGTGCTGCTCCGACTATCGAGTAGGGAATCATCTGGAGGAAGCGATACCGATACATCGCCTCCCGGCGACGGCATGTGAGGCGGCACCTCTGGTATCCCCATGTCAGCGACGGACCAAGTCCGATGAATTCCAGACTCACCTTGATCAGACGGTCCACCAACATTGATGTTCGTATCCAATGAGCCAGGTGTGACATATTCAGCAGTGCCAGTACGAGACTGGCTTGTCGCAACGCGTTGCTGTAAATCGAGAATGAAGCTGACAAGGTGTGAGCTGTTGTCGCAGAACGTCAATTGAGGTGGGAACGAGACCTACCCACGAGTAACGAGGATTTTCTGATCGCGCTGATCAAATTCACACGAGAGCTTGCGTTTCTTGCACGCGTCGCAAGGATGAGAACCTGAGCATTTTATCTTTTGCTTCCGACATCGCGAACAGCTATTGTCTTTGTGTCAGTCGGGGGAAGTAATTGAGAAAGACGGGAGGTTCGGTGAGAATGAGATTGCCAAGGTGAGACGAGACAGGCAGGTGAGGTGAGGGGGTAGGCGACAGGGTTCTTCCTTCCAGACTCACGCGTTATCCGATCTCTTAGAGACCCTCCCTCCTCCCGCTCTTCCAACAGAATCTGTAGTCCCCGATGATTTGCGCGCGTGGGATGATGCACTCGGTGCCATGTTTTGCATCAAACAAAGGATGAAAAGGCAATTGATGCAGATAACAATTCAAGGGAAAAGACGTTTGCGGGGATGAATTTTAGGTTCGGGGGTTAGCGTAGCCTCACTGACTGAGAGGGCACTGTAAAATTCGGGGTTAGTGCAGCCGCTCGCTGTGGAGGTCACGAGACGGGCTGGTTGGGGTGACGTAAAAGGTATCACAACACGAAAAGATGCGACAAAGAAGGGCGACAAAGAACAACTGATGGGATATGCGGGGTTCTAGCTTGCTATATTTATTTCTAGAGCCTCTTTTCTTGTGTGAGAGATGGAAACCGGGTGTTCACTCCTCGTCACCGGGTGGAGGCGACTCGTTAGCGTCCAGTCGCTGTTGATAACGCGGGTCAGTGGAGATGACCCCGGTCTCGCTCTCATTTTCTGTTGATAGCTGCAGGATATCAACACATCCCCGGTCAATTGAGTTGAGCTAGAACATCCAGAAGACGATGATCGGAGCTCCGTGCAATTGAACATGACCTGCCGAGACAGGATTAAGGCAATGCAATGCAGTCTTGAAGGTCATGCAGAAGAATGGATGCACCGAAGCTCATTAGAAGGTCAGTTGCATGTTCTGTCGGCATTCCATGGACAAAAGAACTGGACGCCGAGATCCTAAGAGACGAAAGAATTTGGTTACTTTATGATAGTTTAGACCAGTAGGTGAGTTTAGTTTGATGCCCTAAAGCTTAGAACCTGCCTGTCTGCATGGTTAACCATGGCTACGATCTTCATTGTGGAGATTTGAGCGATCACAACCACGTCAGTACGTCCAATTGTTTCATGCTTCAAGACTTTTTTTATCTTCGTTGTTCTTCTATATGCACGTGCCATCCAGTTTACTCATTAATTTAGTTCAATCGGCCCTTGACGCGATCAGTCCACGTCTTAAACAACTCCTCCTCCTTCTCACCCGCCTCCTTCATAATACTTTGCACACTCTGCTTCACAGCATCACCGACAGGCTCATACGGGTGTCTGGGTGCCAGCTTCTCCTCCGCACCCTCAATACCAGCCAATTTAGCGGAGTAAACAGCGACAGCGTATTTTGTCGACGCGACACCAGCCTTGCAGGGTCTCTCCGCTAGAGCGGCAACCTGCTGCAGCTTGAACGCCTCCTCGTACTTGCCCTCCTTGTACAGAGCGTAGATCTTGGCTGTGAGAGTAGGGAAGACGTTCGCGAAAGCAGCAACGCATCCAACGCTACCAGCAGCGAGACCACCGATGAGGAAATCGGATTGACCGCCATATGTAGAGAATTCTGAGGAAGGAATCTGGGCTGCTAGACGGGTGATCTTGCCCACGGAACCACATGTAAGCTTCACGCCGACAATGTTGGACTTTCCGCTAGGATGCGACTTCTTGCTCTCCTCATAGATCTGAACAATAGTCTCGGAGTCAAGATCAACACCGTTTGTGACACCAGGGAAGTTGTAAATGACAATGGGGATAGGTGACTTGGCAGCGACCTCCTTGAAGAAGCGCTTAACGACGTTCATGGTAGTCGCCTTGCCAAAGTACGCAGGCGGCAGAACAAGGAGGTAATTGGCGCCAGCCTTAGCTGCATCCTCAGCAAGTTGGAGAGTCTGCTTGGTAGAATGGGCGCCGACACCGGCCATGAGAGGAAAGTCAGGACCGATGGTCTTGCGGGCGAGGGCGATGAGCTCAGAACGCTCTTCGCGGGTGAGGAGAAAGGCCTCGGCGTTGGAGCCCATGACGATAAGGCCGTTCAGGCCTGAGTTGGCCAGATGCTTGAAGTATTTGGCTTGAGCATCATGGTCAACTGTGTCATCTGCGTGGTTGAAGAATGTGACTGAAGGTGCCCATACTCCTGGGCTGTGAGGAGTCAGTACAGTATTTCGCTGATGATGGTTGAGGAGTGGCTTACCTGGGGACGTGGGGTAGCTGAGATTGGGAGTTGAGGGAGCCCATTGTGAAGAATTATCGACAGATACGAGACAAATTGATAGTAGCTACAGCTCGAAATGCTAATGTCTCAATTAATTGATGCAAAATATCTCAATCTCGTTCTTCTTTAAGCAATTGACTCCTCATCAAAGGTGGGGTCTGCATCGCGTATCTGTCCCGACACGTCAAACCCTCCTCCGAACATGGGGAAACTTTTAGTGGACGTCGCCCTCCAAATCTCCAGGTCGGGACCCCATCCGATCCCACCGGTAGGGTACCCGGGGAAAAGAATGGGGTCTGTGCTCTGTCTCGGCCAATTGGCTACCCTACAACTTCGGTCGGGTTCGCCGGAGGTCTTCTTCGGCGTGATAACTTCCTGATTACGGCGTCGGAGATGGAGGAATTACTGGAGAAATGTGCCGAAGTAATTGATGCTTTTTTTTGGCACATCTGTTTGAGAGCTTTTCGGATGGTGTAGAGCTTCGGTATCCAGTGTTACGTGGAATCGAGATTTGAACAGCAACCGAAAAGCATCCGGATTAAAAAGTAGTCAATTCCAGCCCATACTCTGACAATTATGCTGGGCATTGAGCTCTGTGATACCAAGACAATGTGACCTCCGAATCTATTAGTATGAGATGCCTATCTGACCTTAGAAGCAGCAAAGGTAAGACCGAGACTGAGTTGAAGAAGATGTTCGGAGCCGGGGTAACCCTCTCGGCCGAGCAGGATAAGATAAGAGCTTTTACAGTACTAACACGCTAGATACTGTCTACAAGCACTGTGAGGAGATAAGATAGTATATTAGATAAGACAAATCACAGTGCGTAGCGCAAAGTGTTCGTGCTGAATACTGTATGGTGATAAGATACTAGATAAGATAACATGGTTAACAGCAGTTCAAAGGATCATCATCTTTATATCAGGCAAGTGCACATGGAATTACTTCAAGGGAGAACATATTTGAAAGAAAAAACTTGATTTACTCAGCTATGAAAACAAAAGTGAGAAAGAAAAGCTAGAGACAGCCCATGATAGGGTAAGCGAAGCGCCCTTGAGTCTTGAACAACAGGACCTGAGATCTGAACACCAAAGGCGTGAGGTAATTTCTCCTTTTGATGTCCGAGACCTACTTTGCAAATCCGGAGAGGCTCTGGGTACTTTCTCTTTCCAGATCATCCGCGAGCTCGGCTTGGATCTCGATCAGCTCTTCCAACAGCAGCAAAACCTGTTCGTGGAAATCCTGGAGGGCAAGCTTTCCCGTAGGAATCTTTGAAACGGCAGTAGGGCTCATCAGCTTCGTATGAAATTCTTCGTGGATGGCATTCATCCGTTCGATCTTCTGGGTAGACCGAGTTTTAAATTTGGTCTCCCGGCCCTCCATGGCTTGAATGCACCCCTTCACGGCTTGCTTGTACTCCTTCCTGTCTTGAGCGTACTTGGAATCGGTGTTGAGGGCAGGCTCGTCGGAAAATGTTTGAGTAGCAGCAGGTGCGGGGCTCTTGGCCTGGGAACTCTCGTTTGCGTTAGTAGGAGACATGGTGTATGTGTGTGATAGAATGTTGTGATGGTAAGGATTTAGTTGGCGGTTTGGTTAGTGATTTGCTTGATTGTTTGTTGTGAATATGTAGTTTTGTGTGGATGAGAAAAACAGGTTTACAAGTAGACACCCGGAGCTTATATGTTAAAACTGGTGTAGGGGATAGATTCGTGTTCATTGTTTCATTTGGTGCGAATATAGAACATGTATACATCATCAAACGAATGGTGTCGTTGCGGTCGTTGAACAGTGGGCCTTTTGGAACATGTGGCATGTCAAGCATACCAAGAGGCATCGTGGCTCATTCCTCCCCTCATATTAAACTTCCGTTCACGTGACTTCCTCGACCTCATAATCGTTGCAGTATCCATGCTCAAGCTGAGCCTTTGATCACGGTCCGCCTTCTTGTTGTCAGAACCGTGATCCTTTTCATCTTTCGGGCGTTCCTCTCCGTCTGAATTTGAGGGCTGTTTCAGAAAGTCAGACTGTCCCGAGAGAGCTCTGTGAACAAACTCAGAAACAAAATGTCTGACGCTCGGATTAGTGACAAACCAAGCACCCAGGTAGATAATGATAGACACTTCAAGTGCAACGAGGACTAAGTAAAATTAGTAATACTTCTTCGACAGATGGACTACTGATCGAACTCACAGATCACAGCAAAGACCCAGCTTGGGGTTTCTGGAAGGAATCCGCATCCAACGCGAACAAAGAAGAAAGGAATGACAAAGGTAACTAACGGTCAGTGTTTAGCACCTAACATAGAATAACAACATCGAACTTACGAAGAGAAGTGTGGAAAAGGTAAAAGTCATGAGGGCCTTGTTCTGTATCGCTGAAATCTGTGCCTGTTCGTTCGCGATATCACTTTGTTGGAGCGATAACGTCGTGTTCAGCTGGTAGACAACGAAGTCAGTAAACACTCATTTCACAGTACTATGTTAAACGTACTGCTGATTGTATCCTACTGGCAACCTCATCTATTTCTCTGATATCGTTCTCGACGTAGTCGGCTGAGATGTCTGCATTTCTTTTGCCCCTTGCAAGATTCCTTTGTACCACCTTTTGGAAACGAGCAGCCGATTTTAGGATGTTTAACTCGTCGCGGACATCTTTAATGGCGCAAAAAAGATTCTTGGCCTTATTAATCGAATCCCTCACCTCTTCCCCGCTCCATGGCTTGTTTGTCCCCTTTCAGAATGCAAGTGAGCGTTGGCGCTGCGGAGATTCCTGGACTTGTGTGTCTCGCCGCACCTGGGACGCCTCTGGAGCCGAACGGCTGAGGCTTTTGAAGATCTCGGTCTCATCTCGACCCTCCGGCCTAATTAGCTATGTAATGCTTAGAGCAAAGAGAATACTTGCAATACTGTTCATGTAGTTCGAGAATAATCTGACTGATAGACATCCTGGCCTTCGACTTGGGCTTTCTGTCGTAAGAGCCCACACAGTAATCGACGATGATCTTGGCCATCGCGTCCGCTGACTCGGGTTGCGAGCGATTGCCTCCGTACTCGGCCTGTTTGTTGAGTTGGTCAAGCACACCTTCTACCAAGTTGTCATGATTGTCATCGAGTGAGCAGGAGGAAGCGGTCAGTATCCATTCTACAGGACCGCAAGTTAGCGCGGAGAACAAAAGAAGAGCCTGGGACGTACTGTTTCCCACGACCCATATCCGTATCTGGTTGACTCTCAATATGGTAAAATGGTCTTCATCCTCTGTTCTTGCCAACTCCTTCAAGAACTTGGTAACGACTTGGTCCTCATTACGATTGATTCGATCAGTATTGGCCCTGCTGACCAAATCCGGGCCATATTGTTCGTCAATAAAGTTGTAGTATCACTCGTCGAGAGTAGGCGATTTGTGAATAACCGAGTCGGAGTAGGCGCTTAACAGAGAATAATAGTTTCCGAAACTAGGTGGTTTAGCCTCTGGCTGAGTGCCTTCCCTGTAATGCGTCGAGAAGCAGAGGTAAGGCATCTGCAAGCAATGGGTGAGTGTGTTGACACCAAGCTTGGCAACAGAGGACTTACATATAAAGCAGAGGCTGGCATAACCTTAGAAGAGTTCTTCTCAGGTTGGACTTCCTCCCCCTTGGATGGTTCGTCACTTCCACCCGACTCATCTGCCCGTTTCGCAGAGTCCACTCTGTCAGACCCAGGATCTTGGTGTTGTTCATAACCTACAGCCTCAAACTTGGGAGTCTTGCCATTTGTAGACTCAATGCTCCAAGTCGAGGTTCTGCCCCGCCATCCTCTTCATGATCAGTGAAGACCACGCCCATCAGAGGCGAACAGCCATCGATATAAAATTGATCAATTGTAGACTTGCTGCTATTCAGAATGAGATGAACTATTCTTGTATTACCAAGAAAGCAAGTCAAGTTCAGTGGTGTCCTGCCCAAGTAATCCTCAGCTGTTGTTTTGGCGCCTCGCGAGAGTAGAAGCTCAACCAATTCGGTGTGACCTAACCGACAGGCTATATGCAATGCTGTATATCCTGACGAGTCCGTTGCTTCGATGTCTAGTGCCATATTCAATAACAACTCCACAATGTCTTTGTGGCCTTCCCGAACCGCGATGTGGAGAGGTTGGCTCTTTCGTCTGTCCTCAGCCTTGATGTTCGCCCCATGCTGCAGAAGCTCTCGGGTAACCTCAACAAGTCCGGTTTCAGCAGCAACATGGAGAGCCGTCCTATCAGAAATGACCTTTGAATTTATATTCGAATCGTCCTTCCGAATATAGTTCTGTAGTTTGTGTAGCGCGACGTCTCTTGCAATCTGGGACTGTACTCTCATCTATTCAACGATGTCGTAGAAAAGCAGCTCATCGCGCCGGATCCTGTCTACGCTTATGTTCTCGTCGGCGCGCTCGATACCCATATTGAAGGCGACATATTCCGCGTAGGTAAATGGACCAGCCGTCTTCTCCTCACCAGGCTCTGTGTCTGGCAGTACCGGGATAGGTATCTCTTCCGACATGTTTGAGGGCGTAAGGAGGAATAAAGGGAGTTAGATCAGATTAGACGCACCGGAAGAGGTATTGATCGAGTCTTGAAGTGTAGCAGGTGGGGTAATTCCTGTATTTCAGGTCTGCGAGACCCCCGGAAAGTAATACAGAAAGCCATTTTTCATAAGGCTTGCCGCTGATGCTTCTATATCTATTGGGAAGACCTTTGCTGTAATTGGACGGCTTTCTGTATATCCCTCAACCATGCAGGAGCTGATTAGAGGTCTGACCTCTGATAAGAATCTCAAGAGGTGATTGGTGGCCTGATTATGGTAGTCAATAAACTGGTAAAACTGGTGTGGGATCACTGAAAAGCCTGGCAATTCCGACACATCACGTCAGTTAGTGGGACTTTATGTCGAATGGAGGCATTGTTGTGGCACTGCTACCCCGGACACCACTTTGATGGACTATCACATATCATCCAGGCCTGCTAAACGGAGGGGGCGAGAAAACTTGTTGCGGGCTGATTCGTTGGAGTATGAGATGCATGAGAGCCAAGGCAGAAGTTTTGAGGCCATACAACGCCACCAACGGCTTTTCTATCGCTAGTCATAAACGAAGTGAGTTCAGGCTGCATTTAAGACGCAATGCTTTCCTGCCTTCCCAGGTTCCATACTTCATCCAGTGTCATCTGATAATTCTTTTGACTAATATACCATGGCTGATGAGTCAAGTGTCCAGCATCCCTGGGAGCTACCCGACGGTAATAATCAAGATATGCCAGGTAGCACAGCAGATGTCTCTCAAAATTCAGCAGCCCAGCCCGCGACGACTGTCTCAGTAAAGAAGAATAAGAAAAAGAAGAAAATGAAGGCATACGACACAGAATTTGAATCATTCCTAGAGTCCTTGGCTACTCCAGAACCCGAGGTGATTCCGGAGCCGGAGGCAATTCCCTCAGAAGAACCTATCCCAGCAGAGGAAGATGCTCCTCTGTGTGAGATACCACCTCCCGCTCTGGAGGAACCTGAGCCTTGGGTATACACACCGCAGTCAGTTATCGAAAAGCCTCACACCCCAGTGGATCATGGTGTTGGGCAGCCGTCCCGTTTCAGACAGGGCATCGACACCCCAACTCCCATCTATCTCAATTTCAATGCGCAGCACAGACTCATGGTCTTCCTTCAACAGAAGCTGGAAGAGATGTGTTTTGCATTTTGTCAGCGCCGTATGCCTCAAACACTCCTAGACAACGGCTGGGACTGTCCCGAGAGTGCAGAACTGCAAAACTGGGTGATGGCTTTAAAGAAAGAGCTTCCATCTGCTGTTCGACTCAAAGAACGCAAAGCCCTTACCAGCTCTATGTCCAGGATCCGTGACTGCGCTGTCAGTCGCACCCGCATCAACAATGTTGAGCTGGAGGAGCTATTGTCAGATGCCTTGAAGCTAGCCATACTTCTAGAACAGGATCAGTACGTGAAAGCGATTCAGAGAGTCCAGCAAGACATATCAGACACCTACAGATATCTGGATGAGGAAAGAAAGCAGCTCGAAAAGAGTTGCAACTTCAAACTGGGAGAGATAACGGCTGCTCGCGCCAAACTCGATGATTTGGAAAGGGCTACGAAAGCCGCGTTTGATAAGAGCTTACTCAACCGTCACAACAAAGCCCGATCGATGGTATTACAGTCTGTTCAAAACGCTGAAGCGCTCGACCACAAGTTGGACCCTGAGGACCGATCAGTCACGATGTCGAGTCTGGATCTGGTGAATGATTTGGAAAACAGTCTAACGATTGACGAAGATGGCGGAAGGTTGCTCTAGGGACATCCACCGCACTACAACTAGTCTATCTGGGAGGTGGAGTAGTAGAGAGACGAGTCAATTTAAGGCCAGATTCCATTGTTATTCATGAGCGAAGTGAGTTTGGGTTGCACTTAAGATGCAACCAAGATCATGGTTACCACTACCATCTGCAGGCCAATCATGAGTCTGGTGGCGAAATGCTGTGGGTTACTAGCATCCATGAACCCGATCAATATTATCTTCCTTCAATTTCATTGCCTTTTATTGTCATCCCTCTCCTCCTGCACGCTGTCCCGCTTACGTTTCTCGGAAGAACTGGAGTCTTCCACTCCGGCAATGACCTGCGCGAGCTGCCGTAAATAGTCCAATTGCTTTAATAGTCCAGCCTTACAGGCAGTCTTTTGTTGCGCGAGTTCTTGTTCAACTTCGCCCATTCTGTTACCAAACTCCTCCACGCCCTTGTTGTGCATTTGGCGTAAGCCGTCAAGGTCGTTTGTGACCTTTACCAGAGCCGTCTTGGTATTCTGGTGTTCTCGCTTCATGATTTGTTGCTCCTCACGCGAAGCTACAAGATCCTTCTCAAGACAAGCGATCTGATTGTCAAACGACTTTCTCTGCGCTTCCAACTCGTTTTGGGAAGCTTCTACCACGCGTCGCTGAAAAGAGGCAAAATTGGCTTCTTCTTCCTTTTCCACTGTCTTGGTCATGTTCAGAGAGGACGGAGCAGCTGCTGAGTTGTACTTGACGGGAGCGAAGTTCCACACTGTATAAATCTCCAACATTTGATAAGGGGTCTCCTTCTCAGATGTGATGGTAGCTGTTCCCTCAGTATCCTATTATGATTAGAATAAAGATATTGATGTCATAAGGTATAATTACTGAAAAGCTTTTGTTGCCCATTCTGATTCGTGCTCTTGGATTGGGATTCTTTCTGGTATTGCGCGAACGACTCGCAGAACTTTGCCTGCTCTGTTCGACAATCCATCCCGACGGGGTAGAACACGACATCGGCTGGAACTGTACCCCCCAGTGACGAGATACCTAAACTCGGAATGGCTCAAGCTTGCAGTTCCCAGGTCCATAGATACAGGATAAGTAGAACCAATCAGGGTAGCTAATGCTTGCCGATGGAGGAGTCCCCTCCGACAATCGTTGATAGAGGAGAGACTCGCCGATATCGTCCGCCACGACGGGACTCATATTGAAATCATCATCGAGGTACACCCGAGTTTGCTCAGCAACATGATCAGCGAGATTGGGGGCGATGTTCTTCTGGATGGCGATGAAACCATTCTCAATGCGGTCGAGGGCTTTGCTCATGGTGTCAACTTGCCAATGCTCCTCTTCATGCAGGTCAGTCAGCACCGCTATGAGGTCCTTTGCTGCACCAGGGAACCGGTTGAAGGACGCAATATCATGCATTATCTATCGCAATGAGTTAGAAAACATGAGTGGAAGAGGACTTTGTCTATTTACATACATAGACCCTTTTTGTCGCAATCGGCCAAGAGAAAGATCTCCCTAAGGAAGCGTCATAAGGGAGCGAGATTGAATGATGAATTGCTACAGTTCTGATTTCCTGTAGATGAGAGAAGAGGCTTCGTATGTCTGGACACAAAATTTAACAACAAAAAGCAGAGGTTCACGATGTCCAAGAGGGATGGTGGAGTGTGAGGCGGAGGGTAAAGATTGTTGGGCCTGAGAGCGAGCAGTGATGAGGGAGAATGTTTTCAATGTGCGTTGAGATTTAGGGCTTGTAAATTCACAAGCGAAAGGCGCTGCTGCCTAATGACTGTTGCTGGGAAAAGAACAATAAGATGATCACTATGCGGGCAGTGCAGGTGGGTGTCAGAAGAATTATCCTCTAAGGATTAGGCTACAGAAATGAAATAATCTAAATGCTGGCCTAGGCTTGCATAAGGTGACTAAATTAATCCGTCTTTTGTGTTCTCTGACCAACTCTTTTAATTCTGAGGGCGATGTTCTAGTACAATAAATTCCTTCTCCGAATGATTCCTCCGAACAAACTCGTCGTTCATTCACCGGACGGATAAATTTGGTTTCCTGTTCGACAGGTTTAAAGTAATATAATTAGTTGAAAAGTATGTACCCAGTCTGTATCAAAGGTTGCCTATGAGTCGACGCCTAGAGCTTGGAATGGCCAGAAGGTTGAATATTCACAAGCTCCTTCGAGTTACCCAGCCTCCAACTCACAGTACCACCCCAATCACCTTGCTTCTCATCTGTCTTTGGGTTCTTCCACCTCCATCTCGCAACCGGCTGCTCTCCCTTATCCGACTCTAGAAGATCCTTCACCCATTCCCCGAAGATGGGGAAGAACTTGAACCCGTGGCCGCTATCGCCAGATAAGAAGAGCACCGAGGACGATGTGTCGGGCACGTAGTCGATGATAAAGTCCGACCCTACAGTGTCGGCGAACCAACAAAGGGTCTTCTTAACAAATGGTCGGTCGGCGAATTGCGGAAGAGTCTGTCGTACAAGCTCACGAAGTTGTTTATCATCAGCCTCAGGCAGAAAGGCGCTTTGTTTGAGATCTGTAGGGGCATGGGATACCCCCGTGTTGGGATCAGTGTTGATGAAGCCTCCACCCATAGGGCAAAGCTTCAACAGGTTGGTCTTCGGATCAGGCTCGAAGAAGAAACCCAGGTCACGAGCATAGGTTACTGGGATACCGCGTAGCGCAGCCGCCTCATCGTCAGTCAGGTGAAGATGGGCGACAGACCAAGATTTCGCCACGAGTTGCTTTCCGATCTCGGGTACAAGTTTAGCGCCCGCTGCACCGACTGATATGATGACGAACTTCGAAGGGTAGAACAGGCCACCTATAGTCTTGACACCTTTCGTCGTCCGTCCGGAAGATGTGTTCTCATAGACGATCTCGGATATAGCGCCAGCAGTACCGAGGATGAACTTCACGCCCTGTGCTTTGGTAGCCTGGTAGATAGAGCGCAATGCTGAACCAGAGTTTGCGTATCCATCAAATCTGTTGAAGTAGCCGGTCCAGCCAGGGAACGAGCTTTCATTATATTGCCATGCTGCGTCTGCGATATCCTTTTGTGAGTTAAGAGGGCTCAAGTGCGGCTTGAGACGAGGATCTCGCTCAGCAGCGGTACGGAAGCGGTTGAGGGTGTCGTGAGCCTCTTTCGGTGCGTTTCCAGAAACACAGTGGAGGAAACCGACTTGGTGGAAATGGGGAGCAAAGAAAGGCGTTTGCCAGGCTTTTATGGCTTTCTGGACACAGGTACATCAGTCTGGGTTCGTGGAACCGCTTAAAGCCTCGATGATATTGGTAGCACTCACCACAGTAAGGTCTTGGTACAATGGGTCTTCGTATTCAGCCCTGACAATCTTGTTAAGGTCATTGGCAGCAGACCATCGAGAAGGGATCTCATCGTCTTTGTCAAGCACAGTGATATCTTTGTAACCCGCCTTGAGCAGATGAACGACAGTCGAAAGACCGAACGCGCCACCCCCGACGATGAGGATAGGTTCACTTTTGGCGACACTCATGGCGTATATGCGATGTAATTTAACCTGTAGTTGATACAAATGGTATGGGTGGGAGTAGTTGGCATTGACGGCTGCAGCTATATATCCACCTCACGCACGAGTCGGTCTCACGATGGTTCGATTATCGGCTTCATCTGTCCAAACTTCCCCAGAAAAGGTAAAAATAGATCGAGTCATGTGGGGGTGACGACGCCATTCGCAAGCCCAAGCCGAGACAATATGATATCGGGAGCATTTCCGACACTGAGATCGGCTTCCAAAAACCCCATGATTAGTGGTAGTGGTGATTTAGTGGAGCTGCCGATGGAATCCGGAGTTAGCGTAGCCGCCAAAATGGTGGGTGTTATCACTCGTATCATTTGTCGCCCGTCGAGGTGTCAGAAGAATTGGGCGCTGGGAGCATAGGAGATGAAATAATTTGGTCACTTTATGCTTGCCTTAGGCTGACAATTAGGCTACTTTATTTTTGTAGCCTAAACCTTGGAGGATACTTCTTCTGACACCCACCTGTCCACCTGTGATATCTGAAGTACAGGTGATGACCAAAGCCTCACTCTTCCGGAACCGAGATAAGAAACCTGTCGTAATTGATAAACCAGAGAGTTATGGTAAGCGAGAAATACGATAACAAGGATGACCGAAGAGGCGATGTGAAAAATAAAAGGGCTATGTTTCGAATAGCATAGATGAGCTACACAGTTTCATTGCGGTGGCGATGTTGAGCCTTGGGTTATGAAGAACACTGCGAAATGACAAAAAGGAAAATGAAGAACAAGAAGTAAAAAAATTAAAATAAATAAAAAAGACACAAGGAGTGGGCAGTCGGATGGGTAGAGAGGGCCGATGGGAGAGGATGGGACTGGGGTAGGTGATTGTGGGTTTGAATTTTTCTTTAGTCATTATTTCCTTGCTTCTCGTTGTGTTTTTGTCTTTTTTTTCCCTGCTGGTTTTTGTGTCCGCTCTTTTTAAATGTTGGTTCTATGAAGTATCCCACTGCACCACTCCTTGTTAAAGGTAGACAGAGTTAACTCATTATATAAAGGGGGGCCAGGAAGGCGATCGGGCAGTAAGATCTTTGAATTTCCTGCATTCGAACGCGTAAGCAAAAAGGAGAGTAGCGCAGCGGTTGAAAGGAGTTTTAGGTTAGTAGACAGAGAGGTTTATAGGTTCTAGATAGGTTTCCGCTGCACCACTCTCCTCAAAGGCATAGTAAGGTATCAGTTTATAAAGGACAGACAGACTGGCCAGCCACATCTACTGTCACTGGATCAGATAAATTCGCAGTTCGGAGCAAACTCAATAACCTACTTGATGGGGCTGATGCATTCATCATCCTTGAATCCAATTATCCATACGATATGTCTCATGAATATATATACATGCGTCTCTTATTGAATTCAGGACAAAGTCTTGCTATCAGGTCCAACTAAAACTTGAGAACCAAGTCCTTGAGCTTCCCAAAGTTGGGTGTACCGTAACCAGTGACGGGATCCCAACCAGCAGTAGCATTCCATCTAGCACCAGGAACAACCCCGGATCCCTTGGGCTCAGGCTTGCCAGTCTGAGTGTTGTTACCGTCGCATCCAATAGCATAACCGCCAGTGATATCAGTCAGAACCTTGGATCCATGCTTGTAGATAAGAGGGTTCAACCATCCCAAGCTTGGCTTACCAGCTCTGAAACGAGCATCGTTCAGAAGACCAACGATAGCAGCCCAAACAGGAGCAGCAGCACTGGTGCCTCCACTGCCGCTCTGCTTACCAGCGTAGATAACCTCATAGTCAGGTGAAACACTGTGGCCAGCGACATCAGGGAAACCTCGACCTTCCCAGTTGGTGTAGGGACCGTAGTACTTTTTAGTCTGCTTGGAGACAGTCTTCATGTATGTCTTGACAGCCTTGTCCTGGTAGCTAGGACGGGAGAAGTACTTGCTGAAACCTCCAGAGGAGCCTTCCCAGGCGATCTCGGGGGTGACATCGACGGTACCGCCGACAGAGGTGAGGTATGGGCAAGTGGCGGGGAAGATGGCGTTGAACTCGACGGTCTTGTAATCGGGAGCGAGACATCCTGAGCCAACACCAACGTCACCAGATGAGAAGATGACACTGATACCTCGGAGGCCGAGAAGACCGATCAGGTTGCAGGTAAGAGTAGCATATTCGCGAGGAACGCTCTGTTTTAGTGTCAGATGGGTAAGAATACACGGGAAGATATGAACTCACGTCTTCCTCATCACCATAAGAGGTGGAGATGACAGCTGGGAGGTCCTTCTGAGACAGAAGGTAGCGGAAGAAAGGCACATAGGGCTCGTTCTGGTTGTCAGCAGCAGTAGGCTGGTCGATGTTGGGGACGAAAGGACTGCCAATTGTTAGTCACTCGAAGGTTCTAGAAGAGAGGGGTCCACATACGGTGCGCCACCGGTTATATACTGAGTGAAAGGAAGGGGATGCGCAATCCCAACAATGTTCTCAGCATCGAGATCGGCCTCACCATAGGCCTTGTGAGCAGGGTTCTGGTCATCGGTGCCGTTGTTGATGAGCACAGTTGTGAAGTTCTGCTGAGGAATGCCAAACTTCTCTTCGAATGCAAAGACATCCGAGTAAAGAGCGGACTCTCCAAGGAAGCTGCTGAAACCAATGGTGCTTCCAGAGTCAGCCTTAGGAGCATAGTCGCCGATGTTGTACATCTGCTTCAGGCAAGATGGGGTAATGCTTGTTTGGCATGAAGCATCGACATTGGTCTTGGTAGGCTTTTCCTTGCGGTCGGTGATGGTTCGAGCTGGGTGAGGAACAGGGTTGAAAGCAACCGTGCCACCAAAGTTGGTGCTGGGATCGACGAACTGAACGTGTTCTGCCACTTCATCAGGGATGGAGTAAGACAGAGTTCGCAGCTTTGTCTGCCCCTCCTTGGTGTAAAACTGATAGTCACCACCAAGCAGCTTATTAGCTCCCTTGACATCAAGAGCAAAGTCGATGAATCCGCCATTGATCTTGTAGTGCTTGACTCCATTTGACTTGAGCCACTTGGTCACTGAAGAAATAGCTTCCTTGGAAGGAGAAAAGGCGCTGGTGACTTCATCTTGAGAAAGCCATTGACCGTAGTTCTTGCTGTCGGGGCTGGAGAGGTCAAGAAGCTTGGACTCGAGCTGATCGACACCTTGCATGGTCAGTGCGATGCTGAAGACCTGCTGCTTTCCAGACGAGGCGACTCGAGCAGTCTCATGGACTTGCCAGCCTTGAGGGACTTCGGCATGGTGAGAGAATGATTTGCCCAAGGTTGAAGGTAGAGCAGATAATACCAGGACGAGGCACTGGGATGAAGAGATATACATGATGGCGGTTGGATGTCACTGAAGACCCCGGATAAGCGAAAGTAAGGACTGGATAGAGACAGGATACTACAGCAAGAACCAAATCAAATCCCAAGGAAATGATCTCGTTCTTATCTATTTCTCCCAAACGGCTATCATCATCAATGCCATCATCCACGCGACTCTGGATAAGACGGCATCGCAATGGAGATATCATCCAACAAAGGCCCTTTGTAAATACAAAAGGGCTCCGGGGTTCTTGGCACGAGCTTCTCAATTGGGACAATTTTCCGTTTCGCGTTATGCAGATCATGATGCGACTTAGCCCGTCTGGGAAGTTATGCAGGGGCAAGCTGTGGAGACATCTACGGCTCAACGGCATCGGTAGATGGATATCGCGACATTTAATCCCAGAACGTGAACTGATAGGGTGATGGCGATGACAAAAGTGCGTGGAGTTAAGATTAGGTGATGACAGAAACGGGCACGATAGTGAGGTTTGGAGCCAATTGATAGTGGCACCATAAGGGACGACATAGTTTAATAACTTTATGCAAATTGAGACCACCTTGTAGGCCATTCTTTCTTTAGCTGCTCTAGGGTTTAGGGTATCTAGTCTAATATAGTTTAGAGCACTTATGGAAGTGATACTAACTTTATCTCAATGTCCAGACGTCTTGTTCAAGTCGGTCCAAATACACTGTTACCATCTGGGTCACCGAAAGTGGCATATCACACTGAAAAAAGGGAAACCCAGAGTCGAGGGCTAAACTTGTAGCGATTTACCTTCTAGACTCTTGGATCGCCCTGAGTGGAGTCAGGCGAATGGTGCTGGACCAACCCTACAAAGGCTGGTCCAATGTCGAGGTCGCATGAACTGCACTGTTCTGACAGTATTGCACCTAAACCTATCGCGAAGGTAGAGCATTGGAGCCTGGTCGAGCTTCATACTGTCAGAGTATCTGCGCGCATACCCGGATGCAGCGAATAGTTTACCAAGGGCATGCTTACCTTGGCCAACGAAAGGACACTTCTTCGCCATCTTGTCCTTGGTTTCCTGGATTCTGGAAGTCTACTGGTCGATCCGCCTTTGGACGTTGACAGTGCCACCACGGGGCTTACAGTCACAGAATAGGATCACCTCAAACAATCGCGGAGGGCGGACATGGGAGACGATGTTTGGAGCAATACTCACTGGCAATGGAATTCACTTCTCCGTAGTAGGGTCCGTTTTCTTACCATGCTGGAGGAATGGTCACTGCCAAAGGCGATACTGGCTCGGCGGTTTTTTATGTTGATGGAGGAGTCGTTGGATTGGTATTTACTGGACACAAGATGAAGAGATTCTGCGATGATGGACTAGGCTTATCACTCCCATCGAGTTGTTTTTCAAGACTTCATATCATCTTCAAGAGTGCCTCTGAGACGATCTAGGTGGCGCAAAATCGTGGAACCCATTCCAATCGCCTGCAAAATAGCACATGTTGAAACGTGTTAGCGAGCATTGTCAACGCCTACAATGCCGTACGGTCATGCGAGCTTAGCGAACTGTTTATGGTCTTTACTAATATTATCCTAAGATTGGCCTTAAGCGACCCTGCCTACGCTTTTCAGTAGGTTGCTCGGGAATCTTTGCGTCATGTGACCCACACCACACCTACCTGCCAAATTCAAACTGCCTTGGGCTTTCTGGAGGCCGCCGCCTGAAGCATTCGCCGTGCTCATGATGGCTTCATTTCAGGTGCCATTCTGAAACTCTATTAATACACACCGAGTTCCCTGTAGGCTTCGAAGACCTTCCTTCCACATCAATCCAGTTCCCATTAGGTACGCGTGCCCCCATTCTATCACCATAACGCACTATCAAGGAAAAAGGCAACTCTCCTGGAATCACCAAGAAGCAGAGTGTCTGGTAGCAATACGTTCCTCCAGCGTCCGCACTGGCCTTTCAAACACCATTTCTATGCTCCGATGCTGACTCTTCAAGATTCTGACAGTCATGGAGTCCCAGAAAGGTTCAACATCCCAAGCTGGGTCTGGTCCCCAGAAGCAAGGGTCGATGCCATCCACGACCGAAAATTCTGGAACAACTCAGTCACGCTTTGATGTCATATCTGCTAGGTACCGTGCCGCCTGGCCAAAGCTCCTTTCAAGACGCGGCGTCGAAATGGGCAAAAACCCGCTGCCATCGTTCATCGTCCCCCACGTAAGCACCATCGAAGAAAAGGCCAGAGAAATTCTCTCCCGACACCAAATCAAGTTCGAGGATGAAGATGAGGTGGAGGTCCAGCTTCTGGATCAAAGTTATGATTATACCGAACACTTTCCCACTCTTTTGATTACGGCGCCCTGGTCTGTAGACAAGCAAGAGGACTGGAAGAACGCTGTCCGCGATATGGTTCAGGTCATATATACGATCTCCCAAGAGGCTAAATTCGATCAAGAGAACGTCTTGGTCGAAATGAAAGACCCCATCCTTACAAAGAAAATATGCATCTGGCCGGTTGAGTCATGGTTGCATTACAATGCCGAGTGGGACGCCATCAGAAAGCTCGTACGCCAGCGACTCAAAGCTTTCAAGGCTACCAGAGGAGAGGTGGCGGGTATTCAACTATTACGCTATGGGGTAGTGAGGAGGAGAGAAGCGAACCCCGTTACTAATTCCATCGGCTGCTACGCAGATTCAGACGAAACCGGATGGCTTGAAGTTATTGACGACATCCGGATGAACATTGACGAGCATGGCTGGACAGATGTCTACATTCATATCGAACATAGGTGGAACGAGTGGTAGGGTGGGTTGGATGACTGATGGTCATAATAACAGTGTGTGATGTATAATATGTGACAGTATATTTTTATTGCCGGGTAGGATCTGAGGGCAGCCCACTTTATTACAGGTGCGGAGTATCCTGAGGGTGTCTTGAGTGGCAGCTACGGAAGCATATATACCCTCGACAGTTTTATGTCCCTCCGGTTGCTGACGATGGCTTCTTTGCTATGCCGGTCAGTAAAGATCACGCGGATGGTGAAACTGAGAGAAGGAAACGCACGAATATCAGTAACCCTACAGTGAGACTAAAAGGCTGAAGAGCTTAGATACGTCAAACGATCTTAGGCTACCTGCTATCCAGTTCATCTAATTGACTCTGGCCTGGGAGACCATTATAGTGTAGTACCTTAAGACGAAAAGAAATATGATGTGTTCACACGCTAGACAGATTGTAAGACAGTGCTCGACATGGTCATTAACGTTTATTAAATCATTCCTAAACTTTTGTACAGATCTAGATGCTTGTGCTAAGTCTATTGGGTGTTGGAAGGGTACAGGTACTCGTTCAGCTCAAAGAACTCCTCCTTAACCAGACGAGGAGACACGAAGCGTCGGAGCATATCGGGGCTACCAGCTCGGTCATTAGTACCGGAGCTTCTGGCACCGCCGAAGGATTGTTGGCCAATGAGGGCAGCTGTGGTTTTGCAGTCTAAGGGGGATGTTAGCAAATTGTCCGCGATACCTGTTGATGAGGGATACTTACTAAGGTAGAAGTTACCAGCAGAGTAGCGCAGAGCGTCCTCAGCTTCACGGAGAGCAGCGCGGTCTTGAGCAAAGACAGCACCAGTAAGAGCGAGGCCACCACCGTTCTGGTCGATGTTCTTGAGGAGAGGGGAGAACTCTGAGTCCTTGTAAACATGGACAGCAAGGACAGGACCAAAGATCTCCTCGTTGAAGAGACGGTGGTCAGGAGAGTCAACCTGGTAGACAGTAGGCTTGACGAAGTATCCAACGGAGCCATCGTACTCGCCACCAGCAATCAGCTTGACCTGAGGATCCTTGTTGCTCTCGTCAATGATCTTCTTGATCTTCTCGAAAGAGCGGCCGTGGATGACGGGACCCATGAAAGCCTCAAAGTCCTTGTCGGGGCTACCCTGGGTGATGTTCTTCATCTTCTGCGTCATGAGGGAGAAGAACTCCTTGGCGCGAGACTCGGGGACGTAGGCGCGGGATGTAGCAGAGCACTTCTGGCCCTGGTACTCGAAGGCGCCTCGAATGGTGTGGTTTACGACGTTGTTGATGTCGGCAGAGGGGTGGACGAGGTGGAAGTTCTTGCCGGAGGTCTCACCGACGACGCGAGGGAAATCGCGGTATCGCTTCTCAGCAATGCCCTGACCGATCTTGCCGTAGATGGAGCGAAAGACATCGGAGGAACCGACGAAGTTGAGACCAGCGAATTCGCGGTGCTGGAGGACAGTCTCGGTGATCTCGGCGGCGTCACCGGGGACGAATTGGATGACATCCTTGGGAAGACCGGCTTCCTGGAGGATCTTGTAGATGATGGTGCTGGGGTGGATGTTGTACTGAGAAGGCTTCCAGAGGACAACGTTTCCGAGAATAGCGGGCGCGATCAGATTACCGCCGATGGCGGAGAAGTTGAAAGGTGAAACGGCGTAGATAAATCCCTCGAGAGGTCGGTAGTCGATGCGCGTCCAGATACCGTCTGTACCACGCTCAGGCTGCTTGCTCATGATCTCGGCGGCGTAGTGACCCGCCAGTCTGAAGAAATCGGCCAATTCAGCAGCAGCGTCGATCTCACCCTGCCAAACGTTCTTGCCCTGTCCAAGCATGGTAGAAGCAATCAACTCATATCGGTACTTTGTTGTCGCCAACTCGGCGGCGCGCTGGAAGATGGCCGCTCGATCAACGAACGGTGTGTTCTGCCAGTCCTTCTTCGCCTTGAGGGCGGACTCGATAGCAGCGCTGACCTGCTCTTTGCTGGCGAGTGGGTAGTTTGTGAAGGTGGTGGCATGTTCTGCGGGGAGGACTTGGTCCTCGTTGGCGTGGATCTTTTGAGAGACGCCGTTGAAGATGATCTCGCTCTTGAGGGGGAGTTCAGAGCGGAGCTTCTTTAGAGCGGCTTCCACCTTTGCTCTCTCTGGAGAGTTCTTTGTGTATGTGGGCTATGGAAGGTGTCAATCAATTGATCGTCAGACTCCAGGTTTGTTTGACTTACGTTGGGCTCATTACGAGCAGCGGGGAGTCTGAAAGGAACAGTTGTAGCGTTGCCACGCTTCTGAAGAGAGATCGCAGGTGTTGAAGCTCGCACTCGGCAGAGAGGAGTCAATCGTCCCTTGGACGTCAATGCTCGAACGGAAGAGGCCATTTGGTGTGATGCAGGTGATATGAGTAAGATGGAAACTCGTACTCCTTCAAGCCAGAGATGATTAGAAGAATGATTTGTTAACGGTGGAAAGAGCGAATGGCTTTTTTTATGCTGCTTGACATCACAACATTTCACACGCTGAAGTTTACAGCTGTCGGGGCACCTGCCGAAAGTTTTAGTGGGCGTTTTGGCGTTGTGTTACCCCGCTGAGGCTTGCTACCCCACTGGAGTGAGAAGATAGTGGGTGACCGGGCACTGACCCGACTGCAGAGGCGCCATCACGAGACCCAGATCTGAACCCCGCGTCCTGCGAAGCGAAATTCTAGGCGTGGAAGTATGACCCGGGATCTGCCCCGATGGCTAGATTGGCGATTGTGCTTGTCGTATTGTCGGTGTGGGGTCCCGGGTTTGTGCGTCGGGATTGCCATGCGATGATGGTGTAGCGTCGTAGCATTGCTGTCAGTGTCACCGGCAGTTAGTCCTGAGGATCAGCTGGGGAGTGTATGGAGAGAGATGGCTAGAAGAGATTGCCAAAAGCCGCAAGGAAGCGCATCCGATTTGAAGGATGGCCCAAATGGGTAGAGGCTTGGGTGGTACCCCTGCGTGCCCTTCTTTGGAGTATGCCCAGCTCTTCAGTGTCGGCATTCTTCAGATGAAGCGTTCACTATACCGATCTGGTGAAATCTGAGCCTTATCATTATTGTACAGTCAATATTGCACACAATATGGAAAAGCATCAAGAAAAACACCAAGACGATGCCATCACCAGCACATTCAGTCGCAGCCATCTATGGAAGCCCGTATTGGGCGACATAGCAGCGGCAGCTCTATCCGCAACATTAATAACACCAGTCATCACAGTCATCGACCAGTAAGTCTCACTCACCCAAATCTCACGATGCCCTCACTAACAACACACAAGGTCAATGGTTGAAAAGGTCTCTTTCAACAGACCACTGGCCTCTGGCATGAAAATGAACAGCCTGTACGCTCTCAAGCATCCTGGACGCTTCATCTTTGGCCGCGCATTCGGCTACGTCTGGGCTCTTTATGCAGCTACATACGCTGTGTCAAACTCATCAGATACCCTCGCTCATGAGTTCCATAGAGCAGCTGTTGGAACAATTACTTTCGTCAACACGATGATCATTAATGTTCCTCTTGGAGTGCTGAAAGATGTTCGCTTTGCTCAGATGTTCAGTGCGACTTCTACGCCAACACCAAAGACTGCACCTGTTGCAAAGCCCGGTGTCCCCAGAGCGGCGACGCTTGCATTTCTCGGGAGAGATGCCATTACCATCTTTGGCTCTTTCACCATGGCTCCTTGGCTCTCTGCTCTTATACCAGATAGCCTGTCTTCGAGTCCGCATTCTAAGGCTGTCATATCCCAATTGACAGTGCCTATCTTCTCTCAATTCTTTGCCACGCCAGTACATCTGCTGGGGCTGGACCTGTACGCCCGACCACGCGGGATACCGTGGGTTGAGCGTTCGGCGCAGATCCGAAGGGACTTATTTTCGGCGACCATACTCCGGTCTCTGAGGATTATCCCAGCGTTTGGGGTTGGGTGTGTTGCTAACATGGAGGCTCGGTCTCGGTTCCATAAGATGTTCCAGAAGACCTAGAAGGGCTTCTTTCGGGGGGAGATGGGGTGTCATGGCTGCAGGCAGTGGCAAGGTATGGGTGTATCAAAATGGCTAGTGTCGTAGATTAAACATAGTTCGTATGGTTGTAAATTGTCTCAACGGAGTGGCGCATAGGTTGTTCAGTAAATAATGGGAACTTCTTTCTTCTACCGTACCTGACCAAGTCTATGAAGTAGGGCGTGTATCATTCACATGAGTGGTGGTCTCCATCAACCGCGCCGTAGTAACAGCCTCCCTTAGTGCCCGTCCAAGATGACCCCTGACACCAGCCTCTTCCAGAACCATGATTCCTCCAATAGTGCACCCCTCAGGCGACGTACCCTGATCTCTCAGATCTCCTGGCTGCAATCCACTCTGCAGCATTGCCGCTGACCCCTTCATGGATTGATAGATCATAGTCTGGGCGTCGGCGCGGGGAACACCTACCGCTACGGACGCATCGATGAAGGCATCACAGATGACAGCCCAGAATGCAGGGGTTGAACCTCCAACTGCGGTAGTGGCATTCATCAGACGTGGGGGGACTTCAACGGTCTCGCCGATGGTTGTGAAGAGAGCTTTAGTGAGGTCGCGGTGCTCTTTGGGGACTTCTGGCTCTGAAGGTGACTTCTCGATGGCGATTAAGCCTTCGGAGACCATGCACGCGATGTTGGGCAATGTGCGGATGACCCATACTCGACCAGAGCTGTTGTCCTTGTTGGTCTCGCTACCGTAGATGGTGGACTCAATTTTCTCCTTTGTCCAGCCTGCGGCGACACTGATGAGGAGCTTCCCAGATAGAGCGTCGCGAATGCCATCTTGTGTGAGAACACTCTCGATATCAGCAGGGTCAACACCCAAGATGATGGCATCAGCTTGTTGTACAGCCTTGACATTCTCACCGCGCGAAACGGTCAAGACGCCGCTGTACTCTGAGAATTGCTCATTGAGCTTTTTCTCCGAGCTCTCTGAGCGCACACAAGCGACGATCTTAGTGAAGGGCAAATCTGTCTTGCCATCCTTGATAGCAGGCAACAGATTCTTCACAATGGGCTTGGTAATGTTTCCTGTAAACAGTCAGTCGGTGCAACAATCCAATTGATTGGCTAGAGTAATGTACCTGTACCCAGGATGGTGAGTGTGGCATTGCTCAAGCCCATGATTGCGTTTGATGTTTGGTGCAGTGATAGTGATACGGTTTGATACGGCAGAAGAGATGCGCAATTTTATTTGTCGGTAGATAAGAACAATTAATGACCAGAGAACATGTGAACAAATAAACTGATCCTGTGACACAATAGACCAAACCTTGGAGGGAAAACGGTCGACAAGTCGTGCAGATTGCAGATGCAGATGCAGCCGTCCATTCCTTTGTTATCTCTGTGAGGGGTCGACGGGAGGGCTACCGATGGTGATGTCGTCTACTGTGGACCGCTAAACGTGGGGAAGAAACCCTCCGCGGGGTAGAGCTACGGGAATGATACCGGCGCCACTATCAACGCTACAGGGGAGACGAGGCATGACATGAGAATTAAGTCAGGGCAGAAAAGATCTTGTAACACTTATCTGGCAAATTACAGCTGCGTGTTTGGTGGTTGGGGAAAGTTTGAGACATTCTAGCGCTATCAGTGGAATGCGGTGAAGCAATTGAGTTCAAGGTCACCAGCACACAAGGCATTTCATCACAATTGAGGTGAAGATGCAGAGAAGATACAGGCACAGTTTAACAATGTTCCAATTTTAGTAGCTCATCAAATATATTATCAACTCGATCGCTTTTCTTAGGCTCTCCAAAAAGCAAGCCGTCTCCAAGCCTCATTCTTCAGCGCCGTGTACTCATCTAACGTTCTCGAAGCTGCATCCCTGTTCTCCATAGCGCGTCTGGTCAAATAAGCCATGCACTCTCCAAGGGTTCCCCACGTAGTGCACTTGTACACTTCAGGCGCAACACCCTTGTCGTCCTTTAGCTTGAGCAGGCCAAAGCTGACCTCATCCGACATGCCGTGGAGTTGAGCAAACTTGACGGGGACTGTGGGGAGATTGGCCTTGGTGCGCTGTTGGTGCGTCTCGTGCGCTTTGACTAGAGACTCCTTGTTGTGGCTGGCGAGGAGGAGTTGAGCGGAGGGGAAGGGTTTGGAGTTTGAGCCGCCAAAGCCAAGGAATTCTTGACGGAGTACGCCTTGGGCGATTTGGTCGTAGTTTTGGTCTGTGTGCTCCTTTGTGTCGTGGATGAGAGAGCGAGGGTCGGAAGCCATGTAAGCGCCGCGAACAACCTTGACACCAAGAGTGAACCCCTTGTCAGAGGCAATCTGGAGGTGCTTCTTGAGAGTGTCTTGTGTGCTCTTGAGGTAGGCCTGGTATGTGTTGTAGAGAACGACGTTGCCGTTTGTGTTGAACCTTTCTTGGAGCTGCATGCCAAGACGGAAGATGCCCCATTGGTAGTGCTGGGATTCGGCGTCAATGAGGATGTATGCACCCCGGTCCTTGGCTGCTTGAGCAATTTCGTGGCAAGCGTCGACGAATTGCTTGGGGAGTTGAGCATCATTGTGGAGGGCTTCACAGACGCCAGGTCCAGCTCCAGTAAGTCTGAGTGCAGATGTTAGTCGATTGCGCTGACAAAATGAGGTTATCGCGACTTACTTGGTGGCCAATTGATCTCCTTCGCGGAGTAGCTCGACCGTCTTCAATGTTCCATCCCTCCACGCGGCGATGTTCTCACACCATCGGCAATCATTGTCCTTCGCAGCCTCAATTCCAAGACCTTGCTCCTTGCCCGTCTTGCAATCAAACACAGTCTCCTTCGCGAATGTGAGAATTGTTCCTTTGAATCCCATATCCTGCAATGACTTCATGGTAGCCTGTGTCTCAGCTGGCGTCTCACCGGCGCAGAATTGTTTATAGAAACTGTGCTTCAGAAACGACTTCAGTAGCGGGTTGCGAGAGACATTGAAGAGATATGGGTTGCTGGCGTGGGAGAGTCTTTGAAGAATGTGGAGAGAAGGAATGAGGAGCCATGGTCTTGATGATACGGCATTGATGAGGAGGGATCTGTAGAGAACCAGAGGTGGGAGTTCTGATAGAGGTGTCTCTGCACCTTTCACGACTGGTGTGTTGGTGGGCGTCGCTTCAAGCGCAGCAGCGGCATTGGTGGTGGCAGTGGAGGAGCATCGCCAAAGAGGAACTATACTGTCTCTTCGCACTCGAGGTCCGAGTGCGAGAGTCAGGTTCCGGGTAGCCCGGGACTTGGTAGAGATGTTGCCCGAAAGCGCGGTTGTCATGTCAGGCGTAGTAAATGAATTGGTGATTCCAGCGTTCAATTGATGGTGTCTATCAAGATGAAAATGAAGAGACGATAGATGAAGAGATGGCAGATGAAGTTAACAATGAGGGGGGCATTCTTATTCTACGATAGCCTTATCATCCATCACTTTAGACTTTTAGTCTACCCTCTCACAGCTGGCTAACTTACACCGGCACCCCAACCGATACTCTTTTTTTGGTCTACGATAACGCGGGGAGCGGGGTAAACTGGTCACATGGACATGGCTTGATATGGTATCACCAAAACTCAATTAGACCGTCATCTTTTTGTTTGTCTAAGGTAAGTTAGGTATCAGTCTAGACCCCAAACCCCAGAGCCGGGAGGGTTTCCCGATGGTCACTCAACCCCACATTCGTGATAAATCACGAAAGCCATGACCTCTTCTTAAGTCGGGAATGGCACCGTTGCTTTCTTCTAGTGCGGTCTCGTTTAATTGCTGTACTGGGTTAAACTAGATACGGTAATTGGGTGGCGGCGTCGTGCATCGGCTTCTCGAAGCGAGGGCAGGGGTTGGGCGCCTTTCCTTTGCTTGCCTTGCGCTAGAAGCATCATGCATATTGGAGACGAGCTGCAGTATCATCGGGGATGGAGATAAGCATCGCTTTGTCCTGAACGAGATTTTGTAGCGTAGTGTTGGGCGGCTACGAACGGGCGTCTCTATATGGTAATGGTCTTTGTCATTGACACGCGTCTGTGGGACATGGCATTTTCTTCCCTGGGACACCTAGATCTACATCTCTTCATCAATCAAGGGCAAGTTCAGCCGAGGTTTTGCTTAGATAGCTCTGGTATCTTTACGGCGGTGATACCGAAGAAGCCAATCACCAGTGGCCATTCAAGCCGCTGTTAAGTCGCAATCTGAATATGAAGTTACAAGCTCAAAGATACAGTCAAGATCGACCTGGTCTGCCAGTTAAATCTCCGTCTCTGTGCATGGCTTCGAGGAATCCGCTTCGTCTCACAAGAGCATTCATGCACCAAGTCATCATATTTACGAGTCTCGAGAATTAATCTTGTTGCGTAAGAGCCTTCTCGCGAGTGGTTCAATCGTCGTTATATTCATATAGATCTGTAGTTCTATTGCTCTATGACTAAACACTTCTAACTACTTCGTCCAGTGCTTTTGCTACATACTCAACATTCTGCTCGTTCAAACCCGCTAGACTAATCCTTGAAGTATCCGCCATGTAAATGTGATATTTCTCTGCAATCTCGTTAGCTTCGGTGTTTCCAGACATTACATACTACTGACCTTCAAGACGTTCAATTTGAGCTTTGCTGATCCCAGTGTACCCAAACATGCCAGTCTGATTCACAATATGTGACCAATCGCCCGGCGTCTCAAGTCTCACTAGCCCATCGTAAAGTTTCTTTCTCATAGATCTGATCCTAGATGACATGGTCACCAGATCTTGCTGCCATTGCTTCATGGTTTCAGGATTGCTGAGAACAGTAGCAGCGATTCGAGCACCGTATACAGGTGGATTCGAAACAGTTTGTCTCTGAGCATTTTGTAGAAGTGAGAAGACTGTACGCTTTGCCTCTTCAGACTTTGTCACGATCGCTGTCAAACCGACGCGCTCACCGTACAGACCCATGTTCTTGGCGAAGGACATGCAGATTGCAGCTTCGAGACCGAGATCTTCGATGAGATACATGATGGCGCAGGCATCTTCGTCATAATTACCGGAGTTAAAGCCAAGATAGGCTGAATCGATGATAGGAAAGATCTCGTTCTCTTTGATCACAGCAGCGATTTGCTTCCATTGGTCGCGAGTCGGATCGCATCCGGTTGGGTTGTGGGCACATGCGTGGAGAACAACCGCCGAACGCTTGTCTGCTGCCTTGAGAGCTTGGATGTAGCCATCAAAGTCAAAGGCTCGATCTTTGTAGTAAGGAGCTTTGACAACGTTGAAGCCAATCTCTTTAAAGAGTAAATCGTGGTTTGACCATGTTGGGTCAGTAATGATGATATTATCGATGCCAGAATTTGCCTTGCGAAGGACCAGACCAGCTAGAAGCAATGATCCCGTTCCAGAGATGGATTGACACGTTGCGATCTTCACGACATTAGTCTGTGCGCTCATCTACTCGTCGAGCGTCTCAAGACTTACTCTATTCTCTTTATAGGCGCTAGTATCATGAAACAACAACTTGCTCGCCTCATCGCGAAAGCTCTGGAGACCCTCAATAGGCAGATACTCATGTCCAGGATTGGTGATCAGCTTCTCAGCCTCCCTCACGGACGGCAGAACCCATGGCTTAGCGTTCTCATCTCGGTATGTACCTTGACCGAGATTCACCTTGTGGGGATCTTGGTCTGCATTGAAACGCTTCGTGACTTCAAAGATGGGGTCGGGTAGGATGTATTGTGCCGCACCGAATGCGGAGTGCTGTCGGGTACCCATGCTTGTGGTGGGATTGGGGAAAGGTTGGTCTTGTATTGATTTGACCAGTATATTGGGGACTTACGCCTCAGAAAAACTCAAAATAGGGCAAAGGTTGGTTTGGAGTAGTAACTACTAGTGAAATTAATCGGACTCACGGAGCGACTTCTCTTCCTTTTTGTTTCGGTGTTGGCGATGAGATTGTCGTCGGATTATGAGTCCCGGTGTTGAGGTTCGGTGGGATCGGCCGATGGCTGCTTTGATGGCCGGAAGGCATCCGACTTTCGCAAACACCAGACCGGGTGCGACCCGTCCTTCAATTTTGTTATCTAATCCGTCTACATACAGCTGTATGTGGTTAGTCGTCATCTAGCGACAACCGCCGTTTCGCTACGGAGTTTATCCTATAGTATTGATGTGCTGGGTATGTGGTTCAAAGGCTTTCATATCGGAGCTGTGCTGAACTTGATGACATGATGCAATTGCTCCAATCTGGCGATCGTATTCCCACTGACATTCCAGACTCAATCATGCCAGGGTACTCACCTTGGACCAATAATTGCTGACTCGAGACTGCCTCATGAAGCTACGCCGCTTTTCCTGATCCTCCATCATCCGCCCAGGTTCAACCATGGCGCAACAATATACCCAATTTAAAGGCATCGGCGTCATGCATACCACATCCTACCCTGTGAATGGTCATAAAAATCGTCAGCCCAGCCCAAAACTGGAAAATGGTCCTGCGAAGCTGACATGAGATGACCCTAAGCTCACTGCTTACGTAGGATTGTTAGTACAGTCTCTACTCTTAAGCCACGGACTTGCAAATGCGACAATGAGATTTGCTTTCCTGCGATGGCATCTTTTCAAAATGGCCTCTCTCGACACTCTGCCTAATGAGATCCTCTTCCAAATCTTGCGTAACTGTTCGCCGCAAGAGCTATGTCGTCTCAGCTACACATGTCGAACGATGGGAGCTATAGCGAGTGATTGTTTGTGGTCTGATATCGAGTTCCATGAGGCCGGATACCATGAGTCGAGCGCGGAGGTCAGTGAGCCGTCACCTTGGAGAACAACCAGGCGACCATACAACAGTTCGACGAGAGATGGCTGGCAGAGCGATATCTACAAAAGAGCAGAGAAGTTCTTTATTTTGCTGCATAGTCTACATCGTGATGATCGAGCTCGACTGAGACAGCTTGCGAGTCGAGTGAGAAGTCTCTGTACTGTGGTAGAGCAGGGCTGGGGCACTGGCGGAAGAGCGGTTGAGTCTGCAGTATCGATATGGTGTCTTCTCCCCTACTTCACCAACCTCAGATCCTTGGAGTTCCACGGTGGATCAAATATGTCGCATGATGACGACTCTGGTTCTCAGCTCCCCAATGCGCCTCCTCTAGAGAGTCTTGTGTTCGCAAAGCTTTTCGCCTACATACCCCGAGAAGTCGCAGCATACGTCCTTCGGTCCAGCCAAACACTCGAACGCCTCGAGCTCGGAATGCTAGATGATCCAATGTCCATTAATGCTGGCGTTGACCCAGTTGACAACATGAATCATATTGAAGGACAAATGAGCTTAGGTGGAGTTATTCCTCGACCACTGGGTGGCTTTTTGCGTGGCAATTGCGTATCATTCCCAAGGTTGAAGCATCTGTGCTTATGTCAACCATGCAACAGTCGCGGGGATTACTTTAACCAGAGGAACTTTTGGTCGAAACGAGCAGAGCAAGACAGTATGGAGTCTTGGAAGAGTATCATATTGGCTTCAAGCCAGACACTGGAGACCCTCGTGATGGATCAAAGACCAGGTGCAGGCGTGGAAGAAAACGAAGGGTTTTCAGAGGAAGAGTTTCTCAACACTGGCTTCACGGGCGCAGGCAACAAAGCTCTTGGTGAAGCATTTGGAAACATAATCAGCAGCGATACAGCCCTTCCCAGTCTGAAGCAGGTGTATCTGTATGGGTTCATTGTCAAATCTCGACTTCGCAGGGGACTGTCCGAAACACCTGCAGACAGACTTTTAAATGCACTGGAAAGTCGAGGGGTGAAATGCGAAGCGCGAAGAGGAAAGTGGTGTCTTTTTGACCAAGATACGGGAACGACTTCATGGGCGAAATGGGACGGGGATGGGTGTTCTAATCTTCATGATGTGTATATGGGAGTCAGATGGTATACTCTTTTGACCAAGGTATAACTGGTGGTCAGAGCGATTTTTTCTGGTCCATTGTGAGCTTACAAGCAAAGATATGGGTTGTTGAGTAATTGATTGGCACAAAATGCAAAAAGAAAGTTCTGATGAACCGTTTGTGATTCTTGAAATGCTTGCCTCAACACGGGATCGAACCGTGGACCTTGTCATTACTAGTGACACGCTCTACCACTGAGCCATTAAGGCGAGTACTTGTTGTTGAAGACCAGTCACGATTTGCGCACTACGTTCTACGCTAGCATTTTTCGTTCGTCGAGTAAAATTGTCAATTGGAGCAAATCTCCGTGGGACTTCGGAGAAAGAAAGCGAAACTTTGGAGTGGATATCGAACACGTATTTATCATCTAAACTTCGTATACCAATCTATCTACTCGGAACCGATCATTAACTTGTACCCATACCAATCAATACATCATTACACCATCTGTCTGGGCTGCTCTTGATTCGTGCTGGAGTTGGAGTACGACTGCGCATTGTAAGGATGCGACATCAAGGCGTCATCAGAGTTATATCCAGTCATCGCGACAGGTGTCCCAGGAGCGGCGTCTCTCTTGCTGCGCTGGAAGATAAACAGGATTGCCTTCAATGAGTCGGAAGGGTTCAACATAGCGAGCCAAGCGTAGATACCAAAGGGACCGCCCTGATAAGACTGCTCGTGTCCGTTGGCTGCTTCCAACTTGGCGAAAGTACCGCGACCATAGCCGTGGACGTACACCTTCCAAGGGTATGCGATCATAAAGAAGAAAGATAGGGGAACCATCAAGCAACATGTGACCAAGTTGGGGATGCCGACGTGAACGTCGGCGTAGGTGAGTTGGTCCGTGGGTTCGAGAATACCTTGATCGTCAAGAATCCAAAAGATAATCTGAGACTGTTAGTCGTGTGTTTGATGCAGTTATTTGTCTGGGATTGCTTACCTCTTGGAGAAAGGTCAAACCGACAACGATCTTGAACGCAGTGAGCTTGAGCATTGGGCTGTGGTGCGCAAGATCCTTCTTGAGAAGCATGTACATCTGGAGAATCGAAGCGACGGAGACGATGAGTGAGATAGTCATGATGACGCGCAGGTAAATGTTAGCGAACTCTCGTGAGTTGCTCTCCGCGCAGAAGACACCAGCGGCTTCAGTAATATCGGTGGCAATGGCGACAGCAATGGCAACAACAGGCATCTGAAAGATCATGATCCAGCGAGTCTTGAACCATTTCATGCCATTCTTCTTCTTAGTCGCGAAAAAGACATCGCGCTGGTCGCGATGGGGAGAAACGTAGTCGCAGAGCAGCAAGAAGAAGGATCCGAGGGCGAAACCTTCAAAGACGTGGAGCCAAGGCTGGATGTAGACTTCGGCTGAGGGGAAGCAGATGGAGAGGAAGCAGATGACGGTGAACGCTGAGATGAGGTTGCCGACTCGCATAATTCTGGATAATTGTTAGCACTGAATGATTTGGTGCTGGAGATAAGACGTACTTGACCTGCTCTGAGGGGTTTGACAGATGCGTCGCATGCATTTGCTTGGTGATAAACATGACGATCATAGAAAGAGCGGAGCATGAACCAGCAATGATCATGCTCAGCTCGTAGAAGCTGAGGTTGCCAACGAAGTTTTGCTTAGCATCTACTACACGTTAGCGTTCATGTCAAACGTCGTGGATGGATCTCTCGTACTTTGAGCTAGTGAATGAGAAGGACAAGTGACGGGTGTGTCGTCTTCATCGTTGCCTCTAAAGATTCCCATTGTGGTATGGATAGGATGGGGTCGATTGAATGGAAAGTGGATTGCTTGATGCTGGAGAAATAGTGATGAGAATTTTCGTAATGGAGTGCCGACAATGGCAGATATATAACTACAAAGAGGATCAGTTCCATCCATGGCAGACCCTGCAGGATGAAACCCAAAACTTGTTGTCTAAACGCGATTAACACAGCCATGGGCACAATGTGCATCAAGCATGTCAGCCCTACCAGGTAGCCCAGGGCCAGTGGGGACCAAAATACCCTCCAAACGGTTGTTGATTCGAGGGATCGTCTCAAAATCGCATCTTTGAAGACATGGGTATCTGGCGGCTGGGGCCAATGGTGCACAGCCCAGCAACGGTTTTGTCCGCGGCTTGACCGGAGAGGGACGGAGGATCAGCATTGAGACTCTGGTGCTACGCTGACGATCGAGGGCTTAGCTATGGTGATAAGGTATGGAAGGCTTCCGATATGCGCCAATGTATTGGAAATAGCTGTTGGTCTTACGGGGACTGCAGCGACGATCGAGGCTCGTATTTTGGATGCTGTCATTGGTGAATTGAGGGAGCTTTCTCAGCTGTGCTTTTGCTTGGTCTGTCAGATCGAGCTTGGCGACCCTCAGCTTAATTTCCAGACCCATTTTATCTCGCAATTTCTCATCCTTCATTGGTTGTTCAAGTCTGTCAGCAAAGGTCCGCTTTCTAAATTTTCTTCCCCCGTCTTCAATCTCACAAGAGATGACTTCAATGCAACTGCTTGAACAGCTGTTCGAGTTGCGGCCTCCATGGCTATGTTTTGATCGACATCTCAAGACTCGAATGGTTTGCCAAAAACCGTGTTTGCATTCGACTGTGGCTTGGAATTGGTGACGAACACGGTTATTTCGGCATCTTCCACCCTGGTCGAATCGCATGCTGGAAGTGGTTAGACTGATCTTTGAGGTTGCACTCAAGCTTTTGACGCTCCACCTTAATCGTTTAGATAAGATAAGAAGTCGGTGATCGGCTTCTGCAGGTTCCGTTTGTCGGTTGAGCATATCCGACATTTCTGGGATCCCCAATTGAGCTGGCGTTGCATTGAATCCTGCAGGATCACTAGTCAGACTTCTATTTCCGCTTTGATCAGAACAAACGACTGCCGAAACTTCAAACCCTGGAAGAGCCAGTTGTACGCAGTGTCTTACTCTTCCCCACACTACAGTACTCCCAAGCAAAAGACGGTAAGCTACCCTAAAGACATGTGAATGATCAGCCATCTTGCCCAACAGATGATGCATATACGGAAACAAACTTCATGTTTGTTGGCTATTGAGTGAGATATTCATGTCGCAGTACTAGATGACGGTCAATGAACTTTTTAACATTGAAGAGTGATGTGGCTGTAACATTGTTTGCCAGCTTTGTTGTTTTAGTTATTTTGCAACATTGATGCGACGACCGGGAATAATTTTCTTGCCCTCATACCGCTTGAACTCCGAAACACAAAAAGGTCAACCTAAACACCATTCTTGCACACATCATGACATCTTCAAGACTTCATATAGGGAGTCACCTCGTAACTTCCCAGCCGACCTCTGGATATCCAAAGACGGTCGGGCAACCTGTCTGACCATCGAGACGCGCTTCTCGCTTCCAATTCGTTATGACCCCACTATTCTTTTTGGCTAGCTTCCTGATCCAGATAAGCGTCTGGAATGTTTGCCAAGGCGCAGCAGACGCCGTTTGCATGAATTTGTGTGGCGGGTAAATTGAGGCTTCATCAAAAACTAAAGAACCCCTTTTTGTATGAGAAAGTGAAGATCTCACAAGTCACTCGTTGAACACTTTCACTCCAGTCATTCGTTAAGAAATATTCATAATGGTTCGCTTTTCTGACCCTCTTATGATCATTGGCATGCTGGCTACTGGCCTCGCTGTCGCTGCTCCTGAATTCGATGAGGCGGCTGAGCTTCGCAGGTCGAATTGCGACGTAAGTAGTCTCAACGAAGGCATAAGGATGTCTGACTGATTTGTTTTGCAGAATGATTGCTTTTTTGAGTCATTTCCCGGTGGTTCATGTACCGATAATCCAGCCTGCCATTGTACCGAAAAGAAATATCGCGAGGCGTACTATTGCTGCATAGCTAAGAACTGCGAGCCCCGCGTATTGACTAGTAAGTGTTGATGAGATGTCCTCGTGTTAAAGTTGCTAATGAATTGCGCGTAGGATCTATTGAGCGCCACCATGATGGGTGTATAGCTAGGAATCTTGACTTCACATTTGATGTTGAGGAGGCTTGCGGTATCACGCTTGAGACTACTTCCTCGGCGGTGTCCGCAAAGGCTATTGCTACCAGTGCTGCTTCAGAGACTTCTTCCACGGCGACAGAAACGACTGAAACGGAAACTACCAAGACAGCGGCTAAGAGTGCGGAAGAGACCGCAGAGGCATCGGCCATTGGAAGTTCTGTTCCTGTGACAGATGGTGTGGCAGCACTGCAGCCTGCAATGGACGGTCTTGCCTGGTTTATGGCGATTGCTCTTCTCTTTCTTTAGCGGAAAATTTCATGGGTTGATGGGCGAATGATACTGGGATGGAAATGAGATAGCTCATTCTCTTAATGATTGACTTAGCAAAGAGCGCAATCTAGACCGTGGACCACTAGAGCTTTTGAAAATAATTTATAATGTATAATCTGACAATACAAGACTTTGATGGTACTGCCGTACGTTACATCAAGTGTCCTCGATACGTCACAGGCAGTGCCCCGAAGGATCTGAGCTTGATAAGCAAGATATGTTACTGGCAAGGATTAACAAAGTCCGGTCTGTTTACCCATCCTAGGTGGGTAACGGAAGAGATGTCTTCCAAGGCTTAGGCTACCAAAATAAAGTAGCCTAAATGCATCTCTAAATTAGCATAATATGACTAAACTATTTCATCGCTTATGCTCTGACGGTCAATTCTTCTGATACCCTGCGTGCAAGAGTCAGCTTCCCCGCTTCAACATCACAGCGATAACTCGACTCAAACAAAAATGACAGACGCAGTATACTCAACGCCTGAGTGGTATCGTCAAGCTCGAGATAAAGATGTGGACAGCGACATACAGCGACTGACCGTACATCACTTCGGATTCAAGCAAGCGGCAGGCGGGACCTTGGTATTTGCGCCAGTTGACTTTGCCAGCGAGCCTCGAGCCATTCTTGATGTCGGAACCGCAGATGGTTTATGGATGCGTGAGGTGCAATCGTCTATTGACTCACCAGGACAAGGTGAGCACGAGTTTCTCGGTACGGATATCAATACAGGTTTCTTCCCAGAAAATCCACCGACAGGAATCAAGTTCGTGCAGCTGAACATCCAGGATGTGCCACCTCGAGAAATGCAAAACCACTTCGATCTCATCAACCTTCGCATGGTTCTCATAGCCGCCGGTTCTGGCGAGGCACAGCGCACTGCAGTCAATCGGCAAATTGAACTTCTCAAGCCAGGCGGCTGGATCCAGATTGGCGACTGCGATCGAGTTTGCCCTACTTCGGAAGAGGAGAATCCTCGTTACCATGACATGTTCGCTTGTATCCGAGCAGTGTGCCAAGCCTCTGGACTGGACCCTCTAGAAGCGCCGAAGATGAAAGGTTGGTTGGAGGAAGCCGGGCTTGAAATGGTTGAAGAAAGGACGGCAATGCGTGCTGTTGGGAAGCGAAATACAGATGCTGGGCTTGGACGTCTGGGGATGGAAGCAGATCTTAATATCGCGAAAGGATTTGCAGCTGGTGCTAAATGTAAGTCTGATCTAGAGTCAACGGGAAGTCACATGCTTATCGAGGTTTTAGCTCTGTCCTCATCTTCGAAGCCGTTATCAGATAAACGGCTGGATTCATTGGTGCAAGATCTGGAGGTGGAGCTGACCAACACCGGGGCATACTTCCCGATGCGATTCATTTGGGGCAGAAAACCATTATGAGAGGGCGTTGCTATGTGGTCAGGTACTGGTCCTATCCTAGTATTATAAAGACATGTTGTTGTGTTCCTGAGCTGACTAGTCCTTTCCATCGCACCCTGCCAGGTGGGTAACAGAAGAGATGTTCTCTAAAGCTTAGGCTACCAAAATAAAGTAGTCTAAGATCTACCTACTACAATTTAGCATAAAGTAATCCACTTATTTCGTCTCTTATGATTTCGTTAATTCTTCTGGCACCCTGACGCCTGCCAAGAAACCTTCAAAGAACTCAAGGTTCACTCCAAGGGCTTCCTTCCATAGGTCGAGTATCTAGATAGGTTAGCTTATTATTCTCCTAAGAAGCCGGGTGACTCACACAGGCCAGTAAGCGTGAATCACCTTATTCCCAAGGTCCTTCCTAACCTTGGCCAGAAAGACCGTCACCTCCTCCAGGCTCCAACCAAGGACACGAGTTAGAACAGCCATGGAGATAGCCTCGAGTCCCTTGAAGTGATCCATATTCATGTTATTCCACTGACCGATCTCTTTGTGCTTTTTGTCCTTCGGCCATGAGTTGTTGGGCCACTTCAACACTGTCTCAACTATATCCACGAAGCCAGCGTCTTGCAGAATGCCTTTGTTCTTTTTGTTGTCCTGGAAGGGACGACCGATCTTTGTGGAAGCCTTGTCAAGAAGGTGGAGAAGCTTGGATAAATCGCTGTCCTCGGTAAGGGATTTGTCATCGGAGCTGGCGAAGAGGTCGACTTCGAGAAGCTCTACATAACCGCCGGGGACAAGATTTCTATCATAATTAGATGGGTTCTTCCGGTATGACTAATGAACGTACTTGTAGATGTTACTGGCGAGCTCAGGCCAGCTTATGATACTGAATGTCATCATGCGACTGTGGACGTAGTCGAAAGGCTCAGAGAAAGTCCAAGGCTCCTCGATGTCATCAACGAAGAATTCCACATTTGGAGGGACACTAAATACCGTGGTTAGTTAGAATCAGGGCTAAGAATTTGAGCAGGAAGTCGTACAAACCAGGCTGTATGGGAGACAGATCGACTCCGATAACCTTTGCATCAGGATGTTCGTCGGCATAATCAATCGCCCAGATTCCGGTGCCCGTGCCTACATCAAGCACACGTTTGACCTTGGAATCGGGATCATTCGGGGGCGCCAAGCCCAGTCTGTTATCGAGAGTCAAAATGAATAAGTTATGCTGGAGATCTAATTGCAAGATGTTAGCGCTTGGGGAATCTGGAACGAATATCCCTACCTAGTCTTTGTTTCTCGATATCATCATTCGGGAGGTTGTATTCTGTTACGATCAGCGCCCGTAAAGAAAGTGTAGAAGGTAGGAATGCTGACTTCCGTCCTTATATCTATGATAAGTGCGACCATTCTCTTTGCGATAGTCCAGGATAGAGCTTCTCAAACTTTCGGATGTTGATGCATTGATCTGAGAACACGGTCAATATTAGCGTGGCTCGTGAAGGTAACCAACCAAGATGACGCACAGATCCGATTGATGAGTCGTGGTCGTCTTCAAACTAGATGTGTGTCAGTTGATGCTACGCTGAGGCATATCGAACAAGCAAACCTCTTCATCTGGCAAGATGACATTTTCGCGATTGAGAGTTGGCTCACCCATTTTGACTTTGGCGATAATGAAACGAGAAGAGTGATGCGAGAAATAAAACTGGTTTCCCCTCACTGAACAGATCATGTCCGTTTTATCATGGTTTTTATCCTTGTTGCCATCTGCATGTTGGTTGTGTTGACGGTGGATAAAGTGGTCAAGGATCCCATCATACGATGGCAGCATCGGATATATGCCATATCCATAACAAAGCAAATTTGCCGAGTGCAACCGTGTACGGAATGAGGAGAATTACGGTGCTAGACTCTGAGTATTCGCGACTGACAAGGCTCAAGAAACTGAGAAATACCAAGTGCGACAACAAGTATCTTCGTCAGTGTCGAGTTTGTGGATCAGTTGACTGTGGGGGTAGCAAGGAATGAGAAGATGGATTCTGTACTCCAGTAAGAAGAAACTATCTCAGTAAGATCATAGACAAAAGGAAGTTGGAGTCTCTCAGATAACACCCCCAATACCTTTCCATCATGTCTTGCTTACGTGGACAACATGTTTGAGCCATGAAAAGTGTCCGTCGGACATCGTAACTCAATCCACTGCTTGAGAAGCCCGAATTTCTTGACACAGCCGACGGAAAAAGCTTATCTGTCGGAGAATAGCAAGGATATAAATAAACGAGAAACCAAGGAGGCCCTTGATGATTGATAAGCCGACAATGAAGAATACATATGCGGTCGGAACCTGGTGAGCACCAGGTGCTGAGTCAAGCAATATTGCACACTTCGGAACATAGCGATCCCCGTCGCCACCAGTAGAAATAGGATGCTAACGATATAATGGTGAGATGGAAGATGAGCCACCGTTAGAGATGTTGTGTATCAGAATACTCGGGTCTACCAATGATGTCGGAACCGAAGCCCTGATTACTGGCGCCATCAGCCTCACAACACGTGCGAGAGTCTCTGGAAACAAAAGGTCCCCTTATAGATCTCAACCAGCAGCATCTACACAGTTAGGTATAGTCGCTTATGCTGAGCGACACATTTGGTAATGTGGCCATCAAGCGCATTGGCCCAGTTGGCGACGATGATGAGCTTCGGTGACACCGTTCCACTAGCGGCTGACTCACTATGGGAAGAGGTCTGTAAATGGGGCCCTCATCATACATACTTTACATGTAAGAGGGGCTTGGAATTGACCGATGAAGACATATGGGGAAATAGATGGGACGATTGATGGCGTAGTTGACAGGTCTCGGAATTGTTTTGGACAGATTGGCGAGAAACAGGGAGGCTGAGTTGCGTTATATCATGGCGGCGCGTAAGACCTGATTACAGTAATAAAAACTCCGATCACTGCGCTTGAACTGTGGAGATACAAGAACGTTAGGCCTGATAGCGCTTATCTGTCAGATTTGGGCTGTATAGACCGCTGATTGATCTCCGCTGACGTCGTTGCAGTGAGATTGGATCATTGCCAAGTAGGGACGTGGCACGGTTTCAAGTTATTCCCAGATCGTTGATAGCGATTACATGAAGTCGGGGAGATTTGAAATCCCTTGTGGCGATCACGGTGAGTTGTAATCCGAAAAGGGACACCATGGCGAGATGATCTCAATAACTCAACATAGGTCTTTAGACGTCTAATTCGAGGATTATGACCTCATTTGGAATGCGAAATCTTCCAAATATTCGTCTGATCTTTGTCAGACCCTTATCCAGCCTAGCGGATCAGATAACCATTGATTCCACAAGATGATAACTAAGCCCCAGCAAGGCTATGATTCCAAGCACCATCGGCATCCACTTAGCCAAGAGGCTCAGGACCCTTGTGTAAGCTGACAGTGGGCATCGCTGGCTCTATCATGCAACCATTGCAGCTTAGTCTGACGTAGTGGTGGTAGCCAACACACCATCTCGCTTGGCGGTTCGCGAGCAAGGCGGTAACACAAAGTCTGTATATATGTACCGCGTCTATCAATCTTAGATCTATGTTTCAGACCATCGATTCATTAGTCTTTTCACAAACGCCATCTTTTACATCATGTCTGAATCTCGTGGACTCATGAGAGATCCTCAACCGGGACAGGAAGGATATCCAGGAAATCCTGGCTTCCCCGGATTTCCTGACTACACACGATACAGTGGTGCTACGCAATATGAAGGGCACTCTTTCGAGTCGAACCGATCGAGTCAGACGGAGAAGGGCCCTACACCGTGGGGTTCGATGGACGGTCGTCCGACGAAAGAGTTGGACTGGGACGGAGAGAAAGATCCAGAGAACCCTATGAACTGGGCTTTGTGGAAGAAGATCATTCATACTGCCATACCAGCGATATACACATTCGGCTTGTATGTACATGATACATCCGTGGCTGCTTCAGAAATAGCTACTGACATCAATGAAGAACAACAGGTATCTCGACACTTGTCGCTGGTCTACCAGGAATCATGGAACAGTTCGGCGAGACAAGCCGAAACGTCGCACTCCTTCCCATCACATTTTACACCATCGGCTTCGTCTTCGGTCCTTGCATCGCTGCTCCCATCTCGGACCTCCACGGCCGTCTCGTCGTATACAAAGTCAACATAATAATCCTAATAATCTGCAACGCCATCGCCGTGGCATCAGACAACTTTGCAGTCCTTGTCATCTTCAGATTCTTCGCCTCCCTAGGAGGAAGCGGAGTCATGGCCGTAGGCGCAGGGACCATGGCTGACCTTTGGCTACCCAGTCAAGTCAGTCGTGTTGGTGTTGCGTACTTGCTTGCACCCTTCCTTGGTCCCAGTATGGGTCCGTTGATCGGCTCATATGCCATTGAACAATATGGTGGTGATTGGAAATGGGGTATCTGGGTTGTTCTTTGCATCCTGACTCCTGTTGCTATCGCTATCTTCTTCTCTTCCGAGACGTCCAAGAAACAGATCCTTGCTGCGCGCGCTAAGAGACGTGGCAGTCGTCCCCAGGGTCAAGGCTTTGGTCAAGAGTTGCGAAAGATCGGAAGGGCTATGCTCAAGCCATGGCATATGTGTATCTTCGAGGTAAGTCTATATAGTTCCAACCTTTTGCGTTGATGGGTACTAACTATTGTGCCCAGCCTGTGTCACTGGTTCTCGGTCTCTACACTGGTTTCTCATTTGCCATGATCTTCTCGTTCTTCGGCTCTTACACCTATGTCTACTCTACCGTCTACCAATTTGACGCGCGACAGATAGGCCTTTGCTACATCGGTCTCATCATTGGTAAGTGAACCCGATGTGTCATTTCCTTTAGGCGCAGCTAACCATTCTAGGCATTCTTTTGGGTCTTGTGACTTTCGCAGTCTTTGACGCAACGATCTATCAGAAGCAAGTAGCTAGAACCGGCGACAGAGTGGCCCCCGAGCATCGGCTATACGCAGCTTTAGTCGGAAGTATACTCGTCCCAATCGGATTATTTGTGAGTCCTCCCAGACACCTCAGACGATCCGCTAGACTAACTCAAATCGAAAGTGGTACGCGTGGGCTCCAGATCCATCGGTGCATTGGATCGTCCCTGTCATGGCCGGCGTGCCTTTTGCGTGGGGAACAATGGCCAGCTTCCTATCGTGTCTAGCCTATTTGGCCAGCGCATTCAAACCCGCGGACCTGTCTTCAGCTGTCGCGGCGAACGGAATTTTCCGCTTTGCCCTCGGTGCTGCGTTTCCCAATTTCGTGTTCCAGATGTATCAGGAGATGGGTATCAATTGGGCTGGTAGCGTGTTTGCGTTTATCAGTCTGGCGTTTATTCCCGTTCCGTGGCTGTTCTTCTGGAAGGGCAAAATGCTTCGACAGAAGAGTTCATACGAGTTGAGCAAGTACTAGCCTACTTGTCACTGACTGGCTCTAATTGGAAATGTCTTGATGGATTAATGAGGCGAATGTTATGCGCTTGTATTTGTTTGGTCCGGATATGTCAGCGATGCAATACCCAATTGTTTGGTTAAGCTATAGAATAATACTACCTCATTGCAACACACCAAAAACCCTTGACCCTTGAAAATAAAGTCTCGTGCCTGATGAGCCTCACCGTCAAAACCTTATTTGCTGTCTCAAGCCGAGGCTACCGACAATTGACAAGGGTCCAATTCCGCTGTGTATCGCCGACAAGGACCACATTCAACCACATTGATCAAGTTGCTGATCTCGGTCTCTTAGTCACCGAATTGCCAAACGTTTTTGCTCCTATCACGATTTACCGTTTTTCGTCCCCGCCCGGAGTAAACATCCAGATCCTTGCTGGACTACCGACGAACCCCGGTGATCTTTTGGCGCTGATTGGCGCGCGTCTTCTTGTCCTCGGTCAACTCAATTCGCGCTCCAATCAATCCCCAGATTCCCCAGGTTAATTACGACGCGACCCCAGACTCTGGACCTCAGTTTCTCCGCGTCAGATGCCTGTCTATACTAGTATCCTCAACGGCGATGACGATGCTACATGAAATGACATGACATGCGGGGCTGGGGTCGTTATGCGATGGAGGTTGAAGGCTGGGCGAGTATATAAGAGCCGGCTCTCGCCGCAATTCCAGCATCTTCATCGGCTCAGCATCAACACAGACAAGTCTCATCATGCGTTTCGCCGCCATCGCCTCTCTCTTGCTGCCCCTCGTGGCAGCAAAGCCTTCGCCAAAAGGAAAGACCTTCAGCAATGTTGAGATCTTTGATCCTCCTACCAACTACCGAGACCCTCAGGTCCTCTACGCTCGTCCTCTTGAGCTGTCTGATGGTACCCTTCTGGGCACTTGGGAGAACTATTCCCCCGAGCCTCCCAACGTTTGGTTCCCCATTGTGAAGAGCACCAACGGCGGAAAGACTTGGAAGGAGATTTCCAAGGTCAAGGATACTCAGAACAACTGGGGTCTGCGATATCAGCCTCAGCTCTATGAGCTTCCTCGTGCCTTCGGAAAGTACCCCAAGGGTACCGTTCTGATTGCCGGCAGCAGCATTCCCTCCGATCTGAGCCAGACTCAAATTGAGGTCTACGCTAGTCGCGATAAGGGATACACCTGGGAGTTTGTGAGCCATGTTGCTCTTGGTGGCGAAGCTCTGCCTAATCCTGGGTAAGTAAAAACATCAAAAAAATAACAAGGTCAGATAACTAACGAATAACTAGTCTTACCCCCGTCTGGGAGCCTTTCCTGTTGACCTACAAGGAGAAGCTCATCATCTACTATGCCGACCAGCGTGAGAACGCCACTCACTCTCAGAAGCTTAGCCACCAAACCACCACCGACCTCAAGAAGTGGTCCAAGCCTGTTGACGACACCAAGTACGCCGACTACTACGCCCGCCCTGGAATGCCCACTGTCGCCAAGCTTCCCAACGGCGAGTACATGTACGTCTACGAGTACGGCGGTGGCCCCAACCCTCCCGCCGGCAGCGACTACTGGTTCCCCGTCTACTACCGTCTTTCCAAGGACCCTGAAAAGTTCATCAACAAGGAGCACCACCAGATCATCTCCAACAAGGGAGGTAAGCCTGCTGGCTCTCCTTACGTCATCTGGACTCCCTGGGGTGGAAAGAACGGTACCATTGTTGTTAGCTCCGGTACTATGCGTGAGATCTTCACCAACCAGGCTCTTGGCGATGCTTCTGCTTGGAAGCAGTGGGATGTCCCTCAGCCTATCGCGTACACACGCTCTCTCCTTACCTTCAAGAAGGACCCTGATCTGCTCATGATTATGGGTGCTGGCATCTTGCCTCCTGCTGGAGGTAACAACACTGTTAGCACCAGTGTCGTTCGTCTTTCCGAGATCATGAAGGCTTAAGGAGTGATGTGGAAGTAATATAGTATCACATCGATAGACGACAATAATGAAATCATGTTGAATGAAACTTTAGCCTTGTGACTATCGGAATCGTGAGAAGCTCCAAAGTAAAGTGAGATTAGCGACGGCCCTTACCCAAGCGACTTAATGTGTTTCCGTGTGAGTATTGGAGTCATGGTGCTAGAAGGAAAGTGTCAGTTCGTTGAAAAGAGCGTATCTCGAACCAACGAACATGATGTGCTGAAATTGCTATTCCATTTTGCGTTGAGTGAACCTTGTTCGCCATGCAATCATGCATTCTGAGAATCTTCCAGAAACCTTGACACACTGCTGAGGGGAAGCTCGAGCGTCCTCAACACTTCTCTTCAAGCATCCAGTCGATTGGAGGCCGTGATTCTAAGATTTTTCCTTTTCCTCACGTGGCTGCTTAGGATTTTGGTGGCCTGCTGTGTGATTGAACCCTACAGTTAATATAGTTCTGCATAGATTAAAGTTACCAACAAAGATGCAACATGTGTTCTGTGAGGAGATATTACAGTTCAGAGTGCTCACAAGGATGGGTATAAAGAAAGGGATTCCCCTCACTCTGCTTCAAAATCATCATCCATCCTTCAAGTCAAATCACAAACATACAACGACAATCTCCAGACCCAAAATCGACATCATTCGCAATGGCTCCTACCAAGAAACTCCAAGTCATAAAGCTCGGGCAACCCAACGGCTGGCGCATCGACAGCTACGTCAGTGTTGAGGCCTTGCCGACTGGGTATGTCTGCCGTCAATGCAAGAACGGGACAAAACATCGCTACCCATCGACCGACGCGATCCTTGAGACCTACGCCGAGCATGGAAAAGTCTTTCTCTGTCCAAAAGAACTCGCCAAGATGGGACACGAGCAACTTAGCGATAGGACCTGGTGCCTCAAGTGCATCACCTACGACCAGTTCACCGAAGATCGGTTTACCCTTGAGCAATACAAGAGCCAACCATCAGAAGCCCCCCTTGGCACTCAAAAGACCCAGATCAAGCTCCAGCGGGAAAAGGTCCGAAAACAAATCGACCGGCTCCGAGCAGAGCAAGAAGTCCTTCTCCGTCAACGTACATACTGGGAGATGGAGGTTGCCGAGAAGCAAGGGACAGATCTGAACCAGGTACAGAAGTCCTTGAGTGACAAGCAGAGGCAGATATTCCGTCTGTGGGTGATACTGGACGAGCTGGATGGTAGGATCAAGTATCTACGAAAGCAGGGTAAGTACACAGTTTTCTCACAAGCATGTTCCACTTCTAACCTGTCGACAGCGTGGCGAAAGTTCTTCAGCATGTGGTTGCCTGTCGATCCGCCCTCCAGTACTGAGACACGATCCGGTCCTTCCGACTTTGCGCTTGAGGATACTATAATGGAGGAATGTGGCAGATTGTGATCCATTGGGGAAACTACAATATGGGAATGTGACGGATACAAACAAGCTCGGGATGAACATAAACAAAGTTTTCTCAAACAAAGGCAGGGAAATGCTTTTATGGTTGACAAAGGATAAATGTATGGAGAGAAAACTTTTTCTTAGTTGCATCAATTGAACTAAAATCATTCGTTTACAGTAAGACCTTTCCATTCTATAAATACCTTGCCTCCCGGTGAAACTATTCTCGTCCATCACACATCTCCACCGATTAACACGAAATCACATCTAAAAATGAATTACTCACGCCGTACTGATAGCATGGCCAGTAAGATCTCAGGATCGCGGCCACCATCAATCCAGGTCAATGGCCGTACTCGACCTCTTACAATTCCACTTACAGGACAGCCCTCTCATCTCAAAATACATTGGCGACGCATCGAGACCATGACCCGCATGATCTCAGGATCCCGGACATCATCGAACCTGGTGAACGGTCGTAGCCTACAACCAGAGTTCACCAGCGCGAGGCACGCATCACATCCTCACATGGCTATACCAGCATCTACACACTATCCTCGACCGCCACAACCAACAAATAGCTACCCACAAAAGATCGAATATGTTTACATCTACTCGATGGAAACGAAGCAGGAGCTTCGAAGAATTTCGGCCGACGCTGAAGCCGTCAAGGCTGATCTCAGACTTAAAAATGCGGAGATGCAGCGGGATATCGCGCATATGAGGCTGCAGATTGATCATATGCGACGTCAACAAGCTCAGAAGGCTACTCCCACCAGTTAGTTACACATCTAACAGATAACATGACGGCGTCTGATTGTTGATAGAGGAGGTTAGAAGACTCGGTTTCCATACCGGCTAGACAACCTATTCAGTGGAGACTATGGGATCCACGAAGATACATGTTTCCTATACGAGGATGATTACACAGACAGCATTTGTCTGGCATTTTCCAAGCCCTTGCGACTTTATTCGAGGCAGAGTTTGTACAAAGTTCATCACACGGAATTTACGGAAGGCGATGAGTCATATTGCCATTTAAGTTTGTACGAAAATATGTTAAATCAGAAAGCTATGTAAAGAAGAATTCAAGGGAAAGTAAGATACAAAAATAGATCATTACTAGTTTTGACAAAAGAAAGCTTCGAAGTGTGGCTCTAAGCCTTGGGTTTGTAATCCTCAAGAGCGTCCCTAGCAAGAGCGAGGTTCTGAATAACGGCCAATCCATACTGCGCAACATCATTTGTAGAAACCCATGGCGCCTCCTTTCCAGGGATCAAACCCTCATGATCAGGAATAGGCGTAGTCTCGAAGGTGGCGTTGGGTGCCTTGAAGCCATCACTGTTGAAGAACTTGTCCCACGCAATGTTCGCCATCGTCTCGTTCTTCTGTTGGTTCGCTGCGTAGGCTGTCAGGCGCGAGTGGCCTTGGTACAAGTTCAACTTTCCAAAGTCCTTTCCGTAACGAGCAGCTTGCTCAGCAGGTGTTGCTTCGAAGTAGTAACAGTATTCAAGCCAAGCTTCCTTGAATTCCTTGGGTAGTTCAACACCAGCGTACTCGATCAATTCGGATACAACTTCTGGCAGACCAAACACAGCAGCGAGATGAGAAACGTCGACATGGCCCTTGTTGTCGGGGTCGGCAGGTGGAGGACCAAGAGTCCAGTTCTGGAGACTGTAGAGACCATTGCCTGTGACGAAGCCATATTTGAGGTTTGCGATACCTTTGGCTGTGCTGATGAGCTTTTCCTTGGACTCTTCCCATCGAGGACTGCGGCGCTCCCAGTCAATCAACCAGCCACCGGCGAGCGCAACCCAGTCCGTACCGAGGCCGAATGCAACCGTTGAGTTTGGTGTAGGTACCCAACCATCCTTTCGGACCTTTCGCTGCGGATCAAGAACACCGTAGGTCTTGTCTGTGTCGAGAAGCTCCTCAAACAGCTCGCCGGTGCGCTCGTCACCACCAGAGAGGTAGTAGAAGTACTTCCTGTACTGAGGCTGTGAGATACGTGCTTGCTTGGCACTGTCGCTGAAGTGCTGGACGCCATGTCGTGTACCAAGACCCTTCCAGTTGCCAATGTGGTAGACATCCACCTCGCCGGTGTGTCGTGTAAGAGACTCAGCAAAGCGGTAGATATCCTCGCGGCCAGTGCGGAGGAAGTACTGCCAAAAGAACAGGTCGGGAGAGAGCTCAGAGTTGTCCCAGGCGTAACCACCGATATCATATCGCCACTCGTGTCGGTCTGGATCGTACGTGTGCATAAAATCGCCAAAGTCCAGGAATCCGTACCATCGACGGTGCTCAACTTCGTACTGGTAGAACTTGGCGAGGAAGTCGATGTTGGCTTCGAGCTTCTGGGACGCGGCGGTAGAGTTATCCGCTGGGGCCCAGTAAGAACCAAGAGCCTTGGTCTTGCTGATGTACTCACCCTCGGCGACTAGGACGGGAGGGTTGTTGATCTGAGAAACGTGGCTGGCAAGAGTGTCATGCGAGGGAGTCTTGTCGAATGCGATAAGGTACAGTTCGCTAGTTCGAGCAATACCGTAGGGGGTGTCAAAGTCCTCCTCCCAATCTTCGTAAGTAATCTCAAGAGCATCGAGCTGGTCGGTGTAGTTCTTCTGGCCAAGGCCGTCGTGGTATGGACGAAGGTCAAGCGGCTCGGCCGATGGGCTGTAGAGCCAAAGTGTGATGGAACCAGTATCGGATGCAGCGTTGGAGATGTCGAAGCCGGTGGGGAATCTCTTCCAGAAGTCACGAAGACCGACAGCCAGACCACCCACCGTGGCGCCACCGAGGTATGCAAGACCTTCAGCGCGAGTGCCTCCAGGGATGGTAACCCAGCTCTGACCAGCTTTGGTTCGCTTCTTGAGGGTGAAGCCATCGGAGGAGAGCTGGCTCAGGCTGTAGTCGTTCCAAGGTGGGATCCAGTGCATGCGGCTGGAGACACGGACATCCCAGGTAGACTTATCAGGCAGTTCTTTTCCGTCAAACTGGTCAGCTCGAACATTAGCACCAGGGTCTCTTCGAAGACCAGTAATGCCTTGAACAGCTTCGCTGAGAAGACCGCCATCGACACCGGCAATTCGGATGTGGCGGTCGTAAAGCTCCTCTCCCTCCAGCGGGACATCAAAGCGAAGACCAACGCCAGAGATAAAGTCCTTCTCCGCATCTCCGTCGAAGACCAAGCTGTGGATTATCTTGATCGATTCGGAACCCGAGTAAAGGTAAAAACGAAGAACAAATGGGAGCCAGGCGTCGTGACCGGACTTGTCAGCTGCCTCGTGCTTGCCGTGAACAGTAACGAGAGCTCTTGCTGAGTTGTGATCGCTGACAGTAACGTTATCGATGTTACTCTGGAAGCGAAGAGTCTTGAAAGATTCGGCGTCGTCATCACCAGCATGGGAGACACCAGATTTAGATCGAAGGACAAGTCTTCCATTCTGGGCGATACGCTTGCCATTGGTCTGGATCTCTTTGACAATGACGGATCCCTTCTTCGGGAAGGTCGCGGTCACCTTTCCTGTGTCGACTTTGATGTCGTCAGAGGATTGAGTAACAGAAATGCCACCGTCGCTCTTTCCGCTCGAGACAGTGGAATTAATGCCACTTCCAGAAGTAACAGCCTTGACGACATATTCATCAAGCACGTCTTCCGATGCAGGGATCGCATGTCCAGTCCACTTCACCGAGCCATCAGCCCAATATCCAGTGACCCAGGACTGAAGATCAATGTCCTGCCCAGAAGCACCGGAAGCCGTGAATTTTGTGTTTTTGGGAAAGTGCTTAGATTGAGGCCATGGAACGCCAAAGGTCGTTCCAGAAGTGAAGTCGGGCTTCTCGCCGAGCCATTTGACCTTGGCAGATGAGGAGGAATTGCTAGGAGCTGCAATGGTTTGGCCTGCCAACAAGGCAAGCAGGAAGGAGTGGACGGCTTGTCGCAGCATTTTGCATCGACTACCAAATAAAGTTAAAGACTGGGGATGATTTTGAACAGTGGTGTACTAATTCTTTGTCTAGTCTTTTAAATACTACAACCATCCAGTGACGCCATAGAGAATAGCGATGAGAATATGCATTTAATTTCGGTTGATATACCGCGTTCAGGTCATTCTACATATAAACACTCAATAACGACATTTGCCCGCCGCTGCATCTCGCAATTCGGTGTAACTCCTGCCGAGCAGCTGCCCTTCTGGAGTTGTGTTAAACTTCGGATGACGGCTTTTTAGCAGACGAATTGATGATCCATGCCAAAACAGGGGTTGGGGGTTCTGCCAATCTCCGCTAAACATGGTTCCCCGCAAACTTGACTCTGACTCGTGCTGTTGAACAGAAGAGAGAATGAATGTTTGGGGACTGAACTCTTAAATAAGTTAATTCTTTGCGGATACGGTAAGACTTTACGGGGATTACGCTTGGCGTTGGGGGTTGGAGCTCGAGGCGAGGCTGTGACATCTGCGTGGGGCATTTGCGAGCGCGTTCTCAGACCATATACCGGAGAAGTGGATTACTAAGGGATCAATAACCTGTTTGAGGCTATTTCTGATTGTCAGCTTAAAAATGAATGGATCCCAATTGGTCTTCCTATCGTTCAAAGAGTCTTGACATCCATGGATGCTTCAAGGTAGAAATCCTTCCCGTGTTGATGACCAACGAAGGAATCCGAAAACATTCGGCACCATGGATATTGCGTTGTGTTTCCACGGCACCGATCGACTTACTGGAAGATTTCTCATTACGTGCTCCCAGTGCCTTCATCCTTCGTCATAGGATGGATATGTCCTCACTGGTTGATCACCTACATTTGCTGTTGAGATGCAACTCGAAGCATGCGTATTGAAGTTACCCTGCACTTTCTGCCATCTTCCGTGACGTCACCCAACCAAGCCTCCAGAACGAAGATACCGACATTTAAAGAAATAAATCACAATCAGGAAGGCGCAAAAGTCCCTCCGAATTCCTTCATGACGAGGCTTTATATATGCGAATTACGCGGCCAAACTGCACAGCCTCATCCTGTCACAGCACGGATTTCGGGATTAAACACGTGACTCGCGTTTCATTATCATGTTATCTATTCCCGCGCGAGTAGATCTTTACGAAAAAAAGAAAAAAACCGTACTATTTCCACCTCCAATTTTAAGCTTAACAGCGTTTCACCATGAGTAAAGATCGCACGTCGCCTATGCCGCTGTTGAAAACGTGTCAGACATGTTTTCATCTCAAAATTCGGTGTGAGAAGACGCAGGATTCTGACTTGTGCGACCGGTGTTTACGGCTGGGTAAGACGTGTGTTTTTAATCAGGCGAGGAGACGACAGAATGTGAACCGTCAACGGTGAGCTTTGACGATTTTTTTTGTTAATGACGCGTGCTGATGATTGACGTTGCAGGGAGAGACAGGGCGCGAAAAGTGCTTCAAGATCACCAGGAAATCCACAAGCTCAGACCGTCGAGGGGAACCAAGATATTCTCAATAAGGATGTGTCGCTTGACCCATTTGAACAAGGTCTTTTGGATTTTGAGACGGGACGACAGCTTCTACACATCTTCAGGTCGCGGTTGATACCGTACTTCCCATTTGTTCTTTTTCCCATTGAAATTTCCATCGAAGAGCTCAACCAGGAACATCCCTGTGCTTGTCTAGCGATGCTAGTCGCTGCTTCATTCGCTGATGTCGGCGTCCAAGTGGCACTGGGAAATTTGTTCAAGCAAATAGTTGCAGTTCGGATGGTCGATGGTGATTTCAATCAGTTGGATCTGCTGCAAGGACTGCTTATACATGTAGCATGGTATGTCGATCTTCCGGAAGAGCAGGACTGCATTCGCTAAAAAGACTACAGGGCCCATTACCAACCTAAGCCCAAAAGATACATCCAGCATCTTCATCTTGTTACAAGTATCATCAGCGATCTACGTCTTGACAGACCCAGGAAGCCAAAGCTCTGGAGTGCCGAGGGGGGCAAATATCAGAATCAGCCGGAGTGGCAGCCTGATGAGCTGCGAGCCCTTGCTGGCGCATACTACCTAGCTTCAAGGTAAGCCAATCGGACATGATGAGTGACTCACTGCTGATGAAGATCAAGTTCTTCCATTATTCTACAGAAGTCACGCCAAGTTTTCAACACGGCCTATCTCTTGGCATGCTGCGAACACCTTGCTTCCTTGAATCAGTATTCTACGGACAGGTTCTTGCCTTATATAATCCAAACACAGACTCTCATTGAGAATATTGAAGACCTTGTTTGCAAAACTGCTCCGACTGATAATGGCTTGCAATTCTTCGCAGAGTGTCAAGATATTACACAGAAATGTGTTATGATCAAATCAACATTACCATTTCCCCTCAGCGAAAGTCGTAAGTGAGACTATGATGTTTCAAGTGTAGTAACTGACAGCTATATAGCGCCGCTACTTCTTCAAATACATATTCTGGAACTCATGCTCAGTCAATCTTCACCACGAGGAACAGCTTTTGGCCTCGATAAGTTTCAAAACCCATTCGAAGATGAGACTACGCTGAACGAATGGCTGTCTACAAGTATGTCAGCTACTCGATCTTTGATCGGTGTGATTCTAGTTATGCCTCAAGGAGAAGAAGTAGCTATGTCCAACATGGGCTGGATCATGATGAACTGCGCCCTCAACCTAGCCGTCCGTCTAGACCTCATAGCTGCTCGCGGCAGTGTATCCGGCTTCACTCAACATCTTCGTCGCTTCCTAGACATGAAGCATACCCTTCGTCAACTTGTGCTTAGATTCCAAGGCGTGCCTGGACCAGATGCTCCACCAGACCATCCTTTCCATAGCATCGTAAAACGTATACGACGCTTGGAAAACTGGTATCTGTCGCAAATATCACAGCAAACTGCTGAGTCGACCTCATCGATAAGCCCATCTTCTGGTTCTCAACCTTCGATATCAATCAGCGATCATTCGGGTGGTATGCCAGTCGGCGTGCCTCTGCCGTACCAGAATACTGGGTCATGGAATATGAGTGGGTCTGAATGGTATCAAAATCCAGACTTGGACATAAGCACTTTTCTTTTCGCAGATCCGATTGATTTTCCAATTAACTTCGGATGGGGGAGTTAGATATATGTTTTATTTCCATAAAAATAGATTTCTTTTCCTTCCCATGAGTGCTTGTTAGGCCGAGTCGGTGTAAGGAGTTTCGTACGGACTAAGATACGGACTAAGCTTAGACCGTACGGAGTAAGTCGGACTAACGTCCGGAGTAAGAGCACAATCGTTGTATGTCATTAGTAAAATACCATTCGGCTTACAATTTGTAGTTCTAGTCCACCGAAAGCTCCATTGTGACCCTAGTAATCATGTATCTAAGCCTCCGTTAAGATTAAAGGATACTATTGATGGCGTAAGATGTGGACGTGGATCATCATGAGGGTCCAATATTGAAGGAGTGAAATTGAGTATAAAGAGGAAAGCATGTCACTGCCAACTTTCTTCAATCCACCATCACCACTCTACTACGACACAACATCTTGGCCATATCTTTCGAAGAACAGTCACCATGCGCTCCTTCATCTTGCCCTCCATCTTGGGTGCCATGTCAATGGCAACTCTAGCCCAAACCGCCTGTGTTGAGGAAGACATTGAATTCTTCGGGTGTGCACCGCTCGGAGCTTACTATCCTGCACCTACTATCGACAAAAGCTCCAAACCCATCAAGAGCCTCGTCTCGAGCTTCACCAAGATGTTTGACGATCTTATCAAGAACGGCGGCAGTGAGAAATATGGCCCTATCAACGTCAACACTACATCTTTCTCAGTGGTTATTTTTGGTGGCGATGAGAAGCTTCGAGAGGACCCTATCTTCTTTGAGTATCATTACACATCTCCGGAGGATCAGGTATCCAACGAGAACATCACTCTGGCCACCAAGTTCCCTGTCGGAGACGTGAGCATGGTCTTCACTGTCTACGCTTGGCTCGCCCAGATGGGTGAGCAGTGGGAGACTCCTATCACCAAGTTCCTGCCTGAACTGGCTGATGTCAAGGCCCCATTTGCACCTGTTTGGAAGGATATTACAATTGGAGCATTGGCTGGCCAGGTGTCTGGACTCAGCCGTGAATGTAAGTCGAACTAACTCGGAGACTGAGGTCATTGACTAATCTTGAAAATAGCCAAGGCATGTGCCGTTGGTGAAGAGTGCGACTGGGAGTGTAAGTAATTCAACCGCAAGTATTATACATCACGCTAACTCATCCACAGCTTTCAAGGAGGCCATCGCTACCAAGTCGCCCTACTTCCTTCCGGACACCACTCCTGTTGTTTCTTATGCAGCATGGCAGCTCCTCGTTTTCGCAATGCAAAGAGAAAGTGGCGATAAGTGGTCATCCATCATTGACGAGACCCTTCTTAACCCTCTAAACATGACTTCTAGCGGAGTCCTGGGCCATGATATCAAGGACATCTTTGCAATGGAAAGCCTAAACACTTCTATCGTTGGCGAGCCTGGGTAAGTCAATAAGAACCATGATTGATTACCATACTGACCCATGCTAGCGCACTATCATTCGTCAGCTCCATGCAGGATCTCGCTCGTGCCGGCCACTCCATGCTTGCTTCCGACATACTTTCCCCAGCTATCACTCGTCGCTGGCTAAAGTCCCACGCTGACACATCAAACCTCCGTAACGGCGTCGGTCGTCCATGGGAAGTCTATCGTGCCGGAAACAATATCCGACCCATCATCGATGCTCTAACCAAGGCTGGTACCATCGGCAAATATGCTAGCTACTTCGGCCTCACAACTGATTTCAACGCCGGTTTCGCCATTCTGGCTCATGACAGCACTGTCGAAGAGCGAAAGCTTGATCTCAACGTCCACGCTGATATTGTCAGCGAAGTGCTTGGTTACCTCCCCCGGATTGCAGCAGCTGAGACTGAGGTTCGGTATGCTGGTGAATTCGAGGGAGAGAAGTCCCAGGCGTCTTTCAACACTACTGGTAACGGTTATGGCCTGGTTGTGGAGAAGCTGGTCATCGATGGAGTCAACGTCAAGGATCGCACCGCTCAGAAGCTTGGTATTGAGGCCAAGGATCTTGACTTCAGGATTTACCCTACCAATGTCAAGACTGAGAGCCAGCATCAATTCGTCGCTGTTTTCCAGGACAGAAGTGCTCTCATTGATATGGGTACTCCTACATGCATCACCTGGCAGGAAGTTGGTGCGGACGCTGAGATTTATGTCCGATTCAGCATGGATAAGGAAGGAATGGTCAATGGCTTTGAGATTCCTCAACTGGATGTGAAGATGGAGCGAGCTACTTGAGTTGGTGTTTCAGGGATTCGAGATTAGCGATTCAGTTGATTGGCTCTGGTGTTAGCTTGATGGAACGTCAAGTCATTAGTTATTCTTATAGCGGGGTGGTTGCCTAGAGATGTAAGCAAATTCACGGTTTCTTGTCTTGCGTGAATAGACACCATCTTCTTTAAATATTCATGCCACGAAATAATTAATAAACTTGACGTTCTTTGACAAAATGGCCTCTTCAGCACCCAAGGTAGCGCCTCCCGAGCGACGCGATGCACCAGAGGTTATCGACCAACAGGCGGACGAGCTTGTCGCTCTCATCAAGAAGAGCAAGCACTTTATCGTGTTCACGGGTGCAGGTGTCTCGACTTCAGCTGGTACATAAATAACAGCCTCCATATCTAAGCCAATTGCTTAATTGTCTAGGTATCCCCGACTTTCGTGGACCCGAAGGCGCATGGACTTTGAGGGCTCAAGGGAGATCACGTACAGGCAAGGCAACTAGCACTTTGCAAGCTATCCCCACGCCGACTCATATGGCTTTGGTGGAGCTTCAGCGGCAAGGAGTCATGAAGTACCTCGTCAGTCAGAATTGCGATGGTTTGCATCGAAGGAGTGGAATTACAAGAGTAGGGAACTCTGATCTACTACTTGAGTCTGACCGCTAATTGGCACAGGATGGCATATCTGAGTTACATGGCAACAGCAACCGCGAATGCTGTAAAGATTGCGGGAAAGAGTTCATACGAGGTAAGTCAGCCATCAAAGTTAGTTGGCAGCTGCTTATCAGGTGAAAGACTTCCGAGCTGTTGCAACCTACGAAAAGACAGTACACGATCACCGAACAGGTAGGAAGTGCACGCAGTGTGGAGGCAATCTTCACGACACCATCATCAACTTTGGCGAATTCCTCCCAGAAGAGCCTCTCAAGCTCGCCAGGAGCCATGCCAAGAAAGCTGATCTGTGTCTTGTTCTTGGTTCATCGCTAAGCGTACCTCCCGCCAGCGGCATTCCCGAAACAGTAGGCAAAAGCAAGAAAGGAAAGATGATTATCTGCAATCTGCAAGATACCTTCATGGAGAACCTCGCATCCATGCACATTTGGTCCGAGTCCGACTTGCTCATGACAAAGGTCATGGATAGATTTGGCTATAACATTCCAACCTTCATTCTCAAGCGGAGACTTGTCATCAAGATGGAACAGGATACATACGGGCGACAGTTAATTGTTTTGACCGGTGTCGACAACGATGGTATACCAGTATCATATCTGATGTCTGTTAAACTCGAGAACAGCAGACGAGTCATAAGAGCGGAGCCATTCTCGTTTACCTTTCGAGAGACGCTGGAGGTTGGAGCTAAGCTCGATTTTGTACTTGAGTTTATGGGTCATTATAATGAGCCAAATGTTGTTGTTGGCTTCGAAGTTTCAGGAGAAGATGGCGAGGAGATGGTGTTTGACTTGCATTATGATCCAGGTACGGGAGAGTGGATTACCATGCGCTCGTAAGGCGACGTTTATAGGGACTATTGCTGCAGTTGTAATTGTTGAGATACCTGTCTCGTTGAGTACATGGATTTGTGTTTATGGAATCACAAAGCCTGAAAGGATGTCAGTTGACTTTTATCGCCGCATCACCCTCTCACTTTATGGTAAGCCGTGTTGGTTCAAGGTCGTCCATCTTGGAATGAGAGTCAATGCTCATGAATTATCAGTTGTTGTCGCGGCTACACAAGAAAATATTATGAATCAGTTTCCTGCAACCTACGCTTGTTGGCAGACATCCATGCAATAGTTGCGAAGCCAAAACGCACTAACTGGGGGGCGCAGCGGTTATACTGACTATAAAACATGGTCCCAACCAACACTTCGTCTACACCAACGCTCTCTTACCGCCCCGCACCAGACTTTACAGGGGGACTCCGACGCCTGTACTCGAAGATGTCTACCAGACTCCCATCCTACGAAGAGTTGCGTCGTAATCATGTCTTTCCTTTCAATAGACGTGCCACCGGGAGATTACTGTGGTATGTTGAAGGGCCCTTGCAGGAGAACGTTTTCGTCCGGGTGGAGGACTCAGGTCCCACTGGGCCGCGTGAGCCGTATGCGCAGCAATTCATAACCAACGACACTCAGTGGCACGGAATCTCCAAAGAGCCTCTAACAGAACCCAGCATATCGTCAATAACTGTCAGAATTTATGCCTTGGATCTCTATCCGGATGACTGGGAGGACAGTCACCACCGCCACATGGATTGTGACTCCGCTATGAGTGTCTATGAGAAGAGAGGTGGCAAGAAGACGCTGATAGAATGTTGCGGGGAATATCGACCGGCCGATCATGTCCCGCTATTAATAAAAGCCTCATCACAGCCTTTCATCCCTGTTCACGATTATGTCACCACTGTTCATCCATGGATATTGAGCTTCCAGGATGAAATCCTGGCAGTGACGGGCGAGGATCGAGATGCTGGCTCGAAGTTGGTTCTCAATTGTGGTGCCCTCGACTCTCTCATGATCACCACTGAGGACTATTTGAACTTTTTGCGCAATCTACCAGAGGTGAGCGGTGCCCCAGATTCCTGGTTCATCGCTCCGTTGCCGGAATTTAATCACAGGGTCGAGTGACCCCGAATGGATGTTTTCGCTATACGAGAAGCAATTGAGAGAAGGTTAAACCAGGATACGAAGGTCTGTCGCTTACATCGGCTGTTCAAAAATGGCCATATTGTGTCAAATGCGTACGTGCCTCCAGGTGACCCGTGAGTCCGAAGAAATGACTCAATATATGTGATACGCATGAAAGTTACAACCAACGGGTGGATACCAACAATAAGCTGAGGCGTCCTCGTAAGAGCAGTCTAGAGAAAACAAATAGAGCTCTACGTGCCTTCACATTCGTTTTATTAAGTACGCATTGCGGGCATCTTTATCACCAGATGTGTCACAAGCAAACCCCGAGTAGTGCCTCCACATTCATGATTCGCCAATCCTCTCTCGCTCATATTCTTCTATGAAACTATGTCTAACTGTTTTGTTTTGCCCACCTCCAAGATGTCAGTCCAAATACCATCCTACGAGGAAATATGCGAAAGCTCTCAGTGCCCTATGATGACTAAAGCTACCAAAAGGCTCTTGTGGTATTTCGAAGGGTCCTTGGAAGATAGCGTATTTGTGATGGATAACCACTGGGACCCTTCTGGGCCACGACAGCCATACGCTCAACATTCATCAACCGGAGAGATGGTTTTACACCCCATCTCCAAAGAGCCTTTGACAGATCCGAACATATCCTCTATAAATGTCAAATCTCGTGACTTGAGAGACTACCCAGATGATTGGGCCGAGAGTCATAGGCACGCAGATCTAGGATTAGACGGGGGTGCTTTCGAATTTGCCGAAGACGGTAAAAGAGGCAGGCTTCTAGAATGTTGTGGCGAAGCTCGCCCTCAGAATCATATGCCGCTGCGAGTGGAGGCCTCGACGGAACCCTATGTCACCGTCCACGACTATGTCACTGCTGTTCATCCATGGATGATGAATTTGAGAGAGAAAATCTAGTCAATCTCAATGACCGAGCTTCCTCCAATCGACGGCTCAAGATTGTTACTCAGCTACAACGGCCTTAATTCTGTGTCTCCTATAAGTGAGAGCTTTTGGAATGATCTTATACACCCAGTCCCATACACTCTGCCTGAACCTGATCCGAATGGTCCGTGGTGGAGTGGCATGTTTTAATAAGTAACAAAAGGCGACAAGGAGTGTCGTAAATGCATCCAGCTGAGTTGCGCACGGAGCTCGAAGTATTGAACCGGGTAGCGCTTTAGACGGGTACGTGAAATTATCTTGTAAGAGTAGACTTAGTTCAAATAGGGTTCTTAAGAAGCCACTTAACCAACGAGCCATTTATTCATTCAACATTCCAATGTCGTAGCACCCAGTCGAGCTCAGTTTCCAGCCGTATACATCATGTCTGTTGAATTTCTCTCATTCGAAGAGTGGTGCCGCAACAATCAGCGCCCGCGTGCCAGTGACGCAACTAGAAGACTGTTATGGTACATTCAAGGACCTTTTTGAGGATCAGGTTTTTGTTTTGGATGATAGCTCAGACCCTGCCGGACCGCGTCATCCGTACACCCAGAATCAACCAAACGGCAACCCTCGCTGGCACTCTATCTCACAGGAGTCTCTTACTACGCCCCCTGTATCATCAATCGCTGTCAAGTCTCGGGAATTGGAAGGGCACCCCGATTGGTGGGCGTCCGAAACGCATAGACATGCACATCCGGATTACGAGTTTTGCGTTTATGGAAACGACAAAGACTATGTGTCCAGAAACTTGCTGCAGTGCTGCGGTGAGGATCGTCCCCAGGAGCATGTTCCCCTATTCGTCAAGGCCTCAACGCAACCTTTTGTTACCATTCACGATTAAATCACAGCCATCCACCCATGGATCTTCAGCATGCGAGAGGATATATTGGCAGCCTCACTCAACCCGCCAGAGCGCGATTCAAAACAGGTGATCAGTTACATTGCCATTTCCTGGGTCAAAATCTGCCCTGAGGAACGCTGGACTTCTATAAGGCGTGAATTCTCCGCCGATGTGCCCCCTCCTCCCACCTCACATACCTGGCGCGACATGTTTACCATTGGTTAGTGAGGAGGACGTTATTGCTACTAAGTCTGCAGATATCACATGTTTTCTATGTCTGGAGACTATCGAAGCTTTGGATTGTGATCGGGTTCATATTGTTGGGTTACCTGCATCTCGGGCAAACTAGCCTGATCGACCCATAAACATCAATTTAGGGATGGATCATACAGCTACAATAAACTCATTTATGGATCTATTATCTTTACTGGAGCGGTTTAAGCACTCCACACTTTTAGCAACTGCGGAGGTTGAAGTCCCGATGCAAGATGTAACCTGGGGAATGACAGGGGATATAATTGGATCGCATCAACGCTGTCCGCACATGATCGACAAGTCAATCCGCGTATTCCATAGTGCGCCAGCGGGACAATAAGTCATTCGTGGTTTTACTGGCCGAGCTTAAACATTATAGGAAGGTTACTTACATGGGATGGAATATGCCGTCTTCGATATTGTATTCAAGCATTCCAGGCATACCGCCTCGGAATGATAAAAGGTTGAACAAAGCCCACAAACTTTTCCAGATCAACAGACTATTTTTGCGTTTTTCCGAGGCGTAGGTGCCCAATATAAATATCAAGCCAATACAAGACAGATCACCAGACAGGATCTCTCCAACATCTGCAATCATGGTTTCTTGGAACAATATCTTCACTTTGGCTCTTGGCCTTGTCGGTTCCGTTGGAGCTTATACAAACCCAATCCGTAACCCTGGAGGTGGTGATCCCCAGATCACTTACACTGGCGGTTACTACTACCTTATCTCGACTGAGTGGACCAACCTGCAACTTTCCCGTGCTACTACCATAGAGGGACTGAAGACTGCCACTCCCAAAGTCATCTACACCGACACAAACCCTTCCCGATCTTCCAATATATGGGCTCCTGAACTCCATTGGCTGGGGGGTAAATGGTACATCTATTACACTGCTGGAAAGGCCGAGGATTTGACAGGGCAGCGTTCCCATGTTATCAAGGGTTAGTATCAGCTTCCACCCTTCCAGCTACAATGATTACTAACGTATGAGACTAGGTGGGGCTACACCTTGGGACAGTTGGTCCTACGGAGCCAAGCTCTCAGACGACTGGGGGATAGATGGAACGATTCTTCGAACGAATCAGTTCGGAAACTACTTTGTTTACTCCTGCATGACCGGAGTTCAATACCAGTCCACTTGCGTGCGCAAGTTGGGCTCGGATTTCATGTCTGTCGGTGCTCTGAGCATCATTTCCCAACCCGATCAATCCTGGGAGAAGAGCGGCACTCCTGTCCAAGAAGGGCCCAACGCCCTCTACTTCGGAGGCAAAACCTACATTTCCTACAGCGCTAACTATTGCTGGACTCCTGATTATTGTGTCGCTTTATTGGAATGGGATGGTCGTACTGATCCTGCCAAGGCCTCAGCTTGGAAGAAGTCGAACGGTTGTGTTCTCAAGAGCGCCAATGGAAGCTACGGAACTGGCCACAACAGCTTCTTCCAAAGCCCTGACGGAAAGCAGACCTACATCACTTTCCATGCTACCTCTAACAAGAATGGTGCATGTGATGATACGAGATATGCTATGACTCAGCCTTTGACTGCCAATGCTGATGGCACACCCAACTTTGGACAGGTTCAGCCTTTCTCCAAACAGTTTGCTGAGCCTTCTAAGTAAGATCTCTAGGTCTCACGGATTCCGTTCTGGGCTTGTTCATATAGTCTGGGGTTATTAGTTGACCTACCACAAATACTTTGCGAGTAACAGATCGTTAGATATCTGCAAATGCGAACTGAACAAGGGAGATCCACCGATATGCCAGAACGCAGGCATGATCACAATCAGAGATGTCAATGTATCTACAGTACACTTTCAAGTTCTGAGCCTTGTGATATAATGAAATTATTTTTATAACATTAAAGAAAGACTTGGTTTATGTTTGATCTTTGTCGGAGAAGTGAACCAAAGAGGCCATGATATCGATCAACCTTATCTGGTAATCGATAAGAAGATAAGCTTATCTTAGCGTCCAATCAACAACAGACGCGTTCCCTGCCGGCCAGTCTCATGTTTCAATCAACGGCCCGTTCATGACATAGCAATTGAACCACAATTAGCTGACTTTCGGATGCGCAGTCGGCCCATAGCATGCACAGTCACGAGTTAACGCGTCCAAATCGCGGTCCAGGCGTACCGCATCAGCCCAGTGCGGACGCGCGTGGATCGTGTTTTATGAGAGCATCTGATGGATTCTTTTGTGGTAGTCTCATGATGGAAGTGAATTGAGTCACTGTTATCATGCCAGCAGGTGGATTATGGGTCGGTGGCTCGACGATCGCAATGAGTGTAGAAGGGCAAATGTATATATGCCGTAACCGCTCGAGCAGTTGAAAAGATTTTCTACAAGTCGATCTCGCATCTAGAACCAAGATCGCACGTACCTACCTCTTCACAGTTTGCCTCAGTGTCTCCTTCCTGCTTCTTTCCTCATAATCTTTGATTACGTCACCATGTCCTCCAACATCAATCTTGTGGACGAGTACCTCGCCAAAGGAACATGGAAGACCGCAGAAAATGCGAACTCGACTTACTCCCACCAAGGCCTCATGCAATACGTCTCCAACCAAATCATCTCCCAGTACTGGCTCGAAAGGGTTTACACTCCTGAGATCCGCCAATACGACGCCGAGAATCGCTTCCATATCCACGATCTTGGCTTCCTTAGCGCGTACTGCTCTGGCTGGAGCATCGAAGACATCCTGCTCCAAGGTTTCGGCGGCGTCGAGAACAAGATCCAATGTCGACCCGCAAAGCATCTCAACACAGCTCTCAATCAGATTGTGAACTTTCTCTTCACGTTGCAGGGAGAACTTGCTGGTGCACAGGCATTGTCGAGCTTTGACACGTACCTTGCTCCTTTCATCCGTAGCGACAATTTGTCTTACACTGAGGTTTTCAAGTGCGTGCAGAGTTTTGTCTACTCTCTCAATGTTCCGACACGAAGTGGCTTCCAAGCTCCTTTCACTAATTTGTCTCTGGACTTGATATGCCCCAAGCGACTGGGCGACCAGTGTGTCATCATTGGCGGTGAATTACGAGAGGACTGGGTGTACAGCGAGTTTCAGGAAGAGATGGACGTGCTCAACAAGGCTTTCGCTGAGGTCATGATGCAAGGCGATGGGAATGGCAACATCTTTTCGTTCCCGATTCCGACCTACAACGTCTCCGATGGGATCGATTGGGAGTCACCTCGGTGGCAGTCCATCTGGGAGATGACGGCTAAGTATGGTGTCCCATACTTTGCAAACTTCATCAACAGCGATCTTGATCCTGAAGACTTCAGATCAATGTGCTGTCGGCTGAGACTTGATCTCAGCAAACTTCACTGTAGAGTTGGTGGTCAATATGGTGCGAGTCCGTTGACTGGTTCTATTGGAGTCGTGACTCTCAATCTACCCAATCTCGCCTACCGTTCGAACGGCTTCAAGGAGACCTTCATGTCTGAGCTGACAAAGACACTAAGGGTAGCCAAGGACTCCTTGGAGATCAAGAGAAAGCTAGTCGATGCGAACTCGACTCTATACCCCTACGCCGCGCACTATCTCTCAGCCACTAAGCACCGTACAGGTTCTTGCTGGACAAACCACTTCAGCACCATCGGGGTCAACGGCATGAACGAAGCACTCGTAGCCCTATTTGGAGGGGGTGTCGATGAAAAAAAGGACTTTGCTCTTGAAGTCCTCGAGTTCATTAAAGACCAACTTCAGGACTTCCAGAAAGAAACTGGTAACTTGTACAACCTGGAAGCCAGTCCAGCAGAAAGTACATGTTACAAGTTCGCCAAGCGAGACAAGGAGCTCTTCCCAAACAAGGATATCCCAACGTTCTACACCAACTCCACTATGCTACCCGTCGACACCACAGAAGATCTCTTCGAAGCCATGGGCCATCAAGAAGCGCTTCAGTGTTCGTACACTGGTGGAACGGTCTTTCATGCTTTCTTGGGCGAACAGCTACCGAATTGGAAGCTGGCCCGAGATTTGATCAAGACACTGACTGCAAAATTCCGAATTCCTTACATAACACTTACTCCCACGTTCAGTATTTGTCCTACACATGGATACCGTGTTGGTGAGCAGCCGGAGTGTACAGCATGTGGGGAGCTGACGTTGGTTTACTCTCGCATTGTCGGCTATTTTCGTCCTACGCGAGATTGGAATAGAGGAAAGTCGAAGGAGTTTGTCCAGCGGAAGGTGTACAAGTACGAGACAGGTCTTGGGTCAAATAACGACGCTAAACTTCAAGAACTGGAAAAACAGGTCGTCGCGATTCAAGATCTCCCGGTTGCTAGCTACGTCAAGAGCACTTTGAGCGATTATCCTGGCAAGACACAAGCGTCTATCATGTTCACCTCTCGTTGCAACTTGGCCTGTCCGTGGTGTCACAACGGTCCACTTGTACAAGGCGAGTGTGACGATGTGACCCTACTGGATATCTTTCGGCATATTACCTCAACGTCTCACAAGTGTCTCGTTGTTTCAGGTGGTGAACCCACGATACACAAAGGGTTACTCCCCTTCTTGAGAATCCTCAAAAGTGTGGGGATAAGCGTCAAGCTCGACTCAAACGGCACGTCGCCCGACATCTTGAAGCAGGTATATGATGAGAAGCTCGTCGATTTTGTAGCGATGGACATCAAGTGTGCGTTGGAGAATTACAAACGTGTCACAGGCAAGAAGGTCAAGCCGAAGCTTTTGGAAGCCAGCATTGAGCTCATCAAAAGTAGTGGGGTGCCTTATGAGTTTCGTACGACGATTGTACCGGAGCTTGTGGATGTGGAGGATCTGTTTGAGGCGAAGCGTTTGTCTGGCAAGAAGCTGACGATGCAGCGGTTCAGGAATGGTGATACGCTTTTGGATAAGAGCTTTAGGACTTTCCAGGAGCATACAGAGGAGGAATTTGATCAATTGGTCAATCAGGTAGCATAGCTACTCTTCAATTTCGCGAGATATCAGATCTTTGCGATAGATAATTACAGGAACAGTTGTCGTCTCTAGACAATTCTCATGCAAATTGGTCTCCTCGAAATTTGTAAGCGTTTCTGCATTCTATTCTTCCAATTCTTTCTTCGTGGTGCAACGAAAGTCACTTTCTAACGGCCGATATCATAAGATATTTAGGCACGTCCAATCTCTCCAAACCATGCAACTCTTGAATCTTCCCCGGGCTGAGGTAACCCTCGTCGAACCCTGTGATCTCGAATCCAGCTCTGAGCAGAATGTTGATGTAACTAGCCATAGTTCTGTGCTGTTTCTGGAAACCCTTCACCAGCCAATCTGTTTGTCGTACACCCTCTTCCTGGTATCCTTCGAGAGGCCAGGATAGTTTCCCAGTTTCCTTGTCATTGACCGGTTCTTCATTTGATGGTGCGGTGAAGATAGGATGTTCGGTGCAAAATACAAAGGAACCGCCACGTGCTAAGACGCGATGTATCTGGTGTACAAGGCTATCAAGGTTGACGACGTAGTGAAGTACCAGGGAGCTAAAGACCAAGCCGTACGTATTTTCCTCATCCTTGTCGAAAACGATGGTTTCTAGATCAGCCTTTTCGTAACGAATGCTATTGTTGCGTGTCATCTCGCGAGCTTTGCTGAGCATATTTTCAGAGCCATCTATGGCCTTCACTGATTCAGCGCCAACTTCCATTGCCCATCGTGAGAACCAGCCAAAGCCGCATCCGATATCCATCGCTTTTATGCCAGTTGGGTCTGGAAGGAGGGCCCGCAAAGGAGGCCATTCTTCTGCGTATTCCAGGCCGTTCTTCTGTTTGCTAAAGGAGGAGTACTCCGCAAAGAACTCGGGCGTGTCGTAGATGTTTTTGGTCATAGTTGGTCGTGAGGATGGTCTGGATGTCGTCTTTGGACCAAGACATATTTATCATCGACGCTATTGTGACACGAGTCTGGAATCGAGTCCATGATCACAAAGCTCAAGCGAGACGCGTCAGCTTGTGGTACTTGGTGAGATTTGTGCCCGTGTCACGATATTCACTGATTGGTTTACTTGCATCAGTCTTCATGCAACAATTTTAAGTTAATCTTGACTGGAGGCGCGGGGCGTGATGCAGCACTCGAGTAACCCTTTGAGTGAATCTTACTTGAATTGCAATGGTACACTTTATTTGTCATGCGTATTTCGGGTCACGACATTTCAGGTTCTTGAGTCGTCAGAACGACGCTGTGCAAGATCCAAATGACTCTACGGCATAGTTGTAGTTTCACGAAAAGATATGTCCTTGTCGGCAAGACGCTTCGAAGATTATCTGACCATATTAGCATGGAGTCTTATCAGCTTGATCAGACTTGTTCAAGGAATAGGAAGGAGATATACCAGAAAACGCCGAGAATACTCCCAAGATCCACCCATGCAGTTGACGTACCATGGCAGTGGCTACACAACTTGACCCCGCCCAGCCAAGAGAAACAAAAGGTCCCTGGGTTGATCCATCTCATAAAACGACAACCCCAGAAAAGACTTACCCCTTGGCATACGAGACCGCGGCGTTGTCAAAAAAGCTATGACGCGGCTCCCAAGCTCTTGATAAGCACCGTAAAATCTCATCAGCGGGGTTAAGATAAAGGAAATTTACACACATCAGGCAGTTGAATTATTATGCATATTTTAGTGACTTCTTGGCACGTTGCAATGCCAATTACCGACCTTCCCAATCCGACTCGGATCTTCGCTTGATGGACGGACTAGTTTCCAAAAGCTTTGACGACACCTCCGCGATATCTTGACTTGCGGGGCAAATGGCGTGAATCAGCCTTGGAATTGCAAAGATGCAGGAACTTATGCGAGAGGCAATCGACTGGCCAGTATTTAAGCTCTCAAATGTCCGCAGATAGAATCTTGTTTCTTCATTCGTGAACGTTCAACTTGGCTATTCACAATGAAGTTCACTACAGCGGCTTCTCTCTTGGCGGTTTCGCCTTTGGCCGATGCCACCAAGCCACTTGTTAGCTCCGAGAAGCTACAGAAGCTCATCACTGAGGATGGGTAAGCAATATCAATTGGTTTCGTTTGCAAATATTAATTTTCCTAGGTTGATGGAGAACTTGGAGAAGCTCAATGAAATTGCCTATGCCAATGGCGGGAACCGTGCCTTCGGTCTTCCCGGTTACGCCGCCTCAGTCGACTTCATCTACGAGGAGATTTCCAAGCTTGAGGGCTTCAAGACCTGGAAGCAGGACTTCCCTGCCAACTTCACTCAAACTCTGGCCGCTGAGGTTACTGTTGACGATGAGACTTTCCGTACTGTTGCTTTGACCTACACACCCAGCACTTCTGAGGAGGGTGTCACCGCTGAGCTCGTCCATGCCCCAGAGGGTACGGCTGCTTGTGACGTCGCAAACTACGAAGGCATTGATGTGAAGGACAAGATTGTCCTTGTTGAGCGTGGTCTCTGCCCTGATCAGACTACCTTCGCTGGCAAGGTGAAGCCTGCAGCTAAGGCTGGTGCAGCCGTTGTTGTTATCTACAACTCTGATGAGGCTAAGTTGACTGCTGGTACTCTGTCTGCACAGAGCCCAGACTATGTACCCACCGCTTTGATAGACCAGGAGCCCGGAAAGGCTCTCAAGGCTCGTCTTGACGCCGGCGAGAAGATCGAGGCTTTTGCCAAGGTCATCCAGACCATCGAGACACGCATTACTCAGAACGTCTTTGCCGAGACCAAGGGTGGTGACGAAAAGAACGTAGTTATGTTGGGAGCCCATCTTGACTCCGTGCAGGCCGGTCCCGGCATTAACGATGATGGTGAGTCGACCGAAGAGTCCGCTGTCTCCCAGTGAGCATTCACTTGACCTTGCTAACACTCATAGGTTCTGGCACGTCGCTCATTCTTGAGAACGCCAAGGCTCTGCAGCACTTCTCTCACAAGTTGAAGGTCAGATTCGGATGGTGGGGAGCTGAGGAGAACGGTCTTGTCGGATCTCGCTACTACGTTAACAACCTGAAGAAGAACGAAGTCGACAACCTGCTCGCTTACCTCAACTTCGACATGGTTTCGCGCGGTTTCTTCGGTGTCTTTGACGGCACTGGCGAGAAGAAGGGCCCTGGCGGACCTCCTGGCTCTGACGTTATTGAGGATCTCTTCCGCGAGCACTTCAAGGCCAAGGATATCGAGGTCACACCCGCTGGTCTTACTGGCGGAACCGACTACGTTGCCTTCCTCGAGGTCCTCAAGAAGCCCGTCGGTGGTCTCTTCACAGGAACTGGTCTTGAGCAGGATGCTTGCTACCATCAGGCCTGTGATAACATCACCAACCCCGTTCCTGACACTATTTACAAGAATGCTCAAGCTGCTGCTCATGTTCTCAGCAAGCTTGCCATTGACGGTGTTGAGCTTCTTCCCAAGATACCTTCCAACTCTACTGTTGGATCTATCAAGAGAGTCAGAGATGATGCTTCGTTGCATTTCCATGACGTTCTAAGCGGCGTCGAGGGCAAGCCTTGTGATCATGACATTGTTTAAACGATGGATGAGAGTTATGTTGATGTGTATATGAGGAATGAAGTATATAGAATGAGCACTGGTAGCCGTATCTTGATCTCAAAGGCAGAAGAATACAATATCATACGTGATCCCACCGCTCTATTGCTGTACAAGTGAGGCTCCGGACAAGATGTTCCGGTCCGTCCGGTGAAGGTCAACTAACATTCTTTACTTCTCGCAATCACCAGGCAAAAGAATAACAAATCGTAGTCATCAAGAATAATATTATCCACTATGAGGTATCTGATTACCAGTTTCCGTTCTGGTTTCCATACTGGTTCAGCTGCTCCATGGCATGTCGCTCGCCATGTCGCTTAGCTTCCTCTCTGTCAATGAAGTCCAAGCCTCTTGTCTCGACCTCTCGATCAACAAAGGCACCAATAGCACCTGCTATGAACTCTTTGGCCTTTGCATGACTGTCAGGTTCTCCTAGAAATTATTGTTAGCCTATTATAGCTACGTCTTTGCGGATCTCCTCGAGGGATTTGATATGGCAACACCAAGACAACCATCACAACATGCTTACCATTTCGGGCACAGTGTTCTTCATATGCCTTAGCAGCTTCGAAAGCTGCTGCTCCTCCGATGAGCTCATGACTCCACTTGGCCTCATGGGGACGGTCGCGGACCTCTTCATAAGCTTGCGCAGGATGAGAATCGTCTGCGAGATGTTAGAGGAGCCAACGTGTACAGACGGTTCCAGCCATCATACCATCGAACCAACCCATGATGAAGTTGTGTTTGAGTTAAAAAATAAAGAAAAGTTTTATGCTTAATTGTTCGTCGAGTTGTTAAAGAGTTGTGAGTGTCGAGATTTGTTGAGAGACTGTAGAACACCAAGAGCTAACGTTTTATACTTTAAAGGGTCCAGGCCAGCCAGGTACATGATCTAAACTTGGAAACAAGCGGTAACCCCGTCCACTGGTGCCAACAGACACTTTCATCCAGTAACCTTGATGTCGGATCTCACGGCTCGTTCCATAATGCACTAGGTTCGGCAATCGCTGCCGTCTCGGATAACCGGCGCACACGGGATACGTAACGCCAGAGGCTGACGCTGCAACTCCACTACAATTGCGATAGACAGTCAATTCATCTTGGGTATAGCATCATGCATTGTTTCAGCTTTTGCCGAATTTGCCGGCGGTCTGAATTGTTGACCTGTCGGCATGGCTTGATGCTGGAGTAAGCTAATTGCCACTCGCTGGAATGCTGGCGCAGAGTACTCAACAAGCCGGGAATACCGCCGGGAGTGACGAGTTTAGACATCCAGTGAGCGCAACCTGTCTTCAACGTGCCTTAATGATAACCGTGCGATGGGGATACGAATCCGCGGAGACATCGAAACCCAAGCTCGCCCCTAACTCGCGACGCGCGAAATCCGGGGTCTCCAGGCGCCACAGCGAGCTGAGCTGGCCTAAAATTATCACCATGACATAACTGGCGCCGGCAGCATCTAGGCTCAAGTTTAATGCTCTTCTGCGTAATCTCTACTCGTGCGACTATCGTTGAGTACTTTCAACATTTATGGGTTGTATTTGGCCAAGATGGGCTGTTCCTTTCCATTCACGCTAAACAATTCCGATCACCAATTTCCATCCTGGCTTCCATACTCGCTCAGCTTCTGTTCAACAAGTTGCCTGCCATGATACTTAGCTTTTTCGCTGCCGATGCAATCCAGTCCATTCACTTCAATCACACGATCAACGCAAGCACCAACGTACGCAGCTAGGATCTCGTTGGCCTTTGCATGAGATTCGGGTTCACCTGGCGCCAATGTCAGTCTAATTGTATCACAGACAAGAAAGTATTGTTCTTACCATTTTCTTCACAATGATTCACGTAGCCATTACCGGCTTCATAAGCTGCGGCACTAACGATGAGCTTGTATGACCAGCTATCATTGGGAGCACTCCCCACGACTTCATTGTACGCTTCCGCTGGGTAGTCACCGTCTGCGAGATGTGAGAAGACTTAATCTATATAGTTATGGCTACTTACCATCGAAAAAGGGCGGCATGATATTGTATTTGAGTTATAAGGATTGAAGAAACGACTTATGCTCAAATTTTCTTCTATTGATAAGAGAGTTCATGGCGAGACTTATCAAGGAATTATCGCGACACATGAGAAGCTGACAGTTTATACTTCAAAGCTTCCAAGCCAACCCGTACGTCATTTCAGATTAGAATCTAGCGGTTGGCTCATAAGCTGAAATAAGGATTCCCAAACCATTTCCCACAGGTCGCTCGTAAAATGGCCAGTAACGACTTGTACCATGGTTAGTGATCGCTGCCATGGCTCAGACAATCGACGCCGGTAGGGCACATAAACTACATAAAAATTAACGATCAAATCCATCTTGAGTATAGCATCATGCATACGCTCGGTTGTTGACTTGTCAGCTTGACTTGATGTGGTGACTACGTGACTAGAGAAGACCCAATGGCTCCAGAAACGGCGATCAAAAGTCAAGGATGTGTCAATTCAGCAATGGATGTTGTCGTTGGACTGTTTCATGGCAATTGACGGTCTTGAAACACATTGACATGCAAAGCTTGGCTCGCGACATGGCATGGCTGGCTGGCTCCGGCGGCTGGCAAAGATTTGTGCTCAAGCTCTGAGAGGGCATGGCTGCGTTGCGGTGCGTCAAGTGCTCTAACCTCTACTCACTGGGATATCCATGGATATTGATTCGAATCCAGTCAACATGCGGAGGCCCGAGGACCGCCCAATGGAATTAGAAGGTGATGGTACCAGCTGCCTTTATTGCATGATCTTATCTGGTTGCTTCATTTGACTCAGAACCTGGAAGCGATTGCCTGGAGGGGTAAGCGCAGCTTCGCGATTGACACAGATCAAGAAGCTCAACTTCAACAAAGGTCGGCAAAAATATCGCCGACATTTGTTCATATCGTTGTCGATCAATATCTGCTTCCCTTTGATTATTTATTTGTGGTACTTAAATGGGGAAGGGCAGAAACTGGTCGCGTCATTGGAAGCATCACTACGTCGTCACAATGGAGCTCAATCTGTCGGCAATCGTCATAACGAGCCAACACTGAGGCCCAACGAAGGAGCACTCACAATCCCATGGGTCAAAGAGTCGTTACGCTTTAACTTACGAATTACACCTGTGCCTTGTACTCAAGGAAACTACCCCAAATCGCAAGCAACGCATTCTTCACGACAGTCATCATGTCAGCTTGGTTCGACGGTAAACTTACGCACTTACCCTGGTCTACGATCTTACCTTTCTAACATGCTGTAGACAGCTCGGAACAGGCCAAGGCCCACGAGTCCGTTACAAAGAAAGACGCGCTCTTATCGGACGAGGATGTTGCCAACGCTGGTGCATATGAGGCCGACAAGAAATGGCACGAGCAGGTGGGCGAGAGTGGTAAGCTCGAGCGATTGAGAGGCAATTGCAGATGCTAATGGACAGAGCAGGTAAACCAGCAAACCATATCGAGGCGATGGAAATCTTGAAGGGATTCAGCCATCCCTTCATTGATCAGGAGAGCCACTTGGTGCCCTCAATCGACGCGGATAATGCGAAGAAGATTTGCGAGCGGATATTGGAGCAGGCTGTTGCGCAGGAGTATTAGGCGATTTTAATCCAACCGTATTCAATCGACGGGCGTATCGTGTCAGGTATCGAGGTGTTCAGGGGTGCAACCAGGATCGCACGCTCAAAAGCGTTGTGCAATTGAGGCCGATGAATGATGCTAACCCACAGCTGCAGCGTAGTGACGATGTATCGAACAGCAAATACAGAAGAAGCACCAAGCGACACCGGACTCGATCACGATGGTCTTTTTTATTCAACTCGTTGCGGCGAATCTCGGTGTACTCCAGAAGATCGCTCGTGGTAATACCCGATGTCATGTACCGAAGGTGTGCTCTGCCTCTTCCTGACGCTCCGTGGTCGACCGACCGTTGTAGGATCGTAGAACGGACCATCAATAACTCTGTGGCTTATGGGCTGGCAATGTCGAGCGCCTTGCTGAGTGGGAACGGCAATAGGACTGCTGGACGGGTAAGGTTCGTCGGTCGGCTCGATAGACCGTAGGCACAGATTGCTGTACGTCTTAAGGATCGCGGCAGGGATTGCAAGGGGGATCGTGGTGAGTATTGACGTAGACGCAGGGTCGTTGCGGTGGTCCGAAATAGAGGCTGGCAACCTATGCAGCAAACAGTTAGCAATCGTGGCAATAACACAGGGACTCTCGCAAGCCTACCGATCGATCATATTGACCAGCTGCGTTACTCGAGGCCCAAGGCCCAGAACAAAAGGGCACGAGCTTGCGATCCCAGCAGCTTCAGACTGGCCTATTCATAGAAGTCAGTCGCAGCGAGCTGAGCAACTGAAGTCTTCGTCCCCGCGTGTAGCATCTGCGTCACGTCGGCAACGCTGCTTCGCCTTGTATGTTCGCCATACCGTTGACGCGTAGAATGCCTCTTCCATGACCGGACTACCAGAGCTCTCCGTGCGTGGTTCAGCCAATGGAGGTGGAAAGCCCAAAGGGTCAGCAGCGCGTCAAGCGCGTGTACGGAGGCTTGTACAAAAGAGCCACCTCTGCTGGTTCCATTCACGTCATTTACGTGCTCGAGCTGGTGTAGTCCAGCCAAGGAAGAGGCTTCTCGGTATCGCGAGTGTTGGAGCTGTAACTGTCAACTCGTCGGTTGAAGCGTGGAGTTCGCTCGGTTTCGGGGCATTGGCTCGTGGTAAATCAGCGCCTTGGTAGCATATCTACAGCCGTGTCGACATACCGAGCCGTGCGCGATTTCATTTGAGTGTTTGACGTTCTTGGTTCCGGTACTTTGCGACTTTTTGGAGCCGTCCTAGCGATGAAGCGCTGGCCAGACCTACTCAGAGATGCTTTGGTTAGCAGGCGCCACAGCCACCGCACTACGTAGGTAGCCACAACGAGCGCCACAGTCGAGTTACCCTACACTCACACGTTGGAGACAGATTAATTACAGTCTGATATACTTGCGGTATAATTAATGGTATTAGTGAGATGTAAAAAGTTTCGTGCGAGTCATGGAGTGCTTTAAGTGTGTTGAAAGCTGTTGGTTTGTGTTGTTGACGCTGACATGCACTTTTGAAGCGAGGCACACTCGAAACAACTGTGCAAGACCTTACCAATTGAACCGTTGAGAACTCGACCTTCCACCAGATCAGTAACAGTGCGATTCTACAATCAATTGGGAATATTTTGAGACTAAAGACAATGCAATCAATATTCCTAAGAAGAGAAACGACTATTCTTTGTCAATTCAAAAAGACATTCACTGAGGATAAGCTCACAGCATCGTTCACAAGATGAGCCTTTTGGAAACTTCAATTCTGGGCACGGGCAATCAACAGGCTCAGCCCCTTCTAAACGCGCCTTAGGTAACGATCCAAATTCCCAAACGCGCACTACGTCATTCTTTTTTTACGCTGATCCAGACGCGACATGTTTCCGTCTTAGCGAGAGTGAGAAGGAACAAGTGGATGCCGAGACACGCCTTCCTCAACAATTTATTGAGCTCACAGGGCGAAGAGGACGCCCGCGACAATTACTATAATGCTCTATGTCAATTGAAGCATACTGGTTCGTGTTGTTATGATTTGTATAGCACATCAATCGCTAAAAGGCCAAGGAAGAGGAGAATTTAGTTGGGAATGGCCAAGGCGAGGAGGTTAGTGAGCGGAATGGAGAGCATGGCAATGTGAATGAAGCTGTCACCCGAGGTCACAGATCTAGGTCGACAGAGGCAAACAACGAAGTGAACTTTAGAGACTCGTGCGAGAGGAGAGTTTGGGCAACAGTGAAAAACAATGGCCCTCTCGAATTTTGCTCGTATCGGATGCTATAAATGAATGAAGAGGCTGGCGATACGAGCTACGCGCAAATCGTATCTACAGTGAGTGTTTAGCGACTTTAGCGTTGAGATCCACTAACTCGACGCCTCTGAGTCGATCTTCATTGTCCATGACGTAGAGCGTTCTAGGCCCGTTTTCCATGACACGTAAGCTGTTGTACGATCTTCACTTGTATGGCAAAATGAAAGAGGATAAGTTCCAGTCACTGCAAGGTACAGAAAGAGAAAGTTTGAGGTTTTGTGAATCAAGCATTGATCCAACCGTGGCTGATTGTGGTTGCGTTGCCCTTACAACAGCCTCAAAGTCAGAACTCAGCCGCTATAAGGAACCCCTGCCAAGTTAATTGAACACCTCAAACAACATCATTATGAGGTTGAATACATTCATGGGCAGTGCCTTTACGGTATTGTCAGGTGTCGCAATGGGCCAATCCGATCAAAAAGGCACTGTTTGTGGTAATGAGAGATTTGGTGAATTGAATGATTCGCTCTCATGTATGTCAGTTCCATCACTTCGCAACCCCAGACTTTGTACTGATGCTGGAAGCAGATTTCCCTAATGCTTGGAATAAAAAGTCTCCCAAGAGCGGCTTTGTTTGTTTAAAAGTTGACAACAGCACACCGGCATTCGACGCGACATGGAACTGGGATAAGAATATCGCGGATGTCCATTCATTTCCTTATGTCCGCTTCAATCACCCCGATTTACCGATGCGACTTAGCGACCTTGAGTCAATTCGCCTCGCGACAAAATGGATGTATACGCCAGGCAGTCCTAGCCAAATAACGAGAGACTTCAGCCAGAAGAAGTGGCAGGAGAATAAGGCTAAGCTGGGGAGTGAGGGTGTGCAGGCTAATGCGGCCTGGGACTTCTTTCTTGACGATGATCGGAATCGGACCCTTTATCCGCAGGTTGCTGCTGTTGAGTTTATGGTTTGGCTGGGACGAGTAGGTGATCCTTGGTGGCTTGGGAGGCAGAATGACTCAATTTTGTCGACCGTGAAGCTCGGTGAGACTGAGTTGTAAGTACTACCCATCTTCTGAATGCCCTGACTCTGTGCTGACTGCATCAGTTCACTATTTTACGGGCGCAACTCGGGTGGAACGCACGTCTTTACAGCCGTCACCAAAGACAATGCCGACATCTTGTCTTTCGACGAGGACTTCTACCCGCTCTTCAAGTATATCCTTGAACAGGCGCGTAAAAGCATAGATAACCCAGACGATCTGCCGAAAGACGCTTGGTTAGGGATTGTTGAGTTTGGAACAGAGACGTGGCTGTCAAATGGCAACGTCACATTCACTGCTGCCGACTTTTCAATGAACCTAAAAGGCAACGCGACCAGCAGTGATCGCAACTCAACGGGAGGGGGAGGAGGCGGTAATAGCGGCGACAATAGAGGAGGAGATCAAGGGAACCGTAATGGTGGTGGTAATAATGATGGGGACGACTCGACCAGCAGTGGTGATGAGGAGGATGATGCTAGAAGGTTGATGAGCCGGTCTGTCCTGGGCTATGTTGTCGCAGCAGCTCTGGTAATCAGCGCCATTCTATCATGAGAGCCATCGGCTACGAATAGTGTAAACAGTAATGATAATGATCTGCAGCTTTAAGGAAAAATAGATACAGCTCAGCGCTTCCTACAATATCCAGGGCAAAAGAAATCCAGCCATCAAATCATGTTGTCATGCGCCTCTCCATCCTTCGTTTCTCGAACTTCCCCGGCCTTAAAACTCCCGCTCGCGACCATAGTACCATCAGCAGCCTTCGTATAGACCTCTGTAGAAGAAATACTCTGATCCTGTTCATCCAGGGCCATGTGACCCGTGACATGAATATGGTCTCCTGCAGTTGCCACAAAGGAGCTTTCGATAGTAAGTCCTAGACGACCATTCGCGACGCATCGTCCCGCAGCCAGTAACGACATGCGTCCAATCGCATCAAATACTGCAGCTAGCACAGTGTGGTGAATCCTGTTGCAGGAACTGATATGCTTCTTGGCCAGAGTGAATTTGGCAGTGATTGTCGATACGAATTTGGCATCGTCGAAGGTAGCCTGTGTGATACAGAGGTCTTTTGGTAGGAGCTCTGCGGTGGGAAACTTTGAGCGGAGAAAAACCCCAGCCCTTTGACATTATCGAGTAAGCTTTTCTTGGAAGGTTTGGCTCGAGTCTGCATGGAAGCTGCCGGGGTGACGTTCTCCCAGACATAGCGTCGGAATTCCTCCTTCCAAGCGATAATTTCACTCTTCTCGTCCAAAGGAATCCGTTCGTCTTCATCGTCAGACACCTTCTTCTTAATGTTCTTCGGGATCAACGCGGTGAGGATGCGAGCGTCTAACGGACTGAAGTTCAGTTTGTTGACCTCAAAGTCAGCATCAGAATACTGATGAATGATCTGGCTTAGTGTGCTGTACAGCCTCTTCACCCGCTCGCCAACATCCGTTTCATGTGCCAGCAGGTGAACGGCATCGCGCTCGTTGTTCTTCTCGCCGGCCCGAATAAGATGGTGCTTGAGAAGATGAGCAAAAGGACTCGGTTCATGTCCCTTACTACCCTCCCACGCCTCTGCGCCGTCCTCCATGTAACTTCTGAAGATCTGCTTCACAGACTCTATCCAGAACTCGTTCCACTTCTCCACCTCTTTCATCCGGTCCCAGCGTGAAGCTTCGCTAACTCCGTCTGTCTTGCTCGCTGAGGCCAGCCATTGATCTCGCACACCAATGGGGAGATGCTCCATAAGATGTCGAAATTGCAAGGCGGTGATGACCTGCTGTTGCTTCTGTATCTGGACTTGATACCTTTCGAGACGTGATAGCATGATGCTCACAGCTGGACCCTCGTTGTTGATAACGGCTTGCAAAGCCATTATCACCGTTGTTGGTTTGGGCTGCCCAGACCATCGTGGCACATCAGCTCCCACGCGCAAGCCGAGACGACAGAGGTTTCTCCCGATGACAGTCCAACGACTGGAAGACAATAAACAGTCAGGCTCACCAGCATCGGAAGGTACGTTCTGTCCGAAAGTCATATCGTCTGGTTGGGTGCTGTCGATGCGAAGTATGTCAATCTCGACTGCTGCAATCAAGAAATTTGGAACCGTTGCGGTTCCTATCTCCATACCAACGGAATGACCTTTTCTGTGTTTCCAACCATTAGCATGACGGCTGTGGGTGCAGGGGAAGAGTGATGTACTCCTTTTTGACAGTCTCATACAGTTGATTCAGATATTCTACTTCAGGAATCTTGAATTCTCTCCAGCTTCCTCCCAGCCGACCTTTAAGAACAGAACGTTCTATGGTGCAACCCACTCTGTAACGTAATTAGTTTCATAATGCTCAACAACAGGGGATCCTTGAGGCATCAGAAGAACTGGCCGCCGAGAGCTCAAGGGATGAAAGAGCATAAAAGACGAAGACTTACCTTGGCCTTTTTGGATCGCAATACCGACTCCGGATCGCCTCAACACAGCCGCTGTCAAAGAACCGACTCCCGTTCAGGTTGCCGAGAGAATCCTCAAAAGCTTTACCCATTGGTTCTGGTATATCCTTTGTTCCCAGCGAATCACGCCAGGCCATCAGGAGCATGTGTATCAGGATGGGCATTTTGGAAACTGCCTGTGTACATGTATGTGCAAAGAACTCCTGCCACTTGACGGTATGAAGGAACTGGGACAAAGTGTTCATAAAGTTGTGACCATCCATGAGAAAGGCGTGGCGAAGAATGGATAGGTCAGAATCGGAGAGATCCTTATCGATACGCTGTAACCACTCATTATCGTCTTTCAACTGTTTGAATTTAGTGTTGTTCTGGACGGACTCGATGAAATTGCGAGGGATATAAATGTCATCGTCCACTGTGTCCGCGGTAAACCGTCGTAGACGTGTGAGCAGAGGAGTCATGCTTTGACGAAAGTGTAAAATGACTGAAATAAGACTATCACGGTCGTGGGTAACAGACGAATTGCCCTCTAAGCACCTCATAGATGAGAGAGGTTAAATAGTGATAAAATAAAGAGACGAAGCGAAGTAGCCCAAAAGCCAGTCTGAGCTCGCATAAGGCGATTGTTTGTTTCGTCTCTTATGTTCTCAGCAGCTAATTTCTTTGACATCCTGACACATGGCTAGTGATTATCATGTATTGGTCGGGATGGTGCTTTTGACCGCTATCAGGCTCAAAGAGATCGATGTGACATGCCACTAATTCACTCAAGCTATCGGGCGCAAACTTGTCTAAAACATCACCCTTGTCGAAAAAGAAAATGCAATTCTCAAGCCTATCAAAGACACAGGTTTCAGCTCTTTCAAGCCACCCATCATTGATACGGACAGCCTTGCAGCAGCAGCTCGAACGTAACTGGGCTGCCAGTTCAGCCTTTGATAAAAGCTCAAACAATAGTCACCAGTTGTGTCACCAAGTTCCAAGGTGCAGCTACATGAATGAAAGGACATTGCAGGATCCTTCTAGCAAGGATTCCATTTCATGTTCTTTGACAACTGCCTACCTCTTAGAACCACAACACGCCACTTTCCTATTAGCTTGATAACCTGTCACAAATTTCAACATCCAAGAGGGAATTGTACCTACGAAAGTGTCTTTTCATGGTTGAGAAAGCCGATGCCGGAGTTTTTATGGTAAAGTGAGTGTGGTCGGCGGTATTCATTTCCGCAGTCAGCCGACTGGGCGTATTAAGAAGATGCTGTTACATCTACGAGCGATTTATGGTTTACGAACATCGCTTTGCAGTAGTTAATTGATGAAGATACATGTACTGGAAGTTGGTGATAAGCCGTTCATGGTTTAGCTGCAGGATCACAATCCTTCTGCAGGTCGTTGTTGGGACGACTACCGCTTACCTCAGTGCCAGGGTCCACCATAAATATATATAATCTGAACAACTCCAAAATCACTCATTTCACGATATTTCTCTACCCAGCATCCTCAGCCTCGACCACAATGCGGTCCCCACTTCCGCCACCGCGAGAAAGCCGTCTCCGACGTGCCCTCTACGCACTCCCATTCCTCGCCATCACAGCTCTCATGACACGAGCATTCGGCATGGCTGAATCAATCGGACCTGTCATCGAAGAACGGGTTCAAACCTCTGTTTTTAGAGCCCAAGAAGGCAACGTAGCTCTTATCAAGAACTTCTACGGTGTTCCGGGGCTCGATGATATTTTCAATGTCGTAACGGCCGCCTTCGCAAACTTGCAGTTCTTCTTCGACAAGAAAGCGTATTGGCAATCGTTGGTGTTCTTGACCGACTTTGCGGGGATGTATGCTGTTATCATGGTTGAGTCCTTTAGACCGGGAAATACATTTCTGGTCGCCAAATAGTAAGTGGAGGATTCTGTTGACAATACATGCTGACTCTAGATTAGTCCCGTGTTCTTCTTGCTACTATCTCAGATAATAGCCATCGGATGCACTGCCCCTATCTTCTTCTTTCTAGCCTATGTCTTTGCACCAGCGCAGAAGCTCCCTGCACTAATCCCAGGACGTCCCGGTGCTGGACGTTACCGGGCTTTGTTTCCTGTGCTTGGATTGAGCTACTATATTCCTCACTTACGATGCTACTTCAGCGCTTCTCTCGAAGGAAGAAACTGGTGGAACTGGATCTGGCAATTATATCCAGTTTGGGGGTCCGGTCTCATGTTTGTGCTGTCCAGAGCCTTTGGTCATGAGTTCAAGCTACTGAAGGCCGACCGAATCAAGTTCAAAATAGACATGGGCGTGTGTAGTATTATCAGCATGTTAACGTGGTGGTATACCCTCGCATCGATGAAGGACTCCATTTTTGAGGTCTTTGTGCCACAGTACCTGGTCACCTTCCCCCAAGACCCCGATGTTGGACTTCGCACCGTCATTCAGTTTGACTACATTTGTTGTTTCGCAGCAGGTTACCTGTGGTTGGCGTACCACTTCCGAGACCTGGAGAAACTTGGAATTTGCAGAGTTCCGTGGTTCAAAACTGTTGGTGTTTGTATGGTGTTGGGGCTTGTGGTAGGACTGGGGACACTATTTCCCATTTTGTGGTTGTTGGGAGAGGAGCTACTGATTGAGGCGGAAAAAGAGACCAAAGAGTTGGAGGATTGAGTACAAACATTGTAAGAGTCATTCTTGCGATGAGGAATATTCCGCTGTCAGCTCACATAAGATGCCTGATCCATTAGTTTTATACTCTGAACAGGCTAGGCATGTTCTGACACAATGGACATAATCGGGATAACCATCTGCCCGGTCAATGGATCTCCACCGAGTTAACCTTAAATCCTTTCATAGGTATGTAACCCACGGACTATCTTTGTGCCTTGAATACTGCCAGAAGTTCAGTGTGGCGTGTCATTGAGTCTCGGCCCGTAACGCGACGTTCAGAAGCAAATGCCGTTGACCCCACTACAAGTCCTGTTATTAATAGTGAGTGTAGCATTGGGCATCGGCGGAAAGCGAAGATCCCGGCAGTGCACCTACCATGAGTCAGTGAGCTGTCATCGATTTACGGTCTCATCCAATGCATGGCATCTTATGTTTGACGGTCCTGTCATATTCTATCAACCGTATGCTCTCGGATCCCGCATGGTCCTAGCGTGGGTGGATTTACGCTCAAGCCAATCGAGTCTTCGAATTTTAAGACTGGAATGAGTTTAATCCCGGTGGCAAAGATCCACAATCTGAGTCACCCCCCGGCCGATTGGCTACGTCGAATAACTGAGCCACATTTGACAGAGCCAAGCATCTAGAACGGGGCGCAACATTTACGACGATACAGGGCTGAACTGAAGATGAGTATATAACATTGAGTCTGTCATCCCTGGTAAACTATTCATTCACTCTCATTACCATCCCTCACTCCCTTGGCATCATGCCTTCAATCCTCCAGGCCTCAAACGCCCTCCACTATGGAGCTGGCCTCGCCGCTACCATCTTCTACGGCTCCTATACTATCGCCAATCTTGGACGCGAAAAGCCTAGCAAATCTTCTTCAGCTCGTCTCTACGATCGCTTAGCAGGGGGACTGATTATTCTCGGCTATGCTGGAGAGGGTATTGTCACAATTCTTCAAAGAACTGGCTTAAGCAAAGAAGCACCGACGATCCATCTGGTTCTCCTGATCACTGTGTGGTCGCTCATTTGGATGCAAAGAAATGCCCTTCAACGTCTAATTCTCGGAACATCCCTCATCACACTCGCATTTGAGATTCCATTACTGGTGTTCACTGCCCTTGGCAACCTGGATACTACACTCTCCGAGGCACGACTGGCCTCCCAATCATTCAGAATTATTCCTCTCTTATTCCTCACCATCTACTATCTCACTCATCGCGGAGATGACCTCAACGAACTTTTTGACGATGATGAAGAATCAGAGCCTTTTCTCACCGCCAGTGGCAACAGCGATTGCCCAAGCTACGGAACTCACCCCAACAGAGACTCTGAATACGACAGCGATCAATTCTCTGTAGGCAGCGAAGAGGATGATGACGTTATCGACATCAAACGCGAGCGCGCAAAGCGACTCAAGGAAAAGGGCGGCTGGTGGGGATACATCTCTGACTTTTCCCTTTTCCTCCCCTTCTTGATTCCCAAAAAGGATCGCAAGGTCCAACTTTGCATCGTCATCTGCCTTCTCTGCATCATCGCTACTCGAGCCTTCAACGTTCTGATCCCCCGTCAACTCGGTGTCGTGGCAGATCGACTACTCGCCAAGCAAAACCCCTTCAAGGCTCTCTTCGTCTGGCTCATCTTGAGCATTCTAGGTCATGATTGTGTGATCGGATTGGTCGAAGGTCTTTGCAAGATCCCCATCAAGCAGTTCTCCTACCGCAGTCTCGCCAATGCCGCCTTCAACCACGTCTTGTCTCTACCTATGGAGTTCCATTCCGAGCGCGACTCCGCCGAGGTCATGAAGGCCATCGAACAAGGCGAAGCCCTGACAAATGTCCTTGACACACTTGTCATTGAACTCCTTCCCACTTTTGTCGACTTGATGATCGCTTTCATCTTCCTGTACTGGAAGTTCAACAGCTATGTCGCTCTCGCCATGGCTTTCGCCGCTACTATGTTCATCACGTTGGAAGTCTACGCTACCAGCTGGAACTTGGATAACCGACGAGAGTCTTCCAAGTCCAAGCGAGAGGAAACTCGTGTCATGCACCAGGCTGTTCAGGGCTGGCAGACCGTTACTTACTTCAACATGTTCAACTTCGAGAAGCATCGGTTTGGAGGTGCTGTTGATAAGTCACTGTCTGCTGCCAGAAATTGGGAGAAACGAGATGCTTGCATCCAGGCCTTGCTTGATGGTATTGTGCCCTGCACATTCTTCACCCTGGCCACTCTTGTTATCTGGGACATCTACTCAGGAGGATCCACCCCTGGTGACTTTGTCTTCTTCATTCAGTACTGGGAGTACTTGATCTGGCCCCTCAAGTTCCTGTCTCACCAATACCGTTATCTCATGTCTGATCTGGTCGATGCCGAGCGTCTTCTCTTCCTTCTCCAAACAAAACCTAGCATCACTGATAAGGAGGGTGCTTTGGAACTCGAGAAGGTTCAGGGCCGTGTTGAGTTCAAGAATGTCAACTTCTCCTACGATCCGCGTAAAAGCACCGTTCAGAACCTTTCGCTCGCAGTCGAGCAGGGACAGACCGTCGCCTTGGTTGGCGAGACTGGTGCTGGCAAGTCATCTATCATGAAGCTCCTCCTCCGATTCTACGATATCAACACTGGTTCCATTACTATCGACGACCACGACATTCGCGACATCACCCTCAGCTCCTTGAGAACCGTCCTTGGTGTTGTACCTCAAGACCCTCTCCTCTTCAACGCCTCAGTCATGGAGAACATGCGTTACGCCCGACCTACCGCCACCGACGAGGAGATTTACGATGCTTGCCGCAAGGCCGCCATCCACGACAAGATCCTCAGCATGGTCGACGGATACAACACCGAAGTCGGTGAGCAAGGCGTCAAGCTATCCGGTGGTGAGATCCAGCGACTAGCAATAGCTCGAGTCTTCTTGAAGAACCCTGCTATTCTCATCTTCGACGAGGCAACAAGTGCAGTTGACACAAACACCGAGTCCTTCATTCAGGGCGCACTTGACGAGCTCAAGCGCGACAGATCGACTTTCATCATTGCGCATCGACTATCCACTGTTGTCAATGCGGATAAGATCCTTGTTATTCATGATGGACAGGTCGTTGAGTCGGGTACTCATGCCGAATTGATCTCAATAGACGGAAGATATAGACAATTGTGGATCAAGCAGGTTGGAGGTAAATAGACATATGCTTTTAGGCTTTAGGTGTTTTGGATGAGCATCTGGTATGGAGTTATAGGTATTATGCATTCTTTAGACTATAAAATCTTTTTTGCTTCTATCAACAATCTGAACCTGATAAATCTATGTCATTGTATTATTTGTAAATCTTAATTGTACACCGATGCTTTCGACCACTTCGATCGAGCTCTGATTCGCTTGCCGTATATGTAAAAAATAAATGGAACAGGAATCAAAAGGGCTGCAAAACCACCAGTAATACTAGATCCGGGACCGACGCCAATGTTATGGTACAACGGTCCAACGACAAGTGGGAATGCAGCCGCAAACATTGATCTCAGGAATGTGTTGGCGGCAACAGCCGAGGCGGCATACATGGTGAATGTATCCACAAGGTAGTTAAGGGCTGCCTGGAAGATGGTAAAGAAACCAGTTCCCAGCAGAACGAGACCAATGCAAGGGACGACCCAGTGGATATTCGTATTGCCGCCAGTCCATGCGATGACGAATTGTCCACCGCTGAAGATAACGGAGCCAACCATCATAGGTGGAAGTCGCTTCTCAGGAACAGCTCTGTCGCCAGCTGCATGGTAAGCCTTGTTGTAAAGTAACTGGTTGTACACGTTCGCCGCACATCCAAGAATAGCACCTAGGAGAATGCAGACGAAAGGAAGCGCAGAAACCAGAGTACCCCAACCTCTGATCTCTCTGAAGATAATCGGAATGGCGCCAAGTTGCATGTAGAGAATACCGTAGCAGAAACTCGCGTACAGAGCAACGAGGAAACAGATTGGTGTCATGAGGAGTTGAACAGGACGGACAAGGAACTTTCGTGAAAGTTCACCGATGCTGACGTCCCATTCTTCGAATTTGGCATGAAGAGCCCAGTTTCCTGTTTCGTGACGGAGGCGTCGGGCTTTGTAGATGAGAAGCTTTGGTGGATAGCTTTCATCGACGAAGATAACTGCTAGTGTTAAGAAGATGATCTGGACGATACCAGTGAGATACTCAGTCCATCTCCAACCCAGACTGGGTTCCTGTACAACAGCAGCCGACACGATAGGTCCAAGTACTGGTCCGCCGACGACAGCCATGGCATATCCCGCCATAGCGATTCCTCGTTCTGTTGGAGAAAACAAATCGCCCAATACACCACCAGTATTCGTAACAGGCGCCGAAGCGAAGAAGGCGCAGAAGAACCGCGTGATCATAAGAGTTTGCAGATCTTTTGCTACCGCACTTCCGAAACTGAAGCATAGTGCAATGAACATGGGAATAAGAACAGCTTGACGTCGGCCATAAACCTCGCTCAGCGGAGCCCATAGAAGAGGTCCGATACCGAAGCCAACCAGGAAGAGCGTAGTTCCTAGTGTCGCAACCTGAGTTCCCACATGGAAATGCTCAGCAACTTGGCCTGTTCCTGAAGAATAAGACGACGAAGCCCAGGTCGCACTCATGGTGACAAGACCGTAGAGCATTGTTGTGACGATCTTCTTTTTAGTTGGCCAATTCATCGGTCGATACGGATCATCAGGTCCGTCAAAGTCGACAAGTTGATCCTCAGTAGTTTTGACGTGAGCTAGAGGATGAGTAAACTGCGGTATTGGCCGAGATCGAATTCGAGATAAAGCAGACTCCCGTCGCGAAACTGTGCGAGTCATGGACATGCCATTGGCAGGTGCTCTGATACTTTCCCAGTCATTGTCGCCGAGAGAATAAGTATTTGAGTTGGATCGATTGTTGCGATTGGCAGGTCGATGAGAAGATGACGATATTGAAGATTCTTCATCGCTAGTATGATTTGAAGATGAATTAGATTGACGTCTGGGATCATGCCCAGAGCCATTGTGCAAATCTTCAGTTTTCTCCATAATGACCCATGAAACTAGTGAGAACTGTTACCCCAGAAAATGAAAATGAAGATCGTTGGAGGGCGTTGGAGTGTTTTTATCTAAAACGGCCCCGTCATCGGCGACTTTTGCTAACGCCGAAGTTGGTTCTCTAATGACCAGTCCTTTCTCGTGGCGACGGCCAACAAGGTCTTTGGCCGTTGGACTTGACGTCATCCCCTGTTAGTTTTGACGATTTTTTCTACAGAGACTGTGGAGACGATGATCTCGCCTATTCGCGTTGGCTCGACTGTTTGCGCGTCGCGAAGGACAGACACGGAAATAACGTGTGAATAACTTCAACGGCAAGGAAATGCCGATTACGGCCCGGGAAAGCATAAGCACGGCAGAAAGTCAAATGAAGGCATTCCCATTCAAGTCGATGATCGACTTTATCTCCGAGCAGTGCATATAAGTAATTCTATTTGCTTATCTATTCGCGTTCGCGAGTTGGATCTAATGCCGAGACGTGTCGGATTCTCCTCGCGCGGGCTTCCATTCAAAGTGATGCTCGCCTTTAACCGGATCACCCTTGTGTTCCTCCTTGAGGTCGAACTTGTGATTACCGAAATAGTCCAACTCCGCTTCTGTTAGTTGTGTCGGCAGTTTGACTGATGTTGTGTACTTCCAATATTCCAAACTCGAACTGATTGTCGGAATCACCATGTCTGCTTCCAATGCTGCAATGACAGATCGCTTTACCGATGGAAGGAGACTTGCCAATGTCTTTGCCAGATCGGGGTTCGAGAGCAGGTTTTCTTTTGATGAAGATGATTGACCGTAGACCTTTCTCAGAAGATCCATGATACCGCCTGCTTGGATGATAGAGCCGGCGCTCCAAACATGGAGTAATTCGGGGTAGTTGATGTGCCACTCTCGCTGCTGATCCATCTCTCGAATGACCTGCAATCCCTGAACGAAACACAACAATAGGCAGAAGTAGGTAGCCTTGCGCAGATCCTCGATGAACTCCTCCGGAGAAGCGACCTGCATTGGCGTCGGCTTGATCGGATATCCCGAGGCCTCTGCATCAGCAACTCGCTTGTTGAGTTCTGCCGAAGTGCACCTAAACAAATGGGCACTAAGAATATTCGCAGCAGGGACGTGCAGTCTGACCGCTTCTTCGCAAGACCAAGTACCCGTTCCTTCAGTATTGTCCACATCCTGGACAACCTTGTCTTGTACATGGCCCAGAACATGATGACCCTCAGAGTCTCGAGTCCGATTGATGTCGACGGCGATGTAGATGAGGAATGTGCTGTAGAGCTCGTCTGTTCTGTTCCATTTGGCAAACACTTCAGCAGCGTTATCGTAGCTGAGTTGCAGGCCTTTGGTAAGGATGTACCAGACTTCAGAAATGACGGACATCATTCCTTGTTCAATACCATTGTGAATCATCTTCACATAATGACCCGAACCGCCAGGTCCAATGGGGCAAGTTCGCGGTCGTCCGTCTCCATCCTTCGCTGCGACAGATCTCAGCAATGGCATGAGGGTCTCCAATGCTTTCGGATCCCCTCCAGGTGACATGGAAGGCCCAGATCGTGCACTCTGATAGCCGCCGGAGACGCCACATCCAACGTAGTAGATACCGTCTCTGCTAAGGTCGATCTGGCGTCTTTCGGTATTGACGTAGTACTCATTGGAGCAGTCGAGAATTATATCACCCTTTTCCAAATGTGGTCGTAGTTCCTTGACACAATGATCGCCTGGATTGCCATGGGGAATACTGAGAATGATGACTCTCGGGTGACAGTCGGATTTGACTTCATCGCATAGCTGAGCGTAGCTTTGTTGACGATGGATTCGAGATTCTTTGTCGACGTTCTTGACCATTTTCTCTTCCACCCTCATATTATTCTCACCTGTCAAACCTGGTTAATAGGGTTCGTGATATTGGAGCTGTGGCACATACTGATATCGAAGTAATACACATGGCAGCCTTTCTCTGCAAACAAAAGAGATAGCATCGACCCCATGCTTCCCACACCGACCATTCCCACCTAGAGATTCGTGAGTCAGGAGGCTTGAACGATGTGAGAAAGCGTATTGATCTTACCTTTCCGATCGTGTTTTCCGACATCGTGGCGAATGTAAAAATATGAAGGATTGAGCGGTCGCTGTGCTTGAACTGATGCTTTGGTATATTGCGACAGCAGTATGTCAAAGTAAAGGCAACGGTGAAAACAAAACTCTTCAAACAGGATTCCCGTTTCAAGGAACTTTTTGATGATAAAAAATTATGCTTATCGGTTAGAAGATCATGGCTAAAACAATTCTTGGCGCGTGTTCAAATCTGATATCAATTTGACGTCAGAGAAATACCACCGACCCAGTGTTTCTGGACCCCTGTTTTTATTCCCTCATCGAATGTAACCGAACATTCTGGAATACCGGGCTATTGCTGACCACCAAATGTTGACATTACTAGGTGAGTAACAGAAGAAATGTTCTCTAAGGCTGAAGCTACTATAATAAAGTAGTCTAAGATGTACCCTAATTTAGCGTAAAGTAATCTGCTTATTTCGTCTCTTAGGATTTCAGCGGTGAATTCTTCTGGTCCCCTGATAATTACGTAGGCAACAAGGTGTTGAGAAGAAGTTGGCTGGTGGGAACCTGAGAGGTAAAATAAGGCCAATGACTTTATGTGAGTCTGGACAGGTACTTGGACTCTTTTGATATGGCTTCCCAAACCTAATCCTGAAATTTAGTCCACTTCCCTGTTACTATTAGCGGACCTTGTCGATCAAAGGCAAGTAACAGCATATGTATTCATGTATTAAGAGTAGTCGATAGGGCCTAGTAAAATTGGCCACTACTATACGAATTAAACTATCTAAGCAGACTTGGCAGCCTTGACGATGACATCGCTAGCTTTCTCAGCAACGATGTAAAGAGGCAGGGCGATATAGAAGCCAGGAATCTTGGGGAAAACACTGGCATCAACAACTCTCAAACCTTCAACACCACGAACCCTGAACTGAGAATCCAAAACAGCCATAGGATCATCATCAGCACCGATGGGGCAAGTGCAAGAAGCGTGGTGACCCCAAGCCTCGTTCTTGATGTACTGCTTGATATCCTCCTTCTTTGTAACATTTCGTCCGGGCCAGACTTCATCGAAGTCACCGTCAAGAGGGATCAGCTTGTCAAAAGCCTTGCGGCCCCATTGGAATCCTTCGTAGGTGGCTTGAAGATCCTTGTCGCCTTCTCCGTTCGCGTTGACACCGGTGTCGTAGTAGTTGAAGTTGATGAGGGGCATATCTTGGGGGTCCTTGGACTTCAGGGTGACGGTTCCGGCATTGTTACGGCTGTGAGCCTTGAGAACGATCCAAGACCAGTGCTTAGCATCGTTAAGGGCCTCGCGGGAGTAATTATGGAAGTATCCTGTGAACTTGGCTGGGCCACCAGAGATGAGCAGGTCAGGCTCGTCCTCGGCGACAGAAGACTTCATCACAGCAGCAAGAGCAATTCCGTTGGTAGCGTAGACGCCCTTTCCGAGAGGTGTCTTACCCTTCTTGTAATCCTCCAGACAAGGATCAGGGTCGGTTGTCATGAAGGTGCACTTGGATGTAATCTTGAAGTCCTTCTCACTCTTTCCAATGACTGTAGCCTCATAACGATCCTGGAGGTTGGTTCCGACACCAGGAAGGTCAACGACGACAGGGATGTCAAAAGACTCGAGCTCCTTCTTGGGTCCAACACCGCTGAGCTTAAGCAGTTGGGGGGTGTTGAAGGCACCAGCAGAGATGATGACTTCCCGTTTAGCGTTAACGCTGCCAGTATCGGTGGACTTGTCGGAGGTAGAGCGAGGGTCGGCGCTGTAGAGGCTAGGTCCTTCGAGGTAGTCCACTCGAGCAGCACGAGGCTTGGAGCCGCTCTTATCAAAACGGATCTTTGAGACCTACAGGTACGTCAGCGACCAGATAACAGGATAATGGTATCATCAGACTGACCAGAGTGTTGAGCTTGATGTCAAGGTGGTACTTGCGAGAACCATCCTTGTTGACAGCGTTGGCAGTATCAAGGATCAATTCACGAGGACTGCTTCGAACAGAATCGGACATCGCAAGCGGGACCTGGTAGAGACCAGGTCGACTTGTCTGACCAGGGGCGTTGATGTCGGCAACCAGGATGTTGCCAAGGCCAGTGACAGTGTTGAGAACGAGTCCAAGAAGGCTCTTACCCATGGCAGTAGCGGCAGAGATGACCAGAGAGAGGAACTTCAGATCCTCGACGACCAAGTGCAAAGAGGTCAAAGATGTTCCGAGCCAACCGTTGAAGCCATGGCCAATGATACTACTAGGCAAGTATCTGTTCCTCTCCAGCTTCTTGAAATAAGATTGCATGTTCTTGGGGTTCCAAGAGCTATCGCCAGTAAGAGTAGCGATGTTGGTCCAGTCGGAATCGTGAGGAAGGATCGAGATGAGTGCGTTGTGTCGTGTGCATCCACCAAGAGTACCACTGCGGGGATACAGGATACCCAAAGCCTTAGCATCCTTGGGCGGCTCGCCACCAATGTACAAGCTACCATCAGACTTCTCGTATGTCATCTTCGAATCTCGCTTCTGCTGGTCGAGGTCGGAGTAGTGGTTGACGAAGTAGTTCCAGCGGGTCTTCTCGAATTCCGAAGACGCCAAGTTCAGGGCGGGGACTCTCTCGACAAGGTCATCTCCAGAATCGCCTCCAGCGTCAATGAGAAGGACTTTGTAACCGGCGATGGCGAGGTTGGCGGCAACGGGACCACCTCCTGCACCTGATCCGACGACTACATAGTCATATTCCGTAGAGTCGACACGCTTGGCGATAAAGGGGTTGTGGGCTTTTGGGATCGAGCTGGGAGAGTTAGTAGAATGCCGGTAGGAAGATGCAACTCTACTTACGAACCAACAACCGAGTCCGATAGGACAGCGATAGCCGTGAAAATGAGCGACAGACGCATCTTGAAAAGATGCAGAAAAAAGGAACGTGGTGCAGAAAGAACGAGAGTAAGGGATAGAGAGCCAAGAACTAAAGGCCTGAGCACAGTCTTAAAGAGGAGAGCCCTACGATCTGCGAGTTAGTGGCTTGAAATCGACGACGAACTGAAAACAGAATTAGCTTCCGTTTTAGTTCAGACTAACGGCCGCTAACCAGGACTAGAGTTGTAAAAGTGCGTTGCAGTGGTTGTGCGGAGTGGGGGTCGTACGCCGATCTCTCATCTTACCACGCAGCATTCTTTGTCCAGCGATAAATTACATGCAACGCTAGCCGTAGTACTATCTGTTTACGAGTCAAGGTTACAATGTTGGGAGAACATATGGTAACATTGTAGATATCTGCCGAGATAAAGAAGGGTAAGACGGCGGATCAGCAAAGATTTCTTGTTGAAGGGACGGGTTTGGGCTTTGTTACACTTCCGAGGACATGCATCTTGCATTCTGTATGTCTCATTTCCAGTCGATTATCCTCACGGATCTACTGTAGGGCTGTCAGCCTTATTGCCGAAACCTCGATTCAGGGGCTGGCTGTGGGTTGGTCATGAGATCCACAAGGTTCAAAAACTATCGAGAGGTTCGTGCTTGCGTGAAAAGAGTAGTTCCCCGGATTATCCTGAAGTTGAAACAGGGGTTACTGAGGTGACTGGATAAAAGATGTCGCGATAAGAACCTTAGCTTGCAGCTTAAGAAATTCTGACTCGTGAATGCAGGCCTTCATAGCATAACTCTGTCATGTGTCTTCATGCACAAAGATATTCACTTATGCCCCTCAGGACCAAGGCGGCTTCTCGCTTGGTAAATTCCCTCGTTAGTGGATCCATCATACCTACATAAGCGTCGGTCCAATTGCTGACCCGCCATGACAGACACTCGCCTGAACGATATCGTGGCATGTTTGGAGGATCCTGCTGAAGGAATAGCCACAGCAATATTGGGCAAGATACATCACGGTTGGCTTATGGCCTATGCTCTACGGTTCAATATCCTTCCGTGCTTTCTTGTTTGATCGCGTCTAAACTTCCTGCACTTATGACTGTCAATACATTTCCGGGGGTATTTTGCGACATATTACATTCTTATCTACCATTTAACATCCAAAGAAAATTAATTCAAGATCTGGCATAAAACAATATCTAATGTATATTCTTGGGCTTCTTAGTCTATTGGGAGATCAACCAGACATTCATGCACAAATGGAAAGAGAAATGGGGAAAGGTCCAGAATAGGGTAACCGACAGGCAAGGCTGTTTTCTTTGCATCGTCAGGTTCGAAAATGCCTTGCGGTCAGGTAGAACGTTCGATTGCTGACATAGTCTCTTGCCTGAATTGAGTGGCCACGTAAGTCACTCGCACTTTTGTAGAAGGTCCGCTTCGCTCAGTTGCTGTGCCTCATCCTTCTCCAGTTCTCAGCTAGGTACGTCAATATATCATGGAATATTGTTTTCTTTTCCATACGAACTTTCCATGATGAGGTCAGTCGTGTGGCCACTTGTCTCTCAATTGCAGTAGCTACAAGAGAAACCCTACATCTGTATACTGAGAGTGGCTATATCTCAGTGTAGCTGTGAAAAGTAGAGCTATCTCTAATCTCCTGATGTCTAGCCTTTCTCTTTCCGTGATGTCTAGCGTTTTTTGTTCCTCCATGTTTCGGAAGTCGCTTTACGAACATTGCTAAAAGTGAGATGCTTCTTTCCAATAAGGTAGTCGGCGCTTTCCTATTCCGTATTTCGACATACGTACCTCCCAATCCTTTCGTCTTGGCAACCATAACGTCAGGTTGTGGTGGAGCAGTCAGAAAATCGTGATTGGCTGCGCTTACTAGGAATGACAGATTCAGCTAACCTTCCTCGTTTTTCGATGTGAGTATCGTGGCCATATGCTCCTGCGGTGTAAGTGAGTCTAGAACAGATATATAAGATGACGAAGGTCGCCTCTCTTTCTTTTCAAAATCATCACCCACATCTCAATCATCTCATCAACTCAGCAATACCACCTCTTCAAAACAACAATACTTCTTCTCAAACCAACAACTATCAACATGCGTTTCTCATCTGCCGCTACACTTGGCTTCGCTGCCACTGCCCTCGCTGCCAAGGAGACCGTCACTGTCTCCAAGCTCAAGATCCACAGCGTCGGAACTCCCATCAAGACCACCCTCAAGAGCGTCTCCTTCACTCTCAACGGCGCTGATGCTAAGAACCTCAAGTGTTCTGCCAAAAACCTCGCCTACCCCACACCCGAGAAGTCTTACTCTTGCGGTGACTCCGACTACTCGTTCCTCATCTGGGAGGGCGAAAAGGAGCAGTTCGGCATCATGATTTACCACGACGTTGGGGACGCGTATGTTTGCATTGATTCGTGATCTGATATTCTTTCTAACTTTTCTATAGCAAGGCTGATCTCCGAGGTGGCCGCGATATCAAGACCAACTGCGATAACAGCCAGGGCAGCGGCCCTGCTGATGAGATTTGCACTCAGGGCAAGCCTGTCTCCTTCAAGATTGATGGCCCTGTTGGTATCTCCCCCAACTAAGCTGTTGCTTCATACTTCGCTACTCCGCTTCTACATCATCATACGATGCAAACTCTATGAGGAATATTCTTTACACGGTCATTGTTTAGACTGGGGATGAGAGAAAACCGTCGGAAGGGGCAAGAAACTCCAGTGATCCAGTTAGTTGTTCTGATTGGCAGGCAGTTCTTTTAGTCAAAATAAACCTTTTTCTGACAAATTCGTATCAATACTATGTGAAACATGATTGCCTCAGAGCCTCTTCGGGAATATGCATGGAGCTCTGACCTTTTGCTAGCGCTTTGGATCCTTTGTTCCTTTGAGGCTTTGCATGCAGGTCCCCTTGCTGGCAACCCCTGCTATCACATGCAACTCCAAGGGTCGCCCATCCAAGGTGGAGAGGTCTGCATCCGACATTTTTCGGATATCTTAGCACGAACCTTGAAATAAATTGACATCTAGAATCAAAGGAAAGCCTATGGATGGACTTCGACGTTTCTGTCCCTAAATCCCTAGCACATTATTTACAGCCACTGCTTGTTACCAAAGTGAGACACGAAAGAGCCACCACTGCCACCGTCAATGCTCGCCTTGTTGATAACAGAAATCACATGTGTAGCCGATTCCTCAGGGGTAATCGGTCCAGTAAAATGTGGTGCGTAAACCTGGAACGCAGAAACCATATCGCGGAATCCCTGCATCTCCTCCTCGGTAACTGCCAAGTCAGTATTTAAAATCGGCTATCGATATGATAGACTTACTGTTTGACAGGTCTTTGGTGGCAACGAGACCCGGAGAGACTGCCATGAACAAGATTCCCTCCTTTCTGTACTGAGCGTCGAATTTGGCAATCGCAATGTTAAGTGCGCCCTTGCTTATGCTGTATGGCGCACCGTCGACGATGGAGAACTGCGTGATGAAGTCGGGGTCTGCCATGCCTGAAGATATGGCGATGACCTTCTTCGCTTGACCCTTGCGGATCAATGGGAGTGCCAAGTTGAAAAGGTGGACGTTGCCGAGTGTGTTGATTTTGAAGGACTCGAGCATGTCCTCCTCCAATCGCTCTGGATCGTCACCCCTAAGATTTGTCAGTTCATGAATTCCTCAGTCAATGCTTCATTCGACTGACAAGGTGCCAATGGGGTTGTGAGCCGACCACTCAGACTGCAGGGCAGCGTTGGCAATGATGTAGTCGAGACTGCCACCAGTGATTTTAGCGGTTTCTTCGATGAGGTTCTGTTCGAGTTAGTCGAAAAAGGCGTTATTAGGTATCGTGATAAGTAGTAACCACCTTGAGAGAAGCAAGTTTCTCAATTTCTCCTTCGATAGTATGGATGTTGGACCTGCCGCTTAGTTCACGCTCGACCTTCTCATCAGTGGCTTTCTTGTTGCGGGCAAAACCAATGATGGTGTTGTTTGGGTCGGCGGAGAGCTGTCGAACGAACTCGAACTATTGAACTTGTAAGAAAGCAGATTTAGATGTAATAGATAGGAGAAATACTTACACCGAGTCCTCGGGAAGTTCCAGTGATCAGGTAAGAAGGCATTTTAAGATAGTATAAGTAAGGTAAGTTGTTATTGTGAATGGAGAATGTGTTTGTCTGTTGGAATAATTCCTCTTCTCAACGGCGACAACCCCATCCTTATATATGCCTTTCTTTGACGATATGCCTGTTCCCAAATATTGGTTTCGAGGATTATTTGTAATTGAGGTGGCTTCTGTTCCTGACGCACCAGGCCTTGTTGGGCGATTTTGAAGTGGGGCCTCGCAAATTCTTGCCTTGCTTTCCTGCCATAAAGTAAGCAGCACCAGTAAGCGGATTTCGGATATTCATTTCGCCTGCATTATTAATTGGATGGAAGAAACCGGTATTCTTGGCATAACCCGGAGAATTGAGGGAAATACAAGGCGCATATTTGTGGTATGAGATGTTTTACGCCTCGACGAAAGATAGAACAAGGTAGCTTCAATTGGAATATTATTAATTAGAATATTGACTAAATAAATGCAGGAACAGACCGATAAGTTGAGCTAAGAATAACACCAAGTTTGTGAACATAGTCCAGGTGGTCGACCGATAAATCGTCCTGTACCCAAGCAAGCTCAAGAATATCCTTTACGGTTGCGATATTTCTGTATTTTCCGTCCTCCATTGTCCTATCCATAAGATCGAGTGCAATCGCTCGCTTCTCATCTTCTTGAGCTTCGAGGCCAAAAATGAGCAACGGCAAGGGCCATTGGCAGGTTGGTAGATGGGCAAGCAACTCGAAAGCCTGCTCGACCCAATCATTGAAACTTTGGTCTAGTTTTAGAATCCCGGCGGACGCACGCCTGAGATATATCAAAGTGGATAGCCGATGAAGTTCAACTGCCATGTTAAACGCAGGCTGTCCGTCGAATTCATTGACTTTCCTCGTGTGATGGTCGCTGATATTTCGTAACTTCCAGTCGAGTATTCGAAGGTAAGTTCTATATTCTTCTGTGCCATGCTTTGGGTCCGAAGACACTGTTACGGCATTGAAGATTTCGGAAAGCAGGTATAGTATCTCGTGTGGGATACCTGAAAGAATTGGCTAAAAAGCTGTCAGTTGATACGTTTTCGCATTGAAGGATAGAAAATGAAATACCGGTCCGCCAGAACAAACGGCTGGATGAAATGTATCGAAGTCAATACTAGACGCGCTATCTCCTTCGAAAGTGAAATCTGGTTTCCAGTGGCGTAAACCAAACCTAGCTATGGTATTGAGGTAGTGTATCCATCCTACAAGTGCTGTCAAGTCCCGATCTGTTTGTATCTCATCTAGAGCCGATGCCTTGATGATCTTGGCAGCACCACAGGCGTACCTGTTTAAGGGGTTTGAAGGTCAGTCATCAAGTCGTAAAGTTCAAACCAACACAATTAAATAATCGTACCATAACCAATGGCTTGTCTTGGTTGCATTTTGCTGAATCTGAAAGTGATATTAGTATCTGAGTCACTGAAACTCCAATGGGTTGGCACCTCTAGAGTACATAGTATGATACCGGCAGCAATATGGCATGCTGATTCTGTCACGCCAATAAAGCCTTGCGTGGACTCAGATAATGCTCTCAGAGCAGCAGCTTTCGGTCGTGCTATTGAGCTTATTGTGTTATCGCGATGGAAGGAAGCTAAAGCAATAACAGACTTTAGCACGGCTGCTGACGAAAGTGTTACATCTGAAAGAGCCATGCGAGTGATAATCTCAGGAACTCTTTGTGCATCTTGTCCGAAACCACTTATCGAAAAAGAAGCTCTCTCTATAACTGCTTAGTGTGAGCTCAATTCGTTCATCCTGGGTAAGTCGACATACAATACTGGACCGAACTGGCGTCTGACGAGCTCAGCTGCGCTATAGCTCCTACACTAGGACTCTTGAGCAATAACAACCCCCCTTCTGGTTTCTCAAGATATCCGGTATCGGAAGTCTCTGGGAATGTCTCAAGCATTTGATCGGACGTTAATCCATATATATGATCTAAAGTCGACACCCGATCATGTAGCCTGACGTCTCTAGAAAAGGCATTGACCCATCGATGATCGGACACCGTGCCTTTCGATCGTATTTGCTTAGGATTGGGCCCGATTATGGCCCGTCGTCGATCATTTCGACGTGGCCAAGACAAACGCAAGCCGTAGCCCTGACACTCTACTCCCAACTTGACGCAGCGATTGCATCTGGGCAGTGCTTGATCACAGCGGACCTTTCGAGCTAACGGGGGTCGTCAGCAGAGCCAATCAACGGTTTCTCATAGGGCAGACCTCGACAGTTTCCACATCCAGCAGATGGCATTTCTAGGAATTGGAGAGGCTGAGTGGAGGTAGCTCGCAGAAAGTTACCAGGAATGACTTTGAACCCTTTGCAGGCATGGCCGATGACAAGGTGAGATTCTCAGATGCCTGCTTTGATCGAGTAAGCAGCCACAAGTGGGGCAATACCGAGTAAGCAGGCGGCGGAGCGACTTTTCCGAGCCAGTCAGGATGGCCGACGGAACAGGGGCAGTGCACCCACCAGCGTAGCCATAGGGTAGCAGATGGGTCTCGGAAGAGTTGTCCTCTAAGGCTTAGGTTACAGAAATAAAATAGTCTAAATGTCTGCCTGAGTATGCAGAAGACGATCAAATTATTCCGTCTCTTATGCTCTTGATAGCTAATTCTTCTGACACCCTGACGGGTAGGTAGCCAGAAGAGAGATGAGAGTATGAAATGGATTACAAAAACGACGCGATAAGGTGAATATTCGCAGTCACGTGGGACTGGCTGCCAAGTTCCAGAAAGATTGATGGAGCCTGATGGACTGAACGAACGCCAGATCTTAAACTTTTACATAAGGGCCGTGGCTCCAGATGTGGTGTTCACAGCAAATGGCAGAGTATCTAAGAAAAGAAAAGGCTAAATGGGTGACAGAAAAAATGTTTTCTAAAGCTTAGGCTACTACAGTAAGGTAGTCTAAATGTTAATCTAAATTAGCATAAAGATGAATAAACTGTTTCGTCTCTTATGTTGATAATAGTTATTTCTTTTAGTATACTGCGGTAAGGTAATCGGAACCTTAATACGTCTAACAATCTACAAGAATTATAATTTAGAGCTAAGTATAGTTGAATTACTAGTAGTTTGATATTATACTTAAAAGACATTCTTTAATAAAAGTCCTCTTCAGCTTACTGCATTAGGTCCAAACTAGGCTAATTGACAGATAGAGTATAAGCAGAGGTTTTAAAGACGCAGTTAGAGCCTGTAGCTGTTAGAATCAGGTACGTAGGAGAAAAGATGTGAATATGAGGCCATGAAGGAGAAACTCACCAATGAAGGGCTCGGTGCCGGCTTGGAAGCTGGTGGCAACATAACTGCTAGGAACGCCCTGGTTCTTCGTCAAGTAAGTCAGGAAGGGGAGTAGATCAGCTTTGAAATTGCCAATGGTAGAGGGTGCGACAAAAGAAAAGACAGTCGTGTCCCCGTTAGGACCCTTAAACAGGCTCCAGGTAGTACCGGCAATAGTAGGCTTTGCGATAGCAGGTTTGTTCTGTTCAGAGATAGGCCCAGCGCCACCATAAGATCCAAGCCAGATCATGATCTCGTACTTGTTAGCGGCTCCCACAGAGGGCGCAAGCCAAAGATCATAGGAGACATCTGAAACCATGCCAGTACCAGTGTATCTTGTAAGTAAGTCAGCGAGGTTACAAAATGCAACGACTGGATATTTATTACCGCCAGGTCCATGTTGTAGGGATCGACTTGATATCAGAGATCTTTTTGTTGATCTTCTCAAGTGCGACATTGGAGTAAGACTTAACCTTGGTTGGGCCCCCAGCCCACGACCAGGTAGAAGTCCAAGCAAAGTTCTTATTGTTGACAGAGTTCAAGGTTGTGCACTGAGAGCCTGAAGTAGCGTCACCCTTTCCCCAGTTGTTGTGGTAAAAGGTGTAACCCTGAGTAGCAACAGAACCGAAAGCATCACACCAGGTTGTGGCTCGCTTCTCGATTGTCTTGGAAGGAGAGGTTGGTGTCGCTGCCGCGAGGGTAGCGACAAATGCGGTCAGTGGGATGCAAAACTTCATTCTTATGGTATTGGCGAAGAATAGATAGTAGTGTCGGGTGATGATAAATAATGGTGGGACTGGTGTAAAATGGACTGGAGAGGGGCATATATAGATAAATAAATGTTCCTACTCCGGGTCTAGAATCTATGTCGGTTGGACGATAATTACGACACCTACGGATAAACTAACCTGAAACCACTTGTTTGTTTAGTTTGTTGGATACGCGTATTTTAAGTTCGTGCATGGATGGCCCTGTGTCAGTTACGAGGCGGATAATTACAGCTCTTCACCTCCTCTTCCTCCTTAAGGATTCTTGCTCACGACGTGCCGCGTCTTCCGTCCTAGTGTCCCGTGCCATCCCTGTAGAAGCGAATTAACCTCCGGCTCATCTGCACTCTCCTTTCCAGCTAGTGGTTCTACATTAACTGGTTAATTACGATGCCAGAAAACGAGTATTCTACTTACACAAGGCTTTATAGCGAACTCTTGCCGGAAAAACCTGCCGAGCTTGATGGCATTGGCCTGCATCTAAACTCGCTTGAGCCTGCTATCATCTGTAAGCAATGTGGTTATGCTATAGGGGCAAATAAGGATCGCGTGTCTCGGCATCTCGGGGAGATCCACAACGTCGATGAAGCAGCCGGCATGGGATTGGACAAGTCGATTCGTCCCTTGAATCTACCGAACGGCCCGGACCCGAGGTGTCTTCGCTTGTGACCTGATGGTAGCGCACCTCATACTTACCTGAAAAGTCTGACGAGCGCAAGGGATTGCAAGGATTGCGGTCTGCGATCATTCGGCGATGTTGTTCTTCAAATACATCTCAGAGACACGAACCCAGCGGAAATAGAGCTTACTAGAAAATCAGGACGATATGGATTACCCGAGTAATGTCACAAGCAAACCCCGAGTAGCTACGAGAACTAGATTGAGATAGGATGAATTCCTTGCTTCCAGGTCTGTAGTTATGACTTAAAGTCATGTTTTCCCTCAACATGAACACTAAATGACATAAGAATTACACAATGGATTCTAGCTACCTTCATAATTTGTAGTTAATTTTGTTACAGCATTAAAGTCTCATATAGGCTGTAAACCAAAAATCTAATGTATCAAGACAATCGACCTGCAATGATATATATGACATATAGGTTCTCGTACAAAGGTATTTCGGCGTCTTGTTTCTTGGGATAGGCACATGTGAATTATGCCGTATCTTTTCTGAACATGATAGAACCACCATTCCAGTGCCCCAGCTCTCCCACATTAGCCCTCTCGACCGTCACAAATCCGTGTCGTTCATAGAAGCTATCAATGCCCTCAAGACCAATTAACCAAGCAGCTACCTCAGCCTTGTCAACCCTTTCCAGCCCATGGTTCAAGAGCATGCTTCCCAAGCCATTACCCTGAAGTGACGGTTCAACAGCCAGCGTGGAGAGGTACCAAGCATCGCGGCGCCTCGAGGTTGTTCGCAGCTTGGGTTCAATATCCGTAAAGACACGTGCAAAAGTTTCAGCTGCGTGCTGATCCAGATTCGGGATGGGGAAGAGTTTGTTGCGAAGCCAGTACCAAGCGTGAATGACGGGCGAGGCCCAGGCAGCTAGAATGTCGGTCAGTGTTATTACAGGATGGTGGAGAGTGTTATACATACAAGGAGATATCCAGCGTTCGTAGAATGACAGCTGAGAGTCGGGTCGCTTCCACCAAGTGAGGCCCACAGGCTTATCGTCAGTCGTCGATGTAAGAACGTGCAAGTCATAGTTAGGAGTCCAGTAGCGCGAATAGAAGAGGCGCGTGACTTGAGCTAGCAGTAACTCTGGATGGGTTTGTCGACCCGGGAATAGAATATCCATGAGTTGGTCTTTAGCAAACGCAGCATTCCAGACCTTGACGACCTCACTCACGTCTGAGTAAAGGCCAGGCCGTACGCGGTATGTACACATCGCCGATCTTTTGTCCATCTCCATTGTTGTTATCAATCAAGAATTATTGAGGTATCGTTTACTTTAAAAGCTTGCGGTTGGTGCGTTATTAACGAAGGCTGTGGTGGGGATGCTATAATGTAACATAATTACAAATCTCCCATGCAGTTGAGCCAGTCAGGTTGCTAAAATAAAGCAGACCAACTGTCATACTAGTCTGGCGATAAAAGAACGAACTATTCTGTCTCTCATTCTCCACACCCCCGATTTTTTGCTCCGCCCGATACGCCCGCAACGCGATGTTGCGGCTGCTTAACAGATGCATGTAGACTCTCTTGTCAGCAAATGAGGTGCGCCGATTGGTCGAGCTTATATTTCGTGGATACCCTGCGCGATGTGATCAAAAGAGCGCCTCTTTCCCCTCAATTAGTTAGAAAAATAGGGATCTCGAAATCCTCTTCTGTATGCTCTGTTCGGTAAAAATAGCTCGATTTGAGATCTCTGAAGTGAGTAACAAAGAGTTATAGCTTGTAAAGCAGTCCTGTAACTGCATACATGCAGTTTGACAGCTTTTGTTAAGAGCACATAGTTTGTGACTCTTGATAGCTTCATTGCGATACGACCAGGTAATGGCGGATGAAAACAGTATCTCTTGCAAACGAAATGTTAGTTTGTGTTAAAAAAGATGACTGGGAGTGTTGGGAGGAATGCCTCCAGATAGCCTTGGACAAACGAGAAACTGATGTGTTCTCGCGATCACGTTCGCTGTGGTGATGATGCTTGTAGGCTACGTTAGTGCTTATGGCTCGCCCCCACATCGGTATCAGTGGCGTTCATTTCCCGCTGAGTAATAGCCCGTAAAGCAGACGAGCGCAATCTTGACGATGTCCGAGATGCGATGGCTTGGACATGTCCGTAAACCGAGCATTGAAAGTATGTAATCCTTGAATAATCGGAATTATCCATACTGGGTCGGTGAACAATAAAAGATTCCTGGGATCACGGCAACTTTTTCATGGATCAAATACGAGAAAACAACCCAATTTACGAAATACTATTATCTGCAAGTTGTTGCCATGACAAGCTCAGGGAACCTATGTCTTTGTGTTACCTGTGGTACGCAATACGATATCCCCTTTGTGGAACGCCCATCTACCTGCCGCATGTGTAATGTATGTTAGCCCTTCGGTAAGCGAATCTGGAACAACTAACATGGTACAGGAACCCCGGCAGTTCGTACCACCTTCTGGGCAGTCATGGACCACCCTTGAGGAACTGCAGACCACCCACAAGAATGAGTTCAAACAAGACCAGAATGACAAGCGAATCTGGTCAATCTTTTCTACTCCCCAGGTGGCCATCGGGCAGCGAGCAGTCTTTATCCAGACCGAGTCTGGCAACGTCCTTTGGGATTGCATCAGTTTGCTGGATCAAGAGACCATTAACTTCATCAAGTCTCATGGCGGTCTTGCTGCCATTGCGATTTCTCATCCCCATTTTTACAGCACACACTTAGAATGGGCGCGAGAATTTGATTGTCCTGTGTATCTTGCTTACGATGACCAAGAGTGGTTAAACAGAAAAGATACTGAGCATCGAAGAATCCTCTTCCGAGATGAGACCCAAGAGATTCTCCCCGGGGTGACCATGATCAAGCTTGGAGGCCACTTCCCAGGAAGCTCAGTCCTCCATTGGAACAACAATATTGTGGGTATATGTAAACTCCAAATGGCATTTTATCAGTTGTGATGCTAATATCCATCGGTTGAGTTTACTGGTGATACTATCGGTATATCTCTAGTAAATGTATCTTAAACATGTATCCCCGAGTTCGGTACTAATAATTGAACAGTCTAGGCTCAACCGCTTGCATCATACCAAAGACCACCAGGTCTTCTTTTTCCACTACGCATTTTCTAACTTTATCCCTCTTGGGCCAACGGCTATGCATCTCATGTGGAACAGACTTCGCCCTTGGCATTTCACAGCGGTGTACTCATTGTTTTTCAGGACAACCGTACGTGAACCTAATGTCAAAGATTTGATCCTCGAGAGCATGCAGCGTCAAGCAAAGCATCAAGAGAACACTGGACACCCATTGCTGGAAGAACAGCCAAGTGCATAACTCATTGGCTTGGCAGACATTCTTACAGATCAGATGGTCAATGTTTTACTAATGTTTGGCTTGGATTCGACGCTTAAGTAGCAATAACGCTAAACAGAATAACTTGCATGTGATAGTTTTGCTTCGTATCTATCTATTGATATTTACACCACATCTTTCTCTCTAAGTGTTTTGCTTCTTTAGAACACGCTGTTCAAGAGATATCACCTTTTGTGGTCAGACCGATGAAGCTTTGATCAGCGCTAATCAGAATGTAATTTGTCGCAAGAAAGTAACCGCTAGCTCAACATGAAGATCTAAAATGAATAGATTACCAGTACCGAGTCAAGATGGATCGCCTCCATGAGTTTACCCGTAAAGAAAAGCCTTGGTGGATAGGCGACGTGTAGATCCGCTCGGTGCGCGGCACGGGGCCTGATCTCGGACAGCCCAACTGTTCCTAAATAAGAGCTTGCAGCAGTTAAGCATGGTAAGTGTGTAGGTAACCAAGCATACGACCTTTGAATAATTGTTTAGGAATCATCAACCCCCTTGCTAAAGAGTGAGTCAAGGGGCGGGCTGACCACTGCGTCAAAAGGGTCTCTGCTTGCTGTTACCAGCTTCTTGGGCTTTGGTCATGATAGGCTCCTGGCTGGTCGCGGTCTTGTGATCTGGATACAATAAAATGGCAAAAAAAGAAATCACCCTTCCAGGATTCGAACCTGGGTCTTTCCCCGATTGTGAACACGGATGAACACACATTAACCGCCCCCTGAAGGGTCGGTACTAAGGGACGCGCTGACCACTGCGTCAAAGGGGGTTGCTCGTTATCGATACCGTCCGTCAGACTTTTAGGCATCATAGAACAATGGCTGGCCCCTTGAATTTAGCTTGTTGGTATTGCATAAAGGCAAAAAGAGAGATCCCCCTTCCAGGATTCGAACCCGGGTCCCTTCCCCGAGTGTGAACACGTATGAACACACGTTAACCGTCCCGCTGAGGGGCCGGTACTAGGGGGCGCGCTGACCACTGCGCCAAAGGGGGTCAGCCGTGTTTCATGTTACCGGCTCTCGGATTCTTAGGCATCATGAGGCTTTGGCCGGTCCCTTATCTTAGCCTGGGAACACATCAAAGGGGCAAAAAGGAAGATTAACCACTCTTCCAGGATTCGAACCTGGGTCTCTCCCACTCACGTTAAACGCTGTAACTAAGAACTACAACCCCAGGGAAGCAGACGGAGTGTGCTACCACTGCACCAAAGAGGGCTGTTTTTGTGTTGCCGGATCTTAGGTCATTCGGCATTATAGCCTTGTGGCTGAATAGGAAATGCAGCATCGAAATAGGTGAAAGGGCAAAATAAGGAGACCCCCCTTCCAGGACTCGAACCTGGGTCTAGACCTCCCCCGAGTTGTAAACTGGTACCCCCTCGCTAAGGAGTGAGTCGAGGGGAGCGCGCTGCCACTGTGCCAAAGGGGGTTTGTATGTGCTGTTGCTGGGTGTTACATCTCTGGCATCATAGACCTATTGCCGGTCATCAAAACCTCGCTAAGCTGCCTGACATCTGACTAATGCACTGCTACGACCTCCCCTAATTCCCTCACGGGCACGGTGGACGATATATCTATTCCTTGTGGTACAACGAAGGGAGCACAGCTCGCCTACACACGCCCCTTTTATTCAATATGGAACGATGATGTCCCGACCATTGTTATTCGCGAGATTTGTCACGGTTGACCACCATGGTAACTCGCAGTCCACAGCAAGGGAAGTCATTTCCAATCATATTTCCAAAACCTCGGAGATATGGTAATCGTCTCGGGGCTAGAAGCGCCTAGATAATGGAGAGGAAGTCTTGCGCCGATAAACATCGCACACAAATGGGCGGACTGAAAACAGGGAATGAAAGCACAAACGGCAGTTCCTACAACCCGCACGTGAAGGAACGCGATCCGCTTTGTTTACTTACGCGTTATCCAGCAAAGTGCGGTCGGTAGACCACTGAAATTCCGGCTCGGTTGTTGGCCAGCTGGCGGACAGTGACAGTGTCAAAGCCTTAACTGCACTTAGAAATGAACCGTCCACAACAGAGCATCAAGGTTCTACTCTTTGGCAGCTAGCATGAGATAAAATTCTTCTTTCTGCCTCCCCTAGACTAGGGTTATCCAATCCCATTCGGTAGACTCGTTGATCATCTCTCCATCCATCATCTTGTAGACGTATGCTTGCCCGATGTATTGGTAAGCGACAACGCCCTCATCTCTCTGAACTTGCTTAAGAATAAATGGCATGTTACCCCCTTTGAAGATACAGATACTGTCCCCAGCTTCCATATCTGGGTGTCCGACTCCAATGATGCCCCTTTCCGCCATGAACCCTCTGCATCCAAAAGAGCTAAGGAGAAATCCTCTTCCATCCCTTGCCAAAGCCTCATTGAACAGCGCTTTTGGGTCTTCATCGCTCTTGATTCGCCTCCGATTGCCGTGAGATTGATAGATATCAGTCGTTATTGTGCGCCACATGGCCTCGGAAAACGTACCACCGAGGGGATAGACGCCATTGGAATCACGTTTCCAAATGGCTACCGTCTCCGCTACATTAGAGTCATCTTCAATGACTGGGCCTATTTTGACAGCTCTATTGATTATGAACCCTCGTAAGTCTAAAGCATCGTTTGAGAATGCGTCCCTAGTCTCGGCCTTGGTCTCGCCGGCTGCCTTGAACATGGCATAAGGGTAGATCCACTCCAGCTCCTTGAACAGGCGTGTCTGATCGATATCGGCCGACCAGTCAGGAACTCAGGTTGGCAGAGTAGGCGACCGCCCCTTTCCAGACACTCTCAGTACAATGTCCAGTGTTCCAAGCTTGTTGATAAAAGCACGACTACTATGCTTGAATGCTTCCTCAACAGGCAAGGTATAGTCAGCCGAAGCGGCTCCATCAGTAAGACCTAGATAAGCAAATATCTTATCTCTCGGATCGGTTGCCGCTCTGTTTCTGAATAAGTTAACAACTTCGCTTACTGGGAACAGCTTGACGCGGTGTCGTCGAGCTTCTCTAAGCCCACTCAATGCGTGCCAAAAGGTGAGAAGGAGTTGATCGCCTACACGACAACAACCAGAATAATCGTGACGAAGCGAATTATCATATGCCTCGGCAAATCTCTCGAAAGATAGTCCAGCAGTTCCACAGATCATGATAGCGTCTTTTGGAAGAACGGCTTCCTGTACAGTCCAAGCTCGATCCCACCACGGAAGTCGAACTAGGCGAGCCAGAGCTACGAACTGCTCCTCGGTTGGATCATGATCCTGGTCACCATCAACGGGATTATAGTGTTTATCATCAGCCAAGAATTCAATGAGGTCGAAGGCAGCCTTTGCTGTTTCCTCTGGAATGATATTTGGCCCTGTATGCTTGTCTTCAGAAAAGTCCCCGATCCAAAGCAACACCCTGTTTGTCCAGTAGTAGATCTTGCTCATGAGATTGACCTGGTGTGACTTCTCGCTATTATCGTTCTGATTGATGCAGATAGCATCAACCCAAAGGCGCCGTTCCTCTTGTGGTAGCCTCAGCCTCCTCAGCGCGTTGAAGAGATTGACAGTGACATTCCTTACCATCCCATCCACCTCAATGACACGGCAAACCTGAGGGTCTCCCCAATGGTATGATAAAGCCTCGTAGTCAGATGTTTCAGTAAGCGGTGTCGTATGCAGGGCACAGCGGATGGTATCCCCCTCATTCCCTGGAAGCAGTCGTAGAATTCGGATGTCTTGGCGTTGGAAGTCAAGCGGCTCATAAAGCAGAGGCTTTGAATCAGCGTCTGGAACCCAGGGTTGAAGTTGAACATCATGTCCGGCAGTTGACATTGTCTTGCAAAGTACCCTCAATGGGTGTGATTCGAAATAAGTGACGTTGACAGTGATGAATGGTGAGTTAGGAATTGCAGAATCATGCTTGGCCTTATAAAAGTCTCCATACGAGCGGGGTAAATTATCAGTGGGGTGGATGGCTTATGCCTTGATCTGACAGGTTGCCAAGGATGGGAAAGTCACTTCAAGGCATGCTGTGAATACAACGCGAGGCCGCACTTTGTCTTCTCACTCGATTATTGTCGAGATTCAACTAACTTTGGTATTCTGATGAAAACGATCTTTCCCACAGCTCTTGTATAAATCCACTTCTATCGCGAGTAGTCGGCCATGTAACCTCAGTAAGAGCTTTGATTGCTTGCGACCAACATGAGATACCCAGCTCCTTACTTTGGCGCCTGACAGCCGTCTGGAAGAAAGAAGTACTAGGGTGAATCGTCAGGTTCTCGTCATCCCTAGACGATGTATGGCAGCCAACCAATCCCATCACTGATAGCCAAAGGATGAATGTCGGATTGTTAGGCGTTCTGCTCTCGGATAAATACAAAGCCATATCTTGGTGAAACAGAGTGACGGTGTACTTATGCATCCGTGGGTCAACAGGCTCAGTTACACAGAGTATGGTCTGCGAGTATATAAGAAACGCAGTAACGACAGCGCCCCAGGGCGCCTCGAAAGAATCTCTCTGCGACCTGCTTATTTCGGAGTCCCCTTTCTTCACATAGATGGACTCCAGGTGTGTACGCACAAACGCTCCCAACATACGCGAGGCGTTTCCTAGTCTCCAGAAGGTGTCGAAACCCTCATCTGCGGATTGAACGCCTGTCGACAAACTGTCCACGCCAGCGGTGAATTGGCGAAGTGGCTGGATGAGGTTATATGCGTCAGCATTGTTTAATTTCGCCCCGTGGGGCAATGGGGTTAAGAAGGAAGGAAACTCTCGAATTCCCTCGAGTTTTGATATCCAAGACTCCAGTGCTTCGGCCTTGTGCCATATGTAGGACATTTGAACGAGCTCTTTGCCAGTGTAGTCTTTCAGGCTAGCCTCACTTTTCCCATGACGACATATACCGATTAGAAGGCTCTTGAGACCGCAAATGTAGGTATACGCCCTAAAGGAGGTTATTGCGATGGTCGAGGGGTAGAGTATCCAGACTTACATGACAAAGTAGCGATTTGTTAACTCTTCGTCTGTCGAACGAGGCCTGAGAGGAGATAGTTCCTCCCCCTTGGCCCTGTTTGTACTTTCGATGATTGCTAAAATGCCACTGACATGGGCTTCCGCCAATAGAATTTGACCGTTGCAAAGCTGATACAATCAGTGAGACTTAAATTCGCAGAGGCCCGGGAAATACCATACCTCTGTAAAGGACAACGTAACCATTTGTCGAATGATACGCGGATCAGGTTTTGGGCTGCCAGTTGAGATCCATTTATTAATGTATTTGATCACTTGAACTCTATGGTAAAAGAAGGTTGACTCAAAAGGTTCAAGGTTTCCATACTGGAAGCAGAAGTGCATTCCCGCTAACAGTATGGTACTGCGTAGCCCAAAAGGGTCGTCTGTTAATCGCGTCAAGCTTTTTCAAGTTAATACGTAGGCCTTGCACTGATCAGAGTAGGATGACACGAACCCGTTGGTAGTAGATACATTTAAAACATTTTTAGGCCCTTGGGCACTGTTGAATACTATTGGAAGTCAGATTAGCTTTCCAGTAATGGTGCAACAACCTTAACTTACGGTAATGGAAAAGTTCGTGGGATCTCAGAGGCATCTCACAGGCCAGTTTATTATACCCTCTATCATCAATTACATTCCCTATTGGGACAGGTATCGGCGTCACTCTGGGGAATGTTATTTGTTGTGATGGCTTTCCAACTTGCCAAGAAGGCTTCTGGTCCCATGGTTGGACCTCTTTTTGCTGCGCTCTTCGCTCTCTCAGCGGCAACGGGACTGGCTCGTAAGAGCATACCCTGCCTGAGCTGACACAGCTATCACTATGCAAATGGTTAGCATACACACCGAGACACCTTAGTGATGTAAAGATACCAAACAGGACGCTGTTCACCGCATCTCTTCCGACGGTTTCGACAGCTTGAACAACCTGTCCTGCTGCGGGTATGATATCGCCGGACACGAGTGGGCTTCTTAGTCAGCTTGTCACCCAGCTTGTCACATAGTTCTTTGTCTTCAGCCATTTTCATTGAGCTACAGAAAAAGACTTGAATGATTGAGGTCAGGATACAAGCCGGGCTGCGCCCCAACCTCGGGTCATGTCAGCACAAGGTCACATTTCATGCTGACTCACCAATTACAGTGTAAAATAACCAATAAGGCGCAAGGGTTTAATCTTATCGCGCTGGTAAAACACGACCATGGATGGAAATGCAATTAAATCATGATTTCAAAAGAAGGCTAGTCCCAATGCACTCGTAAATACGATGTCAATGTCTCATTTGTGCTCCCAACAATCAAAGACTGGTAGGTTTGACCATGTAAATGGCATTCTCCACTGCGACTGAACCATTCTCGTCAATCAGCCACCGAAGCTCACCTACAAACTCTGAACGCTCGACCCATTTGAAGTCTGGGTGGCTGGTCTCCAACACCGGCGCACTCAACCAGTAGTTCTCACCAAACTCAAGAGTCTGAGCCTTCGGACCCCCGGTGAACACTTCCATCCACTTTTCGTCGATTTGCAAGACGCCCTTGAAGTATACATAGAAACCATGTCCCTCCTGAGATCGAAACTGTACTCGAACATCAAGATGCCCTGTGTTTGTCTCAGGGTCGCGCTGAGCATTGTAAGTAAAGCGTGGTGGTAAATGAAAGATCTGCCTACCAAAATCCAGTCGGCGCCTCCAGGTTGAAGCTCAGCCTCAAATCCACCGCCTTTGATATTACCATGTGTCAAGAAGGCTATAATGCGATGGTTGTTTCCTTTGGCTTCCGGAATTACTAGCGCTTTCGCAGGTGATGTGTACAGCCGCATGGTGAAAACGTGTTCCAAAGATGGTGCCATGGTGAAGTGGACGGTTGAAGTATGAAGCTTTCGGTTGATCGGAGAGCCTGATGAAATGCACGATACATTCTTCGCCTTATGCACCTTACTATATAAGCTGTTTGGCTGTCTCACTGAAGTTGAACAACGCGTCGCAGGTGATTATCTTGCCAACCCGCCTCTGTCTGGTAGTGGAAACAATTCTCTGAACGCATCTTATACCTGATTGGACAATCGCCTGCAGTCAGGTGTTTGGTGATTATTTTTGGAGTTTATATGGATGGCCAGGGTCACTAATCAGCATGCGCCAATCGGTGTCCAGGGTGGGAAGACAGTGAGCTTGTCATCTACTGGCGCTATTCATAGTTGACGAAACCAACATGATCAGTTGCACTTTTGCGGGTTACACTGGTGCGATGCTCACGGGCTTTCTCGTAAGCTCACAAATATGAGCATCAGTAATCGTGTCCGACCGGCGTCACATTGCAGCGGCCAATGAGATAATAACCCCTGCAATGCAACACCAATACGCTGATGACCAATAAAGAGTTAAATGGTTTCAGTTTCCAAGCAGACATAGGATTTTTGTGAATGTTGGAGTTAGTAATCGGCAGACATGGGCGATGCATTTCACCAATAGTAAGAACCGTATATAAGTCCATCAAACCAGTGTGGTTTCGTCAATAGCCCTGCCTTGCTAAGCGTACAAACTATTCTATCAATCGTGGAACTCAATTTTATTCTCCCTATCTACACATCTAAGAAGCCGAGCGTTCAGAATGCTTAGCCAAAGATCTTCAAAACTCTTTGATCCAATCCAAGTTGGCGCTTTCAACCTCCAGCATCGAGTTGTGCTTGCTCCCTTGACAAGAGGTCGCGCAGACACTGCCTCAGTCCCAGCTCTTTACGCACCTGACTATTATGCCCAGCGCGCAACGCGTAAGATGGTCCATCTATCTAAAATAGCCTCTGAGGTTGAACTAACAATATGTAGCTGGCGGTTTACTTATCACAGAAGGAACGTTTATCCATCCAGAGGGAGCTGGAAGACTCTATTCGCCAGGTAGATAGGTGTTTAATTACAGCAAAGGAGTGCGTAAACCTGACAAACAGCAGGCATCTACTCAAAGGAGCAAATCGAGGCATGGAAACATGTCACTGCCGCAGTCCATGCTAAAGGCGGATTGATCGTAGTTCAGTTGTGGGCTTTGGGGTAAATTTAAAATAGATCATCCATGAGTATACCGTCACTAAGCAACGGCAGACGAATCGCGGAACCTGACCTAGTCTCGGCAGTATACAGTCCAGGCACGAAGCCCTATCTCGACAACGACGATACCTCTAGAAGAACGCCAGATAAAGCTGCTGTCATTGAGAAGTTTACTACCATGATAGAAGCTGGCATCAATCGCTTCGTTGAACATTTTCGCCAAGCTGCACTGAATGCTATCGAGGCAGGTTTCGATGGCGTCGAGTTGCACGGAGCCAATGGATACGTAAGTCTCTTTTGACCCTCGTTGGGCTATATCCTTGACTAACTTTGGCCAAAGCTCATCGACCAGTTTGTAAGTGAACATCCGACGTAACACCACATGTTCAGTCTCTAGCAACAGCGTAGCTTCAATCTACAAGTAACGACCGACAAGACCAGTACGGCGGTAGCGTTGAGAACCGTATCCGTTTCCCACTCCGAGTCGTCAATGCAATCAGCGAGGCTATCGGAGCTGAGCGCGTGGGAGTTCGCATGTCACCGTTTACGCGCTTTCAGGGTATGCGCGAGACAGACCCATTGAGCCTTTTCGTCCCATGGGCACAGGCAATAGTTGATTCCCAGCCGTCTATCGGTTACCTTCACGCTGTTGAACCTCGCGCCGATGGCGCAGTTGATACACCAGACCATCTTCAAAAAGGAATAGAGTCGTTGGATTCAATTCGAGAAGTTGCTACTCGGGCTGACGTCAACTTCATCGCAGCTGGAGGATTTACACCTGAGTCAGCTTTTGAGCATACCAGTGAAACCGACGATCTTGTAGCTTTCGGCGGCACTTTATTCGTAAGCACTGCACTACACACGCATCGGTCACTTCAAGTAACTGAAACTTTATTTCTCAGCGAACCCTGATCTGCCAGCTCGTATCAAGAACGGATGGGCGCTCACCAAGTACGATCGTTCGACATTCTACAAAACGAACGAAGTCGGATACAGCGAGTAGGTTGACTCAAGTCATCTATGGGAACCGAGAACTAACATTCGGGTGATAGCTATACTGCCTATACTGTGGATAAGGTTGCGGCGTAGATAGGCATTTTGAATGATGCTAACCATTGATTAGGAATGCGCTTTAAATAGAATAGAAATTGGTTTTTTTTTTTGGTGTTAACTTTCGTATAGATGAGCAGTGGTAGTTTTATGTATGGAATCTACTCTAAGCTCGCTCGAGCTTGGCTCATGTTGGTGAAAGTCCGGTATTGCTCTTGCACAGCTGCCAACTTGAAGTGACTGCCACGTTAGACAGGTGGGTAAAAGAAGAATTATCCTCTAAGACTTAGCTTACCGTGATAAATTAGCCTAATTACTAGTCTAAAGTAGGATAACATAGCTAAACCATGTTGTCTCTTATGCTTATAATGGCTAATTCTTCTGATACCATACGGGTTGGCTACGAAATAGAACATCGGGGGGGTCTCGAGGGGACCTCAAACAGTCCTACGTAATTGCAGTAACCTTGATCTAGCGTTTCGGCAATGGCGAGGCAAAGAGGCGATCTGGAATGATGTGTCACCACCGATTAGAATAAGCAGAGTGTCGGGAAGATTACTCGTACCCCCGCTCAGTAAGCATCCCGACCCAAATAACACCAACACCACAACAACTGACACTTAAGATGAGATATATATATACATCTAAAATTGTTGTGTAGAAGACAGGTATATTATCGTCTCCCCACTACACACAAAAACCTGTCATCTCAATCAATTCTCACACTCACAATGTCCACCCAACAAACAGCCAAGACGCAGTACGTCGAATTGCCACGTGGCGCTAAATTCGCCTACCGACAAATCGGCGCTGCTTTGGGCACACCTCTCGTCGTCCTAACCCACTTCCGTGGCACAATGGACAAGTGGGATCCCCTTGTCATCAACACCCTGGCTGCCAACCGTCGCGTCATTACAGTTGACTATGCAGGCGTCGGTCTAAGCACTGGCGAAGTAGCCAACTCCATTCGCCAATCCGCAGCCGACATCTCACAGTTCATCGAAGTCATCAAGGAGCCCGAGGTTGACCTTCTGGGCTTTAGTATTGGAGGATATGTCGCACAGATGGTTGCACTCAACTCTGATCCCAACAAAGTCAAGATCCGCAAGCTCATCCTCGCTGGTACTGGAACTAGCCATGGAGAAGACCTGGCCCTGTCTCCCAACGACGATGTTGGCGCTGTGGCTGGTGTGAAGGATGTCAACATAGACGTCTTTAAGACTCTGTTCTTCCACAAGAACCCTGAAGGTGACGCTGCCGCAGAGGCGTGGTGGGGTCGTATTCATGAGCGAAAGCAGTCGACTTGTGGTGAAGAGGTTTCCGAATGGCTCAGCAGTGGTTACAAAGATCAAGGAAAAGGTATCAAGGGCCAAGCGACACAGGGCCACACCTTTACGATGAGTGCCGACACTAGCCGGGGTGAAGAGGGAGCTTATGATCGACTGTCGGAGATCAAGATCCCCGTCTTGGTAGCCAACGGAAACGTAAGTATCTTTCCTTTATTCAGAATTGGTCATCTGTACTAACGAATGAAGAACGATTATATGATTCCAACATCAAACAGCTACCTCATATATCAAAAAGTACCCAACGGCCAACTGATTCTCTACCCCAACAGTGGACATGGTTTCCTCTTCCAATATGCAACCACTTTCGTCAAGCACGCTGAGCTGTTTCTGCAGAGTTAGACTCCAAGTGCGGATAAAACGCTATTTAGTCTATAGATCTTGGTATATCTATAAAACCTTTTCTTTTTATCTGTGGCTGCATACATTCTGGTGGCATGTGAACTTCAACCATATGTTTGGATCATAACACCTAAGCTCGCCCTACGTTCCCTGAATCTCACTCCTACTTTCACTCTGACCTCGAACTCCTGTGTTACCTCAGTTCGTTCGATCTTGAAGATACACAATTAATCCTCTTCGACCAGAGACATCTTCAAAGCCTTTCGGATATCCTTCGGTCTGACTGCGGGCGTTCTTCCCAAGCAGACCGTTGCATTACACAGACCTATTGAACGAAAGTTAATTGAGGTGCAGTCGAAGGTGCTGGCTACCCACATGTTATCAAACGTTCCACGTCGACCTTCACTTTTGTATCTCTCTTTGTAGGGGTTTTCCACTGCTCTTGTGGCTGTGGCTTCGGGGGCGGCGGCACCGCTCCCATGGCCATGCCCATCATTCCAGTGGGACAATGGAAGGATGATCGGTCAGCAATAAAGGCTTGTTCATCTTGGTCAAGAATGTTAGTTGCGTCGTTGGAGGCATCTGGTGGGGTTACTGGTCCATCGTTCTGAACTTCTGCAATCTCTCTCGCATCTGCTCGTTCAAACATCCCCATGTCGATATAGGCAGTTACAAAGTCTTTGTCGGCCGGTATGGTGACACCATATCCTCTCAAACATATTTCAATCTCATCTGCATCAAAGAAGTCTCCATCATAGTTGGGATCAATGATTCGTAATTGGGGGTTCAGGCGAAGATCCCGAGTCTGCTCAATGGACGGGCCAAAGGGTCCCATTGAGAATCCTGACATCTCTGAAGGCATGTATGCCTCGTTCTGCATGTAACGATTCCCGATGGGTAAATCATCAGTTCCATCTCCGTGATCAGGGTAGAATAGACCAGCACCACCGACGTTGGTGAAAGGAAATTTCCAGTTGTTCAGTGTTGCATCCCGAGATTTACGGACTGTTTCACCTATGCGCTTGGTGATCTCCTCTCTAGTCTCAAAGTGCATACAGAATCCGAACACCTTCTTGTACCAGGAGGGTGGGGAGTGACGCATGGAAGCGAGGAGGAAGGCAGCTTCTTGGGATGCTCTTTGGTATCGTCTGCCAAAGGTTGCTTCTTGAGACGAATAGGATCGAGGGGAGCAGAGCGAAGAGTCCCAGCTAGCCCCTGGGAGTTGGTACATGTTGTACTGCGGGGTTTGGTTGATCGGCATCTGAAAGTAGGAACTTGTGTCGCAAGCTGAGGGTGTGGAGTTGTACTCTGGCATTGGTGTAGGCTCAGGGTTGGAAGTATATCCGTAGTCAACTAGGTTGTCAAATTCGAGCTGGGGTACATAATCCATCATAGGAAAGTCAAGGGTGTTGAACTGGTCTGTCGACAAGATATAATCGGTTGACACTACAGCCGGTGTGTTATCGATAGTCGTAATTGGACCCGGGTCTTCATTTTCCGGTGAGTCCGGTCCGTCATTCTGGACCTCTCGAGCACTAGTAAGAATACTGATGGTGGACTTCTTGATATGCTCAACAATATCAGGATTGTTCTTGAGAGTATCCTGCTCAAGAATAACGTTCGTAAAGTTGAGAAACTCTTTACCCATGTCCTCTTTAGATTTCTCCAGCTCTTCAACCTTCTGTTTCAAGACATCAATGGCGAACTCTTTCCGCTGTCGGTATGCACGCTGAGCCATGCGATTTTGCATACGTCTCCTCTGATTGGCCAGTTAGATATGCAACATCTGAGATTGACAGGATCGACAGGTTCTCCGGACAGCTCAAAGAAATGCATCAAGTAGATGGGAGGGTATATAATACATACGTTACTGATTGGCCCACCAGTGGGCGTTTCCACGGGGCGTCTCCCCCTTCTGGTTCCCAAGGCCGAGACTCCCCCTTCATCAGTACTACTGGTGGTCCTGGTACTGGAGCCCGTGCTAGATATAGGGCTCATGTTTTTCAGTTGATCTTGAGAATAGTTGAGGCCGTAAAGGATGAGTAAAAACGATCAGGATGCTTATTACTCGGTCCGATGACGTTGGAATACGAGTCAGTGAAACATGCGGAAATGGGAAATAGCAGCCAAGAATGCTGATCATAAGAACATATACATCATCCTACGATCGTGGCCGTAGGGATTGCGGCCCGTTCAATTAAGGGTGCAGACCTTCGCCAACGCCTCAGCTGAAGAACTATCCAATGAGCCCCTACGAACCTTGTGACTAATTGATGACATAGCAGTTGTGTTTATTGTTCCAAGACACCGGTACTCCACCAAGACGCCGGCATACATACCACCATACACTAACGATTGCGAGAACTGGAGGCATATGGTAAATTCATTAATGGCTATTCGCGATAACCTGTGCATGTTGGTCGCGGGTCAATTTTCCACCTGTCATGCTATCAGTCCGGCTGACTACCCCACAAACAGCCTTATCGTGGACGTTGATGTGTTGATTAATTATCGTGGAGGCTTCATTTGAGGGACCCATTTTCGGGGACCTCAACTCGTCTGACGTCAGATTTTGGACTGCATCTACTGCAAGTGTGGCGCCATGGCACACACCGGCGTCTCGTAAATGTTCCGCCGGTGTCTTAGTCCAACAACTCAAGAAGAAGGATTCTGCAGGTTGTTGGGTGCACAACATTAATCAGTGTACAGCTTCAACCAACAACTGTTTTATCATTTGCTTGTGTCTTTATCACAAAGGCCAAAGCACTGTGGTGGTACCTCGTGTCAAGGAGTTAATGCTCCTTGGGGTTTAGTATGGACCGATCTGGACCTCTGTGCAACAGTATTCGTTGCAAGCCGATGGCACCGTAACTCCGGTTGCGAAACTCATGTCAGGGTGTCGAGTAAGCCTGGGTTGAGACAATGCGATCATTTTCACGATACTTTAGGCCTGCATTGAGGTAAACTTATCTTGTCAGTCTAAGACTTAGAGCATAATGTCACTGCTACCTAGGATAGTTGGACCCTTGGACCCCTACTTTCTGCTCTTCTTTGCCAATATCCGGCTTCTTGGCGTAAAGCACGTATACCCATAATTGGTACTTGGGGCCAAGTACCGTTGCTTGTGGAGTATGCACTTTAGAACACCTGGCAGACAGTCTTGACAGAGATCAACTGTATTACGTGTATAACAGAGAAGGACGCCTGAGTAAAGCTACAATCGGTTCAGACACATACCAAGTTACCTCATTGCTACATCTCCAGCACAGCTCTATACCGCATCTTGTTCTGTTCAACCAACTCAAAAACCTTCTTGATACTCTCAGCCCCCTCATGCTTGAAGATTTGAACCATAGGCTTAATACCATGACGGCTTGAGAATTCGAGCATTTCATCATGAACATTGCGGGAGCCGACTAGGCTTGAAAAGACATGGTAGCTCTGGAAGAACATGGCTCCAGCACTGGTGGTCTGTTAGCTTTATCAAGTAGTAACAAGAAGCATGGTACTCACGGTAGGCTCAATGGCCCATTGACAGGTGCAGCTAATGGAACGATGACTCCATCCCTACCCAAGAATTCTTTTGTCATGACTCTTAAACGTTTTCGTTAGTAATCAGTCCATGACTAGAAATAAAGTACTTACCGGTCCCAGTCAGGGTACTTGGTCCCACAGACTACCAGAACATCAATTGGTTGCTTGACCTCGTCGAACATTTTCTCGGTCAAGTGAAACTCCTGGGCACCGAGCTCTCGCGCCTCAGCTTCCTTGCTGGCGCTTGTACTGTAGATGACAACATCCGCACCCATTTTGTTTGCATATTGGATGGCCAGATGCCCCAATCCACCGATACCCAGAATACCGACCCTCTTCTCTGGGGTGACGGTAGCCTTCAAGGCAGCGTAGACAGTCGCACCGGCACATTGAAGAGGAGCGGCGTGCTCACTAGCAAGACCATAGGGAATCCTGTGTAGGAAGGTCTCCTTGCCGAGGTAGTAAGAGCCAAAGGTACCATTGTCGAAGTCTCCTTCGCCGAAGATGACACGATTGTAGCAATGGATATCTTTGCCAGATAAGCAATACTTGCAGTGACCACATGCGTCTCGATGGAAGCCACCACCAGCACGATCACCAATCTTAAATTGGGTGACGAGAGATCCAACTGCTTCAACGATACCGACACCTTCATGACCGAGGGCTATCGGAGCTCCCATCTGACAGAACACGATGTCTGTATGGCAGACACCACTGTGTGTGATGCGCACCAGGATATCATGGGGACCGAGATTGGGTATCTTGACCAACGTTGGAGTGAAGCCGCCGTTGCCATCGCCGGAACGATAGATGGTGTATTCGGTCCCAGCAAGGTTTTGTGACATGTTGGTCAAGGGAGTAACTAAACTTCTGCTGCCTGGTGGGTTCTATAAGACGGATTGTAACGGTGAAAGAAGAGTGAAGTGTTATAAAGCGTTTGTCCTTTACTGAATACCATGGACGTGAGGGTCACCGAATTTATCATACCACTGGAATGGTATAAGTCACTTTGTACATTCTGTAACTAGATCAGATTACTACTTCCTGCAATATGGGTTGGTTGTTTTCACGCCATCGGTCAATGTTAGTAATCGTTCTCAGACCTGAACAATTACTAGCTTGCAGCTATCCAGTTTGCCGCGTTGCACACCATTGTTTCCTTTCCTGGTCTAGCGGCAACGGAAATATTCTAATCATGCCCTTCCGTAATAACTTGCCCGGTTTCTCTCCCTGCCAGCTTGGTCGCCTTGTCTAGTGCCCACTTGATGGAGGACGCTCCGACTCGACAGTGTCATCCTTGGGCCTCGAGGGCAAACTCCACCATGGAGCGTTATCAGACAACATGGCAGACATTCCACATGTGCAAGGCAGGAGGCAAAGCATACATGTCCACATGCCAGCCCTCTTCACTTTGACGTGCGCTGGGAAAGAATGTCAGTCGAACGTTGACACGGAAACAAACACCAAGAACGAACCGTATCGCACATAATATCTAGTCCAATCAAAAACAGTTGGTTTGGCCATTTGCTAAGATATGCTGTATAGGTTTTGTTATAACAACGCCGAGAGCAATTGAGGATCTCAAATAATGGGTTGGTCTTGTGTGAAGGTGAATGGTGACGGATAAAGACCCGAGTTGAAGGTCGGGAGCTATGTTGGCTGCACTGACGTCATTGATCCTTCAGATCCCAGATTCAAGACCCCTCAGTCGCGTCAGATATACTTGGGGGCCGTTTTTGGACATGGATAAGTCATGGATTAAGCCCGTTGGTTGTGTCTTGAGGTGCTTTCCTACGAAGTTGACAGACTTATTCTGTCGTCCAACCATTGTGGAGAAGATCTAAAAGTGCGGCCCATATGTCCAACTTCGTCCAACGGCTAATTCTCGTAAGTATTCTTCTGGTTGGGAGAGTTACGAGGTTGCAGCAATGCAAGTTGCGACGCAGCGGTACATAATTCCCTCTTCTGATCTAGCGCCGGCGGGCATACTAATCATGCCCGTCCACAATGTTCAGTAAGTTGTCCCGAACCAATGAGACGCGAAGTTTTGCTTACGTCGCATTGCCCTCACTGAGACACATTACGGAATATTGATTTGTGTGGAGTCGTGTAAGCAGTCTTGGCAAGCCATCGTAGGAAGTGCTCAGTAAGCCTCATACATCGTCAAATGATGTGTATCGCCAGTTGTACAGAGACGCGATACATATATATGTGGGCTTGGAGTCAAATCATCATGTCGCTTGTCATCATAAACCATCTAAAGTAACAAACCAATAGAGCACCGTCACCTTCACTCGACCATGAGTTCACCATTCAAAAACATCCTCATTGTCGGGGCTACAGGGTCTATCGGCGGTATTATGCTTGACGCTCTAGTCAAGGAACCCTCGTTCAATGTCACAGCTCTGCAACGCTCATCGTCCAAAGGAAAGCTTCCATCAAACGTCCGCGTCATCACCATTGACGATTCATACCCTTCCGAAGCACTTGTTTCAGCATTCTCTGGCCAAGATGCCATAATCAACTGCATGACTTCCCTTGCCGTCAGTGATCAGCTCCGTTTCGTTGACGCTGCAGTCGACGCCAAAGTCAGACGCTACGTTGCTTCTGAGTATGGTCTCAATAACAACAGGCCTGAGGCAAGAGCACTCAACTCAGTCTTCCGTGAGAAAGGCGAAGTCCAAGACTATCTCAGATCCAAAGAGTCTACAGGCTTGGAATGGATGGCTATTGCTTGTGGCATGTGGATCAAGTGGAGTGCACTCCATGACTTTTTGGGAATGCACATCAAAGAGAAGAAGTTCGTGGTCTGGGACGATGGCGAAGGCTGGTTCAGCACGACGACTGAAGACAACACGGCTCTTGCCATGGTTAATGCTTTGACCAAGAAGTGGGAAGACACAAAGAACAAGATTGTCTGGTTGAGTGAGTTTGCCATCACACAGAACATGTTGCTTGAGGCCATTGAGCATCTGAGTGGAGAGAAGTTCACTATCGAAAAGGTCAACACTGATGAGCTCATCAAGGAGAAGCAGGCTGCGGTCGCATCCGGCGACCCGTATGCTGTATACTCCTTGATTGAGACTGGATTTGTTACTGGGAGGTTTGGAGGTCATCTGGAGAAGGAAGGCCAAATCATGAATGGCGTCTTGGGTCTGCCTAAGAAGAACCTTGATGAGGTTGTTAAAGCCGCCTTGAAGGCTGTTTCTGAGTCTTGATTGCAAAATGAGAACCGAAGGACCTAGATATAGAAACGCAACTTGCAATTATAGTATACTTCGTTAAGCTGATTTCTTGAGTAACAAAAGACTCGCCATCCGATCAGTCGAATCGACGCCCTTGATCTTCAATTCACCACTTCAGCGAGCATGGAGTAAGATCCCAGGCTCATGCCACACCCCTAAGCCTGGAGAGCTCCAGGCAAACACGCCTCTGGTCCATCCTCTGCCGCCATTCAATATCTGTCATGTTTCGCAAGTGTTCGTCATCCTGGTCCGCAAATTTCCACCCTGCAGACCCGACCAGTCGCACCGCGAACCCGATCAGGATGTCGCCTCTGCTATCATCCGTGTCTTTCCAGTGGCACATGCAAACGATGGCCCATATGGTTTCAATTCCAGTATCACATGATACGAGTGCTCTGCCTAATAGAGACTCAGAATGATTCCGCAACGATTCGTATAATCCTGGCGCGAGGTCTCTCGAGGCAACGGTTAGGATCACGGTCAACAGGAAGCTCGAATGAGCCCGTGTGTACTGGAAGGTGTAGAGGCATGGATCGAGAAGGTCCACGGAGGGGTTGAAAAGCCTAAAGAACCTTCATACAACATGTTAGTCAATCGAATACACACCGTGTAGTCTACTCACGTCTCGTAAAGAACCTGAGCGGCCGGTTCGCTGATAACCCCCAACTCGATAGGGTCTTGCGTTGTCGGCCTATTGGCAGTTACCTCCATGTTGGGTTGCTCTCTGTGAAACCGATATAAGTGGGGGGAAAGAAAGATATCGGACAGAATTGAGAATTGAAGGGGGTTTTATCCGTATACTCCAGCTTAATGTTGTATCAGGACGAAAGACGAGAGGTTTCGTGCAAGCGATGCAGTCATGATGCTTCAAATGTTTGAACTCAGTAAGGAAAGTGATATCACTCACAGATCAAACCCATTAGCCGAAGGTGCAACAGGTGGACCTTCTATTTCGTGTGCGCCGTTCAAGACAGGTGGTGTGAACGATGCCCGCTCGGATCTTGGAGACATTGAGTATGACCCAGAAGCTCTAGTTTGCAGGCCAGAACCCTGGATCTGGGGCATGAGATCACCGTGGTCACCTTCCGTTTGCTCTGGAGACAGATCTTGCCGCTCTGCTCTAGATGTCACAAGGGAAAGTCAACGATCAAAGTCTCCTGCCTCAAGTTCATCTTGACGTACCTTCTCCCCGTGTCATCCCTGCGCCATTGGCCTCGCCGATGCAACTCATAGACACAATTTCTATCTAGTCTTTGGCATCTGTCGCAGGTCGTGGTTTCTGGATCCGAGCTGACACATTTCATTTTGCTGCGGCGACAAGGAGTGCAGGCAACTCCAACCGGCCTATCCCAAAGTACTGGTCAGGACTACATTCAAGATTGTCTGAAGAATCACAAACCGTTGCTGTGGCTGCGAGCTGGCATCATCCCCCATGGCTGGATCTGATATCCGAGTATTCCATGTTCGAGATGAATTTTCGTATCGGCGAGTCGCATTATTAAAGACTCCATCGCTCTAAGCTGCTGCAACATGGACGCGCCATCACGACTCAAGTTGAAGCCTGAGCGCGGCAAAAGCGATTATTAAACTTTCGCCGATTTCGCCGCAAGCCACTTGAGATGCCGCTGCCGTTGAAGTGCCTGGTAGGGCTGGATTTGGCTCGTGATAGCTTCCTTTGTTGTCGCTTGATCAGTAATCGCTGTCGCGTAAATGGAGGGTGACGTCATTGTGTAGCGTGACTGCTACGGTCATTTTCGTAAATACTCCGAACAAGACGACAGTTGTGAGACGAGGTTTGTCATTGCCCGAGCCCATGTACTTTCACGAGAGGATACAGGATTATTGAGAGAATATCTCGGACAAGCTATAGAAGTACGCCGACCAAGCTTAGGCTACCAAAATAAAGTAGCCTTAGTTCCTCTCTAAAGTGCCATAAGATGACTAAGCTATTTCGTCCCTTGCGCTCATAACGGTATTCTTCTGCCACCCTGTGTGCCTGCAAAGTCATCACAGATCTTATCGCTATTCTTATCCGTTATCTTATCTCGACCTACAGTGTAAGTCTGCATAAGAGTCACTTGCCTCGCACTGTAAGTCTTATTATCTTATCTCGCTCTTGCTTATCTTATCGGCAGCAGTGGGCATAGGGTAGGACGAGGAAATTGTGAAGTTGGCCCCGCAATTAACAGCCCGGATTGTCAAACCGAAGGACAAGCCGGAAGACAAGCAACAGCTGCCTTCCAAGGCAGGAGGAAGTGAATTGATGGAATATAACTAGATAAATGAGGGAAATTTCCCATAGATAGCCTGCTCTTTTAATCCTTACAACTGTTAGTCCCGTCTGATGACTCATTGCTCTGAACCCTGTAACAGAAATAAATTGTTAATGCTGGTATCAACAATTCAACAGAAAAGATCTGGATGCCATTACGGTCTTGATGTTCTAATTGTTGAATTAAAATTCGTCGGATGGGTGATGAGCTTCTATAAGTGTAACGAAGTATATGTAGTTTTCCAATATTCATCGCTGTTCTCGGCATTCATTAACAGCGGGAGAGGCCTGGCGTGGCACGACGTCAACCCTAAACACAGTCCATCAAACGATCCTCAAGGTCGATTAAGACAGGCGCTAGGACATCAGAGAATCTCCTGGAGACTTTCTCTCCACTCCTCCCACCATTTGGAATCACACCACGGCCAAGAACGCGCTGCTTGCGCCTCATCATCAGCCAATAGCGCGTCTATGTCGATACATCTATAAAATAGACCTTTGGTAAACCTCTTCCTTGTGACTCGATCAGGCTCGCCTTCCTCACCGTTCTCATCGATGGTCCAGCATGCGTTGATTCTTTTCTCTTCGGGAATATTAGACGGTGCATCCATTTTGGGATCCTCACTTCTCAACAGATTCAAAGAATCTCTGTCAAAGGTCCCTTCTTCTCTCCTGATGATGGTCGCAGTTATTGAGCTCTCTGTTTCGGCGCACCATGGTCCTTCCTTTCCTGATCGAAGAATTAAGCTCAGGGCTTTGCGGCGCCAGAATGCGTTTCGGTATTTCTTGGCGGTGAAGTATAAAGGGTGTATGATTCCCATCTCCGGAATGAAGGACGGCAAAGCGCCAAACGCGTCGCCAAAAGGATCAGCGCGTAGTTCCCTGTCCAGAAGTAAAGCCTGGATTGTCGTAATAATTTCTTGAAATTCAGGACCGTAACAATCATAAGCCTTTTCGCGAGGATCGAGAATATTCGCAGTATTGATGAGCGCAGCGAGGCATTGGGCACGAAGGACTACTAGAGCTTCGCAAGACTCAGCGTCCCAGTTTGGAGGAAGCTCATTGTGTGATAACCATTGTTTTAGAGCCGCGAGTTGGCGACCTTGTTCGATGAGCATCTCTGGCGGAATCAATCGGCGACTGGTATACTTGTATCGAACAGCACGGGCGTTGAAGTGGAAGCACGAATGAAGAATCTTAAACAGTGCTTCATCGGGCGCGTAAGACTCGACGACGTTTTCGGAAACTGATGGGAATGGAGGCAATTCGGGAGGATGGCATACCCCGTATGTTGGGACATGGAGGTCAAGCTTTTGCAAAAGTAACGAAAGACTCTTGGTATCCACGTCCGCCAATAGTTTCTTGTTAGTCTGGGAGAGCATGACTGAGAATGCTCCAAGGAGATGCGTAAGCCCTGTGTTTAACTTTTGTTGCATGGCTTCTGAGAATGCGAGGAAGAGACAAGCGATGATACACGGGACGGGTCCATGTGGCAGTGTGGCTAGGTCATGCTGCACAAGCCTCAGAGCCTGTGTATACCGCTTTGTTGTTTCCAGACCAGAACATGGTGAATCTACCTTCAGAACGTATTCATTGTAAGATGCACCAAAAGCTTCTACCGCAGCTCGTACTGAAGGGATGGCATGAGCCAATTGAGGTACTGTCCGAGACCAAAACGTTTGCTCGACATCATTTCTGGCACGTCGAGGACTCTGAACAAGAACACCGCAAGCGATATCGATAAAAGGATTTGAAAGATGATAAGGGTCGAAACTCAGTACAGTTATAGGTGAATTGGATCTTGATGAGTTTGGTGTCAAGATTATTGGTGATGAAAATGAGGCCGACAGGGGGATTAGTGAGTTCGTTGATGGGGTCTCAGGCGGTGAATCAGGATAGGCGCCTTTGGGATAACCTTTACACTCGCGCTTTGAAGTCCGACATCGTTGACATGTAGGTTTTGCCTCATCACACTTAACGCGTCGAGCTCTAAGTCGTTAGTTAGCGCGGTATGAATCATTGGTGCTTCGAGATTGAGATCGTACTTGCATGTAAAGCAGCCAAATTTAGACTGCTTTACGTTAGTTCTCGTCCGCTTGGACTTTTCGGTGTTTGCCAAAGTCGCTGTCATTGTGGAGTTGACAAAGAAGATGCAAAATCAGGAGAAAGACCGAGTAATCCAAAGACCGAGAGCTGAAGATAAATGAAGTCTCATGTTGAAACCTATGCCGCGATGGAATGCCCCGCAGGGCTGATTGATGCTCGCGAAGTAGCTGTACTTGGAAGTGGTCGAAGACATGGCGGGTGTGTAAGTACTCAAAACCTGTCAGCATCGGACAGTTTCGTCTCCAGTGGAGTCATAATCCCCAAACAATATTAGCGTAAATTCAAAGACCGAGCAAAGAAATGGGGCATCTGTCACAAGTGATCATTTCATTGGCCAGTTAGTTTATCCCTGCTTACGACTCCAGGAGGCGGAGCAAAGACCGAGCAGAAGGATCTCATGGCAATCTTGTTCCTGAATGAATTGGCGAATGACGATGAAGAAATCTCAATGCCTTTAAGATCTCGCACGATTTTGATGAGAGTCTCAAAGGATCTGTTTCAAGACCGATCTATCAATGGAAACAGGACGCGTAAGCATCTCGGTGTTTGAATCAACTGTAAGCCTGGGGTACAAGATGCACTGCCTGGTGTGAAAGACCGAGATGGATGGAATGTGTTTGAGAAGAAATGTTCCATGAGCGAATATTATATATACAATGGTAATGCATACAGAAGTTGATATCAGTCGTGGCCATTTCCAAGCAACTAATAAACCGACGAGTCAAACTTCTCACAACCGATCTACACCTTCACAATGGCGTCCGAACCTCTAGTCTGTACAGAGATCTCCGACCAGTGCCCTATCAAATACACAGTCTACGGCTACCTTCCAGCTCTCTGGGTAAACTCCCTTCTAGTAGCCCTATTCGCAATCGCCTTCTTCGCCAACATCTACCTCGGCATCCGCTTCCGCATCCGCGCCTATGCCGTCGTCCTAGCCTTAGGCTGTCTCGCCCAAGTCATAGGCTATGGCGGACGAATTGGAATGTACTTCCTACCATTCAACGTGATACCCTTCCAAATACAGGTCTGCTGTCTCATCATTGGTCCAGCCTTCAACAGCGCAGCAGTCTACCTCATGTTGAAATACATCGTGGCACTCTTCGGACCCGAGTGGTCATTGCTCAAGCCGAAGCTGTACACCATTATCTTTATCGGTGCGGATATTGTATCATTGGTTCTTCAAGCTGCAGGTGGCGGTATCGCAGCGACATCTAGGCCTGGAGATCTGGATGTATTGAATGTTGGCAATGACATCATGATGGCTGGTATCGCCTTCCAAGTGGTTACGCTGTCTGTGTTTGTGATTCTGGCTACGACATTCTGTGTTCGACGAACGCTAGGTGCCAAAAAGTTTCCCCTGGCTGGTCATGCACTTCAGACATGGGAGAGTGCACGATTTCGTTGGTTCACCGCCGGTCTTTCTACTGCGTTCCTGACGATCTACATTCGTTGTGTGTACCGTATCGCTGAGATGCGAGGTGGTTGGGGTAACGAGATGATGAAGGAGCAGATTCCTTTTATCATCCTTGAGGGACTGTGAGTATTAATTCGCTTTGACGTCCACCGTCGCTAACTTTAGTCACTAGTATGATTCTCATTGCGACAGCAGCACAGACTATTCTTCACCCCGGACACTTCTTTCCTCAATTCATGAACCAAAAGCTTCAACAAGAGGGTATGATATCCATTTGCCTCATACCTGTTCCACTGGCTAACATCTTGAAGATTCATCGGAGTCGTACACTGAACTGCATGCCACACCAAAGTACACGGTTTGAGGAACATGCGGAGATGTCAGCGTGAGAATTGGTGCCTGCCCTAAGGCACGTGAGATTAAGGTTCTTGAGGATGATAGGCGTATGTAGCTAGATAGAAATAATATGAGGACTTGGCATTAGAGCGCTACTGCACAACATGTACTAGTGGAAAATTAGATAAGGGCACAGACACAGAGAAACAGGAACGAGAACCCCGATGACTATTGCCTCCTAGCTGAGAAACTTGGTCTGTTTACTCAGGTCTAGAACGTTTAATCCGATATCTGTGTTGTTGTTTCGCCTTAACCCCGTCACACAATCTGCGCCATTTCACGAGCCAGACTGTCGGGCTCACCGTATTTTTCAAAGCCAGTATTACAAGTAGTTGGGATAATCTACTAAAAGCATATCACTTGAGCCGCACTATTGTCTCTTATCAGGTCGGAAAAATTGGTGAGTCAGAACTTAGACAAATCTGAAGGCGCTCTTAGTCCAACAATGCTTTATCAGTGACACTCCCACGCGCTTTCTGTGGCTGCCTTATACTCGTATAAACAGACCAGCCTCGTATGTGTGGATTCAGAAAACGTGATGCACACCAAAGGCTGGCTCCCGAACCAGTTGACAGTTCCAGGTAACACAAGCGTCGGAAAGTGGAAGCACCCGAGAACAAGACCTGAAAAATAATCAGTGGCTTGCAGAATACGGAGCTTGTGTTGTGCATGCGTTGTTCAATTGGTTACACAATTAGTGGATGGCCTCGATGATCCTTCAGAGGTTCGCTCTGCGTTGTCAAAGATCACCACGCCAATGTGCATCTCACGGCAGAATCGTCTAGACCTACTTAGCCAAGTGAATTATAGTCTGATCCATGTTGGGATGGCTATTATCGCAATCGGGCATGAGTGGCGTTTTGATCTGACCAAGAAACTTTGACAATGGTTTATGGCGGCGCCACGGCCGAAAGTATCGCTGAGCTTATTATAACGAGATCCTGATAATTTGTCCGGACCACGTTATATAAGCGTGCATAGTCTGACATAACAGCAGGTTGCAGCTCACTGGCAGATGCACCTCGCCCGATGGGTGACATGCAATACTACGTCGGCAGTGACGGATATTGGATCCTTCAAATTCACGCCGTCATTGTAGCCAGTTTCCTCCAACATTTCCCCTCAATTTCTCAAAAGTGCAGAGGAACGTTAGTCTGACCAAAGCTACAGCTTCTAGTAAAGGCTGGGGCAAATATCGGTCTCCATTCCGTAGGGCCGTTTCGCACCAATATGCGCTGCTAATGCAGTGAGGACGCCTCTTTGTACAATCCAGCCAAGCACAGGACGAAAGCTGGGAACCACAAAGATTCCAATGCAAGCTAAGGGCAACTCGAGCTCTGTTCTGGCCGTTGTAAAGCCGCTATATATGCAGGCTATTGGCACCAAATTTAGCTCTAGGGCGCCTTAGCCGGAGACTACCCGATGATAGCGGAGATAGATAAACTTTCTTTCATAGATCTAACGTCCGAGATCCATTATCACGACCTTGGCAAAGGATGAACAAGCTCACCCGGCCAAGCCGGACCTACTCGCCAACAAAACTAATGCAGTTTCTTACATCCATTGATTAGATGGTTAGTCAATTGATCCATGCAAAGCTTGGGTTTGATCGATTACTCGCAGTGCTGCCTTGTCTTGGCGTCATCGGTCTCGATCATCTCTATGATGAGTTTGTGGAGACAAATGCACATAAACGGTGAACCAATCGGGGAGCCCTACCCAGATTGCGCAATTTTTCCACGGTCAACTACCAACGACCAAGGCCCATAACAGGCTGTCAATACGGCTTGTTTATTGGTGATCGTTCGATTGAACGAGGGGCTCGCCCTGTCGGCTGTAGAGTCTTGTCCCTGTCCTGTAGCTGCAAGGTAAGCCCAGCCCTGGGCATCGAGACCGGTCAACAACATCCGCAGGATTGGGCTTACTGTAAGGCTGGATCATCCCGGCAACGTCCCAAATCAAGATTCAGTCTGACAGCGAACATGCTCGCGACTCTTGCCATGAAAGGCTGACCGCCAAGAAGCAATTGCAGATCATGTTGGGGTTTGCACTGGGGGTAAAGTTGTGTTGTGATCTTTTGTGTCCCCACTATCAAATGCTAAGCTTCTGTGCCTGGAAATCCCCCGCAAAACCGGTAAAACTGGTAAAAGTTCCAGTTATGCATAGAGACGCTTAAAGCTTAGTTTATTTTTATTAGGACTCTCATATGATGATTCATGATCTGACTTGGCAATTGGTGGTGCTGCTTGTAAGCGTTGCAACCTTCCATCAGATCACGCGATTTATGATGCAACGCACGTTAGTAAACAAATGCTGGTCCCAGGTTGGAGGACAATTAATATGACAGGATTCTATCCAATAGAATAGCTTGATGTGGCACCTGAATATGCAAAGCAACGCTGGGCCTTTTGGACTCTCACTGGTAAGCTTACTTACAAGGTGGTGTCACTTTGTATGCCCTAAAACTGGTCCCGACCTGCATCAATAATGGCTGCCGACCTGCATTAATATTGCATAGACACGAGCTAGATGGCAGATACGAGCTTATGGCTGAAAACCTGTGTTGCCATTGGTAGTTCGCTTTGTCCGACGTGTAAATATTGTGCTAACCAAGTTGCTTTCAACCACCATCGTAGGTCTGAAGGCTCAAGCCAACAGCTCTACTCACGTTACGCTGTAAGACTACATGCTCAGGCAAAGCGTGGACTATGATCCGATCCAAGTTGTATCTCATTGCCTGATGGGTCTGGAGGGCTGGTCTCAAGGGTTGAAAAGTGACCTAGAGCCGGCTTCATCAATTTGTATAAAGATCACGTAGATTCCCCTCAATCTCAAAATTCATCCAAGCTTCAATCCACTGGCTCAGACTTCCTCACCACTCTTTCAAGAACTCCCATTCATCCCTTGGACTCAAGACTTTCGCTTCAGCCGACAACATGAAGTTCTCCGCTGTGATTGCCGCCATCTCCCTTCCTCTGGCCTTGGCCACTCCTGGAGGCTACGGTGACGACTGCAAGCCCAAGACCATCACCAAGACAGTAACCTCAACTGTCATCAAGCCCATCTACAAGCCCCCGATCACCAAGACTGAGACCGTCACCAAGAAGTACCCAGTCTACAAGACGGAGACAGTCACCAAGTATAAGCCTGTCTACAAGACTGAGTACGTCACAAAGTGGAAGCCTCCTGTCACCAAGTACCACACCGTCACCAAGACCGACACAAAGTACAAGCCCATCTTCAAGACCAAGACAGAGACCAAGACCGAAACCAAGACCGAGACCAAGTACAAGCCCATCTTCAAGACCAAGACCGAGACCAAGTGGAAGCCTCCTGTTACCAAGACCGAGTACAAGACTGTCACCAAGAAGTACCCCATCTACAAGACCGAGACCGTCACCAAGACCAAGGACTGCCATCCTCCCAAGCCTACATACCACAAGCCTGGCTACGGCGATGGTGGTCACAAGAAGGAGTACAAGGCTTAAGAGCTGAAACTTGTTACTCTGGAGGCCGAAGCTTGTCACTTCGCCTGATGGACAAAACTTTATGGATTATGAGACGACATGACGCTCCTTCTAATGTTTTAATGTCTTTATTATGGAAACCCGCTACATCTGAGCTAGTGGAATCAAAGTGTTGTGGCTTGGTCGCAATGGCGATGGTGGTAAAATGGTGGTAATCTTCTTCGACACATTCTTTATATAGGGGACATAGTTGTGCATGACGCGACTAGAGTTATCTATAGATTTGACATAGCTTCAATTTTACTATGTTTGGCCGAGCCAATGATGTGCCTTGAATGTGAGATATGATGTCGAGTAGATTTTTAAAACGACAGTGGTGATCAGAATCATCAGAATTTCAGGTTATTTGTGCCACATCGTACTTCAATCTGTGGCAGAGATCTGTCAAGGACAGTCAGGCACTTAGGCTTGGGCCAGGCGCTAAGATCAAATTCAGGGGTCTGGCCACTAGCGCAATTTGGAATGCTCGGGTTGGGAACAACGGCTGAGCTTAAATGAGGAAACTCCCACAAACAATCAAGTGGTAGGTAGTCTCCCTTACAGTGCAATTGCAGGGCGATTGGACAGCATTCCCCAAGAACAGCCATGAAATTAATGGAATTCCTATTAGGGACTCGACGATATAAGCCAATACTGTTCACCGTGCCTTTCAGCTCCGGCAAGGGATAAAATGTCTCCCTTGTCGATACTTCCTCTCAGGGTACTGAGACATTCTGCCCTATCAGAAAATCTGAACATTCCCTTTGAGACATTGCAAGCCCGCCACCTTCCCCCTCAAGAAAGGCTGGGATGTGTCCCTTACGCACAAAGCCCCTTCGAGTCCCCAACTAAAAGCTATTTCCCATCATCCCGTCTCTAATCTTTGATCCACGAGAAAGCTTTCCCTGGATTGAAGCTATTCATTTCGCTCATCATGGGGCATATTCGGTCAAAATCGAACGTGACTCCGCCGGCCGTTCAGACGCCGCGAAGTTACAGAATCATTGCCATTATCTTTGCCTTATGGCTATGTTTCCACACACTGTCAAGATTCGATTGGACCGTCCCAGATTGGACGCCCAAAGCAACCGACGAATGGCCCGAGGAGCCTGTTCTCAAGAACCGCCGAATGGCTTTGGTCATACCCCTCACCGATCCTAGTCCGAACGCATGCAAGACGATCCTTTCAGGGACCGTTTTGGGATACCCTGCCCCCGTCATCGTCAACTGGGGAGTCGATTACCATGATGTCAGTCACTGGGAACTTGGCAGGAATCTTCCCAAGATTCCGGGAATGATGAAATACCTCGATTCTGTGATGCATCCCAACGCGACCGATTTGGAACGACTGGAAGAAGACGATCTTGTTCTCATGGTCGACGGTCGTGACGTTTGGTTTCAACTACCCGTTGAGGTTCTCATCAGCCGTTACCATGAGATCAACAAAAAAGCGAACGAGAGATTGCGCAAACAATGGAAGGGCCCAGGCCCAATGCCAATGAAACAGACCATCGTCACAGGTTCTCAGAGAAAGTGCTATCCCAATGATCCTGAGCGGTATGGACTTGATATGCAATGTGATATTTGGCCAGAGAGCCCGGTGAGATCGGATCTCTACGGCCCAACGACAGAAAAGAACGAGACCGATTTCATTCATCACAGACCTCGATATATCAACGGCGGAATGTACATGGGCCCTGCGGGAGATATGAGACGTTTCTTCCGTCGAGCTATGGAATTGATGGATAAATATGTCGGCGAAGGCTTCCCTTTGCGAAGTGACCAGGGCGTAAACGGCTACCTCATTGCACAACAAGAGATCTGGCGTCAGTGGCAAAGAAAGAACCACATGAAAGAGATGGACCTCAAGACCATGATCGACGAGAACCTCGAGTTCCATGCCGGGCTCGATTACGCGATGGAACTATCCAATCAGGTCTCTTACAGCGATATTGACGAAAGTCTGGGTCTCTACTGGTCAGACTTTGCCCTGCTCAACAATGAGAAGCGCACCCAACGACAGTCTGAGGCTAGAGGTATATTACCAGTCCGTTTCAATGGAGTACCTGCAGACATCATGGCATCGCGTAACCCATTGACCAAATTTGAGAAGTCTGCAAACTGGAGCAATATGCCCCTCTTCGCCGACTTTGCTCTTGGTACCGTGCCAGCGTTGATCCACCATAACAAATACAAGGACCGACGGCAAACATGGTGGGATCGACCATGGTATCATCAAAAGCTGAGGAAGCTTGTTCCTTCCAAGTTGAAATTCCGTCCCTTTGATGAATCTTTGGCGACGGTTGAAACTGACGAGGGTCTCGTTCGATACTGGGCCCCATTGGCCGAGGCGAGAGATAGATATCCTCGAAAGGTCAATGAGACTGCAAATGCTAGATTTGAGAAAATGGAGCTTGACACGCTTTGTCGCAGGGCGGAAGGAAAAGAAGGGGGAACGTCGAAGGACGGTAAGGCCTGGTGGGATGAGGTTATGCGTGATGGTGGCGGAAAGATTAGCTAAACGATGGGGACTCTTTGTATTGAATCGGATGGGCTGTATTTCCAGAAAGCGCTTGTACTTGTTGTTTTATGCGGCTATATGACAATGGATTATTGAATGACAGTATATGAGCTTTATCTGATAGCTGATCATTAAAGGTGATATCATTGTGAACAAGAAGAGAAACGGGAGAAAGCCGGTAATGAATCGAAGGATAGACCAATTACTCCACTTGTCAAATACAGCGTTACGGCTTCCTTCGCGTAGCCTTTGACATTTTCAAGTACCATGTCTGTAAGCCTTTGAGAACCTACCTCCCAAAAAGAAAACCTCGAAGAAGCTCGCATGCCATGACGGGTTATAATTGACCATGTAAATAACAAATTATACAAGGTAGAAACGATAGTTTATTCATGAACCATTAAATCGAGCTATTAAAACAGTACGACAAGAAAAGAAAAAAAGAAGAATGCAGATATGAACTAGACCGCGTTGTGGCTGAGATACCAATCAACAAACTTCACAATACCCTGGTTGATCTTCGTCTTAGGCATGTACCCAAGCAAAGCACCCGCCTTGGAGATGTCTGCATACGTCACGGGCATATCGCCAGGCTGGTCGCCGCGCCAGTCAATAAGAGCCTTGATGCCCAAGGTTCCTTCCATCACGCTGATGAGGTCCATCAGCTTGATAGTCTGCGACTCTCCAAGGTTGATGGCCTCAAAGATGGAGTCTTTGTAGTTGATAGCACCGAAGATACCTTGGACGATGTCATCGACGTAAGTGTAGTCTCGGAGTGAAGATCCATCTCCGAAAAGAGGAATGGGCTTTCCTTGGTGGATAAGCCTGGTGAACTTGTGGATGGCAAGATCTGGGCGTTGACGGGGTCCGTAGACGGTAAAGAAGCGGAGGCAGACGCAACGAATCTGGTACAAGTGGGAGTATGTGTGGCAGAGAAGCTCAGCTGCTGACTTTGACGCAGCGTAAGGGGATATGGGATGCTGGGCCTTGTAGCTCTCCGAGAAAGGAGCCTTGGCACCGAGACCGTAAACACTGGATGATGATCCAAAGACGAATTGCTCAACACCAAACTCCTTGCAACAGTTGAGGAGGTTCAGCGTGCCAGTGACGTTGACGTCAAAGTATAGGTTCGGGTATTTCAGGGAAGGGAGAACACCAGCGCGAGCAGCCAGATGGGCGACAGCGACAAAGTCGTTAGCGGCAAAGATGTCTCGCATAGTCTCCATATCCTGGATGTCAGCCTCGTAGACTGTGAGGTCGGGGTTTCGCATGTGGGGAGCGAGGTTGGCACGCTTGATGGCAGGGTCGTAGAAGTCGTCAAAGTTGTCGACGACAACGACCTTCCAGCATCCCTCTGCCAGAAGGGCCTCGACGAGATGGCCGCCGATGAAGCCCGCACCGCCGGTGACGAGGATTGACCGTCTGGGTCTGGAGTTGCGAAGAGTTGTGATGATCGTCATGTTGGTATTGGTAGTATCGTATTGCAGGGGAGTGAAGGAGAAATTCTGTGCTTACTTTTGGGGATTAAAGTACGAAATGGGGAAGTCCGCCCTTGAATTGTTATGAGGGAAGAAGGGGGCATGAGACACTATCCCGCCACCATATGTCGCTACAATTGCCCCTTCTTAAAATCTCAGCCTCTATGTCTCAGTAAAATGAGCTTTTCTTCCAATTTGCCCGTCAATCGGGATAAGTCGCAGCCAAGATGGCGGAGCGAAAATGGCTGTAAGTCGTTGGAAATTGACGCCACCAAAGAAGGGTGAAGTGATATTCAGGCAACAATTCCTTGGCCTATTTAAGTACTACCTATGAATTCCATGTCAATGTTGATAATACCAGAGAATAAGTGATAAACAAACTCCTTCATATCTTTCACAGCAGATAAGACATCTTACAATTAGACACCGGGAAATGCAGCAATCAATGTTCTTTCGCCCCAATCAGGAGTCATGCTTGGCAATTATCGCCAATGCCTGTGACTCTCAGACGTTTTGAAGTAAACACAGGCTTTGATCAATGTCATGTGAGCAGGCAAGAGGTAAACTCACTCTTAATCCCCGACCCTTTCTTTGCGCTTGTCTGAATCTCATTGAGCCCCCGGTTGTGCACATCCCACATCTCTATCGTCATATAATCACAAATTCTTAGGTGCCTTAGTAGATTCTTAGGAGGTTAAGGAATTGTTTTCATCTGTTAGGCTTCT